CCCTTCTCCGCGCCGCACGCACACACACACACACACACACACACACACACACAACCCGACTCTGTCCCGCCTCTGACTCTGTTCTCAAAACTCGGAAAGGTGAAAAGAAGCAAAATCAAGCAGGGTCAGAATGATAGCAAGCCCGAGTCCGTCACGGAGAGTCTTGCGGGGGGCATTGAGTGCGCTCAGAAACACTATCTTCGGAAAGCTCGGGCGAACTGCGGTCGGATGACGCCAGTGTCTTATTATCTAACTAGTGGGATATAATCGGCTATAGGAGAGAGGTATCAGCAAGACAAGACGATGAATAAGAGAAACAGGAAAATAAAAACAAGATTTGCTCAGAACGATGTGCCCATGTAGGTTGCACCTAGACTCCTCGCTCAACCTTGCGCATCATCCCCTCTCAAGCCCCTATTGAAGAAAAGAACATAGTTCGATGTGAAGCTTGTGACGAAATAGGTCTAGACAGCCCGAAATGAAAGGAAAACCGAGCCGTTCTTGCTTCTTTGAAGATGACCTGATAGACCAACAGAAGATGTTAACGCGTCAGACGAGATGGCCGGCATCTTTCACGGAGTCAAGCACACTAGGACCTGGGCCACCACCAGAGTCGTTAGTTCTTCTGTGCCGCAACACTTCCCTGCTGGGCATGATTGTGAGGCTCGGCATGGCGGCATGGGCTCCTCGCCTGTTCGCATCCTCTTCTTCGGCCCACGCAAGACTCTCGTCAGGAAGAAGGATGGCGCGGTCGATACTGACGGGTAAGCCTCGATGGCGTCCACGGAGCATCACGACGCAAAGAACGAGCTTGCTTGCCGTGTGCCACGTTCCACAGAAGGAGTAGGCCGCCCAGGGAATGCCGACTGATATGCCCACACACCCGTACGCAGACACAACCTCGAAAATGATGTTGAAGGTGGAAAAGTTGACAGGGTCCCGCTCGAATTGTCCAGTCTCAATGGCGGTGATCATAAAGACCGCAAGGACGAGAATCCACAGATCATGCCCGAGTTGACCACGAAGCTGCTGGCGGACAAAATCTTGCCGGGTCCACGTCGTGAGCTTTGGCGACGCTGGAGCAGTGCCATGGCTCAGAGTCATCGTTCGCTTGAAGCCAGAAATGAACTTGTGACCTGCCACCAGTCCCTTCTCAGAGAGCTCGCCGCCGCCGCCTCGCTCTGCTTCCTTCTCCGCCTCCTCAATGTCCTCGGCATATATACCCAAGGACCTCTCTTCGTAAACATTGGTGTTTCGAATCGTCATTGCTATGGGAAATGCCGAGATGTACATCATAGCGACATAGAGGACCAAGAGGCCCGACCGTAGCCCGGAGATGGAAACCACGTAGAACCCTCCACTGCGGACGGCAAACGCCTGGAAGAGTCCATCCAAAACTCTGAAATGTACTGGGATTGCATCCGTGACAGGATTGCCAATGTTGAGGAGTTCAAATGCGACCCAGTCGATCCCATTCAGCATGACCAGAGAGAAGACGAGCCACCATGTCTGCGCTGCAGGAAACAGGTTGGTGTAAACCCGTCGAGGATGGTCCAAGCAGAACTCAAGGGTCTGGCGGCGTCGTTGCCACGTAGACGAGGTGGGGTTCTTCCTCGAGATTGCCTTCTTCATGGTCCATAAAATCAATCTCAAAAAGGGCGGGAAGCAGGTGTTGCCTGCCAGAATGAGTAAACTCATCGTAAGCAGGACGTAGTAGCTCGTCTGGAGCACAGTCGCATTCGCATCCAGCAGGGCCATGCCGGAATTGTTGAATGCCGAGACAGCGAAGAAAGCTCCTGTCCAAAATGGATCGAGACCTGCCAAAATGGTAAGACCATGGTCTTTTTACAAGCAGACAGGTCGACTCTACTCACCATTAGTCAACGTCATTCCAGGGCGGTTGATCCTGATCCAAGCACCCACGCCTAACGCGCCAAAAAGCTGAAACAAGAAGAAATACAGCGGTACAACCCACGAGAGCAAGCATATAGCATCATATTCGATACCGCCCAATTTCTTGCGTTCTTTCTCGCTCAAGCCGTGAATCTGACTGTTCCGCCCTAGGTAGCCATTGACCGTGTTGATGTATTTGCCTAATTTTGAACGAGGATCCTTGCGCAGCTCGTTTTCCTCATCTGTGATGGCCTCATCTCGATCTGGCAGATATGGTGCGTTCGTTGGCATAACATTTCGCGGGTGATTGTCCAGAGGCCGGGCTCCGACACCTCGTCCTTCGAAGAAGCTCGTTCTGTGACGACTTGACGGCCGCGGCCGCACAGGGTCATGAGTATGGTCTGCAGCAGGGAGCATATCTGGGAAACGGATATGGCTGTTTTGGTCATCTTTCGCGGCTCCCACATCGCTAACCGCTGCTTGAGACGCCGCAGTGTCTAAATTTGACAATGTTCGCTCTCGATCTATCGAGGCTTTGTTATCAAGGTGATCCACAGGTTCCTTAATAGCACGGCCACGAACAGCACCCGAAGCGACTGCTGATTCGTGGTCTCCCGAAGTGCTGGGTCTTCGCCTAGAGAAGGAGAAGCTCAAGGTCCGCGGCCTCATCAATCGCCTCCGACGTCGCTGCTCTGCTAGCTCGGCAAACCTCTGTTCGAAGGCTCGCTTGCGGACGTGGAGAATGGCGCTTGACACAAATATTGCGGACCCAGCAATGATAAGGAGAAATAGCATAACTTGTTGCCATGTGTTGCTAAGATCCAATCAGCTTCATTCATCAGACCTTATGGACGTCATTACAGCTCTGATAGATTGATCGTGTTCAGGCCTGAAAGTTCGTAATCAGTAAAAAGACCGGAAGAGACCAAGAGTAAGAAAACGCACCTGCTTCGGTCATTGCAGATATGCACAGAAAAAGGCTATCGATATAGCGGACCGATTTTGCTGGCGTCGATGAGCCCCAGAAAATGAGGCTCGCCATAAGGCATGTGGCACAAAAATAGAAGTAATGCACATGAATGAACGAAACATCCTGCAAAGTTGTCCGAAGACTTGTTCGCCATGTTTGAGATTGACTTCGCGCCATATTGATAGCCGTGTAATGCCTTGAATCGGAATTCAACAAGACGTTCAACACGGAGTAATGGGGTCACTGTTGCTGCGAGGAGTTGCGCTTACGCGACGGAACCGCGTCTTCCTTATGGTGGGTGATTACGGACAGCCCGGGTCGGGGCAATTGTCGTACCGCATGACTTTCGATGTGCACGTATATGTCTTGTAAACTGTGTGCTGGAATTGTTGAAGTGATGGCCGGCTTACAAGTAACAAGCAGCGAAGAAAAATAGAATAAAGGAGAAATCAGGCAATGCATGGATAGTGCCAAGACCGGCAAGCGAAATTCGACCGAAGGGAGTCATTTTCAGTCTGACAGCAACTTTAGTCTTTCCTGTCGGCAAAATCCAGTCAAATAGGGCGTCTGACGAGTAGCTGACAGGGCATCAAGTCTGCCCATGCCACGCTTGATCACTAGAGGTACCTTAGGAGCAGGGCGAGAGTCCTGGGTTCACAACATCCTACCTCGCGCCCAGGAGGAGCACCGGCTGGAGATACCTTTATGCTTTGTGTCACAGCATCAGCATACACCCTAAGAAACATAGTGTGTCGCGCCTGGGAGATGTGCGAAGTTGTGCTGCCTCAGAATTTGTTCAAGCAACAGTGGGAGCAGTGGAACATGTCCCGAATCGTAGAACCATGATCACAGGAGGTAAAACCGTTTCTGCGATGTTGCACGGATAGGGGTTACACAAGGCATGTCCCTTGATAGAACTTTCTTGTACGCCACTTCGAGAACCGTCGGATTCTACCTTCATCTGATACGTTCGCACCACCTCCATGCCTGACGATAAAGGGTCATCCCCCGATACCAGTTCCATTCGATTCGTTAGACTGCAACACGAGGATAACCGTGTGACATTTGTCACTGGAGCCAATTCAAGCTCTAAGGTTCTGGCGGCGACAATCACCGAGATCCTGTTAACGTCTGTCATCCTTTGACGGAATCAGGAGGGTCATTCACCAGCGAATCTTAAATATTCTCTGGAATACTCAAACCTGGCTGATGAGCATTCCAGCCCACACCAGAACATGACCATCTTTGATGAAATCATAAGGCAAACCCGTAGGATGCTAAATTACCTTCAGCGTATATTCTTTTGTGAAGCAAGTGTGAGTCTTACCTTCGCAAGCAAAGTCGCTTGGCCGATACCCATGTTCGTCCCGATCCAAGCTAGGCAATTCCGAAAATGTGTCTGCATTTCAGGCGATACGACTGATAACGTTGAAGAGACGCTGAGCGGATGAAGAAGAAGAAGCCCACCCGCAGATTTACCCGGGACGATGGCCTCGAAGTTTGGCGGAGGCAAATCCACAGAGCCGGTCAGGATGAAATGAATGGATGCTGCAAGGTCAGATGCAAGGCTCTGCACTTCAGAATACAGTCTGCCCAGAGGCAACTTCCTTTCAGGCTCCGGGAACTGAAGTTCACACCTGATGACTTTGTCAAGATATAAGAGGCGAGATTTGCGATAGGAGTTCCACACGCCCGCGACGTAAACTTCCAACTGTCAGTATCGCCCGGTGGGATTCACCGCAACAAGCACGGTGTTGGAAGCACTTACGATCGAAGTAGCTTTCCATCTTACCCGGCCAGTAAATCGGGCCAGCCGACCTAGCTTGGATTGGGCTGATAGTGCCTATCGTCTTTGGTAACCATTTTGGAGGCTGGTTCTCAGGCCACCGAGTATATTCATATGCTAGGAGCATCATCTCGTCCCTCATCTTGCGCAATTCTTCCGCACTGACATCCGCAGGTGTTTCCAGAAGTCGTGTCATCTTGTCGCTCAGTGGTTTGGTCCTCAGCATAATTGAGTCTAGAGTCTGGACAGGCCGGGCAGATAGTGGAGCGCAAAGAATACCAGAATTCGGTGATGGCTACGTATATCACATTCATTAGTTGCCATCGAGCAAGCACGGCGCTCCAATGCTTACCACTAGTCGATCTGCACCTATCCGGAGAGGATTCGACATCTGGAAAAGCTTTGCACCTTCGAAAATGCTAAAGGGTGAATGATCCGATCCAAGGATTGCTGAAACGCCTCTAGAGTGAGCACTGTGGGCACTTGAATATGCCTCGGTGGTGGAAATTATCTGGCACTGATGAGCCTTTATTCCTGTGAAACGTCCACCGTCATTCCTACCTCGTAAAGCCCAAGGAGTACAGCAGTCACAAGTGACTCTACGACGTTGGAAGTTGCAACGTTTGAGATGGTCTTTTGGAAGGATTGCAACAGTTGAAAGTAGAGAAATTTTGCTTCTGCGCATATCTCTGGGCGCTGGTACTTGTTTCCATAGCTGGCCAGGGATACGACGGTCACAGCTCTGGACAATTCTGAGGAAGGTCCGCTGTAGACTAGTAGCTGTCGGAGACCGTCAAGATATCCTCGCGATAGAGATCGATCAGAAGAGACTACGGAGTAGTCTTTGAGGAACAACTCCCGTGCTTCCCTCTCCAGGGCGGTATCATGCCAATCTGCCGTCGTGTAATGCGCAACCGTCGATGGAGGGATCCGACGCCCTGAAAATGGGGACTCGTGTGCAGAGTGATCATCGGTGCGATCGTGCCATGCGTTCAAGTCGCGGCGATGATGCCGGAATATAATGTCAGACTCGTCCTTGTAGCCGCCGCATGTACGCTTGGCTTTTACACATCTATTGCACACCTTGTAATTGGCTTCCATCAGCAAACGGATGACCCATCATGGCATCTGATACGCATACTGGACGAGCCTCATCGCACTGGGGAAACAGGTCAGTAAAGTCTAGTTCCCTGAGTGGCCGTGGTCGAGGAATAAGGCGTACCTTCTTGCGCCTCTGCTTGCAAGTTTCACATCCCCTTGACACACCATGGTATACCATCTCACCGTATTCAAGCTATAGCTAGCAAGAGAGGCATTCTCCTTGAAGCTAGTAACTCTCGACCAATTGCGCGAATTGTGAGTATGAAAACAGAGTATGGGAGTCCACGGTTATGGACCTGGGAGACAATGTCCGACGGCAGTATCCAAATACAGCTAGTCTTGCGCGATCAACTATACTACTCTCGGTTAGTATTGCGCCCGCCGTCGTTGCGTTCTGGACGAGGTCTTGACGCTTCCATGTTCTGACCAACAACGTATGTTCCATACTATAGCGGGGTTAAAAGTCTGCGAAGTTAAGGTAAGTCCGTAATGGACCGGTCAGTCTCACGTCTCCCGAAGCACAACGAGTTCGAGAAGTCCTTACTGCGCGCAATCTGCGAACGGTAGGTCCGGCGTTACCAAGAAGGATCCTTTTGAAGACGAAGATATAAAGATGGTCAGTCAGCGACGGTACGAATACGCTCGTGCCATTAGGTCACAACGTTGAACCATCCACGAGAATCATGGACTCGAACAACCACATCTCCAAAGTCGCCCTTGTCGGCGCAACGGGCACTTTGGGCTCGCACGTTCTCTCAGGTCTCCTCGATCAACCGTTTCCTCAATTCCAGATTACCTTGATCACGCGCCCAGGAAGTATCACTTCATCCAAGCACCCGGACCTCACTTCCAACCCGCGAATCACCATCAAGGTCGGCTCGTACGAGGACCATGCCTTCCTCGTCTCTGCACTCACCGGCCAGGACGCATTGGTTGTGACCTTGGGCTTCAATGTCTGCCACACGCTTCAACCCCTGATATTTCGCGTGGCATGTGAGGTCAAAGTGCCGTACATACTCCCCTGCGAATTCGGCAGTGACACGACCAACCCGCGCCTCGTCTCCGCCATCCCGGGACAAATCAGCAAAGTCAACGCGCGCAGATTGATCGAGGACCTCGGCACCGCACCGGACGGCACACGCACGAGTTCATGGATCGGCATCTGCACCAACGCCTGGCTCGACTGGAACTTACCAGGCGGCTGGATGGAAATTGACATCAAGAACCGCACGGCCACGCTTCTCGACGGGCAAGGCAAGGACAAGGATGTCAAAGCGTACTTCTCCACGATCCGAATGTCAGCCCTGACTGCGGCCAAAGTCCTCTCTTTGCCGCTCAAAGCAGATGACAAATCGTCTGGTTCTTCCCCCTCCTCCTTTTCCACCACCACCACCACCACAACCCAGCGCACTCTTCCATCCTTCGCGAACAAGATGGTCTATGCGGCCTGCTTCCGACTATCTCAAGCCGACATCATCTGCGCCGTGCAGCGAGCGACGCGCACCACTGATACAGATTGGCAGATCTCCCATGTTGGCCTGACGCGGTATCTCGATAGCGCTGCCGAGAAGGTGAAAGCAGGAAATAGGCTGGGCATCATGGACCTCTTGCACGGCAATCTCTTTGTCAAGGGCGTGGCCGACGCCTTCTACCCTGACGGCGCCGAGGAAGAAGCCGAGCTGAACAACACTTTACTCGGGCTAGATGAGTGCGAGGACCTCGGAGACGTCATGGCGAAGATTGTGAAACAGGTTCTGATCAAGTAAATCATGTTGTAGATCTGTCGTAAGTCGTATCATGTTTCAAGTTGAACGTCGGTCGTATTGTGTTCAAATTGCCGCACCACCATCGAACCCTGCCTCATATTGCAACTGGGCCATAACGCGAACGTCTCGTGTTGCAAACTCGTCGTACCACAGCTAGGTAGTTTGATAAGGAGCCGAAGTATTTCAAAACGTACGTAAAAAATCGTTCGCTCGTTGTCGTCACAATCGTATTCTAGGAGACACACGTGTACATAAAGTCTTGTTGTCATCAACTATATCGTCCGTCCAATCCTCCCGACCACAATGCTCCCGAGGTGCCGTACCCAATATCAACCCATCCAACAGACCATATTGTACTCTGCACATTCAACCAACGGGGAGAAAATGAGAAACAAAAGCGAAAGAAAAAAAGCCACCCCAACGACGTCCAACGCCCAAGGTTTCAACATGGTAATAACCCAACCATCTCCCCGGCATTACACGCCTTCGAGAGCCCTCATGGCGTCCCCCTCGGCGCCATCAATCACTCTCCTGACATGGCTCTGTTCCAATTTCCGCGCTCTCTCCCTGCCCTCCTCCAACCTCTCGACGCCGAGCCTGATGCTCTCGATGTGCACACTGAGCGGAACGTCCCTGCGGTCCCTCAGCAACTCGGCGCTGCCGACGCGGACCCTCAGCTCCTCCAGCTCGGCGCCCATGGCCTGCAACTTGAGTATGGTGGCCGAGACGTGGGCCCAGGCGACCTTGCGGTACTGGCCGACCTGCCTCAGCAGGCCGAGCTGGCTGTTGAACTTGCCGAGCTTGGCGCGGTTGCCGCCCAGGAGCGTCCACAAGTGCGACAGGATCTCGTCCTTGCCGGCCTGGGCGGCGATGTTGTCTCGCATCGCGACCGCGTGGATGACCTCCAGCCTATCCTCGAGGTTCTGCAGCACGAGCAACAGCGCCTGGGCCTCGTCGATGAGCCTCTCGATCTCATCGCTCACGACGCGCGTGTGCTGGATGTACTGGTCCAGCAGCCTCGACTCGGTGAAGCGCACGGGCGCGAACGGCGCGAAGAGCCGGTCCTGGATGAAACTCGGCACGAGGCCCCGTGAAGACTGCCTGAGGGCCATGTCGTCCAGGACACGCTGCGTCCATCGCGCAGTGCTGAGGACGATGTCGACGCCGCGGCCGACGTGGGAGTTGAACTTCTGCAGGTCGTACGACGCGATGCGGGCTGTCTCGATGAACCCGTCGAACTCGAGGACGAGCTCGTTCCGCGACGAGAGCTGCGAGAAGCGCACGATCTGCCGGAGGTCGCGGATCGAGGTTTCCGAGCGCTTCATGTCCAGTGGCAGAGCCACGCCGGCTGCAGACTCGGACAGGATCTCTTCAAAGTGGGACTGTGTCCGCATCAGAGCTTCAAACTCGACTGGAGCGGATGCGCCAGGAGAGAGGGTTGGCGCGTCGAAGTTTGTAGAGATATACTCGCAAATAGGGAGGTGGAGAAGTGATGCGCCTGGAATGCGGCAGATGGGCGAAAGAGCCGTGTACACCGAGGAGGTGAGGAGGTTCTTAGCCAACATCAGGATCCCGACGAACAAGTATGCGGCAAGAAGCCATGATATAGGCTTCTTAAGCGTCTTCAATGTCTGGACGAGGACGTCCAAGATCCATTCGGCAATGTGACCTGCTATCTGCAAAACTCGGTCGGGAACCGTCGCCTCTGGAGCAGCGTTCGATCGAGCCATATTGGTGGCGGGCCTTGAGGAGGCTGCAGGGTTTCGAAGCCTTGATTGAACCGATGCTGATGATACAGGTGGCTTGCGTTGCCTGGGGGCCCTCTGTGTCGCCGTCGTGCTTGTTGTGCTTGTCGACATGCTTGGCATTATGAATTGCGGCTCCAACACGCTCACCTTTGGTCGTCTGGAAGAATCTGAATGATCCGGCACTGATCGGGTGCTTTTCTCCGATACTGCCTCTGTGTTCTCTTCTTCTGATACCGAAGAAGCTTGAGTCCCGTCCCAGCTAATGTCGTCGTTGACTTCATCTTCGACCACCCATGAGCCGTCCATGGATTTTGTACTTTTGGCCATTGCTGATTCCTGCAAAGTCACCCAGGATCGTGGTTGAAGATAGAGCGTGGCGGTAGTCACTCAGGGTGCGAAGTCGCCGAAGTCACGGTGTTGGCGCCTGATTTGGTGGCACTCGACACCCCCAGCCTCGTGAGGGTCCGGTCGATGCGTTGTGAATATCCACTCTCAAGACGCTTCATACCATTGTGGTGCAATGTCAATACCTCGAGGGTAGCGTTTAAACCAAAAAGGAGAAAGAAATACTCGAGAGCGACAAAACATTCGAGGGTGATCTTAGGGGGCGTCAAAAGATCCAAGGCAAATACCTGAACCTGTTCGAGGCCTCGTGAACGGTCGAGGCCGGCGAGAGGCGAACAATGTCTACCAACGTCATATTCTTGGCGTCGACTCAATGGGACAGTGAGTTCCTACATAATGCACAGGTACAAACCACCTCAGGTACATACGTACATACTGTACACAAACCATGATTCTCTGGCTCTATGTATGTGGTTCACATACGGTAGATAGATTATATAGATACTTGACCCACATGCATTTAATCCCTACTACATCACGCGACCATGTGAAAGAGTATCCGGAATTGTGTGCGTCGATGTATTTTGCGCGGTCAACATTTTCTCTACTCGGTTCTGGGAAGCGCCAATCTATACATCTACCGCATCGTAACCAATTCTTCGGCGCTTGTCTATTCATAGTCAGCGAGAGCCTAACAATGCATGCTGAAGAACTCACCGGGTGAATCGCAACACAACTGTCAAAGTCCTTCTTCGTTGCACCCATCTTCACAGCAACACTGGGAATGTCAGCAGTCTTGTTAATTTTCCTTGTTGGGCGGACTCACCCAAAGCCCTGCAACATTTCATCGCATCCTTTGCCGAGGATGTGCAAACCGATAACTTCTTCGTTTGGCAGAAGACAGACAAGTTTGAACTCAGTGGGCTCTTTCTTCTTTTCTTCTGGTGGGAAACTGTGCATGGTCAGTCTTGAACGATGTCTCTGGTGGCGATAAGTGGGCTTACACATCGTAATACATGGCAGAAAACTTGGTGTGGTAGACCTTGATCTTGTCCTTGCCATATCTCTCGATAGCTTGCGGTTCAGTCAAGCCAGTGGTGCCGACTTCTGGGTGGGAGAAGACTACAGATGGGATTCGGTCGTAATCAAGGTGTGAGTCTTTCAACTCGGGAGGCCCGAAGAGACGGTTCCCTAGCTGTCTGCCAGCAGCAATGGCGACAGGTGTAAGTTCGACCTGGAGATATGTTAGACAGCGCCCACCCGTGTGCTAAATATCCATACCTGGCCAGTAACATCACCTAACGCGTAGATACCGGGAACAGAGGTGTTCTGATACTTATCCACAACAATGTGACCGGTCTTGTCGAGCTCGATAGGAATTTTGTCGAGCCCTAGTCCTCGAGTTTCGGCGCCACGGCCAATGCCCCACAGCAGCTCGTTTGTGATCATTTCAGTCCCGTCGTTCATAATAAGCTTCAATTGCTTGTCGCGCGGATCGGACGCATCCGTTGCCGCTTGTAGTTGGATAACCTCCTTGATGCCCGGATGGTTTCGGTGAACGTGAATACCGAGGTCTTCATAATGTTTCGTTAAAGTATCTTGAATCATGGGGTCGAATTTCCGTAAGAAAGTGTTGCCTCGGATGAATAGATGTGTCTCGACACCAATAGCGTTCATGACACCGGCCAGCTCAACGGCGATATAGCCAGCACCGACAAACACCATCTTCTTCGGTAGATGCTTGATCAAGAAATACTCATCTGAAGTGATTCCGTATTCGGAACCCTTGATGCCTGCGGGCTTTGTGGGAAACGAACCAGTGGCGATTGTGATGTGTGGTGCCGTTATTCTGAAGGGCTCACTGCCATCTTTCGGCGTGACCTCCATCTCGTGCTCGCCGACGAAAGTCGCCGTTCCATGGATCAACTCAATTCCTTCCTTAGCCCAGTTGTTCTCGTAAGCGCCGTTCAGCACTTTGATTCTGGCATCCCTCTTCTCCACGAAGCTTTTGAAGTCAAATGAGTTGCCATCTCCAAAAGAGTAACCGTAATGCTTGCCGGCCTTCATGGCCTCGGCGATTGAGGCGAAATTCCAGGTCATTTTCTTGGGAACACATCTATCGGCAAGTTAGCACAGATCTTACTGCGTGGAATGTATTTATTTACCCAACATTCACACAGCATCCGCCGGAGACTCCCGCGTCAATGATACATGTTTTTGCGCCATACCAGCCGCTCGCTCTTCTGGCTGCACCACTTCCTCCTGATCCTCCTCCTATAACGATGTAGTCGTACTGCTTCGTAACGGGTGCCATGTTCAGGGACGAAGTAGAAAATTGTCTGGATAGACCTGTGAGTCGCGAAAGAGGTGCGGGGGAGGGCGAAGAGGCGTGGGCAGTCAAAGGCTCGTGGACAGCAGGCGTCGCAGTTGCCAGTGTGAGGGAACGCAGGGAATTAGCAGACTGCCTGAGAAAAATGCGAGGGCGAATGGACATGTCACTGGAAAGACACGAAGGTAGCAGGGTCTTGAGGAACAATATATGGCTTTGCCAACCCAAAATGTCTGCAACGCACTTTAGCAAAAACGGCACCATCCAGCGATTGATGATGTGATACAATCTCTGGGCTTGATGGCGCTCCGCCAATCCCGTCTCCCGCCTGAAGCTTGACTCCGGTATCTCTGCAAGCCCAAATTATTAAGAGAACAGGCCTAGATCGCAGTGATTACCAAACCATGCAGCCAAGTAAGCAGACTTTCTCTTAATGGGAAGTTTCGTAATACCTTTTCGGGCTGCAGGGTGTGTAGACTATGTACGGAGTAAGGCCACAACTAATCATATAAGGAGGGAGGTATTAAGAGCAATACGAAGGACGCTGTTCACGAGGTGTCTCCAGACTTTACGTTCTCTCGACTCTTGTACTTATAAACACGTCAACTTAGAGCTTGGTCTGCCGCTTCTCTAATAGCTTATCACCGATATCAATCTGCTGCCACCAAGGATACCCATCAGGAGCATCTTGCGGTACCTGACCGGTAAAGTTGACCTTTCTCTTTTGCAGAAAACTCTCCACGCCCTCAATATTGTCCTTGCTCCCAAACAGCCCATGAATGATCCTTGAATCGAGCAGGTGAGCTCCCTCCGCGCTATCAGGTCCCCTGTACATAAGGTCCCTCATCATCTTGGTCGAGACCGTTGAGGTGTTCGTGGCAACCTCATCTGCAAGCTCGAGTGCTCTGGACAGTGTACCTTCAGGAGTGGCACAAGTTTCGGAGAAGAGTGTGCCAAACAATGGATGGTCCGCTGGGTACACCGAACCTGTGGTGGTTAGATGCAAAGCTCGAGAATGTCCAATCAGTCGTGGGAGGAAATATGACGAGCAAGCTTCCATGATGATGCCACGTCTGCTAAAGACAAAGCCGACCTTGGCCTTTGCGTAAGCGATGCGTATGCAGGCCGGCAAGCACATGGTTATACCGACACCAACGCAGGCGCCTTGGATGGCTGCAATCGTCGGCTTGGTGCACTGATGTATAGCTAGAGACGTTCTCCCACCACTGTGATTGTCAGCCGTGTGTTGTCCGCCTGCGTCATTCGACTTCCTTACCCGTCTCTGTGATCCACGTCTCTTTCTGTCTTCGGGTTTTTGACCACGCCGTGCTCGTCCTTGGCTCCTAAGAAGCCAATGTCGAGGTCTGCGCCGGCACAAAAGCTCCTTCCAGCACCAGTGAGGACGACTACTTTCACTCTCGGGTCAATATTGACCAGCTCGTAAACAGTCTCCATGTCTTGCCGCATGATATCTGTAAAGGCATTGTGCTTCTCTGGCCTGTTCAAGGTAATCAAGATCACCGGTGTCGCGGTACGCGAGGATTCAGGTACATGGGAGACTTTGATGTGTTGCAAAGGCAGGGACGCGTAGGATTCTGGTACTTTCAGAGGTTGGCGAGGTGCTGGAGGCATTGCGGCTGCAGGTCAATGAGCACCTGTAATCACGGGTGGGATACAGAGTACGGGAGAAAACGTAGACGTTGTAGATGCTGGAGACGTTAGCATTATGGATTTCATCGAAAGCTCGAGCATTCGGCTGTCGAAATACTGGTCAAGTGTGGGTTGAATCATTATCCTCGGTTCAACGTTGGAAGAGGCTTCTTCACCCGCGGCTGACATTTGGGGAGCACCGGCTTCCACGCGGGGATAGATCGAGGCTTTTATTACGCTGGGTGCAGGATTCGATCGAGTCCATCCCATCGTCGAAAGGTCGAGAAGTGGTAGTAGTACTCGCAGAGGAGAACGTGATAAACGATAAATCTTGCTAGGCAGTCAAGACAAGCAGAGCACGAGTACAAGGCTGCAGCTGTGAAAAACACCTCGGCTTCTCGAATGGCTTGACATTCGGTTCTTGACCAACGCACCAAAAAGCACCAATTCAGTTCTTAGCTATGCCATTGATTTCTTCACCCGATAAGAATTGACATCTTCAGTCATCTGTGCAGCTATCTATTACTCCTACTACGCTCCGAGAGTCTTTCACAAGCCTCGGTTAGAGATCGAGCTCCCGCTCCTTCAACAGACGGGGGCCACGTCGATAAATCTCTTCTCCAAAGCTTTGCTCCAGGCAAAAGCTGTTGATGAAAAGATAGTAAGAGCCAAAAATAACGCGGATGAGAGCCCCGAAGGACACTCAATGGCGACGTCTACTGCGATGTGCAATGCAGAGACACCACCATAGCAGCCTCCCTTCTTGAGCGGAGGCGCTCCCACAAGGTAAGTATGAAAAAAGAAGAAAAAAGAAGTCCAGATGGAGGGAGAGGCGAGTCTCCTTATATACCCTAGAAATTGGGAGCTGAGGCGTGCCAAGCTTTCACTTTAGGGCGGCGACACATGGGGAAGAGGGCGGCGGAATTGTCTGACGGGGTGATTTCCACCACAATCATCGGTGTTGTCGATAATCCACTTTCTGTCTGACGACGCACGGCGAGATTGGCATTCGAAGCCGCTGGAAGATCAACTTCTAGGCAAGGAACCAGGGGCTACAGTATTTACGTACTGTAGGCAGCAACTACTCCTTGCCAACAGTGGAACCGAAGTAAAAGAGTACGGATACGAGCACCTTCAGCACTTCTGTAACAGTAAATGCGTCTCTCCACTGTAGGTCAAAGGCCTCAGATTGATATTCGGCCACGATCATCTACGGGTGCCTAATAAATTCGTAGGTGCCAATAGCTAGGGAAACTTCAAACGCTTCCACCACTCCTGCACAGTTCTAGCCTAGGTACTCATTAAAATCTGAAAATAGAGCTCTTAGGTATCAATCGCTCCCTCAGTGTAAGTAAAGACCATACACATTTGCATCCCCTTGAACACCCTTGTACACGATGGATACACATTGGTCCTTGGAGATCCATTAGACCCTCACATTCATCACAATCGTCGCTATGCATAAGCATCTGACACTTCCTCGGCCTCGAGTTCCCGACTCTCGTTGTCTTCCACGCCTGTGGAATCCAACAAGATACCATCGTCATATATCTCTTCCTTCCGGTGAGGAATGATACTTTTATCGATGCGAAATGTTTTGATGATGTCCTCCCAGACATCGAAGTCAAGCGTGAATACAGCTTGATTCCGCTTTGTTTCTTGCCTCTCCGCAACGCTACGTTGAGCGGCGATACCAAGAGTGGGTAGACCATTCCCGTCAAAATCCAGGCCTACTTTACCCTCCTTGACAAGGAAGCTGACGTAGAATAAGTTTTCTACCGTCTGTCCGAACGATTTAGGGTTGACGCAGAAGTCGAATAATGACACACAACCATTATCGGCCATGCGGTGGCGAGACAGTATCTCTTGGATCTGGTCCTTGGTCAAGTCTTCCCCGAGCTCTTCGCAGTCTCGATTTACCGCCTCGTCTCCCCGCGCAAGGTGGTCATATAACAGTCTTGCAATCTCCGTGCACACCGTGGTAAGACTCGCTGACTCCTGTTTTTCGAGGTCTTCCTCGTTAAGCTCAATTGGTCGTGAGACCTGAGTCGCTTGTGATCGTGCCTCACGTGCCTTGCGTTGAGTTTGTTGGCGAGCCTTCTTCTGAACAGACAAGGGCCCGAGAAGAAATCCGGTCAGGCATGGACGAGCATTATACAAAAAACAAGCATTCCTACCCAAATACTCCCAGTTCATCGTATCGCCCTCATCGTCTTCGTTCTCTTCTTCGGCTTCGGCGTGCCGGCGTCGGCGTCTTTGGTTCTCACTGCTCGGATGTTCTTCTGGGATGTTATCAGCTGGCTCATCACCCCCTTTCATGAAGCCGATGCATTTGGTGATAAAGTCGTCCACATCGATGCCCGCTGAACCATCCCCTAGAGTAAGGCTGTTGATTTTCCGGTAGGACAAGTCGGCTGTCTCGACAAGCAAGCGAGAATCGATTGTGGCCTCTGAGGTCTGCTTGACACTTTTGTACAATTCATTTGCCTCTCTTAGAGTCTCTTCCAAGCCCTTTGAATCTGGTCTCAGGTATTCACTCTTGGAGTCATGCAACTTCCCCAGCAGATTCCGCAGTCCCTTACGCACGAACCGTCGCTCTTCCGGGTTCTGATCGGGGTCGTAGAATTTGTTGGTGCGTGCAGTGCTCGGATCGTCATCTCTTTCGCGACTTACTCGCCGTCGTTTGTTTGTGTTTGAGTTGGCGTTTGCGCGGTCCGACATGAAGTGTGTTTGACTTCTTCGTTTAGCCTTGTTGCCAGGCTGGCGTGACCGGCTTTCGTTTTCTTTGTCGGAGTCCGAATCATGTATGGAGGACGAGCGAGTAGACTCGCGAGCCAAGGGACTTGTTCTTCTGACACGTGCGGAATCTGAGGATGGCTGTCTGGTATTCAAACGTGCCATGGCGAATGCATCGCTAGAAGAGGGGCAGTATGGTTGCGCGTCAACACCCCAATGCGGCATACATTGGGCAAGTAGAGAGGGGAACAGTACACCGTAAGCGCCACCCAGGTTCCTTCGGTTCAAGATCGATCAAAGTAGGCTCGTTCAAGCTGCCCGCGGCGATCCGTAGTGAGTGCACAGGAGCAGAGACCAACGCGCCTACTGAGGCTGTGACGCGATTAATTGGGTTTGGCGCGCGTTTGCGACTCAAGGATTCAGGCTAAGACCGTTTAGGCAGCCATCAGATGTGCCTTTCCATACATTGCTTTATACATCCTTCATTCTTCCATTACTCGCCCGGTTTTACTGGCCCATCGACCAATGCTTCGTCCGTCTCAATGTGTTGCAATACCGCGTTCTTACGGTGTTTGACTCTGGTGCTGCGTCCGTGAGGCCATGGACACCTACACGTTTGCGACCTCACGGCAGATTGATTTTCCCGTGTGTCTGAGAATGTAAGTTCGCTGCTCAACGGAGATGCGAAGGCTGATTGGACATCAGAAACACTTTGGAAGGAAAACAGTCTACAATTCCTCAGACGGTACTATTGAAACATCCGGAGATTCGTCATGTTGGGTCAGTTCAGAATCCGTTATCAGAGCTCTTCGTCACTGTTCAACTATGGGCTGAGTCCAAGCCGCTTGGGGTGTCTGTTCAAACTCCTCATACGTTCTTTAAGAATACCAGGACCTGGAACAAATGGCTTGAACTCCCCGTCCCAGTTAGAGATTGTCCTGCATCCTCACAGGTAGCGATCACGGTGTGGGATCTCTCAGCTTGTCCTCTAGATGGCAGTGTGGATCACTCTGTTCCATTTGCGGGGACTACCATCCCGCTATTTGATGACGATGGCGCTCTCAGAAGGGGTCGCCAAAAATGTCGAATGTATCGGAAAAAGATCGCTGATGGGCATCTCCCTTCGACCACTCCGCATATTCCACGCCCAAAGCGGAGAAGAAGGAACGAAGCGCGGCCACAGTCCAGCCCTGAAGAAGAAGAGTTGGAAAGGCTTGAGCAGCTGTTCAAAAAGCACGAGATGAATGAAATCCCTCAAAACGATTGGCTCGACCAGCTTGTCTTCCAAAATGTTGGCAAGAAGGCCCGTGAAGTTGACGAAGCTGCAAGAAAGCGGGCAAGTATGCGTAAAGCTGCAAAACGAAGGTCTCGTAAAGACGACTCGTCCAAACTCGCGGCTGGAGGTCATACCGATCAACATGATTCAGACCTGAGCGATTCCGAATCCGGGACAGATGACGACGAGCACTTCACCTTGTATATTGATTTTCCCCGATGGGATTTCCCGGTGGTCTTTGAAGATCATGAATACAACCCCCCGAAGTTGATGAAGGAGTTTCAAACAAATATGTCGGCGTCTATGACCGGCACCAAACCTCCGCCGGAGGTACGCTATGGACCAGGAATTGCAGCCGGAAACTCAGTGGTCGATGATGAAGACCACCCGGTTGTTCAGATCTTTGATCCTGAACAATTTCAGCGAGAGAATCCCTGCGAATCAAAACATCGCCGTCTGGTCAGAAGTGATAGAAACGCATTGTACGACGTCGATCAAAAGCCAAATGCTAAACTTCGGGATGAAATCAACGAGATTTTGTCCTATGGGCCAACACAGGAGCTCACTCCACAAGAAAAAGATGTCATTTGGACCTTCCGTCGGCACCTGAGCCGTGACAAACGGGCTTTGACGAAGGTAGTCAAGGCCACAGACTGGAATAGTCCCAGCGAGGCCAGACAAATGGCCGAACTGATTCCAAAGTGGGCGAAAATTGATGTTGACTCTGCCCTGGAGCTTCTTGGCCCAACTTACGATAGCGCGGTCGTGCGCGCATATGCAGTCGACCGCTTACGACAAGCAGGAGATGCAGAATTACTGTTGTATTTGTTACAACTTGTTCAAGCCCTAAAGTTCGAGCAGTACGATTCGCAGGCCGAGACCTTGCCGTCCTCATCACTAGCAAAGTTTCTTATTGACCGTGCCGCCAATAACTTCAAATTAGGGAACTACCTGCATTGGTATTTGATGGTTGAATGTGATGATCAAGGTCCAGATACAAATGCTGCAAACAGGAAGCTGTTTGCAAGAGTCGAGTATCACTTCATGGTCGAGCTGGAAAAGCGAGCACCAGAGCAAAGAAAAACTTTACTGAGACAGGCTGAGATGATCGCCATCTTGTCGAGAATCAGTAAAGAAATCAGATTCACTCGGAACAATCGCATACAAAAAATCGAGATGCTTAAGAAGTATCTTGCTGACCCGAAGAATGAGCTCATCAAGATTGATCCGCCCATTCCCCTGCCACTGGACCCGGAAATCGAAGTCAGTGGTGTTTTCCCTGACGAAGCCAATGTGTTCAAATCGTCGTTGTCTCCACTGCTACTCAATTTCAAGATCGCTGGTTCAGTTGAAGCTGGCAACTTTTCGAGTCAAGCACGTTCCCAAAGTCAGGCAAAGTACCCGATGATGTTCAAAACTGGCGATGACCTCAGACAAGATCAGCTTGTGATTCAAATCATCGAGTTGATGAACAATTTGCTCCTCAAGGAGAACTTGGATCTCAAGCTTACGCCGTATCGCATTCTCGCGACCTCGCCAACTGCAGGAGCCGTACAATTCATCCCATCGACAGCAATTTCGGCCGTTTCGGCAAAATACAAAGGTTCGGTGCTCGCATACTTAAGAGCGAACAATCCCGACGCCACTGGACCTCTCGGCGTGCGAAAAGAAGCGATGGACACATACATCCGATCCTGTGCTGGCTATTGTGTGATCACCTACATCCTCGGGGTTGGAGACCGACATCTTGATAACCTCTTACTCCAACCGTCCGGCCACTTCTTTCACATCGATTTTGGATTCATTCTGGGACGTGATCCAAAGCCATTTGCTCCGCTGATCAAGCTATGCAAGGAAATGGTAGAGGGTCTTGGCGGAACGGCGTCTCCGCAATATGCTCAATTTAAGCAGTATTGCTTCACAGCCTATACGACCTTGAGGAAATCAAGTTCCCTTGTTCTGAACCTGTTCAGCCTTATGGTGCAGAGCTCCGTTCAGGACATCCGGCTCGTGGAGGAACAGACAGGCGGAATTGGTGGTGCTGTCGGGAAAGTAAGGGAGAGATTCCACCTGGATGTCAGCGAAGAAGAGGCTGTAAGACTATTGGATCAGGTGTTGGCCGACAGTGTCAATGCGGTGTTTGGAGTAGTGATTGACCGACTACACGAGTTTGTTCAAGGATGGCGGGCATAGACAAGATACCTTAAGACAGGCCGGAGACGCTATGAAACCCATAATTAGGATATATTTGTGGGATGACCATCTGGACGCGTTGAGGTGGTACGAGTATCATGTCTGATATTGCCACAAGGCTGCGGCACAGCCTTCCCCCGCAAATCGATGTGTCTCAAGTGTACTCTTGTTTCGAAACCTTTTCCTCGCGATCTACACAAACGCAGTACATCGACTTGTGTCATCGCCCATTCTCATTCTAATTCGTACAAAATCTTTTTGGCATCGAAAGACCTCGAAACGCATCTCCATTCGCGAACCGCCATTCCCGAACAAATTACAAGCATGTCCGCCGCGGCGCAACCGATCACCGACGAACAGTTTGCCGTCGCCATCCAGGACCTACCCTTTGAGAACCTCTACTCCAAAGCCGCCGAGATAGAAAACTCCATTTCACATCTCGTGCGCTCCAATGAGCACCTGCAGAAATACATTGACAGCATCAACTCCGACGAGTCGCTGCCGGACGCCACCAGACAGGAAGGGGACAAGGAGTGCTCAGAGGCGATCCAAGAGAACGTCGTCGTGATCGACCGACAGAGGGACCGGATCCGACTCCTGAAGCAGGAAGTGGAAAGAAGGGGAGGCCGGTGGCACGAGCTAAACAAAGAACCCAACACAAACGGGAGCTCGGGCACGACGTCGACGAACGGCGGACAACTGACAGCGAACTCGAGCGCAGGCGCTCCGAGACGGCTGACTGATGACGAGCTGAGCCAACGAATGCTCGAGCGGCTGGCGGAGGACGAGCGTGACGAAGACGACGGTGTACATTTATGATATCGACACGCCTTATCATCAGATCGCAGCTTAGGACCCATGGAGGTTGTACGTGAAGCCAGAGCCGCGAACATGATGAAACAACCGTCCTCGACGGCCATTCTGACACTCAATAATTCGGAGTCTAGAGCACGTTTAAGCTTTGCCGCAAGTTTCGAACAAAAAGGCGCCTCTAAAGGTTCCGCGCGATAACATCCCAAGGCTTGATTCACGGCATCAACCATTTGAGATACTTTGACTCTGGAACGCTGTCGCATGGACTATACGCTTGCTGACCAATTCAGCATTCACGTCGCTTGTTTTCCTGCACATTTTCGGCCTAGAAGCAGTCGGCCGAGAATGCCAGCTGACACTGTGTTCGCCGCTGCCTACTAGGAGTCAACGGAGAGCCACGACATGGTTGTGAGCTGATATAGATGAGCCTTGGAATTACTCCAATAAGGCTTGTGAACGAGGCCAAGTTTGTGGTTCGTCTCGAACATTGCCAATCCTCCGACCAGGGGCTGTTTGTGGCCGGGGTATCGTGTGACTCAAACGACCACATCCCTGCATGTTGGTGATCAAACCACGCCCGACCGTGCAGAATAAAGAAGGCGAACACGTATCCAGCCCTTCCGGCTTACCTTGTATTCACGAGAGGCGGGAAGTAAGCCAAATCTTCCCGGTCAAAAACGAAACTCGGTACCAAAAACAGCGAGGCACCGAGTCACGTGCAATGATACTGGCTCGGGCCCAATATTGAAGTCTGATTGTATCCACGAGCGCGTCATAGATGTTGAGTCTTACCGCTCACAGCCAAAGGATCTGCGACTCGGCTGCGACTGTTCGGTTTACTCATTGACTTTTTTTCATACGCGACTCTCAGACTTTCGATAAGGCTGCGCACTCCACTACTCTCCCGATCGTGGCTTTCTGGGACAGGCAGGCCTCGAAATCTCCCATGGAGGCGCTGACAAGAATTCTACCAGGCTGGTCATGACGACCTATATCATTTGGTAATGACGTGATGGTACCCCTGTCGATTGGTGATTCGGTTCCATAAACATCCGGTAGCTCGAGATGTATCGTATTAAGTAGATATCAATCTCACTTGTTGCAGCCTTTGTCTTAGTTGCTACGCCCAGCCTTTTGTGAAATTGGAACCCGTATGGCTGAGCTATTCAGAGACACCGTCGCAGGCCAGCTCTTGCGTGTGATCACCGGCAGGAGAATCCTCCAGTATCCCGAGGAACGAGATCCGTCGATATGGCAAAGGTATCTCAATCCCGAAAAGTCTTCCAACTTGGCCATGCACAGCAGCACAGAACCTCCTACATCGCAGGAGAAACAAGAACTCGAAACCCAACCCTCATCTACTAATAGGGCCCGACCTACACTTGGGGGTAACTCACCGTCTCACAGCTCCTCTTCGACCACTGTCGACGATGAGAATGTTGTCGTGAACACTCTCAGCAAGACGGCCGTCGACCCTGAAAAGGGCCGCGACGCACACATTGTCGACTGGTACGGCCCTGACGACCCAGACAACCCGCAGAACTGGAGTACGCTCAAGAAGACCTGGGTGACTTTCGAGATCTGTTTGCTCACCTTCTCTGTCTACATCGGCTCGGCGATATATACGGCCGGCATCCAGGATGTTTCTCGTGTCTTTGGCGTTTCTCGCGTCGCTGCCACTCTAGGACTGACACTCTTCGTGCTGGGATATGCGGTAGGACCAATGCTTTGGTCGCCCATGAGCGAAGTCCCTCAGATAGGCCGTGGGCCCATCTACATTGGGACCCTTGCACTGTTTGTCGTCCTCCAGGTACCTACCGCGCTTGCCACGAATTTCGGTATGCTCCTTGCTTTCCGATTCATCACCGGTTTTGTTGGGTCACCATCGCTGGCAACAGGCGGTGCCAGTATCGGAGACATGTACACACCGTCCAAGCGCACGTACGGAATGGCTGTCTGGGGCATTGGCGCTGTCTGTGGCCCGACCATGGGACCTCTGGTCGGTGGCTTCGCAGCGGAAAGCAAGGGTTGGACATGGACAATCTGGGAGCTCATGTGGCTTTCTGGCTTCACCTTGGTACTCTTGTTCTTCTTGTTGCCGGAAACGTCTTCTGCCAACATTCTCTATCGCCGGACGATGCGCCTGAGGAGACTCACTGGCAATGATAAACTAATCTGTGAACCACAACTCCTCGGGGAGCAGATGACAGGGAAGGAGATTGCAATGATGATCCTCGTACGCCCTTTCACCCTGTCGTTCACAGAGCCGATGGTTTTCTTGCTCAACCTGTACATTGCCCTCATTTACGGCTTGCTTTATATCTGGTTTGAAAGCTTTCCCATCGTGTTCTCAGGCATCTATGGTTTCAGTCTGGGTCTTGAAGGCACGGCATTTCTGGGCATCCTTGTTGGGGTCTTTATTGTACTTGGCCCATTCATCTGGTACCAGCGGAAATACATCGAGCCAAAGTTCAACGACAAGGGCGAGTTGCAACCTGAATGGCGACTGCCGCCTGCTTTCGTCGGCGGTTTCGCGATACCGATTTGCCTCTTTTGGTTCGGCTGGTCAGCACGTCCCGACATACACTGGATAATGCCTATCATCGGCTCTGGATTCTTCAGCGTCGGTGCCTTCCTGCTGTTCAACTCAGTTCTCAACTACCTGGCAGATGCATATCCGGCGTATGCAGCGAGTGTACTGGCGGGTAATGACTTCTTCAGATCTTCGTTCGGTGCTGGCTTTCCACTTTTTGCGACAGCGATGTACCAAAAGTTGGGAGTTGGCTGGGCCAGTTCGACGCTGGCGTTCATCGCCATTGCCTTTATTCCAATACCGTTTCTGCTGTTCAAGGTGAGTCCTCCAGGCATTCTTGTATGGATGTTGCTAATGTTCGGAGAAGTACGGTGAAAGGCTGAGAATGAAGTCCAAGTATGCGCAGAAGGATTATTAGCTCTCATGGTAGTATTTTTTGGTACCTAGTTATGTATTCAGTAGGCGATTGGGTTATTGTTATTCGATGGTTATTCGAGATTGTTAAGATACTCACAGGCACGGGCTTGAAATCGGGCTTCTCGGCACTTAGCTAGACTTGGTTCCAGACGTATCTCAATATTCCATCTTAAGAAACCAAGATCTGGAGTCAATGAGTCATTGGAGCTTATGCCTCGAATCGCGGGGTGGTGGACTTTCGGGAGTGTTGGCAAAGTCGCTGTTTTCTGCCAAACCTAGGAAGCCATTTAACGCCGGCCATGCGTGGCCGCTTTGCCGCCAAGCCACTTTCTTCTACAAGCGAGTGGCTGAAACAATCAGGGACAAAATGAACCTTTGCCTTGCCAACAAAGCTAACGCTAGGAGGTTTGGCAAGTACACGTCACTCTTGTGCATCGGTCTTATGTGTGATCCTATGAACCGGACCTGACCGACCGCTGGCGCTTGTTGGCAGTGCTTGAGCTCAGGCGATCGCCTGCTTGCTGACCGCTCACAGACTTCCTGAAACAAACCCAAGGTTACACAGAGCAAACATGTATCAGTGCTCCTCCAAATCTCGAAATTACCCTTAGACTTTGTAAGGCTGTTGCCAAAATTCAGCCTCAACAATGAGCTATGCTTTGCACTTCTTGCCAGAGTATATGGACTAGGTTCGAATGCGACGAACCTTGCCATGAAGAGTCGATCGAGCCTAGTCTCTTCGAGTATATAAAGTGGTCGGGTACTTGGACAGGCAAATGGAGAGGTCAACACCATACTAGCGATGGCAGCTTTCTGGCCGCTGTTGAGGCCCATTGTTATATGTGTACAACAATATTCAGAGATTGCAGTAATACATTGCGCAGACACGCTGTTTCATTCCGTACTTCCTACGAGCTTCAGCAAAGTCGGAACCTGACTCAGAAATACGGACGCGAGTATGACCTGGAATTTACGGTCGAGATCTTGCACGGACGGCCACCGATACCGCAGCATTATGTGTTTGAGTGCACGGGTACATTCAGGATCCTGCCACGCGAGGGTTTGTCTCATCCTAAGGGTCTTGATGAATGATTCTAATCGAGTGATAGCGATATGGCCTTACATGAACTCGCTACCTCTTACCCCGAATACCCGTAGTACTCCATGCAGGGAATTGGTTCGGGAATGGCTCCAGAACTGTTGTCAAAATCATGAGCGTTGCGCTCGACGTTGCGCCACAACGGAAAGCCGTAAGAAATCACTGGATAGTTACCCAACTCGTCTCTTGAATATATCTGCTACCCGCGGGGAGATATTCAGCTTGCAATACTCCGAGATGCTTCCGGAACTCCCTGAATACGTCGCGTTGAGCCACCGCTGGGGCAAAATTATGCCGCTCACCCTCAGGAAAAACGATGTGGAGACATTTAAGTCAGGCATGCCGTTGTCCAAACTGCCAAAACGCTTTCAGGATGCGGTGGAAATCGCTCGCTGGATGGATATCGACTATATCTGGATTGATTCTCTCTGTATTATTCAAGATTCGGACGCGGATTGGTCGTCTGAATCTAGCAAGATGGGAGATATATACGCCAACTCGTACTGCAATATTGCTGCCCCTGGTGATGATTCACAAAAAGGCTGCTTCGCAGACAGGCCGATAGAGATGCTGGAACCCTCTTCGGTCTCCGAACCAGGTTTCGGCGACGTTGAGAAGACGCATATCCTTGGTTATAGTGATTTCTGGTCCAATAGCCTTCTTGACATGCCTCTGCACAGACGAGTGTGGGTCGTTCAAGAACAAGTGCTCAGCCCTCGTACAGTTCATTTCGGACAGGACCAAATCTTTTGGGAATGCCGCGAGACGAAGGCCTGCGAAGCTTATCCTCATGGGATACCAGAAGCATTTTGTAACTGGAGGACACGGGACTGGGGTAAGCTGGATGAAGAGGTCATATCCAGCCGTACACACCCGGAAGACGCAAGAGTGCAACCACAACCACAGCTTCTGCAGAGACTTTACGCCTTTCTGACGAGCCCACTGCGTTTGTTGTGCAAAAGCACAGCCACCCCACAAACACCCATGACCTACGGACTCTGGGGTAAGACCTTTGGACGCTACAGGAAATTTAAGCTAACGTGTTAATAAGATAGACTTGTGGCCACCTGTGGTATAACCCGAAGAATCCTGCAAGCCACCAAAGAACGTCACTGTACAGGTTTATGGGATACATCTGGAACTGCTAGCGGCAGTCTTCAACGACACGTACGAGGGGAGGAGACCGAGCCAGCATGGCACTCTTGCGATATTTGCCAAAAGAAGTTCCGGCTAAAATCGTTTCTGCAGGACCATTATAGGAAGCGGCACCAAGGGACATCTCATGACTCTTTACAGACGGTTCCTCTACTCCACTCGAGGGATTCTTGTGTGGTCTGTGGAAAGGAGTGTCGCACACGAGATGAGCTGTACGTTCATATGAACAACAAACACAGACCGCCACTCCTATGACGAAGATGGGTTCTACTTGAAATGCAGTGATAGCCATGCTAAATCTCCGAACCGGAAATGAGCGCAAAGTGAAGTGTGAGATATCAACTATATGGCAGAATATTGGGATATGGTTGCTAAGTCAAACTCTGGAACTTGGGTCATGTATTCCTTGAATCTAGTTTGGTTTCGTTTGTATCACGTTATGTGATGGATCTATCTTACTCTCATCAATGTTCCATCATTCCAGAGTCTCCACTGCTTCTAGACTCCAGCGTCGGGCCGCTCCGACTCTTGTGGAATCGAAAGAAATGTGTCCACATTAGTCATGACGATGAGTGCCTCAGGACCGGAGTTGACCATCTCGTTGCCATGATACCGAGTGCAGAATCCATTCTTTCACCAGTCGCAGTCCTTTCCCCAATCATTCCAGGTTCCCTGACACCAGCAATGCCACGCGTTGGGAAGACCGGCCTTGCAAGTCTTGAGGATCGCGTCGGCGCTGCAGGAAGGCAGTTTCTTGTTGTTGCAGCCCATGACACCTTCAGGATGACTCTTGCTCGTATCGCTAAGCAGACATGTGATTTAGCTACATGTATGCGCACCAACAGCCAAAAGCAAGAGTCGTTGTAACACGTCTGACTTACCACCAGCAGCTTTTCTTGCAGAGGTCTCCCGTCAAACCAGGACAAGCTGGAGAAGAAATATGCAAACCGTCCTTGACTCCCTTGTTCGCTTCACAGGTGTTGTAGCACGAGTCGTTGGCATCGTGTTCACCAGGCTCACCGGCAAAGGCGAGAGAGAAGAGTGCGGCAACCACAACACCGGAGAATGCCGTGAGTTTCATATTGAATCCTTTCCTTGTCGTGTAGCGTTGGTTGTTGATATCTGCTGATACGCGTGAGATTACAGCGGTGCTTTTCCGGCGAGATTCAGTGATACTCACAATGTTCAGGTACTGATGTGGGAACACTTTGCGGGTAGATGGTATCGCGCAGGTTGTGGATATGCAAGACTTGGTCGCGAGAGAAGGTTTTATACTAAGAATCGCGACTCTGACTCTGCGTGACGCGCACATGCATCTATCAGTGAATTGAAACCGATGGCGATTACATGTGACTGTTCAATTTCACGGTTCCCTCGTCGCCGCCGGAAGCAGGAACAAGCTGCAGCACATAGAGACCGGTCGGTGAAGTGGTTAACAAACTGCTTCTCTTTGTCTCATTCCGGCTGCGACAACCAACATGCCGCAAGCAGCACATACAAGAGGCTGGCGCGTATAGCCACATCAGGTAGCTTTGAACCGTGAACGGATATCTTCATGGCTGCAAGGACCGAAGTGAGGTACACATGAGAAGCAACAGCACCGGTGCCCTCCAAATGTTGCCGCTCCGGACAACTGGCCATTGTACGATGGTGGACTCGCGTGTACCATGGATTGAGCACACATCGAGTCTGTCAGGGAGGTCGCCGATCTACCTCGAAAGGTGCACGCAAAGTAATGTGTAGGTTCGTTGCCGGAGCTTAACATCACATCCACTGCCGGCACCAAGTTAGAGAAAAGGAGAAAAGGAGAAAATAGTGTCTCTCAGCCTTGCGCTGCGGAGTTCTCTAATAGGTTAGGCCGGTGACATCACCGGCGATACGCCACGAGGCTACGAGGCTGCGACTCGCTAAGCTCATTCGGCACAGTCGGCACTCCATAATTACAATACAATGCTCGCTTCATCACTCGCAGCCTAAACTCGTCCTGGAACATCAACATCAACATCACCACACCAGAGCCTTGCATCGCATCATCGTCCCATCGCATTCTTTGCACTCCAGCAAGCCGCCCGCCCGCCAGTCATGACGTCTGCCGAATAGTGTCGACGGGTCTTGATTCCACCGCTCTCTCTGCAACTCTTGACGGCCCTTGTTGGCCATCTTCTCGAACAATGGATCCTCGTTGCGAAGAGCTCTCGAACGTCAGCTATGCCAACTTTGGTCTCAGCCTGTACGCACACATGCCCTTCTTGGTACCCGTGCACGCACTCGCACTCTGCTAACCCTGCAACCACAGGCTCATCCTAATAGGCATCCTCGTCTCCTACCTCCCTCAACACCTTCGTATCATCCGCCTCCGTAGCAGTTACGGCCTATCTCCCTACTTTGTGCTCCTCGGCACCACAAGTGGTACCTGCGCATTTGCAAACATCCTAGTTCTGCCGAAATCCCGGGTGGACGTCGAATGCTGTCGAGAGGTTGACTCTTTTCCCTGCGTAGCTGGGCTGCTGGGCATTGCGCAGGTCGGCGTTCAATGGAGTTGTTTCACTGTCATGTAAGTCTACCCTAGGTATGTTTTCTTGCAACAATCGTACTAACTTTTATAGCCTCCTGCTCTTCCTCATCTTCTTCCCTCGCACCAGTAACCCCCTCACCGACGACCAAGACGATCCTCCGAAAGACGATCTCGCTCCCTCTTACCGCACCGCGCTCACCGTGACAGCCCTCTCAGTCCTCCATGCCGTGGTCACCGCTATCCTGAGCTTCTGGTTCGTTTACGCGAGACCAGAACATGCACAAGGCTGGGCGAATTTTCTGGGCATTTTCTCCACCGTCCTTGCATCCATCCAATACTTCCCGCAGATATATACCACCTTCAAACTCAAGAGAGTGGGCAGCCTCAGCATACCAATGATGTGCATACAAACCCCAGGCAGCTTCGTGTGGGCTGCCAGTCTAGCAGCAAGATTGGGTAGTGAAGGCTGGAGCGCATGGGGTGTCTACATGGTTACAGGGTGTCTGCAGGGGACTCTGCTCGTCATGGGCAGTTACTTCGAGATGATGTATCGAAGCCGCGAGAAAAGGGAGTTGCAATCGAGAATAGCGGCCGCCAGTCGAGACACAGTCGCCACGGAACAGACCCCGCTGCTCAGATCTGACGATTGAAGAAAATACGCAACCATTGGTTCTTTTTGGTCAACATTGCGTGCGCGCCTATGGACGGTTGGATTATGTACCAGACAGAGCAGCTTCTCTCTTCACGTCAAATGAGGAACTGGTGTCTTTACCGGAGACGGTTCTTCCTTTGCGTGTCTCTTTCCGTCCGCAAGGGCAGTCATTTCTTCCAGCTCTTTATCCGTCGTCCCATCCAGGGCAGGCTGACCGTTTTCAGAGGTATATCGAGAATCGGATAAGCTGATGCCGTATTTGAGAAAGTCGAAGTCCTCCAAAGACTCCAACATCTCTGCCCACCCGTCGCCAATCTCTCCAACATGTCCAGGGCTCCCTGCCAGCGGTATGCCCTGGGTGTGATCCAGATCGTCTTCCTTGTGCTCGCCTGTTCGTCCCGCAAGCACCTCCTCTTCCCTACCAGAGTACACCTCGCGCAGACCTGGATGTGGACACCAGACCACGCGCATCCCCGCCCGTCTCCCTGCCTCTGCGCCCGGCACGCTGTCTTCAAACACGAGACACTCGCGCGGCTCGATAGGTCTCTCGCCCTGCCCTTCCGTCATGATCGTCTCGTTGATGGCCTGGAGCGCGAGCAAGTAGATGTCCGGCAGAGGCTTGCCGCGGCCCTTGGGTATGCGGTGATCGTCGCCCAAAATCTTGTGTCGCTCCGGGAACACGTCGAAAAGGTCCCTCAGCTTCTTCGTCTTGATCTCGTAGTTTCTCGAGTGTGAACTCGTCGCCAGCGCCAGCTGGATCTTGTTACCTCCAGCCGCGGGGCTCGCGGCGCCATGCGACGTCGTGTGCGCATTCTGCAACCGCCGCAACAGGTTCTCCACGCCCGGGAGCGGTTTGCAGTTCTTGAACGCCTCGGCCTGTAGTTCTACCTGTCTCTTCATGAACTCGTCGCGCGTGATTGGTAGCTGCGCCCATTCGTGAAAGATCTTCCCCGCGGCCGGGCCAGGGCGGCCTTGCAGTTGCGCCTTGATGTGCCAGGGAATATCGGGTCGGCCGTTTTCGCGGAGGATCGTGTTGGTCACGAGCGTGTAGGCGTCCTCGGAGTCGATCAGGAGCCCGTCCATGTCAAAGATACATGCTCGGACAGGGGGGAGCCTAGATGGTACAATGTTAGCCTTTGACACCTTGTTCGGCTATTCAAGGTGAGAGGGGCTGCCAGGACGAACTCGTTAGAGGGAGCCATGACTGCGGCAAGATGGCTTGGGAGGATGACAATTCGAGGTCGTGGAAGAGTTGTGAAACGCGCAGTAGAATTCAAGTGAGTCCGCACTACTGGAACCTCAACTTTGGGTGGTGCGAAGAAAGGGAGAAATTATGTAAATTACCACCTTGTCAATCGTCCCTCGCAAGTTGTAGATTCGCTCCTTTCTGACTAAAAACAAGATTTCTCGTTTATCTCGTACCCAGCTGCATCCTCGGAGATCGCCAGCGTTATAATTTCCAAACGTCCTGCTGCGCAAGGTACGTACCTACTCACACATACTCGTACGATTTGTCCCCTCCCACCGTCTCGCTATTCTCAACATGTCCTTCAAGTCGACGGGACCCAAAACACGACCAGATCCTGTCAAGCCACCTCGAGGAGCAGACCCCGTAGCCACAGACCCCCATCCTCCGTCATGGACACAGTCCCGACGGTCCTCGTCGTCGGCGTCCTCGATCGCCTCGTTCCACTCCGCCCGGTTCCCTGCAGATGAAGAGTCGCGCATGCTCGCGTCGTCCCACGAGCTCAAGTCCCAAGCAAACACACAGTTCTCGAAACAAGACTACTCCTCCGCAATCAGCACCTACGACCGCGCGCTGGCCGAGTTACCCAGCTACCTGGACTACGAAATGGCGGTGCTTCAGTCCAACATCGCTGCATGCCATCTGAAGCTGGAGCAGTGGAAAGAGGCCGTCGAGAGTTGCGACAAGGGTCTCGACGGCCTGGAACGAGAACTGCCCACCAAGTCTAGTAAACCCAAGTCAAAGTCCAAATCAACCCGACCCGAAACGAAGAACGAGAACAAGAAGGAGTCAAAGGACACCGACACCGACGGGCGACGGGGGACTTCGAAATCGAACAACGGAACAAAACGATCAGGCAGACTGAATTCAGACACCGAGTCATCGGGCTCAGACTCCGAGGCCGAGTCCTCCTCGCCTGGCCTTGATCCACGGGACGAGGATGCGGCCGTGGTCGAGATACCTTCCGACGCCGACGAATCTTCGGCCCTCGCAGCCCTCTCGCTCAGCGACGAGCGCAAAGCCGACATCCACCGCATCCGGACGAAATTGCTTCTCCGCCGCGGTCGGGCACGGGTAAGCATGGAACCGGAGACGTGGACCAACCTCTCGGCGGCTTTGGAAGACTACAAGACGCTCCAGTCGCCGCGGTACTTGAGCACGCTACCTCCACCGGACCAGAGGACGGTGCACCAGGCTCTTGTTACGCTCCCTCCCAAAGTCAGTCGAGCCAAGGAGAAGGAGGTCGCCGACATGATGGGTAAACTGAAAGACCTCGGCAACGGTATCCTCAAGCCGTTTGGTCTGAGCACGGACAATTTCAAAGTCACTCAGGGCGAAGGGGGGGGATACAGTCTCAGTTTCGATGGTGGTGGTGGTGGTGGTGGCAAGAAGGGCTGATTGACTTGACCTGAAGCAATTGCTTCAAAGGAAGGGGGGGGGGGGGGAATGGTAAGGGATACCTAGGTACCTACCTCCTACATGCCGCCTATTTATGTATTGCCCTGCTGATCTTCCCACCGTCGCATGGAAAAACCGTCGACTAATTACCCGGCCTTTCGACGTATCGATGCAATACTCGGCGTTCAGCCATCCGCGTCGCATAATGGTCATCCCTCCCAAAAATCTTCGGCATATGCGTACTTGCACGTATCTATACCCCTGGCCGACGAGTACGGAGTGAATCCAGGCACATGTAGGTAATCTGTACCGAGGGTGACGGGACAAACAATTCAGTGACGACCACTCACCTTGGGGTATGATAATGATGATGATTCCACAGTGGCTGACGATGATAATGAACTCGAGCGGCATGGCTTCTAACTAGTAGTACCTACCTAGGTAGTGTTTTCCCCTTAGGTATTCATTGATTTCATTCACCTTCCGCATCGTCATGTTTCATGATTCCGGCACACGCCATCTCTTTACAGGCGGGCTTCGGTAAATGTGACGGCACCTTACCTACATTGCCTTCTGAAAGGGCGTCGTGTCAACGCCATCGCACCGTCCTTTGTTTCTTCGTTCTTCTTGGTGGGTGCCGGGGGGGGATCTTGAGAGGGGGAAGGGAGGAGAACGAGAGCCTGAGTCAACGGACAAAGGTCCTGTGTCGCCAAGGCAGAGGAACGCGAGAAGCACTTATCACCACACCACATTCAGTAAATTACCCCCCAGGTAGCTTTGTTTTGATACCCAGAGTTGATTTGATTTCGGGGTTTCTGTCTGGTTGTAAAGACTGACGCAGCTCAGCTAGTGTGGCTACCAGGTAAAACCATACTTGAATAACCTGACCTATCTCCCTCGCGTTCATTCCATTCCAATTCCAATCAGCAAGGCCAGGCCAAACCATTTCGATTCGCTCTTCTCTGGTCCGCTCCTATCCTATTCCGTCAAGAAAGAGGAAAAACACAAGGAGACATCATCATCATCATCTTCTTAATCCTGGAATGTCTCTCTCAACTGGAGGCCTTGCACTACCACTTTGACTTTCTGTCCAATTCTCTCACAGCCAATCAATTTCTTTCCATCCAATATCACTTGTCCCTGGTGCAAAAAGAGGGGGAAAAAAAGAAAAGGTGCAGTTGACCTCTTGACGTATTCAAGAATACCCGTTCAGTTGTATCTCCTGATTCCTGACTGCACATCATGGTCGTGTGTGTGCGTGACGGTGACGGTGAAGGAAAAAGAGGGGGAAAGCACTCAATCATACATGATAATTTCCACGTTGAGAAGGGGTTTAGTAAAGGTTGATTGGTATTTTCGTTTCGCACAAGTCTTGTTCAATGGAGCTCTGTCTGTTGCTGCATGCGAGGGTACGGGTACGGGTGCTCGTCTTTCGTAAGACTGTGATCTTGGTGAGGACTGGTAGTATTGTTGTTGGAGGGGAGAGCAAGACAGACGTTCTTCCGTCAACGACTTCATACTCGAGGATCGCTGATTGCTCAGGTGTAATCTGCTTCAGCTTCTTCTTCATTGCCGTCGTTGTCGACATCATCATCGTCATCATCGTCATCATCGTCATCATCATTCACAAATGCCTCATTCACAAAGCTGTCGTGCTCCTGAGAAAAATCTCGGGCGAATACACTTGACATTTCGGCCAAAGGCAGGGTCGGCGAGGAGGTGTACGGAGCCATTGGCGGGCCCATGGCCATGTGCGTCGTCGAGCTAGGTGGCATCATTCCCCAGTCATTGTGCTTCTGCATTCCTGCATTCGCATTCTGGTAGCCAAACAATTCTTGGGCGCCCATCAGGTTCGGAACATGATTGCGGAAACGGTCAGTCGATGCATTGCTGGCACCAACTCCAACACCCCAAAACTGTTGCTGATCGCCATGGTCCGAGGCAGTGTCCCCAGACGAGTAGGTCGATCGAGAACCAGGTGCCGACAACATTGGAAACATGTCAGCAGCCGCAGGAGCCGGGGCCACTGTCGACATATTATGGTAACCCAAATCTGGAAACATTTGTGCAGGTTGTCTGGCTTGGAAATTTGGCTGCATGACGCTGGTACTGGCATTCGCGTAAGCACCAACGTTTGGTCGGCCAAAGAGGTTTGAGGAAATGGCGTTGGCATATTGTTCCGCAGCCATTCCTGGAGGTACTTGGCGTTCGCTCAGCGCTGGGCTGGAGGTAGTTGCAAAGGAGTTGATTGCGGCCATGTTCTGATGATTGCCCAATTGCGGATTTCTGGTGCTGCTGGGAGCAATAGGAACCAATGTCCGACGACTGGGTCTAGCCGAAGCTTCAGCAGGGCTTGCCTGCGCTTTCCTAGCATCGGCGGGTCTCTCGATCACAAAGTCGGTCTTTCGGCGCTTGTTAGACTTCATGTCCTCTTCAATAGCAGCCTTGCCTCTCTTCATAAGAGCTCCCTTCTGCTGATTGAGTCTCTTGTTGGACACGACTCTCTTGTAGCTGGTGACAGGATCATCAACGATCCTCAGCATGTATGGAGTGTCAAAGAGGTGCTTACAGACCGACTTGGATCTGGCCATGGTATTCACGATCTTGTCAAAGCGCTCTCGGAAATTCCAGGTGTGTCGTCTGCCGTGAGACTTGCCTCGCTCTCCTAGGTACCCTTCGATAAGATTTTGCTCCTTCATGGACCGGCGTATGCAAGCGTCAAGGACCCTCCAGCACAGTGCTTCCACCATGTAATTGTCATGATTCTGGCTCTTGAAGGCGTCGGTAACATCGCGCTTTTGTTTCTGTTCAACCTGTTCGTCGGCATCCGAGTCCTCGTTGTTTCGCTCTGTAGGGACGCACTTGAACGCCATGAAGAGAACTCTGACATGTGCCTTTCTCAAATCGAAGGTCGATGGGATAGTGTTGTCGGCTGGACCTGACTTTGCCTGAAGGATCACGTCATGATACTTGTCCGCGGTCAAGGCATCTGGGAACAGTGTCTGGGTGTCAACGGGGACAATGCCAGATGACAGATCTTGCGAGGTTGGCAATGTGTCAGGATCTAGACTGGTGAAAGGTGTAAGACCTCTCTGGTCAACTGGGATGGCTTGAGCGTGTTCGTGGATTTGGCGAGCAAGCTGCTCAGCCAGTCGATGAGGATTTGCTGCCATGCTGTCTTTCTCTGCCAGTGAGTATGCTCTTTGATGGGTGGGGAGGATCTGCTGGTGATTGACTGCTTGTGAACTTGTTGAACGTGCAAAGCCAAAAAGGTTTAAATTCATTTCAGTGACAGACAAAGGCGGAGGGGTGGTAGGCAGTTAGTATCGCCTCGACAGTGAATTCAAGTCACCTTAGTCTGGCACAATAAACGCGGCTGTATCCAAGGCAGTGAATAGTTACCTGTGAAGCAAGCTGCCGCCAGAAAGCACCTCACTGGCCAGCGCTGGTATGAGCAAGGCACCGGCAGTAACAGGCGGGCTTCAGACTTGTCTTTTTCGTTGTGTTGTCCATATCACCACTTTCGCACGCACACATGCCTGGGTAGTTCTATAAGCCGATATAGAGCCGAAGCTCCCCATAGTCATTGATACTGACTCTCAATGCTGTTTGCCATCGAGCCATGTTGACTGAGCCTTTGTGAGATCGAGTCCGATGAGTACGTCCTACTGTTTCATTCATGGCTTGTTCAAGTCACGCTCCGCTTTGTTGTATTCTTGCAACAACTGAAGGCGGCCTCAACGGTATCAATGCGTTCTTTGTTCCTTTCGACTGACGCTTTGTCAGCCCACCACAAACACAAAGAAGATCCATATACCTACTCTCAGCCTAAGAGATTCGAGTCGTTATGATCGAGTTCCCACAAAGTCTCAAATCGGAAGGAGCCAAAGGCCGCTGATCATCCTGTTCAGGTGCTTAACAACCTTCGAGCCCCCTACCCGGAGTCTTGGAGGCTTGGAACCTTGAAGGTGCCTAGTATGGCTGGAAGCAAGGCCTGATTTGATCAGGAAATGCATGCCCAAGGAAAGAAACATTGATTTCAAAGCGAAAAGCCGAAGTAATGGGTATCCGAATACCGAAACATCACATTATGAACGAGGCTCCAAGAATAGCTGAAGTTTCGACTAAATGACGGCGCAGCAGAAACATATACGATCCATAAACAGGGATGGGGTCGGAATGAGGGCTCCAGTAGCGAAAGCAGCATCGGCACGGTAAAGAAATAGCTGGCAACCGCTCCCTAGGAACTGCTGAGACCAACGATTGCGATCCAGATTGATTCCAAAAGGCCAGGGGCCGAAGTCCGCATACGAGGTCCATCGCACGCGGCGGAATAACCGAAGGCTGCAGTAAGTTCGAGACCCTATAAGTCTGACAGGAAGATCAGTGCGGCGTTTGTTCGTGTCGTCCTTAAGTGGTCGACAAATGAAGGATCCGAAAGAGGGCCATTGAGTACTTGTCTTTCCAGGGGTGATGACATCTGTGGCGGATGTCAGAGACCTACCAGAATATTCATGATCTGAGCAAAAGGTGCCCCTTCTCTGATATTACAGGAATCAAGTCCTGCAACAACAGGATTGCTCGAGGGTTTTGATGGTTGACGAAGGGAGGAGACTTTGAACGACGTCTGGATAAAGCCCCCAACATCTGCAGGCGCCCAGACGCTAATGGAAATCTTATCCGACGGTGGCAGCCACCCCCCTTATGCAAGGCCGAGCGATGTAAGGATGCGTGGACTTTTGCGCAATTTACTGCAACAAGCAAATGGATGGGAGCGGTCAAAGTTGAAAGATCAAAATGGTACTACACAGTCATCCGGCAAAGAAGTGAACAAGATAATTACACGGTATTCGCGGAGCAGTCACCAACATTGAATTTGGCACAGGCAGTGATAGAGCAATCGTTGCGGCCACGAGTGTGCGGAAATCGCTTAGAGTGACCATATCTGTATTGTATTATCCATCAGTTCGTCTGCAAGCTCCTCTTGACCAAGGTTTGCACCAAAATGACGCTGGCCAGAAGCTGTTGCCAGAACGGCACCTCCGTTGTGTACCGCGGTTCCTGAAACAGCATCTACACATCAAGTCAGCAACCAACAAATGATAGGGATCAGGGCATATTTAACCATTGTGTGCCTTGAAGGAGAAAGCCGGAGAGACTGGTCCTTCTTGATGGTGGGGTTCTTTCCATACTCTCACATCTCCATCCACTCCTCCGCCCCAAACTTCAAGCAAATTTTCGTCGTTTATACGAGTCAATGCAATTGAGACTCGCTGGTTCGTGTGAGCATTCCGACCAACAAGCCATGACAGTAACTGTCCGGTCTTGCGAATGTCGTAGATAACAACTCCATCGCTTTTCCTCTCGGCAATGTACAAATATCTTCCATCTTGACTCCAAGCTACTTGTGTGATACCACTTCCACTGATCTGGTCATCAGCTGCTGTACCACGGGTTGAGAATACCCCAACGCATTCACCTTGGCCCATTCCAGCATACAGGCCAATTTGACGTCCAAATGTCCCAGCAGCTAACAAGCCGGATGCTGGGTCCACTGCTAGAGCGGATACTATCCCTCGCATGCTCGTAGTGGGGTTGCATTCGCTGGTCCTACGTTTAGGGCCAGTTTGTATAGACGAGATTGGTTCCTGGCCAGGGCGAGACAGATCATAGACCGAAAGTAATGAGTCCGAGCCAGCAATGAAGCGATCACCCTGAGGAGTAAAATGTAGCGAATGTGGGCAAATGTATACTTCCGTCATAGGATTGATTAGAGGATACGAGGCACCCAAATGTCCTGAGAAGGCGGAATTCAGACGAACGGGATGATCTCGCATAGATGATAGGACCAAAGCCGTTGAAGGATTCGAGAGGTCGAAGAATGGATATGCAGCAATGGCGTTAACCGCTTCCTTGGCCGGGATGATGCAGTACGGAGACAAATGGTGCGGCTGTTGGTCCTCATCCAGAAGATCAGGAGGCCTGGTATTTGTTAGCCATAGTCCAATAAAGCAGGGTGTAGCCGTTTACACGACGAAGGTCTGGATAGAGTTGTCTGCCAAACTGGCGATCAGACTCGTGCCATCCGCGGTCCTGGAGTATTCGGTCAGAGAGAATCAAAAATGATGTCGTCGTCGCTCTCACCATTGAAGACTCCTCCAAAATCTTTCCGTGGGGCTTTCCTGGACTTTGTCGTCGCACACACTCTTCTCACTTACTTGTGCTGCTGTACTAGCAACACACTTTGGTTGAAACATCCTCACCTCCCAAGGTTGTGAGCTGGCCGCACTCTACATTGTGACCCGAAAGCTTTGTCTGAGCAATAATGAGCTCCAACTCCGACAAGCCTTTGAGCGTCTCTCCAAAGAGAATGTCACCAGCCCGGGTTGTGAGCTTTTTAGAGAAGCATTCTGGAAAAGAAGAAAGGGAACAAGAGATGGAGACCAAGCAAATGACTGTATGCTCGAACGTAGACATTCCGGCAAGACCACCAACTCCTCATCCATTCCTTACGGTGAACCAAACGGACAATAGCGAAGCCAAATTTACCGAAACTGGAACGCGTTCTCGTGTTGGACGTCTGAAATCACCACCACCACCATTTCCTCCAGGTCCTGTCACACGTTCTCAAGTTTCGCTTGAGCCTTCAGACAAGGGAAAGACCAGGAAGTTTGTCGATCCGGCAGCGCGTCCGAAGCTAATTCCTCGAACCCGGAAACGGCCACAACCTCCACCGGCGCATCCAAGTCGTGTTGACTCTCCTGAAGTTTCACCTCACGCTGCCTTTGACAACTTCCAGCAAGTGCCAACTCCGGAATTGAATGGACCAGGAAACATGGCGTTCAGCTTCGGGACTTCTACGTCCAAACCAACAGTCAATCTCGGCATGAGCACGAACCCCCCAGCCAACCCTGGAACCTCCCTCTTGTAAGTAACTCGAAATCAATCCTAGCACACCAATCGCTGTCTCTCTCTCCACAGCAGAGATGCTAATTCTATGCAGTGGACAGCCCGCTTCGCAGCCTGCGGCGGCGACCACCTCTGCCACTCCAAATGCAGGCGGATCCTCCCAACCTCAAATTGACCTTGCTCACATGCGCTCCACCACCAAGTTCGAACATCTCACCCCCGACATTCAGCGTGAGATTGAGTTGATGGACTCCATGATCTACAATCAGATCAGCTTGGCCCAACAAGTTTCGGAGCTTATTCCCCTCGTCATGGGTGCGGGTGAGACCATTCCCAACGGTGTTGATTTTGTCACCCAGAAACTCGAAGAACTCGAGACCGGTCTAGGCAATGACGCCGAAGCCATTGTGGAGGCCAAAGATGGAGGCATCAAAAAGAATGAGCTCGAAGCCAAGGCAGTCTTCCGCGCAGTCGACAGACTCAAGATGCCTCGTCAGTATCAAGCAAGCCACACCTCCAATGAAGGTTTCGGTCAATCCAGCGCAGGTGGCATGTACAGCGGTGCGGGTCTGAGTGGTTGGTGGAACAATCCTCAAACCCTTCGAGGCAGTGTCCGTGGCGCCAATGCCGCAGGCCACACCATGCAGCTCCCCGGCGACGACACGGAGGAAGTCCAGGGACCCAAGAGCCTCATTGACATCTTCAACGCTCGCTGCAACGGCATGGAACAGCGGATCGAGGAACAAACACAACTTCTTGAGCAAATCGAGCAGTACACCCGAGGCCTCCAGGGCAAGGTCACCAGCAAGGAACGTGAAGTGAATGAACGTCTGGCCTACGGCGACCGCGACGGAGGCGCGATGAGCGAAAAAGTGCACAATATGCAAATGCTACGCTACGTCTTTGGAGAAGTTCAACGCAGCATGTATGATGTTGCAGAAAAGGTCGCTGCGGCTCGTGATGAGCTGGCACGACTGGACCGTGAAGGCAACTAATTTCTGGTTGCTGCTTCATCTTGCTGAGTTGGCGGATTGTCAATCGAGACGTCGTTTGTCATGCTGATGAAGCACGAACACCCACAGGGGGGAGAGAGAGGCCTTTTTATTGAACTTGTACCATCACAGCCGCAAAGGCGATACTGAAATCCTCCTCCAAGTTGGTGATTGGGGAGTTGAGAATTGTACGAGTAATGAGAACCACGACAAAAGATAGATACCAACCATCCCAGTCCACAAAAGTTAATAATTGAGACCGGAGAAAGATCAATCAATCAAGACATTTCTATTTTCAAGTCAAGGAACTCTGTTCAAGTGCTACATTTGTTGGGGGGGGCATTTGTGCAGGTATGCATATGTGTACATCAAGGTGTGTGTGTGTGTCCTTCAGTTCCTTCAGTTCCTTTCAGTTCTTCTTCCCTGCAACATCGCCGGTCCCGCCCTTTCCCGTACCACCTGGGGCCGCGTTCTTCTTCGCCAGAATCGCGGCTTCTTCCTCCTCGATCTCCTTGTCGATCTTGGCGCCCTTGGAGGGTTCGTTCCCGTGCAACTTGGCCGGCAGCGTCGGGTCGATCTGGGACGCCTTCTCCTCGGCGTTCAGCTGGTGTCTTGAACCACCGTCGTTCTGGGGCCCCGCGGCCGCGAGACGGTTGGCGATTGACCTCTGATCCTCTGTTCCGACGCAAAAGAGACACACATACAACGTCAGTCTTGTTACTCGGGGACTCGGTCATCAGGTACCGGGACCGGGTGGGATTTGTTGTTCATGGATGGATGAGGAGTGGGGGGCAAAAACTAAGAAACATACTTGAGTCGTTCAAGCGGTGACTATTCTTCTCACCCTCCTCGTACGGGTGTGATTGCTTCTCCGGCTTTTGGGAGTCAGGAGGCACGCGCTGGTCTCCGTCCTCGTAGATGTTGCGGGTTCCGACACTCGATTGTCCTGACATTTTTTGATGAGATGTTCGAGCCGAAACCAAAGGGATATTACGATCAGGCAGGCAGGTAGGTAGGTAGGTAGTCGTGAGGTATTCAGCGAGCACGGGACGTCGCCTCTCGGATTGTGTGAACACCGGGGAAGATCAGGGGGGGTGTAGGTTGTAGGTAGGTAGGTTGTAAAAAAACAGGACACAGAGTTCTCGTCCCACGATTTATACGCTGCGTAGAAAGTCGCACGAGTAGAAAGAAATAGAGGAAATCTTTCCATCTCCCCCGGGAGGTAGAGTACGGTCGTAGGTATTTGTGTGATGGATCAACCGGACCATGACATCACAAACTCGCTGGGAAAAAAACTAACACTCCGTCAGTGTTGACGACGATGAAGTCATGAGTGGCCCACATCAGTATACAACAAGGACCCAGCACGTCGTACTCGCACAGTACTCGTGAGTACAATAGCCATGTTCTTACGAGATACAATCAATACTACCTACCCAAGGCTCGTCGTACCTTGCATCATCTCGATCAGTGGAGTCAGTTCGTCCCAAGGTGGAGAGCCTTGTCAAGCCATAAGGCCAAACCACTCGTACGAGTATCTCTGGTAGACAGACAACGCGAGTTAAACCACAGGAGAGTCACATCTTCAGGACAGACCGCCACATGGGTCATTTGTACGAGTACTAGTACCGGCTTTCTCAAGTCAAGAGAATAAAATCTCCATTGATTCTATCCTGGCTAAGCCCTGACAGTGGCAGTCTACTGTAGCAGAGTAGCAAAAAGCTCGAGATTCTTCATCACAGTCGTCAATTCATACATGCAATAGCACTCCGTACGAGCACTTTATCTGACCTCTTTCATCTCAAACTCTCGCTTTTCTCCAATTCCTTCTTCACCAGCCGCACGCAATCGTCCATGACATCGCCTCCCACCCGCCAGGTCCGTAGAAAAACCCCTCGTTGATGCATAATCTCTTCAGCTCTAGCCCATCTCCGCTTCCAAATCTCAAGCTTCTTATCATAAGTACCACCTGGCATTCCTCCATCACCTCCGGCAGCAGGATCACCACCGGTTGCGCCGGTGGCCCATCGAGCTGCAGCAGCAGGATAACTGGATAAGCCTCTTCGAGGAGGCAACGGGGGATTTTGTCGGTGGTCACCACTGATTCCCGTCTGGTCTGCTGCCCAAGAAGGGGACGTTGAGCGAAGAGGTGGGAGAGCATTATACGCAGATGAAATTTGTCTGCGAGCGGATGCTAGGTATCCTTCGTCATAAGTTGACGACTGGCTGGACACCGTGCTCGCAGAGGTATTTGTACGAGTCATAGGTGGCGTGGGAGCTGGCCCCTTGGCCGAAACTGTAACATTAGTCGCACTTTGGTTTTGACGAGTAGATGAGAACGGTGCTCGTTGCAGAGGTGCAAGACTTGAGCTTTCCGATCTAGTACTTCCTCCTCCCCGTCGAGGCTTGGGTGGCGGTGGTGGCTTTTTCTTGCCTGGCTCGTGAACCTCAGTATCCGAAGCCGATAATCTGTCATGATTTGTGGATTGCATTGACGCGGTCGAAAAGTTGCGCAGGCTGGATGGTTTGTTGGGTTTAGCTGGGGCAGCGGGCTTATCGTTCAATAGCTTTAGATCGTCCGAATGTGACCGTGTGGTTTTGCTACTCTCAGACTCGGGTTCATCACCGAAGTCGATGAGGTCCTCTTCCCGTGGTGGCATGGAATGAGATTTATGTTCCGGCTTAGGCCTTGTTGGTAAGGCAGGTCTGTCTTCGCTGGCTGGATGCTGCTGGTTTGACCGAGGTAGACGGCTACCATTTTCAGATGAAATCATAGAGTCTGGGGTGGTATTGGAAACGGCTTGATCGAAAAAGCCTCTCTTGGGAGGCGTAGTCACATCGCGAATGAAGACGCCCAAAATTCGCCTTGGATATTCCAGGACCACATCGGTGTAAACCTCCAGATCGGCTTCCCCGCTATCACCCACCAGGATGAACTTCCGATCGGGAAAATCATTCATAAGCCGATTGATTGTGCCCCTCTTTCTCTCTGCAGCCGGTTCGAATATGCCCTGCAGCATTCCAGAATACTGCTTCAGATGGATTGAGCCAGCTGGAAGGCCCGCCAAGGCAAAGTAGCTTCGCAGCAGAGGATACAACTGCCAGGGAGAATTTGACACATAGTGAAGGTTGACCCCCATGCTCGCCAGTTTAGCATACCATTCCTTGACTCCTTTGATGGTCAGGTCGCCCAGTTCGCGGATGAACGTATTCTTGAAGATCTCTCTTGCACCACTAGCAATAGCTGAATGCTTGATCGTGTCATCTATGTCGCTGATGAGACTGATACCTTTACTTTCCGTGACAACCACATCTTCAGTAGCAGACAATTTGTCCGAAGCAAGGACCCTGACCTGAGCAGGGATGAAATCCAGAGCTGCACGCAGGTTAAAATGTCCAGATTCATCTGTCGTCACAGACTTTGACGTCGACTTCTGGTCGTTGAAGAAAAACACCGTAATGGGAGTGTGCGCGACGGGCGTGGTCATAAACGGTTTGAGTCTCGTGAGCAGCAATTTGTTCGCAGCCGCCAGTTCTTCGCGGTTCATATTTGCAGGTTCGTTCCAGGATTCGCGCCTTTTCAGTGAATCTTGCCCGGGATCGTGATATGTAGAATCATTGGTTGAGGGGCGGTTATGTTGGGTCAAAGATCCATTTCCGCCGCCTCGACCGTGGCTCCCGTTTCCGCTTTCTTGGCTGTAACTGCCCCGTTGCGCCGCATCAGCCTCGAGCTCGCCATGGCGAGCAATATTCTCGGCCTCTCTGGCAGCAATTTCATCTTCGTATCGAGAAGGACTGTCCTCACGCCATCCTTGACCGGGGGGCGCTTGACTTGAAGAGCGAGAAGGTGTTTGGTCGGGTAGTGGAGCATAAACGCCACTCAAGCGTCGAGCCACAGCCAAGAGGAGACGATTCTTTCTATTCAACGGACCGGATGGTGGAGAGTAGATCCATCCCCGGACGTCGACGTCGACGACAGCATTTGCATCCTCGTACTTTTCCCATTCCCTCTTCCAATAATCTGCATCTCCACTGCTCTGTGGCGATTCTATTGACTCGTTTGTTCCAGGTAGGTATCTGCCTCCCTCTGTCGAGTTCGTATTTCTTTTCCGGTGCGTCGTGGCGTAACTTGGGAACAAGAGCATCTCCTCACTGCCGCTTCTAACGATGTCCACATCTGGGAAATCGCCGGGCATGCTCCCATCAGTCTCACTCCCTTGTAGTTTTTGTGATATCTGGTCTTGGTATATCTGTCTCAACTCGTTTGCCGCCTTCAGGTACCCTCGCACCTTATCCCGCCTCGAGCCTGGCACCCTCGCGCCAGACTGGCCATAGCTGGTCATCTGATCGGCTGATCTCGCGCTTGACGAATATCTGGTACGAGCATTGTGTTTACCATACAATGCGCGTAAGATGCGGCTCTTCCTCCGCTGAATGAAGGGTACGAGGCCTCGACCTGCTGCTCTTTTCTCTTGTTTCTTTCGCTGGCTGCGGACAATTGCTTGGTATATACGCGACTGTGCTCGTACCTTGAGCCGGGGGATGTATTCGTGCCGGAAGCCCAAAAGCCTCTCACGCGCACGTCGATGTGTGTTTGGAAAGAGGTACCGCAGCAGGGAAAAGGTGTTCCGGGACCGAGTTACACCTCGGATCGGCGGAGCCAGGGTGATGGAGACACGGTCGGATGGTGTAGATATGAGACATACAGCAAGCTACAGGAGTAGCCGAGAGGGGAATGGAAGGGCAGGGGGAACGAGAGGGAGATATTCACTGCATCGTAGGCATTGTAGAGCAGTGTCACAGCGGAAGTCGAGGAGCCGGGCAAACCTTCCTTATCGAGACCCTCGTGCTACGTCAGAATGTTCCTCAGCAGTAACAAATTCCTGGAGAGTGTAGACCTACTTCCCTTCTCAGCCCTACATTAAAGCGCCGAGTCTCACCACAGCAGCCTGCCATTAGAGATGTTCGTAGGTCTCTGGTATCTTCAGCAAGCGTGAGCAGCCGCCACATGAAGGAAAAGCATGACCCGAGATGCAGCGACTCTGTGCAGCATGTATCGTCTCCGCTAACTTGGGAATACATCATGCCCTGCAATGACATCCTCCTTACGGCTCTGTCTTCCAACTCCTACAGGCTTGATCTCGCAAAACCGAGCAGAGGTCCAGGATGATGTTCTCTTTCTCCTCAGCTCAGATGATATTGCGTGGTCTCCAAGACTGAAGTTAGTTTGCGTACCGTTTTAAGACCCAACACTTCCCGCAACAAATCCATCCGGCCTTCGGTTCTCAGTCTAGCGAGTTCCCTCAATCCCCAGCTCCTCGAGACTTGTGCAGATGTAGTTTCTGGGCTCTCCAATACGTGAAGTGCCACTTGAGCTGCCATTGGGTTAAGCCCAAGCCTCTGAAAGAAGAGCTCACCAATGCTTTCTTCGTGGATGAAGGCAAAGTCGTTCAGCTGAGCTGTTACGAATGCATGCTGATGAATTAATCTCCAGACCCAGCTCTGGAGGTCATCGCCTGTGTCGTTCGTTTCCGTGTTGGTCAAGACCCAGATTGGACATACATTCGCATCCCTGTCGCTCTTAGTCATACAAAAGCCAGTGAAGTTGTTCATCGCATCTTGAACATTCCTGGAAACAGATCCACCAGTATCTGGCATCGCAACGAAGACAAACGTAATTTCGAAATCTCGCACCAATCTTGAGACTATGCTTTGCACTAACCCTTCCTTTGCTGAACCCTGCTGACCTGGCAGGCTCCTCTGGCTCAGCGCCTGTAAGTTAGTAAAGACAAGACACGCACGAGGATTTAAAATGACATCAGGGGAGTCCATATCTCGATAGATCATTGACAAAGAGTCCTCTGCATGTGTTTCGAGAGAGGTTATGAGGCATCGATCTTTACGAAGCATTCCTGTGTTGACGATGATGGACCTTGGCGGGTCAAATTTCTCGAAAGTGAGCATGTCATTCTTCAGGAACATATTCGCCATATCGGTCAGAGATGCTAGCATTAGAGTCCCTGGAACCTGCTCCCTTGGAACAGCCCTAATTTCGGTTTGTAAAGATATCTTGATGCTGTCCGAGCTTTCTGATGATGTACTTCGTATAGGATCATCGGATATCTGCTGCTTATCCGAATCTTCAACGAAGCTCGTTTTCTTGAACTTGTTGCCACGAAGATCGAGAAACGTCCTTAATGAGTTCGCCGCAGAAAAGCGACTGGCTCCGTGCGTATCGACTTCGTTCTGAGCTGCCATAGTGACACTTGAAGACGGAATACCGACTTGGGATTCTATCAGCTCTTTCAGACGACCCCTGTTTGGCTTGAAATGGCGACGTGGAGGCGTAGTAGGCCGGGTTTCCAAGTCCAAGAGGAGTCTCTTCATAGGTGGTCGGACGTCATGTATTGAGTCAAGAGCGATCCTCTTCTGCGGTACCTGCGACAGGAACTCCACTGGCGTCTCCTGATTCAACTCATTGTCGACGTCCATCCGAAAATCACTGTAGTCTCCTGACTCTTGAAGCAACAAGCCAGGTCGTTTCCAAAGCATTTGCTTGCTCAACATGATGTTTGCTGAAGGCTCCAAGATTCCCGATAGACTTCTTGCATCGTCGATTGCTTCTCTTAAGGTGTCCTGAAACATGGTCATATCGAAAGGTTGCCAATTCGAGCAACTGTTGTCTTCGAGTGTTGGGGCAACAGGAGGGACGCCACTAGGCTTGTTCAAGAGCTCCTCCAATGTTTCATTCTGCATTATACGCCTGGCTGCGTATTGAAGCCAGGCTGGCTGTAAGTCCGGAACACTCGCTTTCAGAGACTTTGCCTGAAGTCTAAGCTTCGGATGGGAGGACTTTGCTGAACTCGAAGTCCTAATGCATTGTGGCCCAGGATTTGGTGTACTGTCCATACTATACCTGCAGACGTTTATGCGCGAATCTAGTTTCAGTCTGTAACTCGGTGTCGCACCGTTAAACCCATGTTCTTCCATTTTCAATGAATCTTCCACTCGCAGCTCCTCAGTGTGTGAAATAGCATGATGCTCAGCGGTGTCTTTGTCAGCATCGTCACTGTCAAGATTCTTGTCGGCCTTGGAAACGGGGTCGTCAATATCCATTTCATCCTTGGCTTCTAGACGGCTGCGACGTGGAGGACATGATTCCGGACTGGGACTCGTAAAAGCGCTTTCCATGGTGATCGGGCAGAATTCGGGTTGTCCTATGCCCTGTTCCCTGTTATTTCGACATCCGCTAAGATAGCGCCACTGACCTTCTTCAAATCCAGTCTCACCATCAGGTCATCATACTTATCCATTTCGTTCCAATCATCTAGGCAAACCTTCGATATACGAGACAGAGTTCCTCTGGAAATAAGCAGTCTCTCCTGTCCAACCTGTTCGAACTTTCCATGGGTGCGCCCACGGAAAACATGGTTGAATTCATCTACCAATTGGCCGCTTCCTGGAAGTTGGAATGGTTCGGCTCGGAGAAGAATACTTCTCAGCTGAACGCCCACAGGGGTGCTTCGCTTAAAGTTCCAGACGTCAGTCTGATGGTCAGTAGACAGGAGAGGTTCTTCGAGCTTCAGATTCTTCAGCCTGCGAAATCTCGGAACGAGGTGCTGGCTTGAGATATCAGAACATGGATCCTTGATGCTGTCGGAGAGAATCTGACTGGCTTCTCGGCTCAACTGCAGCTTTGACTCTTGAGATATAGGTTTGAGGAAAAGAAAGACTGGATCGGATAAAGCTGGATCAACTTCAACAATTTGGCCATTAGGTTCAAGAGTATTGAGATATGCGAACGGATCACTGCTGCGGTAGTCGAGCGCAAGGCCATGAAAACGTGCATACTCAAGAACAGAAGGGGGTGACATGAATGTGGCACGTCCAGGCATCTGGCAAGGAATATAAGGGAATGAAGAGTGGGAGGTCTGAACGATGAGTCTGTGTACAGAGATAGTGATGCCAAGGCCTGTTTTTCTCTGCAACGAATTCATGTCCTGGAGATGTAGAGCATCTATCATAGCCGGTTCAGGAGACCCTACCTTATCGACTCGAATAAATGCTTAGGGAGGTTCCGCCAGGCCGATAGTCAGGTGCTTGAACTCTAGTTACAGTCTGCCCACATGTCTGATGAAGTGTCCTTACATTTAGCAGTATCGTTCCAGAAATGGATGACAAAAAGAAATTGCAAGAAATACTGACCCGAAACAGCGGCTCCTTTGCAGGAAGATGTGAACTTCTATGACCTGTGGTATCTTATTCTTTCAAACGCACTCCGACGACCTTCCATGACCCGACGCCTGTATCTAGTCCGCTCCACTTGAAACAACCTCATGTATTCGTCTATTCCATCTCAATTGTTCCAGGAGGTTTGCTGGTAACATCATAGACAACGCGGCAAACACCATCAACTTCATTGACAATTCTCCTGCTTACTCTCTTCAGGAAGTCGCCATCAAATGGAAACCAGTCTGCAGTCATGAAGTCGGTGGTCTCAACGGCACGAAGAGCAATGACCTGAGCGTGCACTCTCTTGTCTCCCATAACTCCTACTGCCTTGACAGGAAGGAGAGCGGCGAAAGCTTGAGAGATTTTTCTATACAGGCCAGCTGCGACGATCTCATCGATAAAGATCTTGTCAGCATGGCGGGCAATCTTGAGCTGCTCTTCATTAACTTCACCCAGAATACGAATGGCAAGGCCTGGCCCAGGGAAAGGATGTCTCCAGACAAGATGCTCTGGGATGCCCAAGTTCGTACCCAGGGCCCTGACTTCGTCCTTGAATAACTCTCTCAAAGGCTCGATGAGCTTGAGGTGCATACCCTCTAGGAGACCACCCACGTTGTGATGTGTTTTTATCGTGGCGGATGGGCCTTTGAAGGAAATGCTCTCGATCACATCTGGATACAGTGTACCTTGTAGGAGCCATTCGATTTCTCCAGCTTTCGGAGAGTTGGCCGCAGCCTCGGCGATGGCCTTGGCTTTGTCCTGGAAGATCTCGATAAAAGTATTGCCAATTATCTTTCGCTTCTTCTCGGGGTCGGATACTCCTTTGAGTTTTCCCAGAAAGAGGGAGCTTGCGTCAACTACTGTGAGATTGATACCCAGATGTTCGGTAAGCGTCTCCTTGACTATCTTGGCTTCGTCGAGTCTCAGGACACCATTGTCGACCAGGACAGCGTGAAAACGGTCTCCAATGGCTTCTTGCATGAGCTTGGCAGCAACAGTAGAATCGACACCGCCTGAAACAGCACCGATAACTTGGCCTTTGGGGCCGACAAGTGCTCGGATGCGCTCAATTTCTTTATCAACAAACTTTTCCATGGTCCAGTCTTGCCGAGCCTTGCAGATGTTGACAGCAAAGTTGCTCAAGATCTGAGTACCACGTGGAGTATGGGTCACCTCAGGATGGAATTGAATGCCGAAGTATGGTTTATCTGTGCTCGCGATGCCTGCGAAAGGGGAGTTGGCTGTTGTGGCAATGGGGTGAAAGCCATCCGGCAATTTAGACAGTTTGTCACCGTGGCTCATCCACACCTCAATATCATCCTCGATGCCTTCGAAGAGGCGGTCAATGTGTTCTTCCTTGCCCGAATGTCTCTCGATTTTTAGGTACGCATGGCCATACTCTCTCTTTTCGCCGGCCAGGACATTCTTGCCGTGGTGCCATGCCAATTCCTGGAGACCATAACATATGCCCAGGATAGGCACGCCGAGATCGAAAGCAGCGGGATCAACATGTGGTGCACCATCTTCGTAAACTGAATACGGTCCGCCCGATAGGATGATGCCCTTTGGCTTGAAATGCAGTTCTGAAATCTTCTGTGTGCATGGCAGCATCTCAGAGTAGATGTTCAGTTCGCGCAGGCGACGCGTGATAAGGTGGGAGTATTGCGATCTTGGATTGTTTGTGAGTCATGACCGCGCAGTGAGAAGAAGTTACAGAGCCTACCCAAAATCGAGGACAAGGACCGTGTCAAAGGTTTTGGCGGGAACGTTGACCGCATCTTCGGTCGTCTCGCCGTTGGCAGCCATGGCGACTGGGAGATCAAATGAATGAGCCCAAAGAAAAGGATTGAGAAGGGGAGCGCGGGAAAGAAAAAATGATTTATGCGCATTGGTGGGGACGCCGACATGGTGTTGCTCGAATGCAATGCGACTCGTTCCCCGCATGCGGTCAAAAAAAGTTTCTGGACCGACTTCTTGCGCTGCTACTGTTGAGACTGCGCTTGATCTAGGTCCAGACGTGGTCGTTAAAAGAATAACACAAGTCGAGAAGACCAGCCGCAATGAGCAAAAGAAAAGAACTCGGCGACAAGATCGTCGACAAGGATGCTATGGTGGACGACGAGAGCGGTGACGACGAGGTAGGCTCGACACCGCTTCGCCGCAATCATGGCTGACCAACAGAATAGGATTTTGATGTACTTGATGTCGATTTTGAATGGTTCGATCCGCAACCAGAAGTTGATTTCCATGGAATCAAGACCCTCCTTCAGCAGTTGTTCGATGTCGACGCTCAGCTGTTCGAACTGTCGGCATTGACCGACCTGATCCTGTCGCAGCCAACGTTAGGGTCAACTGTGAAGGTCGACGGCAACGAGACGGATCCATATGCATTTCTGTCTGTTCTCAATTTACAAGAGCACAAAGTCAGTATCCTTTTGCCATTTTTTCTTGTAGCGGGCGGCTGATTAATCCAGGACAAACCCTTTGTCGGCAAGATCATTCAGTACTTGCAGTCGAAGGCCAAATCCAAGCCTGAGCTTACACCTTTAGCCGACCTGCTCTCACAAGCAACCATACAGCCCATCGGCTTGATTCTCACCGAACGACTCATCAACGTGCCTTCCGAAGTCGTGCCACCCATGTACACTATGTTGTTGGAAGAAATACAGTGGGCGATAGACGACAAGGAACCTTATACCTTTTCGCATTATCTCATTCTGTCCAAGACTTACACCGAGGTCGCCTCCAAGTTAGATGCCGAAGACGACAGACCCAAGAAGAAGAAGAAGGCTACGGGAGGTGGTTTTGAAACCATGTACTTCCATCCGGAGGACGAAGTGCTGCACCGCCATGCGATCTGTCACGGGCAGTATGATTATTCCATCAAGCAAGACGAAGGCCATTCGGATTCGAAAAGAGCTTTTCAGGAGCTCGGGATCAAGCCTCAAGGGCATGTCATGTTGATTTCAGGGGATGAATTCAAAGCTGCTGTCCAAGATGTGGCCGAATACCTGAAGCCGCAGGCCTGAGCTGACGCAAGATGCAATATCGATCGTTCCCAACCAATCACAATACTACCCTTACTCCCATGGCGTGCCCTTCAGTCTTTGCATAAGGTACTCGACTTCGACGATCTTGGTCAATGGTATCACCACCTGGGCATACATCTTGACCACAGCCTCGACATTGATCTTCTCTTCTCCGGAGGCTCCACCGTTGGTCGCGGCAGAGGGATCCTTGCCATATGTCTTCGCCTTCAGCCGAAGTCGCTCCAGGACCTGCTGCTCCACCTTTTGATTAGTGATGGCAGCGTCAATCCCTTCACGGTCTTCGGCCTTGATGAGTTTCACGAATCTCTCCGTTTCTTGCTGGAACTTGCTCTCAGCTACGAACTTGCCGAAGTGTATTCTTCGCGACAAGGCTTGCAGGCATGCCACGTCGCAGGTCGCAGCGCTACCATAATTCTCCTTTGTCTCGCCTCGGTCTTCGCGTCCAAACTTGCGGCAGGCCTCTGGCAATACCTCGTTTATATACTTTTCCTTGATAACCTGATTGACATTGACGTCGTTGTCATGAAGGATCTTGGGGTACTTGATGGCCTGGAGCATTGGCCGCTGAAGCACTTGAGGGAAAAAGGCATACTCGTCGGGCGCATCATAGCGGCGAATGGTAGAATGAAGACGTTCGGTTTCGGATAGAAGGTAGTCTAGCAGAGAGATAACTGGAGGCAATGCTAGATTCGTTGTAGGTATCGGTAGAGCACTGGAATCGTAGACAGTGGCATTGAGGGGAAACTGGACTCTTTCGATCAGATGGAACGTGATTGTATCTTCGAGTCGGCTGCGGACAATTCGGTCAGACTACGCCGCATACAATGCAGGGCGTTCATCCCACTTACATTAGCTGAAAGCGAATATTATCCAAGTCTAGTGCCTTTGAGGCGTCAGATAAATCTAGCGCCGTGTCCATGTTGGAATTGGCCAGCTTTATATCGTTCGCAAAAAGATTGTGTGCTGCTAAAAGTGAGTGAGTGCAATGATGATCTAAAGCACGGATAGAGAGAGACAGAGAAGCTCCAAGGCCATGTTAATATATATGGAAAACTGTAACAATACCAAGCTCGATAGTCCGACCAGGCAGTCAACCGTCAGCAGTCACTGTGCGAAGCCAAATGACTCTTTCCGCTGGATATACGTCAGAAACTGCGCGTGCGGCGACGAGGGACGAATACGGATAAGCACCAATACATTATCCGTAGGTACAGTACCTTCACCTTCTGTACAGGGGCCTACCTTAGACCTTGTACTACTGCTGCAGGCACAACAGGCACTAGGCTTAGGTAAACGCGCCTCCAACGAGAACCACCTGCGTCCCTCTCCTCCGCACCTTTACAAGCGCAGCTCCAATATTTCTCAGAGCCTCAGAGCCTGTGGCCATCCTATCGCACGTCATTCTTTCCAACACGTCCACATTGCGAAACAACGACCCAGACACGATTCTAGAAAGCCTCCTCTGCCAGCGCAGAATAGCAGCTGTATGGCCAGCTCGCGTTCGCACAGCCGGAATGCCTCCCAAACACGTAGATCCCTCGGCGACGGGGATGATTCGGTTCTCAGCGCAGTGCTCGATGTAGGTGTTTTCCCAACCCGAGTTCCCCCCAAAGCATACTGATTCACGGGACAGACACGGCAGCTGGAGGCGTTCGGTCGAAAGGTGACAGCTACTGCGAGCCAGCTGATGGGTGACAATTCTACTACGCACTATCCCAGTGCTATGACAAGCATATCGCGCCAGATGCGTCGCCCGGCGCTTCAGAGAGGTGTCCTTAGCTTTTCACAGCAGGCCCCTTCAGAAATCGTCAGGGCAAAGTTGTCTACTAGTGAGATAGCCCACCGCGCCCTCACCTACATCTCCGATGACCAGCTGCATAATATTCCCGAAAACGATGACAATAGCTATTCCCTTTTTCAGGGCTTTCAGGCCTCGTTACCTGAGGGCGAAAGTGAACACCGGAAAGAGCACAGACGGCGGAGTTCCAAACAGCACAGGCTTCTGGGTGCCGGAGATATTGAAGAGGAGGGCCCTCCGACGATACAAAATTTGAAGAAGAAACGAAATACTGTCAACCACAGACTGGAAATGATGGCCATCAGGAAGAACATGTGCACGACCGAGATAAAGGAGATCGATAACAAAATTGCAAATCTGCACCACATGCGAGGGATCGTCCTCGACAGGCTTGCTGGACTCGAGAATGACGAAGCCGAGGTCGAGCACGAACTGCTCGAGCTTGATAATAAGCTTGAAGACATGCAGGAAGAACTAGAAGAGCAGGGCACATTGGATGCGTCTACCGACACACTGAACGCTCCAAGGGTAGCTACACCCGAATCGGAGGCTATGGATGCCTCGTTCATGTCGCAGTCAATATACGATAAATTACCGACATCAACTTCTCCAAAATCTCCCAAGACAAAACGCCGGCCAACGTATGCAAAGAGAAAGTCCATGCCGGTCTTGCACGAACATCTGGAACCTGGCTCTCATTTGAAAACCATTCCAGCCCACAACGACACGATAACGGCCATAGATTTCGATCAACCCTTCGGTACTATGGTCAGCGCAGCTCTTGACGACACAGTTCGCGTGTGGGATCTAAACCTGGACCGATGCATGGGCTTTCTGGAAGGCCATACGGCCTCTGTTCGGTGTCTTCAGGTCGAGGATAATATCGTTGCTACGGGCAGCCTCGACGCGACTATTAGGCTTTGGGATCTCAGCCGAGCTAAATACGAACCTTACGAACATAAACTTGTGGAGAACGGAGACGGTGACAAAGACGGAGATGATGAGGACGATGGCCTGGGTTTTGGCAACGAGAGTGAAGATGCGCCCCCGCCGCCCCCACCTGATGCCATGGAAGAATGCCCCCTTTTCGTCCTTGAAGCTCATGTTGATGAAGTCACTGCGCTCCATCTACGCGGTGATATGCTTGTTTCGGGCTCTGCTGACAAGACTCTCCGACAATGGGACTTGGTTAAAGGGCGGTGCGTGCAAACTCTTGACGTGCTGTGGGCGGCTGCTCAAGCGAGCAGCACCCTGAACAGTACAGAACTACAATGGCGGCCAACGGGACGAACCACCGACACCAGCGCAGATTTTGTGGGCGCTTTGCAATGTTTCGATGCCGCCTTGGCCTGTGGCACTGCGGACGGAATGGTTCGTCTTTGGGATCTTCGCAGCGGCCAGGTACACAGAAGTCTCGTCGGGCACACAGGACCCGTAACTTGTTTGCAGTTTGATGACACGCATCTCGTGACGGCCAGTGCTGACAGAAGTGTCAGAGTAGGTACCTCACTGTCTTGACTTTGGTACAATGACTAACGATGGCTAGATCTGGGATCTCCGGACAGGGACCATCTTCGACGCTTATGCTTATGACTCCCCAATCACGGGTATGATGTTTGATGCTCGTCATATCGTGTGTGCAGCTGGCGAAGATGTGGTCAAAGTGTACGACAAGGCCGATGGTAAACACTGGGATTGCGGTGCCGGTGCAAATCTCACTGTTGAGGACCGCATGGCTGAAACGAGTACCAGCATTGTCGAACGAGTCAGACTAAAGGACGGATACATGATCGAGGGCAGGCGAAGTGGCGAAGTTGGAGTCTGGACTTGCTGATAATCGAGTCTAGTGGACGCATGTACAACATTGATCTACGAACGCGCGGTGTCTTCATCGTGGTTGAATGCATCTACACCTTCCCTGGCCTCCATTCAGCACCGAGCTATGAAGTTATACATAACCTAAAGCATGTATGATAACCTGGACATACATGATTCCTCTTCCCATTCACATCTCCGGTGCCAACAAAAATTTGAACCTATTCCCTGGGTATCGCAGTATACACGCTCCTAACCACCCTGGTCTGTTCCAAAGGTATTCATTTACCCAAGAGCTCCTTCTCAAGTACAACCCCCACAGTTGTTCTCCTAGATATGAGCGGATGGCCTCTACTCATGCCCAGCTCGCACTTCACTTCCTTCTGAAAATACTATCGGCGTCTTCTTGTTCGCATCCGAGGACCACCACTCTGCGGACGGGCACGGCGGGCATGACAGGGATGGCGGGAGACGTCACCAGGCTCTCTATTCGATGTAATATTGTCCAAAACGACTCCCGTCAGTTCCCAACATCGAAGGGAGGAACTGTAGGATGAGTCTCGTGCGCCTCCCCCTCTCAATCTCCTCAGATGGATCTCGTCAAAGAGCGGTTTGATGCGGGCCCTGACAAACTCAGGTATGTTCAAGGGGTATGGTAAGCCCTGGAGGAGGCCCCGCAGCCTGTCGTTGGTGAATAGCAAAGCAATTGGCTGACTCAGGGCCTCGAACAGAATTCTGCGATATTGTTCTGTTTTGTTGATGTCCAGGGGAAGAGAAATTTGCCGACTGAGGGCCTCCGCGTCGATTCCTCCATCTTCTCGAGGAGGAAAGATCGTTGGTTCCGAGTCCATGTATTCGCCTTCTGTATTGATTGTCCCCCGGACGTATGACTCTCTTATCTGGACCACGGGAGGCATCTTCCAACCTGCGGGCACTTCCTTGTACTGAGCTGCAAGCACCGTCTTTACCGGAGTGAATGACTTCGCCTCGAGAATAGCCTTCAAATGCCTGTCTCCTTCTCGCATATATATGCCAAGATTTTTGTCGGACCATTCTTGGTTGCACTCCTCGACCAGATACCGCCAGCCGGAGTTGGTGCTTGTCGTTGTTGTACCTCGACTGCTGCTGCTACTCCTCCGTCGGCGGCTGTTTCCATCTGACCTTTTCCTGAGAAAAGGGTGGCCCTCAGGAATCGGTATGTTTTTGAGGTTGGACATGTTTGGACAATATCGTTGACGCTGATATGTTGCAAGACTACACCTGGACGTCAATTTCTCTGCGAAGAGCAGTCAAATGTGTGACGGAGAGAAGATTTGACAGTGGACGAAAGACATCCTTTATGCCCCCTATCGAGCCCAAATAGGCACGCTCAAGCACCAACCTTATCCTCTGAGAACGCTAGATTCGAGAAATGACTTTGATCTGGGATCTAATGGCCTCCTGCGATCAATCATGTCGAAGTCACAGACCACGCCGACATTTCTTCGATTGGTACCAGCAATTGTACTCAATAGCGCGCATTCTTGTGACTCCTTTGTCGACTCCTTGTCCGGATGGGTCTTCCAGGCATCAGTTGGAAACTCTCTGCTCCCACAGTATCGAACTGGTCTCGGGAGGATGGTCAGTCCCTTTTAGAGTTGGCAAGCGCTTGGGACGGACTGGGTTCGATTTATTACGAATTTGCACATGACGGTACTGTTTTCTACAAGGGACAAGAGCAAGCTACCTAATATCGAGAGTCATCATGATCTCCGCCTTGTGCTGTGGTCCATTTGGATCGTTGATGACAGTGTCGACGTCTTGCATCCACCGGGAAGGAGTCTCACACACACTCTCTCACAGACACACAGTACCCCACAAGGCAACCTACAATTTGAACTGAACTACAGCTAGTCATGGGCATTCATCACTGTAACAGGCAGTCGGGATTCCCAAGTTGAGAAGTCAAGGCGTTGCTCAGTTCGGCTGATGGCATGTCAGGACATCCAGGTCCTTTCGTCTTGATATGACTTCGGGAAGAGTATCCCGGTGATCCTGGCTCGGCTGCAATGAATGGAAGTGAGGGACTGCGGCTCTTCGGCCCAAACTAAGCTTGTGCTTTTTGCGCAGGGCAACGAAGGGGCCGCTGGGCCATACTCGGGAGCAAAACCTAAAACAAACAAAAATCATGGAATGGAGTGAATGAGTGGTCTCTGACTTTCGGATGAAAACTTTGTTCCATTTGAAACCCGAACCAGGTTAAAATCTGCACTGCTTATTATGAATTTCAGGCGAAGTACCCTCTCAAGGCATGACGACGGGTCACTACCGAGAGAGTCCGCCTGGTGAGTGAGTACCAAAACCTTGCGGGATTTTCTCACAGTCTGGCTTTCGATGTGCTGTGACCGAGACTTCTGAGACAAGTACCTAGCACAGAGATTTTCTTGGCTCGGGAGAACGGTAGTCTTGCCTCACGAATAGATGGATATTGAGAGGAAATGCGAAAGAGTTATAAGCCTGCATTCTGCTTCCGGTTCCGCTTCCGCTTCTGCGTACTGGTGTCATCCGCACTCTGTACTCTCCGTGCATGGTCGGCGGTCGGAACTCACCAGACGAACTTGGTATAAGAATGACATTCAGAAGATACATACAGGGAATCGGCTCACTAGATTCGGGATCCGGATTGTAACATGTCACGGTGAAGACACCTGGTATATCTGTAGTGTAGTGTAGTTTAGTGTGGTGTAAATGTAGTCGTGACACAGCCACACAGACCTACAGTACCTGGACACCTCGGGGAGGTAAGGTGGACAGGCAAAGATTGAATCTTCATATATACCAACCTAACTGGACAACTTCTTCGTAACGAGGCAAGGTCGGGCAGTGTGCAAGAAGCGAGGAATACCCCGTACATGATAGATACCCAGTTAGGTACCTACCTAGCTATCTGGGTACCGTGGGTAGACGTCCGAGACGGGGTATGGAAGAGGGAAAAAGACGTTCAAGTGGAGCGCACTGTAGCTGCCAACCTGACAAAAACTACATCGTTCTCCGTACCCATGGACGGGACGGAGTAGCCAAGCTCTGACTCCCCGTCGTGAAGGTACAGTAAACAGAACAGAATACTGAGTACACGGGAATCCGACCATCTACGCAAGTAGATAAGGGTTCAATGAGGACGAAAAACTGTGACAGACAAATAAACAAAAACCATCGACCAAAAAAAAAGACCATTGTACGCAAATAGCATAAATAACACAGGTCATTATACAATGGTCACTCGGTCGCTCAGTCACTCGTCAATCTTTATCCTCTGTCGTCGGCGAGATCTCGTATACGTAGGTTACATAATTCAGACCCAAAGGACCAATAAAGGTCAGGCCCGTAGTCAGTTGTTCACAACAATACCCCCTTTCCTGAACACCATGCTGTTTTGGGTAATATACACCCTCGTTCCCAACTACATCAAACCAAACACTCAAACCAAAATACAAAAGCCGGCCATCGTCGTTATGATCATCCAGTCCACCAACAATGCCAAACTCAACCAACACCAAACTCAATCAGGTTCAAGTACAATACAACTCATCGTCGTTACAAGGACGTAGTCCACCTTCTCCATGCCCACACACTAGACAAAAGCCTTCATGAGTTGTAGTCGTCATTCGTAGAAATCCCACTCCGGATCCTTATATCCCGGATGGTCTCGTCCACCAGCTCGTCAATTGATTCGAGCCACTCTCGTAAATGAAGTGGCTGACGGAGCTGGTTGAACAACGCGTCTTCCTCGTCGTCAGTAAACGCCACCTCTTCGAAATGGATGAGGATGTCGGCAAGGGGTACGTTGTCGTCACTGTTGCTGTCAGTGGCGGTGGTGGTGTTCGACGTCCTCTCGATGCTCAATCGGTACCGTATGGCTGTGAGCGAGCGGGGGCTTGAACCCCAAATGGCCAGCGCCATCTTGTATCGGCCACACGTCTTGGGGATGAGCAGTGGCAGCTCGGTGACCGTCCGTAAGAGAGACCTGGCTTCGGAGGAGAGGTTGTTCATGCGTATGTCGCCTCTCCTCTCCAGGCAGGGGTGAAGATTGTCGTCGAGGAATGACCCTGTGTTGGTTGAGACCAGGGTGGTTGCCGTGGAAAAACAAGACGGGGCTGGAGAAGGGGTTCTAGAGAGTGCCATGATGTCGGACGATGGAGTGGTGATTGTTGTTGAGGTAGTCAAAGGGTGCCGTCGATAATAGCAGAGAGAATGGACTTGAGCTGGAGACTCGGAACAGGGGTCGAGAGAAAGGTCGTAACGTCGTGCCCTTGAGAGATGAAGGGTCTTGGTAAAGAGAGTATGACTCCAGTTGGAAGTGAAGGCCGACTTAAAAGGGAGTGGTAGAAAGAAAGAGAGAGTAAGTCGAGGTTTGAACGTGAAGAGGACTTCTGGAATATCTTGAAAAGAATGTATGATATGTGTGATGGGCAAGAATCGAGATACATGGGAGCAAATTACACAAGTTTGAATGGGTCTCAAGTGCCTCTCTGTAAAGGTCCTCAAGGTCCTCGCGAGCCAGCATAGAAAGGTAAAACTCGTGGATGGGTCCTGAACGATCCCTCACAAACGGGGGGTGTATACAGGTCCTCAGAGCCATCAGGATACGCAGAGGCAAATACCAGTGTGATCCACAGACCAAAACTCTACTCGTGACTCTTCTAGTATCCCGTTAGCACTTCTCGGTTTATGAAAAGGAATAGGTAGGCTTATCAAAGAGGAGAGAACCACCATCCAAAAGGAGCATGGCAGCCTCCAGTGGATAGTGGTCCAAAAATGTGCTTCAGTGGCACGCCAGACCAATGTACCAGTAAGCATGCTGCGAGCTTCAGACAAGATATCAAGGTCCCACACGTTGTCCGTCACTTCGAGTCATACCAGCAATCATCCTCGACGTCTCAGCAGGACTTCGCCACCATCGACCATCCTAAGCGAGAGATAGAACAAAGAGTTTTACACGTAGACGAGATGATGACCAAGACCGGCGAAACGAATGGCAAGTGACGAGGACAGACAAGCCAAAGCTTTGAGCCTCACTCGAGAGAGGTCCCATCCTCATCACTTGGTGTGTCCATTGTCTCGAGAGCCCAAATCTCCATCTTAGCCCCGTGATCCACTGCAATGAAGAATATTCTGCTTGACTTCTGGAGGCGATGCAGACTTCGTCCACATTGAAATGACTAGATCTCTGGAGCTTGTTGCGACAAAACTGAAACCCTGGACCAGTGTGGGACTCAAGACAGTCGAAAGAAGGGCATTGTGCTTCGATAGCAGAGGTGACAAACAACTTCAAGCAGCTGCCATTGCCGAACAACCCTCCATAGGATGCCCAACCGAGCTAACCATTCCATTTCCAGCAGTCATCCCTTCTCAATGACTTCGATATCCACGACCACGTTGACATTTTCTTACGCCGTTGACCGGCTCTCAAACCAGGTTCCACGTCCAGTCCCAAATAAGCAGAAGAACTGCTTCTCTCGTGTGTGATACAGCAACCTCGGAGACAAGATTTTGGTTTCCTCTTCCGCTATGTCGTCAAGACAAATTCGAAGGGCATTTGCCATGTTTCAGGCCAGGGCGCACAAACAACATCTTAAAAATCGCCCTCTTCCCACCGAAATGGGGGTCATCATGTTCTCAGAGATCCGAAGATCAAGAGTCCACTGAGTCGGCGCTCTCCGTTTCACCAATGATGAGACAAGATGCGGAAGATTGACGCGGCTGATCAGGATCTTCTGACGAGCAGAAGCACGCATCCGGTAGCCGAGTGCTTTGATGCGAGTTTGACGAGTGGGCTGTCGCGCAGAGACGATGTGTTCATAGGCCGGAGGTGGAGAGGAGTGGCAGTCAAAACCGGCTTTGATGGTCCGAAGAAGCAGTACATTGATAAAGCCGGCTGGAGCAGGCAAAAGGCCAAAAGATAGAAGCGCCGATACGGAGTCTTGCCTTCGCCTCAGAGACCTGGCTACAGACAACAGTCCGTTTCCGACCAGAGGATCTCGTCGGCTCCAAACGAAGACTCCCAGCAGTTCTGTAGGTAGGCTGAACAAATTTGCGCTCTAGGCATATGCTGCGTCGGCTTCTCGAGCAAACAATCTCCTCTCTCTCCTGTGCCTGTTCCACGCCCACGTCGGTCGAAACATCCATTGAAGATCAAGTATAATGTCCAGCTTAGGAATACCGACGCGTGATCCTTCGCGGATTCTTATCAGATACGACGCATGGTGAGACCGTCTTTCACTGCCTCTTTCGAAGCTCTGGGCGTCTTAACCTCCTTTGACTACCCCCGATCCAACCTGCCATTCTTCACCGGAGCAAATAGTTGACAGAAGGGACCCTGGTACAGCTAATCAGAAATTCGACAACTGGTCCGCGAGACTTTGAACCGAGAAAACATCTTAGGGTTACGTTCCGAATACGCATCCTGCCAATAACCATGATCCCATCCCAAGTTCATATTGAGACCCGCAGGGAGCCTCGAACAGGAGGAAGGTGGATAGAGGCGGCTTGAAAAGCTCGACTTGTAAACGGGAAACTCGAGGGAGGTTGAACTGCATAATGTGCCGTGTAGGCGAGAGGGTGCTAAACGAGGGACCGGCTCGAGAGGTGATCCAGTGACAGTGATCGAAGCCGTCAACGTGCCCGGAGATTGACATCGACGGTCGAAATCAGAAGGTCGTGCTGGAGAGGAAGCGAATTAGTTGAAGAATGTAGGCTCTTAGCTGAAGAATGTTCAAATGCCTGACATGGCGTGGGAAATCGATTTGTTTACACGGGCCTGCGGATATCGCAATACTTTAGCAGCTTCGCCGGCTCTCGAGTACGCGACGCGTCGCCGGGCCGGAAAAGGGTTAGCGGCCATGCAAGCACTTGCGGATAAGCATTGATCCATCGCGGAAGGGTTTACGAATACGAGATGTGCAAGTCTGTCTACATCGTTGCTCATGGCCTTCGGAAAAGGCTGAACTCTTTAAATTTCATAAGTGGCGTTAGCTATGTACTCATATTCGGCAACCTCGCCTTCCAACAACAAGGTACAATCGTCCATCGAGGCCCCACGCCTCCAAGCATACGGATACGAGGTTTCGATTCCACCACCATTCAGCTCAGTCCGAGCCGGCAGAGGCCCTTGCCGATCTCGCCGCAGCTACTTGAGTGTAGCATTACAAGTCTCGAAGCACATTAGGAGCAAATCCTAGGGGTTACTTGTTGGGGCATGCAGTACTTGAGCCGAATTGGAGGTTGCAGGGTTGGTGGTCGGAGCACTTTTGCCCGAGCTCTGAGCCTGTTGCTGGCTCTTGTATGCGGCAGCCTTCTCTGCTCTACATGGTTTCAGCGTCAAGCGAAGTCAAGCGGTCTTCATGAGTACTGCTCACTCTCTCTTTCGGATGTACTCGTTCTCAAGAGCCTTTTCTCGGTCCTTGAAGTCAGGCATGGTGAGTAATGAATCTGTCTGACAAGTCGGTCTGATCGTGTGAGTCTTCTTTACTGAACGCGGCTCGTGTTTTCAATTCTTGTAGCACAATACCAAAGATGATCTTCGTTGAAGGCTGTTTGTCCGAGTGCGGATATATACTATGTACCTGACCTTTATATACTACCGTGGCGAGATATATAAACTTGGCTGGACAGCCACAGGCGAATGACGTCATCAGTATGCACACTGCAGAGAGCGCTCCCCGCCTTCGAAAGACAGTGAGTAGGACGATAAATGTTCCATGGCCATTAAGACTCTACAGTCCATAGAGGGGATTATTTTTGATCTTGCCTCAGCTTCAGGCTGAAAATGATCCCCTAGCCGGCAAAAATCATGAAGATACAGCAACGAGGCTGTCGTCCAGGTGGGGTGAAGCCTACGTTTTGGGGCAGAGGGCAATGCACAACACAACTTGACAATCCGTGTCCGGCACACTCTGCCTTGACTGTTTCAATAACTTTAAATTGTCAGCCTGCGCCGAGTACTCGTACATCTAAAAAGTTTCTCGAAACGAAGGTCGGAAGAGGTCGGGGTTGCGAGACAGATGGGTTTGTAATGCCGCCGAGCGGGGAGCCGCCCATATCCGAGGTTCGTATGAGGCCAGCCAGGGACCGACTTTGTTCGAAAGCACATCTTTTCTGTCTTCACCTCCTCAAGCCATACTTATCTGCAACAACGGAACATGGGGGCCACCGAGATTGCCATCCTTCCCCTACAGGAGGGCAAGACTTTTGACGATCCGACCACCGCCGACGGCCAGCTACACGCCGAACTTCTCAAGATTGTGCTCGCCCAGCCTGGCTGCCAGCGATGCTACTGGGGTCGTCAAGTCGAGGATAAAAACGTCTTGAGATGGTTTGTCGACTGGGATGCAGTCGAATCCCACAAACAATTTATGGCCTCTGAGTATGCGCTCCTCGTCCTTGCTGCGACGCCCTCGCTGACCCTTCCAGCGTCTACAAGCCCTTCCTACAAAGCTTCCTCACCATACTAGGAGGAAGAGCGACGCTTTATCATGCTCATTTTGACCCTCATCCTGCTCGCGCAGCCCTCAGTAAAACCACTTCTCCCGCCACGGAAATTATTCATATGTACTTCCCGACCTCATATTCCGAAGAAGACAAGAAGAAGGTGGCGGATGACATAAAGGCTCTGAGTGCTGTCCTCGAGAAAGAAGGGAGTGACTTCCGAGCGGCAGCAAGCGGCTGGGTGGAAGAAGACGTGGACATTCCAGGGACGGACGAGAAAGCCAAAGCGTTCGTGGTGCTGTTCGGTTGGACCAGTGTCGAAGCACACTTGGCATTCCGTGAAACGAAACCCTTTGCGGAGAACATCCATCTTCTTCGCGGTGCGAAGGACTTGAAAAAGGTCCATGTTGTACATTCTAGCCTGACCGAGGCCACCAATGCTTCCTAGTCTGGCCAGGTTGGCGATATACGACTTGGCCTGGGCGGCGGCGGAATCGCACCGACTCCCATACAGCAAGACACGTCGCTGTTATAGGCGATGTTGCACTCTGTGGCTCTGCCGAAACTCTTCGCAAGTCAATAAATGCTGGTAACACCTAGAATGTTCCGGCACCTTTGGTCCACAAGTTTGGGCGATGGTTTGGTTGGCATCTGCCTTTGCTGCAATGTGCAATGCTACCCTTTTAGCTCATGTATAAAACGCTTGCCTCGCCACCAAGGACTACTCCTTTAAACAGGCTTTTTAATACGAGAGCGCGATGAAATGCCCCTGGCAAGGAGGCCCGGCACTCATTGGACCAGTGCACCGGGACCCTCTTCCAGGTCCTGGTTCCACTCTTGGCCCTTTCCTACTCAGGTATCTCCGAGGCGACAAGGCTGAAGTTCTCCAGGGGTTTCATCGTCATTCCGCTGCACGTCTTCAACCTTTTCCGGCTCAACATACACGGCTCAACGTCCTTGACCTTTCTCTTTCAGGATCACTGCCCAGACTTCACACTCCAAGGACACCTCCCCTTGGATACGCCGCGGTGATCGAGTGGTATGGTACATGACGAGGCTGACGAAAGTTCCACCACCAGAAATCAGAGCAGATAATCTCTCAGCACCAGCTGATTGAAATTGCCGAGTACAGCTAAGCCATGAAGGCCCGTAGCTCGGACTGATGGATCGTGGATCGTGGAGGGGCTAGAAGAAGCAGCGCTCTGACGTATTTGGCCCTGCATCGTCGAGAACGGTTGATGCGGTGTTTTCGTTACGTGTGTGTGATACAATCACACGTAGTGTTAATACCTCACTTCACCTCATCCTATCTAGCTTCACTTCACTTCACCTTCCCGCGCGTCCATACACGCGTTCTCAGCCACCACCACCACCACCACCAAAAATTGCACAAAAAAAAGTCAAAAAAGATAAGGCAGGTAAGTGTAGATGGCCCGACTCGAACCACCTACACTACCACTCCATTTGCCCTTGCGCGTAGGGGCGTCCACTGATCTTGGGTTCCGCATACTCCGCAAGTCGAGACAGAAAAGACCGCCTAGATCTGTCCTGGAATGGCCCAACCTACCAAACCACGGGCGCAGCCCCTCCCACGTAGCGCGGTCATGCCACTCCCTCCCGACTCTTCGGGGCTGCTATGTGACAAAAGTTCACGTCTCAAATACATATAGAGTCCAAAATAAGGGAGGACGGGCCGTGATAGGCTCAGAGGAGGGTTGACCGCCCTGGGAGTGGGACCCCTATTCACTTGATCCTGTGTCTGATCATTTCACTGGCTGCAAATCTCAGGTCTGCTCAACTGCCTCCTACGAGCGGTCTATGCCAATACTTCGTGTTGTTGAGCGCCCAGACACAAAATTACACAGTTTTATCCCTTATCCAGCAGCTCAACCTTCAGATACTTCAGATCGGTTGACCACGGTGCTACACGACTTGCTCCAGCAACGGTCATCCATCCATGATTCCCAATGTGGCTGTGGGGCAACATCAACAACAAAAGTACATTTGGAGTGGTGAACAGATTGAAAGAGAGAGCTCGACGTCGTTGACATTAGCATGACTGGTGGCAAGCAAAGTCTTATGAGCATGGTGAGAATGTCCCAAGTATCTTCCAACGTCACGATGGTTGTATTCTGCCCAACTGCGTTTTCTCCTTCCAGCCGACCACGGAACGCCTCTTGTTTGGTCAACCACTTCTCGGGTTTTGGCAAGACCCATCACTGACGACCAGGTTTCCCGTGACGGCGTTTCGCGTTATGTTCACTTTGTTTAAGAACCATCGAGACACCGTGCCATGGCTCTTCTGCAAAGTCTGGACGTGGCACAGGAATGTACTTCTTCCGAGTCCCCTTCTTTTGTGGGGAGACCGCGGCAGTCAGTGACACTGCTCTAGACAAGTTGTCGAGTTCATCCTTCAATGGGTCTTGAACGTTTTCGGGGGTATTGTCGACATGAGAAGCTCCGTGAATCATTCCGACCCCTAACAGGTCTACCGTCTCGTCCCTCGGAATCGGATTCGACATGGTGAATACTCTGGTGGTCCCTGGTTAGTGTTAACGCAACAACATGTTGGTCAAGAGAATGTACTTACGTCGTGCTGGACGTGATGATACTTATTGTACTGACGCAGTTGCTCTGAATAAGAAAGAGGAAGATGTTAACAGAGGTAGGAAGCTCTGATATATGTACACATCCCCTACCATACGACCGGAGAACCCACCTATTCGGAGGTCACAGACCGCTGGTCACAATGCGTCCTCGGTGACGGCAAACTTGACCGCCTCTGGCTGGCCGATTCTGAAAGCTCATTGTACACGTATCTGGTAAATAGGGTTTTGTTGAGCCATGTTATCATCATTGCTGTTAGAGCATCCGAAGTGACTAGAGCCCCTCTTGAAATGCCACGCCTCCCGATCATGCCCAGAGGGAAAAGCGTAGGCGTCCTGGGGTGTCCTCCAATCACCAAATTTCCCTAACCCTGCTGGTCTTCGTGGGCGTGGAGGGCGCATGGTACCTTGGGGAAGAAACCAAAACTTCCTCATTTAGCAACCACTATCGCCATTAGCGCTCGTTCGCCTCTACCCGTGCGGTCTCCGGGGCTCACTAGCCGCCGGGCCGTGGGAACTGTAACCGTCGGGCCCGAGCGACTAAGCAAGGATTCTTGCTGACTGAAGCCAACGAACTACGAAACCCCATCTCTGATGCAGAGATAGAGCACTGTCAGTCTACAGGGGTAAGGGCCACCTGCTCCCATCCCGCTTCCATCTGCATCTGCTCCAACCTGATCCCCTCTACGAGTCCTCCCATCTACAATCCCCATCTACTCCACATCCTTCACCCCTGTTCATCTTACACTCTTACGCAATTGGCGCTTTTTATTAGTCCTAGTTCGTACCTGCAGCGCTAAAGTTACGGTCTGCAGATACCCGAACCTTTGCTTCGAACCCCCCGTTGGCGAGTGGAAAATATTTGCAGCCGGTCTGTCGCTCTTGACCCAGTCAGCTGCTACGCATTTCGCCCTTCGGATCTATCAGAACTTGATAAGGAGCATATATATGGAAGACCTGCATCATCACCATCATCAATTGGATCCACCCAAGTTGTTGTCGTTGAGACGCTCGGTACTTTGTGAGAAGACGAAGAAAGATGCGCAAAGTTGCCTTCTTATTTCTGGTGTCACGAGCCTAATGCAAGACCACTGCAGTCTGCAGGGCGCTCTATTGTCAGGCAGCCTGGAAGACCGGGTAGAAATCGCTGCAGATAATGGGCTTGGAAAGCTTGCTGGCGAGCGATACCCCTGTCCTGATCATGCTACAATCTGAGTCCTGAGTCCTGAGTCCTGAGTCCTGAGTCCTGAGTCCTGAGTCCTGAGTCCTGAGTCCTGAGTCCTGAGTCCTGACCGCCGTAACCCTTCTTGCTCTTCTTGGGCCAGCGTAGGCGTGCCCTCAAGTACAAATCTAGCATGTCGACAATCTTCCCCAAGGGATAAAAAGGAGTCAGCAATTTTGGTGGTGTCTTTCAGAATGGTCAACAAGTTGAGTAAAACATGAACTCAGTGGATCTGACTGGTGAGATCACGAGCTCGTGTCCCTTGTCATCATCAAGGGCGTGCGGGGTGTTGTCAGCATTGCCCAGTCATAGTATAGATACTATTGTACCCCTAATCCCGGCATGATGTAGTGACTAGAGTGAGACTCAGGAGATAGATATGCATTAGCACGCCGCACACAGTTCAGTTTACTCCACTTGTTCTTAATTTGATTTTATACGATAAAGTTAGGGGCGGTGAGAAACTGATGAAGTTGAAGAACTTGAGGAACTTGAGAAAATGGAGGAGGTGGAGGAGATATGAAAAAGTGGAGAAAGTGTGGAAAGTGTGGAAAGTGTGGAAAGTGTTGAAAGTGTGGAAATTGAGGAAATATCTGGCAGAAGTGCGAAGAAGTGCGAAGAAGAAGCTACCTATAAAAGAGACATGGATTGCCTACAAGCTCTAGGCTCCGGTTTTAGTTTTCAACATTTCTTAATATATCACATCATTGCACAGAAGAGAGAATAATGTAGTTGTACAAAACCACGAAACTCTCTGAATGATTCAATTCTGAGCCCCATGCCACTTGCGCTACAGAGCTACTTATTTGTCGACTAGAAGGGGCTCCTGAGTGCAACAATGTGTGTACACATCAGCAGCATCAGCCTAATCAGCACAAGAAAAGTAACAGGAAAAATTAGGATTTAGTAGGTGGTAAACTGAAGGTGGTGACCCGAAGATGGCGACCTGAAGATGGCGACCCGAAGATGGCGACCCGAAAATGGCGACCTGAAGACATCGAACCAAAGATGATAAACTATAGAGAGTAAACTGTAAATAGTGAATAGCAGAGAATGAATAGTAGAGATGAATAGGAAGTAGCAAACAGTAAGATGGTAATCAGCAGGTGGTAGACTGTAGATACTTGAACTGAAGGTGGCGAACTGAAGATACTAACTTACAGGGTATCGAACTGAAGATGTCTAGGGTGAGTTGCGGGCACTTCCGCCGCCGACGTCTTTATACAACTCAATAGTCAAGCCTAGCGATCTGAGGTAACGCCGACGCCCCCAACGGCTCCTTTACAACTTTCGAAACACCATCAATTCACTCCTTTTGCTATATCTCACTATATCGTCGGCCTCCACGGAGGTATTCTCTACGTCCAGAGCGTCGCCCGATCAAGCGCAGCTCGATGAACGGCTCGCGGAATCCTGTGCGTCGGCGAAAACTCAGAAGACCCTCCCGTCGGAGGGACAAGCTCCACTCCTGTCGCTAATATCGTGGATAGAAATCGACCCCCTGGTCATGGAGGTCATACTCGTTAATACATCCTATTTGGACCCCAAACATTGCCTATATCTGAGCGTTGCATATCATGTCGAGCTGAAGATGGCACAGTGTAGATGGGATCGTTTGAGGCGGCCATTGATGACTCTGGGCCTCTGGCTCTGGCTTCTTGAACGTTCCTGCTGATGCCTTGTAGCTCCTGTCGTTGCTGTACAGCGACGTTCGGCCTACAAAACTGAGACAAGCTGAGTTCATCCACGGGAGCCACTCTCATCCGGCCCCTTGTGTAGGCCGCGTTCTGGACCGATTTGCCACGTGTTGAACAGGCTCTGCCTACAACGTGCTTTACAACTCAATTATTTCAAGCCTAACGACCGAGGTTGAGAGCGCGACACGAAGGACGAAAGGATTTCTGTTGAATCTACCTGGGTCTTAGGGGACGTGATACCCGATATAGACGCTATGTACAAGGGTGTAGATGGCTGGTCACCACAGATGGTTGGGACGCAATGATCTAAGTTAGTCTGACACTAACATCCCCGGCGTTAGCCGACACCCCGAACGCTCCTTCTTATCCTCTACAACTTTTGCAACACCATCAATCCACTTCTTTTCACTACATCTAGTGATGCCATTGGCTTCGTGGCAAGAAGATACTCACGTTCTGCTCGGATTTCCTGAACAACCTGGGACCCGTCTTCTTTCCTCCGCCTCTTCCTTGATCTGATCCCTGTAGGATGAAGTTAGTCGTTGGTCGTTATTGATTGCGGTGAGAGATAACGAGAGGTAAGCGGTTTGTGGAAGTGTGAGGCGGCGGGAGAAACGTGTGAAGATTTGTCGTCAGGTTGCACCCATTTCTACAACGCGACTTGGGGGTAGGCCTCCCTGGAGATGCAGCTTCTCCAGGGCATTAACTTATCATTGTAGTTTGGGCACTCGTCTGCGAGTAGATGTGCTGCCGGCCCCCTTGGTCAAATCCCCGGGAATTTTACCAAAGTGGGCCAGCTCGCTCCTTCCCATGTGACCACGGCCATTCATTGTGGTGGGTGTTGAAAGAGAAACTTGTCATTCTTTGCTTCACGGAGGTCTCGGCGAGCTGCCAGACTACATAGGGTTTCGAGGGCATATGGGCTCGTATAGGGTCGCTGGAATAGTCGTCTTCTTGAGCATAAATAACCTCGAGAGATTTGAGACATAAGTCTGGACGGCGGGCGGGGAGATGACGAGCGAGACAAAACCTACTTGTTTTTCTCTCGATTCTTGTCTTGCTAAAATCAACCCTAATATAGCATCCAGCCTTAGCCGGCGACTGGGGCCAGCGGTCGAAGGAGACGGGGCACAAATTCCTCCCCATGGGGCTCGGTGATGTTGTGATCCAGAAACCCATCCAGAACGCTTTGCACGGAGGTCCAAGACAGCAGGTTCATCCTTGCGGCCTGCAAGGAAAACGCCTCGCTGAACCACTTCGTCCCCCATGTATTGTTGCTATTGTCCTCGGCGTCTGAGGGAAGTTGCTGCTCAGCCTGTGCGCCCACATACAGCGCCCACAGCCTTGCGTTCTTGTTTCCAAACGCCGCGTCCAGCCCGATGGCCGCCTCCTCCTCGTCCAGTAACTCCCTGATGGCCTTCAACAACGGCCTCTTGGTGGCGAAAATCTCCACGCCCATGATGGTGTCACTCCCCGCGATCAGTCGGGTCCAGTAGACTACCGTCAAAGCCAGGTAGGCGTTTTTGAAATACTTCATGCCAAGCTTCTCCTCGCTCCTCGCCTCGTCGGCCCGGTCCAATGCATATTTGACCAACCTGGCCTGGTGGATCGAGTGCCGTGCAGCGAACCAAATGAACATGGACGGGCTCAGATCCTCCGCCCGAGACGACGCGTGTCGCCAGACCTCCAGGTCCTCGCGCTGCAAGAGGAACATGTTCTTCAGGAACCAGCATTCAATCGACGGGTCGAGCATCGTGTTGTACTCTATTTTGAGAGAGGCCAATTCTTCACCCGCTTGCCGCCACGCCGGTTTGAACATCTGCGGGACCCAAGTTTCATAGTCGAGCACGGGGCGCGTCATGAACATGCAGCACGCCGAGCTCTCGTTGTAGAGAAAATATCGCAGGTACGTGAGCTCCATCTGGCCCTTTTCGCTGTGCTGTCGAAGGATTTGTTGCATGATTGTTGCGTGCAGCCATGCCGCCCGTGGGTTGCCGGCTAGCGTTTCGGCCGTGTACAGGGTGTGCATGTGCCAGTACGTCGACTTCGAGATCGTCCCGGACTCGCGCTTGAGCTTCTCATGCAAGATCGTCGTGCTCTGCGACCGGAACCGCAGAGCCTCGACCGCGAGTTCAGAGCTCTGCGTGACGTTTGAAGCGACCTGCGCCCAGCGTGCGAGGAAGCCCAGCGCGCCGCCTCTCTCGTGCAGGGACTGGACGGCGTCTTTCCAGTCGTCCATGGCGGCTGCCGTGGTTTTCCACCCGTCGGGTCCGGTGTGGTATTGCGATGGGATGGCGTAGTCGCGATAGAATTTGAGGATGTCGTTCACACGAGGGCAGACTCTGACGGCATGGGCGTCGAAGGGGTCGGAGTTCCCGCGGAAACGCCTGGTTACGGATGCATGGAATTGGGCGCTCTGGGATGCGGCCTGGGTCTCGTCTGAGGTGTCGTTCCTTGTGTCGCTTACATTGCTTCGTGCAAGTTCGTGGCCAGAAGAACGCAGAGCCTGCGACAATCAACAAGCACGTTAACAGACGGTTCCCTTAGCTAAGAAAATTGGATAGTATCTAGCACGAACGCGTGCATTTTGATTTCGTTGAAGTTGAGGGCATGACTGACCCTGTTGGTCAAAAATTTTGAATTCCTCAGCTCCTGTGCCGATGCCTTTCTCTGCCATGACCTGTAGTGTCTTTGGATGTGGCTGGAGACTTTTTGCCTGTTTGGCAACGCATTCATGTTTTTCGAATCATGATTGACCCAGAGCAACTCGGCTGAGTAGGCGGGTTTCTTTTTCTCCATGATACCAAGTTTTTGAAGGGGGAAATGGCTCATCGAGGTTCGCGACGAGGCCACGACAGCGGCCGTCGCACCTTTATCGACACCCATTCATTTGCTCATTTTGTTCCGGAGGGAGGTGGGCTTCGATGGCCATTTCGTGCTCGGATAACTAAGCGACGATGAGCTAATCGCTAAGCATGCGGCACGAAGCTCATTGGCGGGCTCTGGACTACCGAACACGGCAAGGAAGATAGGCTTGCATGACCCTTGTTAGCTTCTTACTGTTGACCGAGGTCGAAGGTCAGAAGCCAGAAGTGGTAAATGTACAATGGCCTGACCTGGTTCTTCCGTTACCAGATCTTCACAAGCACCGTTCATATACCTGCTACCCCTCACCTCGGATGGAAGAAGAGCAACAGAAACTTGAGCCGGGTGCTAAGATATACTGCAAAACTTATGCCCAGATACGGTATGCCAGAGACAAACAACGTTTACAAAGGAACAACGCTCCAACCAAAAGCAGATTTTTCTTTTTCATTCCCCCATCTGACTCGCACGTTGTGCAACACTAAAACCCAGATCCAAACCAAAAGGAGACAACCATTGTAGAGTCTCAGACTCCAGACTTTTCCCAAAAACGACTCTTTAAACCTCCGAACAAACAAACTCCCAAATTACCAAACAAACGCTGTCATTTTTGCAGGTGCAGGGTTGACTCACTGATTTTTGCGATACATACCTTTTGCAGTGCACCTAGTCTTTCACCGTTTCGAATATTCGACAGAGAGCCAGCCGCAACGTTAGCCGATCTGAATGTCGATCTGAATGCGAGGTAATCCTAAGCTCGAGCCGAAATGTATATTTCCCGAGTACGAGGTCGAAGGAAGTACTGTGCCGTCGCGACGACACTCATATTGAACTGGGACGACAGTGCCACCGCGACGAGATTCGTTCACAGGGACCCAGTGATCATTGCTGCCGTCGAAGGGGCGGTGTGTAGAAGTAGTATCCGCACGCGCTGAGCTTGATCCGTGATAACCTTGGTTTCGAGGGTCGAAGAGCTCAAGTTGACCTCCGCCTCCGGCTCCGGTCGCAGTTCTTCTAGACACCGAAGATGAAGGAGCACGTTTGATGATGGTCGGGAGTAGATGGGACGTAGCAGCATTGGAGCTTATCGATCGCGACATGGCACGCTCAATGACTTGATCAGCGAAGAAGTGACGAGAAGATGCTGGAGCGCGTCCAGATCCTCCTCCCCATCCTCCGCTGCCGCCTGCATTACGGCGCGAGTAGTCAGCAGCAGCAGCGGCCGCGGCCGCGGCGACAGTAGCAGACGGATTACAATGATAGTCTCGCGGAGGGGCCAAGTAGTCGGGATTGATGGTTTGTGCTCGACTGCTAGGCATCCCGTGAGGACTCACGTGGCGATTGGTGTTGCCTTGATGCGTTGACGCCATGCGACTGGGACTGGGGTTCTCGCCGTCCTCGCACGATCGACAGGGGTTTTCTGCCGGGATGCGCTTGGACAGGACTTCGAGGGGTTGTCGGTTTCGTTTGTCGCACGTCGCGTCCGGGGTGCAAATATCGTCTCGAGTCTCTCTGCTGACCACACTGCGACACCGAGGACAAAAGTATTCCTCCTTCTTCGCCCAACACATGCTTTCCGATTTATTTAGATGTGGCTGGGTTTTGAGGTCGGTGTAGGGTTGTAGGACGAACCTTGACTTGCTTTCGGATCGGGCCTGGAAAAGTTGGAGGCTGTGAGAGCGTTTTGGCAGTAGCAAAATGCTAACAACGAGCTCTCTCTCTTCTTCGGTCGAATCTCAAGGTCTCTCGCGTCCTAATCTGCAGAGCAAATGCTTGGTGAAGAAACTCGAAAAACCCTAACTGGAAGAAAGACCCTCTTTTTGAACGGGTTTCTCGCTCTTGAGAGAGTACCAAAGTTCGAGAGTCGACAGCCACTGTACAAGTCCAAACAATGCAGAAATCGAACGCTTCTGGTCGGCCCATAAAGAGGACATTGGAGCTTTGACAATGCCGTGTTACATCCGTTGCAGATGACTATCTTTGTTCAGGGTCACCGGCCTAATGAAGACTTGTTATCGACGCATAAAGAGTTTTGGAGGTTGATAGATTCTCGGAGACCACTTCTACAAAGAGTCATTGCTTCATGTGTTTGTTTGATGAAGCACGTTCTTTGTATTATCACCGCGGATGAAGTCGCGCTCTCCATCACTCAGTCGCAGAGCCACAACTAGTTAAGTAGTGCCTTGCTCTTAGGCTCTTGTGGTAGCTGACCAGATTCAGCAGTGGTGACGATCTCGGATCAAGTTCATTCAAAAGGATGTGCACATGTACAGCCCCTGGGAGATTTTTGGTGAGGCTTTCGGGAAACGGGGGCCCATGGTGACCAAACAAAATACACCAAGTCAAGGGGGAACTGCACCGCTTGGACCGCCAGCAAAAGTCGGGAGTTTTCCCAAAGCATGGAGACTCAAGAGACTTGTTCAATAATGTTGAAAGGATTTTGATTGCGACAATAGATCCTGTACGAGACTTGTTTACAGCCTCACAACTTCCCTCTCGCGAGGAATCTTGTCGGGATGTCGACGTACCTAGACCGTAAATATTCTGCCGTATTCTTCCCTAGAAAGTCGACGGTCGCCGTACTGTTCGCCCCTCTGTCTAACAAATTCCTAAACAAAAAGTGCACGCCTCGCAAATTCGGCAGTTCGAAACGGTCGATTTCAATCTTTGGCACTCTCGAAGTATCGTACTCCTTGCCAAGCAGAGTCTTGATGGTCTCAACCGACAACAAATTCTTCAACCACACAAACTCATCCTCATTCCTGACCCAAAACCCACAATTACAATCTGCGCCCTTGTCTCCGGAGCGGGCATTGACAATCGTTCCTAGTGGGAGTCGCTCCGTTGGTCCGAATTTGGATAGATCGATCTGCAAGGTCGCCATGGCCTGGCTGGGTTGTCTCTCTGGGAAGACCTTGGACACCGTCGGTGGTGGAATCAGCGTCTCCTCGCCCTCGAAATGCACCTTGTGTGCCACCTTGGACTGATCCAACAATGTGACGTAGTATTCAAAATAAGGCTTCGGAAGGCCCATACGGAAATCCAGATGGAATGTAGCCCCCGGATATCCTTCCATGATGTTGTCAATCACTGGTCTCAAGAATTTGGCTGGCGCAATGTCGTCTGCTCTGCGTGCCTGAGCGAACACGCGGAACACTGACGTCGCTGCGTTTTGATTGTCCGCGTCCGGCAGCGGTCGGCCCAACACGTTGAATGCCAGGGTTGTGTACTTGTCGGAATACGGCTTCAGACCGTTTCGAATTTGCGCTTCTGTCATCCGTGCTTTCTCGTCGACATCTAAACCTGTCATAAAATAGAATGCTTCAGCTTGGAAGCCTCCGCGGGCAGTGAGACCAACTTTGGTCGTCGGTGGTGGCGGAAGTCCTTGTACACCGTGTAGAGCGACACGATCGGGTGCGAGCTGCTCAAACCAGAGTTGGTCCAGGACTGCAGTGACATCTGAATTGAAATACCACGGGCCTTGAATTTCGTACAGCAATTGTGACGAGCACGTGTGTATCGACACAACACCACCCGAGTTTTTCTGCTTGGTGATTACCACGGACCCAGTTTTGGATATCTCAGCGATAGGATAACCTATATCGACCCATCCCTGGGGTGAATGCTCAATGGCTTTGAAACCACTAAAGTTGCCTCCAGTGACATAGTTCGAGCACTCTATGAGGTGACCGGCCACAAAGGCGTTGGCCAATTCGTTCAATTGGGAACGTTCCCACCCGTGAAACCAGTACGCTGAGCCGATAACAGGAGAAGCATCAGCGACACGTCCACAGACAACAATCTGAGCTCCTTGTGCAAAAGCTTCAGCGATTCCCAGCCCACCCAGATACGCATGGGCGTATATTGGCTCAAATTCCCACGATGACAAGATAGCGCCAGTGTAGATGTTCTTGAATTTTGAAGAGCCGTCTTGTAATCCGGCGTTGATAGCGGGGAGGACTTCATCGCCGGAGATCCATGCCACGGGGATATCTAGGCCCTTGTTCTTGACCATCTCACAAACAGTCGTGTACAATGCCTCGGTGTCGGCATTACCAGCATTGGCCGCGAGTTTGATCTTGTACTTGGCAAGATCCTCTAGCGCAGGTTCGAGAGCTTCCAAGAAGGATGGTTCGAAAGCAGGACCGCCACCCAGCATCGGATTTGGATCAGAAGTTTTGCTGCCTTGCTGGTCCATCTTCCGACCTGCCGCTACCGTCATATTGGCTTCGGACATGAAGTCACATATGATGACATCGACAGGATCTGTAGGATACGATCTTGCAAACGAGGAAACGGCATGTCGACGATCAGACGCAGAGCCAGAAGCACCTATGCCATCAGCTATCGCGTTTCACGTTTTGCCTGTTGTTCCTTACCTGCAATCCGAATGGGTCTGGACGCCATATCGGTAGCTGAACTCTTCCTGGGGGATTACAAAAGACTCTGAAAAGATCGACTGCCTAACCCGTATCCGCGTCGGAGATACATTTTGGGCGGAAACGACTCTTTTGAAAGTGACTCCTGGACCGTCAGAAAGTACACGTCGGTTAACAAAAAGTTGGAGCCGAAGACGAGATTCCCGAGGTTCGGATAATGAATAAAGGCGGAGAAGGTCCAAGTCATTCCACAAGGCTGACAAGACGAGGCTGAGAGGTCACGTGGATCGATGACGCACCGCCGGAGAGATGGCGACCTGCACGAAACGACCGAACTAAGCCGGAGGCACAACATAGAACACTTTCGTTGGGTACTCTTCGTATTCGTGTGTATGTAGTACCTGATTCCTATCAGGAAATACAGAGGCTTTTTCATCAACCTTGTTGAGCTCGAAGCTCGCGACCTACGCGGTCCATGTGAGACAAGGGAAATAACATCATCTCGGCCATGCTAGCTGACCATCATCACCGATTGCAATCTTGAGGATCCGTCCATGCTCCTATTCCTTGCCGATAATGGCTTCCAAGGGACACCACATTCTTGTCGTTCGTTGGTGTCGTCGCTCTCAACCAAAATGTCAATCGCCATGTTTTTGTTGTACACAGCCAACAAACCATCCAGCAGAATGATGATGGTAAGGGGTCATCGTGAAACGAAATAGAACAGAACTTTTGTTGACAAACACCCTCCCATACCAACTAATGACGCTAAAGTGATTGCACTGCTCACAACGACAAAGGAAACCGTATTTTCCCGCTCCAATCGGAAGAGGAAGAGTGGACGAACGCCTGCGGTCCCAACATGCTTAATGTTTACTAGATCCCGCTGCGTCAGCATGTTGTACATCAACGAGGCAGGCTTAACCAACCTTCATCGGCGCATAGTTGCCGTACGAGTGAGCAGGAGGCATCCCCATTGAGGGGTAGATGGGTGGAGGCGGTGCAGGGCGGTATGGTGTGCCGGCAGGTCCTGAATTGTTCTGGCTTCGGCCCCAGCTGAGACGGACGCGCGAGTTACCGATAGGATAACCTTGCATCTGGTTGATGGCCATCTCAGCGGCATGGCGCTGGACGAATTGGACAAAGCCACAGCCCTTGCCAGGTGGGATCTTGACATATGTGATCTCACCAAAGCCTTGGAAGAAAGAGCGCAGCTCATCCTCGGTAACGTAGCCCGACAGACCTCCAACGAAGACGGTCGTGTTGTTGGGATCAGTGAATTGGTTCATAGGCTGGATTGACTGCTGGCCACCGTAGTACGGCATCGGGGGCCCTCCCATTGGTGGGTAGCCCATTGGACCAGCACCAGCGCCAGGCATGCCCATGCCACCACCGCCACCACCACCCATCGGTCCTCCCTTGTTCTTTGGCGTTGCAGTCGAGATGCGCATGGGGCGGTTGCCGCAGTAGACACCCTGCATTTCAGTCAAGGCGCGTTGCTGGTCACTCTCGTCGGAGAAGCGGACGAAACCATAGCCACGAGACATGCCGGAGAGTGGATCGGTCATGATTTTGGCCGACTTGCACGAAGGAAATCGGCTCTGGAACAGAGAGACCAGGACATATTCATTCACTTCTGGGCCCAAGTCGCCCACGAAAATTGAGTACTCTGGACCGCGGTCGTCGCGTCGATCGGCCAAACCACCACCCGAAGCCCAATTGAGCTTGAATGGACGGTTAGAATTAGGCATAGGTTGTCCACTGAGTTGCAGGGCTTTGGCTGCGGCCTGTGGGGTGGAGAAATCGACGAAACAATAACCGGCATTGCTACTACCATGAGTTCAGAGACATGAAGAATTAGAAAGGCAATTTGTACTTACCCTGAGAACTTGTCGCGAATCATCTTGACGCTGACCTGTTCGCCCATCTGGAACCAAAGATTCCGAATGAAGTTTTCATCAACCCAGGGCTCGAGCTCACCCATCCTAGGCAAAATCAGTCCCGAAATAGTTAGAGTAAATAGAGCTCAATGGGTGCTTACCAGAGAGTAGTCTTTCCTTCAGCTCCGGGGCCAGATTGAGGAGTGCCGCTCACGTTAGGAGGCTGGAAACCGATTTGCTGCTGAGCCGAGGGGTCGGTGGGCTGACCTGGTGCAGCTCCATCCGGTTGAGGAGGAACTGATCCGGGCGCGCCATCTTGCTGAGCATTGGGAAACTGACCATAACCTTCGAAAGACATGATGAAACCCGAAAGATTGAACTGACAGATTCAATGTGAAGTTCTGGGGTCTTTGAATCAGCAACTGTCAGAAGAACACTCAGGCTAAATTGAGGTATTTTCAAACAGTCCGCCTATTGTTTTTTTTTTTGAAATCGAACTCTGTTGAAGCCCTCGCGCGAACCAAACTCACCAGAGGCGAAGTGAAGATGGAACTTCACGAAAGTGGTCGCAGGGAGGATATTGAAAGAAGTATGCTCAAAGGTGAACGGCTTTTAGTGCAGAGAACAATATCCCGAAGAGCGATCTCGAAAGGCTGCAAGGTGCTGAAGCGATACGAAGTGGTCTTGGAGAATCGAATGTGAATATGTGAAGTCTAAGTGAGGAAAAGTCAGCGCGAGTCTCTCACATTCACATCAACATGCTGCGCCAACGCCCGCTCTAGGCAGAGGCGCAAAGCCACAAAGGAATCTGCGTGCTCGCGCATGGCAGCAAGAGTGTGCCTTCTTGCAACCCTCATGGCTATTTCCAGAAGTGGTCCAGCATTGTTCTTTTGGCTTCATCATCGGTCTCACGAGCAGGCCCCTCTGGCGCTGTATGACCTGGCCCAGCTGCCTTGTGTGTGTCGCATTGCGACCAGGAACCCTCCTCTTGCATCCAAGGTCTATGTCGAAGGTGTAGGAAGGATGTCGCACGTACCGGATCAAATGCGCAGTGGTTTAAATGGGGGCCAAATAACAGCCAAAGCGACAGATTCGACAGGCAAACTCGAGGAACTCCGAGATTCAAGGAAGCGCCAGATAGAAGCGAGAAAGCAAGTAGCACTGCAAGACTAAGAAGACGCGCAGACAACAAGGGACACCAAAATATGGGAGCGAGGTTGCGGTAAAGGTAAAGAGAGAGGAAGAAAAGAGAGAAAGCAGGGCAGTGGTGGGTGGGAGGTGGAGGAAGAAGGCGGATTCTGTCTGTTCTCGAGTGAGGTAAGGTTTGGAGTCTGCGGTGGGCAAGGACAAGCGAGGGATGGTCCGGTAGGCGGTGATTCGGCAGGCTTCTGGGCAGGATGGAGACTACACGCGCACAGTTTAGGCTGCCACCCGCGACACTTTTGGCGTTGGCTTTAGTTAAGGGACCATGCCCAGCTTCGGCACAGACGGGCTGGACTTGGGCACTGGCTCAGCCGGCCATTTTAGCTTCTCGCCTGGAAGTCTGGATATGCAGGCACCGTTTGCGCCCAACTGCACCTTCCGCCCACGCCCCCCAGAATGAGGTATCTTCCCATGCCCACCACGCGTCTCCCTGCATCAGCTATGCGAATAGTTCCCTCTTCATCAACCCAAGCTCAATATCTGCTATTGTTTATTGTCTGTGCGAATCTCACCAGGAGGACCCTCCACCCACAACGAACATCCCTCGCTCTGATCTGTTGTCCAACCTGCTGACATTTCCAGTCACCTGTCTCATCCGAAGAACGCCATCTGACCGTGATATCCGTCTCTCACAAAAGTCTACCCCTCCTCTTCTGGTGCCCTAACGAACTAGCAGCAAACTATACTGTGCTCCCCCAAACTCGATCGAGCTTCGTGCTCCCCAATCTTACACCAACGAAGCTCCAAAAAGACAGCTGGGACTATTGCGCCACTACCTGTCAAACCCGGATACAGGACAGCTATTTGCTCCTCTTAACCGGCTACCAGCCCGGGCCAACTCCACTATTGGGTCAGGTCCTTCGATCGAGTTCTGCCCGACGCCAGCTGTCGACCTGAACCCCTCCAAAGTATCTCTCGAAGCCAAAAACCAGAGTGACCACCAAAAAAGCAAGAAAGAATTGGGGAAGACCATGATGACAACTACACGTACAGGTTGAATCCTCCTCCACATAGCACACGGGAACGGAGGATGACTGACCTTCTTCAAGACCCCTGACTACTGGCTTGTCAATAGTTTCTGACACCTGCCATTGTGGCACCCGAATATTGCTGTATACTCAGTCCTAGGTGCATAGCTGCCTGTGGGACACCCGCAACCGAAAAGCTGTATGTACCATTGCGTACGGCATACGCCTACCGGTTCATCAACAAGGCATGAGAAACAGGCCCATCAAGCCAATCAGTCAATCTACTCCCAATCGGTGCAAATGACCTGCATATCCGAATGGCCAAAGGGCTGATCGTCCTGGCGCCGGCCTCGCCTATCGACACTGCCGCAGTAGCGAAGCCCCTTTCGGACGAGCTGGAACAACGAAAAGAGGAACCCCGGTTGGTGGCTGGTGGCTGGTACTCCGTACTGTAGGAAGAGGGATGCTTGCCTGGTGCCCCTGAAGCATGAACTCAAGGACGCAGAAGTAGCTTGAAGCACTCGGTATGGTGTTTTCAAGCTCGCAGGCGACAATGGCGTAGACAAGAGCACGGGTTTCATAATTGCATTGCCGCAAGGGCGGAAACCTCAACCGCTCCCACGAAGTTCCGAGTCAAAGCTGACATGCGATAGGTTTCAATTGAGCCTAACGAGCCTTAGTGAGCCCGGTCGAGCCCTAGCTAACTGGTTGTGGGTTAACAACGGCCAGTTGAGCAAGCCTCGGATACGAGTATTCTCTCAAGCCTCGCCTTTTGTCCTTGCGCAACCAAAATCCTGCTATACTGTACATTTTCTGCTCTCGTCACACTTGTTGATGCCCAAAGGAACCATGCGCTAGGATAGACCCTACCAGCGGCCTCTACTGAGGAGCCCTGCGTGGCCTCACCGCCGTCTTTCCACACTCAAGGACCAGCTTCTTTCGGACTCCCGTAACGCTCCTCGTACCGATCAATGTGCTCCTTAAACCTACGACTGGTCCCTTACCTCTTAGTCTCAAGCCACCGGTTACACAAGACCATTTTACGAGATCCCGGCTGCAGAAGTGCGCAATGATTCTTCCGACCCCTTCGCTCCCTCTGCAGGGAGTAGTTTACCCACCAACTGCCAACCTTAGATGAACTCTCGAGGCAGGGCGTCGTCTGGCCAGAGCTGGCGATTGCACCCCCTTTTCATTTGCTGTACCCTGTATGCGGCTGACGACAGTGCAATGACATACGCCTAACGAAGAGATAGCAGTCTATTGTTCTCTCGCATCTAGCCACCTTTTCGGCCCCACCGCATCTACACTCACCGTTATTACTGCGTTAAGATGTGCCTGGAAACCAGGAGGACTAGTTAGATGCACGTCGTCATTATCACGATCCTTCCATCCACCCTGAAGAAGATTCCGGCTCCTTCAACGCTCGTCCGACTCCCATTTGGCAAAACAAATCCTGATAAGACTGGAATGCACTCGTTTGACCGTGCTTGGCCGTGCTGGTACTATACGGTACTTCGTTACTCTCACCCCTCAGAACACGGAGTACGGTGTTGTGGAAGTTTGCATGATTTGACAAGTGTGGCTTGAATCTTGATGATATTTCTTACGTTAATCCTTGACAAGATCTCGCCCTTCTCCTGCACTTGTACTCGTACTAGGTACCTTAGGTATGTAAGCCCCCCCAGTTTGCATTTCCTGAAGGTACCTTATTCGTCGTGCCGTTCCTCTACACCGAATTGCACCTCGGCCTCCGGAAATACACACAAGCCACATAACGGTTGACCCCCGGGGGGGATCTCGGTACCTACTGTTGAGAACCTACATTGAGCTCAGCACAGCGATCCATTCGCCCAAGTACTCCTCTACCTCTACCCCTGCGAGTACCTGTGGTCAGTTTTGTCACAAAGCGAGCGCCACTTCTTCATTATTTTGTTGTTGTCTTGTTCCTCTCATTTGGTTGATATCTGTCATTCCATAAGCCGAGCTAGCGGTCTTGAGTTCGCTGGCGTGCGCTCAACCTACAACCACAAAATCAAGCTCATGAATGGATTCCCGGGGCATGTTCATTGCTATGGGAGTCTACTTCTCGTCTGATGAAGAAAGAAAAAAAGCAAATCATCTCTCGTAGCACTTCGACGTGCGCTCTAGAAGATGGAGAGGAGAGGAGATGGGATGCATCCCGATGTACCCTCGTACTCGTATGGCGAATGCCTCTTCCCGTCCCGTCGGTCTCCAAGCACCAATTTAAGTTCCTGCCTTGCTTTTGACCGAAATCCCACGAAAAGCTCACTTCTATTCCCTTCCCTTTTCTGGCACCTGAAAGTTCTTTCGACATGTCGTCTCAAGACCGGATTACCCCCGGAATACCATGGTGCCCTAAAACGCCGTAAATGCCGTAATGCTCCTAAAGCTCAAGCTCAAGTTCAAGTTCAAATTCAAGTGCTAGCTCATGTTCGTGCTGGTATCGGACCTTTTCATTATCTTGACGAAAGTCAGCCTGTGTGAAGGAAATCGTTTCAGATGCCACGTTTGTAGTCGGGAATTTGGTTGTCCACGGGTTGCCAGGCCGTCTCTTTCGTCAAATATCGCACGTCCACCAGCCTCTTGTCCTTGGTACCAATCTTTTTGATGAAGGCTTCTTCCTCAAACCCAAAACTTTCCAACCACTCCTTCAACCAGATCGAGTAGTCGTCTTCTCTGTCGTCGATTCTCGCAGCCTTGCTGAAGTCTTTCTTTTCTTCGCGCGGTTTTGCCGCCTTGCGCTTTTCATACAGGCCGTTGGCACGACCGTAGAAGGAACCTTTCGCGTAACCCCAGTCCTTTGATGCTTCGGTTGCGAGATGCAGCTTGTGCTTCTGTTCAGGCGTGATGGGTCTGTTGAAGCTACGCACTTGAAAGATGACCTTGGCCAAATCGCGACCTCCGCCCGAGTTGTAAAGATGTCTGATCTCCGGCGCGGCGTGGAAGTCATAGCCGCCCTTGTTGGCGTGCCCTCGGTCAGTGGCGTCGAGGAGGGCGTCCATGAGGCACCTACCCACGCCCTTCTGACGGAACTCAGGATCGACATAGATCTCCAGCTCTGCCGTTGTGGTCTCAATGTAGTCGGACGCTGACCAATCAGTTGCAGCAGCCCATCCGACAATGTTCTCGTCTTTGACTACAGCATTGTAGGTGGGGTCCGTATTTTGGATTGGGTGATTCGGGTTGACGCGACGGATTGGAGGCTTGCGGCGGGAATTCTTCCGATTTCGTTCCACGGCAACGATGAAAGGAAGCCGCGCTGATGTGGACATATTGTGCCGTGCTTCCATGTCGTCCTCAGTGATCTCCAGAAGTTCGGATGGACGCACACCGTGCTCAATGTGCCAGTTGTAGATACGGGTCATCCCAGCATAGTCAGTTCGGACGGCTGGGCGAAGGTATATATTGGTCTTGAGCGGTTTGGGGCCTTCAGGCTCAGGAGGGGCAGGTGTTTCGATCTTCGAATTCTCTGCAAGTAAGCGTCGAGCCTGAACTTCTTCATGTTTGCGCATGAGATACATCATTCGTCGGTCGATGAATGTCTGCGCAGTCTCATCTCTGTATTTCATGGTTTCGAAATCATCATGGTCGACCTTGGTGGCTGCCACGAAATCTGGCAAAGTTACACCGTTAAGCCAGGGTATTTCGCCAACTCCGACACATCCATAGTATTCCGCATTCTCAACGGTCAGTAACGTATCTCTCGAGACGAAACCGATGCCATCAGGATGCTTTGTGATATCTTGCACTTCCTCAATAGGAAGTGCGCCAAACTCGAATTCAATGCTTGAATCTTGACGCTGAGTAGACGGCGAATATCGAAGAACGTTGTGCATGGTTCGAACGGTATTCTCGCCTAGCCAACCCTCAAGACCACTGATGAAATTCGGGTCGTTGCAATGATACCTATTACGGTGTTCCCAGTCCACAGGAGGTGGTTGCATCCGCCCATCCCAACCAACAAGGTCGCATTTGTCCCTTGATGATTCTTGGCGCTTGACGGTCTTTCCATTTTCGCCATCGTTGGCCCAAGCCATCGGCATGATAGAATCATCGTTGCTGATTTCTGTGCCTTCGGCATCGCTGTCGAGGTGGAATGATGACTCTTTCGACTCTCGCCGATGCACCCAATTCCCACGACCGGCGAGAGCTGCCGGAGCGGGAGATAGAGTTTTCGCCAGAGAGGGCTGGGACGTGACATTTGTGTTCGTCTGTGCAGAGTCAATGCCATCTGAAGAGTTGTTTATTCCGCCAGTTGTTGCTGAATCCATGTGAGGACCAGATCTGTCTCCAACAGGGAATCGTGATCGGTCATCAGCTTCTGCTTGGGGCATTTCAAGGTCGCTTGGAGACGACATCTGGTTACCATGCATGAATAGCTGCTCTCCAGACTTCTTCGCGTTGTTTGCTTTATCGGGGGTGTTGGTTTGAACACCTTTCGTTATACCTGGGTCCTCATGGACTATCCCAACGCGTGGCAAAGCTAATTCTGCGGGCGTAATGAAATTTGCAGCGGTGTCTGGATACACAGGCTTCCGCAGGAAGTCCAGCGTCGTCAATCCAGTGTTCACAGTCTCGCCCTTGGCATTTCGTCTCATACGCACATTTACTTCCCGGAGACCAGCTCCCTGCAGTCGCTTGATGACATCTTCCGGACTCTCCCCTTCTTGCTTCAAGGTATCATAGGTTGCGGGCTGCTCCTCGTTTGCTCGTGTCGAAGTAGCGTGTGCGAGTGCCCAATCGCCAGAGTTACTAGGATGATGCTTTGGGTGTACCGGAGCAGGAGATGGATCTGCACCAGAGAGTTGACCAGCAGACTTGTTACAGATGTTCTTAGGTTGTGGATCGTCCTTGGAGGGAGATTGGCGTGCATGCTTGGAGCCTGAAGCAGATCCATTGTGGTGCGGTTGTGTTGGGAGGCCACTAGGCGGCTGTGAGGGGTGTCCGTAGCTTCTCTTGTCAAACCCAGGTATTTGAATGGAACCATACCATGTGGTGAAATGCCCTGGTGGAAGATATGATGCTGAAGTAGAAGCGGTGGCTGACTCATGTTGCGAGGCTCGTGGCGTCGAACTCGACGCTTTGGTGGGTGGCTGTTGATCAGGGACGACTGTGTAGGTCCCTCCTCTGGACGAAGAGGTGCCGTACTTGTCGGCGTGAAGGCCTTCCATGGTTTTGTCGAGAACAAATATGAGCCAAGTGGGATGTGCGCGGGAAGAAACAAGCCAGGCGGTCAAAGAGATGAAGGAAGGAGAGAAGATGGCGCAACGTGAGCGAAGAAGTTAATGTACCTTGATATCACCAGATGCTCGTCTTGGCACGGAGGAATAGAGACGGTCAGCGTGGATGTGAAGACCTGGCGAGAGCCTGATGAAGCGAAAGTGAGGGTGAGCCGAATATGCTTTGCTTGGTCCCAGACTCTGGAAAGGCAGTCAAGAAGGTCCTCAACTAACAGGTGCACACAGCATAGGCCATGCTCTGCAGATCGGGAAGAGACTGTGCTGCCTAGTATCAGGGCTCATTGGCACCTCCAAGGAGTGCAATTAAAATGTGATAGAAGGACAGGTGGTTGTCATGCTGGCCACTACAGCAGCTGGAGGAGGGTACTGGGCTTGAAGTCGCTTAGTCTCGGCTGAGACGCACATTCACCTGTCAGGCCAGTGGAAGTGCATGGGCCTGTTGGCGGAGACATGAAGTCGTTGATAAGACGACGTAGACATGGACGAGAGCCATCGAGGAAATGAAAGGTGAGGGTGAGGTGAGGAAGAAGAAGGTCCCAGGCACAGCCCACGAAGTGTTTTGATACACAAGAGCCGTTTTTGGGTTTTCTCGAATCTGCTTAGCGGCGGCTGCATGGACGATGCAGACTTGCAACGTCTGCCAATTGTCGATGCCTGTGCTGCAGCCAGAGACTCAGGAACGCATTCTTCGTGTAAGGTACACACACCCACACAAACACGTCATCAACAGAGAACGAGCCTCTACAGAGCAGTTCCAGGCCCCTCAAGGCTGGCGTTGAGTGCCTCTCCCTCTGGTGCCACAAGGAGGTCACCCAGACAATGCAGCCCAGCAGCATATACTAAGACGGTCTTCCCGGATCATCAGCTCCTCCGACCGGTCACATTGACAAGCAAAAGCAATGCTGTCAATACTGCGCAAAGCGCGCTTGAAGGACAAGGAACTGCGGATATTGATGCTGTACTCACCCTCCTCCCTCTTTGAAAGTGTGCAGGACTAATTCAGAGAACAAAGAGGACTGGACAATGCTGGAAAAACAACCATCGTCAAGAAGATCATGGACGAAGACGTCAACACGGTCAGTCCAACGCTCGGCTTTATCATCAAGACCATTGACTTCCACGGGTAGGTGTAGTCTCACACTGCGTGAGAGATCTGTCCTTCTAATGCGCGCCAACCTACAGCTACAAGCTCAATATCTGGGACGTCGGAGGCCAAAAGACCATCAGATCCTACTGGAGAAACTATTTTGAAAAGACAGATGCCCTCATTTGGGTGGTAGATGCCACTGATAAGCTGCGCATCGGAGACTGCAAAGCCGAGCTGAAGGGCTTACTACAGGAAGAGGTGAGTCTCATTTTCCGTGATGCCTGAAACCCTGTCCCATCCCGCTGACTTAGCTATGTGGGACAGCGTTTAGCCGGTGCGAGCCTGTTGGTGTTCCTGAACAAGACCGATGTGGCCGGCGGGATGGGCGAACAAGAGGTCACAAAGGCCCTGGAACTCGAAAGAATCCTGACCCATCGATGGGTGGTGGTCCCCTGCAGTGCCATGACAGGAGAGAATCTGGAAAAGGGCCTAGACTGGGTGGTGCAGGATGCCAGAGACCGGCTGTTCTTGTATTGACGATGCTGGCATACCTACGAGGCAGTAAATGTGAAACAAGTGCTTCAGGACATGCTGGGGACCCTTGCAGCACTCTCAGGCCGCAAAGTGGCCATTGCATTGATGGAGACAGCGACACCAGGCCAGATGCGAGACCGCAGCATCAGCCTCACTATCATGGCCACACTAGCCTGGGTTGTAGAGAAGTGTCCGGCACCCAGATGCCTCCATGTTCGAGCGTCCAAGTAGCGGGCTTTGCATTGTTTATTATTCTGCCACGAGAATAGCACGACGCCCGAGGATGATCAATGATGCGCCTATCGATTGCGCGGCTGAGACCCGCGCAGTTGAGTTTGCAAGCCGCGATTAGCTGTGCTGTAAATACTTCCCGTACCTGGAGCTGCGGCTGCGGAGACGCGCCCGAGTCTTTCGCCTGCGCAACGCCATCCAACATCAACAACATTCAACGCTGCAGGAAAAATAACAACATCCGCAATTCCATGCTTGTACGACTCCACACAATCTTTATCTGCATCGTTCACTCAGCCTGCGCGCCTGCTCTTCCCTGACCTTCCTCTGCCGCATTCTTTCGCTTCATGTCGTCGAGCGCCGGTCGTTCCTCAGCAAACCACTCGCTCCTTTCAGCTCATCGGGAAATGCTGGCGCCCTTCAGCTGAAATCCATCCCATATCATCCTTCCACATCCAGGCCCGATCATGAACGCGTCAAACGATGGCTCCGAGTCCGTGGACGAGTTCCTGGCTCGGATCGCCAGTCTGAATTCGCGACAAGGCCAGGAAGAGGCAGAACGATCGAAACGAATGGAGGAGGAGATGATGCAAGCTAGAAAAGAAAGACAAGCAAGAAGAGCGGGTAGGAACGAGTCCTCACATTGATATTAAGTGGAGAGAATATTAACGATAGCTAGAGCGTGCTCGTTCTTTGTCTCCTTCAAAGACTGGTCCCACGCCATCTTTGCGGCTTGCTGGCGACACTGCAGCCAAACTTGGCTCTGGTATCGATCCGCCAGTCGCTCTCACACCTCCGTCCCAATCACGAACGCTTGGTCGAGCCGGGTCAATGTCTCCCAAGGGAGATCGCACGCCAATTGCGTCCGTTGATTTCTCTCGGTCCCTTCCACGTCCGCCGTCTGATATGCAGTCAATGCCGAGCCCCCCTGCCAATGCGACTACTCTATCGCGGAGCGGAACGTTATCATGGCAGCAACGGCCATTGTCGAGAGGCACTGGTTCATTCAGGTCAAGACCGCAATCAATCGCGTCCCTTGCCGATGTTAGTCCAAATCCACGACCAGAGCAAGCAAAGCTCTCCGCCGAGATATCTAGACAAGAAATTGCGGCTTCTCTCGGTGCTAAAGATCCATCCTGGTTCCGCCAGACCGCAGACCGAGGCCTGAGTTCGGCGGCTTATCGGAAGAATGAGAGCGACGCCGACGAAGTTGCATCGTTCTCCAACCGGAGCATGAGACTGCCCGGCATGTCGAGAGATTTCAACAATGTCAACGAGCGTCCTATGGCGGAGCCACAATCATCTACTCCATCTGCTTCACCCCAGAAACAAGCATCCACGCCGACGCTAGATCATCATCAAACACCTGTTCTAGAGCCCACTCGCCCCAGCAGACCTGCCTCCATGGCGGCTTCTTCCCCAACGAGATCTCCAGTACTGGAATTGCCCACCTTCAAGCCTCTGGAACTTACCATAGTACAAGATTCTGACGAGTCGGGCGTTGGGCGCACACCAAGTGTGCTCTCATCGACTGCGCGGCCAGCTTCTCCCACCAAGGGCCTTGGTGGCTTTGTCCAAAGCGCAATGATGAAGAGATCTGACAGCGTCAATAAGAGATGGAGTGTACAGGCAAACGCTGGTTTGAAGCGTGGAGATTCCATCGCCAGTGCTAGACCCGTTAATCTGTCCAGCTTCAGCCCGAGCCACAGTCGAAACTCCTCCAAGGATGCAAGGGGGCTCACTGAGGGTAATTCTTCGCCGTTGTCAAATTCAAGACCGGTTTCAAGCCATGACTTGGATCCCGTGTCTTCCGTAAGAGGCCGATCGCTTCTACAATCAAATGGCAAAGAGGCTGAATCATACTCTCCGCCTTCCAAGCCCGTCGAGCCCTCGGAACCGACATCGCCGAAGGCTAAAGAACCTCAGACCACATCACCACCCCCCGAATCACCACTGGGCCGAAGTCCTTCCAAAACCATGGATCCTCGCCGCTGGAGCCCAACAAAGGCCAGCTGGCTCGAGAGTGCCCTGAATAAACCAGACTCTCCACGATTCACGCCAGCCAAACCGGAAATACCAGCCTGGAAGCTGAACATGCAACGGTCAAAGCTAGAGCAGCAATCCCAGACAACAGTAGCAACGTCTCAAATAGGACCCGGGCCTAAAGCTGCAGCTGATCAATTAAAATCCCCATCCACTAGGCCAGCATCGCCACTTAAAAGCCTTACCGGAAAACATCCAGGTCCTGACTCAGCACCACGGAGTGAGGGCTTGGACAAAAGCCTAGAAGCATCGTCGAAAACCTCGGACAAGCCTCCATCTGTATCGACCACAGACGCCAATGCCGAGAGAAAGGATGCAAAGCCTGTTGTGCCGTCTAAGAGAAACGTAACACCGGTGCTAGCAGCGATATCTTCCGCGAAAGAGGGGGAAGACCCTACACTGAAACAGGACCAGGCAGAAAAACCAGAGCGCAATACCGACGTCGAGATTCCTGATAAGATTGAGCAAAAATCGATCGCCAAAACGCTTCCCCTCAAACCCAAGCCGCAGACTCCTCCCAAAATGGATTTCCGAAGCAACTTGAAGCCACGTGAAGCTACTCCGGGAGGCAGTAGCGATGCCGAACCGGAGTTCAAGGCAATATTCGGGAAACTCAAGCGTGCTCAAACTCAGAATTATGTTGCCCCTGACTTACTCAAGGATAACATTGCGAGGGGGAAGGCCGCACTCAACGTTACCGGAGGGCCACAGAAGACGAAGCGGGTCGATGAATTCAAAGAGAGTATTCTTCAGAAGAAGGAGGCCATGAAGGCAGGTGGAGGTTCGTCAGGGCAGCGACCTTTGTCAGGCGCTTCATTGGACACGTCAACGGATACTATACCGGAAGCGTTGGCTCGCAGAAAGACATTGCACCGAACTGCCGCTTCTGCAGAAAAGGTCGACATAACGAAAGCATTTGATTCGCCTGACAAAGCGACGACAGTAGCCCTTACTCCCAGAGACGGCTCTGACAAGCCCCCAGCGCCGAGGAACAAGCCGTCTGTATCTTCTCAGGTCACCAGCGGGTTACTATCGAAATCCAAAGATGCTCCAGCCCAGACAGCTAATTTACAAGGGGTAGCAGCGACGCATGTCAAGGAAACCCCATCATCGAATCCGAAGCAGCAGCAAACGCCAGCCACAAATGCCAAAAAGCATTCTGAGACTTTCAATGCTGGGCCAGTTACTTCAGACAAAGCAAAGGTGCCAGAAAACAGCAAAATTGCAGCACGAATAAACCCTGCACTTGCTGGTCTATTATCTCGCAGTGGAAGTCCTAGGGTGCCAGGAGAGCAATCATCACAAAATGGCATAGGGATGCAAGTGTCCTCGGGCGAGCGAAGCTCAAGCGACAGCGCATCAAACAGTGCCCAGGAATTGACGCATATGACAAAGGGTCGAGCAAGAGGCCCAAAGAGGAGAATTCCAAAGTCTGGTCCGCCCAAGGTAGTTGCACCGTTGACGAAGGAAGCGACCACAGAGCGCTCGAATACATTGACGGCGAGTGACTCCTCTCTAACAGGCGCGCAAATGAAGCCCTCCGATCTACAATCACTACCACCCTTGAGTCCCAGGCTTCAGTCAACGCAGCCGAGATCCAAGGATGGGCCTCCGGAAAATTCTGCACATCCTCTAAAGAAGCCAGTTGCAGAACTATTTCAAAAACCGGCTCCTGCAGGAGCAAAACCTAGAGTCATCCATCAATTGGATGGTGCTTTCTCAAACGCTCAGGCGTCAGCACCGGAGTCGACGTCAAAACCTCGGCCAGCCGTGGCTAACAAATCTGCAGAAGTTCGGAAAGTGTCACAAACAGCCAATCCTCCCAATAGTCTCGGCGGGCATGTTCCTTCGAAACCAGCCACTCCTAAAAAGTTTGACGTTCTTAATGATCGATCTCATCCTGCAACTCCACCTCTTGAGTCCCGTGGTGACAAGCCAAGCGGCCCGGCTTCCGCACTACCTTCAGCCATGCCTTTAACCCCAAGCAAATCAAAACTCAACACACCAAAAGCCGCCAAGACTCCTGCTGAAGCCGTGGTCAAACCAGCTATGACGACTCCTAAAAACAATGGACTAGGAGTGCAATTGGGAGCTTCAACGAAGAAAGTAGTTGGCACACCAATGCTGACACCGCCACCGGAGACGGAAGTTGCATCGGCTCGGTTGCTTGCTTCGCCTCGCAAGACATCATCGCCGTCAAAGTCGTCATCCACAGTCAAACCTCGACTCGAGGAGTTCTTCGGTGTTCTGCCTTCAGCACGCGACAAGGCAGATTTCAATACCGAGGCCTTCCTGTCATCACAATACTCAAGTCCCGATAAACCGAGAACCATTTCCAATCAGATATGGGAGGTGACTGGTGATGGCAAGAGAACCCCAATGCCACCTCAACAGGAGCATATTTTGTTTGAAGACTGCATGTATCTGTCAGTACATTGCATGGAGTCTCCCAACGGCTCCAAAGTAAATGACGTCTATCTCTGGTGTGGAGATGAAGTACCCGAAGCCAGCGTTGAAGATGCGCAACTGTTCTGTAGAAAAGTTGCGCGTGACAACAGTGCTAAGCTGCAAGTTGTGAAGCAGGGCAAAGAGAGCTCCGAGTTCTTCCAGGCATTGGGTGGCATTGTCATCATTCGCAGGAACAAGACTTCGGCGCTGTATATGCTCTGCGGCAGGCCACATCTTGGGCACGTCGCCTTTGATGAGGTGGACCTTGCGACGTCTAGTCTATGCTCAGGGTTTCCTTTCCTGATCTCTGCCAAATTTGGGAAACTATACCTTTGGAAAGGTCTCGGGTCAAATCAACAAGATGTCGGGTGCGCGAGACTTATCGGCATGGACCTAGGGCTGACCGGCGAAATTGAAGAGGTTGAAGAAGGGCAAGAACCCACAGGTTTCTGGGACGCGTTCCCGACCAACTCCCCAAGACGGACAGGTTCCGGCTCCAGCTCCACAGGACGTGCTGCTCCTGCAGAGGTGAAGACTCGCCAACCGAGACTATATCGAGTTGACTACGATCGACCGAAGTCATCAGGCGGCTTCTGGGGTCTCCGTCCGGCTTCGCCTCCAAAGCAGTCCAACGTGGCTGTGCTGGAAGAGGTAGTCCCCTTCACGCAGCAAGACCTAGAATCCGGTCATATTCACCTACTCGACATGTACCAGGAACTTTATGTGTAAGTGCGCACTCACAACCGCGGGATCGGAGCTTACTGATCTCGATGTGCATTATAGGCTAGTTGGTGCTATGGCCAGAAAGCCAGCAGAATTTGTGACTGCGGTTCAGGTAGCAGAGGAGATGGCCGTGCTTGCACCGTCAATCCAAGACCGGCCCGTCCTACCGACCTGCCACGTGGTCATGGGCGATCCTCCTCAGAACGTCAAGAACATTTTCCGAAAATGGCGGACACCTCGAACGGCAGGCCCAAGTGAATCCTTGTGTGTACCGGTAGCAGATGTACTGCAAGACCTTGGTATTACACTGTAAAAGTCTCAACATATTCGACCGACGTCAAGGATCGTGATGTTCTTTAAAAGCATGGCTCTCGCTTTACTTCTTCCAAGTGCCCCCTTGGGTACATGTTTGCGCACACTTTGTATGATGGATGAATAGATTACGGAGGCAATTTGTCGAGATGGGGCCGGCAACTGACTTGACCGAACTGGACTGGATTGAGTTGCATTTCACGATAACAACAGCCACATAGCAGACTGCACGTTGGCCTGGATTTGCCGCTGAAACCTACTAGACTTGCACCCGCGGGAAGTGCTGGGAAGTGCTGCTGTAGCCAGTGTATTACCATTATGCTACCTCTGCGCTCTGCGACGCCGACATGAGACTCGATGGCGACCCGGGTCTGGTGAGTCTGGTGAGTCTAGACTCGGCCATGGTGCTTACATAATCCGGGATCGGAGCATCTCGAGCGCGGTTCCGGTGTCGCGTCATGACTCTTTTCCCTATTCCGTCTTGGGGTCCGAAAATAATTATTTCCTTCACCTCCATTTCAGTCGACTTCAGGTGATATTAACCTTATCGTGACACCACCTGGTCTCTCCCGCCCGCCTTGCCTTTTGCCCATCGTCGACCATGCGCTGACGATCCTTCTCGAGCTCATCTGCAGCGGCCCTGAAAGCACCCGGCAACAATGGATTGGGCCGCCCCGAATCTGGCACATACAAAGCCCAACACTCGTCGCCTCGCGACACAGCCTGGCCCCACCAGCGCCGTCGAGCTGGACCCGAAACTCGAGCGAGAGCTGTCGCGCACTGATGACTCGGTCCCCTTCAACCCCAAGACGCGGTACCTGCATCACACCTGGGCGCAGACGTTCTTTTCGCGACCCGAACTGTACTTTCAGCCGTCCAGCGTTCCCGAGCTGCAAAAGATCGTGACCCTTGCGCGCAGATGCCGCAAGAGGTTGTGCGTGACCGGCTTCGGCCACTCGCCGTCTGACCTGACCTGCACTTCGTCCTGGCTTGTCAATCTGGACAATTTGACCCAAGTGCTCGAGAGGAACGTCGACGGCACTCCCGGGCTCTTTCGGTTCCAGGCCGGCCTGTCCCTCCACAACCTCAACCTCGCGCTCGCCGAGGACGGGTACACCCTCCCGAACCTGGGCTCCATCGACGTCCAGTCCGTCGCGGGAGTCATATCCACCGGCACCCACGGCTCCAGCCTCAGGCACGGCCTCCTGTCGGACTCGATCACTTCGCTGACGGTTCTGCTGTCCAACTCGCAGCTGGTCACCTGCTCGGCGGCCAAGAACCCGGAGCTCTTCCGAGCGGCGCTCCTGTCGCTCGGCTCGCTCGGGATCATCGTGGAGATCACCATGCAGGCGGTGCCGGACTTCAAGATCTCGTGGTCGCAGTCGCTCCACACGCTGTCGTCCGTCCTCGAGTCCTGGGACGAGGACCTCTGGACCCGGAAAGAATTCACCCGGGTGTGGTGGCTGCCCTACATGCACCAGGCGGTCGTCTGGCAGGGCGCCAAGACGGACGCCGACCTGCGTCCCCCCAACACCACCTTCTACGGCGGCGCGTTCGGGTACTACGTGTACCACAACCTGCTGTGGCTGTCGAACTCGTTCCCGCGCATCCTCCCGTGGATCGAGTGGTTCGTCTTCGGCATGCAGTACGGCTTCGGGCCGGGGCGCGTCACCACGTCTGCCGTCCAACCCGCCCGCGAGGCTCTTCTAATGGACTGCCTGTACTCGCAGTTCGTCAACGAGTGGGCCCTCCCCCTCTCCAAGGGTCCGGAGGCCATCCGCCGGCTCTCGGCCTGGATCAACCACGACGACGCCGCCTCGGGCATCCCCGTCTCGAGCGAGGGCGTCTGGGTGCACTGCCCGGTCGAGGTGCGCGTCACGCACACCGGACGTCCGGACTCGAACCCGAAAAACACGACCGTCAGGCCGTACCTCGATCCCACCGTGCCCGACGGCCCGACGCTCTATCTCAACGCCACCCTGTACCGGCCCTACGGTCAGGATCCGCCCTGTCACGAGAGGTACTACGAGGCGTTCGAGCATCTCATGCGCGAGATGGGCGCTCGACCCCACTGGGCCAAGAACTTTGCCTTCACGGGCGCCCGGGAGCTCGACGCCCTGTACGGCGACAACATGACGGAGTTCTTGGAGGTCCGTGACGAGAGTGACCCTGACGGCATGTTCTTGGGCCAGTGGCACCTGAGGAATTTGCCTCTCAAGGCGGGGAACGACGGTGACGGGGGCGCAGGTTTCGGCCTCGTGGAGCGAGAGGTGCGCCGGTCGAAACACGGCCTGGGTTGGGGGTACGGTGACGGTGTTCTTTGGGAAGGACGAGTGACGGCCGCCGCCGCCGCCGAGGACGAGAAGGAGGAGGAGGAGGGGGAAGCCCTGACCGCCGCCAGTAAGGGTGGTGACGAAGGCACCCCGAGCCCACCTGGCACGACTACGAGCGAAGAGTCCTTTGATTACATGGCGAAAGGTGAGGCAAGCGTCTATGCCGCCGAACGTGGACAAGAATAGCGCGCGCGCGCGCGAGAGAGAAGAGAGAGAGAGAGAGAGGAGACGTTTGCGCGGCCCCCCGTTTCTCTCCTCTTGCATTCAGCTATTTACGGTCCGGCTTTTCGCTTTTCTACTTCACTTGACGTACACAAGAACCGCATCATAGATTTCTATTTGGCATTTTCATATTAGAATCCCTCTTCTCATGCTGTTCATGTTGGCTGCGCCGTCGTCTAACTAGTGGCTTTTGGCTGTTCCAAACGCTTTGTGAAGGTTTATCTCGTCTTCAAGCGCCCCCCAATCAGGCTGTGCCATGTTTCTTGTTTTTTTCTCTGCACGTCCATCTTTTTCGTCACTGGTCACGCGCCGAATGTGGCTGTGGGCGTCAAGATACCATTTATACTCCCTGTCTATCGTAGCAGCGGCCCCATCCAAATGTAACATGTATGTGTATGTCGCTCAATCAGGCATTGCACTCTCGAAAAATTGACTCCAGTCATAATTCATGTTGACGTCGATGAAAGACTCCCAGTCCACGGTCAATTCGGCATCCGACATCCATTCATCCATCGGACACTGTCCGAATGAAGTCGTGTCGCTGAGGTTGAATTCGACCGTGTTTACGGACGTTAGGTCCTGCGACGATGATGAGGAAGCCGACACCGACGATGATGACAGTCCCAAGGTAGTCGGGGACGTTATTGAAGATTGAGACTGGGCCACAACTGACTGGGATTGACCGTCCACGATGGCGCCTAGACCTGCTGACATCTGGGGACCCGGCGTCTGCACCTGTGTTGTTGGTTTTGCCTTCACTACCCTGGGAATCCTGCCGATCCGAACTTTCCCAAAATACGGAATGACGGCCTCGAAGGGCTCCGTATCAGCGTACTTGCCGCGACGAGCCATGATGAGCCTATCCAAGAGATTCGAGCCTTGTCCAGCGACGCTGCAAGACAGCTTGTTCGCCACGTCGCTCAGCACGGCACTCACGCTGTGCACGAGGTCCCAGTCTTCTGTTTCCTCGAGGCCGACGCCATCAACGCCACTCTTCGAAGACCTCGAAAGTAGGTGAATTACGAGAGTGACGGTGGCACTGAATGCCAAAAAGTCCATGAGGTCGCAGATGACGGGCACATCGCCGGATTTGTTGTCACGCAGTCCCTTGTAAACCCTGATGCAGTCTCGACACGCCTCCAGCGCCGCGATCCTGCTGTACTCGTATCGTCTGTCCGACGAAGACTTGAACATATACGGCAGGTGGAGCGTCTTCCACATGCTGAAGAAAAATAGCTTGATGCTCTGTTGGCCGTGCGCGAGTTCAAAAGGTAGAGTGGTGTCGAACTCGGGTTTCCGCCACGACAGGGGCATTCGACTCTTGCATCGTTCCAGGTCTTGATCAATGTCCATGGTCACAGAGTAGTTGACGGTCTTGTGATTCATGTTCCGATCGACGATGCGCCCAGCTATGAGGGCCAGCTCATGAGAGACTTGTGATTCGATCGTGGGTCCTGCGCAGTCCTTGGCCAGGCTTGGATGGGTGTCGGAAATGGCGCAGGGCAAACCAAGGACGAGTGATAGCAGACGGTCTGCATGCCAGAGCTGTTTCCAAATAGCCGTTTGCTCGTCGGTGGCAGTGGTGTCATGGTTCTGAAAGCCAAGGAGCATGGCTGTGTTGACTGCGCGTCGGTTGGTCAGCCAGGCCTTGCGTGGTCTGCCCAGGTCAATGCAGACTTTCACCTGGAGCTCTAGGCACTCCAGCAGATCCTTGCCTTGACCCTGACCGGTCTCTCCTTCGATCGAGAGAAGGGTATCCGCCGCATTGAGGAAGCGCTTGAGGACGTGGCCTCGAGAGCGTCGGAATTCTGTGCCCTGACACGCAAAATCTCGAGGGAGTTGGTGCATGCAGAGTGTGAGCCAGACAAGGGCTTTGGCCATAATCACAGGTCGACCGGAGTTTAATGAGTCTACGATGAAGTTTTGTGCCAGTAGTATGCGAGAGGCACCAGTTGCTCCTTGACCTGGTGGGCGCATAGGCCATATGGACCAGAACCTCTGACTGGCTTCGAGGACGAGTCTTAGGTCATCCAGAGTCGGCAGTGCTGGACTGATATCTTCGATGACAGCCGTGATCCTGTAGTCCGTACTGTACCTTGCTCCGTCCTTCTCAGGTGGAGGTCTTTCTATCTTCAAGGCATCTTTGAAGAGGGTGACCAGTGGTGCATCCTCGAACTGGTCCATCTCATCTGCGCTATCAGTTGGCAGGTCTGTATCAGACAGCTTGGAGAATCTCGTGCTCGAGGCTATAGAATCCGCTTCCAGCGCTACCGACGGGGACTGGAGTCGCTTCTGACTGTCTAGTTGCAACTGAGCCCATGTCGTGGTCTCCGGCTCAATGTTCGCAGAGGTCGAGATCTGGCGCACCATGGCTTCCAAGTTGGCAAGCCTTCGCTGCAGTTCGACCTTTTCCGGATCATATTGGGCACCTTTTCCCTGGCCCGTGGGCTTCTGAGGAACACAATCCACCCCGTGAAGGCTGCACGCTTCACACGCTCGGCCATCGGAGGGAAAAGTACAACGTACCCTTCGCCGGCGGCACTCGGCGCAACTCCTGGTGCCCAGCCGCATACGCTTGGGCGTATGGCGGTGGTAGAAGTCGCTGGAGGACGTTGAGCTGGCGGGCGTCATTGTCTGCACTGCAGAGCCGCCGTCGTCCTTCGTCGTGCTCTCACTTGAACAAATACGAGCCTAGAGGGCACCTTGCGTTTCGGACGAATAGAAGAGATCTTGTGAGCCGCACTCTGGTGCGCTGTTGTACAACATCCGCGGAACCCCCGGTCCAATGATTCTGTAACCAAAGGCGCCAGGTCTCTGATCAGCGATGGAGAGGGCTATTCGAGCGAAAAAGGACACTCTGCCGCAGGTAAGAGAGTCTTGCGTTTGTAGATAACTGGTCGATGCGGACATGTCAAGACCCCGTGTGGATGAATCAAATCGCGCTCGCATCCATTCGCACGAATCTAAACCCGAAACGGAAGGAGCTCGATGGAGACTGTCGTTAGCTACAATGTACCTCAGATTTATGTATTGGTAGAAACAGTGCTGGAAGACATGAATGCTGAACCGTCGGTGACTCAGCTGACGGACACAGCTCAGAGGTATCTACGGTTGTTCATGGCCGTGTCTGGAAAAAAACACATAAATACCTTCAGAGTTCCTCGAGCAGGACTTACAGTTTGGACGATGTTGAAGTATTACACGACAGACACCAAACCGGGCACCTCGCCATCAAAGACAGACTCATTGACTCGACTGTTGATCACGTCTTAGAGAGAAACTCAATCAAAACATACCCAGTACGCGAAGTATCTATCCTATCATCCACCACCACCACCATGACCACCGGCACGCTCCAAGGCCAACTCGACCAGATCGTCGAGCACTTCAAGGCGGTGGCGCCAGAATCGGTGCGCAGCGTCATCTTCAAAGCCACCGACGACTTCGCGGCGTCGTTCGACCCCAAGTCGACCATCCAGGTGGGCGACACGCTGCCGGCGTTCAGCCTCACCGACGCCGTGGGCAAGCAGGTGCGCAGCGCCGACCTCCTCGCCAAGGGCCGCGGCATCGTCGTCACCTTCTACCGCGGCGAGTGGTGCCCGTTCTGCAACCTGGCGCTGGCGGCGCTGCAGAAGCGCCTCGCCGACTTCGAGGCCCGCGGGGTCACGCTGGTCGCCGTCACGCCCGAGCTGCCCACCAGCGCGCTGTCGACCGTGGAGAAGAACGAGCTCAAGTTCGCCGTCCTGTCAGACGTGGGCAACAAGTACGCCGCCGAGCTGGGGATCGTGTGGGTCCAGCCGGACTCGCTGAGGGAGCCGTTTGCAAAGTTCGGCCACGACCTCGAGAAGCGCAACGGAGACGATTCGTTTGCCGTGCCGATCCCAGCCACCCTGTTGGTCAACTCGAGTGGAAAGGTGCGCAACACCTTTATCGACCCGGACTACAAAAAGAGGGTAGAGCCAAGTCAGGTTCTGGAGTGGATCGATGCGCTTTGAGCTGAATTGGGATCGCCAACGAGAATGAAGTCTGTGGCTTTGACCTAGGTCTACCTTTTTTCCCAAGTCTACCTGGTAAACCGTGTCATGTCAATTTTGACGATGAGAACCTTGTAGAAGGATGATGCGCCTGCACTGCACGTGAAGAACACTAAAATCACCTGAAAGCCAAGAGGATCCTTTAGAGTATCGTGCATGAGTATTGTCAAGCTAGCTAAAATATCAATCATTATGAGGATCGTGCATCACATATCACATCACATTGACCTGAACCAGTGTGAAGAACTCCCCCGGCAAAGACTCGGACCTGCGGCGCACACAAGGGGGTATCATGAAAAAAAAACCTTTCATAGCACTGTAGCGTCCTCCATCACCCATTTGTTCCATAGGAATATCACCTTCAATTTGTCCTCCTCGCTCGTCCCTGAATAAACCACACTGTAGAGACTGGTTACCCTCATACAGGGATCCGCTAGACTCAGACTTGGCTGAGCTCAATCGATACATCCCTTTCACTTCTGCAATCGACGTATCCGTCATGATTCAAAATCAGACGCGACTGCGATGGAACCATGGTCGTCGAGTATATCTGACAAACACGCACGGTAAGTACAATGTGACATCTCTTCGGCCCAGGGATGGCGGGGTGTGCTTACGTCCCATTGGTATGTCGCACTTCCTTGCGTCTCTCACGGTGAATGAACCAGAGACCGACGAGGGCACTGAAGATCCATACAATAGCCGACAAGAAGCTAAAGGCCTCATTGGCCTTCCAGCGACCGCAATACCCTCCGTGTCGAATCCCGCTCCAGTCGAAGGTGTCGTCACCGCAGTTCGTTCGACCGTTGACGTAGTTGACCAGGATTCCAAACGCAGCGAACCAGGCAAACGAGAGGAAAAGGTCGACTGGCCAGTGGAAGAAGCCTGATGCGAATGGCAGGAGCCAGAGCAGGCCGAACAGGATGGAAAGGCCAGCGACGATCTCGACATAGATGAAGCGAGCGAGAGGCTGGCCCGTGCCGCTGTGGTAGTCGTGCAAGTACTTTGAAGTGACGCCTATGACAACCTGTAGATGGAGACGCGGTTTAGTCGTTCTGTCCAGATCGGGGGAAGGCCACTGGGTCGATTCAAGCTTGGACTTACCCCTGCAAAGGCGATCTCTGCGACACGCAGCACCATAGACACAACTCTTGAAATGAGAGGCATTTTGGTAGTGCGCGACTATGGCGGCTTATGGATAGAGGCAATCTGGCTTGGGCAGCAGGAAAGGTGTCGAAGAAGAAGAGCGAGAGGGCGTGAAATGGGACCAGTTGTGAGAAGACGCAGAAAGAGAAGAGAAAGTCCTAACGAGACATGAAGCCCATTTTGAAGTGACACGAAAGTCCAGAGTCCAAGTTGGCAGTCCATGGATCAATCCGTCTCCGGTGTGTTTGCGTGATGACAGGGCATCGGCCAAGGTTGAGCTGGATGGCCACTAACCAGTGAGTCGTCCCATACGCTGCCCCTTGCAGGAGGCCATAACATAGGTCTTGTGCTAGACGCAACTCACCGCATCCTCACCGGGCGCCTTCTTGGTCCTGATTGTACGAGCGTCTTGACGCCCACGGCCACATTCGGCGCGTGACCAGTGACGAAAAGATGGGCGTGCAGAGAAAATCAAGAAACATGGCACAGCCTGATTGGGGGGCGCTGGAAGTCGAGATCTTCCTCACCTTAGGTCCTGGACATCTCTCTGGCCATTCTGTTCTTGGACAGGCACTAGCTTGATGGTCTCGAGCAATTTCTTGGTCGTAAAGGTCCCTTAGCGTAGAGAAGAACCGGTCAGCGGGAGAAAAACAGGTTGTGGGAACAAAGAAGAGAAGAGATTGGCCTTACCGAGGGACACAACGCGCCAGTGCTAACGTAGCGAGGCGCAGCCCTTTTTCCACTCTCCATTCCATAGTCGACGTCAACACAAGGCTGTAAGGCTGAAAGGCTGAACACCAAAGCATGATTCTTTGTCGGAGGCACTGAAGCCGTGCTGTTGTCGAGGATTCTCGTCGAACTGCGTTGATTGCATCGACCATTGTGAGCATGGATTGTCAACGGAGGGAAGCATCGCGTTAGTCAATCATTGTTCCATAATATCCTTTCATCAGTGACATTTACACCTCCATCGGCAGGTCAACACCATATTAAGCATCCCTCCCCTCGCCCTCAATGCGATTGTAGCTATTTTCGGTACCTCCATCGCTTGCTTCTCCAGCTGCTTTCCACTAATGATCCCCTCACTTCTACTCTCTTCTACATGAAGTATCGTCGACATCGTCCACATCAGTATGAAAAAAAATAATCGGGATGCTTATTCCCGATCTCATCGATCGAGACGTTCCTCAACTCCGTCGCCTTTTCACTGAACTGCTCCTTTCGCTTCTTGTCGTTCTCATACCGCAAGAGCAACAGCAACAGCCCACAAGATGCGACGCCCGCGGCCGCCATACCCAACGCCGCGCCATGACCCTTCTTGTAGTACGGTGGGTCGTTATACACCTCATTCGATCCAATCGCCACTGCCTGGGCGATGGAGTTGATCAGTGCTGCTGCACTGGCCCGATATGTGTATCCGATGTTGATCGTCGCCATCCAGGTCAATACGATCACGACATTAGGATACATTCCTATCGCGACAATACAAGCGCCAGCAAATCGACCGGAGGCTCCCTTTAGTGTGAGGAGGAGAATATACCCGACAGCACCGATCATCAGGTTCACTATGATGACAATCCCGCGCTTCTGGAGCTTGTCCGATATCCGGGCTGAGAAGAGAATGTTGGCAAATCCGCATGCATAGACAATGACAGTCATGAGCTGTGACTTGACAGTCGACCAGCCGAAGGAATGCAGGATTGCAGGCAGGAAGTTGGACAGGGATGACAAGCAGAAGAGAGTGGCGGACTCGACGACCACCAGAAACCAGAACTTCGGATCGAGAAGCACCCGCAGGATCAACTTTGGGATGATCTTGGATTCGCCTGTGTTGTAGGCTTGACGACTCCTCTCGATGAGGAGGGCCTTTTCATCCTCGTTGAAATACAACTTCGTGTTCTCTGGCGTGGCAGGCAGGAAAATCCAGACCACAAACGCCCAGCCAATGGGCACAACGCCTTCGATAAGGAATAACCACTGCCATGGAGACCAGCTGCTGACGTGTGCTAGGTTTTTCTGCACTGCATAAGCGATGAGACCGTTGAATGCCCCGGCCAGCGCAGACATGGAATAGAATACTGCTCCCCGGGTAGCAAGCTCCTTGTAAGTATACCAGAACGACAGGTAGAACACTGCTCCTTGGTAGAAAGCTTCGCAGGCACCGACAAGGGCTCGAGTGACCATGAGTGATGCATAACTATCCACGAAGACTGTGCAGGCTGTCACTATGCCCCAGCCAAGCATCGCGAGACCAAACTGCCATTTGGTGTTAGGAAGATGCGCTCAGATTGTCTGCAGGACGCGTACCTGCAATGGTGGTCCGATCTTGCGTATCAAAAGTGTGCCAGGCAACTGAAGTACCAAGTGGCCGACCAGGAAGATGCTTGATACGTGTGAATATTGACTGGGGGTCAACTTCAGGTCGGTATCCAGGCCTGAGATCTTGGCGTTACCCAAGTCCGAACGTCCCTAGACATCGTCAACTTATGTCCATGAAGAGATCGACCGTTCTGGCAGGTATACCATCGACGCAAGAAAGTAGACGGTTGCAAGGAGTGGCAAGACGATGAAGTCAAGCTTTAGCTTGACCCTGCGCTCGCGCTTGCGATCATGTAGCGGCATCGAGTCATTGCGCTGCTGCGTAGAGTCTTCTACGGATTCCAGGGCAATGTCTTTGTTGTCCATGATCTCTGGTGGTGGATATTATGATATGGTCGCTTTCAAGAACTTTTCGTTTGTTCCCGCAGTTCTTGCTTGCCATGTTTTTTGCCTTCCTTCACAGTATATATAAGATTCCGTGGGGAAGGACGAAGCTAGGCATGAGACTCAAGCACGTTGAGGCTATGCTTAATGAACCCTACACCAGAGCATCGCCCTCCGTGTCTATCACAAATTCGGTTCGCCTTACCCCGTATTATCCAGTAGACGCGGGGAATGTGGGTCTTCGATTTTGCGATTTTCGCTTCAAAGCCGAAGTGGTGCGCATTGCTTCCTTCCAGCAATATGCTAAGCTGCGAGAAACGCTTAAAAGCCGTTGTCAGATTGAGACTGATACCGAGGTACATTATTTGACGTGGGTGACGATGGCTGCGAGCGTGTCATGTCATTTAAGCGTCGTGCTTGGACTTCCGAGTTCTTGTATTTCCGTCATGCCTATATCACACAACGTGAAGGCGGCGAGGCAAAAGTAATGAGGCCACGCCAAAATTTCAAGAGCCGTACAATGTATGTCACAACCGAGGTAACTTTGGACGAATCGAAGAAATTGCGTGAAGCAAAGCATTCGGCTTCCTTGAGGCGTAATGCCAGCAGAGTCAATCAGGTGCAACGAAGGTATCGTCCTCAACCCCAAAATAGAGATTAGGATTGTTGAAATCCAGCATTTCCATGAATGACTGATTCCACACGTCAGACGGAATAGAGGGAGTCTCTTCGAGCATCTCAATTAGCGCATTGGCTTGGGCTCCGTGGTCGGCTTCATTGGTTGTCAGAGGCGACTTGTTTGACGTCGATGGTGGTGAGACAGGATTTAGGCTTTGTAGCAGGTGCGATTTCAAGTTGCGTCTCCCTCGAAGGTTTGCCGCAGCTATGAGAGCATTCAATGCAATTGAAGCGCCGCCATCGACCTCGATCTCTGCTCCGAGCTCAATCGTTTCCGGAGTGCCTCGGCACAGCACTTCAATAACGGAAGCGGCTCGACCTGGTTCCGTGTATTGGTGAGAAGAGTACTCCTGGAGTTTGGTGTGTACCATCTGGATTTTGCGACGAGACTCTGTTTTCCTCTCATCCGAGAGGGATTTGTTGAGAACGGAATATTTGATCAACAAAAATGTCGCGACCATGACTCCAAAGAAGTAGCTTTTGGGGAGAGCAATGTGTTGGTTCACCAGGCTCATGTCGAAAGTCTCGCATGTCTGAGTTCCAAGCTCGTTGCAGTATATATCAATGATGCGGTATGCCGTTGTCATGGCTAATTGTTGTAGTTTTGAGCAGAGGGTGTCAGGCTCAAAATACCGTTTGTCCTTCAACTGTTGGGTCTCTTTCACCAATGCCAGAGCGTATATGTGGAGTTTTGCCATCCAGAAACTAAAGCTCAGATACGCATCGAAAGAACACTGTAGTCGAGAAGTGATGCTATCAAGCTCTTCAACACATAGTTGAACGATAGTGTCTCGTACGAAACTGTCCATCTCTCCGACGAGAGAATCGTAGTGCTTCGTTAAGCACCTCAGGATTTCAGCCTCGACCATTAATTTAGTGGGCAGGCTGTCTAACTTGATCATGCCCGTGACGGTCCGGAGGTCATTTGGAGATCTCAATGGAGGAGGTAACCCATTCATGAGTGCGAGCCTGGAAACATTGCGTCAGCTTGCGAAAACTGGCCTCGAGGATGCTTTGACTGACGTCGTGCTTCTAATGAAACATTCAAGCCAAGTTTTTACCATTCCATGGCGAACGGATGTTGGAAGACTGGCCAATGCGCGCGAAGAAGCATCGGCAGCAAGCGGCAAACTCAGCTGTGAGGCCGCGTGCACTGCTATCACGGAGTACATGGAGCTGGGATCCTGCTGCTGGCGCATGACGGGCAATGGCCACGTACAAAGGCACAATAAAGCCTGGACTGTGTAGAAGGAGAGCGGTATCTTCACTATTGTCTGGTTCACGAGGTCGGAATATGCTTCAACAAGCAGGTTGGCCTTGTGAACGTGGTCTTTGGTATACCTGCTGGCGAGAAAGATGATAGTCCAAAAGAGGAAAGGACTCGTTTCTTTAATTGTCTGAATTGGCAGAGTCGTGTCTATGATGGGGACATGAGGATGAAACGACTTGTGAAAGCTGTGCCGTGTAGAACTTAGACACCATGAGTTGTTGGCTGGGAGGAAGAGGCTTACAGTCGGAATAACTCTAACACCTCTGCCTTGTCAAAAAAGCAATTGCCCAACTCTGCACTGGGGAGAGATCGAGAAGATGCGTCTTGCTCGGACAGGCCAAAGGGAGCTTCAGAATCGTGTCCTTCAACTTCCTGGTACAGCTGTGGATTTTGTCCGATGATGCCTTGGGGCGATGTCGTCCTATCTGATGGACTCTGAATGCTGTTTATTCGATCATCATTAGGATGGGATTTGAGTGTCTGCTTTAGAAGCTGCAATTCTTTGGTCATGGACTCAAGCCGCCTAGAGGGGAGTAAGTAAGCACTTCGCCAACAACGAAATTTGTGAGCGAGCATACTGCCGGGCTGGTGTTCGCCTGAAGTTTGCATCTATGACACAGCATAGACTGCGCTTCTCACATCGCGAACAAGGACGAGGAAAGGTTTCATCGGCATTACAGCGAAGCTGCGTCGTCAAAGGTCAGTATTTCCCGTGGCTTTGCAGGCCGTGATATCAGCCAACACCCACCTTTACTTGTTTGCATTCGGTGCATGCCTTGACTGGCCGTCGCCGAGCACCCGAGGATTGCATTCTTGCATGTTGCGTCGATCCCTCGGCATCGACGTCTCAGTGCATGAAGGCTGGTCGACAAAATCGAAGACAAAGGGAACATGGTCGAAGCGGAGGTCGGGGTGTTGTACCCACTGGTAGTAAGCCCAATCGCTTCGATGCTAGTGCCAAAATCACCCTTAAGTAAGACTGGAGGACAAGAAGGAACTAACTAGCACACTACTCGTCCTTTCAAGCGATCACACCCTGCCCGAGTTTTCTTTTCAAGGCAAAATACACAAATATAAACACCTTGTGTGAAGGATTTAACAAGGTATTTGCGAAGCAGCATTCTCGGAAAAGTTATTTTTTGTAAATGTTGTTTGATCTTATTGAAACAACTATCTGAAGTATCGATCGTGTTTTCTTTTGTCATCATCTCCCAAGAGAAAAACCACATCGTGATTATCGCAAATCGTACTAAAAACTCTATGCCCATGCAAGAGGTATCATCCCGTTTTTCCACTGTGAAAACACCAACGCCGTGATTGACATGAAGGAACGATTGAATCGCTCAATGCTTTTGTTTATTCAACGCGAGGCATTTAGTCAACCTCCTCAACGGTTGGGCCATCATCACCACCGTGGCCACCAGCACCTGCGCCAGGGAAACCACCTGGACCGGCACCGGCACCAGGGAAACCACCTGGGCCACCGGGCATTCCACCTTCACCGCCGGCGCCGTAGAACTTCATCATGATGGGGTTTGCAACACCTTCAAGCTCCTTCTGTTGAGACTCGTACTCATCCTTGGTGGCGGTCTGGTTCTCGTCCAACCAGGAGATGACCTTGTCGATTTCAGCCTTGAGCTTCTCCTTGTCAGATGCGTCAAGCTTCTCATCGACCTTGGAATCGGATAGAGTGTTCTTGAGGGAGTAGGCATATGATTCAAGACCGTTCTTGGCGGAGATACGTGCAGCTTCAGCCTCATCTTCAGCCTTGTACTTCTCAGCCTCAGAAAGCATGCGCTCGATCTCCTCCTTGGAAAGACGACCCTTGTCGTTAGTGATGACAATCTTGTTGGACTTTCCAGTACCCTTCTCGACGGCGGAGACGTTGATGATACCGTTGGCGTCGACATCAAAGGTGACCTCAATCTGAGGAACACCACGTGGAGCAGGAGGAATGCCAGACAGTTCGAACTTGCCTAGCAGGTTGTTGTCCTTTGTGCGGGCACGCTCACCCTCGTAGACTTGAATGAGCACACCGGGTTGGTTGTCAGAGAAAGTCGAGAAAGTCTCAGACTTCTTGGTAGGAATAGTGGTGTTGCGCTTGATCAGAGGAGTCATGACACCACCAGCAGTCTCGATACCGATGGAGAGCGGTGCGACATCAAGCAGCAAGATTTCTTGGGTGGACTTGGAGGAGGTATCACCAGACAGGATAGCAGCTTGGACAGCAGCTCCGTAGGCGACAGCCTCATCAGGGTTGATCGACTTGTTTGGCTCCTTTCCGTTGAAGAAGTCGGAGACCATCTTCTGAATCTTGGGGATACGGGTAGAACCACCGACCAAGACGATCTCGTGGACAGAAGACTTGTCGATCTTCGCATCGCGCAGGACACGCTCAACAGGCTCCATGGTAGAGCGGAAGAGGTCCTGGCAAAGTTCCTCGAAACGGGCACGGGTGATCGAGGTGTAGAAGTCGATACCTTCGTAGAGGGAGTCGATCTCAATGGAGGTCTGTGCAGATGAGGACAGAGTGCGCTTGGCACGCTCGCAGGCGGTTCGAAGACGTCTGAGAGCACGGGCGTTGGATGAGAGATCCTGTAACAATCAACGTTAGTATCAAGTCAGCAACCAGAGGGAAAGGATTTCTTCATACTTTTTTATACTTTCTTTTGAACTCAGTAACGAAATGGTTAACCAGACGATTGTCAAAGTCCTCACCACCCAAGTGAGTGTCACCAGCAGTAGACTTGACTTCGAAGATACCCTCTTCGATGGTCAGGAGGGAAACATCGAAAGTACCTCCACCGAGATCGAAGATGAGGACATTGCGCTCGCCAGTAGCCTTCTTGTCAAGACCGTAGGCAATGGCAGCTGCGGTAGGTTCGTTGATGATGCGGAGGACGTTGAGGCCGGCAATGAGACCAGCGTCCTTGGTGGCTTGACGTTGAGAGTCGTTGAAGTATGCAGGGACAGTGATGACTGCGTTGTTGACAGTGCCACCGAGATAGGACTCGGCTGTCTCTCTCATCTTGGTCAAGACCATGGATGAGATTTCTTCGGGTGTGAAGTGCTTGACCTCGCCCTTGAACTCGACTTCGATGACTGGCTTTCCACCCTTGTCGATGACCTTGAATGGGAAGTGCTTCATATCAGCCTGGACTTCGGCATCCGTGAACTTTCGGCCGATCAGTCGCTTGGCATCGAAGACTGTGTTCTGAGGGTTCATGGCGACTTGGTTCTTTGCAGCATCACCGATCAGACGCTCAGTGTCCGTAAAGGCGACGAATGAAGGGGTTGTTCGGTTGCCTTGGTCGTTGGCAATGATTTCGATGCGGTCATCTCGGAAAATGCCCACACATGAGTAGGTTGTACCTAGATCGATACCTATGGACGGTGTGTTAGCTTGCTGTTGCTGTGACTCAGGGTGAGGTTGCGGTGTCGACTTACCGATGGCGGGAGCCATGTTGTCTGGAGGAATATGGAGGATAGAAGGACAGGAGGAATTATGCTGGGTAAAGGAAAAGAGGTATCACAAGAAGAAGGGTTTATTTCTTCTAAACTGCGAAAATAGCGTTTCAATGAGTTCTGTGGTGTTGAGAATTGCAGGAGCGGAAGCCGCATGTGAGGCTCGATAAATATGATTTTGGGTGGAAGGGCGAGGAAGGCTGTAGAACGTCGACCCACCAGTGAAGTTGCTGGTGGCCGCTTCACGACGATTCGCTGCCCTTCCACACGCCAGGAGAGGCTTCTGGGAGCTGCAAGGCAGTGCACGAGGCACCCACAGCACGAAGATCTTGGTCTCACTTTTTGTTCACTTGTTCAGAGTTTTTGCGGGCTTCTTGCGGTGACTTTCCCCAGCCAACACCGTGATACAATGATGACCTCCTGCCCCAACATCCAAAAACTAGTGAGGGCTCGAAGGTTACGTCATAGGCACCTGGCCCAATCCAGTGAATGCCACATTCAACCTGCGCTGTGCTGCTTGCCCCGCGCTAGTCCCAGATTGGCTCTTTTTGCTGCCGAGCAACAAGACAAAAAAACATCACAGCACTCGGGCTGCTTTGAGCACAGTAGGATCCGGCAAAAAAAGCCGCTGGCGCTGACTACGACTGCCCTTTAGTACCAAGTGTGAATCTACAGTACCACTCAAGCTTCAGGACGACCCTCACGACTTGTCACGGCCCGCAACCTCACCGGCCCGGAAACACTTTGCCTGCTGCTGCCCTCTCCGGAAGCCGTCCTGAACACGGTGCTGGATGACGACGGAGGTCTCGACAATCTACCGATCTCCCTGCCTTCGTCTGCTTGTGTCCCTACCGGATGTTGACGGCTTCCTCCTCTTCCATTCTCTTCTCTCGTGACGTGACGCTTACTGTGTCGCTGCCGCAGCCATGGTCTGAGGTTGACTGCCAGGATGAAACATTAGCATATACCGCTCGCTCAGTAGGAGACAATGTCATCGTACAATATCCCCCGCAGGCGAACACGCCCAACCATAACAGCAGCTCAGATCCGTAGATGACCATGCCGAGAATGTCCAACTTTGGCTGGAAGAACACCGAGATTAATGAAGTCAAGTCTCCCGTTGCATCAATGGCCACAAAGATGAACGAGATGCCCCGGACTGTCCGTTCCTTGTAGATATCCCAATAGTGTCTCAGCACACCAGCACACAAGAAGCAAGCTGATAGCACGGCCATGAAGGTGATGGGCCACTCTGTATGATTATCTTTTGCTCTCCTCAACGCGAATACGAGACCACATTCAATGCCGCCCATGACAGCTGCAACAGGCACCACGATCGAGATCGATTTGGTCAATGGCCATCGGTTCCCATAGTATTTGCATTGGATCCAGGTCAAGAGGCTCAAGGCCGTCAGTATCTGCGGCTGGATTTTGAGAGCAATGTTGAAATTCTCGACAATGTTATAGATTCCCAATGGAATGCCTGCGCACGCCCAGAGCAGCATCATGGTCGGCTGTAGACCAGTGGTATCGTGCCGGCGATAATTGATGATGATTTGCGGAATGAGCTGCAGGGCACGAGTTCACCGTCAAAATTTTGACCTTCCTTGGGAAGGGCACTACCATACCTGAACGGACCAGCATATTGCGCCTAGAACACCGAGAACATTGGCCGCGATGGGCACATCCATCCTCGATCACCTGGACGTATTGCGCCAATCTGGATTTCCGCTATCACTCAGCCACCCGGAGTTCAAACCTCGTTAACCAGCAACAAGCAGAAGTACAGCCTCGTAGAATCACGTGAGAAGGCTGCGCAAGGTCTAGGTCAGCCTTAGCGTATTTCCTACTTCGGTACTACTGAAGGCTTGGCACATTTGCAGCCGTCTCGACCTCAATGTTTGCTTGTTGCTGTTCCACTTCTGTCACCTTTCATTCTCTGCCTTCCCACTCCTCTCCAGTCTGCCCTCTACACATCTCTTCGTTAAAATTGTAATTTTCCTTCCTGCCATCCTCTCACAATGTCAGCGAACGGCGAAACCGTGCCTGAAGGGACCCCAGAGGTCACCAGTGAAGCCACTTCTACTGGAAAAGGCAAGGGCAAGGCCGTCGAACAGCCAGACGCCATGGAGGAAGACGACGAGTCTGAAGAGGAGAGCGGTCCTGAAGAGGTCTGTTCTCTACACCTCTCTTTAGATTCACTGACCTTTGCTAACAACTCTTACAGCAGCCCGAGCCTGAAGAAGACGGTACGTCAAACCCAATCCACGCGCTCGCCTTTCCCTCACCGATCTCTACGTTGTCGCGCTTGTTTGCGCCTGCAATCGCAACACCAAAAACATCCACATGGACAATATTCTGACACAAGACAGAGGACGAGGACATGGAAGAGATCGATCTCGACAACATCATCCAAGGCCGCACCCGTCGCAAGCAAATCAACTGGGCCGAGGCTGAACAAAAGTCCAGGGACGCCGGCGACGAAATCGATGATGACGAGGATGATGATGACGACGATTTCGAAGCCGAGGACGACGACGAGATGAAGGGTTGAGACGAGAGAAATCCAACCGTCACGCCATGTCCCGTTGTAACACTAGTAGTGGTAGTCGCATTCGCATTTCACATATCACCTTCTTCCCAAAAAACCCCGACTCACACATCACCATCACAAGCACTACTCTGCGGCTGCTACTACTACTCATTTTTCTCTCATGGACAGCGTGTCTGCTGGGAACTGGATACATACCTTTGAGGTCGGAAAAGTCGTCACATAAAATCACACCACACTTCGTCGAAAACATGATACTCTTTACAACTTGTACCATAATCACCTCCGCGTCGATAAATCTTCAATAATCACCCAAGGAGACCACTCCCATGAAACCAGGATCAACCTCTCATCACTTTGCCGTCAAATTGCTGACAACAGTGAGTCCAACGGACCTTTCAAGCAGGGGGGGTTTTCACCAGTTGACCGGTATTGTTGTTTTTGTCTTGGGATGAACGCATTGGAGAGGAAAAGCAGAAGAGAAGAACCAAAGAAAAAGCATTGGGCACCGCGTCCTGACTGAGTGACTGAATGCCAGGTCTGCGCTGGTTGCTGGTTGATACTCCGTAGACTACTCGCTCATGCACGCATGGAATGTACTTTAGGCAGTATCACCCGACATGAGAAAAGAATAGACGAGCGAGAAGAAAAAAAGAAGACCAGTTTCACCAACCGTTCGACTTGATTTGTTTTGTTATTGGTTTGATTCGATTTCATCTCTACATGTACGTCTGAGGTGTTGGGCGTTCGTTGTTTGTGTCCGTGGTACTTCTGTTGTTCTGTTGACCTGAAGAACGCTCTATAAGAGAAGCGACTCGAAACTGAGTCGGGTACGTACGTACGTAGGCCCCCAGGACCGCAGCTGAGGCAGTCACTGACTGGGGACTGTATCTAGATACAGTCTAGGTACATTATACTTACCTGCTGCCTACCACTGTATCGGTAGAACCAAACAAGTCGAGAGAAGACAACGAGACTTGCTCGCCGACGCCAGATGTCTTCTTCCTCTCCTTCCTCCACGTCCCCCCTGACCCTCTGTCGCCGATTGATCGATCGATCATTCCGGCTTGTATATCTCGGATATCTATCTGGCCGTTTGCTGTTGTGCTACCGTGCTATGCTCCACTGCATTCCGTATTGTCTACAAGTCACATTCACAGTCACAGTCAGTCACAGCCAACAGAGGCTCATTTGACAAGCATGCGCGCTCTCCTGACTCGGTACTACTGCTGTTGCTGCTACGACTCTGTACCTGTGTAGGTAGACACGATCTTCCCCCCCCCCCCCAAAAAAAACTTCATGTGACCGCCGTCCAACCTGTGCCTCTGGTGTTCACCACGTGCGTATATTTTCTTCCAACCCTGGAGCACTCTCCAATGCATCAGGTACGTAGATGAGAAACTTGGTCGAAAAATTACTTTACTCCTCGTCTACCCACTTGGTGCGCACCTCACTGGCGGTTGCCTCTGCTCATTTAAAATGCATATGCATACTTGGGTACATACCTGAGGTACCTAAGGGACCTATCTGGGGGACCTCGCCAACCCAGCTGCCTGTCCGCACGCCGCACTGCGATAAACCAGGTCAGGTCAGATCAGGTCGTCCCAGCCTTGCAAGTCCAAAATCATACGATGTTATGTTCCAACGTGTGCAGGCCCAGCCCCAGCCTCAGCTTCTTCTGCAAGCACCGACGCACCGTGCTCCTTCTCTCCCCGGCTCGCTTTCTGTCTCTTGGTACAGCTTTGACAGCACCACGTTGAGAGATTCAAGCGGGTTCGGTCTTGTGCTGCGAGTCCAGTCACGAACGCCGCTCCCGGTTCTGTGGCGGGATCATCATCATGATTATGGTTTGCTTTCCTCTTCCCCTTTCTCATTCTCCCTTGGTTCGCCTTCAACCCTGCCGATTCCTCGGCACAGTTGATGTGGTACGTTGTCCCGGGCGTCTCGCATTCTGGATCGACGCAGTACACGGCGCTCTTCCTGGCTCGCGGGACAGGAGTCAAGCAATGGCCACACATCAATTCTCTCTTCGTAGTCGATTGCAACTCTTCCTGATGTCCCACCTCCGTCACAACAACACGGTTGTCGGCATGCCCACCTTCGTTCCTCGGTGGAGCATTATCTGCCTTGAGATGCCGGCCACTCCTCCGGGTAGGCGTCCGTGATCTCGAAGTCCGATTGTGACCAGCCTTCTTGGACGACTCCCCGGATGGAGGTGGTGCTGGTGCCGGTGACGCTCGAAATATCAGTGCATTCACCTCACAGACCACGTCGTCCTCAATGATGGTGCGCTCTTTGAGTCGTCCCAAGAACTCAAAAAACACTTGCAGGAGCTCGTCGTCGCCATTTTTGAGCCAAGCCCGATACTTACGCACGAACCGCACCAGCGAGTTTGACAGGTACCTGGAATGTTCCAGCTGCTCTTCCATCCGATGTCGATCCCATCGCTTATAAAAACTTCGCTCACAATCAGTCCAGCCGCTGCGCCGACCTTCGAAATCCAATCTTTCCATATGCAGCTCGACCTGCCACTCATTGTCGATCTCGTCATCAGTCTCGGACCGTGCATCTTCACTCGGCGAGATCGGTCGGTGGCTGAGAGACGTGTGAACTAATTCCGGCTCCCCGTTCTTCGACTGCAGTCTGATGGCCTTGAACCTCTTTCGCTTTGGTTTGCGGAAGTCAGGCACGGCCGCTGGGGATGGCGGAAATGCCAAAGAATGTTGCGTCGATTGAAGGCTTGCTTTGGACGCTTCAGGACTATTCTTCTTGTCTTCGGTCGAAGAAACCCAGTCACGGTCACCCTTTGCGTAAGCTGATAGGTTGAAAGGTTGTGACGGGGCCTCCCAATCTATAAGGTGCTCTTCTCTCTTCTTCACGAATGGCGCCGGGTCCACCTTGATATGAATGTGAGTTAGCTCTTTGCTAATGGGATCCCGTTGTGGCTTCTGTACTTGGAAAATGTACTTGGCGTGCATTGTCGACAGGTGAAAGACCAGGCGGTCGAGCCTCGGCGTCTTCCACACTGCGCATAGTGGACATCGGTACCCCTTGACTGTGGCGTAGCGGAATTTTTGGTCCACATTCGAGCAGAAATCATAGCATACCTCCGGAGTGATTGTGGCACCATTTTTGTCTTTCTTTGCTCCGTTGTGAAGCTCACTCAGTAATGAGCCATTGGTACCATTCATAGACTGCTTGCCCGTAGTAGGCGCGCTTCGTTCTGGCTCAAGAACCTTTGCCTCTTGATTGGGTTTGGAGGCTTTTTGATCAGGCGTTCGAAACTGGTCCAGATCAAGGCCCTCGGGTCGACGCCTCAAAGTCTTTGACCCAGAACTGGACTTTTGCCAGATTGCATCCACCTGAAGTCCATATTTTGTTCTATAAGTGCGTCCTTCATGCAAGAAAAACACACTTAGAGGGGTGTCGGCGTCTGGAGCTTGTGGCAAATGCGTATATCTCGCAACCACCGCGCCCTGCAGCACCTCTGCGCCGTTTCTTTTGATATCGGCCGCAAAGTGATCGCCGTCACTCTTACCTAGCAGGGGGACAGGGGGCCAACGACTATCAGACCTGCACGGAATGATCTTGAGCTCCAGAAAATATTTATCTATCAAGGCAAAAGTCTCCTCGTTGTTCACCAGAATAGACACCTTGAGCTCACTGGCCCTGATGCTGAATTGCTTTTCCAATTCCACATCCACAAAGTAACCATTGGACTCGGTTTCTCTGGGGGTCACAAAGCAATATTCGGATCGTGAGACAAGTGGTGCCACGTTGTAGCCATCACGATTGTCCCATACAGTCAGATAGCACTGGCATTTGATCGTGTCGCGCTTTTGCCGTTTAGCGGAGCGTTCCCCGCTGTCTTGCGCATTGGTTTTGAAATTAAGTTTCTTTCTGATATTGCTCAAGTCCAGGGTCAACTCAGCGTCGGGTTCTTCGTACACTTTGTCAGAAAATCCCCGAAGACTCCGACGTGTCTTTCGTTCGGTTGCTTCTTGCCCCCCGTTCGGAACGGAGGATTGCGCAGACCTCGACATGTTTGACAAAGTCCAATGTGATGCCGATGGCTCTTCTGGGTGGGGATTGCTGCTTGACACTCCGACGGTCGGTTCAGACGCGTCGTTCACAGAAAGACCGGCCAGTGCCTCTGATGTAGCTGTATTAGGCCTCTGTGCGACTGTAGTTGTAACCTTGGCTGAGGTGTCGGAATTAGTTGTTTGTGTACACCGCTTCTGATGATGGTCCAAGATTTGTGCAATGTTCCGTTCGAGCACTATTTTCTGCCGAGTTTGGCTGACTTGTAGCGCAAAAGTAAAATCTCCTATCAAATGTCGCGAGAACCTCCTTTCCGGACGTGCAAGATTTGAGCTGTAAACGCGACTCAGCATCTTGAGGAAGATGTCCCCAAGCACGTTTCCTTCACTGACAGCCGGTCCAACTTCCAGTTGGCAGGTTTGGTGATGGATTGAGACACTCTGCTGTCATTTCCCGTGAATGACTTATCAGTCGGATGGAAACATAACCCGGGAACAAGATCACCAGCCTTTGCAGAACCAATCTTTTCAAATGGCGATATGAGTTCAAAATGAAGGTTGGTTGCAAACTTTGATAATTCCCAGACGTCGTGTTAACAAGACGCGTCCCCGGGGCCTGAATGCACCCCAAATGTCATCAACAGCTCCTGGGTGTCGCAGGGGTGAGCGCGAAGCTGAGAATGGGAATAGCAGGAACAGCCTCTGCCTGAAGGAGCGGGTCTGTAAGTGAAGGGCTGCAGAGGAACAATCGGTCGCGGGAGGGGAGTTTGGGCGTCGGGCCTTGATGAAGGAGGAATCTGAGGAGCAGGAAAGGCTGTTTTGGTCTGACAAAGCCTCTTTATGTCGCCTGCGGTGCGACAACGCTTGCCAAAAGGCCAGATTGCGACGTAAACTATTGTGTCTGTCAAAGTAATAATCTTACTCAGTTAGCCGCTTCGTCCATGGGCTCTGATGATTGGCCAACGCGTCACCTCCGCTAACCCCGCTTACTAAGAGCTTCACTGTTGTTGGTCTATCAATTTATCCTCTGATCAAACTTTCAGCCCAGTTTGATGATAGAATGAATCCCTGACCTTCGATGCTACTGCTGCCCATGCCTGTCGACCTTCCCGGCGGGAATCTCACTCAGAGATGTTAGGCGGCATGCAGGGAGTATGGAGCCTAATCAGTGGCTTTAACTCAATTCATCAACTATATTGTTCTGACCTCTTCATGTATATACGGAAATGAGCGGACGAACAAGTGAACCGGTGAACCAACTTTCATCAGGCTCATGCAATGGGAGCAATCAAGACCCGCGGAGACCTTCTTGTGATCCGCCGTAAGTTCTAGTCCGGTACAGAAAAGTGGTCTCCAGCGAATATTGAAAGACATACAATACAGCCTGGAGGCTCGGACAACTGTCGTCCCCTCATATTGCATTTTGAATTTCCATGAAGACTTGCTCACTTGGATAATCAGCTTTCATCCTCCTGCACGCATCGGTCTGCGACGTTTTCTCTTGTACCAGCCTCGTCCTCTAGTAGTCAGTATACGGCTGGCTCCTGGTTTGCCCTAGCCCTATGCAACGAGTAGCTGTGCATATGCCAGCTTGGACTACTGGAGTATGTTTGGACAGTATCGGCGAGATTTCGCCGGCTCTTTATCTGCTTTGTTGTCACGTAAACGGGAGAAGACCCAACTGACCTCTACCAGTGGAGTCATAGTGCGACTGTCCTGATCTGGCAGAAGGGGGTGTGACTTGAGAAGTCAGATGAGTCTATGGTGCATTCTGAGATCTGAGGGTAAATAACAAAGGTTGCGCTGGAAGATAGAAAGCGTTTCGCAAGCACTACATTCTACATACCTCGATCCAGCGAGACCAAGTTCCCGGCTTGGGTCCAACCCCAGCTACTCATTATCCTCGACCGATATCCACTCTCGAGGCCTTGCTGCTACATGAATGATTTTTGAATGATATTTGATTCCGACTAAAGTTGTACGTGCCACGAAGGACAGAATGTACCTAGGACCCAGGTATTGAGACTTGGGTCAGTGTCCCCACGGCTAAACATTTGGCATTTGGTCTCGTCTCAAGAAGCATAGGGTATTGTCTGCTGCATGAGAACAGGCTGTCCGGCACAAACCCTCGTGGTTCAAGGTAGGCGGCTAGTGCACCTCGCATGAGCCTGCCTGTGCACGCGCACAGCATATTAGACCGGAAGTTGAGCGTCGCAAGGAAGATGCTATTGGCATCAACTTCGTTTCTTGACCCGGGGGGTTGTCATTCTTCTCAGTGGGCTGCTGGCTTGATTTCGGTCTATGAGTTGTTGTATTGTCCGTACAACCGCTGTACAACAGGCAATGTCCCGCTAATCTCGAAGACGACAGAAGGTTGCGAATCCTGTAAGATACTATAGTATCAGACGCGGCTTCAAGATGAGGCTGATTTGCGGCTGCTGTAGTATACTCGTCAATCATTTGCCATGGCACTCTACGACTCCAGCAACGCCAGATTTGTGAGACATCGGGATCTGCTATGGGTAGCTAGTCTAGGAGAAGTCACAGGGGAACAGCCGAGGCTGTAGGCAGGATCAGCCATTCAAGGAACACACCATGATGTCTATCGCCCATAATGGCTGATGGCTCGATCTGTAGGTAGCTCAAGAGTGACAAGCTGTTTCATAGCATGAGTCACGGAGATAGAGAATGGATAAAGTCAACATCAGGGGATTAGTTCAGCGTTGCTGGTTTGTTCACTATCTGCGTATAGGGGATCATCCACAAGCTGACCGGCTTCAGATCCTGTGACCGAGGAGGTCTGGGCTCAGTGCGCCCACAGGGTCCAGGAAGGCGTCAGTCGAGCTGTTGATTCCTCCCACAAGGTCTTGAAAGTCGAGGAGACCTTGTCGTAGACAATACCACCACATTGCCATCGTCGACCGAGACACGTGGGGGTCCTCGAGGAAGCAATGCTGGTATCTCTGAGGTAGTCAGCGGTAAGCGCATATCCATGTCGATGAGCGAAAGGGAAGGAGCCGAGCGCCTCATATCCACTATCTTGAGCCACAGTATTGAACATACGCAGATCGTTGCACCTTTCACAACGAAGAACTTTCCACCACCTGCTACTTCCTTACGTGCCGGACGACAGCCTGGAAACATTGCGACCATGACTGTGACATGATCATGGGCGTGAATTGTAAGAGCATAGTTTGAAGTGTAAACGTACGCGTCCCAGTCATGTCGAACGCAGGTTTCAGTGTGCATTTGTCAATACTACCAGGATTGCTGAAGCGGGAATGAAGCCAGGTTCAGTCCGCTATGCTGCCACTGGACTGTTTTTGACTGTGTGTGTTGCTCTTTGACCCGTTTATGCTGGAAGGAAACCGCAACTGCAGCAGTTGTGACGGAGACACTGGAAGCCCACTGACTATCGTGCTACAAGGCAACGAAAAAGCTCGCGGCAGAGTTCGCCCGTATGGGCATCCGCTTTACCTCAATTTATCCTTTCATCGCCGCTACTTAGCTCTTGGAAAGAGATTCTCAGGCGTGCGGGATACTTCAGAACATAGACAGAAGTTCACGACTGGCGTGCCGCAGGGTTGTCTGGTAGAACCAGAAGTTGAAAGTCAGCAAGGATGTCGTTTGAAGTCCGAAGATAGTAGAGCATCCTCCGTTTCTCATCAGTCAATGCTCATTGGATCCCCGCCGGTTGCCTGAGACGCAGCTTTTGTCTGTGCTGACCCGCCGTTGACATTACCTGGAGTCTCAGTCTCTCCCATCAAAGTCGTATGCATTCGTAGACTTTGACACCCGGGACAATTATGCACCACTTCATGCGCAAAGAGGTCGCAATCAATGCAAAAATGACGCCGGCACACGGGACATTCGTATCTGCTGCTCGTAGCAGAAGCATTGGCAGAGTTCCACTGTTCTCTGGGTGGTACCGGAGGGAAGACCTTCAGACAGGCAAAGCACGCCTTACTCCGGTACGCCTTGGACCAAGGCACCTCCAGCCAGTTGACGAGTGGAAATAAATGGTGGTAGCTTCGTGCCAGATGGGTTGACAATATGAGCGTCAGCCCACAGACGGGACATTCACTCGGCAGACTGCAAACCTTCGTATTGCAACGTGAGCATAGATATCCATCTCTAGATGGCCTTGTATGACAGGCGCATAAAGAAGGACGATCCTCGACCGTTCGGGAGGGGAAGCCCATCATTAAGAGAGAGTTGGCCGATTTGGTGGCTTGGCTGGTGACTGGAGGTGTTGTAACAGCCATGTACAGCTCCCGGTAGTGCTGCTCGTGGAGGACTACACCATAGTTTGCCAAGTTGCCGTGGTTGGTTTTTGAGACCAGTTCGGCACAGATAGCGACTTGGGCAGCCAGCCCAATGACTGTCGCCCGGATCTTGTCTGCCACGAGACTTTCGATTGTACGATGGATATCTCCCGGGTCGGAAGTGTGCAGAGCACCAAATATGAGCAAGATCTCGCGTGTACCGTGGCTGGGAGCGTGAAAAAGAGCTGCCCGAGCCATTTCGAGGGCATTTTCCAAAGACGGGTTTCCCTTTGGTTCTTCCTTGCGGATTTTCTGAATGGCAGCCAGATGAGCATTGGGATTCCCGGACATATCGCTGATGCGAATTGCCACACCATCGCGGGTTCCCACAATGCCTAGCTGGGATATAGGATTTTGTTCGAAGAATTCTCGAATGAAGGTCTCAGTGTAGAGGAGAGTGAGCAGGTAGCGGGTCGGCCGGAGGTCCTTCTCATTCATAGCTAACGACATATCCAAGATGAGGATGACATGTCGAATAATACCACGCTGGAGAGGTGTGGTATCCTTGAGGAGCCTGTGCCCAGTGATGTATCAGCAACCACTCCGTTGTTTGAAGTCGTCGCGGTTTCGACGCATCCTACCTCTTCCTCTTTCCTGCTTCGAGAAGCCCTTCGACTGCGCCAGTGATTGTGCCATCAGCGCCTTCAGTCAACAAATCCCACGTCCGGGTTACCTCGAAATTTTGACCACTTTCACGGTCGGTGGCCCGTCGAGCGTGAGAGCGGCCTGCAGCACGTGGTAAGTCATCGTCATCGTCCACGATAAACTCGTCCCCTGACGCCGGCATCACATGGGAGGCGAGAAGCAGGATCAGGAAGAACGAGGGACAAAAGTGTCGCGCGTAGTAGTTGGCGCGGTTTGGAGACGCAGTTCGCCCTAAATTTATTACGGCACAATACAATGGTCAATGCAACTTCAAGTCAGCCTAGTGAAGCCGAGCATGACGATGTCTGTTTCCACTCGCCGTCGATAAGCGAGAAGCCACGACTACAGACAGCAGCACTCGTCCTCATCCATTCCACACTCTGCAGTCTTTCCTCTGAGCAGGTTACATTTGCACCGGTCCGTTTCGAAAAAGCACATCGTCCAAACCCACCTAGTTGCATTGGGTCGCTGCGTATCAGGCATCAATTGGTCGTGCTCCAGAGCAAGATCAAGCGTACCTGCGGGACAAGTGCACCGGTATTTGAATGCTGGAGCTTAGACTCACGACATTCCTATTGTTCTCTTCTCCCATAAAGGCTGGTCCTATTTTCACTCGCACTCAGTCCATCCGCTCGTTCTCGGTCCTCTCACGAGTGTCGAGAAATCCCCGCCCATTGCGATTCCCTCCGGAAGCACCATTACACGTACGCTTTTGCTCGGCTGAAGCTCGAGCAACCATGGCACCGCCTACAGATAGAGATATCTTGCCTGACACTATCAAACCTATAAACTACAACCTGTCTCTTTCCAACCTCGAGTTCGGCGGGAATTGGTCCTACGATGGTCTCGTCAAAATCACTTCCAAGGTCAAACAGACTACAAAAGAGGTCATTGTCAATGTCAAGGAGCTAGAAATCAAGGGCGCTGAGGTATTCGGTCAAGATGGTGGCGGTAGGTTGATCAGAAAGCACCAAAGGGGGCTACACTGACTCTCTGTAGCAATTGTGTCGTCAATGGCGGATGTGTCGTATGACAAGAGCAACGAAAGAGCGATTATCAAGCTCTCGGGTGATATTCCTTCTGGGGATGCTATCATCGCTATCAAGTATCGTGGGACCATGAACAGCAAGATGGCAGGGTTCTACCGTTCGAAGTACAAGCCTGTAACTACACCCAGCTCAAGCACACCAACCGACGGCGAGTTCCACTACATGTTCAGCACGCAGTTTGAAGCCTGTGATGCGAGGCAGGCATTCCCATGTCTCGATGAGCCAAACTTGAAGGCGTCATTCGAGTTTGAGATTGAAATTCCCGAAGATCTTACCGCTATCAGCAACATGCCTGAAAAGGCTGTTACTAAAGGCAGCAAAGACGGGCTCAAGAAAGTCTCGTTTGAAAAGACCCCAGCCATGAGCACGTATCTTGCTGCTTGGGCCTTTGGTGATTTTGAGTACGTCGAGGATTTCACTGCACGCAAATATAACGGCAAGAATATTCCTGTCCGGGTTTATACAACTCGAGGTTTGAAGGAGCAAGGCCGTTTTGCGCTGGAACATGCTCACAAGACCTTGGACTATTTCTCTGACGTTTTCGGAATTGAATATCCCTTGCCTAAATCTGATCTCCTGGCTGTACATGAATTCGCTATGGGTGCTATGGAGAATTGGGGCTTGGTCACCTATCGAACTACCGCTGTTCTCTTCGACGAGGAAAAATCAGACGCTCGGTTCAAAAACCGAGTTGCATATGTGGTTGCTCACGAACTGGCCCACCAGTGGTTTGGCAATCTCGTAACGATGGACTGGTGGAACGAGCTGTGGCTAAACGAAGGCTTTGCCACCTGGGTGGGCTGGCTCGCTGTCGATCATCTGCACCCGGAATGGGACATTTGGAGTCAGTTTGTGGTGCGTAGAATGTCTAAAGGTAACTTTCGGTCCATTGGTTGACATGAATATAGGCTGAAGCTGTACAAACAGCTCTAGAGCTCGACTCTCTGCGCGCATCCCACCCTATCGAAGTCCCCGTCCGCAACGCCCTCGAAGTTGATCAGATATTTGACCATATATCTTACCTCAAGGGTAGCTCTGTGATTAGGATGTTGAGCAACCATCTCGGCCAAGAAGTGTTTCTGAAAGGGGTCGGTGATTATCTCAAGATCCATGCCTATGGCAATGCCAGAACGAACGATCTCTGGGCAGCGCTCAGCGCCGCTTCGGGACAAGATGTTCAAGCCTTCATGGACCCTTGGATCCGCAAAATTGGTTTTCCAGTGGTCACTATTGCCGAAGAGCCTGGTCAAATTGGCATCCGCCAGTCAAGATTCTTATCTACAGGCGACGCGAAAGCGGAGGAGGATGAGACGACTTGGTGGGTTCCGGTTGGTCTCAAGACAGGAACACCAACCAAGATTGTGCACAGTGCATTGAGTCAGAAAGAGGACACTGTTCGAGACATCGATGACGAGTTCTACAAGATCAACGCTGACCAGAGTGGCTTCTACCGAACGAACTATCCACCTCAGCGCCTTGTGAAGCTTGGCCAGTCTCAAGACCGCTTATCTGTCGAAGATAAAATCGGCCTTATGGGAGATGCAACGGCGCTTGCCATCGCCGGAACAGGCACGACAGCAGCACTTCTCTCGTTGTTGGAAGGATTTAAGCACGAGAAGAATTTTACTGTATGGCAGCAGATCGCAAGCTCACTCTCGAAAGTAAGATCTGTTTTTGCCACCAACAAAGAAGTTTCAGCTGCCTTGAAGAAGTTCTCCTTGACATTGGTCTCTCCAGCCGCAGAAGCTATCGGGTGGACATACCCCGATGGCGAGGACTGGTTGACTGGCCAGTCTCGAAAGCTCCTGCTCGGCATGGCTGCTGGTGCTGGACACGAAGGAATCATTGCAGAAGGCCAGAAGAAATTCGCAGCTTGGAAGGCCGGTGATGAGAAGGCAGTCCATCAGAACTTACGAGGCGTTGTCTTCAATCTAGCCGTTGCGAATGGTGGGCAAGAAGAGTATGATGCTCTGAAAGCTGAATTCAAGAAGACAACAAGCGTGGATGGCAGGGAAATCTGCATCCAAGCACTCGGGCGATCGAAGAACCCGGATCTCGCATGGGACTTGCTCGAGTTCGTCACCTCTGACAATGTTCCACCTCAAGATGCCCATGGAGGCATTTCCGCTGTTTCTAACAACAACGAGACGCGAACAGTGGCCTGGGAGTTCACCAAGAAGAACTGGGAGCGGGTTCAAAAGAGACTCGGAGTGACAGGAATAGTGATTGATCGATGGATCAAGATGGGATTGCCCAAGTTCTCAGACACGGCGATCCGCGATGATATTGCTCAGTTTTTCGCCGACAAGGATACTGCGGCGTTCAACCGCAGTCTTGTGATTGTTTCGGACACAATTACCAGCAATGCGAACTACAAGCAGCGGGACGAAGCTCAGTTGCTGGAGTGGCTGAAAGCTCACGGCTATGCTTGAGAATAGGGTTGTAGCGGCGATGTACAGGTGAGGGCCCAGGAGCAGATAGATCTCGGGTACGTCAGAGTAATCAGCTGCCTGTTTGCAAAGTACCTGTATAAGACGAATGTAGCCTGCTGTGATGTGCACCTGCAGCCTGGTGAGCCTGATCAATGATGATTCTCAACAGGGTCATGCTGCCAAACGAGGCCTCCTCCACCGGGAACACGTGACCCGGCTGACGTCCAATCTAGATGCGCCTTGAACTTCCAACCTGGCCTGCTGTAAACGCCAGTCCAGGGACATCCTCCTTTGCCATCCATTATAATTGACTCGATCTCTCACCTTTACTGTTCGCCTTTTTCTTCCTCCTGCATTTCAACTTGGCCCTTGACCGCCTCGGCTTCAGATCGCTCGTATTTGCCGCTGACCTGCGTCGATCAAACCCTCTCAAACCACTCGTCTACACACGTCAGAATGAATCCGGAGTGGTAAGTTGGTGTTGGATACGGCCAAACATGATCGAGCCAACGGCTCTGGTGCACAATCACAACATACTGACCGTGTACAGAGTTTTTCTCCCCTCGCATCGATGATTGCCCACTGGTGGATTAGTAGACTGCCTAGATGCGGATGTTGACACGCCGTGAACAGATACGATTACCTCTTCAAGCTCCTCCTCATTGGAGACTCCGGTGTAGGAAAGTCCTGCCTGCTTTTGCGATTCGCCGATGACACATACACCGAATCCTACATCTCGACAATCGGGGTTGATTTCGTACGTCAAGAATGAACCCAGGCTGGCGCCTGCGACCGTCTGCGCTTCTGCAAAACAGGACTGACGTAGACGCAGAAAATCCGCACAATCGAACTCGATGGAAAGACTGTCAAGCTCCAGATTGTACGCTGAGACTCCCTAGAATCGCTCTTTTGATTCTGACGTGCATTTAGTGGGATACCGCCGGTCAAGAGCGCTTCCGAACGATCACCTCCTCGTACTACCGTGGCGCCCACGGCATCTGCGTGGTCTACGACGTGACTGACATGGATTCGTTCAATAACGTTAAGCAATGGCTGCAAGAGATCGACCGCTACGCTACTGAGGGCGTCAACAAGTTGCTCGTAGGCAACAAGAGCGATATGGCGGACAAGAAGGTTGTGGATTACACAATGGCGAAGGTTGGCTCCTGTCGATTTGGAAATGGCATCCGCATTTACTTACAGAAAACCAGGAATTTGCTGACAGCCTGGGCATTCCATTCCTTGAGACATCGGCCAAGAACGCTTCGAATGTCGAACAAGCATTCTTGACCATGGCTCGCCAGATCAAGGAGCGCATGGGAACCCACACTGCCAAAGACAAGCCAACGGTCCAAGTCGGTCAAGGCCAGGGTGTTCAGTCCGGTTCGGCAGGTGGTTGCTGCTAAGTTCTTCGCAGCTCTTCTTACGGAAGAAGTCGGCGACTGAAGCAGAAGTTTCCCTTTAGCGGCTGAAGCTGAGAGAGGTGGCTCATGCAGAACGAGGCGATCAAGTGGAAATTTCGTATTTCTGCGCAATTGTCTTGAATTGAATTGGCAGGCGTTTGGGCGCATGGGTGAACTTCATACATGTCTAGACTTCTGCTCCAATAGGCAACCCATTTCCCAGGATGAGATCTTTATTGGATTCAAACGGTTTCATGCTCCGACAGACTAATGATACAATGCACAAACTTCCTTTGGAGAGTTCAGATCTAACCCTGGAGACAGTTGCTGGACGAGTGTGCTCGTCACAGCGGTACACAGGGCATGTATTCCTTCCTTCGACTTGATGCCTTTCAAATACCGTCTCCTTTTCTATATGGTGTTTCTTTCTCTGACCTAGCTGTCCTATCTTTGTTGCGGGTCGAGGGTCCAATATATGCATGCTACTGAGCACCGCAGACATGTTCTCGATACTGCGACAAGGCTGACCTGTAAGGGGGCCAACGTCCACCGTTTCCCGGGTCGCCGTCTCAGGCCTATCGATGAAGTTGACCCTTTTGCACCCCAGTCGTCAGCCATGGCAACCGACAGCCGCTCTTTGGATATGCTGGCATCGCCAGCGATGTCTTCTTGGCGAAACCGGTGAAGTATCATTTGTCTATTCTCAAATGGCCAGGTTTGCAGGATTTGCCAAACATTCATAGTCATTAACGTTCACTCACTGTCTCCCACAGTCATGGCTTCATCTGCGGTGCTGACGGATTCGCCACTGTCACGAAGCAGTGTGTCGTTTGCCAGCGCAAATTCCTCATCCTTGTTCCCTTCTTTCATCGTCTCGCCATCTCCAAGCTCACAGTTGTGTGCAAAGACAGGTGTCTCCGCTGGCGCAGGCTGTGACGCGACTGGTCAAGACTCCTCCAAAGACGAAAATACCATGACAACCTCAAGCTTTGACTCGGCTGAGACTACATTGCCGCCAATACCCATCACAGCGACCTTAACGCCACCAGACATACCAGACGACTCGACTTTGCGGATCATTGTCGTCTCATCGCCAAGTTCAAGCACAAGCATAAGCGCAACGACAACCTCATCGGAAGTTCTCCCTACCAAGTCGACGGAAACTCTGACCGTTTTTGTTTCAACCAAAGTTAAGCCAGGTACAACATCATCATGGATTGCGAGTGTCGTTGAAAGTACCAACCGCTCTTCTTCCAGAACGTCTGTCACGCCGGCTCCAGTTATTACGTCGACACTGGCCACAGTAGCACGAACTTCTCTTACTCCCACTCTTTCTACTCCTACAACTTCTCACCCGACTACTGCTACAGTTAGTTCCACATCCATGGTAACTTCCTGGACTACATCCTCAGCCTTGTCTCCATTCTCCGCGACCCCTTTGACGACGTCTTTCATTTCGGCTGATCCAGCGCAGCCATCTTCAATTGTTACAGAAGTGACTATTTCATCCGCCGCAGCGACAGATACCACGCTCGTCATTACTCCATCGGCTTCGCACAATTCTTCTTCTACCTCGGGATCATCACATTCTGCCCACTCTCACACTCACCCCCACCCCGTAATACTCATTGGAGTGGCTGTGGCAGGTGGTCTCGCGGCACTGACCCTGCTCTTGCTGTGGCTATGGCGTCGGTTCCACACTGCGTCGTTCAACACAGCACGAGCCAAGATCCCGGGATGCACAACCTTTCGACAGTGGAGAGACAGACGCAAGCGAGAACGACGCACGCGCAGCCTGCGCACAATGGAGGCATTGTCACACTCGGAAAGCTACAGTTACAACTATGGGTACAGGTACGGACACAAAAGCAGTGACATTGTCGGTGGTGGAGGTGGTGGTGACACATTTGCGCGACGTCTGCAACAGTATGAAGAAGAGTCTAAGCGTGCAAGGGAGAAGTACAGCTTCGAAGCACCAGCCACGCCACTTTCGGGTGGTGGTGGTAACAAGAAGACAACATTCGGCGGCGGTAGCAGCAGCGCCAATTCAAGCCCATGGTACAAGGGCAAATCTACCACTGTCCCCACGACTCCCAAGAGGAGCGTGGAAAGAAATAATACTGCACCTGGTGCAGCAACAGCGGCAGGAGCAGGAGCAGGAGCAGGAGCGAGTGGCGTCGCTGGTCGACGCATGTACGGGCCATTCAAGAGGGAATTTAACGAGGAGACGGGCAGCCTGGAGAGTTGGGAGGAGAAGTGGTTTTCGCTGGGCAACGAGGCCGAATCGGGCGGCGATTTCGAGATGAAGAGCATGGCGAAGAAGCCCTTTGAGGGCCATGCAGAGCGTGTTGCCGGGCCGGGCATGTCCTGGTGAAAGTTGGTTTAGATTAGGCGAGAACCAGGTAGACAATGACAATGACAATGACAATGGGCCTCTGCGTCATGATGAACCTGGCGTGAGTATGTTGCACAAGTCGACGGTTTTTAAAAACAGGCAGTGAGGTGTTTTGTGAATCAAGAGTAGACTGTAGTTAATGATAGAGTGAGTAGTGCAAAGTGAGCGTAGAGTGAGCTCTGCGAGGATCACTGATATGGAATGTTAGATTGTTCTGGTGTGTCCCTGAGAGGTAGTGGAGGTGGCAGGAGAATAGTCAGGATAGACAAGATGTGCTACGACAGAGTAAGTAGGATATGAATATAAGAGGAGAGGATGTGAATGTGCTCCAGAAAGTGACCTTCAGGAGGACAAGATTCAGAGGATCTGAGAGATGGAGACATGGAGACCCCCTTGGTCATAGGGTGTTTGAAATTTGATCTCTGCTCTGGAGTGGCCACCGTATCACTAGCCGACAGCCCGACACTGTCGCTGACATACGTGGACCGTCAATGGAGTGTTTGACAGCTTGTCACTTCTACGGCTTGCACGACAGTGAGAAACTTGACCTGGAGCCCTGGAAAACGCGGCAAAGTGACAGGGATCTAATCCAACTACAGGTACGTGTAGCAAACACTATCCGAGAACCAGTTCTAAACTTCCAATCTTCCTTCTCGACTACGGCAGACACGGGCCTCATAAGAACACGTACTCGTCTCATCGCGTACGCGTGGGATGATTCGAAACATCGCCCTCCTTGACCATTTGACCGCGCTCCAAAGAGTCATTGGCATTGCCGACGGCCCGCGCACCACCACACACGGCACTTCGGTGCATAACTACTCCATAAACATTCCCACTCCTTTTCTGCGGCGGTACACATTGTTGACAGCTTGTCTGTGTGCCTCAGTCCCCTGGCCTTGCACTCGTACCAGTGGCGGACCGTCAATGATCATGTCTTATCACACGCTACGGGTACGGGTGCGGGCACGAGTCCTCGTTCATCGTCGTCGCGCATCTCTTTACTTTTCCTCCTCTCGTGGGTTCTGTTTTGTTGCAAGAGAAATGTGACCAGTTCAGTACTCACTCACCCACCGCCCGTCGTTTGTTTTGTTCGTTCATCCATCCACTCATTTATCCATTCCTTTTCGCAGTGCAATGTTTAATCCAACTGCTTTGTCGGTCCTTTTGACTTTGAATATCCTCTCTGCAGCTGCTGGTGGCCAGAAGCAAGCCAGCATAACTGACTTTTGGGCGGGAGCGGATCTGTTGTCGTTCGTTTCGGTAAGTGCAATACACGGCAGGGAAGGACATCCTCGAGGATCCCTGGAGTTGTTGTAAACGGGATGTGAAGAAGCTAAGTGTAAGAAAAACAACAGAGGCCCGACATACGGGCACCAAGATGGAACGTCACTAAACATCATCCCGACTTGATCACCCCTGGATACTGGTTTGTCGCACCATATACAACTTGGGCGACGGTCCCTGACCGACTCGAATTCTCGCCGGCGCAGGTCGGGCCGCATATCTATGATGGAGATGGAGTAGGCGTGCCATGACACAGCAGGGGTTTGTTTATGCGCTGACTTGTACAGAATCTGATCTGGAGCGGCGCGGCGCTGGCCCATAACCGTAACGCATTCGACTTTCGGACCTTCAAAGCCAATGGCTCCACGCACCTCTCCTACGTTCTGCACTACAGCAGGAGAGAAGGTGACGAGGAACAACACGGACAAGGCGTCTACCTTGACTCGTCATATCGACAAATAGGCAGAGTCACCCACAATATTGGCATCGAATTCAATTTCCATGAGTTCGACATACGCGACGACGGGAAATCTGCGCTGCTCATTGCCACCGACCGGACTGTGAGGCAGGAACCCACCACGGGTAAATCTGGCTGGGTTGCGCACGATTGCATTAAGGAACTCGATCTCACAACGGGCGAAGACAAATTCTGGTGGTGTCCTCTGGACAACGGTGTCCAGCTGAACGAGACCTACGACAATATCCCAGACATGGAAGGTGTCACTGAGGGCGGACCATGGGATTTTCTGTATGTTTTTCAGACCTGCTAGGGTCACTTCTTGGATGCTAACGAGGTCGCTGTGATCTAGCCATGGCAACTCGATCGACAAGTTCGAGGACGGCGATTATTTGTACTCTGCTCGACATGTCAACACGATATATCGAGTCAACCACACAGACAAATCAATCGTGTGGCGGCTGGGGGGGAAACTGTCGGATTTTGAAATGGATTTCAACTTTTCATCTCAGCATCATGCATCGGTCCAGTCAGATGGTGGCTCAATAGTGAGGTTGACCTTTCTCGACAACGCCGCGGACGATCAGGGGAGACAACCAACGACTTCAACGACTTCTTCGGCGAAACTAGTAGAGTTGGACACTGATACCATGACTGCAACGGTGAGATTATTTTTCGTCTTTGACGCGAAACGGCCCTGGATCGTCGCTAATACTGCATGCACAGCTGGTAGACGCGTGGTATCGCCCTGATGGGAAACTCAGTGACAAGCGCGGTAATGTCAACACGATGCCGAACGGCAACATTTTTGTAGCGTGGAGCGAGAACGGCTACATGACTGAACACACTGCCACAGAGGACAAGAAGCTGGTCCTCGAGGCCAAGTTTACCTCTCATCGGTTCTCGACTTACCGAGCGTTCAAGGCGAACTTTAGCGGCAACCCGATCGAGCGACCTGTGGTGAAAGCATTCGCGACACAGTCGGGAAGGGATGCTTCGTACTCGATGACAACGTTCTATGTTAGCTGGAACGGCGCAACCGAAGTCAAGAGGTGGGAGTTTTTCGGCTCCCAAGGTGATAATGTCGGAGAGTTTCAATATCTCGGGACGACGAACAGGACCGGATTCGAGACCACGTTCTCCGAAAAGGGACTGTGGCTGAACGTCTATGCCAAGGCCATAGCTGAAGATGGCAAGTCTCTTCGCACGAGCAATATCGAGCGATGCTCCGCCTGGCCTGGGTCGCCGCCACTTAAGACGAATGTACAGATTGGAGGAATGGCGCATGGTTCGAGTGCTTCGAATACGTCGGGGAATTCAACGAGCCCCACGACGTCTGCAGCTGAAACGGCAAAGACATGGACAGATCAAGCCAAACAGAACCCCTTGGCGTTGTGGGTGTTTGTGCTCATGCTGGTGCTGCAAGTCGTCGTTGTCGTGGCCTTGTCTCGCTGCTACCGCCGCATCCACCGGGCTACGTGGAAGGAAGACCAGGTGGAATTGCTGTCCAAGGGAGACTTTACGGATTGAATGGGTAGGTACTGTATTGGGAAGTTGTACATCTGTGAAGTGATTTGGTGTTTTGGCGTTATGAGCAATGTGAGCCGTGAATATGATTGTACGAGCATAATTGATTTCTGCAAATTCCAGGACACTAGTTAGTCTACCTGGGATACCCCCTTATTCCGGACTCCGTACCCCGACCGCCGGGGACAGCAAGGCGGCTCTCCGCGGGGTATTTATTCATTGACCCCGGCTATGATGGATCATGGTCCGGGATGAATCTCTTTTCTCTGGAGCTTCCCCCAACTTCATCTACCCATCTGGGGGCATTTCGGCCAATCCTGATACGATGATAAACCGCTACACTACCCAACTAGTCTTTGATCACCACGGGCCATCCACCGACTTGGCTCCTCTCCAACTACGAGTACCTGACTGTGTCTTTATACCCTGCTCGCGTCCAATCACTGTTCCACTGTCAACACGCCGACAGCATCACCGCTCAATCACCGGTCGCCCATCAGCTATGCATTCCACTTTCTACAAGTCCGCCATCTCATGCGCCTTGCCGTCCGTCGATTCGCTGTACTCCCATACAACATTGCCAGGGTTTTGAGTCGCGTCCATCGCTCACCCTCGGTTGTAGGGTGACATTCGCAGCCGGCAGGGAGATCAATTATCCATCTTTGCGGGGAGGGGAGATGATTGTTCTGGCACAACCGGCACATGGCCTGCTCTGTCCGAGGACTCACCTTGGGTACCAGGGTAGCACGCATCACGGACAGGGGGTGAAGCCCGCTCGAGAGCGAAACTCGGCAATGAACAATGTTGTCATGCCATTGCTATCTACCGGGGCTCTCTTTCGAGGCGAAGCTTACTCTTTGATAGACGTTGCATAAAACCCGGTAGCTCCCTGCCGATGGCTTTCGCTTGAAGTTGTCTCCTAACCCGTCCTCTCCCTTTCTCCCTTTTCTCCTCAGCTCTATCGCCGCACTAGTTAGCTTCACTGTTTGGGTGTTGTGTAGGTCGTGGTTATCTCCCGGACCACGGCACGTCTGACTGATACCTTGGCTGTTCATTTGGGAATTTCCTCTCTCCCTCCCTCCCTCCCTCCCTCTCTCGGAGTGTGTTTGTGTGTGTGTGCATCACATACGCCAGCAAGGTGACACAGTGACCCGAATCATGGACATCGATCATGTTCGAGACGAGAAATCCAATACGGGGTCTGTTCCTCACAACAACAAACACGAGGCTCGCGTCATGAATGCCTCGGAGGACCCCATCCTCCAGCCGTCGTCACCGAACACGAAGAAGACAATGGACTTCTCAGACGAGAAACCGACAGTCTCAACGGCCGAGAACGTCAACCACGGCGACGCCGACGGGGACTCTCACAATGCCGCCGTCGACATCGACAAGCGTCGTTATGATCCGACCCTCGCGCCTCGATATACTCAGGAAGAAGAAGACGCGGTGATTCGCAAGCTCGACTGGCACCTGATGCCCCTCATCTTCGTTCTCTACAGCTTGTCTGTGCTCGACCGGTCGAATTTGGGCAATGCTCGTATTGCCGGCATGGAAGACGACATTGATCTCTCTGGGAACCGGTATGATTGGCTCGGAACAGCATTTTATATTTCATGTAAGATTTCTCGGCTGGCTCCAATTCGCCCGTTTCCATTTCCATATCCATTTCCTCAGCTTCGTGCTCAACGTCTGAAATTTCATGCCACGATCAACTCTCGTCTAATCTATCCCTCCTTCCAATGTTCTCTTTCTTCTCTTCCCGTTCTGTATACTACTAACACCTTCATTAATGAACCGCTCACAGATATTCTATCCCAATGGACACAGGTGGGCTGGAAAGCATTCCCACCGCACCGCTGGGTCGCCTTCGCGGTGTTCGGATGGGGCACGGTCTCGACCCTCCAGGCGGCGTGCTCGTCCTGGGCCGGCGTCATGGTCTGTCGGGTGCTTCTGGCCATCTTCGAAGCTTCCTTCGGCCCCGGCGTGCCGGGATACCTCTCGTACTTCTACCCGCGGGAGAAACTGGGCTTGCGGACGGGCATCTTCCTGTCCGGCTCGGCCGCGGCGAATGCGTACGGGTCGGCCCTCGCGTACGGCATCGCCCAGGCCAAAGGCAGCATCGGGCCGTGGCGCATCTTATTCATCGTCGAGGGCGTGCCCACCTGCCTGCTTGCCATCGTCGCGTGGTTCTGGCTCCCGGACTCCCCGCACGACGTGAGGTTCTTGAGTGAGCGTGAAAAGGAGATCGCGATCGATCTGAGCCTGAGGCAACCGGGCGATCGCACGGGCAGGAAAGGACTGCAGTGGAAACAAGTTCTGGGTGGACTCGTCGATTATAGATGTAAGTACTCTCTTGGTTTCCACTTTCGCTCTGTCGCCGTCGCGCCGGTCACCATCTCTGTCTCATTTTCCCACTTCCGGCTGACGGACTGTACCGTTCTGCAGCGTACCTCCCGCCACTGATGTACTTTGGCTGCAACGTGTGCTTCGCGTCGCTCCCGCTCTTCGTGCCGACCATCATCTCGGAAATGGGGGCGTTCAGCAGGATCCAGTCCAACGGGCTCTCGGCGCCGCCGTACGTGTTTTGCTTCGTCGCCATCTGCTCGTCGGCGTGGTTCTCCGACCGCATCCGCTACCGGGGCCCGTTCGTCGTGGTCCCCGCGCTGCTCGCGGCCACCGGGTACGTGGTCCTGGGCACGACGACGGGCGTGGCGCCGCGGTACTTTGGCCTCTTCCTGGCCGTCCTGATCTTCGTCAGCGTCGCCATGGTGCTGACCTGGGTCGGCAACACGCACGCCACCGAGACCAAGCGCTTCGTCGCCCTCGCCATCCTCTCCACCGGCGGCCAGTGCGGGCCCGTGCTGGGCACCAACGTCTTCCCCAAGAGCGAGGGCCCCTACTACCGCAAGGGCATGTGGGTGAGCTGCGGCGCCTGCCTCCTGGTCGTGGTGACGGCGTGCATGCAGATGGCCCTGCTGGCGAGGGAGAACAAGAGGCGGGACGCAAAGTACGGCACGGACAGGGAAACCGTGCATCTCCAGGAGCCGGACGAGTACGGCAATGACAAGCACTTTAGGTACATGGTTTGAGAATTTTTGGGACGTGAAAACGGGTTGTGGAGGAGGGGGTGAAAGGGGCTTGGGGGGAGGGCAGAGAGAAGGAAAAGAGTGAGAGAACTGAATATTTCACGAAACGAGGACAAATGTACCTGGGTAGTGATGAGAGAACGGAGAAGGAAAATAGAGATTGAATGGCTGGGAACTACTGCGAATATTGCACGATGCCTCTCAAAAGGATATACAGTGTGAGCTCCACAGGATTATATATAAACCACTATATTAATCCCTCGAGCTCGCTCTCACGACAGATAAAAAAGGTGTACACTGTCCGAACAACCATCCAACTCAAACTATTATTACGGTCTTTTTGTACGACTGTAGAATTCTACCCATCGTCGGCACAACACTCACCACCAACCACATAACTATTCAGCCCATTAAATCTCAGCACGTTCAATTATCGTCGGTGATGTCTTGATTTCATAAAGTTCTGCAAGCCAATTGAGCTCGCAACCAATGTACAACATATTTACAAGCTCTCGAGAAGCAGAAACACCCCCGCAAACGCAAACGCCTGGTCCCAATGTCATGCATCCCTCAGGTAGGTGGTAGCTATGTATGTAGGTCATGCCGTCCGAATCCCGCTCGATGCGCGCGCATAAATGAACCACAAGAAAAGGGTTCGCCCATCGCATTTACCCAGTTCCAACATACTTGAACCAGAGCGGTCGGCAATCTTCTCGTTGCAACCATGATTCACCGGCGTAGAACTTTCCAGCTTCACAGCCTCGGCACTTTGGAGAATTAGGGCAGTTGTAGAACGGGATGTGGTTGTACCCGATGTCCTTGAACCTGCAAACACCATTAATCAGTATTCTTTTCTTCGGCCACTCATTACGAGCAACCGCCGGAGGTGCTTACCAATGAATCCTGCTCGAGTCTTCGAACAGTCCCAGGGCAATGCTGTGCACTGGTGCGTCTCCCCATCTCTCGTAGAAGAATCCACCCGATCTGTCCAGATGTGTAAAATAGTCTTCATACACCTGTCCCCGCCAGAAGGACAAGTCTGCAATCTCGAAATTAGACCAGAAGTGACATGTGCTGTATCCGTGTGCTTTCACATTGTTGTCTGGTCGTCGTGTGTTGTCGGTCAACCATTGCATGGCGTTGTTCTTGTGCAGGTATTCAGGATGCGAGGCCAAGAACTTGATGGTTTCCGGCCACAGGGAGGGAATGGATTGGGGTGAGTCGAACAGGTTGATGTTGAACCCGTACGTCTTGTTGTGGTCTTGCATGTAACGGAAGACATCGTAGTCAACATCACAGAAGAACTTGACCTTCGGCTCGACTCGCCAGTAGTACTGTGTATGTTCAAGTGCAGGGTGCCGGTAGAACATGCCGCTGTTCCACCTGCACATTTGGTGGTAGGATATTTTGCCGGCGTATTGCACGTCGTTCTCTTTCAGGATCTTGGCAGACTCGTCATACAGCTCCTTGCTGATCCACGAGGGCATCTCCCAGTGCTCTTTTGGGATCGTGTGATAGGAGCATTTTGCTTTCGTCAGGGCTTGGGTCTTCTTCTTGAACTCATCGGTGAATGGGACGTCGTTAAAGAAGGTCCAGGGGTAGTTGAATTTGTGGTTCCACGTCTCTTCAAGCTGTTTCATGGTGGGAAGGAGGTCGTGGAGTTCTTCGTTTCGGACAAGGGAAAGGAGAGTAGCATTGATTCGCGCAGACTTGGTGCTGCCGGGAGAGTAGTCGTGGTCGGTGTGTCGCCAGAGAAGCCCATCTGGCTCACCGACAGGATCTAGGAGCGGATCACGCTCCATGTTGCTGATCTTGCCGCCATTGCCTTCGACGGGACCGGCATTCGGCGGAGTCAGGTTGGGCGGTGGACGCAAGTACTGAAAGACGATGAAGAAGAGCAATATGACGGACAGTGCCCCCAGATACCGGACAGGTCGAGCGACTGCCATTGCGCTGAGGGGGACAGTTTCATCCGTAGGCCATCGACGTGGAAGGAGAGACAGATGGTGGTGTTGGAGTTGTGTTGGACGAGAAGTCGAAGAAGCAAACTTGTCCACAGCGATTTCAATTCATTGCCACGAGTCCCATGTACTCGTAATAAGTTTCGAAACGACGCCAACTGCGCCGTTCACCTTCGCCTTTGCCCGGCCTATTGTACGTGTTCTCGTAACCAAACAATGGCCACTAAGTGACACTAAAACGGCCGCTAATGCAACCTTATTGCCCGCCACTAAATTCATTTGCTAAACACACATGTGAGTCCTGACTTTCTCCGCAAAAATTCGTCAACGATGCTCCGGGCGCAGGCCACTCAAAGTACTTGTTGCACACAGTGATTGTCCCGTTAGTATCTGAAATCAGGATCCTGCACATTCCACGGCCGTCAGCACATACTCATACGTACAGTCGCCGCCATGGAAGTACTCACAGAGCAGCCCAAAACCTCCTCCTTCACCCCGCTCGCGGAGCATCAAGCAACCACACCAGCGTCGTTTTACTCTGGTCCTCCGGTTCTTCACTACTACAGCGACCGCAGCAAAATTGTGGTTTTGCAGCACGAGGTCGAATCCCTACCTGCGTTCGCTCCGCTTCTTTCAAAGGCCGAGGCTGTTTCCACATCGCACGCCAACGGCACGGAAACCGCCAACGGAGACAGCAACGAGGCTCAGTCGCAAAAGGTCCTGGACGATGTTGATGTCTGGGTCGCGTCGGACAAGCTGTACTTGTTCTCGGCGTCCGCAAACTCGGGCGTATCGATTCCTTACCCTTCAATCTCTCTACATGCGATACAATCCCTCCCGGCACCTGAACCCTTGGGAGCCTCGTCGGCCGATGCGCCTGCGCCATCTCAAGGAGTCTACATGCAACTGGTCACCTCCTCCGAAGAGACAGACGAGGAGCCAGACTCAATATCCATCACCATAGTCCCCACCGCCTCCGGACCTCCGGAACAGGCCACAGACGACAGCAATGCCGACCCCATTGCGACCGAGGACAAACCTCTACAGACGCCCGTCACGGCCATGTTCAATGCGCTGTCGAACTGTTCGAATCTGCACCCGGACCCGGTTGAGCCTGGTGACGAGGACGAAGACCAATACCAAAGTCATCTGTTCCAGACCGGCCTTGCGTTTCCCGGCGCCAGCGACGGTGGATTGCCGCCCGCGATGCCAGGTAGTGGAGGCTGGATCACTGCCGAGAACATGCACGAATACTTTGACGAAGAAGGCAATTGGATTGGCAAAGATGGTGACGAGGAAGAACAGCAACAAGAGGTCGAAGGCGAGAACCTCGGTCCTGGTGCTGGGACCGTTCGCCCGAGACAGGAGGAGGATACAAACGGCAACGGCGAGCCGGCTGATGGCAACGAGGAAACAAAGTGGCAGAGAACATCGTGAGGGGTTTTGTCATCTCGTCCTTCAGGAGTGTGTTAGACCATGAACAAGAAAAGTAAATGATACCCGTACAGTGGATAGAAAAAGTACTGAAGGAGAGGTTTATCATATCATTGTGCGTTCATTGCTCTCCGCCTCTATAACATGGTGCGTCCCCATATCCTGATTTTCGTAGCTCATTTCAGTACACATTCCGGTGACGCGAGTCAAGAATACAAAGTCCGTTTTGTCGGAAAAACGCTCTCCAGACTATCCGCGAGCAATTCCAACCCGTCGCCAACGCCGCCAGCAGTCCTCGAGACACCTCTCAACCCAGCAAGGAGGAACGTGACATGCCTCTGGAAGACGTCTTTGACTCTTTGGATCTCCTTTCGCACCGAACTGTCCTCGTCCAGAATGAAGGTCGAGTAACCCTCGCCCATGCCTCCGTCATCTTCCTCCTCGTCGTCGTCGTCGTCGTCGTCGGACTCGCCTTCTTGACGCGTGCGACGCCTCCGACGCTGGCTCCTCGCAGAAATGAAGGAGCTAGCTTCAAAGTCGACGGACCCTCTTCGCCCAGACGTGGAAGCAGACGTCGGCGCACTTACGACATCAGCGAACCGGATACACAAATCGAGAACCGCAACCACGGCATCGCGCAAGGGCTTGACGCGCGCGCTGCTCAGACACGCAAGTTCCAGATCGCGCACGTACACGGCGTGGATGGCGATCATGTCGTCGACACTCCCCGTCGAAGGCGCCGTGAGACGACCGCGCATGTCCCGTGTCATCGGCCCAATGGCACACGTCGTCAGATGAGCGTAGAGGACATTGACAAAGTGCGCGAGGCCCATGTACACTGCGCGCGCGAACGGTTGGTCCCCCGGATCTGTACCCAGCGGGGCATTCTGAACGTGGAAGAACGCGCGGCGCTCGAGAATGCATCTTGCCCTGCGGATCTGGCAGAGTGTCAAGGCGATGCGCTGATACACAGTGATTGACGCGGGTGAGATGACGTTAGCAACCGGCCAGGGGAGGTGATACGACAGTGTAAGCGACGTGAGGATCTTCACTGAACGACGGCGGCTTTCCATGCTCCGGGATGAGGTGTATGATGAGGTGACGGAGATGTTGTCGGCGTCGACGCACGGCGTCGCGTGGTAAGCTTCGGCCACGAGGTCGGCCACGAGGAAGCGATCGTTCCACATCTCCACGCACCGATCGATCTGGTCAAACAGCCGGAAGTCAATCTTGTCCAAAATCACCCCATCCTTGCCGAGATATAGGTAGTCGAAGGCGTCGAGGAGCTTGTTCAAGCCGCAGGCCGACTCGAGAACGTCCTTCAGCGCAGCAGTGGACGTGGTGAGCAGGCCGGTGAGGTGTTTATTGAAGACGGCCTCTAGAGTAGCGGATAGTGGTACTGCTGAGTGCTCGAGAAGGTGTGCTGTTTCTGTTACTGCGCCACAGAGGCCGAGGCAGTCGCTACCACTGTCCAGCGGTTTTTGCTGGAGATGCTGGAGGAAAGCGGCAGTCTTACCGGTGGCGAAGACATGCGGGACGAAGGCCCTGAGAAAAACTGGTACGTGCTTGTCGTCATCTGATATTGCAAACCAGTCATGCCACAAAGTGGTTGCATTGCGTGGCTTGTTGGTCCTCTTGATGAAGAAGGGGCGTGTATTCTCAACCGCCCCGGTGAGTAGCCAGGTATCTATTGGGGCGGAGTAGAGCTTTAGTGCTGAGAGAAATATAGGCGTCAGTGTCTTTAGAGCCAGGGCTGCGCCACAAGCACCGGCAAGCTCGATTTGCCTATGTAAAGCATTCAACGCAGAGACGGGATCATCGGGCGCGATTCGCGGCAGAACCTCGAGGACAGCTTGTAAGGGCGCGATTTTCTTCTTGAGGGCTTCAAGAGTCTGGAGGAGGCTAATAACACCATTGGAAGAGCGTTCATGCAGGATGTCATTTTGCATCTGGCATATCGAGCGGTCGAACAATTCCAGGATGCCTCGAATGCGGCTTTGCAAAAGCTGCATGACACTTGAATCTTGCCTGAGTGAAAGCCAGCGGCGTATCCACGCAACTTCGGAGCCAAGCAGCGCGGCATTGCTCAAGATTGTCCTTGATGTCTGGGCTCTCAGATGGGCAATCTGATAGTTCTGGTCCAAGCGGATGCCACGGTCAGACAGTCTGAAGATAGACGTTTGAAGACCGTTCATCATGAAGAGGACCTCCCGTATGACTTGTTTCTCGGTGATAGCAACAACTTGAGTCCCATGGCGCCAGAACTGTGCAGTTTCGAGTTCAGAACGCACGAAATCATCGTCTGCGATATCGCTCTGGTCGAAGATATTCCCGAGATCATATTTCCCTTTGTGTCTTTCCCTTACAGTTGCTGGAGATGTCGAATTGCTCGATATCGCAATTTCATCATCATCAGAGCTGAAATCGCTGTACTCGGGGACCATCCATATATCGTCCTGCCGATCAATTGGATCATCAGCTTCAACATCAGCCCATCTCAATGGGCCTGGGCTGTCCGGCTGCGATCGAAACCCAGCAAGATCCTCTACCCGGTTGTATCTCGCTGGATTATCGGATAAATGCAGCAAAAGATCCAAGGCATCGGGTATCCAGCGATATTCGTACTGTTCCAGTTTCCGACGTCGCGTGTACAGTGCTTGGGCCAGATCATCCAGATTGAGGACTTGAAATTTCTCTTCAAGTCCGGTGAGCTTCTCCGCGACAGCAAATTGATTTGTTCGGGCATGAACATGATACTTAATCTTCCTGGCAAAACTCTCTTTGTATTTACGGTGAGCGGCGGGACTTGCTGACAATGGAACAAGGGAGGCAGCGAGCTGCTCAATCCAATTGTTCATGGAGGTTGTAGAAGCCATAACAACCGCCTTTCAAGTCCACAATGCCTTGGCATCCTAGGGGGAGAGTCACAGTGTCCGGGAAGAGCGCATACCTGACTGAATGTCGGATGATAGTGTAGCAATAGTAATAGAGTCGATGCGAAGAGACGCGACGGAACTTCGCGTGGGACAAACCAATACGGTATACGAGCACCCGATCTTGGCAGGACGCAGAGCCTCACAACCTCATAAGCGCCTGCTGTCGCGAGTGATACAAAGCCTATCGTCCAGCGATTTCTTGAGGACTGCCTGAGCACTTCGTCCTTGTTTTCCGCCTCATCGTCAACTTTAGACGATGCTGAGGATCTGTATGGATTATTTATTTTCACTGACGTCTGGTTGGACAGCCTCGTCGCCCGCCAACCCTACGCAGACGTGGCCGCTTTATCAACACTCACCCGCCTTTCTCCCATCCTCATCTCACCCTGCAGATGCAACTCACGCTTTAACACTCGCCCATAGAAAATATGAAACGATTCAAAGTTACAAGAGTCCCCTGATAATGCTCCTCTCAACATGGGTTCTACGATGAGGTGCAGCACCGCTCATGACCTGAACTCGCTTTCGAGATCGATGACTGCTCTCATGATATGGTAAACCGTACAATACTATTGGCGCGTTTTTCTCACCCCTGTGTGCTTTTTACCTCGCCCCAAGCGAATGATTCTCAAATTCCAAGCTTTATGACTACCACAGGAGGTAAAGCTTTTATGGACTACACCCCATCACAGACAACCGCAAACCGCAACGGTCCTGCTTAACGCCCTGTTTGGCTCCCTTCTGACCTCTACTTCGAGCTTCCATCACCTCGAACGACAAGGATCCCTCTTGCAAGGTCGTATAGGGTCAACTGGCATTGGGGTCTGGTTCTTACATGGTGCAAGTGTCACTCTGGCTCCACACAAAATTAGTCGCGCTGCGATTTTCTGATTAATCCGGCAGGTCATTTGTCTGTGACGACCAGCCTTACTGCATGAAACCATTGCTGAATTCAAAGGCCACTCAACCTGAAAGTTCAAACTGCCACGTGCGCGTCGATCCGGGAGCGATCGCACTATTGCTCGCCGAATGTTCAGCATCACCTTGAAGATATGCTTACAAATGTGTTGGGATTCCTCAATATCTTTCATCGAGAAATACAGAGGCGACGACGATGCTCAGTTCCTTCAATCCAAGATCAACCGTTTGACCAGGTCCCCCTCATTGTCCATCACATATTGCCGGCTGGAATCAACTCCAATGGATTCATCTTTCCGTACACGAAGCTGTCTCGTGGGTTTCGAGCCTTAGAATCAGCCGGGCACTTCGATAAAGAAGCTAAAGATCCCAACCATCCGCAGTATCGCAGAGTGAAGGATCTTCGTCCAATAGAGTTTTTCAGCAGCAATTCACTATACTCTGCATACAAGGGCGTGGAATCTATCTATCTATATGTTTTGCGAGGAGGATCAAGCATTCTCAGCTGAATTTCAGCGATACCTCGTGAATTCTCTTGGGCAAGTTCATTTCAATACGTTCCATATGCCCTCAGAGCATAGTCCCTTTCTGAGCACGCTACAAGAATTGTCGAAGTTGTCGAGGCAACCTCCGGAAGCCCTACGCCTGTCGAAGAGCCACGTCATGGGATTTCAAACCAGAAAACATGAAGTGGCGGGAAAGCCTCTGTGATCGATAAATAGTAGGTCATCGGCGGACTCTGTACAGCGGTACCGAAGCACGTTCTCACACAGAACGCGATAGAGTTCTGCAACGGTGAATTAACGTAGTTGGCTTGGATGGCTCGACAAACCTTGCAAGCTACTGGTTCGGCCTCAACAAGGTAGAATGTAGGCTTATCCACGAAGGCCGATCCACACTAGGTCCAATTTCGTGTGCATTGAAGGGTCGAATGAAGTCGGGGTAGGGGCAGTTCGGAGAAGAATACCCGGGATCTTCTGCGGGAGGTGGGTTGTGCCAAGCTATATTCCTTCTATATGCGGTCTAGTCTTGCACCACTGACATAGGACCGAGGCGGGCATTTCACCTCCCCTTGACGCTTGGTACTCTCTTAATGGGCCATATCCAATGGGTTTCAAGATGGAACAACAAACTCGAGAGCCTGTTCGTTCACCCCGGTCCACGCTGGATCTGTTGTGCTCACGCTATAATCAGATCAGATCGAGAGCAAGATTTGTTCGTTGCATCTGTGGGCTCCATGTCAGTGCCGATATAATAGGTCTGCAAATGCCAAAGAAGCGATGCCAAGTTCCATTTCGTACCATTGGTACTCTACTCACTTCATCTGCCGAGCTGGATCATGCATAGAATCAGGAATGAGCCCCTCAAATCGATATCTATGGCTAGAAGTCGACTCCGGCGGAACTCGCGTCAAAGGTGGTCAGAAGGCTGAAGCAAGCCGCAAAGTCCCATGCTGCTCGGCGTCAGCATCAACTCAGAAGGTTCACAGCCATCTTTCGATTGTTTGAGTCGAAGAACCGTACGGCATACCCGGCTGTGCCTCAACTAGGCAATTCCTCTTCGCGTCAAGGCCGCTCACTTGATAGAAACAGGCAGAATCGTTTCCATGCAGCAGCCAACAGCGAGAAGACCGACACTGGCGACCGCAGAGTGTCTCCTCCATATCCACGAAAGGACGACCAGAGCTCCTCAGAAGTGGTCGCACAGGCGTCTCGTCCTGAGCAAGGAGGCGGAAAAGGCACTGTCAGTATCGCTTGCTTCCGGAAAGGACTGAATGTTTGTACTGAGGTACCGTATCCCAGAAACCCACGAGTCGAAGCCTATCTATCACCTGGACGAGCCAAATGGAACCTTTCCACGAGCTACCAGTATGGCTGGATGAGTACTCGACAAGTATGCTGCGATACGGTAAGCTCAGACTTTTGACGCTCAGAACCCCCAGTTACTACCGGCTTATGCCTGTTTTTGGGTTCATTTCAAAATTCCAGGCCATCTTTTCTGACCGAACCACAGTCTTTACCGTATGGTTGCCAGAGCTGTGCGCTCACAGGTCGTCGACTCTGCGGAAGCAAGCATACTTTGAACATGTCATAACAGACATACTCTTGCTGTCGGTCACTCTCACCGCTGCATTTGCCCGGACAGGATTCGCGACCGAGGGTGGTGGTACAGGCAAGGATCCCGGCGCTCTGGTGGATAAAAACGCCACGGCCGTGATCGAGAAATACTGGCTCAAGTACACGGTCATAACCATCCAAATGCTCATCAATGGCGTGGAACTCTCGGCCTATTCGACTCTGCAAATGTTCACGGCTGTCACGACCATGGCCGGGTGTGAGTTCATGGTCAACCCCCACGAGGGGCGCCTCCACCTACAGGCTTCCGCTCAGACTGCTTCCAGGAACGGAGGCTTCGGTACCATTCCCGCCTTGCTGTTGGAGATCTTCTTGCTCAACGAAGTGTTGCTGGCCAGTCTGAGTGGCAGTCGCCCCGTTGTACCTCATGACCAGCTCGCGCCGGTGGTGGACGCATTGCTTCCCAAAATGCCGGAATTTACAAAAAGATCGTCGTACCGATTCGGCAAACTCCTCAGCGGCTCGGGCCCTGTGGGGGATTCGTTGTCGTCGTCCTTTATTGCCGTTATGGCGGAGCTTTATGCCGCAACTGAGATAATCAACGTTTACACGAGTCTTGGTGGACAGGACCAACTACGAGAAACGATAGTTCTTCGGATGTTTTTGATCGGTCTTTGCCTTTCCTGGTACTTACTTATCCCCCCTCCCCTCCCCTCCCCATGCAGCTGCATGTCGATCGGCACAGTGTGGCCATGGAATGCATTCGGCTCTCGGGTCTTTTGTTGATCCACACCACCCACCTGAAGGGGACTCCAAAGCAACATTTGTATGACCGGGTCGCCACCGAGCTGCTGGAGAGGCTGCGGCAACTCGATGATGTGAGCACCGGAGGGCCACAACCCTTGGTGGCCTTGATGGACATCTGGGCGTCTTTCCTGGGCGCGTTTGTCTCCATGAGCAACGAACGGGGAGTGTCTTACTTGCATCGCATCTCTCGAGCCGCCTCTGACTTGCCAGCGTCGAAGAAGGAATGGGTCCAAATAAGGGAGTGGCTGAAGAGATTTCCATGCGTTGATGAGGAGTTTGATGAGCCCTTTGAACAGATATGGGTTCTGGCTCATCACTGAAGTGCAAAATCTTTTACGCGTTTGTTGCAAGGTCGGCCGAAATCGGCTTGCCGTAAATCCCGAATGTTCTGAGACGCCCTTTCTCACGTTCCGGGGGGGGGGGGGCACACAGAACAACTAAAGGAATTCGGCAGGTTTGGCCAAGCAAGGCCAGAGTTTGAGCAGAGATCAAGGACACTGACACAAGAGAGTAAAGCTCTTTGTCATGCCCTGAAGTGTATGGCCTAGCTCCGTCGCCAGACATGATACTAAGGAGGCGGAGAGATTTGTACGATGGACTCTTAGGTCAATAAGGACGGCTTGCTTCCCGTTTACCGCAGATTTGAGGCCATGTTGATTCGATTACCCCATGCTAAATGCGCGTTCTATCTTCTTCCGCGTGGATTATGGTCTAGATCATAAATCCTGGCTGGGATGAATTCCACATATCCTCAAAAGGCTTGTCGAATTCTTTGACAATGTAGGGGAATTTTCTCAGAACCATTCTTGCCTGGTGCCAGTCGTCGATGCCTAGCGAGTGAGCCCCTCGACTGATGTTCTGAATGAACCACTGGGTACGGTACACATTCGGCGAGCCGTGCGCTCCTGCAAAAAAGATCCACATCATAATCTCAGGGTACTGCCTCCAACATGTCTCCACGTCTGACCTTCGCAGCAGCACCTCAAGATCTCTGGATACTTTTTCAAAGAGATGTATCTTCCTCGTGGCCTTGAGATGGGTGGTGAAAATGGCAAGCATTCCTGCCAGTCTCAGGCTTTCAAGCGTACAAATGTTGTGTTCGGGGGCGACATCAGTCGAGTTCGTAGTCGGAGCGCAACGACTCAGCTGGTGGCCCGCGACCAAGGTCCTGATAATCAGGGTCTCGTTGATCCTGTCTTCGCTCTGAGTCGAGTCCGCGTTGATTAGCTCTGCGGCGTAGAAAAGTCCTCGAAGGGCACCGCAGACATCGCTTTTGTCATCTGAAGACAAAGAGGGTTCGAAGAGAGCGCTGAATCGCAGACCCGAGTCCACAAGCCACTCCGGGACTTGAGGTAGGAGTGTCTGGGCAATGTGCGATACTTCGATACCGCTGATTACTGGTTTCTGGCCTGTCAAGGAGGCCAGATGAACGTCCCACAGCAACGATGCCTCTAGTTCAAGTTCGCCCAGATTACGGAACCCCCCAATGGCTTCGGCAATGTTCACCGCGCCCTGAAGGTGCATACGTCCCTCTTCAGGATTGTTGACAATGAATGCACAGCCTGAGAGGCTGACGCTCGCAAAGAACAGTCGTCTAGCGGACATAGGCCAAGAAGTAGTAAACATTTCACGCATCATTCGGAGGCAGGCCTCCTTGGACCTGAACAAGTACCGCTTCCTCGATCCATCTCCGCTGGTGAGCGACTTCTGCTGGCAATTGATTTCCACAAGCTCAAAAGCAGATTGACTGAATCCGTATGTGAGGAAGATGGCGCATGTTATGCTGTCAGTGTAAACCATCTCAAAAAGTCGGTGGTGGTGAACGGTAGCCAGTTTTTGCGGGTACAATGATGGGATCCAGTTCGTGAACACTGTTGGCATTTAATGTCAGCTGAGGGATGCCAAAACAAGTAAAATAGAAACACGGCGTACGGTATTTTACCATGCCATGCGAGTACTCATCCATCTCAAAAGCCAGCCGAGGCAGTGAGTTGTGCTGCAGGTCATCGTATGTTGCAAACCTATACGCGGACAGCGACGGCGCTGTCGTGGTTGGTTTGGGCGAGTTCTGTGAGCCACCAGACGCCGCGGTAACTGGGGTCCGCCTTCGTCCTTGCATTGCAACAGACTCGGTACCGTGCTGTTCTCGGTCCTGTTCATGCTCACGCTGATAGGATTGTATAATGTGTGTTGTGTCGGCGGGGTGGATTCCTCCCTGGGTAAGACGCGGTCAGGGTCGCTCATGGTTTCAATACGGTGAGGCGAACTCGTATCGTTCACCTACTTTGTGACCCTGCAGTATTCTGTACGAATTGAAATTCTTCACGTCCGTCAATCGCCTATCGCGATGAAAAGAGGTGGCAATGTGCGACCGCACCACCGTCGAGTCGGTCCTCCCCTCATTGTCGGGTTGGACCCACAGGAAGCGTCCTCGAGTCTGCCTCATCATGAGACTCTGATATTGCCGAGCGGTATCACCCAAGACGCTTGCTACACCATTTCTGAAAAGCGGCGTTACGAGAGAGTGCTTGTCCCGAGGATTGTCAATAAATATCCCCAGTGAATCTTAGTAATGTCCCGTTTTCCGCTTTGAGGCACTTCTCTTACCAAACCCTATCTCTGTGACCCAGACGCACGGAGCCTTTGAGGCTAGATTGCATTCTGTAAGCCTGGCCGGTGATTTGTTCGGTGCTCGCTTACCCAACCTGTTAATGTGAAGGCTCCAAGTATGGACGATGAACATGGGCTCCCTGTGTGACTAACTATGAAAGTACAGTAGGAGGACTCAGTCGTTTATGTCTTCTCTAACCTCTCTCTTTGTGTGTCCAGTTAGCACTTCCACGATTCTCGCATGTTGCTGGTTACGACATCCCACCAATTCCTCGATCTGGTCGACCTTGCTAGTGCTACAAGGCTCCTTGAGTCATGGCGCCATCGTCTATCTCAGGGGGGCCAGATTCGGGCCCGAACTGCTTAGGTACACGGCCGATACCATCTCTCTCTCGGGAGAGTGTAAACGTCACTCTACCGTGCGTACAATGTCAGGGGTAAGGCCTATCTGCAAACAGTCACGATGTCCCCCCTCTCTCTTGCCCGTATCCTTCTCCTTTTGCATGATTACCCTTCGTCAAACATTGCTTTTACCTGCCCGTATCCATCTCAGGTACCACGATGCCATCGCAGAGGATACTCATCGTTGGAGCGGGCGTGGCGGGCTCCGTATCAGCGTTCTGGTTGGCCAAGCATAACTTTGAGGTAGTCGTCATTGAACGATCAAAGGTTGGGCAGAAATTAGGACAAGGGATCGAGATTGAGGAGCCTGCACTTCAGGTCGTGAAAGCCATGGGCATCTTGGACAAGCTAAATGAGAAGAAAACCGGTGAACTCGGGTTCGAGTTCAACGATGAAAACTTCCGGGTACGCGGTCGCCTCGAGGCAACGGGCAGTTACAGTCCAACGGGCAACCTCGAACTCATGCGAGGTGACTTGACCGAGGTTCTCTACGAAGCCGCGGACCAATCTGCCAACGTGAAGTATCAGTTCGAAACCACGGTACAGAGTCTAACACAGACACAAGACAAAATCACGGTAGAACTCCAAAACCGAACCGAGCGATCCAGCTGGAAGGAGGAGTTTGATTTCGTGATAGGCGCCGACGGAGTGAAGTCCCACACAAGAAGGCTCACCATGGGACCCCCTGAAGTCCTCAACTGCTTGAAGCCTGTCGACGCCTACGTCGCATACTTCTCCATCCCCAAAGAAGATCGGGATTGGCCCTATTCTCGAATGTGCGCCTTCCCTGGTCGACGGAACATTTGGATCCGGCCGATTGGAAAAGACGACAAGATAGTGTCGGTGTACCTTATGCATATTGGTGGCGACCATCCTGACATACACCAAGCAATCGCTACTGGAGACAGGCCAAAGCAGAAAGAGCATCTCGCCAAATTGTACAGTGGCTTGGGCTGGGAAGCACCCCGCGTCATCGAGCAGATGATGGCTGCAGAGAATTTCTACTCGGACGAGCTTCAACAGGTTAAACTCCAGAGATGGTCGCAGCAGCGGGTTGTGCTCTTGGGCGATGCTGCCTGGGCTCCAACTCCGTTCACCGGGGCAGGGAACCAGTTGGCAATCATAGGCGGATGGGTCCTGGCTCAAGAGCTTTCGAGACACCGGAGTCCCGTGGCGTTTGAAACGTACGAAAAGAGACTGCGAGCGTATGTGGAGCAACGCCAAAGAATCCCGCTTTGGGGATACGCACCGTACATTTTCATGCCAAAGACGACTTTGGGTGTGAGGACCCTTCATGTATTTTTCGTGTTTGTCTCCTGGATAGCGCGTTTCCTTATATGGTCGAGACTGTCGAGGTTGTTTCCAGATGGTGGTCAGGAGAATGATTTCGACTTGGAGATGGAGGGAGTTGACGCAAATGCGGTGGGATGATTGATGTATCTATCCTACCTGGACGCTCGTACTGGTAGTGGATATTTGGATCTCCTCTCAGATCGCGTCGACATTCGAATCTCCCCTTATGAATATTTCTGTACACTACCCAATCCTGCTAGCGGTTATCTGCGAAGGACTGCGTCCCAAAACGAAAGATAGTCGTGAGCGGACTGACCACCCCTACCAAAGGTAGAGGAATTAAAGGCCGAAGTGGACTTGGTTCGAGTCCAGAATATCCGGCCTTGCAGCCTCAATTTCACCCTAGAATGACTTCGGTTGAGTTGGTGCTGGCCATGATAAATATGAAGATACAAGTAATGCTCCCAGGTCATGAAAGTGACTGAATGTGAAGAGATGCCACAGTATTCGCGCAATTTGCCCGCAGTGATTTTTGGTGCTCCGCGTTTCTCTTCCGTCATCGTGGGCGCTTGGGGAAATCGCGCAGCGTCTCACACAGCTTCAAAGTCTCAATGTACAAACCGACACGAGCACGCCAAACACGTTTCGTGTAGGTGTTGAACGAGATGAAAAGGCCCACCAGACCAAGATCTCACGAACAGCTGGAATTCGTGGTGAATAGCTTATTTTTCTGCCCATCATGCACGATATGGCGCACCGCCAGACCACTTCGATGTGGCTTTCGAAGAGCACTCTCTACGACTCGACGAAACTCTGCGATTCCTACCTCTCATACTGCCGTCAATGCGACAAAAAGTGTCCCTGCACGTTATAAACCTCTCCACGAAGCTCTGGGGGAAGTATGGAAGAAGGCATCGGCGCAGGTCAACCTGAGTCGACTGCAGCTTGCACTGCAAGGGCTCGAGTCGGAAACACCAGCCACGAGGGTAGCAGTGCTAGGCTTGAACGTGCAAGACACGGCGCGGAGACTCGTGCGGTTACTACTGGCTGATGCGCTGGAAGATGAAGGGTCATGGGAGAAGCACATACTAGATTCCACGACTGCTTTCAGCCACGGGCTGGTAATTCGGTATGGACAACCGCCAAACCCAAACCTTCCTCAACCCAGGACCTCGACACCAATCCTTTACGTGCCCTCGGCTGTCTTGTTGAGGAATAATATGGAAATACTGGTCTCAACGATACGAGGACTGGGCAATGGCGAGCTACTACAAGGCGCCCACACGGTCACTGCGGACGCGTTCCTGTCGCCTTCAGTAGGTACGCCTACGGCAGCAAGTGGCAGGCAGGTTACGATCAACCAGCCTGTACACAGCACGCTGCTCGTCACAAACGGGCTGGACGAGCTTTTGGCAGCTGCAGAGTTGCTTGCTTCTACGAATTTTGTGGCTCCGGAAGACCGAAAGTCTGTCCAGTCAGTGGTGAACCTGGAGGGCATCAAGCCGAGGGCCCCTGGACAAGTACTGATCGTCGATGCAACCAAGGCAGAGGAAGGCCTCGCAGCAATCCGCCGATCTGTAACCGAGGCGAGAACTTATGAGCACAAATGGATCGACTCTGGACTTCCTTCATTAACGACCTGGCTCACTTCTGCATCTGCTGCTCGCTCCGATGAACCGATTCCAGCACCAGTGAAGACCTTGATAAGCTCGGTTCTCACCAATGCCACGAGGAATCTGCAAGCGCAAGCCGCTCTAGAGCAGCGATCCAATGCGGCTAGGAGCATAAACTATGCTACAAAGGCTAAGCTAGAAAACTTGATCGAAGAGTTTTCTCGAAATGCGCATCAGGAGCTCCAGTCAGGATTATCGTCAGCATGGAGATCGCGCAACTGGCGGAAACTGGCATGGTACAAACTCTTCTGGCGAGTTGATGATGTCGGATTGATCATTACCGATCTCGTCACAAACGCATGGCTGCCACGTACCGAACGGGCCGTGTATGAAATATCTGGCCGCTTCTCTCAGGCAGGAATATCCCTGATGGACGTCTCCCACACCGATAATACTTCAACCCTCCCTAAAACAGAGGAGATAGTGGAGCCTAGCCAAGTATTACAAGCACAAGCAGGAATTGCGACCGAACCGGCCATAGAACCAGTGGTGGTCAATAGGGCGGGGAAGGCGGAGATTGAAATGGCGCCCATTCCACGTCCAGTGCCTTTGTCCTCTTCGATTTCTACCATTCGTGCTACCCAGATTGATCGTGCCATTACTAGCTTAACCAGCACGGCTCAACAGATTGTGCTCAAGACACTGTCCCTGACTGGCCTCTCAGCTGGACTGTCTGGGTTGACATACGTATCCGTGGCAGGCAGCATGTACGAGGCTGGAACCATCGTTGCTCTCGGCACGGCATTTGCTCTGTGGCGAATGCAGACCGACTGGCTGAACGCCACCAAGTCTCTGGAGACAGGATTGCACGAAGAAGGCAAGACGTTGATCCGGAGGATAGTTGGCAGAATGAGAGACTTGGTCGAGCAAGGCAGCAAAATTGTCGAGGATGAGGTTGAGGTTCGCACTCGGAGGGAGGCCGAGGATGCAGTGCTCAGGGCGAAGGAGGAACTCGAACGTCTGAAGTAGTGGCAGGTTGAGCCCAGACCGTAATGTCGTTGTCCCGTAGCTACCATCAACGGTTCCAATCCTAGTTTCAATGTATACGATATGTAGTTGCCTCACCGTACAACATCTCTGGTTTGACGACCCTAGAAATTCCCCCGAACTTTCCCACTTTCCTGGTCTTTAGCTGATTTCTACCGCGTCGTCAGGCACGCCCCGTCTACTTTTGAGGCACCGTGCCCAGAATTGCATCATGGGCAACACCTCTTCCCTGCTCTTGGGCATGGTGTCGCCGGCCTTCTTCCAGCGGTGGTAGGTGATGAACTCGAAGACGTCCTTGACACGTTTCAAGGGGCTCGAGTCCGGGCCGGCGGCGAGCGGCGAGCTCGAACCCGACAGCAACAACACCGGAGTCCGGTTTTTGGATTCTGAATCGCTCGGAAGAGTGTCCAGAGGCAGCACCCCGCCAATGGCCATGACGCCTCCCAATGTCACCGAAGGCGACGACGACAGCGACGCATGCAACGGCACCGCCAGGGCGACTGAGCCTCCTTGCCCGAATCCAAAGAGGTGGATGTGGTCCGGGCGGTAGGCGTGCTTGGCGACCAGCGTGTCGCGGATGACGTCGTGGGCGACGAGGTTGACGGCGCGAGTCACGGGCGACGAGTCCGGGTCCGCATCGAGAGATCCGGTCGCCGTGTCGACGTGGAGATCCTCGGACCAGGAACGAGATGTACCGTCAGGGTCGAGCGGGACGGGCAGGGGAAACGGTGGGTTGAGGGTTATCGTCAGTGCGTCGGGCAGGTTCAGGGCACGGGGGAACGAGGAGAAGTTTGTGGCGTTGTCGCCCAGCCCGGGCAGGAACAGGATGACATTGGTTGCCGTGGTGTTGGGAGGGAGGTGGATGACCGGGTTCAGAGATGCAGGAAAGTCGCTTGCCTTGGGCATTGTGGGCATGGTGCTTGGTGTGTGGCTGTGGTGTGGCGTGTACATGTGTTATGTATGCCCACTAATAAGAGATATTGTGGGCAGTTGGCCTCCAGGTAAGTTACCTGAACACAGGACAGCGGGATGTCGGCTGGTCCGAGGTGAACCGGTTTCGAGAAAGGGAGAGAAAAGCAAGACACGGATTGAGGCTGTGTGACAAGTGCCGGTGCTCACCGACGAGTACGAGGTACACTGTAACAAAATGTACGAGGACGGTTGTATCAACATACAATATTCGTAGCTAGGTAGGTACGAGTACAGTAACTCAATCTTTCATACTCCGTTGCTCGTATTGTACTAGTTGGAGGCTGAGCAGCGAAGGTGGTACTGTATGGTCGATCAGGCACATCTAACCAAAGCAGTTCACGAGAAGGCGGGTTGGAGTTGGAAAAAAAGACCAATGTTGTCAGCCATGACGTCGAGGACAAGCTTCGGTTCCAGAACTTGGCACGCAAAACAAGCATCTTCCCCTGGCGAACCCTGAAGCCTTGGCCTCTCGGGGCGGGCAATTATGGGCCAGTGATGCGTGAGCAAACAGTGAGAGCTTGAAACGCCCCTCGCCTACGACTACTTGTACCTTGTCCCCGCCCTCTCTCACTCTCTCACAGCGGTACAGATGCTGCAGCGTGACATGGTCACCAGCAACCCAACAGTAGATGTTGTGATCATGCCACCTGTCCACACGCAGGGAACTTGTGAAGCTACATTGATGAAATGTTCTCAAAACTCACTGTGGGTCAAGTTGTTAGGTAGAGGTCTCGTACCTTGATACTGTACCCCTCCTAGACTGTCCACGATCGGATCCCACCCATCCAGTCCGATCCAAGTTCAGCTGAGGACCCCTGCGGGCGAACACGCCTGCACAGCCACCGACGGCTTCAGCTGAAAGTGAAACCCCCTCCACGTTTTTTGCGGTGCCTGGTCTCGTAGGCCCGCAGAAGAAGCTGGGACTTGTTCACTCGCACACTCTGTATGTTGACGCAATGCTAAAACATCTAACGACTCAACGAGCCCAGACAGCTTCGGGGGGCCGATTGACTGCTGCACCCGAATGGACGAGGGAGTGAGATTTCACGAAAGCTGTGACAGGACTGCCTGTGGGGTATTGAGTGCTCGTCAAACCCCTTCCGCGCTGCCACGCGTCCAATTGTCAAGTAAAGACCAGGGCAGGACCGGGCATGGAGGGGCAATGACTGCATACTGTCCATACGCGAAACGGCACTCTACTTCATGGGGCGCTTCCATCGAGACGTATATAAGCTTGACTAAAACTGCCCCTCGACTTCTGGACTTTGAATCGTCTCCCTCTTCTCAAGGCTCAAGTTGTCTACACACTCTCATCATACCGAGGACTCCATACCAAGTAGCGTTCAAACTCAACTAAACAAAACTAATCTCACTATACCATCAGAATGGGCTGGTTTGGTATGCTACACCTACACCGCCATTGATCAGTGCTTTCAGAAGCTAACAAATACATCCTAGACGACGGTCGAGACGCTCACCAGGAGGTTTACGGTAGCGGTGGCTACGATAACCAAGCCAAATTCTCTCATGAACTCCTCGCAGGTGGTGCTGCCTTTGAGGGGATGAAGTTGTTTGAGGACCATCAGCGCAAAGAGGGTGAGATGACAACTTGCAGATAACCAAAGCGCCAGTCCCAATACTGACATGAGAACTCAGGCAAACCTGTCTCCCATGCCTTTGCCAAAGAACTCCTCGCTGGATTTGTTGGAGGAGAAATCGATAAGCTCGCCGAGACCAAGGGAATGGACGAGTACGACGCCTACGAGGCCAAGAAGAAAGCCAGAGAACACGCCGAAAGAATGTATGACCAGCACTACGACGGCATGGACCAGTACAACCCCGACCAGCGTGATGCCCCCAACTTCAACTACTAGGGTGGCTGAAAGTTTGGCCAGCAGTTGCAGCAGCCTCAACTGATGGACGGGATGACTGAATTGTGCTTTGGTCAATTAGTATCGGGCCATATTCCTTGAAACAAAGGTTGTGACCGATGAAAGCATTAGTCAAATCAACTGAATACGTTCTCAACCGGTGTCCGGTGTTCTTTGTGTATCCGAGTCTTGTCTGCTCACGTTTGCTCTTGTCATAACTCATCATCTTCGCTGGCCGTTTCTTCGTCTTCCTCGTTCGCGGACGCAACAGGTGCAGGCGCTCTCTCAGGTCTGTTTGTCACTTCTTTACCTTTGCCTGTAGCCTGGCTGGCAAAAGGCAACTCCCGTCGAGGAGGTAAAGTAATTGGCGTCTCTCCTTTCGTAGACTCTTTACCTCCCGTGCGGGATCGAAGGTGTGAGGATGGGGGAACATCTTCGTCCTCATCTTCACTTGCGGTCTCATCCGGTTCTGGCGAGGGGGTGGAATGCCCCGATTCGGGAGATACAGGTTCATCTGGGTTGTTGACCACATCATCAACATCCATGTTCTCAAAGTCGTCGCTCTCTTCTGTCTCTTCTTGCTGTGCCCGTCGTTTTGTCCCTCGTCGTGTGCGCGATGGAGCTGCGTCTCTTTGCCTTGCCCGGATTTCTTTGAGTTTGGTGGGATCTGCCTGCGCTGTAGTAAGAACTCGCTGCATGTTGCGGATTTTCAACTTCTTCTCGTTCAAGAGAGCAGCAAATTTAGCCAGAAGCTGCTGTTCGTGTTCGGCCTTTGTTTTGACCAACTCATCGATTTGCTCTTGAAGAGCTGCGACGATATCATCCTTAGCTTTTGCCTTCTCTTGGAACTCCTCGGTGCTGTTCTCCAGCTCATCTCTTTCGTCGACGACTTGGACTGCCCAACCAAATAGGTCAATCTCATCGGTGTCTTCAGTTTGAGGCAACTCAATCGCGCCCAATTGCTGCGTGATGTCCTCAATTTTGTTGAGTAGGGATATGGTCAGCGTGCTTCTAGGATCTTTGCCGGATACTGAACATTTTACTTCAAGGCTGGTCTTCTCTGTCGCAGTGAGGCTTCGTCCTGATTTGCATCTGAAGAGATACGACAAGACTGCGGTCCAGTCATCATCACTTCCATCGTAGGCTTTGGCTCGCAATTTCTTGAGGTTTCGTTGGCGCACTGGCCTGCTCGTCAGCGCATTCACCCATACATTTCAAGGAATAATTGTACCCTTTCCAAGATATGCGGCGTCGCCATCTGTAGCGAGCAGATCCAGGTCCAGGTCATGTCCGCCTTCTTTCTGAGAAACTCTGACCAGCAACGGAGTTTTCTCTCTATCGGCCTTCGTCAGCCGAATGACCCAAGACGCCATGATGATGATATTTGGAGTCTTCTTGTGGGCTGCGTCATTCTTCGAAGTGCAGTGAGATGGGCAGTTCGGCAGGTGCAGATGCTTGCATGAGTATCCGGACGGACACAAGCAATGCCAGACTGAGAATTCCCATCTGTGTCACAGCGACTGACGGGTGTCATCGCCCGCATCGCTGCACAGACCAAGTCGCCCTTTTAGCGGCCACGCGTGGTGTAGCGCGTTTTACAGGGGAGTCGCCAGCTAATCACCGCTCGAGGCCTCTTCCTGCCACAGCTTTTCCCTTCTTCCTCGCTGTGCACGGCCAACTCTCTGCACCTGCGTCCGAACTCCACCTCAGAAAGCCCGAACGTTGACCTCCAGCCTCCTACTGATCGCAGTGCTGACCTGCAAAGAAAAAAGTCGTCGATCTACAACATCTTGTTCCTCATCATCCATACGGCCGCCCAAGGTCGCTACCACTGCCCCCAACCGGTGGTGCTTCCCTCGACAGGGAGCAGTAAACAACTCATAGCCAACATCTTCCACGCTTTCGTCCAACCTTCGCTCGACGATATCACGCTTTCCCGACGACTTCTAACGACGTAACGACCCTCGTCTCTTATGTTTTTTCTTTCATCAATGTCGACGTATTACTTTTCGAAGCGCTAATAATCCGGCTCCGTTTGTGATACCACGAGACATATGCCCGAGACCATGGAACCACTCACCCTGAGACCCCGAAGCCCAGTTGAGATGCCCGACGTGGAAAACTGGGACGACGATGATTTCGAGAATCTCGAAGATGTGCATTTTCGTAGCGCTTCCACCGCGACTTCGATTGTTTCACATCCTCAAACAAACCACCGAGACTCAGTCTCATCGCGCATGTCGCTGCGCTCAGAGTCGAACCAAGGCGATGAAAATTGGGACGTCATTGTTGATGAACAGGCCTCAATAAAAGATGCAGTTGCTCTCGCAAAGAGCAAAGGAATACCTTTACCAGCGAATGTACCGCGTTCCGCTCTTGAAGGGGGAACGATTCGACGGTTAAAAGGCAAGGAAATCAAGAAGGCCATTGCCGATGACTGGTCTGAAGATCTTGACTTGCCCGGCACGGACATGCCTCTCAAGCTCGCCAAACACGATGAGCGTGATCTCTCGGAGAGTCTGCGACAAATCAGCGCAGCTTTCAGAACGTCACCAAAATCTCCCGATGCAAAGGATCTCCTCGATAATACGATACGATCTCCAAAGTCTCGGACAATAGCTACTCCTATCACATTGGAAGCTTTCAGAGACACGGAAGAGGATGCTGGGTTTGGCGACGTGCCAACGATAAAAGTTGCAAAGCATAGAACTCCTCAAAAGCCATTGCTATTTGAGCAACCCCCGACTCCTATCAAAGCGGAAGCCGACAATATTGAAGATGATCTGGAGTTGCCACCTGATGGTCAGCTCAGATTGTCGACAAGGAAATCTCCTCAAACCCCACAACAGAGCGACGACTTCGACTTGGAATGGGCCGAGGGCAGCTTAGGTACAAGGCATGCAGGAACGAAGAGAGGCGGACGTTCTGCTCGCAGTTCTTCTGCTTCGGCTCTCAGCCCAAGCGTTTCTAGTGCCTTCACAGCCGAGAGCGAAGACGAAGGTCTTGATGGGCTCATTCTTCCGGACGGTCCTCTCAAATTCGATGACAAACTGAAACAGAGGCAAAAGGAGCTTGATACAGAACGAGTGGCTCATACCGAACTTAAACATGAGCTTAAGCGAGTTTCTGGGAAAGATGACTTCTTCGCTGGCCTTGACATTGGTGATGGAGAAGTTTTTGATCCTGCAAAGCTAACCCTCAATCGCAACATCAAACACAAAACTACAAGACCTGCGAGCCCTAGCAAGAGGACCACTACTACCCTGAGTTTTACGACAAGTAACAAACTTCCTGGCCCAACGATATCGAGGTTGCCTAGGTTCCAACCCGAACGACATGAGCGCGCTCGTTCCCACCTGGAACCTGTCTCGGAAACGGGCGCTGCAATCTTGTCATATCAACGACCTGGTTCACGTCTTGGAAGTCATCCGTCAGTCTCAGCAATTCCCGGTCCTTCCACCCCTTCTACTCCTTCTACACCCAGCAGACGACTTCTACGGAGTGCCGAGTCACGTCCTGATCTACGGTACCAGCAGCCTACTACCACTAACGCCGATCTTCTGCGCGCTAAAAGATCCATGCCCGCGATGCGCGGCATGCAATCACCCACCAAGACCCCTTCAACATATGCTAGACCTCCTTCTCGACAAGAAGCTGGCAGCCGTTTGAATCTCCCCTCGCGGCCAAAGACTCCGACCGCTACTGATCGTGCCGAGTCACGTCTGGGAGACAGCAGAAAGCCAACAGTTCCGTTCATCCCGGCTGGTGCATCTGCTGGACAGTCTCAGCATATCAGCATCAAAAACACCAGCAACCCCCGTCACTATCGTGGTCAAGGTTCGGATGGATCTGGAGACAGCATGTCTGCTGCGCAAAGATCACTATCTCGACTCGCTGGTCTCGGGCGACCCGAGACGCCTGGCCGTTCCGGACGCAGTTTTCTGGCTCCTGCTGAGCTGGCCGCACAAGCAAAGAAAACAATTACAAAACCTGCCAGGCGGCGAAATTATGGTGATGGGACCGAATTGGAAATCTTCGACGACCTTCCCACCTCAGCAACTCTCGAGTCGAAGTTCACCAAGGCCCCCATCGCTCGCGGAGCACCTCGAAGTCTGAGAAGCAAGCTCGGTCTTTCACACCTTAACCCATCGACTTCGTCACTTGGTAGTACCAGGCGCGGAAGTGATACACCCACCCCGGCTACCCCTATGTCACCACCTAGAGGAGACTTCCCAACTACTGCGCTCAACACGACCAACATTCCTCGATTTGCTCGTGACACTGCCGCATCACGAAACGCTCGAGAACAGCGGCAGATTTCAATGACGTTCCAGAATATGCGTGGCGAACCTCTTCAACCTATCTCCACCAATTGGAAGTCAGCTACACCGGCATCCCGCCAGAATCAAGCAGGAAGTTTGAGGAAAAAGAAGAGCGACAAGCAACAGAAGCCGCACCTCATCAAGGCTCTTGGTGCCGATGTCAATCGGCCAAAATCAGAGAAAGGCATGCACTACAATCCTCTGCTCTTTAGGTGGGAAGGGAATGAGAATGCATTGGCGCCGTTTGACGTGCCCGATTTTCATCCCAGAGGGGCAAGCCCCGGCGCTCATGGTTCAGGCCAGCCAAGCCCTGGGACCAAAGCCAATCTTGCGCTGATTTCCAACGTTGGTTCGAGCGTGACAGGCATTCAGGTTGTAGGTGGTATGGTGTTTGATCCAAGTCAAATGCGGTGGCTGAAACTCGCGGAAAATGCCGATGCAACCACTGCTGGACTTCGTAGTGGAAGCGTGCAGATTGAAGAGGAAGAAGATGTTTTCGCGGGGCTTGAGGACCTGAAAGAAGAAGATGAGACGAGAAGCCGATCTGGAACGTTGGGCATGCAGATGCCTTCATCTGGTGCAGGGCCACAAATCGACGGAAGACGAGATTCGTTTGGCGATGCTGATGGTGGACACAGTAGTGGTGACGAGTGGGGCTTGAGCGAAGAGTTTGATGTTGGGCCTGACTTTGTCAGGCGTCAACGGACTGAGGAAGAGCGATGGCGTCGGAAGGTTGAGAAGTGGTTGAGACGAGAAGGGGAGAGCGAAGACGACGAAGGCCCAGACGGGAGAGGTGGTTGGAGGTGGGCAATTCGAGAGCTCGTCATGGCACAGGGAGAGCAATGAGCATCCTTGCGAGTGAGTGAATGGTGGAGGTTGAAGCAAAAGTAAAGAAAGCGTGGGAGAGGAGCATTGATGTTTGATGAATGCTCATGATTCATTCTCCCATGCCTGACGACCCCCTTTTAGTACGCTCATTGCCTAATATGCATGAGATACGTTGATGACGAAAGCATGGTTACGACCGGTTATAACTTTATGTGATGTCCTTGGTGTTTTCCTTTCCCTTTTTGGTGTGACGTCGTGTAGGTATAACCTGGTTTGCAATATTTGATGGTGGATATCAGATCCATTTCGTTGCGGTCAAGGTTTGGGTAGAGTGTTACTGTACAGGCTCAGGTAAGTTGAAAGGGTGTGTGCAGCAATCAAGATTCGGGGTGTGTGTGTGTGTGTGTGTGTGTGTGTGTGTGTGTGTGTGTGTGTGTGTGTGTGTGTGTGTGTGTGTGTGTGTGTGTGTGTGTGTGTGTGTGCGTAGGTAAGTTCACGCATCATCTGAACAGTTCCGTGAGATGGTAATAGTAAGTGAGTCGAAGCACATCACGAAGTCTCAGTGCTGCTAGTCCATGATATGGGACGACTTGGTGCTGACCAGCAGTTCTTTTCTTCCCCCGGTCTTTCCCCTTCTTTTTCTCTCTGCCTGACAAGATGTACCTTGGTACGGACCGCCCGGGGTTGGATCCACGCTGCCACCTGTGTGGACGGCCGTACAGAGCACGGTGTGGGTGTGGGTGTGTCTGTGTGTGAGGAGTTAGGCGTATTCCGTACGATGTTCTGTATGATACAGGTACTCCGTACTCGATGCCCCGTGGCGGATCACACTGGAGACGTACATACATATAAAATGGTACGTAGGTCCCAACGTCCCGGATTTCGTGTCGTCGTTTTCAAGTCCCACAGATCAGCTTATTCTTCTGGTCTCGCGTGATACCTGGGTGTGTCATCTCATGTGAATCGTTCCCGTCTCTCTCAAACCGCGCAGAGAAAAGGGGGGCAGTGTTGGAAACATAACAATCATATATGTATGGGCGTAGGTGTAAGAATCATGGTAAACTGAAACCGAAGAAGTGCTGGGTCTGGCGACCGACGACAGAGGGTAAAAAGAACAGATAAGAAGAGGAAGAAAAAGAAAACAGAAAAGGGACCTCTTTAAACTGTACATATTTTCTTTTACTACAGCGTAGGTAGTCTGATCGCGAGAGAAAACCCCCATTGGGCAGTCTGCAAGGTATTTACTGCTAACTCTTCTTCCTTCAATGCTGCGCAAAAAAACCAATAACACGGATCGACCATTCTGACCCTGGAAAACGTGCGTCTGTGTGTGTGGATATGCCTCATTTATTGTGTCCCCCAAACGAGCATTCTCGCGAGCTGCTTATGAGGTATAAGGGCTGTCGCTCTTGCCAGGGTACAGATCCTCTTTCAAGTTGACGCCGAGCTCCTCACGGAGTGGTTTCAGTTCCTCGAGATATTCTTCGTACTGTTGGGTGTTTTCGACCTTGGCCTTGATACCTGTTGAAAATTCAACGTCGAGGTCAGTCGCGACTCTCAGAACTGGAAGAGGAAAAAAAGGGTACTTTAACGGTTCGCACTACGTACCTTCGAATATTCTGACGGCAGTGGGAAAGTCATTGACACGTCGAGCGGCCTTCAACGCTGCCGTGACGACACCGGGAGAGGGGACGAGATCGTAGGCGAAGGCGTTGTTCAGGTTTCGCTATAGCTTGGTGTTAGATTCGCGTGGGTTCTTGGGTGGGTGTAGGTTCTGCTCGCGTACCTGCAGCTCAAACACATCCTGCACGGAATCAAACTCTTTCTCGTATCTGCGAGATGTTGGGTTAGCCGAGCTCTGATTTCGTATTCCACGCAAGTCCGGCTGGCACAAGCTCGAAGATGGGGTAATGTTTCCGGCCCTCTTTCCCAGAGCTCAATAGAGTGTCGTACCTGGCAGAGAACTCCTCGAACGTCTCTTCTTCGTGCCCTGAGCTTCGTTGCGCAGCTGACGAGCTGAAGGATGATTTCGCGGAAACGGATTGAGCTACAAGAGGAGCTCTCCTGATGGTTCGTGTGCAGGGTCTGCACAGGCTGGATGCAGCAGGGCGAGCAGCAAGACGAAGGATCGGAAGGGAGGCCATTGTGCAGGCTGGGTCAACGTTGGGTCGTTGGTGGTAGGAGAGGAGAGGATGTCGAGATTCTTTTGGACGTTCGGGGGTGCTGGAAGTTCGATATTGCCAATCGAAGTCACCTCACCTGAGAATTACTGAGAGCTAAAAAGCACGGCGTGTGAGTGGCTGGATGCCGTGACGCCAATGTAATCTATGTGTTTTGTCTGACGATAGAAATGTTCACGACACAGTAGCCGCTTTAGCGCGGGCAGGAGATGTCAGACTTAAAATTTAAGAAGGTGTCCTGTATGGTGCCTTGCGTTGCTGCTTTTACAAAAGACGCGATGTCATTGGCTCAACATCGTAACGAAGTTCTTAAGCATTTTGCGACGCATTAAGAAATCAACCACGATATCCATTCGGTATAGCAGTAGCCTTTGCAGTATGTTGGTTGTCCCGCGGTCCACCCTGTTTCAAGGTGCGCTTCTCGCATTGCTCGTAAAATTTACGACATACGCGCGGTTATCGCTCTTCACTACTGGGTGCCTTCGACCTTCTTGCCAACTCGGAGATTGAGGGACGGCAAAGTGCCAATGGGAAGCCGCGGCTATAATGGAGACTTGGCACTGCTTTCCCCCTGATGCGCAAAAAACCATTGAGAAACTCAACAATCGTTCAACCGCGTTTTCTGACTTCATCCCGCTCCATCCATCTCCGTACCGTGTGCCTTTATTAAGAGACACCCTCTTCACTTCCGTCCCTCCTTCTACCCTTTTGTTAATCTCGACCTCGGCCTCGAGACTTCTTTTGTTTCTCTTCTTCTTCTGTTTGCCATAGCGGCATCTTTGTCACCTTCTGTCGCTCCTTTCTGCGCTCGCCTGGTTCGCGCATAGAATCTTGTTATTTTTCCTCTGATCGTGTGCTCTCAGAATGGAGGTTATCAAGTCTCTTCCCCTGCCTACCCTCGATCGTCCTTTCGGCATCGAGCTATGGCCTGTTTTCGCCAAAGGCTATCAAGCCATCTTTGGCTATTCTCCGTCCGAATTCAGATTTGAGCAGGGAAAGACTCCCATGTCGACCTGGAAAGAGACGGTCATAGCATTGACTTCATATTACATTATCATCTTCGGCGGACGAGAACTCATGAAGCACCGCAAGCCCTTCGTCCTGAACGGTCCCTTCATGGTGCACAACTTCTACTTGACCGTCATCAGCGGTGGGCTTCTGGCACTCTTCATTGAGCAGCTTCTCCCCACCCTGGCGCGCGGCGGCATCTTCCACGCAATCTGCAGCTACGACGGCGGTTGGACTGATCCCCTCGTCATGCTCTACTACGTAAGCTGTGCTCAACTGGACCCGAGAGATAGAGCCTGACATGCGCAGATGAACTATCTTACCAAATATCTCGAACTCATCGATACCGTCTTCCTTGTCCTCAAGAAGAAGCCGCTCACGTTCCTGCACACCTATCATCATGGTGCAACTGCTCTTCTTTGCTTCACTCAGCTCCTTGGCCATACCTCAGTCTCCTGGGTGCCCATCACACTCAATTTGACCGTCCATGTGGTCATGTATTGGTAAGCAATGGACAAATTCCTCCGAAAAGGGAAGAGTTAACATGCATTAGGTACTACTTCCAATCTGCGCGGGGTATTCGCATCTGGTGGAAGAAATACATCACCATGCTCCAAATCATCCAATTCGTCATCGACCTTGTCTTCGTCTACTTCGCATCCTACACCTACTTCTCCAACACCTATTTCCCATGGGCTCCCAACTATGGAACTTGCGCCGGAGAAGAATTTGCCGCCTTTGCTGGCATGGCTATCCTCAGCTCTTACTTACTCCTCTTCATCTCCTTCTATTTCGCAACCTATCGAAAGCAAACCGTTTCCGGAAGACCTAGGAGGAATACGGGAAAGGAAGCTCTCATTGCTATGAAGGATTTGCCCTTGCCAGACCCACATAAGCTCCAAGAGGAAGAGCATAAGAAGACCGGCAACGGTGCAGTCACGACTGGAAGATCTAATGGACCTACCACCAGGTCTCGGAAGGCTTAGGAGGCTGATGTAGACGACTGCTTCAGCACGGAAATGTTTGCTTTATTGACCAGCTGCAAACAAAACAATTCAGACATAAAAGCCACGGCAGAAGAGATCGGGCAACTCCTGGATTCTATTTCCTCGGATCTGTCGAAATACGCTTGCATGGATTCTGACTAAATAGATTTGGGACATGAATCATGTTAGAATCACTTGGTCAGAAAATGGCCAAGATCATTAGACGAGGCACGGCGAACAAACGAGATGGGGTGAAGACGAGCGCAGCGCGACTGGAAAGGGTGTATAAGTATTGGCGTCAATGACTGGTTGGAAGCCTGCTCGACTTCGGGTTCAAGTCCGACAGTGCATCCACGAAGTCGATTCTCACTTTGTATTTGTGTAATTACTGCATACTCACTATTAATGCATGAAAAGTAATGTGCAAGGGAGCAGCATTGTATAGCAGACAGGAAAATAAAGGACTGAAAAGATTGAAAAAGATTCATGAAAGCGAAGTCTAGTTTACTCCGGTTCATCCAGATGCCACGACCATACACTCGTCGGCCTCGTAGCCAATGCCTTATTCTATTGTGTTCTGCTCTCGACCCGATTCAATCTCCCCTGTGGATTGCACGTATGAAGTATACATTGGAAAATTCGACACGATGACAAAAACATCAATCATTACGCGAGATTCCAGAACAAGTCATCTTGCAAAGAAAATCACAGACACGACTCGGAATCGGTCTCGGTCTCCGGACCGCTGCTTCATCCTACCCACCTTCTCGCGCTCTGGAAGAGTCGCACCCAAGGTCCGTACTCGCCCCATTCCGCACTCTTGCCATCGGGGATATAGCTGCCGACGCCCTGCAAGATGGTCCGCTCAGGGTGTGGCATCAAGGCGAGAACGCGGCCGTCTTGACTCCTGACGCCGGCGATGCCCGAGGGACTCCCGTTCGGGTTGGCCGGGTACGTGGTGGTGGGCTCGAGTGACTTGTTGTCGACGTAGCGGAGGGGGGCGAGGTGCGAGCTCGCAAAGTCGGAGGCCAGTTGGGCGTCGAGGGCCTTGATGTTCTTGCCGTTCGCGGCGGCGGCGGCGGCGGCGTCGGTGAAACAGGCTCGTCCTTCGCCGTGGGCGACGGCGATGGGCAGGCTCGAGCCGCTCATGCCGTGGAAGAAGACGCTCGGGGCGAGGCCGCTGTCGGCGGGCGGGTCGGTGATGCGCACCATGCACACGCGCGCCTCGTACTGCTCGGACTCGTTGCGCTCGAAGCTGGGCCACTGGCCGGCGCCGGGGATGAGTTCCGCCAGCTTGCTCAGCACCTGGCATCCGTTGCACACGCCCAGGGTGAAGGTGTCCTTGCGCTCGAAGAAGGCCTGGAACTTGCGCCGCGCGTCCCGGTGGAAGAGGATGCTCTTGGCCCAGCCCTGGCCCGCGCCCAGGCAGTCGCCGAAGCTGAAGCCGCCGGCGAGCGCGAGGCCCGTGAAGCCGCTCAGGTCGTGCTCTAGACCCAGGTGCGTCTGATGGGACTTTGGGTCCAGGATGTCGCTCATGTGCACGTCGACGGCCGTGAAGCCGGCGGCGTCGAATGCAAACGCCATCTCCGCGTGCCCGTTGGTGCCCTGGTCGCGCAGGATGGCGACGCGCGGGCGCGTCGTCGGCCGGACGATGCTGAGCAGGCTCGTCTTGTAGCTGTTGATGTTCTCCTTGGGCTTGTAGGTCAGGTTGTAGGACAGGCCGGGGTCCGAGTCTTTGGAGATGTTAGCGTATTCGGCGTCTGCGCACGCTGGGTTGTCTCGGAGTCGTTGCATCCAGTATGAGGTGTTTGACCACTGTTGTTGCAACTCCGATCGGACGCCGCGGTAGACCAGCTTGCCGCCGTGGTAGATTGCCATGTTTTGAGAACTGGATTTGGTAGAGACCCGGCCAATCTTGTGGATCAAGCCTGGGGGAGGCCCGCAGGTGGCGAAGCATGCTTTGAACCTGTTCTCGTCGGCCTTGCGGACTTGGAACACGGCACCAAGTTCTTCGTTGAAGAGGCACGATATCACGTCGGGGGTGTTTGGGGTTGGGCAGATCTCGTTGATCATGATTTCAATCCCGCAGCGACCTGCGAAGGACATTTCCGCGAGTGTGGTGAAGAGGCCGCCGTCACTTCGGTCGTGGTAGGCCAAAACCAGGTCTTGTTCGTGCAATTGCTGTGTCGCATCGAAAAAGTCTTTGAACAGGTTGACTGAGCGGATGTCGGGAGACTCGTCTCCGATCTGCTTGAAGGATTGGGCCAGGATTGAACCGCCCATGGCACGGTGAGCGAGGGCCAAGTCGACGAAGAACAACGTCGACTCGCCGACTTCATTGTAACGCTTCAGTTGTGGCGTCCATGTCTTTTTGATGTCAACAACCGGTGCGAACGCCGAAATCACTACCGTCAACGGGGCAGTGACTTCTTTGGACTCATTCGTGTCCTTGTCTTGCCATTTCATCTTCATGGACATGGAGTCTTTGCCGACGGGAATGGCAATTCCGAGCTGGGGGCACAAGTCCATGCCTAGTGTCTCCACCGCTTCGTAGATTGCTGCACCTTCACCAGGATGCGAGGCTGCGGACATCCAGTTTGCAGAGAGCTTGACTTGATGTAGACGGTCAGGTAGATCTGCCGCCGTCAAGTTCATGAGAGATTCAGCGACGGCCATGCGCGCCGACGCAGTAGGGGAGATAAGGGCAAGAGTCGGCCGTTCGCCCATTGCCATGGCTTCGCCAGTCTTGATGTCGGGTGTCAGTGAGGTGGCAGTCACGGAAACATCCGCTACGGGAACTTGCCACGGACCGACCATTTGGTCTCTAGCTGTTAAGCCACCGACAGTACGGTCGCCGATGGTTATGAGGAAGGACTTCGAGCCAACCGCGGGCATTTGCAGGACTCGACCGATGGCTTCTTCGAGCAACCCGTGAGTAGAGGCTTGTGGAACATACATGCTCAGGCTAGTATCGAATGCTGGTAAGTCAACCTTTCTCGATGTGACTGTCCTGGTCATCTTAGGAGGCTTGCCAAAAAGCACATCCATCGGCAGGTCGATAGGGTCTTGGTGACCGTGACTTGACGGGTTGTTGCGATCGGTGAGCTTCAGTGCCTGCTGGTTGGTGGCATGGCCCACAACAGATATGGTCGATCGTTCTCGGTTCGCGATGGATCTGAACTTGTTCATGTCATCTGGGTTGACGGCTAGCACATACCGCTCCTGAGCTTCACAACACCATATTTGAAGAGGGCTCATGCTGTTATCCGCACAGTCAACTTCACGGAGTTCGAACTGTGCACCGAGTCCCGAGTCCTTTGCCAGTTCTGGCAGGGCATTGGACAGACCGCCGGCACCGACATCGTGAATGAATTGGATAGGGTTCCTCTCTGGACCCAGAGCCGCACAAGCGTTAATGACCTCTTGTGCTCGCCTCTGCATTTCTGGATTTCCTCGTTGGACACTGGCAAAATCCAAATCTGCAGAACCTTCACCGGAACCCATGCTAGAGGCTGCACCACCGCCTAGACCGACAAGCATTGCCGGACCACCGAGTGCGATCAGCTTTGCGCCCTCTTTGACCAGATCAGGATTCTTAAGCGCAAGTTGAGGTCGGACCGTGCCCACACCGCCAGCAATCATGACAGGTTTGTGGTAACCTCTAATTTCGGAAGAATCCTTGCCAGTTTTCATCTCTGTGAGCAAAGTTCTGAAATAACCAGTAGTCGCAGGTCGGCCAAACTCATTGTTGAAGGCTGCCGCGCCGATCGGTCCTTCGAGCATGATGTCCAAGCTGGTGGCTATGTGGTGAGGCTTTCCGTAGTCGAGCTCCCATGGCTGGCGATGGCCTGGGATCAGCAGATCAGAAACAGAAAACCCTGTGAGGCCGGCTTTGGGTTTTGAGCCACGGCCAGTTGCACCTTCATCCCGGATTTCGCCGCCAGAACCAGTCGCTGCACCTGGAAAGGGTGACACAGCGGTAGGATGGTTATGGGTTTCAACCTTTGCTAGGAAATCAACTCTTTCCTTGATAGCTTTCCACTGTCCGTTGACATCATCCGGAGCCCATTGGCTTCCTTGGCTTCCTTGTAGCACCGCTGCATTATCACTGTATGCGCTGATGGTTCCCTCACTGGTCACCTTGTGGGTGTTACGGATCATGCCAAAGAGTGTGTTGAGCTTGGTTTGACCGTCAATAACCCATGTTGCATTGAAGATCTTGTGTCGACAATGTTCTGAATTAACCTGAGCAAACATGAACAGTTCGACATCGGTAGGATTTCTCGGAACGGATCCGTCTTTGGCGTAGGCTTCAGCGAGGTATTGTATTTCTGAAGGGTCGAGAGCCAGGCCAAGATCTTTGTTTAGCTGTTCCAAGACCTCTATCGGTGATTTACCATCCTTGTACAGGTCATATGTTCCCAATGTGCCAGCTTCCTGGTGCAGGAATAGTACGTCGAGATCTGGCTCACCTTCATAGATTGTCTCCGTCATCCGGTCATGGAGAAAATTCAAAGCGGACACATCCAACGATTTGTCATCCTCCAACGTGATGATGAGTTTGATACCGCGCTCGATCCTACGGACAATGTGTCGAAGTCCACAAACATGGGCAATACTGGTTGCCTTTGTACTCCACGGTGAAATGGTACCTGGCCTAGGTAAGACATAAAAGGTCTGGGACGAGCCATCATGTCTTTCGAGGCCGTTGTCTTGGAGGACATTGGTGAGTAACTTTTCCAAGAGAGCACGATGCTCCGAGTCAAGGTCGCTGATCAGTTCAACATAGTGAACGTATTGTCCTTGGACATCCTTAACCCCGATCTGTGAGGCAAGCCCCTCCCGACGGAAGTCAGAAAAGGCGGAGCCGCCAGGAATCACGCAGATCTCGGCCATCAAGGAGGCTATGTTGCGAGTGTCCTGCTTGTCACCGGACACAGAAGGATCGTTTGTATCCTCCCACTAGAACATGACCAGGGCTCGAAGCGCTAGTAGTCAGGCTGAGGATACTGCCCGGTAGAATGGATGATCGGCTGATACTAGGCAACTGTGCGCAGAATCAGGAGGACATTCTCGGTAGGATGATGGCTGACCTTAGTTCTGAGTCGATACCAAGATCAAAGGTGTTGTTTTCGGGTCATCTGAGTCACCTATCAAAACTTCAGCGTATCAAAAAATCTTCTGGCAAGGCGGAAAAATCGTCGCCGGCGGAGGGGCTTGGCATTATTCTCTGGCGTTGGAGATTTATTAGGCGATGTAATGGAGAAGGTCACCAGTCTCCCTAATGTTTCCGTGCCTAGGTAGGTACCTTAACTAGAGGCCGGAGCTAGATCCAAGGCCGAATGATCTTAGGGGCCCCAGAGGCTGTACGAGTCCCTAAATGCAGCCCAGGAGTCGGGCTCTTGAGGGTACACCTTTCCCAGACAGCGGCCGCTTAGTCTACCCCAAACGGCCCGTCTCGCCTATGCCTTGCTTGTACTTGGGCCCTGTACCACTTACGGGGACAAGGGCAAAAGGATCCCATCCCCAAGCTGGTGGAATCGCTCGGTCATGGCTGCCGTCATCAAGCACCTGGCTCCCTCGCCGGTCCGTATCGCTGATGAGATAGCCAGCTGTCCAAGACTGCCACATTTCACACTCCCCTGTGTTGTCTACACAAAGTCCTTCTTCCTATTGACACAAAACACTCAACATCTTCTTTCGCAATCTCTTATTGATGTGACCAGTATTCCCGATCTCTCTGTCGGTACTCCGCTTTTCGACGCGACTTACTCGCTCCACTGGCTTTCCTCATGCACTCGCCATTGACCCAACATTCTATCGTTGATCCCCGATTCTCACGATTCACGCAAGCCGCTCCTGTTGGCGACCTGTTCTTGCGTAGCCGGCCCACATAATCTACACCTCAGGTCTCTCGGCTTGCGCACGAGGGTCTTGAAAACTCTCCTCTAATTGAACATCCTTCAGCAGTAGGGTTAGTCGACTATCGACTGCCCTGTTCCACGCCGCCAACATTCCTCCTCCCGGCTACCCCGACTCACTCCTCCACCACCGATCGCACTCGGCACGTTCTCGACCTGAGCTCGATAGCACGACAGTCGGATTGCCAGCTGAAGGAGAAAACGAGAAACACGAAAGCTCTCGGCGACCGTCCTTGTCCTCTGCCACAGAATCTGACGATTTCTCTGTCTGGAGTGACACTGGAGATCTCGCAGAACAGCTTGCCAACGACGAGGATCCCTATCGGATCGAGCTTGAAGCTCTTACCAGGGAAGGTGAGAGGCTCCGGCGCTCCGGTCACGGTGGAGGACGGAAGAAGAGAGTCGGGTTCAAAAAGGAACATCATCTCCAGGGGGGCTCAAGTCGTCGACGAATAAATAAAGAAGCTATCTTCATTCCGGAGCCTCCACCGAGGCAGATACCCAAGGCAGAAAGATTGCTAGCTCTCGTCATGGCGCCAAACGACCCTCAATCTGCCCGGGTCAAGGGCCTCGTTGGCAAACCTCTCCTGTACGGTCAACTCCCGGCGGGTATGCATGCATGTTGGTGATGGCTGACCTGAGTGACGCAGATATTTTACGAGTGTGTTCGTATCTCTGGGGGTTTTCCTTTTCGGATATGATCAAGGCGTTATGTCTGGTATTATCACGTAAGTTGCCTACCCAAAATACTCTTCTCATTGCTGATGCGCGGAAAGGGGCCCTTTTTTTCGAGACTACTTCAACCAGCCAGGTCCTGCTGAGGTTGGGACTATGGTCGCAATCCTTGAAGTCGGAGCCCTTATTGCATCGTTATGTGTTGGTAGAATTGGTGACATTATTGGACGCCGCCGCACTATCCTTTACGGCTCCATGGTTTTCTTCGTCGGAGGCATGCTGCAGACCTTTGCAAATGGTATGCCCATGATGATGACTGGGAGATTTATCGCCGGTCTGGGTGTCGGAGCGCTCTCCACGATTGTGCCTGTCTACCAGTCTGAGATCAGTCCTCCACACAATCGTGGTAAGTTGGCCTGTATAGAGTTTACAGGGAATATATTTGGCTACGCAGCCAGTGTTTGGGTGGACTATTTCTGCAGTTACATTGAGAGCGACTACTCTTGGCGAACACCTCTCCTTATGCAGTGTCTTATGGGAGCTCTGCTAGGTTTCGGCAGTCTCATCATCTGCGAGTCTCCAAGGTAAGCGATCGAGCAAACAAAATTGGAGCTGGGAAAGACTGACGTGGCGGCGACAGATGGCTTCTGGACAATGATCATGATGAAGAAGGGATCATAGTGATTGCTAACCTGTACGGCAAGGGAGACATCCACAATCCCAAGGCGCGACAGGAATACCGAGAGATCAAGATGAACGTTTTGTTGCAACGCCAAGAGGGAGAACGGTCATACTCCGATATGTTCAAGCGATACAGCAAGCGTGTCTTCATCGCCATGTCCGCTCAGGCATTTGCCCAACTCAACGGCATCAATGTCATTTCATACTATGCGCCACTTGTCTTCGAATCAGCTGGGTGGGTTGGACGCGACGCAATCCTCATGACAGGTATCAATGCTATCTCATACCTGGCTTCGACTGTTCCACCTTGGTATTTGGTGGATAGGTGGGGACGACGACCTATTCTCCTTTCCGGAGCAGTGGCTATGATCATCTCGCTCTCACTGATCTCGTACTTTATCTTCATTGACATCAAGTACACCCCTGCACTTGTGGTCATCTTCGTCATGATCTATAACGCCTCTTTCGGTGCAAGCTGGGGGCCTATTCCATGGCTGTATCCGCCAGAAATTCTGCCATTGAGCATTCGAGCCAAGGGTGCTAGTTTGAGCACTGCTAGCAATTGGGCATTCAATTTCTTGGTGGGAGAACTCACGCCTGTACTACAAGGTGCTATAAAATGGCGTTTGTATCTCGTACATGCCTTCTTTTGCGCTGTGAGTTTTGTTCTTGGTAAGTCCACACCCTGCCCTCGGAATGGACGATGAGGCTTATGGTATGTAGTATATTTCGTCTATCCCGAGACTGCAAACGTTCGCCTCGAAGATATGAATGCCCTCTTTGGGGACGCCACAACTGCGATGCCCACCCCAGCAACACAAGCGGAACAAGGTTCTTTGATGGGCGTTGGGTCGCCCTCCTCGATCGATATCAGACAAGGAACCAACCAACCAGGAATGTTTTCGGCCGGTGACGCCATCCCAGGCCTTGATATTGATCCACCCGACGTCCAGCTAGATGCCAATGGCAGACCGCGAGGTCGAAGTGACAGTACCCAAGGCTTCGGCAACTGGATTGGAAGGATGGTGTCGAGATCGCGACAAGACAGCAGTTCCCGGGGTCAGTACAATAAAGTTGGACAAGATGAAGATTAAGCTTGGATGCATTTGTTCTACATCCTGACAGCGGCGTATCTGTCAGATAGACTTGAGTGGCAGCAAGACAGGCGTTTTCGGGGTCACATATGAAAAGAAAGGGAGCAGTCCCGATTGGTATACGCGAAGGTCCCGTATTGGTGGTGTATTTGACGGTCCAGTATGGGCGTCAGGCTGGCCTTCGATCATGGATACTGGGTCTTGTTAATGTATATGTACCAGGGTCTTAACCTAGCATCTAAATGGATTACAGAGGGATCGGTAATCCCGGTCCAGATCGGTGACAGACAACCTGGATCAGGAACATCGGTCTCTGTACGAGTACGACTAACTTACTTCAAGACCAGCTTTAAGACGAGGCTCACTATGAGTGAATGGAGAGTGAGTGCCCAAGGCTGGCAATGCTCCGGATCTGGAGTATGTGCCGTTACTTACTGACCCCGGCCCACTGTTCCCTTCTCATCCCACTCTCCATCGCCCTTGTCTCACTGCCACCTGATTTGATGAACATGAGCAGCTTAATCTCATAAAGTCACGTACTCGAACAACTCTGCCCTCTGAGATTTGGCATCAAACAGACCATCTCATTAAGCCTGTATCGGCGGTTGCTTAACGGTCAACAGCCACCGCTCGCCCAATCGGCGATGCATCACGCCCTTCTGTCTGGCCTCACTAGCCTCACTTTATTTCCAGCCTCACTAGCCCAATAACTTACGTGTTTAGCCTCTCCGCGCCGATCTTTGTCCCGTGACGGCGTCGAGCACCTCATTGTTCTTTGTCGAGATTGTGTGCTCAACGTACCATCCCCAGACACCCAGCGACTCCGCGTACCTGAACGTCGAGAAAGACCACTAACGGCCCGGAGCAACCTCGCTCCAGCGACTCCTTCTCCTCGAATCCCCCGGAAGCGCCCGCAATTCTCCACTGCGACTCATCCTCCCACGCCCTTACGCTCTATTCGGATCGCAGGAGTCTAGCAAGATACAGATTTATGCTCTTTCATTGACTGCAGCGTCAATGTGTCCGGCTTTGTCTCTAGAAGCTGGTCACTCTGGCAGGTCCGAGTCAATTACAGTGATGGAAAGGCCATGAGAGTTTGCGACAAAATGCACCAGGGAATGAAGGAGCCTCAGCACATAAACCATAGACAGAAATCCCAGCAGTACAACCCCGAGAAGATTGCGCAACTAGATCAGCGATTTTACCGCCTCCAAGAATCGGTTGTTCCGAGACAACCATACCTCCTCTCGGTTCCCTCAAGCGTGCCATACCGACACAGTTCACGCTTCGTAAACACCTGGTATGAAGGCACACCTTTCGAGCGCCACGAAGAACAACTGCAGTACTTGAGTTTTTTCGCGCATCAGGGCGAACACGAGTCACTCTTAAAGGTAGAAGGCGGGTGGGCAGATGAGCAAGGACACCCTATCGAAGACGAAGTCTCTCCGCGAACTGTACCTGCAAGCGGTCGTAATACACCTGCCGAGCCTGGACATCGCAAGAAGATCAGCTTGAAGGATTACAAGACCAAGGGCAAGAGCCCGCTTACGCTGCAACCACGCTCACAGCCGTTGCAGTCCCTGAAGGAAACAGAGCCGCCAGGAGCATCGGACGCCGAGGGGCAAAACGAGGTGAAACCGGCTCAGATCAACGCGGAAAGAGTTGTTATTCCACAGAAGACAGACATAGAGCAACTAGATTTGAGGTCAAAAGTGGCACCACTGAGCATTCCTGGCTCATCTCAAAGCCCTGCCAGAGGCCAACCAGAGAACAGTCCAAGTCCAGTGAAGAAACGGAAGCTATCACCACCGTTTGAAGCGTCCAAACCTGCTACACATCCACCGAAGGGTGAAGCTACGCCTTCCACCATGGCCATGCCGACCCTGTTGTCACCAACCCTGCCCCCGCCGGAGCACGAGACAGGGCTCCCCCAACTCTTGTCGCCCATTTTACCACCCACTCTTGCGAAAGCACTATCAAACTCTCCACCGTTTCTCGGCAGTCCAGCCAACGGTTCACATCAGCGGACGGATTCTGTTCGCTCGATTCTTGCCGGAGTCGACCTTGATAACGATCCTCTTCCCGACAAGAATAAACTAGCACCTACGGGCGGCCGAGTTCGGTCAGACAGTGCTCACTCGGCCCGGAGCTCGGCCCCAGGCACCCCAAGTGCCAGTAAAAATCTTCTCGGCTCGAAGGTCTTGTCCAAAAACGGCATCAGGCCTGGAACACCTGTGCTGAACGGAGCTCGGGCAAGTCCTGGACCTAGACAGCGACATACAATCATTCTCAAATACGGCAAGAAGAACCGAAAGAGAGTCGAAGCGCTTCTTAAATTCCAGTCACGCCCGAAAAAGGAATCGGTCAAGCAAGAACGCGTGGGAACCCCCGAAATCAAGCCCAAGCGTGAAGGGATCAAACAAGAAGAGAAAGACGGAGGACAGACTCCAGACACGAAATCTACCATCTCCGTGGGGGATGATGTCAAAGTTGAGAAGAAGCGCAAAGCTGAAGAAAGCCCGGGTCCGGCGATCAAAAAGTTGAAGTCTGCAAACTTGAACGCCGAAGATGTGAAGCGACCATCTACGCCCGTGCCCACTGCTGGCAAGTCACCTCTTCCGTCTCAAACCAGAACCACTTTCTCTACGCCCAAGAAGGATTTGAAGTCGTCTGCAATGAGGCGAGTGGAATCCACAGACGGTGTGGATGTGCCAACTCCGTCCGGAGACAAGGGTCGCGTGTCCACACCTGTCTCGAGCCTCAAACCATCACCACAGCCAAACGCCTCGAGCACCAGAGAAGAGGAACGGCAGCAATGGTCCATTGTGAACAATAAATACTTCGCGATGGGCCGAAGTCTGAAGCATGAGGGCACTTCTATGCTTTCATCTTCTGAAGCCAATCCCAAATCAATACAGGTCACCAAAGCAGTGGTCCTTGTGGTCGAGGCACTGCTTTGTTTCATCATCAACACTTATGCGCGAGGAAGAAGCAGACCAGGTGCGGACCCGGATTGGCGATCCATTTTGCCCTATCACATTTTTGTATACAGGCAGTCAAGGAAATATCCACACCTTCACGGGTTGGTTATGCAACTTGGTGCAGTATGTCGGCAGCAGATACAGAAACACGACCTAGACAAACTGGCTCGAGACCCATTGCCAGACGAATACTGCAGTTCAGCCCCAACGCCGAGCAGCGATGGCAACACGAAGACCAATGAAGACGTGGAGAAGTACAAGAAGCGATACACCCAGTTCCGGGACGATATGATTCACAATATCCGTGAGCTGCAGACTGCTTGGCTGGACGGTTTCAGACACCTTTCCCCTGAACTCCTGAGACGAGAGTATCCGACTACCTGGTCGATGAGGGCGAAGGATGCGACATTAAGACTGCAGGAAAAGCCATCGCCATCGAAACTACCGAAAGACTTCTATCTGCCGATGGACGCGAATACGACACCATTGGAGGCTGCGAGATTTGGGCTGGCGTTCCTCACGGAATGGGCTGGGAAGGAGAAGATCGACTGGAAGACAAAGATCGATCTATGAAGCACTATTCCCTTCTGCCGCTGTGTTGCTTTATCGACACCATGTTTTAATGTGAATGTACGGAAGAAACGTTGCCTGAGTATGACCATGTTTTCCCATGATTTTTAGCGACCTGAGAGCTTGAGATACCAACTACCGTGAGCAGAGACTGGACTTTGCCTTTTATTAGACCCTGTGCTCCCTTGAATGGCGCTTTACGCCTAGCTAGAGCTTTCGTTATGAATATTATCAAAGCCATGTATCACTGTACATTCACTTAAGATAGTACGCCACGCCCTACTTTCATACACCTACACTCAAGCTGTAGTGCCGGAAGTATCGAAGATTCGCCAAGCCTGGAAGCGTAGCCTTGCGGGGAACAAAAGAAGAAGGAACGAGGCTGTGTAGATCGGCTTCATCCATCCAAACCTGGCTCAACAGGCCTACATACTCACCGCCCCGACGCTCGACCACGCCACAGATGTGTCGCTAAGCATGGCTCTGCTATCAAGAGAATGTCACTCGAAGATGATCCTTCCGACTTTGACGGTGTCTTACCCGTAATACCCATCGACTCTCCGCCAATCTACAAAGACGGAACGAGCAATGCAGCGACCGGTGCCTCTGCAGCCGGAGCTCGCGCATTCGCCGCGCAGGCCGTAGCGTTTTACTTTCGAGCCCCAGTCAAGGCTTTTTTCAGAACGAGAGTGGATTACTTGGTACGTGTACCCATGCACTGCTGTTATCAGCAAGACCAGAGGAGAGTGAGAAGGGCGCAGACAGAAGACGAAGCACTGCTACTGACACACGCTACCCTCTCTTCGGTAGGCGTACGCCAAATCCATACTCCCACCGACACAGAACGACCGGTTCTCCTGGCGAAACACGACGCCAGGCCTGCTGGCTCACGCCATCCACAACTACGGCTGGCGTTTCATCCCCGAGCAACTCTTCCCTCCTCTCGCGGCCAACATCGTCGTCGGCGCAGCGCTGTACACTTCTTATCTACAGGTCCTGGGACGGCTATATGAACCCTCCTCCCATGCGTCGAAGACCGTCTACCCACCTCCTCCGCCTACACATACCTTTGCCGCCGGGTTCGCGGCGGGGACGATACAGAGCGTGATTGCGGCGCCGCTGGATGCCCTGCAGGTCCGCTTCGACCAGCGCGGAGAGGCATATCAGAACAAGACAATGTGGCAGTATGGCAAGGGCAAACTCCACGAGATAGGAGCGAGGGGCATCTTTGCAGGATGGGGGCTGTCGTTCTTGAAAGACAGCTTCGGCTCGGCCATTTTCTTCTCGACCTTCGAATACGTCAAGGCCCAGGGCTACGTGAGATTTGTGCGCTGGTACTACGGCTCGCTGGGCCACGTGGCCGTGGACAAGCTCGCGCACATAAGAGGCACGGTCGCGACCGAGAGCCAGCCCACGGCGGTGATCCGGCCACATTATGCGCTTGAGCCCGGGTTTCTCATGCTCGCTGGTATCACGGCCTCGGTGGCCCAGCAGGTCATTCTGTACCCTTTGTCGACGTTCCAGACGCTGCATTTTGAACGGCTCGAGGACCTGGACAAGAAGGCCGCCCAGCTCGAGCACTCCAGCAGCACGCGACAGAGCAGAGGGAGGATGCTGCGCGCCTATTACCATGCGTACCAGGAGACCCTGGGCCAGGCCCGCGCGCAGGCTAACCAGGTCGCGGGCATGCGGACGTGGTTGTTCAGAGGCTTCTGGTGGTTCACCATCAGACAGGTCCCTTCTACCAGTGCGGGTCTCATTATCTTTGAACTGGTTCGCAGAAAGTACGGTCTTTCGGGAGACGAAGTCAGAATCACTGAGGATGGCTACGACATATTGTTGGCATGAGACATTCCTATGGCCGTCACGAGGAAGACGCTAGCGAAGCTGTACTGCAACCGCGCGTGCCTGAATACCTACAGCATAGGCACCCGGCATAGAATATTACATAGATACCCTCCTCTGCGCTTTAGCAGTCCTCTCTACAATCAGGCTACTGGCATATAAGCCTGACGCCTCTCATCCAGCAACACAAGGACGTTGTTCCCAAATTCTTTAGGATGACTCAGCATCGATTGGATACCAGGCTTGGAGCTAAAGCCGGTTCTGTATGACCCTAATGAGTCTCCCTTCGGTTCATTACCAATTGGCTACAGCAAAAGAGTTGCGCCCTTTCGAGTACACTGCCCCCTTGTCGAATCATGAATGTAAGTGACGCAAAGTTAAATAGTACTCTCTGGAGATCTCCGCGCTGGAAACGGCATGGTCCGGGCAAGTCCATCGACACGACTTGTGACTTAATCATAATAAGAGATAGAAAGTGTTCAATGTTGGATGCATGCAGACAATAGCAATAAGAATAATGAGGTCGTTGCGCACAATCTCAGTAGTCGGCTGCCATGCAGAAGGGGAGGTCGGGGACGTGATCGTAGGCGGTGTGCTCGACGCGCCTGGCTGTAAAACAGTAAGTCGGTCTTGTTCCCGTGCAGAAAGCCCTCTCTCGGCAATGTTATCACGGGTAACGCATAGTGAGATAAACAATCTGACAAAATGCAGATGTACGAGAAGATGATGTACTTCTGGACCAAGAAGGACAGCCTTCGAAACATGCTTCTCCAAGAACCTCGAGGTCGATCGTCAATGTGTTGCAACCTGGTCCTGCCGCCATGCGACCCGCGTGCGGACGCTGGGTTCCTCATCATGGAATCCGATGAATATGCCCCAATGTCCGGATCAAATACTATCTGCACAGTAACGGTCCTGTTGGAAACGGGAATGATCCCCATGCAAGAGCCCATCACCAAGTTCAACCTGGACACCGCTGCAGGGTTAGTAGGCATCACGGCTGAGTGTGAAGCGGGGAAGTGCAAGTCTGTTGCATTCGACAACGTGCCGGCTTTTGTCTTTGCTCTGGACAAGCCCGTCGAGGTGCCCGGATTAGGTACGATCCTCGTCGACGTTGCCTGGAGTGGTATGATGTACGCATTGGTCGATCCAGCATCGTGTGGCTTGACCATTGGGAACCGTGATGCCTCCAAGCTTATCGAAATCGGTGAGAGGATAAAGAGAGCGGTGCAACAACAGTTTGTCCCCGTCCATCCGGAGAACCCTGGGATTCGAGGAGTGACGAACTTTGTATGGAGTGGCCCATTCGAGGACGCCCCAGATGGCATCAAGACGGCAGTGAATACCGTTGTGGTGTCCCCGGGGAGATTCGACAGATGTCCATGCGGTACCGGCACTTGCGCGAGGATGGCGGTTTTGCACGCCAGAGGTCAACTTGAGGTGGGCGAGACCTTTCGGCACAAGAGCATCATCGGGACTGAGTTCATCAACCATATCAGAGGCACAACCAAGGTCGGAGAGTATAACGCCATCCCCCCTACCGTCAAGGGTCGTGGTTGGATCACGAGTTTCAAGCAAATCGTACTGGACCCGACAGATCCATTTCCTGAGGGATTCCGTGTAGCCGACCAGTGGCATATGCCCGTCGATTCCTGATTCTTGAAGTGTATAGAATACGATTTCCTCACATAGTTTAGATACCTGCTTCTTCACACCGTCGGATGTGACACAGACGCAACCGCAGTCTCCGAGTAGTCCGAGAAATTACCTGTCGTTCAGAGTCACTTTGACCGACCGAAAACAGACCGAGGGTTCAATTCAATCATCCAAATTGTTGCAAGTATTTTCAAGAACATCTTGAGCGTGGACACAAGTTCGGCGTAGAGAAAACGTTGAAGTGGAAGTGCCTCAATTTATTGACAAGTCAATTGACGCGCCGCGACGCGCCAAGCCCTGGGGAGGAAAGTCGCGCCTCAAGCCGAGAATCGTCGGCCTGTGCATCTTTTGCAGGCACAGTGCAACACCTTGACTTCATATACACCTACACCTCAACCCTCATCCTCGCCTTCGTCATCTCTTATTCTCTCTAATTCAATCTCCCTTCCTTTCTTCCTTTTCTCATTTTCTCGTCCACCTCGATTGTGTCTTTCTCCAAACTTGCAACGTCAGCTCGTTGCGACAGCCAGCGATTGAAGTAGGACATTTCTCCCCATCTGCGATTTGCCTCACTCGAGGCAGGCAGCCAAGATGGGCGACATTGTCATCAATGCGGACACCTTCTCTTATCGCCTGTCTGCCCTCTACAACTCTTGGAAGGCCGACAAGCGATCCGGAGATGGATCTTTTGGTGGCGCTGACAGCATGTTCGTTCTGACCGGAAAGGCCGATCAGGACACTCAGTATACAAAGAGCAATGCTTTGCACGTAGGCAGCGACGAGATTTACTTCATCAAGCAGGCATAGACTGACCCGGATCACAGTTCTGGCTTCTGGGCTACGAGTTCCCCGCGACCCTGATGGTCTTCACCACGGCGGTCATGTACCTCGTCACCACAGAAAAGAAGGGTGAGCGCCATCCTACCCCGCTGCTGCCTATCAGGTGTGACTGACTTTGGATAGCTCGTCATCTGCAGAACCTGAAGAATGGCAAGATCCCCCTCGAGATTCTCACGGTCAATACCAAAGATCCCGAGTCCCGCACGAAGGCTTTTGAGAAATGCATCGATGTCATCAAGAGCGCAGGCAAGAAAGTCGGTGTTATTCAAAAGTCTGAAGCTCACGGGCCTTTCGTCGACGAATGGCTGAAAATGTACGGCGACATCTCGAAAGAGGTTGAAGAGGTTGATATTTCTGGTGCGCTAGCTACAGCTTTCGCCGTCAAGGACGAAACTGAACTGAGGGCGATGCGAACTGCCGCGCAGGCAGCGAGCGCCATGATTTCCAAGTATTGGGTTGATGAGATGTCTGAGGTCCTCGATCAAGAAAAGAGAATCACCCATCGAGCTCTGGTGGATAAGATGACGAAAAAGATCGATGACACCAAATTCTTCAAGGGAATCTCAAAAATCCCAAGTGATTTCGACAACCAACAGTTGGACTGGGCATACGGTCCGATCGTACAGAGTGGGGGACAGTATGATCTTCGATGGACAGCCCAACCGAACGACGAGAATCTACATTCTGGCTGCATTGTCGCCGGTCTGGGTTTTCGGTACAAGACCTACTGCTCGATTGTGGCCAGAACGTACCTGATCGATCCGAGCAAGTCGCAAACCGCAAATTACAAGATTCTTCTCTCCGCGCACGAAGCTGCGATGAAGGAAATTAAAGACGGAGTTGTCATGAAAGATGTGTACAACAAGGCTTTGGGCGTTGTCAAAGCCAAAAAGCCAGAACTCGAGAAGCATTTTGGTAAAGACGTCGGAGCAGCTATCGGCATTGAAGTGCGTGACCCGAAGTTGGTTCTGAACGGCAAGAATTCTCGAGTCCTTAAAGACGGTATGACGGTGAGTGTCAGCACCAGTCTCTCTGATCTCACCAACGACAAACCACAAGATAAGAAGGGAGTTAGTTATACTTTGGTTTTGACCGATACCGTCCGTGTCACTCGAGGAGAGCCTGTGGTGTTTACCAAGGAAGCCTCCACAGAACTTGACTCTATCGAATTCTACTTTAAGGACGATGAAGAAGAGGTAAAGCCGAAGCAGGAGAAGACCAAAAAGCCTGGAGCTGGTGCTATTGCAGCAGCAAATATCAAGTCATCCAGATTACGTGGTGCAAGTCGACAAGACAATGCCAAGGAAGAGGAAGAGTCTCGCCGACGAGAGCATCAGAAGGAGCTTGCTCAAAAGAAACAGCGAGAAGGCCTCGAGAAATATGCCGAGGCTACCGGCGACATGAATGGCGAAAACGAGAAGAAATTCAAGAAGTTCGAGTCGTATAAGCGAGACGGTCAGCTCCCGTCACGGGTCAAGGACATGATCGTATGGGTTGACCATAAAGCATCGACTGTCATTCTCCCCATCATGGGCAGGCCTGTACCGTTCCATATCAACACCATCAAGAACGTCAGCAAGTCTGATGAAGGAGAATATACGCATCTGAGATTCAACTTTCTGTCCCCCGGTCAGGGTGTGGGACGTAAAGACGATCAGCCATTTGAAGATCCTCAGGCGCATTTCATCCGATCCCTTACCGTCAGGTCCAAAGACCAAGATCGCTTGTCAGAGGTTTCAACCCAAATCACCGAACTCCGCAAGGCTGCTGTGCGTCGCGAACAAGAGAAGAAAGAAATGGAAGATGTCGTCGAACAAGACAAGCTGATCGAAATCCGAAACCGTCGTCCCATCAAGCTCACCGACGTCTATCTGCGGCCTGCGCAAGACGGCAAGCGTGTTCCTGGAGAAGTGGAGATCCACCAGAACGGTCTTCGATATCTGTCACCATTGCGTAACGATCATGTTGACGTTGTTTTCTCCAATGTCAAGCACTTGTTCTTCCAACCTTGTGTTGGTGAGTTGATCGTCTTGATCCATGTCCATCTCAAGAATCCTATCATGGTTGGTAAGCGCAAGACCAAAGATGTCCAGTTTTACAGAGAAGCCACCGATATGGCCTTTGACGAGACTGGAAATCGCAAGCGCAAGCACCGTTTTGGTGACGAGGAAGAGTTTGAGCAAGAACAAGAAGAGAGACGGCGTCGGGCCGAACTCGATAGATTGTTCAAGAGCTTCGCCGAGAAGATTTCTGATGCTGCACGAGAATACAACATCGCAGTTGATATACCTTTCAGAGAGCTGAGCTTCAATGGTGTCCCATTCCGCAGCAATGTGCTCATGGCGCCTACCACAGATGCTCTTGTCCAACTAACTGAACCACCATTTACTGTGATTACTCTTGATGAAATCGAGATTGCTCATCTCGAAAGAATTCAGGTATGTTGATTGTCGTTCCTGGCAGGTGTGCACAAGCTAACAATGACTATAGTTTGGCCTCAAGAACTTTGATCTTGTGTTCGTCTACAAAGACTATCACCGGCAACCAACACACATCAATACAATTCCCGTCGAGTCGCTGGATCGAGTACGAGAGTGGCTGGACAGTGTGGATATTGCCTTCACTGAAGGTCCTTTGAACTTGAATTGGGGCACTATCATGAAGACCGTTACCACAGATCCACATGAATTCTTCAAGGACGGTGGCTGGAGTTTCTTGAATACTGACACCGATTCGGAAGACGACGAAGAGTCGGAAGAAGAGAGTGCTTTCGAGATGAGCGATTCCGAGCTCGCAGCGAGTGAATCAGAAAGTGATGAGGACAGCGATTTTGACGAAGATGCATCGGCTAGTGATGACGAGGGAGAAGGGGAGAGCGATTTGAGTGAGGAAGGAGAGGACTGGGATGAAATGGAGAAGAAGGCCAAGAAGGAAGATCGTAGAGGAGGTGCCGAGGAGGAAGACAAGAGCAGAAAGCGGAAGAGGTGAGACATCAACCTACACTGGTGTTCTGTCTCATTGGAGCTTGAAATGATAGCTTGGGAGTGGTGTGTAACACTGGCACAAGGCTGATGAAGTTCTGCTGAAAAGTGTGATTCTTTGGGACCGCAATTGCGGAGAGTCTTTTTGATGCTTTGATACCTCGGATTGCGGTATATCGGTTATTCCGAACAATCTGGTATGTGTCAGTCTCGTTTCCGAGACATATTTCAGGTAGTGGGGAGAATTCGTGAAATATGTATTAAATGGCTTTGCCTTTATGAAGAATTCACGAGTGTGCAGTTGTACAGAGCCCTAGAGCACTGGTGATGATCAATGGTGAACAAGGCTGAACAAGGCTGACTGATGCTTTCGCGCGTTTGTAGTCGGTGGGACCCGGAACCTCGGTGTGAGGTGATCCCAGGTACGCAACCAAAAGTATTTTTGTATTTCTCAGCATTACTATGGTATCATACCTCTCTCTCTCTCGACCTCCTCGTACCCAAGGTAATTGCTTTCTCGAGTATTTTCTTGTGCATAGTAGTCTACCGCCGAATCAGGATTCTTCGTCGTTTCAGACACTCACGCTCTTTATTTTATTGTCTCAGCTCTCACACCACATCCGTCTAGTACCTGGACCCGAGAGATCATCATGGGCTGGTTCAGCGGTAGCTCGTCGCCAACACCGGCGCAACCTGCAAGTGGTGCGTATTGTCTATCTTCCGCCTACCTCTTTCCGCTTCCCCTTCCCTTCCCTTTTTCGCCCTTTGATATACGTCCCTCTAGGATGGATGGTCGAATGAAGACGAAGAAAGCCCAGTCAAAAGCTAATAGCCAAGTTCATGGATCTATAGTGTCGCAACCTTCTTCGCCGAGTAATTTGGCATCGGACCTTAAACCAAAGACGACCACTGCGTCGGGAGAAAAAGTAAAGGTACGTATTGCGTTGGGTGGTTGCTTGGGTACCCGGTCGAAGTGGAGGAGGTGTGACGTTTGAAGTATACGATCATAGAACCCACAACATACATCGTGCAGTGTGATGTGAGTGGGTGGCGTGAGGTGTGAGGTGTGAGATGTCGAGTAAAGAGAAGGAGGAGGAGGAGGCGGTGGTGGTGGTGGTGGTGGTGGTGATGGTGACGGTGGAGAAAACATGAGAAGAAAACGCAAAGGGAAAAAAGATTGAATGACATGTGCTAACACATTCTTTCTTCGGTCCTATTCTAGCCATGCTGCGTATGCAAAGACGAAAAATCCGCACGAGACGAATGTATGCTCTTCAGCAAGGCCGACGATCCGCAGGAGGATTGTAAGAGTTTGGTCGGCAAATACAAGGACTGCATGGCTGGGTATGGGTTCAGGATTTAAGAGTACCTAGACCCAGTACACTTTACTCTACCTTGTCTTGCCTTGCCTTGCCTTGACTTCCTTACCTACCTACCTGCCTGCCTGTCGACCTACCGGACTACCGACCGACTACCTACCGTTGTACTCGTTTTACTCAGGTGCTCAGGCACTCCCCGGGTATTCAACCTGGCTACTTACGGTGCGGTCGATGGAGGGTGGTGGAGGATGGTAGATGGGTGGGTGGACTCTATACGAACATCATGTACGGAGATTGCCCTGTCAAGAGACGGATGAATGATTCACGAAGAAGGGAGAAACGGGGGGAGAGGAAGATCGCACCTAGAGACAGGTACAGCGTGTACAACTTCCTCCAATACATTGGAAGTCTGGACATCGCCGACAAGACAAGACGAGACTGAGACTGATGCTGACACTCGGTGTGACATCGAAAAGAAAAACAAAACAAAACAAAACAAAACAAAACAAAACAAAAACAAAAACAACAAAATCAATACAGGTACCACACACCCACCCACACTCACAACTTAGTGACGACCACAACCGGGCTCGCAATACATGTATCACACAGATCGCGAGCGATGAACGGCGAGCGCCTTTGAAACAGCGAAAAGGAACAAGAGAGAGGACACCATACAAACCATGAAACCATGTACAACAGCCAACAGACAACAGTTCCATGTATATAAGTCTACGAGAAACCAAAGAGAACACGTCCCCCCATTTCGAAAGAGGCGGAAACATCTTGTTTAACGACTTCTGCAATCACCGGTGTAGGTGCTTACGTGCCCAGGTAAAGGTACCTTGGATACCCTGGGGAGGTTACCCAAGCTATACATACACGTCGACCTCGCACGCAGTACAGCACGGAGTATGCAGTACGCACTGGCTGAGTGCTTCTAGGTACATAGTGTATAACATCACCACTCATCAGACACGGCATACAGACCGACAGGAGCTACCTCCCTAATTGTTCATAATGTACCCGTGCAGAGCAGACTCCTACAGGTGTGGCATTGCCGTTACACACACTTGTGACACTCCTCACTCGCAGCATCACAAAAAGATACAATGGGTATCGATAGATCCATCTCCAGTGTCAAGGTGCAAATCAACATCTAGATTTACGTTTTGTATGTATTGTACAGACCGCCACAACCACAACACCACCACCACCAACCCTTTACAACGAATTCAACAAACTCTGCATGCCGACTTCGAGATAGTCGTCCCGCTTCAACAGGTAGGGCCTCAGGTTCTCTTTGCCCAGGTTCCCCAACACCGGCCCTCTGAGTCTCTCCTTGAGAGCGTCGGGGAGCAAGACGAAGACGCTCGCGAGCTCGGTCAAGACCTCGAGGCTCGCCGTGAACGAGTCGTCCAGGTCCCACGACCTCAGAAGCTGCACGTACCGGCTCATGTCGCGGGCCAGCATGACCCCTCCGATCCGGTTGACCTGGTACTTCGTGAAGTGCTGCAGGAGCTGGGCGCGGAACCCGACCGCGACCTCGGTGAGGAGGGCGTCGAGGTTCGCCCCGTCGAACGACCGCGACGCCGTCTCGTGGAACATGTCCAGAAACCGGCACACGCCGTCGCACGTCGGGGTCTGCGCCTGCTCGAGGGACACCACTTCCGTCTCGGCGCGGGGCCGGAAGTCGGCCCGGTTCTGGTTCGTGAGGAGGCGCGCGGACCAGTTGAGCACGCCGTCGATGGTCTGCTGGTCGATGGTGTTGATCTGGTCTTCGATGCGCGACACGGCGGCGCGCACGCTCTTTTCCATCTCCCGCCGCGTCGTGAGGCTGGTGCTCGCCAGCGGAGTGAGGAGCGTGGTCACGCAGCTCTGCACGAGATGGGTGATGTGGACCGCGCTGCGCAGGTTGCCCAGGTACGACAGGTCGGGCTGGTCTCTTTTGGCGTTCTCGGCGGTCGACGCGGCGTCGGCGGCCGCTTCCAGCGCGACTTCGACGTACGACTCGAGCAGGTTCTTGAGGATCAAGTTCAGCAGCGCCGCGACGTCTTTGGGCGTCTCGGCACCGCCGCCGAGTTCGAGACCTCGCCGCACGCCCTCGGCGAGCCATTTGAGCATCCGCTTCGCCGCGCCAACGTCGAGACGGCCGTCTTCTTCGGAAAATTCGAGGACGTCGGGTTGCGCCTTGTCGGTGTTCTTAAGACCGGCCACGGAGAGGAGGATCCGTTTCTGTGTCGGCGACATCTTTTCCAAGTCTAGGCTTTTAACGTAGGCGTCGGTGGCTTCTCGAGCCGATGCGAGGAGCTCTTGGCCGCGGTTTCGGAGAGATGCGAGGTACGTCCTGGGTTCCTTTTGTCGTCGCGAGTGGAAGAGCTGGAATTTGAACAGTAGGGATTTGTAGAGTTCTTGGAGGTTGTGCTTTTCTTTGTCGATGTATGCCGCCCCGCCCACGTACGGCGTGAACAGCTCCTCGAGCTGCTGGTCGAGGAGCAGGCTCGTCTGAGAAGTCACCGTCTCTGGGTGTTCTGTTAGACCGTGCGCTTTGAGTTCTTCTACCAAAGCGCTAATGTAGTTTCGTGCAGCTTGCAGAGATCGGAGGTATGCCAGGGTGGATTCCGACTCTGCTTTCTCCAGGACAAGTTCCAGTCTTTGTTGGATGGATTGTTGGAAGACTCTCTGCACGAATTTGCCCAACACCTGTTCGGGATAGGGGAACGCTCTCCGGATGGTTCCAGACTCCTCTTGCACGGTGACTCGGACATCGTCGATCAACGATTGCAGACCGGGCTCGACACCAGGCAAGTCGGCATCGGGATCTGACAATCTCACCCACGTCTCCTGATCTCCGCCGACCTCCTCCGTCACCAAGTTGCTTCTGTCGATGAAGAACTGATGTTGGTTGACGAAGGCGGCTTGGACTGAAGCGCCGCCATTGAAATCTTGCAAGACAATGGCGCAATTCTTCATCTCCTCAAAGTTTTGTCGACGGTAGAAGTCGTCGAAAAGCTTGAGCATGTCATTCTCCAAGGTCTCGATGAACTTCTCGATGACTTCTCTGGTGTCGAAATTGCGACTCCCCGTGACTCCGTTGGTGACGGGCCCTGACTGTGAGACCCCATTTGGTTGCGCCTGGCTTTTGGAATCTAGTCTCTGGCTTATTCTCAACAACTGTCGAGCAATGCTGGCCGCCCTAATCTTTCCCTCTCCGGTGCCAGACCTCCGCAGGTTCTCCAGGAGGGTGACTTCTCCTCTGTGGCTAACCTCGTCCCAACATTCGATTAGGAAATGTGCATCTAGCGCCCTCCTTCTCTGTCGATCCAGCTCTTCTAACCGACGTCCTGTCTCGACAGCAACGTTGCCACCCCATTTCTCTCCCCTCTCGGATTTCAGAGACGTGTCCAACTTTTGAAAGCTTTCGATGGTCTGGTTCAGCTTCCTTCCCAGAGTTTCTGTGTTGTTTGCATGTTGAGCCTCTGCTATTCTGACCGCGCCCGACAGTTCATTTTCACGCTGCTCGAGTTCGGCCGAAAGCTCGTTGAGACGCCTTGAGGCCTGCTCAAAAGTGCGAATAAGAGGTTTAGGATCGAAAGTGATCGAAGTGTCACCTTGTGACCGTCGATGCGAAACGTGCGTGCTCTCGGTCAGGGCCTCGATAAAGTCTTTTGCTATGAAGTCGCGGTTCGAGAAATCCTCGAGGTTGAACACGGGACCTCTGGGGAAGATGGACCGGGTGGTGGGTTGGTCCGTTGGCTGGGTCTGCCCGAAGTACTGCTGGGAGTCCATAGTGGTATCATGTGCGAACCATGGTGTTGATGCTCTAAGGGACTTGCGCTGAAATCAGCATGCTGGAATATAACCTCGAGCACGGGGTAGAGTGTTCTGCATGGTTCGCGAAGTACGTGCTGAGACGTGGAAAGGCTGGCGTAGTGAGCCTCACGAAAGTGTGGCTGACACGCTTTGCACCTCCGCAGCCACCGAGGGATCCGCCTCCACGTCTTCAGGCACACAAAAAGTATGCTACGACTCTACGAGTCTCCTGTTCTGGGCGAGTACTCTGTGCTCCATCTTCGACCCAGACGACAATGCAGCTATATCATGAAATCTCAAGGGCTGAGATGAATATACATAGCTACGCTCTCCAGTTGTGTGCAGCATCAGCCAAGGTCAATCATTAGTGCCTCAGCACCGTTGGGAAACTTTGTCTGCGGTTTATGAGGGACTCGGCAAACGTTGTCTGTCTACTCCGTACACGAGGTTGCCCAATCACAAGTACTACGGGTCTGTCATGGACCTGAAATAAGTTGGTTCGATTTCGAGAAGCCTGGATTGCGAGTGGTAGGGAGGACGGGAGAGATGGGCACTACTCGGTGTACATCCTTTTCGGGTCATCTCGAAGACTTGTACCGTACAGTACTTAGTGTCGTGTGAGGAACGTGTTCTTGACTCGTAGTTCTGGTACTTACTCGTATTAATGTACACTCCGAGTCAGAATCACGCTTTATCGAAGCCTCGGGGGTGGAATGACTTTTCTCCGTAGAACGACAAGCAAAGGACGGCACATTTTATCCATCAAAGCACAAGCACATGCTCCCTGGGAACATTATGGACCCAAAGATGAATTCAATCAAGAGCACATGTCTGTGCGGCAGAAGGAAGGACGGATAGAGCGGACAAAGTCGGTAGCCACATGGCGGCAGAGAACAGAGTTGGAGGGTCAATCGGTAGGGAGGGTGGAAGTGGGAGTGGAAGACTGGTGTCCGTCCACCTGTGCCATCCACTTGTGCTCCTCCACAGCTGCAGGACGGGCATCGCTGCATCGGTACGAGTACGAGTCGAGCGAGCGTCCCACTGGGACGGGTACAACTCATACAAAGCATCCGTAGTCTCGTACAGATACGGAGTAGGACGCAAGGGGCTTTTCCCATGTGCCGATGCCGCGGACCCAGACGCCGCCAATCGGGAACGGACATTTCAATTTGCACTTGGTCGCAGCATGTGATCACTGATCAGTCCGCATCCTCCACAATCTCTCGCTCTCGCTCTGGCTCTCGCTCTCTCTGGCACTGTGACAAGCAGAGTACAGGTATCAACTCTCCCTCTCTCTTCCTGCTCGTGCTCCCGAAACTCTTATCAATTACACTAGCCGACCTTGTTACTCCAGGTGGCACGCCTTACGGGTATATTGCGTTACTTACTTTACTGCCTTCTGCTGGCTCCCCATTGATTCTTCTCCCGCAACCGCAGATCTATTTCCCTTAACTACACTTACCACCCGTCAACCGTCTGCCCACCACACTCTCGGCCAGCTCACGATTCTATACTTCCTGTGATCTCGACTCTATTCACAGCGAGCCTTATTCTTCGCCTGTTTGCGACCAGTTTGCCATCCTCTGCGCCTGTCTTTACACCGCCATGCGATAGTTACCGCCGACCTCGGCACTTTCTCTCGTCCATGGCCTGTGACAGCGCGCAATCACTGCCTCACCACCTGGAATAATATCTACCCACAGCATTCAGCCTCAGCATGGATTCACAGTCGCCGAATCCTCCTTACGCCGTCCCTCCTCCATTCTCCCCTCCTCTGCCCGCCAAACGCTCCTCCACCGACACGCACAAACCCACCTCGGTCGACGTCGACATGATGAGGTCAGAAGAGCGCTCGACGAGAGCCGCCAGTGTATTATCTGGAATGTCTGCAGAAGATATGGAGGCTGCCGAAACTCTCAGCGGCCTGCACCAGAGTCTGTATAGCCCGTTATAAGCACCAGACCTTGCACTTTGACTGACATGTGACATCAGAGTATCATTCGCCCTCACACTCCCAGCCTGCTCCAACTCTTGTACAAACGCAAACCACTTTCGGCTCCGACCAGCCTGAGCCCCTTCTCCGTCTCTTCACCAGTCAGTACCCACTCGCCGGAAGTCTGATCAACGGCTCGCTGTCGGCCTACAAAACGACGCAGTCATACATTCCAGGTGCCGAATGGACAGAAAGAAATGTTGGTCTCCCAATAGCAGGCACAGTAGCCAGAATATCAGGCGTCGAGGGAGGGTTGCGATGGGCTCTACAGCCGAAGCGCGGAAGCAGGTCTTCGACGGCTGCACCACAGACACCAGACGTGGAAAAGGGTTGGGCAGATATTGCTCCAAACGGCACCCAGCGGTCGAGTGGTGACATGACATACAGTGAGACACTACCTGCTTATAACCCTGGCGATCGGTCACCTCCATACTCTGAGAATCAAGTTGCGCTACAGTCCCGCGATCAGCAGTCGCCCGCGAATTGGCGACATCAGCTTGTCATTTCGACCAGCGGCCTCGGCATTGCCATGAGCGACGAGTCGATCCGAAGTCTGCGTTACTGTCTGAGCTGGCTCCGCTGGGCAAACGGCCGACTGGACGAGGCCATTCAGAATTTGAAGAACTTGCTCCAGAGGTGGGACGAAGGAGCCACTCCCAACGAACAAGCGTCGCCAATGTCGGTGGCGAGCATCACAAATTCGTCAGAGGAACAACGACAGGCGGCGTTGTTGGCGCGGATTTCTGCCTTGAAAGCCGATGTCCTTCAAACACTGAAGCACGTGGTTGGCATCGTGTCCAACTATGCCGGCGGTGCTCTTCCACAGAACGCCAGAGACCTCGTGCACAGACATCTGATCAGCTTGCCCCAGAGATTCAACCTCGCCAACATGTCCGACAACGACTCATCGAACGGTACCGATGGAAGCATGTCGGAAGCCGCCAAGAGCGGAAGACGAGTCATGGTCCTCGCGCAAGAGGGTCTTGACATGATGACACAAGTCAGTCGCGTCGTCAACGACACCTTGGTTAGTGCCGAGGGATGGTGCGAGAGACTCGGTCGCCGGGCGGCCAGTGGTCAGCCACAGTCTCAGATCGGAAGTATCGATGAGAAAATGGACACTGATGACCGACAACGCAGTGTGAGGAGTGAGACGCTACCCCTGATGGACGCTGAAAAGGGTGACGTGAACATGCAAATGTAAATGTACCAACATTAGTTATTTATGGGTTGAATATGAAAAGGGTAAAAAGGGCGGATATTGTGTGGAAAAGAAAAACGTCATGAATCGACTTTTGACTCTGTTTTCCCTTTTCAGATTCCTTACATGTTTGTTTTCGTGTCCATCTCTTTTGGTGTGTGAGGGAGTGAATGAGTGAGTGAGTGAGGGAGTGAGAGGGGATAGAAGAAAGAGCTGTCAAGCCGTGAGTTTGAGTTTGAGTACGAGCTAGAGCGAGAGCAAGAGCCGAAGCTAACTTAGAGCGTGGACTCATGACCAAAAGAATGCCCAGTTGTTTTCAGATAAGATTTTTCTTGTTGGGACACGGACTTTACTTGTGTCCTTATTGTCTGTGTCAGAGAAGGTTCTTTTCTTTTTGCTCTCTGGACATGAAGAATCAAATGATCATCGATGAAGATACTGACTGTCGGGTACGACGACGACGACGACGACGACGAGGAGGAGGAGGAGGAGGAGGAGGAGGAGGAGGAGGAGGAGGTATCTGTACATCTGTCTAATAGATATCTATCTACATACCTACCTACCTGGGTACCAACCGGATGCCTAGGTTACCTATCTCACATACCCTGACACTGATAGTATCTTTACGTGGCTGTTCTGGAACCTTTTCGGTTTCGATACGGGTGCCCACCCAGGTATCAAATCTACCTACAGTACCTCCTAGATAAATGTAACGTTGGCGCCAGGCGTCAAAATGCCGATGACAACAATGACTGCCTGTGGTTGAACACCTGACATACACAATCACCATGACGATAATGTTGACGATGATGATGATGACAGTGACGATGACCACGACGTCTGTGACCCGACCACGGTGGTTGTTGTCGATACCCAGTCTTCTGCTGTGGTATCATTGCTGTCATTGTCGTCGTTGCCCTCGTCGTCCTCATTGTCCTCATCGTCCTCGTTGTCACCGTTGTTATCGTCGACATTATCGTAGTCATCATCAGTGTCATCGTCGTAGTCGTCATCGTCGTGATTGTCGTCCAGCACAAAATTCCCCATTCGTCCATATGGGTAAGTCCAACGTGCCGGCTCATGGGTCCTCCGCCACTGCATCATGCGCGCATTCTCCCTTGCCACGACTGCCCTGTTCCGGGCGCGAGCTTCCTTGGAGATCTGGAACATTGGCCGTGGCGGTAACCCCCTCTTCAACGGGACCAGATCGTTGTCGACGAGAGGACGAACACCGTCACCGCCATCGCCATTACCATGACCATGACCATCGCCAACGATGATATCAGCACTACCGCCGAAGCGTGTAGGCAGGACACCTCGTGCGTACCGCACGGCTCTCGAACGCGTGATGCCGGGCTGCACTACGGCAGGAGGACGTGTCAGCATCCCTTGCCGAACGGCCGTGGTGATGGTTTCGTCCACGTTGAAGTCTCGGCGCTCGTCATTGCCAGGCCGACCGTAGGAGAACCGCCTACTTCTAGTTCCAGAGGGCGTCGGTGGAGGAGTCAAGGGGAGTGAAACGCCAGACACATCGTCGACGTCGACGTCGACGTCGATTGTCTCCACGTGGGTCTTTGATGACCTGTTGCTTGCGGGGGAGGTGGAAAAGGTAGAAGTATCGCGGCACCTGTTGAACCTGGCAGAAGACATCGTGGAAAGAGTACGACGGCTGTCGGTCGGTCGTGTGGTATTGGTTTGGGGCTGCCGTCAAGAATAGACAGATACAAGATCAACGGTGTGCTTGTATGGCCGATAGTGATCTTACTGGTACTGCCGCTGTCGTTGGCAAAGATGTACGTGCTTTTCGAGAGTGAGTGTGTCGGTCGTGTTCGGTAGTGCAAAGGATAACACGGAAAAGACAAGTCTTGATGGGATGGAAGTTCCCCCAGAACGGTGAACCTAAGGCAATGCTTTCTGCTCTGTTTAATGACTGCGAAAGAAAATGTATTCATGTGAACGTGATAAGGGCAGTAGATGTAGAGGAACTGAGGAGGGTATGGGCCTTTTCTCTCCAGGTCCTCATGGACCACGGGGATCAAAAAAGTCAAAAACCATGAGGACCTTTGACCAGTAAAGATTGGTACCCGAAGGATACTGGCCCTCTGACAAGCAAGACTCATTTTGGTGCTCTCAAGAGACAACATACGACGCTGTGCCATGCACTGGCACTGTGCTGCCTTATTAAAGGTTGATGGTATAGGGAGGAGTAGCTTTCTTTTTCTCTGCCTTCTCCTTTTGTTCGCTTTCCATGAGACAGAATCTCTTGGTGACCAGAAGCACTCCGATGATCATCGGCAGTCCACTTACCGTAGTTCATGTTGGTCAAAAGGAGAGAAGAAACTCGAGCTCCTGATTTTCTCCTGATGTGCAGATTAGATATATGGTTGGCTTGGGGGCGAAGAAACCTCGAGGCCGGCGTTTGTGCTCAAGGCTTTGTTGTCACCATCACACCGCCGACTACAGGGTTCCACGACTGTCTCGGCCCATTGATGGAAAGCATCGTCCCTCGGACTGGACGTAGTCTGACTTCCCTGATCAGTTCCACAGCATGTGTTTTCTGACGCGCCTGATCATTCTGGTGGAACGGTATCTGTCGGTACTGACTGCAGGCTCACGACGTGCAAGGCTGACCATTTCTTGAATTTTTGGTACGAGAGATGACACGGGACTCGGGACTCTAGAACAAGTGAAATGGGTACTCGATCTCTGTAGAATGATGATTACGGAATACATATCGATCGGACACAACTGGAGCACGACGTTGAGATGCGAATAAACATTTTGGCCATTCCATATTTCCCGAGGATCATCCATCCACTCGCCATCCACCGCAGACTATTTAGTATTGGGAAGAGTTACGACACGGACTTTACACTACTACGAAATGATCATCTTTGACGGGAGATCTGAATTCTCCATCTCTTACCCACATCTACCTGAAAATGATGACCTCCTTACTCAGTCTAGATCAAGCGAGGCGGGAACGGCCTCGAGTCCTTTCCACTCAACAGTGCCTTCTCCTGGCGTATTGTTCTTGCTGGATCTGGACAAGATGAGAAGCAATATCCAAGGTACCTGCTCAACAGACATTCTTCTTCTCTACCCAGGGAAACTCTTCACATCACTGTCCTATTTGTCCTTTGTCCAAAAGATGTTTTGATTTTCGGCTCCGCTGTCCACTCTTTCACAAACTTCTCTCGAGGTCACATTATCCCGCTTTAGGGACCGTTGCTTTTCGTTGTCTCAGTACCTCATTATCATATCAGCGACTACTTCGATCCGAACAAAAAGATGGCGTTCAGACTTGACCCTCGCGGAGATCTTCCTCCTTCTAACATTCTGCCGGCCTCATACTACTCCGATCGTCGAGCCACCACGTATACCATGCCCTTCAAGAAGCACAAGCAAAAGCCATGTTATGACTGGATCTTCTCCACGGCATCCAATGTACACATAGCTGTCGACCATGCCGCGTTCAAGACGTACATGCCTTTCAAGTCATACGTCCTCACAGTCGCAGATCAAAGCCATGTATCAGTCAAAGGCATTGGTTCGGTCGAGCTCAAAATCCGACGGGCCCCCGGGAGTAAAGACAGCCACACAATCTTCCTGGAAAATGTCCTTCACGTACCAGATTGGATGTGCAACATCATCTCGGACATTTGTTTGGAGCCAGCAATGACTTACGAACACACCTGGACAGAATTCGGAGTGAATTTTTTCAAGAAAGACAAGGGTGCCTTCCGACCGTGGGGCTACACCGAGAACTTCTGTGGACTCGATCGCCTCGTACTGTCTCACAACAAGCGAGGACATAGTCCGATGTTGGAAGATCCTGATCGGGAGGTTTTTTCCGTCAGCGTGATGTGGCCACAAAGCCAAAAGGACAGATGGGTTCTTTCTCTCGTGGGAGACATCACGTCGAATATCGACCGCGACGAGCGTGTCTCCAGAAGAAAGAAGATGGGTGAAGAGGTGAGCGGCGGCAAAAGAGGCTCCAAAAGCGTCACGATGGAAAACTCAAAGTGGAAGCTGGCCCCCGACACAAACAGGATCAAACAGTCCGCCAGTGCCATGATTGAGGGCAGTAAAAGACCAGAGTTGTTGCCAAGAGGTTCAAGTCTGATGCTGGAGAGCCACATGTGATGATCTCGTGCAATGGCAAAATTAATGATTCGACCGTCATGCGAGAGAACAAGCCTTCATTACTTTCCGGCCGACACGAAAATCAGTCATTGTACGTTGCTGGGGGTCGATCGCAGCCGGTATGGTAATTCCCTTGTCGAGGTCATCGTACAGGAACATAGGATGACGAACGATTATGATAGATTAAACAACAATTGAATCAGTGTATCAGTCGTACTTCCTTCCCAGGCTCCCACTCATGCAAGCCCTGCTGTAAACTGCGCCAGTAATTCAGACGAATACATTCCGTCTTTGCTAACTGGACATCTTCTTTTTCGAAGGCTTCTCCAAGAAGTTTTATCGTTTCATCTATCCTTGCTTGGTTCTCGTCCTTCAAGGCATCGATCTGTTCTTGAGTTTCGGCTTCCTCGATCGCCTCTTGTGCTTCCATGACTTCCATAAGCGTCTGGTGATCCGTCAGACCGCTGTGCGTGCTGTTATCCTCTGACGTGATGTCGACGCCATAGGTGTGGTGCAAGAGATACCGCGCACGTAGCAGCGGGTCCGACAGTGTTTTGTATGCGCTGTTTAACAGGGAGGACAGCGCCATGGCCTTCTGATGAGCGGTGGGCCGGGAGGTGTATTTGTCAGGGTGGTGTTGGGATTGGAGGAGTAGAAATTCGCGCTTCAGCTGGGACAAAGGGATATCGAACGGCCCGTGGGGTGGAGGACCCGTGGAAAGAGTATTCGGGAAGACTGTGTAATAGTTCGATATGTCGGGTAAGGGAGGGGCGCTGTCCGGGTCGCTGCTACTGCTGGAGCTGGCGGTGGCAGCGGACGAGGCCCCTTGTGAATCCTGCCATCTTACGGAACTCGCGCTGATGGCTCTGCTTTGGTGACGGGAGGGATATGCGATGGCACGAGGGAGAGGATGTGAGGAGTGTGAATAAAGTCTTTGCGACGCTGGCCCGACGGATTCGACGAGGGAGGATAAGCGACAGAGTCGTCGAAGGTGGCGCAATGTCTGTCGCGTGGGCGCGGTAACTGACATTGTTGGGTCTCAACTTGAGTTTTTGACGGTGAGGACTTCTACGACAATCGCGCAGCTGTACGAGGAACGCGTAGTAATGGTTTTTTTGTAAGAAATCAACTAGGTATATTCTGAGGTGAGAAACGGCGACGTCATCGGGAAAAAGAATTCGCCGCTATCGGAGGTTTAGGACCGAGGCCGATTTCCGATTGTTCATGCCCGTTGCTGGTTTAAGATTTCATGAGCAGAGATACTGAACAGCGGCGGTCAAGGCAATGGCGCCGCTCTTCCTCATGTCTGTGTTTCTGTCTGCATTGATGTTGAAGGTACAAGGATCTGTGACACTTGGGTTCTGAGTCAAGTACTTAGGTGATCAGCCGTAGGGGACCCCTTGTCCCAGAATTCTGGGGGTCGCTCCAACGACTCTTGTTAGGCCTGTAAAGCTTAGCACCTCGGCCGCGAAGGGGCTTGCAGGAGGCTAACTTAGTAGGTGTGTCCCTCACAGGCTTCAGCTGAAACCCAGAGGATCCCACACCTTTCCCAGCTGAAAGAGCCCCTTTCGACTGCGAAAAGCAGCACCAGTATGCCGCTAAAGCCCGATCCCTTGCTCGCCATCTTGGTGGAGGCGCAGTCCAGGCGAGGTCCCGAGTGGGATGAACCACCTGCAGGTATGTCCTAGGAACTATTACGAGACTCGTGTGTGGTCCTGGAGTACGTACATGCATTGAGAGGATTCGTCTACGTGGCCGTTAGGCGGTGACAGACGATACGGTAGGTATCCTAGTACGATGATGACGTCGCCTTCGTCACCACTGCATCTGCCGTGATGTCCATTCAGCTCAAGTATAGCCGGCACTGTTTCATCTTGATTCAATCATTTATTTACTGTAATTCCTGAACCATCCTCGTTTCTTCAACAAACCCTTCTTCCTCTTCTCGCGAAATCGTCCCAACAACTTCACCCCAAGCTCAAGATGTCCTACAACGACGACCGACGTGAATACGGTGGTGGAGGCCGCGATGGTGACAACTACTATGATCAAAGCCAACGATATGACGATGGCCCACAGCGTGGTGAAGGCTACGGCAGAGACTCTGGCCGCGACAGCTATGGACAGCAACAAGGCGGTTACGGCGACAGTGAACCTCCTCGTCACCATCGTCGCGAGAACGAAGGCGGATATGGCGGCGGTGGTGACCGCTACGACCAAGGAGGATACGGCGGTGGCCGCTCAGACAACTACGGCAGTTCAGGTGGCGGTCGCGATCGTTACGATGAAGGAGGATATGGTGGTGGTGGTGGTGGTGGTGGTGGTGGTGGTGGTGGTGGTGGTGGTAATTACGGCAATTCCGGGAGCGGCGGCGGTGATCGTTATGATGAAGGAAGACACGGCTCTGGCAATTACGGTGGCTCGGGTGGTGGCTATGGTGGTGGCGCCGGTGGAGGAAACGCAGACTTCGACGAGGATGAGATTGTGCGGCACAACCAACGACATGGCAATTCCGAGGATGAAGGCCTCTTCTCTCAAGCCCTGGGGTTCCTCAACAATCACAAACAGAGTGCTCAATCAGAAGATCTCGACGAAGGCAGAATCCAACAAAGCCACCAGCAACTCTACCAGCAGGGCGGTGGTGGCCAGCAACATGATGCCTCTAGCCTCGGTGCCGGAGCTGCAATGCAGGCATTGAAGATGTTCTCTGGTGGAGGATCTGGCGGAGGGTCTGGGGGTTCACAATCCCAGATGATTGCCATGGCAATGCAAGAAGCATCGAAGTTGTTCGACCAACAGAGCAGCCAGGGAAATGTTTCGGGCGGTACAGACAAACAGTCGGTTGTCAACTCAGCTGCCAAATATGCCCTACAGATGTACATGAAGAGCCAGGGCGGTGGGAGCGGTGGTGCCTCTGGGCTGATGAGCCTGGCCAGCAAGTTCTTTTGAATTGCTGCAGTGTGGCTATCCAGGTACCGATGGTGGGTTATCGAGGCTTGACTCGGCAGCCGGGGAAAATATGGAATTGTTGTTGGGCCCGCAGAGAGAGAATCTTTATGGATTTGCTGTATCCTGTACACACCCCGTCAATATTCCTCCACACCCTGGCGAGAAGGAATCTATAACTATCTGGGATGAACAGAACGTTAACACGTGCTTGAGATTGTACCCGACTCGAGACTTATGTATACCTTTTGTCCTTCGTATTGTATGTAGAGGCGATGTGGAGAATAAACCCTGCGTAAAGGCCAAGCTTAGCTCGACTTCTCCAAACTGCGACTCCTGATCGTCATAATCTTGTCCTGGCATATTCTATTCCTCGCTTCACTTCTGTCCTTCCACACCAAAACGTGTTCAACAGCATGCGTGCTTGACGAACGTAGGCCCATGTTCATATACTAGTGCACGCATCATTGCTCTTCTTTGCCGCTGGGAATTAATTTTCAGCGACGTGTCAGCCTCGGGTCCTTTGGTGGTAACGACAGCCTCAACACTCTGAATCTCCGAGATGCGTTGAAGCAAAAATCAGATCGAAAAGCCTTATCAAACCACTCTGAATTTGTTTCGACGCCGTCGTCCTAGACATGAACCAAAATCCCAACGATCACTGGCGTGGGCCAGGAGGTCCTGCTCAAAACGATCCCCAAGGGCGACCCTTTCCAAGCTATGGGTACGTATTTTCTCCCTCACCTCAACATTCACCGCCGCCTTTCTTTTCTTTGCGTCTCAATGACCCGTCGACTGACTCGAACTGCTGAATCTGTAGCGCCAATGGTCCTGGTCAACCGCCGCCTCATGTCTTACCTCCTCCTGCCTCGTATCATCAACATCACTCTCAGCCTTCCTCGAATCACAGCCTTTCGATCGCGGATTTGACTCAGGGACCGCCCAACCACTCTCAGCAGCATCAGTACAATACTCAGCCTCCGCCACCGCAACCTCAAGGCCATCCCATGGGCCATTTGGGACACTCGATGACCCAACACTCACCTCAATATCTTGGCCGGGACAGAGATATGCGGGATCCTCGCGAGCGGGAGTTGCATGAAATGAGGGAAAGGGAAAGAGAACGAGAAAGAGAGATGCAACGACAGAGAGACGAATTGATCATGCGCGATCGCGAACGGGAGCAAATCGAGCGGATGCATTCTGAGCAGCGAGGCCCTGTACAGAGCCATGCGGGATCAATCCCGATACATCAGCCAGTGGCTTCAAAGGTGCAAAACTCGATACATGGTCCGAATGGTCTGCTCGCGAACGGCGGTGCTGGTGCCGTGCAGCACAACTTGCCACCTGTGACCGTTGGTGGCAGTCTCTTTGGTGGCGCTTCCCAACATGAGCCCCAGAGACCTTCTCAGTACATGCACCAACAAGGCGGGGGACCTCCTCAGCAGCAAGCGCAATCTTTCATGCCTGGACCGTCTCCAATGCCAGCTCCTGCGCAGCTCGCTCACGGCCAGCAGCCGATTTTGAACGATGCGCTGAGCTACCTCGATCAAGTCAAGATGCGCTTCAACGAACAGCCTGATGTCTACAATCGCTTTCTAGACATCATGAAAGATTTCAAGAGCCAGGCTATTGACACACCAGGTGTGATTGAGCGCGTGTCCAATCTTTTCAATGGTCACCCAGCTCTGATCCAGGGCTTCAATACTTTCCTTCCTCCCGGGTATCGCATTGAATGTGGGACGGACGACAACCCAGATGCCATTAGAGTTACTACACCCAGTGGCACAATGACGCAATCGCTTCAGAGCAGAGGGCGTACGCATTTTGAACCTGCAGGAGTTGCCCCGGTTGCCCAACCCGCGTCAGGCCGACAAGATACCTTCGAAAATCGACATGGGTGGGGACAGCCCCTGGGAGCTTCGCCAGGTGCTAGGTCTGCTGAGCTGGCGCCTTTCAAGAATGCACCAGGGGAGAGACAAGTCGAGGAAGCCGCCAACACCATGGGCCAGCAAGACCAACGCGGTGTCTCGACACTGCAAAGTGCAGTTACTGCCGTGACCAATGGGTCTGCGAGACCATCCCTGGCAGTCTCGCCGGGACCTGGCCAGACTGGTCCATATAATCAACAAGCCGGTTCCTTTGGTGGCAATGCTTCCTTGGCTGATGTGAAGCAGCGGGGTGGTCCGGTCGAATTTAACCATGCTATAAGTTATGTGAATAAGATCAAGGTTTGTTCAGTGACGCCGCTTTGGAGTAATCTGCTAACTTGCTCCGTAGAACCGGTTTGCCCAACAACCTGAGATCTACAAGCAGTTCCTTGAGATCCTGCAAACATATCAGCGAGAATCCAAACCTATCCAGGATGTGTATGCTCAGGTTACCCAATTGTTCTTGTCTGCTCCAGATCTTCTCGAGGACTTCAAACAATTTTTGCCTGAATCGGCAGCCCACGGCAAGGCACAGGCTTCTAGAGCAATGGCGCAAGAGGACCAGGCCAGCAATGTTCGAAACGATGCAGGCTATGCTGCTGGCGCACTTCCTCAAGCGCAAACACCTCGACCTACCTCGAAGATGCCGCCAATGGGCCAATTCGATCCACCTAGCACCAGCAAAGACACCAAGAAGCGTCGTGGCGGACCGGGGGCTACTCTAACCAACCAAAACTCAACTCAGTCGGCCGCTGATACAGGTCTTCCGCAAGGAGGACGAAGTGGCCTTGTTCAAGTTGGCAATGTTAATAAGGTATGTTCCATGACTGCTCCTGCCTTGTATACTTCGCACCTCGATATCCTCTGCCAACAGCGTTCCGTTACGTCCTTTACACTGCATCATGCATTAAAGTTGCTCCGTCTTCCTATTCTCAACCCTAGTTCAATATGGTATGCCACATCGCTAACTGCAATTTGAAGCGCCCTAAACTCTCCAATCAACGTCAGCCTCCTGCCGATACTATTTTGGCCTCTCCAACCCTTGTGCCTCAGTTGCCCGAGCCTTTGCCACCGTTCCCCAGTGCATCTACTACTCAGGAAGAGCTTGCGTTCTTTGATAGAGCCAAGAAACAGATAGGGAATCGGACGAGTTACAATGAGTTTCTGAAACTCACCAATCTCTATACTCAGGACTTGATCGACAAGTATACTCTGGCCGACAGAATGGGAGCATTCATCGGAGGCAATGTTGACCTCATGAATTGGTTCAAACACTGGCTTGGTGTTGAGGAACAAGAGGAAGTCATCGAAGCCCGCATACGACCAGATCCTGGCCGAGTTAATCTGTCCCATTGCCGTGCCTTGGGCCCCAGCTACCGTCATTTGCCAAAACGCGAACAAAACAAGCCTTGCAAAGGCCGGGACGGCATGTGCTACGAAGTTTTGAACGACGTCTGGGCATCTCATCCCACATGGGCATCCGAGGACTCTGGATTCGTCGCGCATCGCAAGAACCAGTATGAAGAAGCCCTGCACCGTATAGAAGAAGAACGCCACGACTATGATTTCCACATCGAGTCATGCCAGCGCACCATCCAACTCATGGAGCCGATTGTCCAACAAATCGGTGTCATGAGCGAAGCAGATCGTGCAGCATTCGTCTTGTCGGAGGGTCTCGGCGGCGCAAGTGCAGCCATCCCAAAGCGAATCATCATGAAGGTGTATGGGCGAGAAGTTGGTGCCCGAGTCATGGAAGAAATGTTCGCCCGTCCCACAGCCGTTCTTCCCATTGTTCTTGGCAGACTCAAGCAGAAGCTGGAAGAATGGAAACAAGTCCAGCGAGAATGGGAGAAGGTTTGGCGTGATCAAATCCACAAACAGTTCTGGAAAAGTCTTGATCATCAAGGCATTAACAACAAGAATCTGGACAAGAAGAACTTCCAGCAGAAATATTTGACAAGCGATATTCAAGCCAAGTATGAAGAAGCCAAGAAGAACCGCGAGAATGGAGTCTCCACGAAGAGACATCAACTGGAATATGTATTCAGTGACCTCGACGTGGTTATTGATGCCTCACGCCTGGTACTGGCTTCATTGGAAGCCAGCAATGCACAGTACAACAGCGGAGAACAGGAGCGTATCCGGGGCTGGCTAACCGATTTTGTCGTTCGATTCTTTGGTCTTGACCCAGATAAGTTTCACGAATTGGTGGATTTTGAAGCCTTACGCAGCCATGAAAACGACGAAATGGTCGATGGCCACGAGAGCGACAGCCACCCTCCTGCCAAAGGCAAAGCTAGGAGCAAGTCCGACTGGCTTAGGAGGCAGGCACTCGAGCGGAGACGTGGCAAAGAGGACAGTGTTGCATCGGGCAGTAAAGAATCAACCCCAATGCCGGGAGCACTTAGTGAGATGGAAGTCGACGATGACACCCCGATCTCAGACATCGCGGACTCGCCCCAACGTCCTTGGATCAACGTCGCTAATAACGATTTGTCTACTCGACACCTGGCAATGGACGAACCCTATCCGCACACGACCTTCAACCTTTACGCCAACGCAAACATCTACTGCTTCTTCCGACTTTTCGAGACCATGTACAGCAGATTGCTTGCCATCAAGAATAACGAGCCAAATGTCCAAGAAGCGGTCGCAAGGCACAAAGGCAAAGGCGGCAAAGTGAAGCCAGCGATTGACCTTCGGATGATTGACAAGGGGCCAGATTATTTCTTCTTCAATATCGAGGGGAAGCAGAACTACTATAATCAGATCCTCCAGATGTGTGAAGAGGTCGTTCTCGGCACAGGGGAGCTTTCTCATCTCGAAGAGACACTCCGACGCTACTATAACAAAAACGGATGGCAGCTCTACGGAGTTGATAAGCTGGTTGCAGCTATCCTACGCTTCGTCATGAATATCCTTGGTGGAGACGCGAAGGACAAGAGCGTCGAGATCACCAATTTGTTCATGAAGGATCGCGAACGGTCCGAGACGACTCGTAAACAAGAAATTCAATACCGCAAGCAGGTTGAGCGGTTGTCCAAAGATGCTGAGATCTATCGCATCAGCTATGTGAGTTTCCTACGTTTGTGCTTCGGAGCTTCAACTAACACCCTGCGAAATAGACGCCTAACAATAGGCTCTGCACTATTCGCCTGTTCCCATCAGAGGATGCCACCTTTGACAGCGACACCTTGTCTGACGATGCACGCTGGCAGTATTATGTCGCAGCGTATACCATGACCGATGCCACTGAAGGTGTAGACCAATCACGTATGCGTTCGCCCTACGTGAAGCGTAACATCGCTCCTCAGAACGCCAATATTGAGGCTGCATATGAAGAAGTCTACGGCGATCTTGATCACATCGATGAGCAAACGGCCTTCATCAATCCCGAGTCATACAAGCTCCTGCTTCAGAACGAATTTGGCTTCCTCCATCGAAGAGCTGTTGAGAAGATAAACTCTCCCGCTCCAAAGGCTCACGAGAGTGAACGATTCCGGGAGAAGTTTGTGCGAAATACAGCATGGATGAAAGACCAGCGAGCCGAGGATGTGGAACGAAGGAAAGCTGCCTGGGAAAAGGGTGTCAAAGAAGGCTTTCATAGCAATGAAGATTGATGGTATGTAGATGACATGAGCAAGACTGAAAAATGAATGGCGTTGACCAAGGGATTACTCCCAGCGGGTTATTGCTGATGGATTGAGTGGGTTGTTGCACCTAGTAACGACTTGACAGTTGGTAAGCTCTGCCGGCTCGGTAGAAGCGTCTTCGAATAGCTCCTCCAAGGCTGGATGTAAACAACAGGGCTTAAGGTCTAGAACAACATTGAAACAAGCACAAGATTAGACCCGGTGCAGTCTTTATCAGAGAAATGACAGTTTGACAGATGCCGGTTGTTGTTGTGACTTCGGAAAGACCTTGCTCGACAGCAGATGACGTCGGAACGCATAGATCACCCTTGGCTGTAGTAAGCATCACAGCGCCTATCGTGCCCCGTCACGCCACTGACGGACCAGGCTGAATTTTCGAAAGAAGATGATAAACATGATGACGACTACGGAGTAGTAAGACTTAAAAAGTCCCAGTGCGATTCTGGACCCAAGTCAACGAGATAATGCAGACAGTCCCGTGCGCCGTGGACGATAGTATACACTACATCAGGTTCCCCTAGAGCGGATTTCTTTTCCCCCAGAGCGGAATTTTAAGATTGTTCTAGTTCGTGTCCATCTACACCTGTCTGTAACCATGGTAGACTTGTTTGGACCGGTAAATTGCATCTTTCTGTAATGAGAACAGTAAGTTGATCAGGCGAAGCCACGAGCCTCTCCAGTCTCGAGGATGGGGGAAGGTTACGTGATTTTCTCACCGAAACGATCGAACTTGTTGACTTGGGCAATCCCACCGTGCCGATCAGTACTCGAAGTCGTCTGGGCAGCCAAGGTTGCAAAATGTGTGCTAACTCAAGTCTACACCAAGACGGCAAGGCTGCAAAAGGCCGCATCTTGCATGAGCCGGGAAATTGGTATCGAGGACTACTGCGGCTAGAGACACTGACAGTCTGGCAGGTCAAGTACCGAAGAGCACTGACAAGGCACAAAGAACTCACAAGTTGTGCAGTGTGCAGTCCGGAGTAGAGTATGCAAACTGTGGTGGCCGGGCAGGATCGGATGAATAGTATTCTAGGTCCTCCGTATACTTACTGTACGCAAGCATCCGTATGGAGTGCGAGTCCACGCGGCTACAGGTAACGTCAATTTCGGTGCGCGGGGTCGTTCTACGGTGCCAGCCTACAATGCCTTCTCTACACCAGTCCATTGACGTGGCGACGGAATGGGCGGAGGGGCAGACAGAGGCCAAGGAAGAATTTGGCGCTGTGCAGCTTGGAAGAACTCGGCAGGAGTTTGGTTGGGCCTTTGATTCCTTATGAAGGTGAAATGAAGATGGAGTTCAGAGACACAGCCAATCTTAATGGTGTCAAACCAAGCTTTGCTCTTGTCCCGAAACAGTTAGTTTCCGCCGAGTTAAATCTCCGCGTGCCACCAGTCGCGACTTGCAACTCGCCCCGGCGAGCCCCTTTCAAGTTTCTTCGCGCCCCCTGGAGAAGCTCGGCTTTCTTCTTCGTCGCCTTGTCGTCCACCACTTACGTTGTTCCCTGGAGAATCGTCTGCTCTTTGCCCCTCTTGTTTCTACTGCTTGCATGCTACTATCCGCCCGCCCAGCTACAATTTCCGTGCTTTCCCCTCCCAGATCCGACTGCCTTTGCCCCCTTTCACTGGTCGTGCGCCTCGATTGCCTCATCTTGCATGCAGGACACGCCTCTCCTCCAGCGTTTCAGACCCCTGTCCCTAGCTTCTTGTCGTCCAGAGGAGCCTTGCGCGGTACTGGTCAAACCTTCTCTTTCATGTCTCTTGCCGCGGGTGTAGAGCCATGGCCTTGTGCATGGTTGGGCATGACAATAGATTCATGGTCGTCTTGTATGACGATGCCGCAGATTAGTAGCAGCGCTGATCCAATACCAACGGGAGGAGACCAAGAGGACGATCAAGCCAGTCTGGCCATTCTCGCTTGTTTTGATCAGCATCCTTGTGTGCTTCGTCTCTCATCCACACGAAGCTCCCTCGCGTGTGTTGGAGGGCCATCCCCTCGTCGTAGTCGTTCCGGCTTGAGAATCAAACTCTTCTCTAGGCCATCGACCATTCCCAAACTACTCGCGCTAAGTTAGAAACTCTTGGTGGGAGATGGACCGCTTGCTCGCAAAACCGAATGGAAAATGCTCCATCATCTCATTTAGCGCGCAACCCTCTTCGGGCCCATCGTAAGGCGGGTCCCCCATCCCAAAGGTTGCTTTGCTCCTGTGGCTCCGTGCTGTCAGCTATATGCAGACGATCACGTCGTTCACACACTTCTCCTCTCTTTCTTTCGCAAGGCTTGCCGCATGTCCAACTGAGGTCTGTTACCGCTTCGCTTCGCCTTCGGCCTTTTGCCTACAATTCTCCCACTACCGCGCCACTCCTTTCGCGGGCATTCGTTTCTCGACTGAACATACGCATCGGCAACTCGCAAGATAGATTGCGCAGGAAATTATTGGGTAATATACCAGACGTTGGATATCTGAAAGGAACAAAATGAGAGCTGTTACAATTGCCGCTGCTGGTGCAGCTGTTGTCGGATCCGTTTCTGCTTCAAGCCATGTCAAGCACATGCACGCGAAACTCCACGCCGCTCGCGACACCTGGGCTGACTGGAATACGACCTCTACCACGACGACGACCACCACCACCACAACGAAGTCCGTAGACCCTGCCACCGCCACCACCACATCTGCCGTGGTTTGGGAGGATTGGGACACCACCACGAGCACTACCACCACGACCACGACCACCAGTGCTGCCGACCCTTGGGCGGATTGGGAATCTACGACCACGACCACGACCAAGCCTGTCGACCCTGCGACAACAAGCAGTGACGAGCCTTGGGTCGACTGGGCCACTACTGTCGACCCTGCCGATTCTTCCTCGACCGTTACCGTGACCTGGGTTGACTGGGAGTCGACGTCTTCTACTCCTGTTGAACCTGCCGCCACGAGCACTGAGACATGGGGTGACTGGTCGGCGGTTGAGGAGACCACGACGATCACTCTTGAATCAACCAAGACCGCCACCAAGTACGTCGAGGCTCTCACCTCCGGCCCTGCTGCCGTGACCAGCATTATCACGGCCACCGTTGTTCCGGAACTTAGCTCCACTGGCTGGTTTGGCTCTTCTTTGAGTCCTGCTGCCGAAAGCTGTGTGTTGGAGGTTTACACATCCTATGGTGCTGCTACATGTAAGTTGAAATGTGTCAGTGGCATGCTACGCACGATGCTGACCATATCTAGGGTACCCGACCCCTGGTGTCGCAACCACGACCACGACCGCCGCTACCACCACCACCACCACCACTGCTGTTGTCACCACCACCACCACCACTACTACGTCGACCACGACCATCACCACCACTTCTGCACAAGGCTGGGGCTGGGCTCCGGAATCCCCCATTGCTTCTCCCACTACCTCGAGCACGACCACTTCTGCTCAAGGTTGGGGCTGGGCTCCGGAATCTCCCAGCGCTTCTGCTACAATCGCGACCGGCGGCTGGGGTGGCTCTCCTTCAGCCTCGCCCTCAGGATCTGCCAGCAGCTCTGGATCGACTCCCAAGCCTAGCGGTGGCAGCGGCGGCGGTTCTTCCGGCATCACTGCCAACGGCAACTCGTGGGCTCTGACCTACTCGCCATACACCTCGAGCGGCGGCTGCAAGGACGCCGGCACGGTTGCCTCTGACCTCGCCATCATCGCGCAGAAGGGATTCTCCTCCGTCCGCATCTACAGCACCGATTGCAGCTCCCTCGAGAACGTTGGAACGGCCGCCCGCAACAACGGCTTGAAGATCATTCTTGGTGTCTGGATCTCATCCACCGGTATTTCTGGCGCCCAGGGCCAGATCTCCGACATCATCAGTTGGGGTCAATTCGATCTCGTTGAGCTGATTGTCGTCGGTAATGAGTCTGTCTTCAACGGATACTGCTCCGCCTCGGAACTTGCCGGCTTCATCTCCAGCAGCGCCTCGTCCTTCAAGGCAGCCGGCTACACCGGTCTGGTCACTACGACAGAGCCCCTTTCAGTGTGGGAGGATAGCAGCTCTGCCTCTGCCTTCCTCGGAGCTGTTGATGTTTGCGGTGCCAACCTGTACGCATTCTTCAACGCAGACGTCACTGCCGACAAGGCTGGATCGTTCATCCAGTCCGAGATCGACATCCTGAACGGTATCTGCGGTGACAAGGCAGTCTATGTCTTGGAGTCTGGATGGCCACACGCTGGTAACTGTAACGGTGCTGCGTGCCCCAGCCCAGCAAACCAAGCGACTGCCCTCAAGGGTATCCAGAACACCGTCGGTGCCCAGGTCGTCTTCTTGAGCTTCGAAGACGAGCCATGGAAGGCTCCTGGCCAGTTCGACGTCGAGCAATATTGGGGATGTGCCGGTGTCTTCTAGAGACTTTCGGTGGCATGACATTGGGAGGAGTCTCTCCCTTTTTCCGAGCATATTTGCAATTGGAGGGCGTGATATCGGTGACAGCAAGCAAGCGACACATGTTGATCTGCACAGACACACAAGACAGAATGCCCTGCATGTACAAAGAGGTTTCACTCCATGGCATTTGTTTTATACGAGGTTGAATTTTCAAGTATTTTACTTTGGGACAGTTATTTTTTTCTCCTTTCACGTACAATGTCTCAATAAGTCCTCCTACTTTGTACCTGCATGATGCCTGCATTTACCTATATACACCGCACTGAGGACGCCGTGTACACGGGTGGCTGATTGGAAGTTCCAAAAATCATGGCTAAGAATACACAACCTACGCGCCTCCGTCGTTCCACTCATCCTCAGATATGGGACTTGGCAGCCTATGCAATTCAGCATAAGAATACTGTCGTCGCCTGAGTAGGATCCTGGGGCTGATCTTCAATGTAGTGGGTGCCGCAAGTCAAGGAGGCGCAACTCAAAAAGCACCACGTTGTATCCACTTCGTATATCCTATTTCGACCTCGTCCACTCGATTTGCCTTTGTGTTCTTCAACAGAGCCTACTCTCTCCTCGACCCTGGTAAGTGCAGACAACGCATGAACGACAAGGTTGGTCTGCTGCCGTCGCATCCAGAGTGCCCAGCTCTCAACTCATCCCCTCCACCGAACATGCAGTCTGAACCGGCTCGACGTATCTCGGTGATTGGTCTTCTCTCATGCAATCGAGCTATCGGCTGTCGTTCGCGGTGCTCCTGACGGTGTCGCTTAGCAAAGTACCTGAATACGCGGTTGCCGTCCCCTCCTCTCGCAGTAAGTCGTCGGCGAACCACTGCACAGCCCCTCTGAGGAAGATCAAGGGAAACCGCTAGAGAGGGTACTGGAGCAGAGAACTTGACACCAGTCTTGCCAACGGATGCTGGTCGCCGCCATCCGCAGCCAGTCAAACCCCAATAAAACCTTCCTTGCAGCGTCCTTCTGCACGGTACATCACAAGTTATTGCAGGTGACGAGAAAAAGGCAACCAGGCGGCCACACTAACGAAGGCACCAATGCATCACGCTTGAATGGAAGAATTCATCGGACGCAAGAGTGATCAACGGGTATAAGACAGGCATGCTCACACTCGACAACATCATTTTCCTTCTGGTGCCTTCGCATCCTCTTTATCACCTTCGAACATGCAGACCAGGTCAGGCCTCGGGGAAACAAAATCGTACGGATCTTCACACCAATTGGCTCGCTAAACGATGCCCTCACTAAATTCCTCTCGAAGGCCAAAGGGCCTAAAACACCCACCGATCGCCGTCCACCCGGCCACTGCTTCTGCCGGGTCGCATTACGAGAGAGCCGATTCCTGCCGCAGAGCCGCATCCCAAGAGGAAAACAGTTGCTGCGTTCTTCGGTGAAAATCGCGGGCTCAAGGACTCTTATCGACCTTCTCCAATCAGCTGGACGCACTCGCTGGAACCGAATCCGAGGTGCTTCCTTTCCGCTCTCAGCACCTCAAACTCCCTTCCCACATTCGCCTCCTCTGGGCCGTTGAATGGTGATTCTCGTCAATCAATTAACACATTCGATGTGGGACTGGTCTTGCCAAAGACACTTGGTCGTAACATAGCTTTGAGATTCCTGGAATGATGGATCCCTGGGGTGGGCAACATGATGATGCCCTCCATCTTGGGCAAGTGAACTGGCAGCAACCCGCCGTGGAGACCTACGTATGGCTAGCAAGGAAGATGGAGGGCCACATTTCTCTGCGATTTACCCCCGGGAGCGATTCCAAATAGGATACTCGCCGACCCAGCCACACAGCAGCCACCCAAGCACTTGCTCTCTGGTTCTGTCTGCGTTCAGCGTATGGGGAACCTTGCCTTTTTTATTCGCTGGGACTACCCTGGCTAGGGTCCTCGTGCCCCGAGGAGCAACCCATCCCTGTGCTGCCTGATAGACGGTAAGACTTGCTCTTTCGGCCCGACGAGCGGCCCCAGAGCGAGGGGAAGAGTGCCAGGTTGGCGCCATCAGAACGCTAGGCTTCTATCGCGACAACAACTCGTCCCTCTATTTGTATCAGCGAAGTGACTACTGAGCATGCATAACGCCAAGTTTCCTCTCATTCGACCAAAGTTATACCTGAGCCATGGCGTCGACGAACGAACGTGGTGTACGTTTCGACGCCTATGATTCTGCAATACCCTTGAATAAGCGGCAGTGGTGTGAGATTTATTGCTTCTTGCGCCCACGCAACCCTCCGGGATTCTGGTGTCATTACTCTCCTCCTTGCTGAAGTTCGACACTGTTTGATCATGGCTCAGAACCCACCCTTTTTCCAACCGTTCCTGTTCTGCGTCTCTGAAGTCACAATTCACAACAACCCGCAGCGCGCAGGACGATCGACGCCCAATGATCGCTACTGGGTGCCACCTGCCGACAAGGAGGAATTCAGTAAGCAGCAGCCGCCACAATGGCGCGTCTGGAATCCGGGACAACGGCAGTCGTTACATGGGTTCAGACATCTGCACAGACCTACTACAGAGACAATCCGTGATTTCCGCCATACCAGAACTTGCTCCGTCTTTTGGGATCCTGAACGACACGGCTACGTCTTGGTTCCATACGACTGTACCAGGATCAGCGATTGCGAAACATCTCCATTCAACTGGCGTCGACTTTCGTTTGGTCAAAACAACACCCACCCCGACCGGCGCATCGCGCTTGTCGGATACGAGATGACATCTCACAATCTTCCATTTGCAGGGCCGCAATCATGGTTCGATCAATTGTTGAGCGACGTGTATCGTGGCCAAGGCGCTGGAAACGGGCACAATTGTGGTTTGGCGGGAAATCTGGCAGTGCTCATCGCCCTCATAGCATTTTCGGCCAACCGGGGAGACGCTTATGCTGCGGTTGATCAGTCTTTCCGTCCCGACATCTCAAGCACCACCTTACGACCACACGGGCATCCTGTGTCCCATAGTAAGTTTTCCTCGTCGTCTCATGGTTGCTGGTTACCTACGCAGTGAATATTTTGCTCCCTACTAATCATTGTCGTCGTCGTCGTCGTCATCAATTAGGAAACCTTAGGCGCGGTATCATTGTCGAGATCCGGGTGCAGGATGAAACCGTGCTCAGAAACTGGGAGATGGGCATGTATGGGCCTATCTTTACCTAGGCTTTGATCACGAGCAAAATACGTTTGTTGAGCTGGACTGGCGAATTAACAAAAGGGATTGGAGAGGCGCTCTCCCAAAGAAAGAACCTTCAACGATCCTGGGCCACGGAAGAAAGCTTCAGCATGCTTGTCGCTACGGCCAAATATGTCCATCCACACCCAAATCGATTCAGTACAACAAGAGAGGCCCCTGTCGACGGTCTGATCTCGAGGCGGTCAATCTCGCATGCACTGATACGTTTGATGCTACGTCGTTACGTTTTGACGATGCTCATAGCTGAATCTACGACGATACATCTGAACGACACCTGCCATCCCTGCCCATCGTGTGTATGTGGGGATGGCTATACGATACGATCTTGACGATGATTAACGAGTTTTCTTTGAATCGTGTTCCTGTTCTGATGGTTGGCTTGCTTTGTTCTTGTCGTGCTTGTTGTTGTCGTTGAATGTTCCTGTTCTGATGGTGGTCTGGTTCACTTGTTGACAAGGGCACTTTGAATGAAATGTGTTTATGATTTTCATGTTCTCCACGAAGGAGGAGAGGACGGCCAAAGGTAAGGCTGAGCTTACCTATGCACACGAAATTACGTTGTGATTACGGGAATTGTTTTTGGATCTTTAGTTTCGTCGTCTTACGTATTGAATGTTTTATGTAGTATTGCAACTTCGCAAAGATTATTTACACCCGTTTTCATACGACGAATGTGTATTGTGTTTTGTTTTTGATCAGATATGTACGATTTAGAGCCGAGTCTCATCAGGGAATCATTCGGTCAGACTTATGCAAAGTGTACGTTTCCTTCGCCCCTGGCTTGTTGACGCGAGCGTAGCGTCGCAACATAACCACAATCTCTCCGGCTTGGCCAATTCTGTTTGAGGAGGAGCGGTTCACCTCCTCATCAAGGAGCGTTCGCTGTGCCATCTCGTATAGACGGAAGTAGCTCGGACAAACTGCATAATTTTCCGGGCAGTCGAGTAACAGCTGCACACCAGCAGCGTAGCTACTCTGTATCGCCTGAACTAGCGCAGTCGACCCATCTTTGTCGATCCAATTGACAGTTAATGGTTGTCGGACTAGGATAGTGGACATCATTTCTAAATTACGCTTCTGAACGGCCATCATCAACAGCGACTCACCCGTCCTAGTAGAACGCCAGGCCGGATATTGCACATGAGGACGGTCACCTTGAGCCTTGAAAAGGATTTTGACTAGGTTGGTGTTGTTTTGTCTGACAGCGAGAGCAAGGGCCGTGAAACCTTCCTCGTCTGTGCTTCTGAGGTCGACTTCTGGGATTCTCAGGAGGGCCTCCAGGATTTCAAATCCAGATCTATCTCCTATATTCCAAGCCAGAGGGTACCCCCGCCGCTCAGTGTGAATTCTGAGATCGGTTTCTGCACCAGGACCTCCATGGACAAAAACGGTAAATTGCGTGTTCGACCGAGTAACCAAGAAGTTCAAGAGGGTTGCTCTTTTTATTCTTCTAAGAACCTCGAATGCCCCAAGGCGGTTCATTCTATCGTTCACGTGGGCCTTGGCTAAAATTTCCTCAAGTGTGAATCTTCTGCTGGTCTGCGCAAGAGCGAACGGGTACTCGGACTTGGGCGCGTCCGGAATATGCGACTTGATGGGGATGGGAATAACGGAGAGCCAAAGATGCTCATGACTTTTCATTCTCGTCGTCCACAGGGCATCTCTCGGCCCCTTCCTGAGTACGTGAAGGTGCGTATTGCTCGAGGCAGTATACATCAGGTCGATAAGTGCTGAATGATCGTGAAGTACTGCCCAATTCCACCTCTGGGACCACGGAAGAGATACTGAGCTTGTGTGACCTTCCACCATATCATACCAGAGCTTGAATGCCTTTGAGGTCTTCGTGAGACACTTGGTATGGGCAAGCCAATGGGCTCGCGAATAAGCATAGAACGCATGCCCATGTAAAACGTCCGACTCCTTGCTCGTCGCAGAATCGGCAATATTCTTGAGCTGGGCATGCATGTTGAATTGTGCTCCACTCTCAGATTTCAGTAGCGTTAGAGCCATTTTACTCACAGTGGAACGGGGTAGTGCCCGTTGAACGATGCTGTGAGGTAGAATCACGGCTTGTTGATCTAGAGCCTCCACTTTTGTCAGCTGGCCTTTCAAATGATTGAAGTTCAGATATGTCACGCAAATCTCTCCCATGAGGTGGGCAGCAGCAACTAGATCCACATTGTATACGTTGCAAGTGAGACCATTGATGTTGAGAGAATTTTGAAGGAGAAACTGTTTGATGCTGTTGTGGGCGAAGTGGACCGTAGTATATTCTTCCTCCACGTTTAAAATACCTCCGCAGAAGTCGATAAGTCGCTGCATGTTGTTGACCAGGCGTCTAGGGTCCCACTCAGTTTCTCCAGGAACAATACTGATGGCTTCACGGAGCTCTTCTAGCGTCAGCGGCCTGTGGGCTGCGCTGAGAATCTGAAAGATTCGCTGGCGAATTTCTGGTTTAATGAGCCTCTCACAATCTACCTTTGCAAGTATCCGCTGATAAGTCTCTGGTAGATCGTGCGGAAGGTTCGACAGAGCCTGCAGAATTTCTTCGTCCGTGGTTGCAGAGCATATCGAAGTCAGCTGGAATACGACCCAAAGGAACCTATGAACGGTCAGAAGTTTGGTCCGGTCTAGGAGTATTGTGACCGCATAGTGCACCGTGCAATGTATGACCATCCATCAATGTCAGCGTATGGCAAAATATCAACTTTTGCAATACTACTGGACAAGTGCTACCGAAGAGTCGGGAGTCACAGTGTGCGTATGCAAATAGAGTTGGTGAAAAGACGAAGCTCCCTCCAAGACAAACAAAGTTCTGCACATAGTTGAAACACAATAGAAGGTGAACTCACATTCCCTGGCTTCCTTTGACCAGTGCATCCCGGATCGTGAGGACAAGCATAGGATCTCCCAAACAAAGCTCTCCTGATTTCACGCGTTCTTCAAGGGTATCATTGATAAATTGATATACTTATCAATCTCGGTGGTCAACTCTGAGCATGATATATGGTGCCTTGGTTGAAGAACGGTGGATAACTCGCGATATAACCCAGGGCGACTTGAACAGAAGATCTGAGCCTGAAAATTTCCTTCCAACAGATCTTTCAAAAATTGAGCTACGGCCTTAATAGCTTGAGGGGAACATGCATCAAGACCATCAAGAACAATGAAATATTTCCTGTTCTGATCTTGTAACAGCCTCGGTAGATTTTGAGTTAATCTATCCTCAGTGATGCCTTGGTCCAGATCTCGCGAGAGATCTTCAAACATCTCACGCTCGGCATGGAGGAGAAGCTGGCTAATTAGGCTACCGATGACTGTCCAGGAGTCCAGGGACTCGGCTTCGTCAAACCGACAGAAAAAGTAGGCGATGGTAGCATTTGGCGCCTGTGCAGCAAGGTGTTCAACCACATTCGCAGCAATGACTGTTTTACCTGCTCCCAGAATCCCAGTACACCAGAGGAGGGTGGATCGTTCGGCGCGAAACCACTTTCTATACTGTTCATGCTCGTAGACACAGTTGATAGTGCCAGATCTTCGGGCTTGTTTCCAAATTTTCTGATAATCGTATGAAGATAATGTATCAAGACATCGCGTTTTGACGTTGTATCTTCGCAGTTGACGGGCCTTGTCAAGTTCTTCTGAGGTCTTCTTGGAAAATTTGGCCATGGCTGAACGGAACTGTGTGTTTTTCCCCATCTCCAGCTGTTGCCCTTCAGCTGAGATCAAGTTTACTTCGCTGTGCACCATATGCCCCGCGCGGCGAAGCTTCTCGTCATACTGACCAAATTCGGTCTCGAAAGATTTCAAGAAGGGTACTTGCTTGAAGAAAGATCCTTGGAGGGAAACCACCGCTTTCCTGCACAAATCAACGACAATGATCATGTATTCGCAAATCGCTCTTTGAAGTGCTGCCGATGTGGAAAATAGAATGCCGATTTCCTGATATCTGGGACAGGTGCGACCGACATTCATCAACAGCGTCGACAATTTGTCAAAGAACGAGGACCATCCCAGAGCCAAGTGCAGCGTTAGCTTGACGGCAGCCCAAATGCCACTGGCAATAAGTGATTGGGAGCCACCCACGACGGTATCGATCGCCGTGGAGAATTGCTGCAAACATTGTAAGAGGCTTGTCAAGCGAGTGGCGAAGCATCGCTTCTTTCCGCTGCTGTTCTTGTCGAGTTCTAACGTGAGGCCCATCACGTCATTGGGAGAAGGAGGTGGTTTGCTCCGACCTGACCTCATGGTTGCCTTCTGATCATTATCAAGTGTGCTCTCGAATTCCGACAAGGCCTGAGCTAGCCTGATTTCAGGCTTCAATACTGCAGCCTGACGCAGAGCAGTTGACATGACGGCACTGTAGTCTCTTGATGTCAATGCGGAATGTCATTGGTCTGTCGATGATGGTGAGAGTTCCTGAACAGTGGTCGAGGATTAACATGGCATAAAGCAAAATGCCACATCGACGACGTTCAGTGGACATTGTTGGATGGCGTGAGGCTGATGCTGAGGCTGAGGCGCTAGTTTTTCGGTTTCGAGCCTAGTACAATAGCCCAGGTCACATGCTTTCTCTTTTGATTCTCTCGTTGGCTTCGCTGAAGCCACGGTCAAATCACACGCCGCGGTCGCAGATGCTAAATCACATTCGCGATTAAGGCAGACATCCTGGCCGAACACACCTGCGTGGCCAGCGAATGCGTTGAGAGCGCTTGTAGGAGAGTATACCAGGTTCTCAATCCATGCGAATCTCATCTGATGAAATCAACGAAGTCGAGGGACTGGAACTATCTCGGGTAGGACATTTTCAACACGAGGGAGTGAGCCAGGCAGTACCGAGGATAACGCTGGTCTCCATTTGTAGGCGCGATATGAGCCCCCCTTCTCAAACTTCGTGTCTGAAGTGCTTTCTTTTCTCATTACCGCGACTTTCTGCTAAACACTAAGAAAGACTCTTTATGTGTAGTATTTAGATCCTCCGACGAAAGCTTTTCATTCTGAGATGAGTTAGAGTACGCTAAGCATCTCAAGTGCTTGAAGCCAATGGGTCCGGGGTTCTAAGGCTGTTTCTGATTGGCGCGTGTTCTCGACCTACCTTCCTCGCCGTGTCTGCTGAGCCAAGATTATCACTTATCGCGTCCTACTGCAAGGCTCTTTACTAAGCAAGCTATTTATCTTTCTCCTACTCACAAATCGGAATTTATTTCTCTCCATCTTCGGGGTTGCTAGAGCGGATTTGATGGCTTGTATCTGATTCCATGTAGTCCCTACCCGGCGATCGTACTCGAGTCCTTCTCCCTGGGTGCACGTTTGGGGCGTCAGTTATCTCGCAAGAACGCTTTACTCAGACCATGGCGTCCAGCGAGCCAGGGCTGAAGCGCACAACTCTCGCCTGCAATCCTTGTCGCCAGGGTAAGCGCAAGGTAAGTGGCCGGTTTCTGCAAGATCAGATTCAACGCGCTCAACGAGCACACAGTGTGATGGCGTGAGACCAATCTGCGCTCTGTGTGCAAGGCTCGGTCGACAATGCGACTATCCCACGGTGGTGGCAACGCGCAAGTAATGAACTCCGCTTTGGTGTTGTGATCATGTCTTTGCTGTGGATGGATTGCTGATTCTTTTTGGGATTTAGACGTAAGTATTGGGATGAAGAATATGTCAAATTACTTGAAGAGCGAATTTCTTTCTTGGAAGGCTTGACTGAGGAGGATTCTGTGCACGGCAAAGGATCAGAGCAACTTCACGATCATCTCGTCAACCCCAGGAACGACAGGATTTCCTATACCTCCCGCACGGGAGAGGACGATGGATTCACCACACTTTACAACAGTGGTGGCTTACTTGATGAGGAAAACCTCGTAGTGTTCGGACCTCGCCCTCGGGATGCTGCCATCGATGAATTGTCTGCAGTCATATGGAAGCTGGATATCAACAGCGAAGGCTTCACCGGCCCTTCAGGAAATCTTTGTGTTCCGGGGATTACCAGTGGCGATAAGGCTCCGGATCTGAATCCAACTTCACAAGTACAGCTTGCCTCAAGCCCTGTGAATCTAAGCGAAGCCCCTTGCCCGCCAGACTGGGATCACTTCTCTCACATTTTCCTCCGCTTTGTCAACCCAATCTTCCACTTCTTTGAGAAGACTAGCCTTGATCAATCTATAGCGAGAGCACCGTCACACTCACTGGGGCAGCTGCTTCGTTGTGCCGTTGTGCTAGCTGCAGCGCTATACTCTGATCAGCCGGGTGTAGAGCTCACAGTCCAGAACTGCGTCGCAGTCACAGAGAGATTGTCTTTGGTCTGTGCACGCGATACACCTTCTGAACACCTCGTCACCGCCTTCTCTATTCTGGCTCTTCGAGAACTGAGCGTCCGAAATGCCAATATGGGATGGATGTACAATTCCATGGCGGCAGCCACGGTGAACCAGCTCGGCCTCCATGCAACCAATCTAACTGCCTCCGGCACCCTTACCGCGTCCGAAGTATCCCTGGCTGCTTCCGACCGCGCGAGAGCGTTTTGGTCGTTTTTCCTCATTGACAGAATCGCCACAACCATACTAGGAAGAAATTGTACTATTCCCAGGAAGCGGATTAGTTCGACGTTTCCCACAAACATGGGCCAGCAGAGCTCAGAGGCCGAAGATCTGGCCTTTCAGTATCAATGCCGTCTCTGGGACATCCATGATCGGTACATGGACCAAATGTAAGTTCAAGATGGTAGGGTTGTGCTGCGCTAACATGTCGCAACCGTGGCTTAGTTATATCTACGACTTCCAAACCATTCCCAAGAAGAAAAAAATCGCGCTTCTCAACGAGGCCGAAAGCGTTCTGCTGGAGTTCCGAAGAAATCTAGATCCGTCATGGACACCGACGAGAACCAGGCACGACTCCGGCTCGCTCATCTTGCAGATGTCTTACAATATGTCGCAGCTCCTCATCCATCGACCTTACATAAACAACGAATTCAAGTCGGATGCGGTGTACATGTCGGCTATGACCACGGTCAGCCTCGCCGCAGCCACAATAACGCGCCTTCTGGCCATGTATATGAAGACTTTTGCGATATCAACGGCTCCATTCTTCATTTGCCATCACATTTTAAGCGCTGGTATGATTCACCTGATGAATGGCACAGCCAAAGATGAGAGCATCAGCCGACGGTCTTCGAAGCGGCTGAAGATATGCTTTGTTGCCTTGGAGCAGTTGAGACGAACGTATCCTGAGCATGCAAAGAGCTCCATATCTGCCTTGGTACGTCTGGCTGAACGCTGGCAACTTCTCTCGCTCATCCCGATAAATTACTCAAACGCATCTCTTCTGAAAGAGTCGTCCCCTCATCTTGTGAAGCAACCAGAGGGCGCCGAAGATCAAACAAGGATCAGGGTCTCAGTAGAGTCGACTCCAACAGATCGGTTCGACATCTATTTTGACGATGCTTTCAGGGGGTCGGAAGGATTGGGATCCTGGAGAGATATGGGCGCAGAGGCAAGCCACGTTCTCTCATCTCACAACTACGATGTTGAAGACTTTGCAAAGATTGAAGGCTTGGAGGGCTTCGACCTATTTGACTGGTCGGATGACTAGCAAGTTGGACGCCGGCCAATCATAGTTGGGCCTTCTCGTCACACAAGCTAGTACGCAGACCAAGGTACACGGCACCAGCACGAATTAAACTGCGACGTACTTCTCTCAATCAAACATCTCTTTTCAACGGACGAGGATCTGTGTTTGCGCCCAGCCAGAGAAGATCTGGTCGACTGTAATGTCCGCAAGTGTCCAGAAAACCCTTCACCTTGAGGACCTCATCCAGATCAATGTCGGCATAGATGATACCTTCCTCCTCTTCCGGCAAGTCGGCGGATAGGATTCTCCCATCAGGGCCTATGATTGCTGAAGATCCGCCACCCGGAGTATGCATGACTATCCCGGATTCCGTTCGCATGAGGTCGATGCCCTTTCTGGAAAGAACCGCGGTGGTATGAAGCACAAAGCTTCCCGCCTCGATGGCATATGCCTGAGATAGTGTTCGGCAGCCTGTGGTATGATCGGTCAGCACCCGTTTGTATCGGCAAATCACTGCAGCAAGAAGAGAGTCCCACCTTCACGAGACATCGACCATAGCTGACCCTTGTCAGACCCACTGAACAAAGGCGGCCAAGCGCCGACGTGGATTTGCTCGTTCTGGAGATGGGTATTGTACTTCAGTAGCGGCAGGGAGTGTTCCCAGCAGGAGAGCGCTCCTACGCGGGCAAACGGGAGCTGCACAACACTCTTGAGCGAAGTGGCGCAAGCATCGGCGAAGATGGTGCGTTCCATGTGTGTTGCCTTCATCTTCCGCCGGTGCAAGACAATCTTGCCCTGACAATCAATGGTGACCTGGGCGATGAAGAGGCTGTTGCCGGATCTTTCAGAAAAGCCCAGAGAAACTGAGATGCCATGCTCTGCACTTGCGGCCTGGATTTGCTTCATCTCTGGTGATTCGAGGACGAGCGAGTTTTTCATGTACTTGACATGCAATTCCGGATCTGCTGGTCGACTCCTTGTGTAATCCGACTGTCAGCATTTGGTCCGCGACGTGAAGTTGACAGCGTGAGGAGGGGAGGGTATTTACCATATCCATGCAGGATATCCAGGTATCCAGACTTCTGGGAATGCCACCAACTGCGCACCATGCTCCTGGGCTTCCTTGATCAGATCGCAGGTTTTCTGTACACTGCTTTGGAGATCGAGCCAGGCAGGCTCACACTGAGTGACGGCGACTCTAATGCTCTGGGCTTGTTCTTGGTCCATGGTTGACTGTGACTGTATCTGCGACCTGTGTTTTTTGCAGCTCGGCTTCTTGGAAGAAATATAGACTGATCTTCTACTGCAGGCCGAGCCTTTCGAATGCGGATGGCGTGCATCCGCACGATTGCGGTCTCTGCAGCCCTCTCGGGGCTCGATGCGGCTGTCATTGTGGCCGCATTTCAGGCATGCGGTACAGGACATATCGTGCGGATGCTACTGCTTCCGCAGCGGGACCCACCCTGCCAATCCCGATAAGTCGGCGTGGCTTGTCCTCTCCAATCACCTGTCCGCTGGTAATCCCGGACGATGCTGGACCATGAGCGCAACACCAAACACCACCCGCAGCACAATCGTGATATACTTTGTCCACAAGGTCTATATAGTATGGGAAGATGGCAACAATGTCGACTCCGTGTCTCTTCCTTCTGCTGCCAAAACCGACTCTCTGTTCCTTGCCACCGTTCTAGTTTTCAACACTACCATCGCACAACCATGGCCTTCGGCGTCCTGCAGAGTGCTCGAAATCCCCGGCCCCGAGGTACTGTGGTCTTGGAATCGATTCCATCCACCTCCTCTACTGGCGGAGGCGGAAGGCTTGACCTCATCCTTGTCCCAACGCCGTCGCCCTACCCTGCAGACCCTCTCAACTGGTCCAGAATACGCAAGGAACTGTATTTTCTGACCATTCTCTTCGGGGCTTGTCTTACCGGAGTCATCGGCCCTGTCCTCGTGCCTGGTTTCACTATCATCGTGGCGACTTTCAACGTCTCTCTTACGCAGGTCACTCTGCTAAACGGCTCACTGGTAATGGCACTTGGAGTGAGTTCTTATCTGTGTGCATGCTTGGCCGAAGTGACAGGAAAACGGCCTGTCTTCTTGGCCACATCTGTTTTACTGGTGGCCTCTAGTTGCTGGGGAGCCGCTGCGAAGTCTTATGGCAGCTTACTCGCTGCAAGAATTTTCCAAGGTTTGTGCGAATCTGACGTCGACATTCACGGTATCAATGGAAGCTGACTCTTTGGCATCTGTAGGTCTGGGTATGGGTTCTTTCTTTGCCTTGGCCGGAACAATATCTATCAATGATGTCTTTTTTGTCCACGAGCGTGGTCTGAGGGTCGGCCTCTGGAATTCGGCCGTCATTGCCTCAGTCAACTTGGCTCCCGTTATCAGCAGTCACATTATCGTGAATCTGGGATGGCCATGGGCGTTCTGGATCCTCGCCATTTCGTTCGGCGTGTTGCTAGTTGCGGTCACGCTGTTCTTTCCCGAGACGAGCTATAGCCGCAGTGTTATTGAGGGCGAAAACCTTGTTCTTGTTGACCATGGGCACCGCACTAGTATTACGGGATCGAACATTCCGGAAAAGGTACCTCACCAGGACTCTACGGCGCCATATCAGCAGGACCGAGAACTGCAACAAGGCGACAGCGAACAACTCAACGGCTCACTTACGCTCAGTTCGCTGCTCCATCCGTGTCCGGCGCCTCTCGGAAGCTTCGTTGACTTTCTCAAAGCTGTGGCAACGCCTCTATTGCTCCTCAGACATCCAGCGACCATTTGGGCCTGTGTGATGTGGTCAGTCACTTTTACATGGGTGATCATCCAAGGTGCCGTAGCGTCGCAGATTTTCGCCTATCCTCCTTACAATATGACTCCCACAGCAGTCGGCAATCTCATCGGAATCGCTCCACTGATCGGATCACTTCTGGGGACTCTGATTGGTGGCCCACTCTGTGATGTTGCTGCCGTCCAGCTAAGCAGTCGCAATGGTGGCATCTACGAACCTGAGTTTCGGTTGTGTGCTATCCTCGTCGGCGGTGTTGTGCCATTCGTGGTGGGAGCCTATGGACTCGGTGCTGCCGTTGCAGGGGGATTGTCTCCCGCTACCTGTGGATTCTTCCTGGCTGCTATCAATTTCGCCGTTGGTACGTCATGTACAGGCATCGTCGCCTACTCCAATGACGTCTTCGGGGAGGACGCAGGAGAGGTTTTTGGACTGGCGATGGTCGTGAAATCGGCTTTTGCCTTTGGCCTAACCTTTATGTTCAACGACTACTATGCAAACCATGGGCCCAAGGTGTTTTTTTACACGTGGGGCTCGTTGACTGTTGGTGCGTTGCTCTTTGGCACGGCTTTCTTGTACGTGTACGGGAAGAGGATAAGGGCTTGGATGGATCAATAGCGCGCTGCGGTCGCGGGTTCATTTCAACAGCTAAGTGTCGATATGACGGCGAGGTCTTAATGATGTTGGCGTGTGGCGAACGCAGAGGGAGGGTTTCCGTTAGTTCTCTTGGGTGATATTCCTACCCTTAGTGTTAAGTCAGCATAGGTATATGACAATGAGGATGACACTGAAGATCTGCCGGATAGTGAAAACAAGGAACCGGGTGCTCCATTAACAGATCGACCGTTCAGTCATTCTTGTCTGCCGGATTTATGGCAGAATGACTTTTCTCTCACTTGATGATCCCATGGACTGGCACCAAAAAAAAAGGATCACTTATTTCGAGCAGCAAAAACTCTAACCTCAAGGCCAATCACACGCTGGGTGATTGACGTTGAGGTCGAGGGAAATCCCTGCCAACACAGGGATTTTTTTTCGAGAAGCCGTCAGGTTACTCCGTCAGCTAGGTCATTCACGCGTAGAAGCCATGTTCGCTGGGAACACCTCGCCCTAATGCAGGGGTCCTCGGTGTCAGGGCGTCGCCTCTAGGATTCACGGCTAAGCCCAAGTAAACTGCCTCATGTCTGGTGAAATCCCCTTACGCCATCTGTCCGCCGGTGGATCAGGTGACACGGGTAGCCACGAGGAATTGTTGGAAGAAATTGACTCTTTCGAAAATATAACCCTCGAATTATTCAAGGCGAGGCACCCGGGAAGGCTCCCTTCTGTTTCAACACCAGAGTTGAGGTTGGGGTTGGGCACGGCGGGTGTCACCCCCCTCTTGCGGATCGGGAGGGAGCCGCGAGCAGTGTGACAACCCTTGTGCAGACTCCAGGTCCTAAGCAATCTCCCACCTTTCGTCCATGGATCTGGCCTGGGTGTCGCGAACGTGGAGAGGTCTCAAGATTCGGCGATCAGGACGGAGATTGGTGCGGGATGTGTATGTGCTTAGGGCCGGTGTGGCTGCAGGGCGGAAATAGATGGAAGGCCCCCCCAAAAACCTGGAGAGAGTAGACACGTACCTGAGTAGGTAGTAGATATCTACGTACCTGCGTGTGGAGGGAGGTACCTCCTATCCGTATCCTTCGATGGCTGTACCTGTGGACTGTGGTGTGGCCCTGGACGTCTGAAGAAGCGACAAGGCGATGGTTTCATGATCCGCAGTAGGAGAGTGAGATACTGGATAGCCTACGGTGGTGCAGATGAGGCATTCAGCCTAATTGTGCTCAGGACTCTTCTCTCTACCTAGGTAGGTACCTACTGTACAAACCCACCCCACCTACCTAGAGATCTAGGAACGAGTCTCTGGACCAAATGTGATAAATTTCAGCCCTGCATGGTATTCATCACATCTTCAGTCTAGGGAGCGTGTGTGCCACAGTCTGTTCATTTGTTCACCCGTCAGGGGATAGGGGCGTGACAGGGCCAGGCGGCTGTGACCTTTTCTTCTGCGGGCGGTACAGGGAAGACAATCACACAACGGCGGAAGTGTGTTAAGCGAGTACGCTGGTGATATATAGGTAGGTACATATGAACGCACCCTTACTCCGTAGAGTGCGAAGAAATAAATGTACGCGCGTACTCGGACTTTTTCGCTCCAATATAACGCTACCTCAGGTAGGTAACAAATGATTAACAAATCATACGGTTGTGAGCGCGTGTGAATCTGCATGTGTGGGATGATGGATCATTGCGTGACAAAAACTAATTAACTCAAAGCTTATCGATAGGGAGGAGGAGGAGTCTTGGACAAGTACAATATGTACTTGTAGCTGTCAGTTGAGTGAGATCCGAAGTTCGCTCTAGTTTTAGTGACATAAGGTACCGCCAGCACGGATCCAGGGAATCATTTTGCGTGGATGGTGGACATACTGAACAGTACCTAGACTTTGGGCATCGTACACCCTCTAACTGGGGCTCTAACTACCTGTAGTGGGGAGGCAGATACCTTAAGTACCTACAATAGGTACGAGTACCTACTAGTCAGTACCTACTAGTCAGTACCTACTAATGTCTCTTGTACATTCTGGAAGTTGTGCTTACAGTCCCCCCACTATTACTCGTACTCGATGCAGCCGCCGACTTACGCAGTCTCTCTCTCCTCGCATCACATCCCCGTCCAAGGTTCAACCCACGGGCCACAGCGAATACGAACTTTGTCGGCATTGGCGCTTGGAAAAGCTGGGCTAGTGAGGCCCCCCGACGCTTCTGGCTCCTCTCGCATGCCGGTCATCCCGTCACCTTCGAGTCTGCGACAGTCGGTCATCACCTTTCGCCAATACGAAACACTTGCTGTACCAAGAGTTGCGAGAGTCTTAGATCTCACAGCCTCAGCTGCGTTTCCAAATCATTTCTCCCGCAGACCTCCCTCTCCCTTTCCTCCTGTGTTCTCTCGTGCTGCGCCCCCCTTTGCTCGCTTCTGTGCTCGCAACCTTCTCGCCTTCACAATCCATATCCGATACCCGAGGGCGCTTTCGAACAGATTTGACGGTCCAACACCTATAAGCGATCGCCATATTCTGCCCGTCTAATTTGGTGCCGGCTTCCTTCTCGACCGAGCAATGAGTCTTGCCATGATACCGAGAGGGATATAATTCTTCCCTGTACTATTAAAGCGACCTTATAACAATATATACCCTCTAAATCGGCCTACCCTCCGTTCGTCGCTCCCGAAACCCCACCCAACAGACAGTAATTCTATTGTCGTAACACGCTGTTCGGAAGCGAGCAGCACAGGTGTATCTGGGGAACAGAAAGAGAAGGGCGGCTGCTTCTGTGGTGACACTGTATCGGTACCATGCATAACATCTTCAATCATCAGAGATGGGCGGCAACCGCCCTGGCAGGGTTGTTGATGCTCTGCCCTGCAACATTCGCCCAAACCATTGCACCGTCGAACAGTTCTCAAGATCTATATCCAGCCGCGACCTCCCCGAGGTTTATCATGAACGGCACCGAGTTCCCAGACATACCGCCAGTGCGATTGGCTCCCTTGGGAATATATGCCGAAATGTCACATAGCAACTTTGTTCAGGTTGATGTTGAAGGGCACCTGGTGAATGTCAATGCCGCCAATGCCAACGACGTCAGCGGTAACAACCAATTCTCCTACATGTCCTGTGACCCAGAGGCATATAGTGACGGCAACCTGGATGCAAGTGCAGTCTTTCGTATGGCCGTGAATGCGGCCAATGCCGACATCATCATTCTATACAGTGAAACAAGTGATCACTGCTCTGCGACTGGACTGAGTAGCCTCCCGACCATAGGTGGCATCCTCACCACAACCGACACAATGACAGCGTCCAGCCTGGCCAGGCTGGCTCTGGATCAACAGAGTACTGGAACGGCTTCGATTCTCCCCGATCTCAACTCCTACACCAATTCATCAAGCGGTGGCTACGGCAACAACTCTCTTGGCCAATCTCCTACTACAGCAGTCGCGATGATCATCCTATACTCCATCACCGGCGTTATCACGGCCCTCTTTGTCGTCATCATCGTAACTGGAGCTATTCGTGCACACAGACATCCAGAACGTTATGGTCCGCGAAACATAGTAGGCCGCGGCCGTCAGAGTCGCGCAAAGGGTATCGCAAGAGCTATGCTCGAGACCCTTCCCATTGTCAAGTTCGGAGATCACCAAGACCTCCCCACCACCAAGCAGCAATCCACAGATATTGAAATGAACGCCGGCACGCCTGCCAAGGATTCAACCGCTACCGACCCCATGGACGCCACCAAAGCAGTAGGGGGGCCCGAGGCCAGTGCAACAGACAACAATAGCACGACAGGCGTTAATCAGACACCGCCGCAAACCCAGGCCGCTATCGCGACGAACAACGCCGATGGTACTGATGCAGAGGGTCACCTAGGCTGCTCGATATGCACAGAGGACTTCAACAAGGGTGAAGAAGTCCGGGTACTGCCGTGCAACCACAAGTTCCATCCCGTTTGTGTCGACCCATGGCTCCTGAATATCAGTGGTACGTGTCCATTGTGTCGAATCGATCTACGACCCCAGGGTGAAGTCGAAGGCGAAGTTGGCGACTCGGATGCTCAAAACGAAGCCCAGCGCAGCGGTTCAGACGCCGCGTTACCGCCTCCACTTGCAGCTGCGGCCACGGGGGCCAATGCTGAAGAGACTACCCATCGTGGTGGACGCAGGGAGACGATTACCAACCTCCGTCGCTTTGCCCATGCTTCAAGAGAAGATCGAATCGCGGCATTGCGGCGATTCAGACAAGAGGGTATAAGCTCGAACGCGGGCGCTACCGCAGACGATGCTGCCAGTGCACCTCGACAGTCGGAGGAGGAACGAACAAGCCTCGCGAGACGGTTTAGGGAGCGCTTTAGAATCCGCACGGAACGACGAGGCACCACCAATTGACGTCATTAAGACCATGGTGTCATACACGGATGGCGTGGTTTCAGGCCGCTAGGTACGGATGACAGCGGTATCAGACGATGTGATGTTTATGACTTTGTGAGAATCGACTTTATGGCGACCAACGGGATTGGGATATAAATATAGGCCAGAAAATGGGACGTGAGGTAATTTTGGATTCAGGGCCTTGAAGCAATGCAGGAGTTATTGTGAGGGCTTTTCCATGATCCAAGGGAGGCCTGTATATCTATCTAGGTAGGCCGCGGACCATCTCCTCAGATGTACGATTTATGGTCTGTGTGTTATGGGTTGTATTTTTGGGGATTTGAAATTTGGGAGCATCCTGCCTGGATCATAGTACCTTAGGGAAAGCAAGGTATCTAGACGTTTTGAAGGCGTCAATCAATTCTCACATCTCAAAAACCAACTGGGCTTTTGTCGACTTCCACTGTTAACTTTAGCATATCTCACACGTCACAGATGTAGTAGACCGGGTTATCGAGTTTACAGCAGGAAGTGGCCCGGTGTTTCAAGCGACCAGTCCGACTGTTCGGAGTCTTGATGATCTGATCATTTTATATGGTTTTACGGTCCATGGCTGCCTACCTGTCCACACCACTACTCATGCCTCGGGTAATTTCCTCAGTGATGTCTCTGGCGGCTGACCAGCCCCTGGACGTCATTCTTTCTCTCTCGCTGCGTTCGTCGTGACCGCCATGGCCATGATTGTCACTTGGACTGCTCGTAGCATCGCCGCCCCCACCGCCTCCTCCTCCTCCTCCTCCGAACCACCCACCCACACCAGCAGGTAACCAGTTCCCACTCGTGCTCCGGCGACCTTCAGTAACGGGTCGAGGCGGTGTGTGCTGCTGCGGCGTCACTTCGTCGTAATCCACGTTCTCAAAGGACACCTCACTCCGGGATTTGGTCTTCAACCCGCCTGAGCTCGGGGGACGTTGGCCATACGCGAGGTCGAGGGACTGTTGTTCCTTGTCCAGGGCCTTGAGCATGTTCGACAGTCTTTCTCGCTGCGCCGAGACGAACGTCTGTTTCTCGGCCGAGCTGCTTCCGGGGATGTCGTCGAACAGCGATCCCGGAATGGACGCCGCTTCCTGGGCCGCGGAGCGAGGGGATGACGCGGACCCGGCGGCGAACGCCGCGCCGGCAAACGTCGACATCATGCTGTACACGCTCGCGGACGACGTGCCGGGCGGGTTGGGCTGCGACGCGCGCGCACCTGGCATGGCGAAGCGGGAGAGCAGATCCTGCGCGTAGCTTGCGTAGCCTGCGTAGCCCGCCGCCGCCGCTCCTCCTCCTTGTTGTAGCGGGACATGGTCGCCTTGCGGACTCTTCTGGCCTAGGACCTTGTCCCGGATGAACTCGATCAGCACGCTGAGGTAGCCCAGACCCAGCTGCTGCAGTCTCTCGTGGGCCTCGCCTATGAACTGGTCGATGCGGGTCTCGTGCCCAACGATGTAAGGTTCGAGGTAGTCAAGGTACAGAATCTTGGCTCCTTGGGTCTGAGGGAGCACGAGGTACAGGAGGAAGAAGAGCCGGAACCACGAGTAGAAGGGAATCCAGCCGATGATGAAGATGGTCCATGATTCAAAGAGGAGAGTGAGGTTGAGGATCGTGAAGTAGATCAGCCACGGGTGAGTCTGGGCTGGGTCGTTGGTTCGCAGGGCTTTGTATGAGAGGTACGCCGGGAGGAGAAATGTGGTGACGGAGCTGAGAAGGATTCAAGAAGAGAGGGTACGTTAGTGTCAGTCTCCCCTGGTCTGATTGTGACGAAGCGGCATCTGGATGTCGGTGTACGGGCTTGAACCTTGGACTTGGGCATGGGGCTTGTTGCAACTCACGAGATGAGATCTGGTATGATTCCGAACATGGTGCGAGAGAGATACTAGGGAGTCTGAGTTGAACATGCAGTGAATGATACGTAGATGGAGTCCTTGTAGAGAACAGAAGAGAAGAGAGAAAGGGAGGGAGAGTCTCCTGGGGGTCAGGATACAACGGCGTTCTTAAAGGACTGTCCCGCAAAAGTTCCAAAGAGCCAGGCAACAGGTTCTTGGAACAAATACGAGTAGAGAGAAGTGTCCTCTTTTGATTCTTTGTTCATAGAGGTACAGAGTACAGGCGGAGGTAGAGGATCTGTGGTGGGTGCCTATGGAGGGGAGGAGGATGGGTCAGCCCGACCAGGTGAGTACAATAGTACGGAGCATGTACGCCAATAGTGCCAATGAATGACACTCCAGCCTCCTAATCGGGGCGTCCTCGTTATCGATAAGGTCGATAGCGACCCATCGGGGAAAAGTGCAGCCGAATGCCGATATCCGACGTCCTACTCGCCGTCGTATTGTAATCACACCGAAGATCCAGGCCTAGATTCTCCATCCCTCCCTCTGCCCTGCTCAATGATCCCCTCAAGGCTTCTCGCAGTCTTTGCACTCGCCGGAGTCTCCGTCACTGCTGGTCCTGGACGCCCAGAGCTCAAACATGTCGGCACAAGGGCCAGAGGGGAAGAGTTCTTCCAGCTCGATAACATCACGTACCTGACAGATACACTCTACCCGGCGTATACAGAAGCCCTTGCCGGCGTGCATGACTTGTCCGAAGATCATGATGTCTTCCCACTCACTCACATCATCGCCGAGGCACCGGTAGTGACTGGGAAGTTTCTGGGAAGGATACTCGAGCGGTATGAGCAAGAGGATGATGTATTCAACCACGCTTTCCTGCATGCAGTACTCATTAGCTCCTCAAGCCATTCTGCCGAGCTAGACGAATCTGCCGTTACTTTTCTGGAATCCCTCAATCTCACCCATGTATTCTTGGATGCAAAGTTCAGCGGTTGTCTCAGCCAAGTCAGAACCAGTGCTTCCTTTCCACTCTCCGTACTGCGATCAGATCGCGAGGGCCGTCCGCCTCCAGGGCCATACTATGCAATTGTGCGTAGAGGGACACTCTCCCTCTCCAGCGTCTTCAGACTCTACACGGATCATTACCGAGCATTTGTCGATGGCGTATACTCAGTGAACGATGGCACTGGAAGATTTAGGTCACTTGGCTTTTTCAGCCCTGAATGGCCAGTCCCTTCGATCCCGTAAGTCTGAACGCAAACAATCCTCGGTCTCGGACACACAGCACATGTACTGAGGTGCTTACTCTTACAGTGTCCCATCACGTATATACAGCTGGACAGACGACAGACCTCTTGCCGGCCAACGATTCGGTGTCAAAGACATTTTCGACGTCAAGGGTCTGGTTACCACCTCCGGCAGCATCGCATGGGCGATGGTGACAGACGCAGCCAACGCGACGGCGCCAGCAATTCAAAGAATCGTAAGCTACGCATCTCATACGTCCCTCGAGATGACTTCTCCCGCATCATTTCATTGCTGACCGCTGTTGCCCCCCCCATCGACAAACAGCTCGACCTCGGCGGAGTGATCGTCGGCAAACCCAAAACTTCACAATTTGCTTCGGCCGGTGAACCCTGGGTGTGGGATGACGCATTCCCTCCTTTCAATCCCCGCGGTGACGGATGGCTCTCTTGTTCCGCCTCGTCCGCAGGAAGTGCTTGCGCCGTCGCTGCATACCCCTGGCTCGACTTTGCCATCGGTTCAGACACGGGCACATCCATGCGGAGGCCTGCCGCCGTAGCCGGCGTGTACGGCCAACGCCCGTCGGTAGGTCGAATGACGCTCGAGGGTGTGACGCCCATAAGCTACTCTACCGACACGGCCGGCGTGTTCTGTCGAGACCCGCACAAATGGATCAACTTCTCTCGCCAATGGTACACTCCGGGTCTCTACCAAGACCCAGCCATCACCGGTCTTCCAGCCTACGACAAGTCTGCCCTCCTGAAAGGCATGCCCAAGAAGATTCTCTATCCCATAGACTACCTCCCTCTCAAGAACCCGGCTGCCGAACTCGCCCTGCAATCCTTCCTTGCAAAAGTGACCTCCAAGTTCGACATTCCCGTCGAGCTCTTCAACTGGACGGAACGCATCGAATCCCTCCCTCTCCCTCTTCCTCTTCCGGGGTCTCCTCAGTCAGATACCGCTTCTTCCTCTTCCTCCGCACTCTCCCTCTCTCGGCTTCTCTCCCACCTCCTCACTCTCTGGATAGACGAACAGCACCACCTCGTCGGGACCGTGCTCGTATCCAAATTCGCCTCGCGCTTCTCCGGTCTCTACCCGCCCCTCGAGCCGCCGATGCGCACCAGCTTCGCATCAACGCCGTACACTCCGGCCATGCACGAGTCCGCGCGCGCGGCCCGCAGGCTCGCCGTCGCCGCAAACGAAGCACACATCCAGCGCGGATCCGACACCGCGTGCTCCGAGTCCCTCATCCTCTCTGACATCGGCACGGGCGGGTACCCGGCGTACCGCGAAGAGGCCCTCAACCACGGCGCCAACGCGAGCTTCTTGGCCCCGCCCGGCACAGGCGGGACGCCAGGCGACTTTTGTCCCTTTTTCGGCTGCGTCGATGCCACGCTGCCCATAGGCCAAGTGGCGTACTGGAGCAAGAAGACGCACAGGGAGGAAATGATGCCTGTCACGATCGGACTCGTGGCCAAAAGAGGCTGCGACGACATGCTCTACGACTTTGTGGAGAAGCTGACCGACGCAGGCATTCTCGAACCCGTAAGGACTGGGACAAGGGTGTTCGGATAGGTGGGAGTTGTACTAGCCTGGTAGTAGGTACGTGAGCGAGGCGAGTCCAAACCTGTGGCCGTAAGTCAGCGACGCGAAGCCAGGCCTGCGTCGACGCCCAGATACCTGACATGACCTCGTCCTACATAACTAACGAATTTACGATCATGACATACAGATATGTATACACAACGTACACTTGTAGTCGTTCGATCTTATACATATACTACAGCTCGACATTCGTCGTGCAAGTTGGAGACAACATCAGACCTGTTGGTCACCTATGTGCAAGAAGAAGCAAAGTAAGAAAATAAAGGATACACATATTGGTATTCAGGGCTATTCAAGGATATCATCACCTATGTACCTAGGTAGGTCCCTCGTAGCTTTTAGTGATGAGCAAATTTCTTGCTCGTAGACCGAACTCAAGTGAGCTTCGGACTGTCAATAAAAGTCCCTCGGCCAACGACGTCCCTGGCGATCTGGAACATCATACGTCCCTTGCGGAGACCACGGCATGTCACCATGCTCGTACGATGTCAAAGGTAGATCGTACGGCAATCTCAACCCGACGAGTGTGGTCCTGCCATCACCGTCACCATCGTCGTTGCCATCACTAGGAGCTGGGCCAGCTTTCACAATGAACTCCTTCGGATCGTCACTTCCAAACACGGGAACCATTCTCGCTGTGCTTTTGTCGTCACGAGCATGAGTCTGAGTCTGAGCCTGGCCGTCGTCGTCGTCGTTCTCAGAATGCCTGGTCCCATGCCGCTCATTTTCTCCCGTGTCGAATCCACCATCGAACAATTCGGGCCACACGAGAACACCAATCTCATAGCTCTGCACCACAATCTCCTTGACCTTCTCCTTCTCCCTCAGAGTGCCCCAAGCTTGAGTCGACAGGTTCGCACTGGTCAGCAGAGCCCACTCGACGCCAGGAGTCGCGTTGTGGACGGATGGTTTCTCCTTGAACCGCACATATGTCTTGATGTGCGGTGCGGCTTGATCTCTACCTGCTCTGGCACCCAGTTGGGGCCCTTGGGTCCACTGACATAGAGACCTCTTCAGCGTCGCGATCTGCTTGAGGTGTGCCGCGCTCTGTGCTTTGGTGTGGATGGACCCTCCGGACGCGTAGCCGTCGAGAGACGCCGCGACATTGGAGGGCGTAGGGAAGATTATCGAGATGTGATCCCACATTTTTTGGCCTGACTTGTAGCCAGAGAGTGGAGGGAAGAACTGATTGAGCCATGTCACTGGCAAGGTCGCGATGGAGGATACTTGGCATACCACATGCGGGTGAGAGGGTGCATCGTTCTTCAACGCCACCTTCTCCTCATCATAATCATGTGTAGTGATCGTCTTCAGGGCGCGGAAGAGGCTAGGATATCCGTAGAGCTTTTGTGACCAGAGTTCCTTGACAGTAGACTCAATACTAAAGTCCTTCATGCGAGATGGGACCGATGAGATGAGGGCGCCTCGTACACTACTGAAGTCATAGGTGACAAGTTGCTCTCTCAGTGATCTTGTCTTGTTGCCGTAAGCCGTCAGATACTGGACGAGGTCGTACTTGAATCGCGATCCGGAGCCAATGTTGCCCACGGTGTCGCTGGGCTTTTTCGCGAGTTTTGGCAGTGGGGGAGTCTGCCACACGGCCTGCGTCATGTTCGTCCAGTCCTTGTGCAGCATGTTCGCGGTGTGGATGATCACCTGGGCGAGGTCGTCATGGGTGAAGAGCACAAACATCTTGCTATGGTGTGTCCCAAATTGGTCGGGCAGATACGCTGTCAAGGCCTCCACGTTTGGCCATCTCTTGCAGGCTTCGTCGATGGCGATCCTGTTCTCCGAGTCTCTCTTCCACGAGCCATGGACGACTTTGACCTTGACTTGTGGCCGGATGTCCGGGTCGAAGAAGGTCATCAGCCAGTCGACGTCGAAACAGTAATTGAAGATCCACGCTTCCTTAATGAGAGGGTTGCCAAGTATGCCATGCAGGGAGACGGTGTCGTTGTTTCCCGAAGCAGGGAGATCCCGAATCGAGGTCAACCTGAACGGCGAAGGGATGTATCTGACATGCCGATCTTGGCCGTTGGGCTTCCGAGTCGCAGTAGGCTCACCCTCGCGAAGCGTGCGCGTTCTGTGTTCCCTCTTCTGAGAGGCTGGAGGCTGTGCTGAACCTTGGTCTGATATCGAGGCTGTGCTGGTTTCGGGTTGAGGTGTGCCCGTCCCCGACCGAGAAGTACCTGGAGGAGAGATAGGTCGAGAGATGGAGCTCAGAAAGCGTGCTCGTCTTGCTCTGACGCCTGCTGCATCTACAGTCTCACCGGCCACTATCTCAGAAGACGTCGTGCCACTGTCACGTTTGACACGTTTTGAAGGTCGATAATCCATGGTGGTAAATGCGACTTTCGGCAGACCCGAATGTATTTCACTAACCAACCAAGTTCGAATGAGGGGCAAGCATTGGGAGAATGGCAGAAGCATCAACAAGTGTTTTGTGGAGGATGCGAGGAAGGCGGCGGATGTTTGGTGATGAACTGTTGAAAAATGTCAGTGACAACGTCGAAGCGATTTCCCCGCTGACATATGCGCGCTGGGAGGTCATAACAGATCAAGGTCGACGTCAAGCATGGCTTGAGATGGAGCGCGTGGTGTTGCCTTTCGGAGGGCGAATTCTTGAAAAGCCAACGATGCTGTCGACAGTCGATAGTCGCTCGGTACACTATATGAAGGGTTGCCAGAGGCAGCGACGGTAGGTCAATCCCGTAATGATAAATACGGTGTATGTGAAAATCAAAGGCGGGAGCAGGAGCGTCATTTGTAACATTTACCTGTATTTTACCGACACATGACTTTTCGCCTGCTGCAACACTCCCAACTTTCCTGGAGTATTTAGGAGCAATAAATCAACTACCGAAGAGCCCATATCAATCTGATCAGAACGCGCCCGATCTCGACTCATTCTTCGTCATTCCGCGACGATTCGTTCCAGATCAGCAAACGTGTCACCTCTCCGGCCTTCATCCATTCCACGAACCCGATCGTCTGAGGTTGATTTCGCTTCTCTTGCACTGATCATGACTTTCATTCAGCATAAGCCCTATACACAGCCATCTGCTCCCTCGCCGAGATCTCCACAGGAACCCCCTGCCCAATGAAGAAAATGCTGCCCTCCTCAAGCGGTATCTCCTGGCCCTGCACGCTCATCTTCCCCCAACCGTTCGTGACGATCAGCGTACTCGGCCCATCGATTGGCTTCACGGCCTCCGTCTCACCACTCGCGAGCTCCGTAACCAACATGTTGAACTCGCTCATGGGCGGCTTGAACTCGATGGTTTTCCCATTCTCACTCTTCTCGCTGGGCTCTCTCTTCAGAACGGGCTCCTGGCGATTGTGCGGTTTGAAAGTCAAGGCTTTCGCGAACAGATCAACCGAATCACGGTCTGCTCTAGGACAGAAGCCGGTGTTGAGGACGTTATTCGACCGCGCCATGCACTCGACAATGTCGCCGGACAGGTAAGCATGAATGCCGTCGGCCGGTATGTAGATGGCGGCGCCGGGCTCGAGGACCAGGAAATTCATGCACGTCAGCGCAACGAGACTGCCGTTGTCGAATTTGCCGTACTGGTCTACCAATCGAGGGATCAGGTCAAGGATGTAAGCTTGCTTCCCGTAAGCGGTCCCAGGCGTTGACTTTAGGCGTTTCAGCGCAAACGAAACGGTGTCCGGCGAGGCCTTCAGCATTTTAACGCACACCTCTCGCAGAGCGTCGTCGTCCAACGAGTCAACGCCAGATGCCGGCAAGAACCGGGACAGAGCGTCCAGTTTCAACAGTTGTTGTATGTCACCGAGTGGTTTGAAGCCCACGAAGGCCTCGAATCTTCCCAGGGCAATGGCAATCTCGGGTTTGTGGTTGGGATCCGTAAACTTCTCGGGGTTTTCCTTGTGCAACTTTTGTGCCAGCTCCTTGTCCGGATGGATCTGGAGCGGCAAAGCCTTTGCAATGGACAGAATCTTGGGGAGAAACGGCAGGTCGGCGCCAAACTTGTCGAGGACCGTCTTGCCGATCAGTTTCTCCTTGTTGGCGTTGAGGATGTCCTGGAGGTTTTCACCCGTCTTCAGAGAATACGACGGCAGGTCGGGGTATGTTCCAAACCACATCTCGGCGTAGTTTTTGCTGTTGTCTATCTTGAAGTCCGGGTTGGTCTTCGAGCATAGCACCGCGGCCAATGACTCTTTGCCAACTTTCCCCCATGGGTAGTTGTTGCAATCGCATTTCAGTTGGATCACAGACTCCGTCATGGTGGTGCGGTGTTAGTGTGAGACAGGGCAAATCGGGGAGTGTATGGACTGTGGACTGGACGGTATACCACCACGAATACCGGTTTAGTGAGAAGGACATCAATCCCGCACAACTTATAGCGACCACTTTTAGGACCGAGCGGAAGCGACCTGCGAAAGATTCATGATGTGATGTATGCGATGACATCAGGTGCACCGTTGAGATTCATTCTGTTATCATGCCATGTTTGGCACGGAGAAGAGATCCGCCCACTGTTCCAGCAGCGAAATGAATCATCCGCTAAGACGCTGGCAATCATTGCCATCACGATACTGGCAAAGACGGGAGAATCAAGTCCGGAGCGGATGGTCTGGATGTCAATATTCCCATTTCTCGCGGTCTGCGACGCCCAAAACTTAACGACAACAGTGAAAAATAGCTGTAGGCGAGCGCGTCGATCCCGGCAAACTTAAAGCCGACGATGTGGAGACGACTACAAAAAAAAAGGCACCAAGATTGTGCACAGGCGACGGATGAGTTTGTATGTGGACATGATCAACGAAGACGCCCCTTGCACTCGTAGTACGAGTTCGATATCATAACAGGAAATGTACTGCTTCAATGACAACTACGATCAATATCCTCTTTATTATTTTCGCCGTCGTATAGCTAACTTGGCCTCTCTAAAGAGAGGCCTACCTCAACTGAGAGGTTGATGAGGGATCCACGGTATGTTGCCAAACTCGTCCATACCAGACTCGACTGCGTTTTCAATAAAGTCCTCAAGCGATGTATTCAATGCGGCCCAATTGATGGCCGACTCAGGCACGGGGCTGGAAGGCCCGTCATCTGCTATGCGGTCACCATTGCCTTTCACCCTTCCTCTTGTTGGTCGAGATTGCGGCTGGGTCCCAGAAACAACCGACGAATAACGTGCATGCGGATGGCGAAGACTTCCGTATCCAGAATCGACAGACGAAGCATTTGAGTGATTTGCTTTCAGTTGTGAAATGACGGCTGCTTGGTTATCGGACGAAGGTTCGAGACTGGCAAGCCTTACTGGAGCAAAGGTTGGTCTGGTCGTTGCCGGTTGCGGTATTGGATCTGGGCCCGACGAATTTGCTGCCGGCGTACGACCAGCGTCGAAGTCAAAATTGAAGGCAAGTCCTGGGTCATCTCCCTGTGTCCAACTATGGCATTCTTCATCATATTGATCATGTTCTGGGTCATGAGTGGGAGATATCGGGAAAGTATCTGGGCCAGAAAAATTGTTGATATCGTGGGAGGGTTGACAACCCGTCGTATTTAGAGGCTGCAGAAAGCCAGTTCGTTCTACATTACGTGAAATAAATGGTCTGCTGAAGCTTCTGCGGTGACTCGGGAGCAAAAATTGGGCGTCGGAGCTTGACCTGCTCACCGAGCCTTCACCGTTAATCGGCGAATGCGGTACCGAGGTGCTTGGAGTGAGTGAAATTGAACCTCTTCGGGCTGTTTCTGATGGTACAGCTGAATATGGAGACACTTCGACTGAAGGATTGCCTAGTGAAGGACTGATCACCGGCCTCATCCGCTCAAGGACATCGGACATTGAAGCTCTCAATTGCTGCCTTATGAAGTCTCGAGCAGCTGGGGATTGGAGCCATGTTTGTTCGGAAGAACCTGCAAACTGATCCAGACGAGATTCGAAGACCTCTCCCAGGGCGCTCATCGCTCCTTGTTCTGGAACCTGGGTGACTCCCTCCAATCCAACTTGTGAGCTCTTGTTGTCTGCATATGGAGTGCTCGGCTGGGGTTGTCCAGGGAAGAGGACGCCGTAGATGATGTACCATACTTGCTCGGGGGTGTTCGCAGGCCTCTTACGACGAATATCGTTGTATTGGCCATCGTCGAACTTTTCCGGGTAAGGGCATTCCACCAGAGCACATGGTTGAGATTCTCTCACATGCTGATCCAGAAGCTCCTTCCTCTCGAATTTGGTGTAGCAGCGAACGCAATGAATCCGCCGCCAGTGGACTCTGTACAGATGTTGCTTCAGCCGGGAGATATCTGGCCAATAGCCACTGGCACAACCTCGATAGTGCTTTTCTTGTACGTTTCGTTCAGAATAGCGGTCTTTGTCGTACTTGCAGAAGGGACAGGCGAACAATTTTTCGGGGGACTGCATGGACTCTGGCTCGTGTTTCAGCTTCTTTGGTGTTCCGGAGCCGTTGTCGTCCTCATCATCGTCGTAAGGATCCTGACCGTGCCCACCACTCGGAGAGCGTTTCAGTGGTGACCATTGTCCGGATGTAATCGAATTAGCCGGTGACAGCCCGTGATGTCTACCGCTAGATTGTTTTCGCTTGTTCGCATGGGTCCTCACATGGTCATCCTGATCACTGTTATTGATCGAGACCCACGCAGGACCTCCCGCACTTTCCTCAAATTGTGCTCCCGTCGCCAGAAATGCTTCATGCTTTTGCTTTACTGCGGCGGCCTGCAGCTGAAGCGTGAAGAGCTGTTGTTTGACTTCCAGCGCGGCTTCCCGTTCTCGTAATGCTGCTTGCTGTTCTCGCATACTGGCTGCTTTCTCCCTCAAGGAAATCTCCTTTTCTCGAACGGCTAGATCATTTTCGCGTCTGCGATGCTCCGAATCCCTATCGCCGATCCAGTTCCACGGAAACCCATTCTGTAAAGTAGGATTCAATTGCTGTCCGCTCGGCGTATTCACAGGCGACGTGGATTTGTCGAGACGGGACTGACTGTCTACTAGGCGGTCGCCTTCAGTGCAAGGTTTCAGTGGGATGGCCGATGTCCACGGTGTTGCAGAATGCTGTTGTGTTTCGGCACGAGCTTGTTCTCTATGAACTGGTTCTAATCCGGTCTTGCGAGACGGGATCGCTCGCGAAACACTTCGAACCTTTTCTGTAATGTCATGACGACAGCTCCATCCTACTTGATCGCAAGCAGAGCACAGGATACGATCACCATCTTCGCAGATGGAGCAGTGGTAGTATAGTTGATTGAGACGAATTGGGTTCTGGCAGTGATCGCACCTCATCGACCTTGAATTGCTCCTTGATGGTTGTGGATCCCGCTCTGAATCCATGGACACGAGCACGTCGTCCTTTTCTCCATTGGCAGGGGTGTCCTCCAGTAGAACTGCAGGCTCGTTGTGTTGAGTCCGGGTTGAATCTTGAAATGGGGTGTATTGAGGCAGCTCGGCAGGAAGTTCTGCAGGGAGGTCGGATTTCGCTGTGTCCAACGCAGATTGTGGTCTTTCCATCCATTTGCGAAGTTCATCTTTGCTGTCAAAGTCGGCCCAGTTTGGCGGGTCTGCGGCGTTCGACTTGACAGGGCGCCCAAGTTTGCCTAGGCTAAGGGTCTTAACAACCTGGGAAGTGATGCTTTTAGTACTCTTGGTGCGCACAGGCAAGGTTTGCGCAGAATTAGGCACATGCATCGGCCGGGGCGTATTCCAGTCCGCAATCGCACTTGGCCATCCTATTTGTTCATCTTCTTTCTGAGCTTTCACGGATACTTTCTTTGACTTTCTCTTCTTGATCGACTTTTTCCAGGGCGTCAGGTATCTACGATGAGCATTGAGTATTTCAACCTTGGCGGGCGCTCTGGGTGGGCATGGATCTTGATTTCCTGAGTCAATGCTGTAGTGTTGATAGGTTGGGCCAACACAAGGTGGGCTAATGGCAGAAATCGGGGACCCCCTATACAGGCTCAATGCCGCGCCATCTGCTTCACGTTGCAAAGTCGACAGTGAGTTGAAACTGTTGGACCGCTTCAATGGGTAGGGGAGGGCATCGGAGACCAGGTCGTCGCTGAGACGGGACTGGCGATGAGGGATGATGGTCCGCGTCTTTCTCAGGACTGCTCGTTGCAAGGCACCGTTCGTGTCGGAGGAGTGCCATGACTGTTGTGAACGCAGAGCTCTCTGCCTCTGATCGGCCTCTTGGAGTCGCTCTTTGATGTCTTGCGTAGATTCGTCGGTGATGCTTATCCTTGCCCTAATGTCGGGTTGATCGCGGGTGCGGGGAGTCGAAGTAGCCATTGCAATGGAAACTGCGTGGACGCGATTCCACAGTCAGGACCGGTGGTGGCGAGACGGCTGGTTAGAGGTGGCGACGGCGATCGTAAGGGAAGTCCATACAAAAACAGCTGAGCAGGACTAAGGCAGCAAAGGCTGCTGGCAAGGTGGGAGGCAGCCATCTTTTTGATCAGCATGAAAGATCTCACACACTTGTTCAATGCAGCTGGCGGGGGTACGACATGCTCTGAGGCCACTAGTTAGACATTGAACAGTACTAGGCTGCCGGGGACTGCCATCTGCCTAGTGGCCTTACGAGTTGACGCGGAGTCGTGCAGTACACTGTTACTCGTACAATCGCTGTTGGCTCCCGCTGGCGGTGCCATTGGCTTCCTCCCCGGTGTCACTGACTCACTGGGGCACTGCGGTGCGCCTGGCCGGTGAGTTTCATGCGCATGTCACAGCCACAACCCCCCATCAGCCACACCCGCAGCTGCCACACTTGTATCCAGAGAGTCTGCCTTGCCAGATATGCTAGACCATATCAGTGCTAGCGTCGTAAGACGAGAAGCGGCGAGTCGACCAGCTACAGCCTACAATACAGCAAAAGACGTGCTCCCGGTCGACGATGAGGTAATTTCGCCTTCTCTGCTCACCACCTATTAGTAACAAACTCATCAAAGTGGTTATCAAAGTGACCGTTCATGTCAACAGCCGACCTAGCATCCAAACACTTCCTTCATCTTTTCAATCGCTGTCTCCCACCTCCTCCCGAACCACGTCAACATGGAAGCGGCAGCAAAACGCTTCTTTTCATCCCCATACTTTGCCGTAGTCGGCGCGAGTCAAGATAAGAGCAAGTTCGGCTATCGGAGTGAGTAGTAATATGATATATCCATACCTGTGTCCATTCGATGGTTTGACAATGGGATTTTGCAGTACTGGCATGGTATCATGTCCACTCACTTCCTGTGATACCGATCAACCCTGGTCGGCCGTCAATAGCACTGCCATCCAAGACGTACGACACTGTGCCGTCGGTCTCGGCTCTTCCGGACCCAGCCACGACAGCCTTATCTTTTCTCACTCCCCCGGCTGTCACGAGGAAAGTGTTGGAAGAGGCTAAATCCGCCGGAGTTGGTGCGGTGTGGTTGCAACCAGGGAGCTTTGACGACGAAGACTTGAAATTCGCCAAAGAGAATTTCGAGTCTGCTGTAGGAGGATTTGAGTCTGGCACTGTTGGCGGAGAGGGATGGTGTGTCCTTGTTGACGGCGAGGAGTCACTCAGAGCAGCAGGTAAAGAAATTGTCAGGCAAAAGCTATAGGAAGCCCAGAACGAAAAGTAATTCAATATTTGTCGTCCACTACAAGTTCAGTGAGATGTGCCAAACGCCTCGACTTCGCACGGGAAATCACCCTCTGCTAACAAGCCGCCGGACTCAGACCAGCGTCATGATCACTCCGCCACGCTCTTACGATGGCCAAACATCATGTTCTTGATGGCGTCCCCTTCCTCGACTGTCGCCTCTCCGCCCTCAACCCTCGCATTCTTCAAGTCGGCGTCGGAGAATGTCTTGATCGGACCCTCGAACCAATGCATCGCGCCCCATTTAGGAAAGAACCAGCCTCCCAGGCTAACGATAGTGATGATGCCAATACAAATTGGTGCATAATTCAACGTCTCCGAGGTCACAGGGTACAGTTGCGGTAGCAGCAAGACACAAAACAGGAAAGATATGTACACCGTGGCAATGAGCGCCAGCGGTGCAGAGAATTTCCCCAGATGCCATTTGCCTGGCACAAATGACTTACGGCCCACTGTCTGTCTGGCAACAATCGGGAACAAGTACGAGAAATTTGTAGAAATTGTTGCAGTGGCAGTGATGGCAGAAAAGGCGACGGTTGATCTATAAATGCGTCAGTGACTGTGTTCGTCGGCCACTTGGACTTCAATAACTTACCCAATGACAGCAGTTGTTACGGCAATCGAGATGGCGCAAACCAAAAGAGCGGCATTCACGGCCATCTTCCGGTCGGACAACTTTCTGAAGTACTTGCTGAATGGGAGAACATGGTCTCGAGAAATGGCGTACGTTACTCTTTGCGCCGACATGAAGCAGGAGGCGGTCGCACATGTCGAATCGACCCAAAGCATTGAAAGAATCGCAACCGCACCATTCTCCCCGACAACCTGGACAAGATATTCGGCCCAGTTGTTGGCATACGCCGCAGAGATGATGCCGTCGAAATCCTGCATGCAATAGAGGATTAAGATGAGGGTCGGGACAGACAATAACCACGCGGAGAAGGTCGAAATGTAGATGCCCTTGGCAACAACGGTGGATGCTTGCTTCGTTTCCTCGCTGAGATGGGCGCTGGCATCATATCCATAAAAGACCCATGCGCCAAACAGGACTGAAATCACCCAGCAGTATGCATCGGACGCCTGTTTCTCGGTTCCCAGATTAATGCCGTTGTAAAAGAGGTCGAATGCTCCATGTGTCGAGTTGAAATGCTTCTTGGATGCTGCCACGGGGAACCAGATCCAGTACATGAAGAAGAGCGAGAAGAAGATGAAGACGGCGAAGCGGAAATACCACTGGAGCAGTCTCGGACTGTAGATGTTGGGGATCATGGCGAATATCATTCCTATGCTTGTGAGGAGCCACAGGAACCTGCAGAGTCAAACGTGTCAGAGAATGGTAAATATGCTGGGTGTGGATACGGCCCAAGGATTGAGCTTATTGGGGATACTGACCAGCCCTTGTACAGCACTTCAGAATTGGGATACTTGATTTCCAAGGCGCTGACTAGGAAGTTTGTCGACCCTTGCTGAACACCAGGAACGACAAAGACCCAGCCTGCCCACTGTGTTGGAGTCAGCAAGACATCTCTCTACACAAGGCTCAACGGAAGGTAAAGGGTTTCGTTTTGACCTACGTTCCACCAGGCCGTCATCCAACTGAGGAACGGTCCGTACTTTTCTCCACCGAGACGATAGCTCCAGAAGTATATGCCACCGGTGGTGGGCAACGCAGCTCCCAGTTCCGCCATGACAAGGGAGACGATGGAAGAGAGGCCCCCGACCATGGTCCAGTTTGCGAAGGCGGCCTTGGGTCCTCCGGTATACATGACCCACCCGAAGAGCACGGGAATTCCGCTGATGAAGTTCATCGAGGTGACTATGGTGAGGAAAAACGCGTTAGAGACCAGGCCTTTCAACTTATCTGTCGACGGTCGGAGGGGCGTGGATACATACACGTAGCAGCCCAGGACTCAAAGAAGCCCAAACACCGTACGAACTCCTGCTTGTACCCCAGCGTAGCCAGGTGGTATTCGTCGTGAGTGAGGACCATTCCCGGCTCCGTAGTCGTGCCATCTTGGACAGAGATGGAATCGTCCGGCGACGAAGATGAGACCGTCTTCTTTTCGTCTATTTGCTCGAGCGCTGGTGCTGCGCCTCCGGTAGGTGAAGCCATCATAAAGCGCCGTAGAGTAACTCTCGGCGTGGGAAAAGACTACGAGAAGTCCTAGGCAACGACGTCTGGGTAAGCTACCAATTTCGCGACGCGAAGAGGTGTACGGAAGTGGCTTCCTGCCAGCGATGGAGGGAATCTACTTTAAATACACATGTGGCCTACAGGGTCTCTTGCATATGTATGTATCTGCGAATCATGGGGGACACACATGGGTAAGATCGAATAGGTAGGTGTAGTTGGAGGCTGATTACTCCACCCACATCAGGGCCTCAACCAAACCCCCGTTTCGGCCGGTTATCAACCTGCGGAGTTCAGCACTCGCCGACCACTAAGGCTTACGAAAACGGTCTCTTGCCGCCTCGACTGCATATCTCGGATCATTGATTGAATCGAGCGATAGGCGTAGTTTATCAGGGATGCGGTGGCACTGGCCACGCTATCGTGGATTTTTGCCTCGTCTCTCTAGCTTTAAAGTCGGGTTGGGTCTGAAAAGCTACGCCTCGTGGGCAAAGATGCCAAAAAACTAACCAAGGGCCACGCACCATGCCGATTGGGGTGCGAGAATGCGGGATTCGAGATTGCCACGATAATACGAGCAGGTATTGTATACATACATACTCGTAGACCGAAATCGATACTTCACAGCGGTTGATACCTCGGATGGTGCCACGTAGATAAACTCATCTCCCATCCACGGAGGATGAGCAGGGGGTAGGCTGTCCAGAGTACCACGTACGGCAGGGAACATGAATCGTTTGAGAGATGTTCAAACTTCACGCCGAGTACCCAAGTTGTAGGTAGGTGCATAAGACCTACAATAGTCGTGGACAGTGAACCGGTTGCTCGAAAGAGAAGGATAAGGAGAAAGCAAAGAACGAGAGAGGAGGCGGCTGATCAGCTAGTCCGTACGACCCGGGTACTGTAGATTGCCAGGGCCAGGAGGAGTACGGATCAGCCAAAACCATGTTTTTCTTATCAGGACCGTCCTGACCCCTGGGGCTCCCAGTAAAAAGCTTACCCGCACAGTTAGCGGGTGCTTGATCATCAACCGACCCCCTCCCACAGGTACAGGTTCAAACAACCAATTCGCATGCCCGTACGATGATACGCCCGTCCAGAGGTAGGTACCGTACCGGGGACACCAAACTTTAGTCACTTACCTACCTACCTACCTAGGCATGTCCGGATACGAGTTCTCGGCAAGAGCTTATCACTTTTCTAAGCTCGATCGGGCAATCTTTACCTGGCCGGTGCTCGGGACCCTATTCGCAGACTCGAAGCTGGGACAATTGACTTTCCTTGACCGGGCTTCGAGATGGTCGAGACCAACAGGGCCAAGGTACCTATTGTAATATTACTCAGAACTCTGAGGCCCGTACTCCGTTTGAGCAGTGACTGCACATGTGCGGATATCCGTACTGGAGTGACTGCGAGGGGGGTGGGGCAAGCCCCGGCAAGGGAATACAGTGCCATCCGCTCCCCCTTTCACCCCCCCGGTCTGGGTATCCAGGAACACAAACACCATGGGTTCCGCCGGAGAAAGACTAGCAGGTGACCACGGATACCTAGGTGGCTAGCTAGTCATGCAGTCATCCAGTTTCTCGTTTACAATAGGCGTGGTAGGATAATTTGGGTCGAGCTTAGGAGGAACGGAACCTGAGACTCGGTATCGCCACGTGGGAATCCTGCAGGGTTTGGTACCACGCGCCATTGACGACTTGACAAGTCAGGTATGATGAAGCTCTCAGGCGAGATACACGCCAGTTTTAGAAGAGCGCCCAAGAACTCAAACAAGGAATGCATGTGAAGTGGATCCTTTTGGAGGTTTCCGTGGGACACACCGAAACAACATTTGTCCCTCATTAGACCAGTACCTAGGTAATCTCGATATGTAAACAGTCAAGGGCACCATGGGTATTTTGCCTCTCCCCAAAACAGAAAACTACCTGCCAGTCTTCTTTCTCTCATACCATCTACATGGAGGATACACAACAAGCGTAATGGCACCGGATAGATAGATACCGACGTCGCCACCATATGGCCCAAAGTAACGAGCAATAGGACCGACATACTATAAGACACGTCAGTATACTCGCGGAAATACACTACAACTGGAGAAGTTGACTTACCCAAACCTGAGCCATGCCAGTAACGCCGCCGGCGAGGTAACCAGACAGCAATGCAAGGACAGCAGCAATACCAAGAGGTAGCTTCGATGGCTGGTCCCACGCCTCCAAATTATAACCTTCGCCTGATCGTTTACGGAAGTATTGATCCTCGATGAGGAGGATAAGGGTGAAAGATATGGTCCAATACCCCAGCAAAGACACAAAGTCGGAGACGATTGAAGAAAGGTGATCTTTGCCAGCAATGGCGAGAACGGCAACAACCAAAGCGACCAAGAAGGACCAGATGAATCGGGGAACAGCGTGGAAGTAATGGCCGAGAAGCTGCATTGACAGTCCCGAGGAATAGTTGATTGCGATATTGTTGCCGAGAACACTGAATGTCAGGAGCACCAGACAGAATTTGCTCCATCCGGAAGGATGATATGATTCGAGCAAGAGACCGCCGAGGCCGTGGTCTTCATATGCCGCGGCGTATGGGGGATAAGCTGCCAACAGGGCAGCATTACCCAGACAAGCACCTGCGACGGTGACAAAGACGGTGGGAATGGTCACACCCCAGAGAGTGAGGCCAAAGATCTTCCAGCTCTTGGTGTTGGCCGGGTAGTTGCAATAATAGTCAGCAGCCATGGAGCACCAGCCAGATGAACTGGAGAAACAAATGGCCATGAAGCTCAGCCAGGACCCCGCCACCTCAAGATTCGTTCCATAACCTGGGGCTGAAGGGACAACATGCGACGCGGTCTGCCCATACAGCACACAGATCAGGACGAAGCATACGAACCAGCTGTACTTTTCATAAGTATGAATGATGGAGAAGCCGAAGACTGAGACAACGTATGAGATGACGGCAACAATAACGCAACCGACGGCCACGGTCATATTGTAGTCGCTCACTGCAGACAGCATTTGACCCGTAATAACCACATTGACCACGGCGAAGCCACCACCAATGACGACATTGAGAACGCTGCAGAGCTTAGCACCCCAGAAGCCGAAAGAGTATCGGGAGATGGCGATTTGTCGAAGACCTGTTTTGGGTCCGAGGACACCAGTATACGCCGGGCAAATTGCGCCCAACAGGGTTCCCACGACGATTGCGGCGACGGATTGGCCGAGTGTCAAGCCAAATTCAGGACCGAGCACGCCGATAGGGAGGGTTCCGACGTGGCAGGTCATGGACCACCACATGAAAAAGGCATTGATGATAGAAGGCGGGTGTTTCTGATCCTCGGGAATGCGGTCGATACCTTGGGTTTCAACGCCCATCTTTTCATCCAGCCATAGCTCGCCTTTGCTCAGCCAACGAAGCGGTGCGATGGAGTTTTGGATTTCTCTGGCCCTTGCAATTTCGTAGGCCGGAGTAACGCTGCCATGTCGAACCTCGGTATCAGAGGAAGTATTGTTTGGCTGCTTTTCGATATCGACTACGTCTTTAGAGCCACCATCCGTAGGCGAGGAGGAAGACTCGACCGAGGCCATGGTTGAAGTATGGCTGGTCCTGAGGTGGAAAGCAGGCAGCAGGCTTGGGAAGTTGTCACCGCGCCGAAGGAAAGGCTACCTGTTTGAGAATTCGAGGAGGGAGACAGAGGTCAGGCTGACCCGAGCCCGGTCGCCCTGATATATTATAATATCATTCTTAGATCTTGACTAGGAAGGTCGTCGGGGGATGCCGCTGGGGACACTCGATCGCTTCCAAGTTCTAGGCTCGATCAAGCCCCAAGATACGCCAGACAAGGGCCAATGCGCAGGATGCGACTCTGTTTGAGTTCACATGGGTGATCAGAAGCACGGTAGCGAGTCAGGAAATGGGGATGCAGCCGATGAAGTCGCACCCAGAGGGTCAGCGTAGGAGTTCGAAGGGAGGTTTTGATAAGGGTCCACCAATAAAACTCATGATATTCAACAAGTTACCCACCACAAATGTCCTGCCTCCATCCTTCGCGGCTGGCCAACTGATTTTGGAACATCGCCGATACGACGTACCTACAATAGGCGGGATAAGATATGGCAGCGAGAGGATGCGATAGGTCGTTCGACAATTATTAATTCCAGTTTGCGAAGTATATCAGCGAGGACTCGAGGACTCAACACCACTGCTGTCTTGGCGTGGCGAATTCAAGCACTGTCAAGCAGTCTAGGCAATTGCTTGACAGCTGAGATACCTTTGTACTCCCACCCTAAGTTAATGAGTTCACACCCCGAAGTGCAAGGTCATCCAAGATGGCAGACTTGAGCTCACGGCGAACACCGAATCCGGGTGCCTCGGTATTGGTACCTTTGCCTCATTGTCATCCTGCACAGGCCTGATATGGAGCCCCGTGGCCAGATTAGCACCTGTATTAGCCTTATCTCTGTCACTCAGGGGACTGTTCCATCTGTGGCGCCCGCTATGTCGAGTTGTCGGCTGTTCGCGCCCAGAGCGATGGTCTGAGCCGGCGGGCTAGTTAGTTGGCTAGTTGGCTAGTTGGCTGGTGAGGTTCACCAGGCCTAGTGAGCCGCACCAGCCTCCGCCGTCCATATCCGTTCCACCTCCAGGCTTCTCTCCTGGCACACAAGACTTCATCTATTGCTTGATGCTGTTGAGGCCTGAGAACCCAGACATATTAACTGTTTGGCTCACGACACTACTTGGAAAGCCACCATGAGCGCCGACATCCCAATCATTGATTTCCAGCAGGTGTCGACATCGCCCGAGACCGTTGCGCGCGAGCTTCTCCAGGCATGCGCCGACTGGGGTATGTCGTTGGGCGCCAAAAAGTGTATTTGAATGTGCCTACAGACTGAGATCGCTAACTACCTAGGCTTCTTCTACGTAAAGAACCACCCTATACCGCAAGATGCTGTAGATGGCATGTTTGATCTTGTGAGCCTTCGCCACACCAGAGCCTCGTCAGCGTGGCTAGCACTCACAAAGGTTATGGACCTGACTTATCTCACCACAGGAGAAGAGCTTCTTCGCACAGCCGCTTGAAACCAAACTCCAAGCACCATATATACCAGCCAGAAACGCCGGGTTCAAACCTGCCAGCTCCAACGGGTGAGCACCTCAGCTATTTATGTTTCTCCGTCGCAGTCCTCAAGGACGGTCACCCTCTGACGCACAGCTGAGTAAGGTATATATAGTGCCTACGGATCCTTCAAAGACCCCCGGGAGGCCTTCAGTATCAACAAATGGCCGACAGCGGCACATGCATCGACGGCCCCCCTCTCACCCGTCTTGGACGACGCGCGAGAGCAGATCCAATCGTTCCAGAAACAAGTCCAGTCGTTCACGGGACGCCTGCTCGAACTGATCGCAGTCGCACTCGGCCTTCCGCGCGACCAGTTCACGGCACAGCACGACCCTGGCGCCGTCAACTTTGACAACTTTGAACTCATGCACTACCCGCCCGTCGCACCGTCTTCCACGCCGGCAGGAGGACGAGACGGCGACGTCAAGTTTCGCATCTCCCCCCATACAGACTGGGGCACGCTCACTTTGCTCTTCCAGAAGTCCATAGGCGGCCTGCAAGTGCGGCCGCCGCACTACACGGCGCCCGAGCTGGATTTGGACGGCGAGATTTGGACCTCCGCGCCGGTCTTCAACGACATGGTCCTCATCAACATCGGAGACATGCTCGAGTTCTGGACCGCGGGCGCGTTAAAGTCGACGTGGCACCGCGTCGTGCCCACGGCAGCCCACGGCGGAGTCGACAGGTACACGTTTGCGTATTTCCTGCACCCGAACAAAGATGCCGTGTTGGTGCCAATCGAGGCCATGAAGAGGGACGGCTGGGTCCCGCGGTATGCCGGCATAGGACGCACCGCAGAGGAGCATATCCACGCGCGCATCGCCGGCGTGCATGGAAAGAAGCAGGAAGATGGCCTGGCGAAGACGGAAAGCATCCAGAACACGGTCGTGGCCGAAGAGGTGGCGGTGTAGCGCTGAGTGCAAGCTCATAGGGGTAGGCTCTCCATGTCCGATCGACCCATCTAATACGTACATTGGTTACAGTGACAATAATATGACCTGACACGATACTGATGACACTTGATATTGCGCCGGGCCAATGATAGATGTATAAGACACTGATCAAAAGTGACCGATAAAAACATTTCTTTTTCTTCGTAGTCCTCCACCAACGCCAACGCTTGAAATGGATACACCACACAATCCCCTGCGACAATACAATTCTTTCAGATGTCGGGCTAATCATTCGTGACCGGGAGGGTAATATCTTTTTGCCAATAAGCCAACACAAGCATCCGCTACGATAAGCGTACTTTGGCGATGCAACCCCTTCTCTCAATGCCATGTGGCGAGAAAAACAAGACGCTAAGCCGTCCGAACCCAGCTACCGATCCAGCGTCGGAGCCATTCCCTTTGGGGTGTATGCAGGTCGACATCTTGGGGTGCGTCATGTGCATGGACGGCCTCCTCCTGCGTATCTCAATGGTAGACCGCGATGGGTTGCAGGGGTATGTTTTGCGAGGTGCGGTCCTTTTTCGCCGATTTTTCATCCAAGACATGAGAGCGATATGACGAGATGTTATTCGACGCGCCGCCCGCCGCTCAGAAGAAAGAGGACACGGCGTGTCTCCTGCATCAGCAGCCTGGCTCGAGCTATCCGCGGAGTTTTCGTAGAGTCGATGAGACTTTGTCTAGGTGAACATGTGGTCGTTTCGTGGTTATTCGTTTTCGCAAGGAGTCTTCGTTGTCTGGGGCCATGGCAGCTTCTCGAAACAGCGCAATCTGCTTCTTCTGCCATTCTGCCCAGCGGTCCTGCTGCGTACGCATTTGCTTGGAGATCTTGACGTGCATCTCAGACGCTGAAGTGGTGCTGGTGGAGTCTGAGGTCGACCTTGCACGGCCATAGGTAGGCCTTTCTTCGTTGCTGTTCAGAGACATGGTCTCGCTCGCTGATCGCACAACCGTCAATTTCTCAAGGGTTCAGCAAAGGCAATTGAAGGATTTCGAGAATGAAGAAACCATGAGAGAAGCATGTTACGCAAAGACCCGGGACGAAATGTTGTAATATGTATATCATTTATCATGAGACCCTGCATGCATTGATCCAGACCTTGACGCAACTTCGTTCTGGCATGTAGATTGCAACATTCAAGAGCGGGGTTTCCTTACAGGCAGCAAAGGTCCCAATCGCCCGCTGGAACGGTGGTGGCGTACGAGGTACTCGCATAAGCGAGTCTGGCTAAATGTTTGATTCGTGAAATGCGTATACGCGAAATCTCTCAGCCAATTCTTGGGCGTGGTAGGGGCTCGAAGGCGTGAAAGCCGCGGAGAATGTTCGTTTGGGGTCCAGTGACCATGCCCCCTACCGAGTACGCGCACAATAGATCGTGATCATTCCGCATCGTTTTCTCTCGATATTCCGCTGCCATGTGTTGCGTAACGGAGGGTTCGCGGACCTGCGTCTTTAGTCAGGGAGGGTCTTAACTCGGCTTTTCTTCCGGTGCAAATCTGCCTCTTTACAAATCTACACCATACCGCAGAGAAAATCCCGAGAAGTCTCCTGGGGACCACTAGGCTGGCCTACCACTTGTGTCTGTAGCGAAATGTATTGCAGGATGCGAATCTTCCGGCAACCCTTTCCGTGCATTGCGTGAATATTGGGTCCTTTGCGCCCCACGTGAAGAGCCTCAATATCTCACCGGAGCGGACGAGCCAGAGTTAAAAAGCAAGCCCATCTGGCATCTTCGGGGCGATGGTGACAGGACGCAGGAGGATAGAGGACCTTTCGTGATACTACACGGTGATGCACGTTCTGTGCCGGCTGATTCCTAAGCGGGAGCAGAAGATCCTGAGGGTGTGCATCGCTATCGCCAATGCTATCTTTTCACTGGGAAAAGGTGGAGGAGCAGGGCGACAGCGAGGCTGAAGGGCTCGTAAGAGCAAAGAAACAACGAGTGGCGGGCAATGAGCATGATGGGAGTAGCGTACAGTATCAGGCTCGTACATGTTGTTCTGGGATGGTGCAGACTGTGTTGGCTGGGTAACCAACACCGCCTGTCGACAGGGATGCAGTAGACGCGCATCAACTCTCAAGCCCCTAAAGATTCCAAGGTTCATCCAAGTGTCAACACTGCTTCAGGGGAGCCTCACCTTTTTGTTCCACACCGCACTCGCCTTCTCCTCGACTTTTACCTCCAGATATCGAAACAGATCCCTGAATCCCTCCCTTTGGAGTCCAACATCATTTACTGTGACAATTGGGCCTGAGTTTGACAATATGGTGAGTCCTTGCGTTCATTCGTCCAATGGATTGTCAGGTTCGGGACTTGGAGCGCAGGAAGAAAGGATGCTCCCGAGGCCAATTGCAGCGGCCATTTGAGAGACATGGCACGCAGTCGATCTGTTTCTGTTCCTGTTCCTGTTTGTTTCTTTCACCAAACACCGCCGGCAGACATCGACATCCCACTTCTCTCCATTCGCTTTCTTCACCATCATAATCGATAATGGCTAATTCGCAATCTACCTCGCAGACTTCAACCAACTACAAAGAAGCCTTTTCTCTGTACGACAAGCGAGGCAATGGACGCGTCGCCCTTGATTCCCTTGGCGATCTCCTTCGAGCCTGTGGACAGAATCCCACTCTTGCAGAAATCAGAGATCTAGAGAAGCAAGTGGGCGGTGATTGTAAGCACAAATCTACAAATTACATACTATACCTTGGGGTGGACGGAGTAGGCTGACAGGTGCACAGTTGACTTCGACTCCTTCAGCAAAGTCCTCAACCGTCCGGGAGGCTTCAGAGACCCCGGCGAACCAGAAGAGTATTGTCGCGGCTTTCAAGTATTTGACAAAGACATGACTGGTTTCATAGGGGTGGGCCAATTGCGATACATCCTGACCAACCTGGGCGAGAAAATGAGCGATGAAGAGGTTGATGAATTGTTGAAGGCGGTCGATACCAGCAGCGGCGAGATCAACTACATGGATCTGGTCCGCACCATCCTTGCCAACTGAGACTCTTGTGTGCATGCACGGACAGAGTGCTTCAGCGTTTCTTGCTTACGAGTGTATGGTTTAACGGCATGGGGACGATTGCATACTTGATTGCAGCGTTGTCTTTGGCGCAAGCTTGTCTCCACCACTTTTCTTAGACGGTCCGCTGTAGATGATGCAGAATTGGCCAGCAAACACATTCTACATGGTTCTCGAGTATTAAAGAGTCATTGGACGGGTTTGCAATCTCTCTGAGCTCTTCATGCATCTTCTCGTGCCCATGACGGTCTCGACGGCTGTACACCTCCTTTCATCTCCGTCGTAGCCATCAAACCCCCAGGAAGCAGGTACATAGAACCCGCATCATCCTGCGCCTCGTCAAGACCGTACCCGAGTACTAATCTGCACCGTGTACAGCGCAGGAGCCGTCTCTTCTCAAAACCATCCTCGCGTTGGATTATTATGAGTTTTCGATCGAACACAGCGTTCAAGAGAACAGAAGTTGATGGTTGGTCGACCGCAAGATCCTCCGACTGACTGACCTTCGTAGGAGGAAGAATCAGGGCGCCATCTTGTAGAGGCTCTCCGCGATGAGGCAGTCTTTGGAGGTCAAATGCCGTCGTAAGGACAAGGGTGCTGCACAGACAATGGTAGGAGTGGATTGAGGAGCTGGACGAAGAGTTATCGTCCGCCATCGAAGACGTGCCAGAAATTTGTGGAATTGGTCAACAGTTCTTTTTCACCCTGTGGCTCGCTGCCGTGTTGGTCGCAGGGATTTTCGTGCACCGCCTAATACTCATAAGCCTCTGGACCTTAGACACCGGTTCTCGCAAAGTCCCCCGCAGCGCCCAAACTTCTGGGCTGCATTAGCGGGAGTCGATCGAGAACTGCCTCTGCCCTGACTCACATCTAAGCGACGTCACCATTCTGTGAATAATGTTGTCCCTGCATTGCGCATTGAGGAAAAACCGCGACAGAAGTGACAATACCTGCTCGCATCTATCGCAGCATCCGACACCTCTCTTCCTGACCAGATAATGCGCCTCCGTCCTCTCATGCCTCGCAAAAAGCCTCAGCCATGCCACCCTTTCTCCCGCGGAAGCGTTCAACGCCACCAGCATCCCCTCGGCCGACGCCCTTCAAGAAGGCGAAACTATCGGACGTGCTTGATGCAGAATTGACAAACACGCCGGGATCCGGCAAGCGGAGAGCCTTCTCTCTGGGAAGCGATGACTCCCTATCGAGCCTTAGCGACGTGGACAGCGACGAGTTCGAAGATGTTTCCCCCGCCCTCAAGCAGCCTGATTCCACGAAGCACGAAGAGGAGGACGAGGACGATGAAATAGAATGGGAGGACGCGGGCGCCAGCACCCTTGTAGCGACTCCAGTCCAGACACCTCTGGCTGATGGACCAATTGAGTTGGTATTCCGTAAGGACGACAACGAGATTGACTATGGCACTGCGTCCGCTGCCACGGCAGGCAAGAAGGGGCCAACCAAGCGTGAGAAGGAGGTTAGGGTGAGAACACATCAGATGCACGTCCAGCTATTGCTATGGCATAACTCAATACGAAATCGATGGATATCCGACCGTATCGTTCAGCAGACCCTAGTCAACCAGTTGCCCTCTCAAATCAAGAAAGAAGTCGAGAGGTGGAAAGTCGCAAGTGGTCTAGTTGATCCTGAGGTCGAGCCAAAATCAACGAGTCGTAAGAGTAAGAAAGGGAAGGGCAAAGCACTCAATCCTCGTGAAGAGAGAGATTGGGGAAGGCCCAGCCAGCGCTTAGAGAAAGGCAAGCCGAATATGAGCAATGGTGATCCTCTAATCTTTCTCATGAAAGTCCTCTCTGCTTACTGGAAGAAACGGTTTGCAATCACGGTGCCAGGCCTCAGGAAGCGTGGATATGGAACCAAACATGCGCTGAAGCAAATCATCTACTCGTTCAGGAACGACGAGCACGACCCAGAAGAACATGGCGAACGGATTCGTGATATTCAGGAATTTCGCGAAGTAGCCCGGCGATGTGAAGGCTCAAGGGATGTGGGAGCTCAGCTCTTCACAGCACTTTTGAGAGGAATTGGCATCGAGGCTCGGCTTGTGGCAAGTCTGCAACCAACCGGCTTTGGATGGACAAAGGCAGAACAACAACTGCCGCGAAAACCTTCAAAGGCTGCGGAGACTGATACCGACTCGTCATCTTACGATTCTGAACCAGATGACTCCGTTTCTCTATCTGAGATCGCGAAGCCGGAGATGGTGATCAAAGCAAGCGGAAGCACCCCTTCTCGGAATCAGCGTGGCACAACCAACAGACCCATCAACCTGGACACTGACGTCGAAGAAGATGATACAACTTCAGGTATGAACGAGGATGATTCCGTTGTGGATGTCACGCCTACTATGCCAAAGAGGCGTCCACAGAAGTATGACCGTGATAACCCGTATCCGATCTATTGGACAGAAGCAATATCACCAATCACAAACAAGGTACTACCGGTTTCTCCTCTAGTGCTTGACCCTCCCGTTGCTTCCACTCCAGAGATATTGGCTGCTTTCGAACCCCGCGGCATGAAAGCAGAAAAGACCAAAACCGTCATGGCCTACGTGATTGCATACTCTGCGGATGGCAGTGCAAAAGATGTCACCGTCAGATATCTCAAGAAGAGAATATGGCCCGGCAAAACGAAAGGGTTCCGTTATCCAGCTGAGAAGATTGCTATTTACAACAAGTACGGCAAAGTCAACCGCTATGAAGACTACGACTGGTTCAAGCACGTCATGAGCGGCTATCAACGTCCAGATGCATTGAGAACGGCAGCTGACGAGATCGAAGACGCGAACGACCTTGTACCCCAAGAAGCCGAGAAAAAGGAGGTCAAGGATGACGTGGATACAGTGCAAAGTCTCAAGGCATCGGCTGATTTTGTACTTGAGCGCTTTCTCAGACGTGAAGAAGCGCTGAGGCCTGGTGCAGAACCCGATCGAACATTCGTCTCTGGGAAAGGGGAGAACTTGAAAGAAGAGTCGGTATACCGACGGTCTGATGTCCTGCGATGCTTGACCGCGGAGTCCTGGCACAAAGAAGGGCGAAGGCCGAAGGAAGGCGAGGCGCCGTTGAAGCTCGTGCCTGTTCGTGCCGTGACGCTCGCCAGGAAGCGCGAAGCAGAAGATTACGAAAGACGCACCGGCGAGAAGCAAACGCAAGGTCTGTACTCATGGGACCAAACTGAATATATCATCCCACCTCCAATCGAGAATGGAGTGATTCCGAAGAACGCTTACGGCAACATCGATTGCTTCGTCCCGAGCATGGTACCCAAAGGTGCTGTCCATGTACCCCTGAGAGGGACTGTCAGGATTTGCAAAAAGCTTGAAATCGACTTTGCTGAAGCCGTCACTGGCTTTGAATTCGGCAACAAGATGGCCGTGCCTGTAATCACTGGTGTAGTAGTCGCCAAAGAGAATGAGAAGGCAGTCATTGAAGCATGGACGGAGTTCAACGAGAAGCAGAGACAAAAGGAAGAGACGAAGATGGAAAAGCTGGTTTTGGACCTCTGGCGGAAATTCGTCATGGGTTTGCGGATTCGCGAGCGTATCCAAGATACCTACGGTGACGTCGTTGACAACCGATCCATTCATGCTGCCGGCAACAGCAGAGACCAGCCGATCAACCTCGAAGATGAAGCTGACATGCCGGGCGCTGCTCTGCCAATCGCTGCCGAAGATGACTTTGGCGGTGGTTTCATCCTAGATGATGAGGAGCCAGAAATTCCAGAAGATCTTGAAATGATTCACCACGAACCCCGCGCGGAGACGAGCAGGTCTGTGGGAAAATCACGAGGTGCGGCTGAATACCCGACTCCTGCCTCGATATCGCCTGCGAAGATGACCGGGCGGAAACGAATCAGGTCGCTTCTCCAAGCTGCTGACGACGAGACCACAGCGTCAGAATTGTCATCCCCGCCGAGTGAGTCCGCGTATGATATGCCCTTGGCCACAATTAAAGGATCAAAACGTCCCTCGGGTCCAGTGATCCAGACCTCCAAAGCAAAAATCGAAGTCTCTATTCCAAAGACTGGTCGGCAGCGGTCGAGACCTTTTGAAAATATCTCGAGAACCGTTCACGACATGGACGGCAGTGAAAATGAGCCATCACATTCACCTGAGGATCAAGAAAGACGAGAGCGACCCCAGCGACGATCTAGAACGTTCCGTAAGTGAAGAACAGACCTATTGAGAAGGTATTGCCTAGGATTCATTCGCCGCTGGCGCTGAGGACTTGGAGCATGCCGCTGAAGTAGACCATAGTCGGACTACCATTGAGAAGGGAAAAAACAGTAGTGTTAGCCACTTTCAGAAAAGCAGCCCATCGGCCCCTTTATTAGCCAGGGACAAGGTGTCCATGAATCGTAACCCCCCCGCGCCTCCTGCTCCTCGCCAACCCACACCGTCGAGGATGTCATACCTTTCTCCTCAATTCACCCGAAACGTTCCGCTCCGCACCTAAGTAGAAATTCTAGAATATTTCGCACGGAAGAAAGACGCTGTCTGCCATTTGGACCCGGCGAAGGACCTCCTCACACGAGAGTTGAGGTGATCGGGAGGGGGGCCTGTTGGATCCCCCATTTTGGCATGTGGAATTGGTAGCAAAGGTCGAAAAAGTGTCCTGTCGGTAGCGATAAGAACAGCCGAGGGTATGGAGTGGTTCCACTGTTGTCACAATGTCCTCTAGGACAATGTCCAAACACCAAGCGACAGGGACCACAAAAGCGCCATGAGCGGTGAGAAGCTCGAAATCTTGTTGTCAGGCCCGCACCCTCGCTCTGTGAAAAGACCTCACAAGGCCCCATGCTGTAATGTTCCCCAGTCCCCTACCACCGGAGGGCCTGGAAGTGAGTGGGAGGTTCCCCTCTGCCAATCTCATCGTAGTTCCATCTCAGGTACGAGTAGGCCGACATGGCTGACTAAGTGGAAAACATTCAACTTTTGAGAGCTGGTTTCGATCGGCATTCGGACTGACTTTGGCGGTGGAATTGGTTGGTCAACCTGGACAGATCGAGCTCAACGATGATCGACCTCAGGGGCTATCCCTGGCGACCCCGGTCGAGAACACCTTTCGTCAGATCTCTTCCATTCACAGCCTTGAATCCCCGTCGCGCGATGCTCATGCAACCTAGGCACCTCCTTGACTTTGCAGGACGCTCGTTCGTGCTAGCCTGAGTAGTTCGACGCACGACTGTTTTAGTCGATCTAGATGTGTCAATTGAGCCACGGAAAGCAGAAAATCCTTGCTGTTTCGTTCGCTCATGAAATCGATATTCCACTCCAGAATCTTGAGATCAGAGGCCGCCGATGCACTCGCCGGGCTAAGCATGATGTTGCAAAACAGAGTCAGAATCGCCGAGAGAGGATAAAAAACGGCAACCCTAGGATCGGAATGGTTGCTGTCAGCCTGAGTCACACCGTCGCATTTGTGCAGGAGAGCGGTCATATCAAACGTCGCTTACCAGAATATATTTGGAAACAGGTGGTCATGCACCGAGGAAAAATAAGTCAGCATCGCCCGACTGGATGCTAGAGCAAGATCGAGGCTGGAACTGAGGCCGTCGTCAATTCGGTGGTTGTAAACCCAATTGGTACAGCGGCTGCTCGCCTGGTGAATCGTTGTCATGCAATGGTGGTACTCCAATTTCAGCAGGAACGTTGATATGTCAAAGTCAAAACTGCCGTCACCATTGGTCTCGGTGGATTTGTTCGGCGGCTGTGCGGCCGACAAGGTAGGCCTTCGCTCCAAGGGCAACGACAGTCTCCAGTTCTCAAGCATCTCGTCCAATTCTCGGATATCTTTCAGAATCTCCGCATCGGCTTTCCGAAGTGCCTGAGGAGAGTACAACCTCTCGTACGCATTCGATTTGATCGTTGACAAGCGCAAGTCACCAGGCAGCCGATAAACCCCCTTGAAGTTCCTGTCGCTCTGCTTCCAGTAGTACTTTGGGAACGTCAGATCGCATGAACTGTCGTTGATGATGGGCGGCCGTCCAGTGCGGAAGGTGATTTCTTTATCCAGGACATAACAGATCCAGAAGTCATCTCTCAGATGCAGAGCTTTTCGCTTTTCTAGACTCAGAGCTTCTGGTGGCAAGCTATCCATCTCCTCGCCCGGGTATAGATGTGCTCCTAGCATAAAAAGAAATCGAACCACGGCCGACAACATGAGCTACGAAACGTCAGTCAAGTCATTGAGGGATGGAAGCGGCATCTTGTGAGCGACTGCCATAGCCTCCTGAGGTGTAGATACTTACATCCACTGCATGGACATTTCCGCAGCCAAAGTTATATATGGCCTGGGCGTGTTAACCTCAAACTAGCTTCACCCTTGTAGATCGGAATCGCAGATTGTTGTCGCAAAGCATTCTGACTTGAGATTGGTTCGACTGGGGTGACTTACAAACATCAAGAGAGCATCTACAACCTCTGCACTGGGCCGAGCGGTAAACAGATCGGGTATCAGTAGCTGTGCCGCAGTAATACATTGCTGCTCATGGAGAGGAGGAAGACCCGGATCTGCGTCGTACCCATTTAGAGACGAAAAGGCCAGAAAAGCGAAAATGCATGCTTTCGAGGTCGCGCTCTCTGGCGAAGAACCCTGTTGCGTGTATGCTCGTTCGATGATTTTCGGGAAGAGAACTCTGTCTACGATGGGGAAGGCCTCTGAAAAAGGTGACTTGAAATAATTGGCCAGGAATCTCTCAACCAAAGGGAGTGGCAGAAGCTTCGTCACGTCCAAATGGGATGGGTTGATGAAACTTGAAAAGGTGGGCCATGGCTGCCGCTGGTTGTGCCATGGGGGGCTGGTTTCGCTCTCGGCACCGGATTCGTCGTCCGATCGTATGCCAATCCACTGCTGTCCATCGCGGGACAGGAATGGTATACCGTGGAATAGCCCAATGTCTCCAAGCCTGTAGCCGGCACAGTAAATGAGCCCAGCCGGGCTGGAAGCTGGTGACCGTCCTTGAGGAGACTCGATACTGGGTTCTATTGGACTGGCTTGTGGAGGTCTCGTGCTCTGACTGCTAGCATGAGGCATCTCTACACTCGAGATGAGCAGAGATCGCGGTTCTTAACTCCATCTGCTCTTACCATTTTTTCTCTTGATGTTTTCTGCGAGAAGTCGTTCAATACGTGTCATTCTCTCAACGAGGTTGCTTTCTCTCAACTTCCTTCAGGCTTTTTAGTGGCTTGATAGCCAGGGATTCACGGGGAAATCTCGTACCTGGACCGATTGTCCCTTGTGCGGGCACCCTGCGACCTTGTAAACGTGCAGTCGAGGTCATGATGCTTGCACCAATTGCACTGAGGATGGACACCATCACATTTGATCTGGGAAAGTTAGAGAGCCCATCCATCGTATTTGCTTCCAGCTGTCGTGAGATTTCCAACCTTTTTTCGATGGCAAGAATCGCAAGCACGCATTATACGCTTAGCGGCAGAGACGGCACCTCCAGAGGTGTCGGAGGAGACCGATTGGGGTGTTTCCGACATGGAGAGCTGGAGTTCCTTGTCTAGCACCATCGAACAAACGGCGTCAGAGCCTCAAATGTAACTTAGGAGGTGCTGGCCGACTATCGCTAGGGCCTTGCCACTATCCGGGAAGAGAACATAGAATTGGTCTTCGACATTATTGCTCCGAGATTGCCGAGAACTATGAATCGGTGAGATAGTTTCCGATTGATGTCACAGGAGTGCATCACTGTAAACGTGCCGCTGACTAAGCGGCAGCAAATACCGCAGCTTAAAGTTTCTCGTATCTCGTATAATATGCCGCTTAGTCATTGGCTTCATTATCGACGATCGTCTTGTGAAGGGTCAAACGACAATGTCTGAGATGATTTTCTCATCATTGTGTGTAGCTCAGGCCAGTGTCACTATAAGAATGCTGCCGAGGATATGTTCTGTTCGAATCTCACAAAATCCCAATCGTATTTGGTGAATGATTTTCTACAATGTTGATATGCCTATTCCATGGCTTACTCAGCGGCTTCCAAGTCGCACCGGCGCCCGCTGACAGCACCGAGCGATCTTCAACTGGGTATGGAAAACGGCTAACAAGTACTGTATATGGTTTCACCCAAGATTGTGCGACAATTGATCCGTATTGTATGTTCACCGTGCACAAGTTGCGAAATGCCCCACAGCCTTATCTGTCCTCGACTCGGATCCGGTGCATTATGAGACCGACAGCTTGAATGAAGCACTCATGTGGGCTGAAAGCCCATGTGAAACCCACAACACCGACAAGATGACCCTTGTTTGCTTACGACGACAACTTAAATCTGCATTGTTGTCTGTTGCATCTCGGCCTTAACTGACATCCGCGCAACCTCATATGGCCGAAGAGTGAGCTTTTCATATATTTGCAGGGCTGTCGCCGCCGCGAGGAACGCAACCTGCATTTGTACTTTTGCAGCAATGGAGGATCAAAAGGATGGCATTAATCCTTCCCAGGACCGTGGTGGAAGGGTCCTAGACACACGAGACGTGACCGATGAAGCTGGGTTGCTCCCAGAAAAGGCCTCCGTGTCCCAAGACTGGAAACTTGCTGATGTTGTGAGAGCAAAACACCAGAACAGTTTAGACAGTCTCCCAAGGGAGCGGAAGTTGGGTGTTACCTGGTCTAATTTAACGGTCAAAGTCGTCAGCGCCGAGGCGAGCATTCACGAGAATGGCTTGTCGCAGTTCAACATACCCCAAATCGTGAAGGAGTCTCGACAAAAGCCACCACTGAGGACGATTCTTGATGCATCTCATGGCTGTGTCAAGCCTGGAGAAATGCTCCTGGTTCTTGGTCGGCCCGGCTCCGGCTGTACAACGCTACTGAAGACATTGGCGAACAGAAGAGGAGGATATGACACCGTTGAAGGTGAGGTGTGGTATGGGTCCATGCCTCATAACGAGGCGAAAAGATACAGGGGTCAGATTGTCATGAACACCGAGGAAGAACTGTTCTTTCCCACCTTGACCGTGGGTCAAACAATAGACTTCGCCACTCGATTGAAAGTCCCTTTCCACCTTCCCAAAGGCGCACAATCTCGTGCGGAACACCAGCAAGCGACACGAGACTTCCTTCTTGAATCCATGAATATCTCTCACACCAAAGATACCAAGGTCGGTAATGAGTACGTGAGAGGAGTTTCCGGAGGGGAGAGAAAACGAGTATCCATCATCGAGACCTTGGCGACCAATGCTTCCGTCTTTTGCTGGGACAACAGTACCCGGGGACTAGATGCAAGCACAGCACTGGAGTACACCAAGGCTATCCGATCGATGACAGACATACTTGGTCTCTCTTCAATAGTGACGCTGTACCGTAAGTTTACCTACCTGACATAAGCTCATTTCGACCCAAGGTACACTATTCTAACCTTTACCAGAAGCTGGCAATGGTATTTTCGATTTGTTCGACAAAGTCCTGGTCCTCGATGGTGGTAAAGAAATCTTTTATGGCCCGAGAGAAGAAGCACGCCCATTCATGGAAGAAGTGGGCTTCTGGTGCCCACCTGGTGCAAACGTGGCCGACTTTCTTACTGGCGTCACCGTACCGACAGAGCGACAGATTCGAGAAGGCTACGAGGATAGATTTCCGAGAAGTGCCGACGACTTGCTGCAACATTACGAAAGATCTGATATCTATAAACGAATGGCCGCAGAATATGACTTTCCAAACACACCCGAAGCGGAGACGAATACCAAAGCTTTCCAGGAATCTGTTGTTTTTGAGAAGGACAAACGCCTTGCCCATTCAAGCCCACTGACAGCTGGATTTCTACCTCAGGTGCAAGCATGTGTGTTGCGCCAATACCAGATTCTTTGGGGCGACAAAGCGACATTTCTCATTAAGCAAATTTCCAACATTGTGCAGGCCTTGATCGCTGGATCGTTATTCTATAACGCGCCCAATAATTCGGCAGGTCTCTTCGTCAAGGGAGGTGCGCTGTTCTTTGCCCTTCTCTTCCCGAGTCTGGTCGCCATGTCCGAAGTCACCGACTCTTTCGCCGGTCGACCTGTCCTGGCGAAGCACAAATCTTTTGCCTTTTTCCATCCTGCCGCATTTTGTATCGCTCAAATCACCGCCGACATACCTCAACTACTGGTCCAGATCACTACTTTCTCTGTGATACTCTACTGGATGACGGGGTTGGCTGCGGCGGCCGACAAGTTCTTTTCTCTGTGGGTGATCCTCTTCGCCGCGGCTATGGTACGCCTAACCTCCCCTTCCTTTGCGGAAATCCGTACTGATTACGCATTTAGTGCATGACTGCGTGCTTTAGGGCTATTGGCGCGGCGTTCTCGACGTTCGACGCCGCTTCAAAGGCATCTGGTTTCGTTGTTATGACCGTCGTCATGTACGCGGGTTATTTGATCGCAAAACCTGAAATGCATCCTTGGTTCGTGTAAGTGATTCTACCCGTCTAGAAAGCATCGAATAGCACAGTGAATGTGGCTGACCGTATTTAGATGGATCTTCTGGATCAACCCTCTTGCATACGCATTTGAAGCCATCATGGGAAACGAATTCCACGATCGCCTGATTCCTTGCGTGGGCACCAACCTTGTTCCGACTGGGCCCAATTATAGTGATCCGCGATTTCAATCATGCACCGGAGTTCGCGGAGCTCAAAGCGGAGCAGTGTCTGTAACGGGCGATGCTTATTTAGAATCGCTCTCGTACAGCCACTCGCGACTATGGAGAGACTTTGGCATTCTTTGGGCTTGGTGGCTGTTGTTTGTTGCAATCACCATCATGTTCACGACTAGGTGGAAGTCAGACTCTGACAAGGGAAGCAAAGCCCTTGTTCCCCGCGAAAATTCTCACAAGTTGCGCCATATCCTGGGAGATGTTGAGTCACAGGTGCAAGAAAAGCAGGCCGTCAGCTCTGACTCGTCGCTGAAAGAACCTTCTTCCCCTGCAGACAACAGCGCTGAAACACTGGTCCAAAACACCTCCATATTTACGTGGAGGAACCTGAGCTACACTGTCAAGACCTCTCATGGCGAATTGAAACTCCTCGATAATATCCAAGGATGGGTGAAGCCTGGAATGCTCGGTGCTCTCATGGGAAGTTCTGGTGCGGGAAAGACAACACTTCTTGATGTGTTGGCACAGCGTAAGACCGATGGCACCATTCACGGCTCCATCCTTGTCGATGGACGGCCATTGCCTGTCTCCTTCCAACGATCAGCGGGGTATTGCGAACAGCTCGACGTGCATGAACCATACGCAACGGTTCGAGAAGCACTGGAGTTTTCAGCGCTTCTCAGGCAATCCCGTCAGACCCCGGCAAAGGAAAAACTCAAATACGTCGACACAATCATCGATCTCTTGGAGCTAGGAGACATCCAAGACACGCTCATCGGGTTTCCTGGCGCTGGACTTTCGATTGAGCAAAGAAAGAGAGTTACGATCGGGGTAGAGCTCGTGGCGAAACCAAGCATTCTGATCTTCTTGGATGAGCCGACGTCAGGTCTCGATGGGCAGTCAGCTTATAACACGGTCCGCTTCCTCCGAAAACTCGCCGATGTGGGCCAAGCTGTGTTGGTGACGATTCATCAGCCATCGGCTCAACTCTTTGCGCAGTTCGACACGTTGCTCCTGCTTGCGAAGGGCGGGAAGACCGTATACTTTGGCGATATCGGGGACCAAGCCAGCGTCGTGAAGGATTACTTTGCTCGATACGGTGCTCCATGCCCTTCTGAGACCAATCCCGCAGAGCACATGATCGACGTTGTGTCCGGCCACCTATCTCAAGGACGAGACTGGTCCAAGGTGTGGTTGGAATCAGAGGAACACAAGAACGTCACCAACGAGCTGGATGGCATGATCGCCGAGGCGGCCTCCAACCCTCCAGGCACCCACGATGACGGGTTCGAGTTTGCTATGCCACTGTGGTCACAGATCAAAATCGTCACCCACAGAATGAACGTTGCCCTGTACCGCAACACCGACTACACGAACAACAAGTTCGCTCTTCATGTCTCCAACGCCCTCTTCAACGGCTTCTCCTTCTGGATGATCGGTGACGGTTTGACAGATATCCAATTGAAACTCTTTACAATTTTCAACTTCATCTTCGTCGCACCGGGGACCATCGCCCAACTACAGCCTCTCTTCATTGAACGCCGCGACCTCTTCGAGACCAGGGAGAAGAAATCTAAGATGTACAGCTGGGTCGCCTTTGTTACAGGCCTGGTCGTTTCGGAGTTCCCTTACCTCATTATCTGCGCCTTCCTGTACTTTGTGTGTTGGTACTACACTGTCGGATTTCCCAACAACAGCAACAGTGCTGGCGGCACATTCTTCGTCATGCTCTTCTACGAGTTCCTATACACGGGCATTGGTCAGTTCATCGCCGCATACGCTCCAAATGCGGTCTTTGCAGCCCTCGTCGATCCTCTCCTCATCGGCGTGCTCGTTTCCTTCTGCGGCACTCTTGTGCCCTATGCACAGATCCAGGCTTTCTGGCGCTACTGGATGTACTGGATGGATCCTTTCACTTATATTATGGGATCCCTACTTTCATTCGCCGTCTGGGACTCGAAGATCACTTGCAAGGAGAACGAGTTCGCCTTGTTCGACACCCCCAACAACGTCACTTGTCGCGAGTACCTGGCTGGATACTTGCAGACACCACACGGTCAGCTAGCTAACCTCGTCAACCCGGATGCGACGAGCGGGTGTCGTGTGTGTGAGTACAGGACTGGTGCTGATTACTTGTATACACTCAACTTGAAGCACAAATATGTCGGGTGGCGAGACGCTGCGATAGTGGTCATCTTCGTCTTCAGCTCTTATGCTTTGGTCTACGCACTGATGAAGCTTAGGACGAAACAGAGTAAGAAGGCTGAGAGCTGAGCTGAGAAGAGCCATTGGGGAGAGAAGGGTAGACTGTAATTCTCGTGGGCGTTTGATTGATTTGGACGGGATAGACTTGGGTACGGATGAAGAGGAATTATAGACTTATAGATTAGAACTCTTTCGTGTGTACGTTGATACTGATATTGTAATAGATAGAGAGTGCAGTCTAGGAGGAAAACAGTCCATTCTTCTCATTTCCAATCCTAGTAGCAACCATACCCATATCTGACATTGTCTTCTCCCACCACATAGGACATACTCCTCTCTTCGCATCCGCATTCAACCCTGAGTATGCAACAGGTTTGTGGCTAGATAGCTCTCAAAACGACGATTGTCTTTTCTTGTGCAAAATAATCTCATCTAAATCTTACTGTTGCTGCCAACACTACGGCCATTCTTCCCTTTTGTGTTCCCAGGGACACCTCCGACCATGTCGACCCACCGCGCGTCGACCTCTTGCCTCTGGCTTTTCGATTTGGCGTGCCACATGCTCCGAAACTCGCCTTCGTCCTTCTTCCAGAGGCTCAGCTGCCGGTCAAGCCAGTCCGCCACCACCTCGGCCGTGCGCCGCGGAGCTTCCATCGGTATCAAGTGTCCGACGCCGTCGAAAGTGACACCCTCCACTCGCCCTGCTGCCACGCCGCCACTGCCGCCCACCGCCGTGCCCGTGGCAGCGAGCTTTTCGGCGTTGAGCCTGGCGTCGGATATCGACGAGTCGCTCGCGAAGACGTACAGCGTGGGGGGGCGTAGTTCGCCCAGCCGTTCAAAGGCCCGGGTGAACGCAGGCCCATAAAAGGGGTAGATGTGTCTCCACTTGGGGTCCAGGTCTGGATGGGTTTTCTGGTTCACCGGGGTGCCGTCCACGCCGTAGCCGTCAAAGTTGGGCCGCAAGAGCGCGAAGGCTTCTTGGGACGGCGGCGTGGTAAGGACGACGGCGGCGGGTGTGGGTGCTGCCGGTGCTGCTGCTGCCGTTGTTATATCTCTGCCCGGGCCCTCGTCCCTGTTCGAGCTCTCGGGAGCGACGGACACCTCGCGAACGCCGTACTTGACCCAGCGGTCCAACGCTCGCGGGTCCCATGACTTGTGGAACGGAGAGCGCGCGAGGTCGGCGGCCGCGGCTTCTCGAGAAGGCCAGGCACGCTGGCGGAAGAGGGCAAACTGTAAGGGACGGAAGTCGATGGTGCCGGCTTTCGTCTCGACGAGGCGCGGCTGGACGACCGGGTCGAGGAGAACGAGAGTCGTGAAGAGTCGGGGATGGTAGAGTGATGCCGAGACACTACAGAGACCAAAGAATCGTCAGAGCTAGTTAGGACCCGGGCCACATGGGTATAGATAATGGATGGTCTGCGCGACCTAGCATGTAGGTACGATCGTGACGTACAGGTACAGTCCGCCCATGCTGTGTCCTATACCGATGATGGGCCGAGGCATCTCCTCACGCTTGATGTTGACGAGGTTCACGATGTCGCGGGCATAGTCTGAATGGCTTGGATCGTCGCCGAGGAGGTCCTCATTCAACACGCCGCTGGCGCCCTGGCTGGCGACATCGGCGATCCAGATGCTTCGGATCCGGACTGATGCTTTCGATGCGAGGAGGACCCGCGATAAATCCTCCCAGAGAGGCTCGTAGAGTTCTTTGGGGAACGCATTGCCCGGTGCGGCGATGATGGTGACGTCGCCTGGTCGGGGATGAGGGTTGTCGAGAGGAATGTACTGCTTGACGGCCAGATGGAGCGTGTCTTCCTGCTCGTTTGCTAGCGCTTGAGGGTATTCGCGAATATATTGACATGGCACTTTGTGTTCGACTGTGCGGAACGGAAACATGATGACATGGTCAGAACGGTTGAGAGTGCAAGTTGCGGATGGGATGATCTTTGGAGTATGTGAAACGGAATACCGAGTGCGGGTTTGATGCGGTGTCGAGTCCAGAGCAACTTCAAATGATGTGGTGGTGATCAATAATCAATGCCTCGGCCAGTGTGGGGCTATATATAGACATACTGTATTGTATTGTAGACCAGAGGACCCCGCCTCAGCCTTGTCGCGTACCCACCTCCAACATCCTCTGTAGAGTTGTTGCCTCTTTCGCTGGGCAAAAGATAAACTGCAACGAGATATGGCTCGAGAAATTGACATCTTTCGGTGTCTGGCTTCCCGTTTGCTACCTTTGGGCACCAGCCACGGGCGACCCACCTCACTTTCACAGGGAGGTACGTATGTCGGCGCAGGGACCGAGGCTGACGAGGCTGAGAAGAAACCCCTGATGGCCCCCAAGACCCGTGTCATGATCTTCACTCCTGTGGCCATGTCCGGACAAGAACGCCTAGCTTGGTGTTGCATTTCATTGTGGCTCAGGCTCCTCGTATCCTCCAACCCTTTCCGGGAGAAAGTCCCATTTCCCCAGATGATGCATGGATAGTATAAGTAGACCCGTCTTGTCCTCACCATTTTCAGTCTTGCTCCTCGAACATCACCGATCAAGCGTCGCGAGATTCCACTAAAGCAAACATAACATTTATTCCACATTAGCGGTCATACTGGGCAACTTACATCGGAAACAACCAGGACCGAAGACATCTTCACCTTGAGATTGAACCCCACTCAACATGTGTTTCACCGACGACATAGATTCCAAACCACCCCCAAGACCAAGAGATGTCGCTGAACGATCTGACCCCAAATACTTAGCCGCTCTGGATGCATATGCCCAGGAGCAAGAAAGGCGGAGGCAGAAGAAAAAAAGAAGCAGACGAAATGGAGTTATCGCTGCGGCTGCTGCGAGTTCCGGAGCTGCAAGTTGCGGAGGCTGTTGAACAATGATTCTCACAACCTATGAGCAACGACATGGTGTTTGAGTTTGATCGAGAGAGAGCAGGGAGGTCATATGCTGGAGTTGTCTATTATTAGACAGACTTGATCACGCTATATTTAGACTGCTCGTCGATGCTGCATGACTGGAGCGCCTGAATAGTCATTTGGTACTGAAAAAATGCTTGTCTTCAGTTGGTCATATTCACAAATCTCCAGAATGAATCATCGTCGAATGAACCCCGGAACTGGCCAGACAGCGGTTGGTTAACAGTAGAGCTGCTAGTCACGGGTTGATCCAGCGAAGCAGGGTACTGGAAAGATCCATCAATTGCTAGGTCACAATAGGTGAGATCGGCTGTTGGTCGCAAGGGAGTGTCGTTGAAGGAATAAGCCATCTCTCCGCGAACTTGACCTGCATCGACGCTCCTATTGTACATGGTGAGAGACGGCCAATCTGCCAGGCTACCAACTGCGTCGGGGTATTGCACCTGTTCGTCCACACCGGTCCCGGCTGTGTTGGCTCGAAAGGATTCCTTGCCAGAGCTTTGCGTAATGTGATCCAATGCCTCCATGACGGAGGCAGGGGTATGGGTACTGGCAGTCAATGCCTGCACATGCTTTTTCTCCGCTCGGGCTAACAGGCTCTGTATCACATCTGCACCCTGTCCAGCGACTATGTTTGAATCACGTATGTGGTTCAGCCTCCATCGCGTCTCTCTTATGCATCGGAACGCTTCTGGAACCAGTCCCTTCTCCTCCTCGGGGTATGTTATCAGGACGGCCAACATCGAAACTGCTGGGTCTACGCTGATATAGGCGAGGGTAAACAGCTTGTAGTGGTGAGGTTGGAGGCTGCGGAAATATCTTTGTTGTGCATGAAGCAAGTGTATTCCGGCCTTCATGATCACGCTTCGGCTTCTCGCGACAGAGAAGATATAGGTCCTGTGGAGGAGCAGCAGGAAAAGCCATGCATTCGAACTCAAATACTCCCTTTGAGCAGGCAGCCAAGGGCACTGGTCGTCGAAAGAGGTATCTGGGTTTCCTGACCGATATATGGGAGGAATATTGTCTATGAATTCTATAGCTCGTTGGTGAAGTCGTTCGACCTTACTGTAGTCTCGCGGATATGGTCCTTCGGCTTCAAGCGCTTTTATATCGTGTATGTGCGATATCAGCTGATATTCCAGTTGATGTAATGTGAATACCGAGGGCTTATCGAAAGGACTTCGCGGGGATGGCGCTATGGCTTTCCTGTCTCTTGGAACTTCGCAGTCGGTTGGAGGTATTATCAAGCAGTCTTTGACTGACAACGTCAAGCTCTTGCCAAGAACCATGCCCATCTCACTGGCAAATGTAAGTAGCTAAATTGGCACCTCGATGATGCTCACCTATCCCAAAGAAAAAGATTAAGCATGGTCCGCCGGCGCATGAGGGTTTTCCATAGTTGTTCGCACACATTTTCAACACCATCTGCATAGAGCTTGCCTTCATCTCTGTGCAGGCCGATTTCTTGCGCATCCATGACAGTCTGCGCAAGTGTATGCCATGACTCCGCAATTGCACCACGGTTTTTCAGCCATGCGACCATAAGAAATTCTGCTTGAATATAGGTCAGGCTAATAGCGTCTTTGCCTAGAAGTCCCAGCAACTGCTTGGTGGGACAACGATGCTCGTAGTTCTGCTCATCTCCTGGGATGCCCCACAGGCACGAAGAATGGAGACTTCTAGAGCCATCGGGTGGTAGAAATTGTAATGCCAGGGCTAGCACTATAAAGATTAAAGCTGGGATTGTGACGAGGTCAGTAGGAATGCTGTGATAGAATTCGGACAGGTCATCGATAGGTTGCTGGTAATACTTCTGCAATTGTTCATCGAAGAAGCTACGTTCCAGGATGGCATATTGCCAGTTGAAATCTTGGAAAAAGACACCGACCAGATGATTCACACATCCGTGACATGGTAAACGCCTGATGATAGACCTGTATATCTCAAACGAGGAGTGGTTGAGCTTGACAGTATTGTTCTTCTGGGCAACGCTGCGCGTAATGCCTGTTTCGAGTTGTTCCAGTTTCTTGACAATGCCTAGAGTATTGTGTGCGTTGACATGAGAATAGCCGAAGGAAGTTAGATATGAGTGGTCGTTTTGAGGACTTGGCTCTTGAGACTTCTCTCGGGAGCTTCCCGTTGCCGAAGCACCCGATTGTGCTACACGCCTATGGTGTATCAGTAGGTTGTGATGGTCCACGTAAAGTACTCACTCAGGGTCGACATCTCCGTAATTACATGAATCTTGTTTGCCCCGGAAGACACAAGTCATGCAAGGTTTACGTCGATTGCACTGGCAGCAAGTTAGCCTTGGGCGCGGCAAAGGTGATGAGCGCGAAACTCCAAAGAGTCCATCTACCTTCTGTTTGTTGTGACGACAATTGGTGCAGCTGAACGTAATCCGGTTCCGTTTCTTCGTCGTTGTCTCACTCATGCTATCTGAGGCTAGTTTGCGGATTTCCACTTATCGCCGCGGACATAAACCCCAGGTCATGACAGGGTTGAAGGCGTTTTCGAGTATGGTCGGACGAGGTGTCTTCCGACCAGAGTGTATCTCATATCTTGCAAGTTGGCCTCAGGTCATTTTCTGAGGATGCTGCGCTGGCTTGCAGGGACTAGGGAGTTTGCTGCTCCAGAGATTTGATTATTCAGCATCTTTGGGGTCATTGGGGTTCTGGATGCCGAGTTTCTGCCCATCTATGTGTCTGCGGTCGGCGGTCAGCCATAAACTCATTCCTTATTCCTGGCATCATTTATTTACCCGGCACAAAATCCATTGCCCCGGATTGGAAAACGTGAGTTCATCAATGTCAGCTGGAGGATGACGATACCTCACCCGCCAGATATTAGGTTACTTTCTTTGTAAACTCTGTAGAGTTAGAATACGCAGCTCATCAGTGAAGACCACCGGTAGGATGTGACATGTAGACTTAGGCCAGGCATCAAAGGAAACCTACAAGTCCTCCCCTGGATTTTGCCTCGAAACTACTTAGAGGACTGCGAGTGGCACGCACTGAACCACGGCGATAGTCCTTAAGTAAATCCGAGCGCTAGGCCATAAGGACTTTTTCAATCAAGAGAGGTTGCAAAGCCGCAGGAAATATGTGCAATGCGCCATTTGTTGACCGGTAGAATTCCCCACTGGAGGGATTCCCCTTTGTCGATCATAGAATGTTACATCCTCTTCGAAGATATCGGTGTGGGAACAGAATCGATATGGAAGCAGTCGAGGTGGCTAGTCAGCATCTGAGGCTGGCCACGGGTAATACGAAGTCTTGTTCATTGATGCTGTTGTTCGGACTGACCATCCATAGTCATTGACGCAGGAACGCAAAGGCATGTCGACGTTGAATCCATCAATCTGTGTGATTTCGCGAAGGAAATGGACATGTGGCTGTTTTGCCAATACGATTAAGCGGCCGCGTCGAACATGATTACGTGACAAGGTGCGAGACTCGGCTGACTTGCTCGATACCTCAATAAGGTATCCGTACTGCATATAGCGCACGGATTAGCGACTACTGTGATAATAAAGTCCGGCTACAGCGGCTGAACCGAGACGAGGCGCGGGTCAACAGCTTCGTACAACCATCATGGACTGTGGCACTTTAATATCCGTACTCGCATGAGCATGTCTAACCGCAACATCCACCCCCCCCGCTCGGGCATGTCATTTTCGTTGATCGGCAATATGACAAAGCACACGTCCCTTCTGGCCACTGTCCAACTGGATCCTTTCCATTCGCCTGCAGCCACATGAGCTAATCATGTCTTTTCCTGATGAAGACGCAAGCCTCGTACTCGTACGGAGTCATAGTTACGAACACCAACATCTATAATGGACAAGCCTATAACTAGATGACAACGTTCGCAGATTTTTCCGTCCACCGTTTCCAGGAAGTAAACCGTCCATCCGCAGGAAGTATAGAAAGAGCCTGGCGCATCAGCCTAGCAGTCTTTACCAGAATAAAGTGGTGACTTCAGATACAATGGACGACATTGAAAAGGCGGAGGGCCAAGATGATCGATCTTCCTCAAGTCTCAGCTCAAGCGAAGCGCTGTCTCGGACACAAACTGAAGGAGATCTTGCAAAAGCAGAAACGGTAGCTGACGGGATATATGCGCCGATAACGACATCTGCCTCCAACCCTCGATCAGTGACCAGGACTGGACTGTCGCACATTCAGACAGGTGCATCCATCACCGATGGCTTCGCCCACTACAACTTGGATGACCCGGAAGAAGACAAGATCGATGATGCGCTGACCGCCAGGAGGACTCCCTCGGACGCATACGAGGTGCGATGGAACGGAAAGAGCGACCCCCTGTCACCTCGAAATATGGGCGCGCCTCGCAAATGGCTTATCACTGTGATTCTTTCGTCGTCCGCTTTCCTGGTGTGAGTGCGAGTCCGAGCTTCGAGGAAAAAAGGACATTGCATGCTGACCTTGGCCCTAGGACATGCACTTCGTCAATATACACATCTACCTACGAGCAACTGATCCGCGACTTCAATACATCAAGAGAAATCGCAACTCTGGGCTTGACCTCATTCGTGATAGGCCTCGCCATGGGTCCGATGTTTCTCGCTCCAATGTCAGAGGTACACTTCCGACAACAACTTTTTGAGCATTTGACACTGACAAATACTGCCAACTTAGTTCTACGGCCGCCAACCAATCTACGTCGTCTCCATGGTCATGTTCACTATCTGGCTGATTCCAGAGGCGGTCGCTCAGGGTATGGCCACGATGATCGTCGGTCGATTCTTCAACGGCGTTGCTGGCAGCGCTTTCCTTGCTGTGGCAGCCGGGTCCATCGTAGACATGTTCGAACCCTCTCAGATCGCTTTCCCCATGATGATGTTCAGTGGCGCTCCATTCCTGGGTCCAGCAGCGGGTCCTATCATCGGAGGCTTCATAAATCAGTTTACGACTTGGTGAGTTTCCTTATATTGCGACCTCTAAAGACAAGCTCATTACGGTACTAATGCGTCCCTTTCCAGGCGGTGGACATTCTACACCCTACTCATCTGGTCCGGCACGCTGACAGCGGCGGTGATCGTTTTCGTACCCGAAACATATCCCAAGGTCCTCCTCAAGCGCAAAGCCGCCAGCAAGCGCAAAGAATCAGGCAACGAACGATGGTGGGCTCCTCTCGAAAGACACGACGCGTCGATTCTAAGCACAGTCCTCCACTCTTGCGCTACACCCTTTAAGCTCCTTATCCTCGAACCGATGTGCCTCCTTCTCTGCCTGTACTCGGCTATCCTGTTGGGAATTGTGTATTTGTTCTTCGGTGCCTTTCCGTTGGTGTTCAGCGACAACCACGGCTTCCAACTCTACCAGATCGGTCTGACCTTCTGCGGCATGGGCATCGGCATCCTGGTTGGAGTTTTTTCGGGCCCATTGTGGCAGAAGAACAACAGACGTCTGATCGCCAATCTCGAAGCGAGGACAGGGCAAAAGTGTATCAGACCGCCTCCGGAGCTCCGGCTCGTCCCTGCCATGCTCGGGGCCTTCTTGGTACCCATCGGGCTATTTTGGTTCGGATGGACGACGTATTCGAGTGTTCATTGGATTGTGCCAATTATTGGATCCGGCTTCTTTGGCGCAGGGTACGCAATTCTTCTTCGCCTCTCACTTCTTACACGGTTGGCCAGGGTACTAATTCTGGGGTCAAACAGTGTCTTTCTAGCTTTCAACGGCGTACTCACATTCCTCGTTGATGCCGTAAGTGCCACGGTCCACCCACATGTATAGTGGTACTATGAGAAGAAAACCATCTAACTTGAACTTTTTGGAAACCAGTATGCCAACTATGCAGCCAGCGCCGTCGCCGCCAACGTCCTTGTCCGGCTCATTTTCGCCGGTGCGTTTCCGTTGTTCGGAACACAGAGTGAGTCTTTTCATCTCTCAGACGTGGACTTGGGACCGAGACCAAGGTCTAAAACTTCACCAAGTCGCAACCTATTAGTATACGGTATTGACCACTTCTTCGCGCAGTGTATGAAAATCTAGGATATCAGTGGGCGTCATCCCTCCTTGCATTTCTCGCTCTGGCATGCTTGCCTATGCCGTAAGTCTCAAGTCTCCTCCAAGTTCTACAGTCCAGCGAGCGACGGGCGGGTACTGATTGTATGTTGCCAGATTCCTCTTTTTCAAGTATGGCGAGAAAATCCGGAACCGAAGCAAGTTCGGCACATCGAACGAGACGTCGTAACTGGTTTCGACATTCTCCGAACGGACCGTTTATTTATTTATTCTTTCATCATTTATTGTTCTTCTTCCTCCTACTCAGTTTAACGAGTTGTCGAAGCATGGCGGCATATAGAAGGTACCTCATACCACGGTGTTTGGGTTGTCGTTTCTAAAATACCCTCGAGCGATGATGTTGCATTTTCAGGAGCAGCGGTCCAAAAAAGTGAGAACGGCCGCTTAGTATGGTTTCATATACCTGGGCATAGCCAAAATAGATCTAATCTGTAATGTTTTTGCATCTCCATGTTCATGTTCATTGTCATACGGTGTCGGAGCGAGACCATGGCAATGCGAATGCGGGTATCTGTCTACCCACCTTCTTACTTATACCCACCGCCCATTAGACCCAACCTACAGGGGAGGGGGAGTGATGATAAATGCACTGCGATCCAAAGTTGGCCCAAAAAAAGGGAGCCCAAACACAGACATAAGGGATTTGACGGTTTCGACACTCATCGTCTCATGGGATTGGTTGATTCTGAGTGATTCTTTGGTTGGGTCTCGAGAATCCCATTGTCCTGGTCTCGACCATCTTGACATCGTCAAATAGGAGCTTCTTTTTTCTACTTCCTGCCAAAAAAACTACAGGTCATTCTTCCGTAATACGACCACCGGATAGAATCTATATGCACAGGCAAAGCGTCCATGCACGCAAGCATGGCTGTAACAGGGTACCAGAAATCCTGAGTCCCTTGGTAAGTCTTTTTTCGCCCTTTTCGGCCGTCCCCACGGGCCTCCCACGCGTTGAACCGTAATCCCCACAGGTATGCGTCAACCGAGTATCTGTATGTTCATCATCCATGTGTCAGTCTAATCTAGTTCTTGGCCTTCTCAATCTCAGCCAGACCCGACTTCAGTGCATTCAAGGCCTTGTCGATCTCTCCTCTCGACTCGTCCATGGCAGTCACGCCCATATGACCAAACCGAATATACCTGGCCGCAATCTCCTTGTGCAGACCACCTGCGAAGACCACGCCCTGAGCCATCAGCTTCGGAAGGATCTCGGGAGGAGTCAGACCCTCAGGTAAATAAATTGCCGTCATGGTGTTGGCGGCATTGGCAGGGTCGATTGGGAGTTGCTTCAGGCCCATCTTCATGATTTCGGACTTGACGTACTTGCTGATCTTCTGATGTTGGGCGACGCGGGCCGCAATGGGCTGGGAGAGCAGTTGCTTCAGGGCCGTGTTGAGAGCCTGCACTAGCTGAGTGGGAGGGGTGGCAAAGTATGACGGTTTCTTCGCCTCGTAGTTCTGCATGATGGGGACCCAGTTCTTGAAGCTGGCATAGTAGCTGCCGGGGGGCGACTTGCGGGACTTGAAGACGTTCATGGCCTTTTCGGAAACCATCATGATCGAGAGACCAGGCGGGCAGCCGATGGCCTTTTGTGACGCAGTCAAGGCGACGTCGATGGCCATGTTGTCAAAGTGCAGCTCCTCGGCACCGACCGAGCAGACACCGTCGACGACCAGTAGCGTGTCCGGGGAGACTTTGCGGATGAGATCGGCCAGCGGCTGAATGTGCGACAAGACACCAGTGGAGGTGTCGACGTGGGTGACGGTCACGGCCTTGTACTTCTTTGCCTTCAGTGCAGCCTCGATCTCTGGCAGTTGTGGTCGGTCCCCAATTGGAGCCTTGAGCTGTGTGGGTTTTGCGCCGTAGGTCGACAAGCAGTCCGCAAACGAGTCTGCAAAGTAGCCGCTGTGTAGCACCAGGACATCCTCACCGGGCTCGACAAGGTTGGCAGCCACCAGGTCCCAGCCCAATGTGCCACTTCCTGCAATCACGAACGGCTGCGAGCCGGGGTTCTTCGTCTGGAACAGGTCGCGGAGAAGCGTCAAGGTCTCGCCAAAGACATTTACGAAAGGCTGGCCGACGTGCGACTGGGCATAGTAACTCATCGACTGAGCGACTTCATCGGTGATCTCGATAGGTCCTGGGATCAGGAGCGAGGGATGAGCGGCTTGGGTAGACATTTTGGGCGACGCGGAGGTCGATAGTTCTCGCTTTTGGACGAGTGATGGTGTGAGCGGTCGCGGCGGGTTGTAGGGTAGGTCGTCGGTTGACGCGGGGAGAGAATCTCGCTCGATGCTGTAGGGAGTGTTTATGGGCGGATAGGAAGACTGGTGATGCTCGTCCAGATGTCTCGAGATCAAACTCAAGCGAGCAGCAGGAGACCGTGAAGGAGCCAGCTTGACGACTGTGGGGGAGGGGGACCCGAACTGATATTGGGTGTGTGACGGTATGACGGGACGATTCAGCGGCCGGTGAAGGCGGCGGCGTGCGGGGGAAACACCGAGAGCAGACGAAAGCGACAATGTCCGGAGAGAGCGAAGGTGCGATAACGGAGGAGACGACAGGGAAGACAGCGAATGTGCGGAAGAGGGAGAGATTGCGACGGAGGCTCGCGCCATCGAGTATTTCAACCTCGTCCGTAGGAAGGAAATCCAATGTACTCCACGTCGTGGTGGATTAATTCCTCGCAAGAATAAAAACAATTATGAGTCTTTGACAAATTTTTCTGGCGTGTTGGAGGAATCCAGGGGGGCTCGATCTCGCTTCGGGGGTCGCAGCGCCTCCAAAACAAGGCAACGTTCGAGGCTCCGCGGCTTAAGTAGCGCCTCGTACTCGTACTTGAAGAGCCCCCAAGTTGGGGATCACAGGGAGCAACCGCAGCCCCTGTTCGGCCTATGGCGACACGGACAACTAAGCGAAAGGGCCACGCGCCGCACTTGAAACTGCAGATTTCCGATTCGTCTACCGGAAGAACTAAAAGCCGGAACACCACGTGGTCGTCCTGCCAACTCCCGGTCTGACATCTTTGTACGGAGTACCTCGTACTCCTGACCACGGTTGTCTCCAAGCAAACCACCCAAACCAACCAACCATTCATCCCCAGATCCCACCTCTGTCCTTCGGCGGTCTCCGATTGCATCGCCGCATCGTCTCTCACAGATCAAAGTCAATGTCATCTGCAAATCCGACATCGTCTTCAATGTCAATGATGTCTTCTTCAGGGTCAACCTCCTCCTTCTCCTCTTCTTCTCGTCGGATCTCCTCCTTGACGGCATCCGGCAGATGCATCTTGACGTACCGGTTGATCATGATGTTGACGTTGTCTGGAAGCTGGCTGGACGAGATGCACGATGGCAGATCCCCACTCATGCGTATGGCAGGATAGACCGTCTCGACGAGCCCTTGCAACTCATTGTACCTCGCCTCCGGCAACCTTCCCATGTACTTGTCGTTGAAGTCTTTCATTTCCTCAGTCACCACATGCTGTGGGACGTTGATGTTCATATCCTTGGTAAGGTCACGTCGTTTCGCATGTTCTTGGATGATACCGTTGATGCCGCGGGTCACGTCACTGCTGAGGTCGTCTGGTCCGTACGGCTCCGAGTTGATGTGTTTGTGGTAAAGCGCTGGTTGTCTACTCTTGAACAATAGAAGGATATCATTCTCCACGTCCAGATCACGCTCCACCTGGGTGAAATGCTTGATGGTGTTGAACATTGCCACACGCTCCTCTTCTGACACGGGGCCTTGTTGTTGGATGTTCTTGTTTGGTCCAGCGCCACTCAATGGTCGAGCCATCTTCTGCGCTGTCGTGAGTTGCGTTCTGTGTCTATAACGCCTGCCACGCTTTTGAGGGTTCTGTCGTCCCTTCTTGGACTTGACAGGTGCCATCTTTTCAAGCAGCCAAAGGGGGTGGTTCAACGATGCAACGATGTTGATCAGGCGCGGTCAAAGCAAGGAGAACAGGCCGGCGTGGGAAGGATTACGGAAGAGGCGCGCTGTGGAAGAAGAGTTGTTTGAAGTTCCCTAATCATGATTGTTTCTGCGTGGATATGGGCGTGTCTCATTCATTCAACGCAAAGACTGATCGCCGCGGCGATGGTCGCTTGAACCGTCACAGGCCCAATCCATGAGTGTGGCTTCAAGCCTATCTACACACATATATATTGGTGACAGTCCAACCCAGCTGCATGTCATCAGAAGCACCCTCTCCTGAGTGTCTTTGTGCAGAGACAGAATAGTTCTGCAATGGACAATGGTATGCATCCTGAACAGCCATGTCCTGTCTACGCACTGTTCAGCTCCCGATAGTGCTGTGCGTTAGCCACGTACATCGATGAAGAACGAGGAGTAGTTTCATATGACCAAGGCGGAAAGCAAGGGCACTCCTTTGTGCACCTGCTAGTCTCCAACACTGTGTGTTTTCGTCGGCACAAATGACCTAACAAAGGCTGTTGGGATCTTCGTTCTGGAAAGACAAGGTGCTGGTCAAGAACTAACGGCAGGGGAATACGAAGTACGAATGTAAGATTTGGGCTGCCGCCTTTACTTTTTGCTGAATTGCTGATACATCACCTCTCATTCAGGCTATTCTTCGACTCGTATCTGGTGCCTCGGCAGCATCCATGCAGGAAGTCACTGGGCAAACCCCAATAGGTGCTGTCTCCAAAATTCGCTGCTGCTGTATAACTAGTTTGCTGTTTCTCAAGACTCGGTTGAACTGATGCTCCGGGGCCCGGGTGGAGCTGATGCGGACGAGATACAGTATGTCAGCATGGGATTTGCCGTCGTGCCTTGTCTGAATGGGGAATTTGCCTGAATTGGAATTGGTAGGCCTGGTTCAAGAGTCAAAATCAAAGTACATCAACAGTCCGATTGACATTCAACAACAATCAACCCGACCCATGGCTTCTGTAACGCCAGTCGCTTCCAAAAGGCTACCCTACAATGGCCCGACTTATGTTCATGCTCATCCGCAACTGGGCAACCTGACAGGGCGTTCAATCAGTTCAAGCCATTTTGGAAGATCGTCCACACCCTCTACAACAGTGCAGTTCCGCTCCATCCCGTACGCTACAATTCCAAAGCGGTTCGCTGCCTGCAGGACATTGACCGAAATACCGTCCGACTTCGATGGACGACCACACCGTGACTTCACCCAGTTTGGTGCAGCGAATCCTCAGCTTGCGGGAATGAGGTCTACCTGGTTCGACTCATACGGCGGTCCTTTGCAAGATGACTTTGACATCGACTTTGACGAGTTTACTTGTCTCACGACGACGATTTCGGTGCCCCAACAACACCTGATAGACCTGGTCGAGGGTAACACCCAAGTCCGCCTGCCGGTGATGGTATACATCCATGGCGGTGGAGCGCAAGAGGGTGTAGGGGCGGTGGATGGACTTCATTCAAACGCTCCACTGGCTACATATGCTTCGTCGATATCGATGCCCGTAATCACTGTCAATATTGGCTACAGACTCGGCTGGTTTGGGAGCATGGTCTGTCGCGACGTGCTGGAGGAGTACAGTTCCGACCCGAATCCCAGTCCACATGGGCCTTTCAACCATTGCATCCAAGACCAGCGTGCTGCGTTCTCGTGGATCCACCAATTCATTGGCGGCTTCGGTGGAGATGAATCCAATGTCACGGCGTTCGGCGAGTCAGCAGGAGGTATCTTCCTGGTTTACCACATCGCAGGATCTAACGAGAAGTTGTTCAATCGTGCCATCATCCAGTCAGGAACTGTGTTAGGTCATGCACCCTTCGAGCTGAAGGAATTAGAATATCAGGGTCTGTTGAAGACGTTCAACGTCACTGGGTCAACGCCGCAAGAAAGACTGGAGCAGATCAGGCAAATCCCCGCGGATCAGTTGATAAAGTACCCTGGTGCCCATATCTTTCCTTTCGTCGATGACATCCCCGATTTACACGTACGCCAACCTCTGTTCGCACGTGGACCAGTGACATACACAAGCCAAACGGCATTGATCCAGTCGTGCGAATGGCTGGAAGAGCTTGTCATCGGTGACGATTTCTGGGAAGGGCACCTCATGACGGATTACGTCCGCTCTGCCACCGCTCCGGCGTTTGTAGCGGTGTTGCTGTCGACATTCCCTGAACCGCAGGCCGCGAAACTTCTCGAGGCCTATGACATGCCGAGCACGGTTGATGCGGCCGAGACTGCCGACCAGAACCTGTTCTTGCGCAATCTGACCCTTCTCGTCGGCGACATGATGTTTTCAGGCATGATCCAACGGCTCACGACTACGCTGGCGCGTGACAAGTCGCGGAAGGTGTACCGCTACGCTTTCGGCCTGTCGAACCCGTTCGTGGGATCGAACCACAGTTTCGTGACCGGTCACCACTATGTGGAGATCTTGTTCATTTTCCTCACGCTGTTGGATCGGTATCCCAGGCATCGCGACAACTGGCTGGCGAAGCAAGCATGCGAGACGGCGAAGCGCTGGATCACGTTTGCACATGGCCAGGCACCGTGGGACGAGTATACGCTTGAAGCCGGGCAGGACGAGATGCAAGGGAAGATTGCAATCTGCGATGACTTCAAGGGGTGGCATGTCAAGACGCTCGAGGAAGATGAGGAGGAGGGTAAAACGTACCCGGCAGGACCCAGGAGGTATGCGGCGTGGCAATGTTACAACGAGGCACTAGAGGCATTGCTGGGACCGGACATGAGCGAAGAGGAGTGTCGGAGGAAGATGGACAGTGCCAGCTTGAACGTCCTCATGTATCTGTTGTCGTTGACGAGGAAGGACGAGACGAATATTGAGGGAGGTGAGAGATTGACGAGTGCGCTGGCGGAGGAGCCGTGAGGCCAGACGGCGTGGACCTTGAGAGTCAAGTTCAAAAAGACAAAGACTGGGCAATACTCTCTGACCTTTCACTATGGAACGATCGAGGGGGTGGTGCCACCTCTACCTATCCCTATCTACTAGACTCTTTGTACTCCCTTCACGATGTTCCGGAAACGCTGTTTAGTCAGCGAAATATTAATGCCGACTACGTTGACAGAACGCACTAACTAAATCTTGGAAACTCCAACCAAACATCTCTCGTAAGTCTCTCCCAAACAATCAGATCAATGTTCCATCCGGCGGCTTTTGAATTCCCGTCCATTGCCATTCTACATGACGGTGCTTGTGCAGTTGCACAAACCTTGATTGTGTATCTACTTTGCCTTGGACCTCTATTAACCCAGGTTCCGCGGGTGCGGATTTAATACGTCCGAATGATGCCACTCAGTCTACAATTCAGGGTCCGTGGAGGGGAGATCAAAGCCATGGGTACGTTGACTGTCGATATCTACGTAGGTGACATATACAGAGTATAAAAAACGGTAAGTCTTCCACACCGGCAGTTTGTATTGTCGATCGAGGATATATAGACACCATACTATTCTACCGTGTGTATCTTGGTCGTTCTATTTACCACCACCGCCACGACCAGCAAGCGGCAGCAGCATTCACAAAACCCATACCGACGACTACCCGGTCACAATCCATTTCACAGCAGAGATCGACAACACAATGCCGCCGTCGCTGACAGTCCACCACCTCCGCGTGTCCCAGTCCGAACGCATAGTTTGGCTGTGCGAAGAGCTCCAGATCCCATACACGCTCAAATGCTACGACCGGTCACCTCTTCTGGCGCCACCGGCGCTCGCGTCCCTGACACCCATGCAGAGCGCGCCCGTGATAACCGACACGACGCCGGCCACGGGCGAGGAATTCAACATGACCGAATCGGGCGCGATAGCGGAATACATTCTATCCGTGTACGGTGGTGGTGGTGGTGGCGGTGGTGGTGATGATAGTGGCGGCGCTGGAGCCGGGACCAACAATCTCAGTCTGACTCCCACCCACCGAGACTTCCACTCCTACCTGTTCTGGTTCCACTTCGCGAACGGCACCCTCATGCCCGCACTGGGTCGGAGAATGTTTGTGCGTCTCGCGGACCCGACCCTGACGAGTGATGCGGCGCACGCGTGGGCCGAGGCTGCCCTCGCCAAAGCGCTGACGGCCATGGACGACCGTCTCGCGGCCACGGGCGCCTGGTTGGCCGGGGCCGACTTCACGGCCGCGGACGTCATGAACGTGTTCTGCGTCACGACCATGCGCGCCTACTCGCCCGTCGATCTGGCGAGGTACCCGGACATCCTCGCCTGGTTGGGCCGCGTGGGCCGCAGGGAGGCGTACCGCGTCGCCATGGACAAGGGGGACCCAGGCGTGGACTGGAAACGAGGAATGAGCGCGGAGGGGCACGAGGTGCATGGAGCGTGGAAGGAGGTGCTGAGGCGAGCCGGTGCTGTGGAGGTGAGAAAGGAGCAGAACCTGTAAAAGGCGAATTTTTTTGCAAAATGCATACGTGAGGTATGCACACGGGGTGGCGGTCATCAACACCAGGTACGTACGTACATACACGTATGTCTAACCTTACCTGAGCCTGGCGTTTGCCCATGACTTGCACGTGTCACGCGTGTATCATCTCAACACCACATATCATGCATGTATCACGTACAGTATCATCTGTCCTCATCTTCACACGTGTAGATAGGTAGTTACTTCTCTACTCTCAGGCTGTGCCTACGTAGGACAAAAGGTATCCATCACTTAGTTTGGAAGAGTCCGCCAGTGACATGCGTTGAGTGCTTTGAGAGTGGCATCTCCCACTCACTCTTCCGTACTATGTCATCTCAAACCCGTCTGAATTCAAGCCACCCGGGGTCGCCCCATAGAGGAGGACTTTACATGCATTGGGGAGTAAAGTAGCTAGCAAGATCGATACCACGGAGCAAAGACCACTCAAGTCTCCACCACGACGCGCACCAGGATAGTGATGCCGGTCAACGGAAGCCTTCGTGACCTCCTTGCGCGGCCAGAGCAAAAGTTTCAAGTCTCTGGTCCTAATACAGTATCGAGCAAATACTTGGCAGCAAGATCCCGTCCTGGACTTTCCATCATTCGATACACTCTGTTCCCGGACTTGTTTCCCAACCAGTTGCCCCTATCGTGTGGTACTTCACCGTCACTGTCCCTTCGCTTCCGGGGCCGTTTGTCCCCGACCGTCATGCCTCTCGTCCACTGCGCAGCCGTCTCGACCCTGATATCCTCGGGACTGCGCGCGCTGGGTCGCCATCTCGCATCGTCCTGCGTGAGCACGTACCAGATGCACAAGGGGTCGTGCAGGGCCAATGCGGCGCCGTCGCCCTCGTGACCCGTGTGCAGTCGCTCCATCTTGTCGAGCATCGGCGTCATGAAGGCTATCATCCACTGCGCCAGCGGGCTCCCTTGCTCCGCGAGCGCGACCGCGCGGGCGTTGAAGTCCCGTCGACTGAGGGCGTGGAACTCGGTAATGTCCAGGCTCATGAGGATCAGTCGGAGTTGTTTAGACAGCTGCGCAGGGTAAGGTGGTAGGTGCTGCGACGGCTCGCCCTCGATGGGAATCGGCATGGTCGAGCTCGGTTTGGGAGACGTGAGTGCGTACACGCGCGCCGCTGCGAACGGGTCCGCGTACACGTTGAACTCGGCCACGGGCGTGACGTTGCCGATGCCGTCGACCGTGCCGCCCATGGTCACGACCTCCTTGCATCGCAAAAAAGTCTCGGGGTCCTCGGCGGCGGCGAGCGCGAAGTTGGTCAGTGGCCCTACGCTGATGAGCGTGATGGTGTTGGGTTCGTTCTCACGCAAGAGTCGGAGGATCTCCTTGTGGGATGGCAACAGACTCGGCGTGAACGATTTGGCCGGCTCGTTCACGTTGACTTCGGCTTTGGACTTTGCTTGCTTGGTTAAATCGTCGTCGGGCGGGGGCTGCTCGAACAAGTTCTTCCAGTCCTCTTCAGGCGAGAAGTGAGGATGGCTGTCGTGTATGCCGGCCAGCCCGTCGATGCCGTGGAAGTAGTCTGCAGACTCGGTCGTTTCTTGAAGTGGTGCATCGGCCCCGATGGCGACAAGAGGCTTATACTTGGTGATGCCTTCGAACCCGAGGGGTCTGCCTTGCTCCTTTCTCCATCTCAATTCCTTTTCGAGCACGTGGAAGATGGCGACGACGTTGCGAAGACAACTTCTCACGTCAACGTTGCCATGCGTCACTGACACAAGGAGTACTTCTAGGTCTTCGGCCTTTGTGGCAAATGCAAGTAGCATGGCAAGAACATCGTCACACCCAGGGTCGGTGTCGATGATTACGCGGTTTCTTGGGGCCATGACTGGTCAGATCGCTGATTTGATCGATCGAGTCGTCTTGGGAGCCGCAGGGATGTCCTCGAGTAGTCCACGAGCGACGATGGGATACTTCTTTACCACCGGTGTATGCAAGGTGTAGCCGAGACTGTGATGGACAAGTCACTGCAGATGAAATTCTCTAGACAAGTCGACCCAATTCTCACTCTGAGGGTTGCAAATCATTTGTGGAGCGGTGTTGTCGTACTGATTGTCAATTGATACGAGTACCCAAGCCACTGCGTGTCACAAAGACGACTTTACGGCGGAAAAATACTATCTCCGGTAACCGAGCCTCCGTCCACTGCTTCTTCCTACACGAAGCAAATACAAGAGAATCACGGGAAGCAAAGAACAAACACCGTTGGTCACTCCAGTTCCGAACGTAAACATTTCATCTTCCAGTTGGAGGACCTTTTGGATCTATCGCCCTGGTCTTATCTGTTTTGTCATTCTGTTCGTACACCAAAAACTGCAAGGGCACTGTGCAAAAGTATTTTTCTCAGAAAAGGGATAACTCGGCTTTCCCAGAACGCTCAATATGCTGCTAATATGCCACATATACTTTTTCTTTCCGAGAGTGTGCTCGCCCTTAGTTGAAGAACAAATGCGCTTTCTGCTTTCTTCATGTTCTGCATAGCCTCGTACGCATCATCATCATACGCTTGGGCAAGTGGATTGTTCCGCGCTCACTTGGAGGCGCGAGGCGTGACGGTGTGGCTCTCAGTAAACCTTCTTCTTTTCGTCCACACTCAATTGACCTGGTCCCATATTCACCAACAGAAGCAGTCCACCCATGATGGACAGAATCTGGAAGAAGTCGTACTTGGCAAAGTCCTTGTGAGGGTGGCTGTGGTGCAGCTGCAACGAAAGTTAGCAAATTCGTTTCATAGGTCAAGCAGGGAGATCTGTCCATACCGTCCAGAAGTTGTTGACGAGCACATTGAAGACACTAAGCAGAACAACCAAGATGATTGCACTAAGCTTGGCCTTGAAGCCGACGACCACCATAACGCAGGCCACGAATCCAACCAGGCTGACGAGCACTCTCCAGATGGTCCATGTGCCGGCAAAGACAAATCCAATGAACAAGAATATCAGGAGAACACGTCCGCCGAGCTGAATATACATCTTCTTGTCCTTCTCGTCAATAGATGGGAGGCCGGCAAACACTCGGGTCTTCTTGACAAAGCTGTCTCCCAGCACCATGAGAAGACCACCAATGACGGAAAGATTGCGCAGGAAAAAGTTCGGGTCAAAGATGAGGCCATATCCAAAAGCTTGAACGACAACAACCGACAACAGCCCAGCCACTGCATATTCTCCGTAGCGACGCATGATGACAAGAACTGAGCAAACGGACATGGTGAGGACGTTGAAGATCAGGAAAAGATGCGTGATTCCCCAAGGGACTGTCTCTCGTATTAGCATGCACAATCCTTCTTCCACTCTCTTCTTTTCGGACAGACTCACTGTGTCTGAAGTCTCGGAGGTAGGTGAGCTGATCACCCCACTGCGTAACAATTCTTATAGCGTCTTCGATGAATGTGACCACGATCAGAAACCGTCCGATGGCAGGGAGGTATCTGTAAACGCCCTTCGAGTCAGATCTCGTGTTCTCGCCAGCCAAAGCGGCGTCAAGGCCCTGCTTTGTCTGGTTTACTCACGGTTTCAGAGGCTCTCCCATGGTGTTCAGCCAGTCTTCGATCTTGCTTGTCTGTTCCCGGATCTGGTCCAGAGGACTGGGATCGCTCGTGGCATCGGTACTTCGTTGAGAGCTAAACTGGTTGTTCAGGCCCAGGTTATAGCCTGCGGTTCCTCGTATTTGAGCCATGGTGAAGGGGCTGTCTCCGGGGGTCAAGGCGGAACTTCCGTGGCACAGCAATGAATGAGAGATGGTGCCAAAAGGGCAGAGAGAGAATCGAACTCGATGAAGAAGAAGAGAAGAAAGGGAGAAATTGCGTGGGGCAGAGAAGTGTTTATGCGAATGCTGTCAAAGTGTCGCAGGCGTGAGATTGTATTATTGACCAGTGGCCCGAACAATAAATCTCGATGAGGATCGCGTTTTGTAGTGGGAGCGCGAGGACCTCCAGGGCTAGCGAGTTGCGGGCTTTAGGAGCGCACAGGTCTCGCTCCGCTGCGCTCTCTATTCTTAACACGCTGGCCGTATTGCCCTCTGCCCATTTCCTGCCAATCACACACTGCAGTCCCCTGACATCTGCTGAGCCCCCTACAGCCACTTTCTCTGCTCAGCTCGACATACTGTACCACCATCCGGAGTCACCATCAGCGTTGCAGATTGTGTCTGACTGTGACCACAGTAAGAGCCCATGTGGTAGTCTGCAGACGTTTCTATCTTTACGCATTGCGCCGACTAAATGTGAAGGACGGGAACGGGGCACAACTTGGAGATTAATATTTTTCATTGTTAGTCTGTCCATGTGAATGGGAGTTTAAGCTGGGCCTCTAGGTACAAAACTCCGACCCAGATCCTTTTTGTCTTGCTTTGCAAGCTCGAACCGTTTCAATGCAGTGTATGCTAATCAAACAATGGCTCTTCCATGAGAGCAGATAGAAAAGAAAAAAGAACTCCTTCCACCATGCCATGCTCACCCTCGCTGCGCAAAGACGTGGAATCGTTACTGCTGCCATGTGTATGGCTTAGTCAAAGACCTCAAGCCTCCCACTCGGCTTCTTTCAGTAACGGATCAGCTTTCTAAGCTTCCCAGTCAGCGTCTTTGAAAGATGCTTCTGCAGATTGTCCAAAAGACTGAAATCGATTTGCATTTTCCTTGCGTGACTGAACTCCATTTTCCTTGCTGGCGGTGGTCGTCAAGTTGTGAACAGTGGCTGCCGGTCGCGCGGGTGAGGAGCTTTTTTCAGTTGCTTTTTTCTTTCCTTTCTTGGACGTGACAGATTCCCACTGCTCTTCAGCTGCCAAGTCGGTGGCCCATTTGTCTTGCTCTTCTTCGTTCACTTCATCTGCCCAGCTTGACTGTGTTCCAAGTCGTGGACGTTCCACCTTCTCGCGTCCTGAAGCGCCCAAAGCGGCAGTCTTGCTCTGGCCTACGTCTTGTCGGACTGTATTGACTGTGGCTGTCTCGGGAACAGAGTTTGTGAGATCCGACAGTGGTTCGGAAGTGACTGCGCCATTGACGTGGGTGGCAGGCTCATTTGAGTTGTTAAAAGTATCCAGCAATGGTGCCGCTTCGGCCTGAGGGGCTTTGTAAGATGGCTCTGTTGACAATGACGGCTTCCCTTGCTGCCACGCATTCTGTCTAGCAGTGAATGAATTTGCCTTTGTTTGGTTGGAACTGCCCTCTGCCATGCGTGCAGTTCTCAACTGGTTCTGTTTCTTCGCTTCCTGGAGCCGGTTGGACTCGTCCATGCGAGCCTTCTCCTCGGCTTTCTTGGCTTGGCGTTGTCGTTGCTTCTTTGACAGCACTGGCTCAAATGCCTTAGCAATTGGTTTAGTGACGTTCTTTGCCACAGCGTCCTTGACATTTGTCAATCGTAGGCTCGTAGGCTTCGCAGTTGGTGCCTCCAGCATGTCTGATACATCTCCAAACTCATTCGGTGCATCCATTGATACTGAGGAAGATGATGGCTCAGTCTCCAGCACGGCATCGTCATCTGTCTCATCTCCGTTTTCAACCGTCGATTCTGTGGGAATAGAATGCACACCATTCTGCTTGGTCGTTGACGCCTTTCTCGCAGCTCGACGTTCTTTCTTGCTAGGCCCCTGCGCTTTTGCTGGCTCCAATTTCGTGCCGGCCTGAGCCTTGGCAAGCTGTCGCGCAAACTCCTTGTTGCTCATTCCATTGTCCTCCTCCGTGGCTGGTTCCACCGCTCCGCGTTGCGATGCATGAGTTTCAAGAGGTGTAGATGTAACCTTCCTTCTCTTATTGGCTTTGTCCTCTGGACCACTTGAAGGCGTAGCGGTGCCACTGTCGGTAGGCTCAAGACGCCCGACCTGATGTCGTTTGGTTCTCTGCCGCTTGCTGGCGGGTCTCTGTGAGGTTTCGATAGGCTCAGATCTTGCCGTGGTACGTCGTGTGAGTTTGTTGAACAGTTCTGGGTTGTAGTGTCTTGTGAGTGCTGCAGCGACTGCGATCAGCGCAGCCCAAGAAGCGACCGTGGACCACATCTTAGGTGACGCCAGAACGATGACGTTCTACAGCAAACAGAAGTATATGTTGGTATTTGATAGATCGAGGTCGACCCCTGATCACAGACACACACTTTCAGGTTGACGGTTGTATGGAGCCAACCTGTGCGAAATGGTTCAAGTTCTTTGAGGACCTTCAACAGGTAACTCGACAAATTGTACGAAGCAGTTCGATCATTGAAATGGAGGGGGAGTTAGTGGAACTGCGCGACGACCCACGTAGCTATCCAGGCTGAATCAGGACTGTGAAATTATGTGTTCAACCAGGAATTAGTGTTGAGTGTATGGACTGTGATGCAGCCGCGTAATACAAGGAGAAGTGCGCCAGGCAAGGTACGATATATCTGAGACGGCCAGGTGGGGAACTTCTGAGTGTCTGGTTGAGGTTGAGGGTGAGGGTGAGGTGAGAGACCGAAAGGTGGTCGAAACTCACTTGTCGCGAGGGTTCGTAGGTGAGCGATGACGCTTAAGGGACGGCGGACTGAGGATGTATTGAGAGAGCACAAACGAACAAACGCGACAGTGTTGTTGTTCACCTCAGTTGGGTCTAGGTGAACGAACTCTGAAAGACTGAAGTAAGGTACCGGAGTTGAGAGGAAGTCGACCAGTTGTTGACACAGTGGTTGATTCCGCAGCCTGCAGAGTCTGCTGAGTCTTGGACTCGTTCTTTAACTGGATGTCACCCTCGTCACCCTCTATTTGCTCCAAGGGGATTAGCTCGTCGCGGCCCCTCCTTACGTCGCCTCACTAGATGTTTAGACTGCATTTACGTGTATCTATTGTAGCTAATTTTGAGGCCCTTGTTAAGTTTGAGGCCGCATCTCTCCGCACTCGCCATCTCCAATCATTAACTGGAAACGCCTAGAGAGGCGTCTAGGGACGCGTCAATAGGCAGCCCATGCCCATCTCATCTCACAGGACTCCCCGTGTATCACCCTTAGTAGTGTCATGATCCCTGCCGGCCACGCACTCAGCCATGCCCAAGCAGCATGGAATGTTCTTCTGTCCATGTGGAATGACAGTCAAATAGCAACCCCTCAGCCAAACCTGCAATTGCTGTGCTGAAGGTGTTGACTCGCAATGGACGCTCTCATAACCCACCCACACCCACGCCAAACTCATGGCCACACACACCGGCAGCCGTTCATCAAGGGTTCGCCAATGGCTTGCAGACAACTTCAGGCTGAATCCGGGTGAGGCTCCCGTCAATAGGCTGCCCCCCTGCGCTCCCAGCCAGACAGCGAGAAACCAGGTCGGGCCATGCTTAAGCGAAATGCAGGTGGACTACCCGGCGTTATGGATCCAGAGAGTAAGAGTAAATTCCTACCTCTCCTGTAGGTACACAGGTAAGTACATATATATATCCGGGTCCCAATTCTTCCATTGTAATCTCATCGTATTGTACATTCCCACAGTGAACTAATCGATCCGTACACGGCTCCTTATGCTCCTGAGACGGCCTGAATGCATCCTAACCGAACAATGCGGATTCCATCACCCAGAAACCACTCCATCTACAATGATCCAAACTCCTTGCTGCAAACATAGTAAACTCATTCAATCATTCATCTCATAATGACCAAAAACAATCAAGATTCTTCGAATAGCCTTGCTGGTGGAGTAGGTCATGCCCCAAAGGGTTCAAAAGCATGATGAGAGGTGACACCATAGCTCGAAGCATTACTTTCAGTGTTGACTTGTGACATAAATCCTCACCATATGTTCGGCGGCTTGGGAACAACATAGTGAAATTGCCAACTTTCTCTCCTTTTGAGGCCAAGGAAATCATCCGCACCAGAGGAACGTGAGTGAGCAGGAGCTGGCCTGACGATGGGATCGGACATGTGCTTGATTTGTGTTTTGCTGATGACTTCTGGCCTGTCCTCCTGAAGGCCCTCAAGACTGTAGCCGTCATCCACGTCGCTGGCGATACTTTGCGTACTCGTAGTGGCTTTCTCAACCCCCACGGCGTCCAGCTGTTGGACCGATCGCGTCATCTTCAGAGGCGGCTCTTCGTACTCATCGTCAAAGAATGTGCGCGCTTTCTTCCCGCCCAGTACTGCCATTGGCCATCGCCATTCCGGTTCCTCTGTCGCTTGCTTCCTACCCATCATTACGTCGCCGGATGGTGGACCAAGTAGCATCCAGCGAGCGTCTGCACTGGTGGCGGGTAATTGAGACACTATTGGAGGATGTAAGTCGTTGACTTCCGGGTTTCTGCCTCTCTGATAGTCATAGCCTTCGCTCATTGTGGTTTCGGCTCTTTTTCGTTGCTGAATGACGGGTCCTGCAGCATCCTGGCCTGCACTTCCCTCATTGTGACCAGTCGAGACTGCTCGATTCCACAGTCCTTTCATCTTCGCACCAAACCCGAACAAATCTTCGTCTTCGCGGTTGTACTTCTTCCAATTCCACCCTTCTGGGTGCAGATTTACAATCAAAGAGTCCTTGATGTATCCATATGCATTTGACAAGTGCCGCTCCTTGAACGGCCTACTTGCGGGGTTGGGCGCTTTTTCAATGATACTTTGTGCGTCAGATAATGCAGTAGCTGGAGCACGGGGAGGAGATGGTCCAGAGGATAACGTGGGCTGTGTGAACACTTCCGATGAAGGTATAGGCTCCGATTGTGGCTGTGGATGCTCAGGCTCTGCTTGGGCCTTGTCTGTTTCTTTCGTCTTCTTCACCATGTGCTTCTGATACTTCCGCAGTAGTGTATCACCCTTCCACCCTTTTGGCGGTCCAGGGCCCAGCATCAACTCATACGCCCAGGCTTCGTTCGTCTCAAAAGCTCTGGGCTGGGCCACAGGCCTCGGTTGTGTAGTGACTATGTCTGTATCCGGTGCCTTTGCCGCTCTAGCCTCCTGTCTTCTTTTACGCTTGTGTTGAAACTCCAGACACGGCGTGAGTGAAATGTAGTAGAAGCATGCAGACTGTACCCCTCGCAGGAACCAATGTCCGGGCTCCGCAGGATGCGCTGGAGACGCCATTCTTAGTGGACCATAGAACGAAAGGCAAGGCAATCGTATACGGTGTTCGCGAGCGGAGAGGTGGGCGACGTCTTCGGAGCGTGATCAGAGACCAGTAAAGGAGCAAAACCTCTGCTGTTAAATACCACTGATGAATTGTGAAGATCCATGGTGCTGGTGAGCTTGTTGGGAAGAAGCTGGCGCAGGAGGCCCAGACAACAATGTCCAGCTCTGCAGATGCCGTGTACGAGTCGGTGGGAGTGAACTGTAGAGACACTGGCAGAGTGTTGTTCGTGGATAGGGACGAAGTAGTAGAAATATGGACGAGCTCCACCAGAGAATTCTTTCAGTCTGACTGGAAGATGTCTCAAATGTCAGGGCCGTTTCTCGCCCTCACAGGCGTACGGGCATTTTGTCAGACCGGCAGACTGACCTTATCAAGAATCTACTACGTGGCAGAGGGGTTGCAACGCAGGGCCGATGCAATAGTCGTTTCAGTGACTCGCAATTTGAACGCATCTTCGAGTTATAACATAAGATGCCTTCCAATCAATGGAATTCTCATATGCTTTAAAATCCACCAAGTACACGTCCTCCGTCCTCCGTCAAAGCTGCAACACATGTCACGACTTTCGACCCTAGTAATGTCTCCAGTGGAGTTACTCCATCACGCCCCAGACTCACCGGCCAGTCTAGTCTGACCCTATTCCCTGCTGCGGCATCACAAGGCGGAAGACACAAATACGCGCCCACTCACGATACCGTGAATCCCTCATAGCCGTCTTGCCTAACCTTCTCGAGCGTCTTCTTATACCTAGGGATTCCGCCGGCATAGTTTAGATGCTCGCGCGGCTTGCCTGGTATGTTGGCCCCGTTGTACCATGAATCGACCTTCCCACGGGGTGTGTCATGGATCAGCTCGAAGATGAGAGCTCTCCAGTCTTCTTCGGCCTTCCTCTTCGCATCTATTTTCTTGAAACTCTTGGCTCTCATATCATTAAGAACACTCGTTATCCAATCACCCTGGATCTCAATGCACGATGGGCCGTTCGAGAATGCCGTTGGTGCTTGAGGGCCATATGTGCTGAAGCGAAGTCAGTTCTCATTTCTCCAGACGACTCCGGTGTTTGCGAAGGCCTCCAGGAGGGAAAACAGGGCAACTTACAAGAAGAAATTCGGAAAACTTGCAGTTGATATACCCAAATAAGTCCACGTACCCTTTGCCCATTTCTCGGTCAATACTTCACCATCAACACCCGTGATCTTCATGTCTTTCAAGCCACCTGTAATGGAATCGAAGCCTGTTGCGAGAGCGACAATATCTAGTTTATGGTGGGTACCATCTTCCTGAATTATGCCGTCTGACACAAAGCACTTGATGGGATTGTTACGGACGTCCACAACATCCACGTTCGGCTGTTGAGATGTCAGAAATCTTCTGCGAGCGCCAAATTGAGGTTGGGTAACTCCTACCCTGTTGAAATGATCATAGAAGTCCTGCTCTAAGGATAATCGCTTGCCTCCGAAGAGATGTGGACGCTCCCAAGGGGCTAGCAGTTCTGCTTTTCTTGGATCATGTACACGCTCTCTAACACGATCTCGCCAGAAGTTGTAAGCTTTCTGGTTGGCTTCATCATTACGAGTCATGTCGTAGTAGTTGTTCATCAAGAAGCGAAACCCGCCCTGTCAAATCAGCATCAACTCCTGGTATGATCGAGAAGCGTACCATCTTCCACAGCTGCCAGTAAAATTCGTCCCTCTCCTCGTCGCTGTGGTCGAACGTCAAATTTTCGCGCCATTGATACAAGAATCCATTGTAATAGTTATTGCGCTCTGAAAATCGCGCGGCAAGGTCGTCTCGTAGTTTCGCCTGCTCCTCTTTTGTTAGGGATTTTTGGTTCATCGGACATGCGAGATTCGGCGTGCGCTGCCACATTTCAAGGTGCCCATCTTCCCCAATTTCTTTAGCCCACTGCCGCGTCGGTTCCGTCAGCGCTGGACTACGAGGTGAAGAGTAATAAGCATACCTCCTGGGTGATTTGAACCCCAGTTGCTCCAGTCCCGATAACAGCGACCCGCTTGCCGCTGACATTAACACCCTCCTTGGGCCAGAAACTTGAATGGTGGATGACGCCTTGAAAGTCTTCTATTCCTTTCCAGTCTGGAATGTACCTTTTGGCTGCAAATCCAGTACATGCAGTCCAAAACTTGGCCTTGAAGACCGCACCAGTATGACAGGTGATGGTCCACAAGCAGGTCTTATCATCCCACTCGGCGGAAATGACTTTACTGTTGAAGACACAGTCTTTCTTGATGTGGAGACGGTCTTCCACGTGCTTGAAGTATTCGCGCAGTTCGGCGTGGTCTGGGTAGTGCGAAGACCATGTCCAATCATTGTAGACTTCTGGAATTGAGAGAGCATAGACAGGGTACTGGCTATCGACTCGTGCCCCAGGGTAGCGATTCCAATACCAAATTCCTCCAAGGTCTGAGCCTGCCTATAGTGAACGGTAAGTCCAAGCTGAGGCATGAGCTCGGCCAGAAAGAATTTACCTCAACAATCTTCCCTTTGAACTCGTGTTGTCTCAATCTATGGAGCAAGTAGACCGCAGCGAACCCAGCTCCAACGATAAGCATGTCCAGAACTTCGCCTTCATTCTGAGGGCTCCCTTGAGTTGGATTTTCAGTATTGTCAGTATTTTCAGTGACATCTGCGATATCCCTCTTGATCGGCATTTTTGCTGCTCTGGGCGTAATGAAGACAGGAGGACCAAGCAAGCAATCAAGTCCAAGGTAGGCCGTCACTCGCGATGACCATCCCTAGATACGCTTAAGACATAGATAGGGGATATCCTTGTGATAGTTCAGAGTGGATGCATTGATGAAAGTTTAGATACCTTATCTGAGAGGGTTAATGCGGAGATCGCAACATCTTGAAATGATCCCATTCTGGACTTTTGCGCCTCGGAAGTCGGCTAGTGGTGACAATTGTGGGAGGGATGACACCTTCATATGCGGAGAAGAGGGCTTGTCCATCATCTCTCCGCAGCACACTGTGCTGCAAGATCGATACCCGGTGTGCAAATTCCTTACAAAATTTTGGGTATTCGAGTTGAGACCATACCAATGGTGCGGCACACGGACACTTGCCAGCTCTTCTCTGTGAGTAATTCATACAGTTCCTGGATGAGACTCATCGAGAGCGAAGGTCAATCAGTAGATAGAGATCCCTCTGCACGGACAAAAGGAGGTTCCGCTGCTAATGGCACCTGGAATTGACACCTCTGAGGCCTGGAATGCGGGACGTAGGTGGGCGGTTCCTTGGCAGCAGCAGGGTCGTATGAAGGCAATCCGAACAGACCTTGAGAGGACTGATGGCTTGATAGTATGTTACGATAGCCGATCTCAATGGTGCTCTCGAATGATGTCGGTTAAACAGGGTTGCCGAGAAAGAAACCGGCACTGTATGATGCATGACAATAATGCCTGGTAAGAGGTTTTGTTTTGTTCGATGCGTCGCCTTAGGTGCCGTTACCTCATTCGAGGTTGGATACTGGACACATTGTACTGGGTCAACCCTTGATAACCATCTCGTGCTTCTACACAGACCTCTCAGAAGAGGAGAGTATTGACTGTGGTCGACCGTCTCTCACCTGCCTTGCACGAATTTAAAGGATACAATGGAATCAGCAACAGGTGCCAGTCTTTTCCGACTGCAAGGGGCCACGGATCTGCAATTCTTTGTACCAAACCGTGCCCCTGTCACAGCGCTGAAGAGGTGATTTCCCCAAAGAAAGCTGTCCCTCAACTTGGAACAAGAGCATGCTGCATTCTCCTGATTCGGTTTCGAAGGGCACCAAAAACATCGGTACCTGCGAGTCCTCGCCTCAGTTCTGCCATATTGGACGATCAGACTCGTCACGTCAGTGGCAGAGTATTGACCGTGACAGACCGACTGTTATCAATCACCTGGGACAATACCGGCTGGCCGATGAGCGGTTTGGGACAAGGGAAGGGTCGCTTGATGCTCTGCCAACAACGTGCCTCAAGGTCGATAGGGGCAGCACTTTGTTGAATGAGAATGAAAGTCGGCATGGCACAAACCTCGTATATCTGAGACGGCAATTGACCATAGTCAAGGAACGTGTCGAGACTGCAAACTTCAGCGTCGTGTTGGCTGAGGATTGCTTCAGCCGCTCAGAGCCCAATGTAAGTGAAGTCCCTGGTAGCGGAGTACAGCGTTTCGAGAACCAGACGAAATCAGCGGAAGCCTGAAACAGTGATCATAAATCACTCGTGTTGAATTAGAATGTGGGGGAATTCAACATCACTAAAGTTGAAGATAATTGGTCAATGTGTCGCTGTCTGATCTGCCGTACATTTCTGTTCCATGCCTTTACGGTCAAGCATACCATTGCATGTGTTATTTGTTCTCTCCAGATGCATTCTCGAGTTTTGTACCTTCACGCGTTCGAGTCTTGGATTTAATACTCTCTTACACGTTCACGCAGGTCTTCTCAAAAGGCCTGGCATCTACGATAATATCTCAACAGTCTGTGAATCGCTATTTCAAGAAATTGTTCTTGCTATGAGCCTCCACTCTTGGGCGATATCCTCAACGCTGCCGAAAATGCAAAACTAGGATCTATTCTCAATCGCACCGCTAGGGGAAAAAAAAAACAAAGATTCCCACCGGAAACTATCAGTATCATACCAGACAAGTTCATCCATTATCCCAGCTTTCGAAATTCAGTTTCGAAGTCAGATCCTGCGCCGAAATCGTCCTCTGCAGTCAAAGTCGCCATACCGGGGTGGTACGCTTCTGGCGGATAAGTAACTGCCTGGGCGGGCTCATATGTGATGGTCCGCGCAACATCCGGTCCCATTGTCATATCACCCTCATAGTATCCGAAGTGAAAATCTGAATCGCCTTGGCCAAGTCTGGGATCCAGCATGTCGATCTGACTCGGCGCAGTAGGGGCAGGATGTGATGTCAAGAGCTCATGATGAGCTGTGTTAGGCATCCCGATGATTCCCAGAGTCGTCTGGTACTGCGGGAATGGGTCTACCATCTTCTGATATTTGATGTCGCTAATTTGATCAGCATAGGGTGCGGTTGTGGTTTGATAATAATCGCCGGACAAACCGTACGGCCCGACCATTAGAGGTGGTGGTCCGTATGGGTTGGTATACTCATATCCAGATGGGTTGACTGTGGGCACAGAATGGATGTAGGTGGGCATCCTCTCGTCAAAGGGGGTTGACGACGCACTTCTGCTGGGAACTTGCCGACCTCGCTTGGAGCTTCTGTTGGAACCTTCCCATTCACCATCACTATCACTGTCATCATCGGGTCTCGATCGCTTTGCTGCCTTGTTTGGTGCAAACTTGTAATTCGGATGAGCAGATTGATGGTTGTCGCGCTCCGTCACAGCCAGTTGCTCATACAGATCCCTGACTTCTTTCGTTTCCAGGGGCCAGCTTGCGCCAGTCACCTGTGACACAACTTGGTGATTGTTCTCTTTACAGAACTGCTTCGCTCGATCGGCATATGCAGATCTGTAGAGCATGAAGGAATTCATCGGCCTTGAGACGTATCCTTTCTTTCTTTCAACCTCTGCCAGTCTCTCCTCTACCGGTCGGTTGACCCATAGAGACATGTCACGGACTGGTGTTTTGTAATCCTTGGTCATTATGCTGAGTGGCTGCTCAACGACGGGGCCTCTTTTCTTGCTTGGCTTCTTCTTTAGGTTGCGCCGTGGTCGGTTGAGTGGCGACTCCGAGGCACGCGTGGAGTTGGTGATAGCACCTGGGCTTGACGGAGTTCCAAGTGCTCGGCCATTACGGGTCTGGATGCCATCTTCAGGGATGGTGCGAGGCGGTGTATGCGCGGGCATGGACGTGATCATGGCCTATGCATGTCAGCACGAGTCTTTCAGTCTGATCTATTTCGGACTTACTCTTGGTGGAGTGTAGTAGATTGGAGCTTGTGCTGTGTGGTAAAGCGAAGGGTCGCCATAATGATCCTATCAGAGTAAGTTGCTTTCTATATATGAGGACCTCTGTCGACGGAATGAACGCCAGCATGACTTACGAACGGCGACTGCGACATGATCTCTGTCATGAATGGCCTGCCGTGCATAGGCGGCGTGAACTGCTCCGGCACTGGTGCGGCCACTGGGTGGCTTCGGTTATTGTCGCCTGAGTGGTAACGACCGTCTGCCGAATGCAGTGGTGAAGGTGGCCGAGTGTTATGACCCATCGATATCGAGAGGTTATTGCCGAAATCTAACGCAGGTGATCAGCTTTGCTGAGTCTTGTGTCTCCTGCGGGCTGTGGGAGGATCAAGAAGCGCCGGATGTGTCTCGCTGATTGCAGCAGCAGAGAAGAAGCCAGAAGCGTTTGTATGGTGACTGATAAGGCACTGCTCGCCCGCTCTGGAAAACTGATTCCTGTCTGAGACGTGCTTCTGGAGTTTTATCCGGTCCAAAGAGCTCCAGGGTCTGGGTCTAGTAATTGGTCTGGTTTGCAAGATGTCGGGTTCCGTTGCAATGGATCGCTTCACAATGAGATGATGCTTTATATTGGTGATGGTGCTTTGACGCAAGGGACAATCGATGAAAGAGCAGCGTTGTTGCTGAAGAGGGTGATATTGCAATGACCAGCTTTGCTATGGATTGTTGCAGGAACCCGCCGCAGTATGAGGTAGGCTGGTGTGCGTGCTAGGAGTCCTGCGTCGGTATGCTGCAGGGTCTGCTAGATTCTGGTACTTGCGGTGAGTGAGATTGATGTTCCTGATCTGAAGCGGATGACGCTAGGTGGTGGTGGCTTTGTCTCAACTACCCGTGAGGCGACAGCAAGCAATTTCAACCTTGATGCTTTGGATTGGATGGTGATCTTTGTTGGTGCAAGAAGAATAGGAAAAGAAAGACAACCCCAAGCCAGCATATCAACCATTAACGAAGACCTCGGCCATGTTGCGTTCGGCGTGAACCTGAACGCTCCCAGAAAGACTTTCCGCATGCGGTTACGCTCAACCTGAAGTCGGCTTTATCTCAGAGGATTCTTTTGTTTTCGGATTGCTGAAACCAGTCAAAACTCTACGACCATAATGGCCTCCGAAAGTCTTCAGTATCTGCAAATTGACCTCATGGGCGGTAAGCTGGTATAGCGACCAAAAGGCATGGCTCTCCTGCAGCATTGCGGAGAGTGGATACTCGTCCATAATGGACTCCATGAGGCTGACAAGCCATGGAACCCATCTTCCAGCCACAGTTTGGTGATGTGGTGTCAAGCCGTCTCTGAAAGAGTTCTAGCTCATACTGAGCAGGATAGAAACTAGGTTTGGACTGAAGAGATCTGGAAGGGACTGTTCTTCGAGGGTGGGCAATCGCTCTAGCGTTCCAAACACGAACGCTCGGACCATCAGTCACATTCCTGATGACCAGGCACCGCTCGTTTCTCGGCTAGCATAGCGCCGTCTTCGTCTCAGCATGGTTGGATTGAACCCTGGGAGCCTTGATCTGGACTGATCGGCATCTTGACCGGATGGAGACGTACCAGGGAATGGTGCCATTCAATTGGCTACCACCAGTTCTTTGTACAACGAACGACTCATTTGACGGCGGATACGAGCATGATCGTCACGAAACCGACCGTTGGCTTCTATAATCTCCGAAAGTCGCATGTAGTTGTCTGTGGGTGACTTGCTTCAACACGACCACTTGAGATCAAGTTACGACGTGTGGGAGTTCTTCCACGTAGTCCAGTCCCGACTCGTCCCCAATCTGTGTGCACCATGTAACTCCGGGTGGTAGAGCTGACGTTCGCAGTCACTTTCAACAAGAGTGAAAACCCGGCTGCTAACGGCAAACGGGACGCTGCCGGTTGTACTTGACGCTTGATGAATTCTTCCTGGACTGCAGCCGTGCCCAGCCCATGCTCTCATCTTACGGAGTCGCTAATGCTTCGCAGCTGCTTTTATGTCTGTGTGTTTCCGGTCACAGCTTTCACTAAATGTGAACGACGGAAACATACCAATCATCGCGAGGTTTTTTGGCGGCCGAGATCGGTTGGCTTCACCCAGCAGTCTGGGTTTCAAAGTGATCTTGGCGTTTCACATTGCCTATCTGCTGGTCTCTTATCTGGCTCAGTTGTAACCAAAACAACCGTTTACTGCTCTGAATGGCAGCGTTGAGCAGCATTTCCAAGATTTTCGGCGCCTTCTCTTGTCTTCCCAGGGTGATTTGCACAACAACTTCGACTGTCATATCGCTGACTTGTCAATGAACATGATGTGGATGACGATCAGTAGTAGTTCAGATTGGAATCGCATCCCTCCTGTAACCCTCTCGCTGAGACTTGGCTCTATACGAGTTGTAACAATAGCCAGAATGAATTCTTGCGTCGCCGAACAGAAGAGGGTCGTAGCCCCGCAATCACATGGATATAGGTGCCATACCGTGCTGCGAAGAAAAACCCGGGCTAGAGGTAGAAGTTTGTAAACATTCGGCATACCAAGCTAAAGGAAGGGGGTTATCGAGGTGACAAGGCTGAGAAAAAGGGTTACGAGGCTCCGCAACATGATCGGGTGTTGATTGGCGGAACTCGGACGCGTTGCATTCACTCGACTTACACCGAGCAGCGAGCATGTACTACAACATCCACGTTATCGTCCCCGCTATCTTCCACAAGGTACATTATTCGAGGAAACGTGCCAAAGACAAGTCGACACACCAGAGCACCCATCCATGTAGCCACCACAATTATGCACGGCGACATCGGTACCAAACTTGTACGTCCCCATGGCTCAAAGTCCCATTGCTCGTCGCGATTGACAGGCGCACGAACTTGCAACCCACTCGCATCCTTTCCCCCCAATATCGCCCATATGGCCATACATCCAAAGCCAAATCCCAATGGCCATCCTTAACTGTCCAAGCTATTGTCTCTACACGGATCACTCACTTTCGCCGAATCACCGAAGCTGTCTCGAGTGGGCGTACCTTGCTTGATTATTGCTGACACAAACCGCTCACCAGGCCCAACATGCCAAACGCACCCTGGCCCTGCCCACGCTCCCGCCCTACCAAACCGAACTCGTGCGAGGCTGTGTGCGCGAGACACGCGATCTCGACCGCGACGTCGCGCGCCTCCTCGAACCGTACACCACCACCGTGTCGACGGTCGACGAAGACGGCAACCCGACATTCACGCAGCAATCGACGTTCAGCCCCGTCGAGCACCCGGAGACGGCGTGCGCGCTGCTCGTCGACCACCTCTCGATGCGCCGCAACAAGAGATGTCTCCTTGCGTACCACCGCGTGCGGGCCGAGAAGCTAGAGTCGCTCGCGTGGGAAGGCCGAGATATCGACGAGACAGTCGTGGGCGTCGGCGGTGTGAGAGATGGAGGGGCAGGGGCAGGGGCAGGTGCAGGGGCAGGAGCGCCGCAAAACGCACTGAGCCCGGAAGAAGAGTCCTATTTTCGAAAGTACACCGACCTACTGGCGCAGTACAAGGGACAATGGACCGACGTCGACCTCACGGGGACACTGGACCCGCCCAGGGATCTGTTCATCGACGTGCGCGTGCTCAAGGACGCCGGCGAGATACAGACCGAGTACGGCGCCATCAATCTGACGAAGAACAGTCAGTTCTACGTCCGACAAGCGGATGTGGAGAGGTTGATTGCCATGGGCTTCTTGCAGAGATTGAGTTGACATCTTTCTTCTAAATCGAGTGACATGGCGGGCGATCGTGTGGACAGGGTATAGAATGCAGGGGAGGAGCGAGGAGTACAACATGACGGTAGTGGAGAGTTGTGAATAATGTGTATGAATCACGAGCAACGAGTGTTTACTACTGTGAGACACAGACATGGATCAGGAGCCATCTGATCTTTATTTGCTAATGACTATGGTGAAAAAGGACTACTTGGTACAATAGGACAAATTTATTGGCCTTGTTCTTCCTGCTAGAGCCTTTTGAATCTCTCAAATCACAGCTCGTAAGATTTCGTATCTTTTTTTCGTTTTGGCTTTTGGATCAAACAAAGTCGAGATGTTAAGTTGATCTGTTTGATGCATTACAGTATGGAGTGGGTTGCAGCACAACCTATGGACCGACGCCATTGTTGTCACCCGTTGCTCTGATCACCGAGTACGTGATGCTTTCAACGGCCAGAGTGCTTGTTGCTTCAAAGCAAAGTTATGATTCCCACGACAACAGCCACGCCTAGGCCAAACGCGCCACCTGGAGTCACAACATCTGCACCAGCACCGTGTTGTGTGACCAGCGGAGGGGACTTCGAGGGTGTTGTGTCATTCCCACCCCAACCTGTACCTGTGCTATTTCCGGACGTGACATTTGTGGGCACTTGCTGAGTGAAGTTGCCACAGTTCAATCTTGTCCCGTTGGCCGCGTGAACAACTACACTTCTGTCACCAAAATATGCCAGAGACTCGGGGTCGGTGGAGAGGTAGAGGTCAAGGTAGGTGACTTGGAAGTTCTTCTCGGTCGCGGTCTTGTTAATCGGACCATGTTTGCCGCTCAAATCACCGCACTGGCAGGTCGACGGCTCATAAGCATCGCAAGGTGGCGTCTCGCCGCGGGTGTAAGGGTTGAGGTGGCCGCCTGTAGCAGTACAGTTGCCATCTTCGGGGACAGGATAGACATGGATGTGGTATGCTGGGACACAAGTAATCAGTATTGAGGGATTTAGCTGGAGGAAGTGCGTCAGGGATAAGGGGAAAGCAACGTACAGAATGGCCCAATCGAAGCATCTGGGAAGTTGAAGAAATTGACGTTGAAGTTCACACCAGTGCCATTTTCGCTGGAAACGCCAGTGATTTGACCTTGGATTGGCTTGTCGACTTGAAAGATGGCTTGGAAGGTGGCTTTGGTGGGATTGTTCTCAGTGACGGGAGCATCGTTCGAGTACTGTGCCATGACTTGGAGAAGAAAGAGTGTAAGGTAGTAAATGAGTGTAAGCAGTTTCATCTTGCAAGTCAGATGGGAGTGAAGTTGAGGCGATGGCTCCTTGATGTTGGGATCTGAGGATAGTACGGAAGAGTGAAGGACTCGAAGGATTGAAACAGGAAAGAAAGATAAAGAGAGAACTGGGTTGAGAAAGGGAGGTCGTGGATATTGAGACTGACTCGACTTGTCTTGTTGCTTTGGTGGTTGAACGGGCAGAATGAGACGAAGCAACACCCGGCAACGTGCATGGAATGGAAGGACAATGAGAACAGAGGAGCGCAACGTCACCACCGTGATCCATTCAGTTTTTGAATTGCTGGATCAGTACCTTTCATAAGTATTCATCAGTGTTGATTGTTTCATAATGATGACAATGTCTCGCTCGTCTTGTGTTTGAAGCTCTTCAATGTTAACACAGGAATCTCGCATAGCAGCATCCCAACCAGCTGCGAGGTACAAGGTTGCGTTTGCCTCGGAAACAACATGCAGCCAGCCTCGCGAAAGTTATAGTCGAGGAAAGGACTCAACTTGGGAAGACTCATCCCTTGTTTGACCAAGTTTCATGGCTCGTCACTCGTCACCACTCATGACGGCCGTCCGTGTCTTGCCCCCCCCCCCCCCCCCTTGCTTACAAGGCAGTCCTCACTGCACATTTAAACGGCCAGATCGTAGCATTCTTGACATCCCATGCACCACCTGCCGTATATGCATCCTCCTCAAGCGCCTTGCGCACCTCTTCTTCACTGTCGGCCTTGAACAACATCACACTACCCGTCATATCTGGGGCTTCCCCATCGGCAGGTTGTTTCGACAGCGTTGCTCCTCCAAAGACTACCTTTCCTGCTTCGACGTTTGGTTTGAGCTTGCCGAGGTGTGTTGGTCGAGCAGCGAGACGCTTTTCAAGGGCGCCAGGGAAGTCCGGTACGTGGACGAGCCATTCTTTTGTCGAAGTGCTGGACATCCTGACGAAGGACGGTGTTCCTGTGGTAGGTATCGGGGTTCGTCTAGATTGCGACGAGAGCTGGATGTGCGAAGAAGAGATGAGACCAGGCACTGCTCGAAGTCGCGGTCGACAGCAACAACGGACACTGGGGGACATGGATATAAATACTGTAAAGTGCTCTTCCGGGAGTAAAGTGAGAAGTCCGAAGCTGGGGACACGCCCGCCATGAAGTACGAGTAGAGGTGGGAAATGCTCCCCACAATAAGCGCAAAGCGCGATGTCGGATCATTGTACTGGTACAAATACAGTTCGACCGAGGTGGGTGGTCAGTGGGCTGGGGTCGGACGCGCACCAGCCTTACAGTAATCCAGGTAATCGCTCCATATGGATCGAGCCCATCGGAACATTTCGCATGATCACTAAATAGGTTCGTTCGCAGTGATAGTTCGGTGTTCCAGATACACACCCCTCTCTCTCTCTCGGATATTTATGTCTATAACTGTACATACATACGTCTACGTCTACGTCTACAGCTTCGTTCTTGGTTTATCTTTGGCCAACAGGGAGTCTGCGACCTTTCGTCGCTGTATCTTCCCAGTAGCAGTCTTGGGTATTTCTTTCAAAATCCAAACACGGCTCGGCGTCTTGAATTTCGCCGTTCGGCTGGCGACAAACTCGACAATGCCTTCCTCTGTAACATTTCTTCCTGGCTTGGGAACGACAGCAACTCCAACTTCTTGTCCATAGAGCTCCGATGGGATCGCAAAGCTGACGGCTTCTCCAACATCGGGATTTGTGGCGATGAGATGGTCCAACTCAATGGGACTGATCTTTTCGCCTCCGCGGTTGATGAGCTCCTTGATTCTGCCAGTGATGATGACGTAGCCATCTTCATCTTTCTTGCCCTGGTCTCCTGTCCGGAAGAAACCACCTTTGGTGAACGCTTCTTTATTGGCCTTCTCATTGTTGATGTAGCCTTTCGTGACATTTTCTCCCCGAATGCAGATTTCTGCAGCCACTCCTTGTGGTACCTCGTCACCCTGCTCATCTAATATCTTGACCTCGACACCCTGCCCAACACCGACAGTCCCGGGCTTACGCTTGCCTTTGTGGGGCAATGGATTCGATGTCATCTGATGAGCTGCCTCTGTCATTGCATATGCTTCTAGCACCGGAGCACCGTAAGTTGCTTCAAGCTCATGGAATGTCTTTGGCGACAACGGAGAGGAACATGACCTGATAAAGCGGATCTTAGGCTTGGTACTTGGGGGTGGGTTCTTCAGCAAGATCTGGTGGATGGTAGGCACAGCTGTGTACCAGTTGGCTTTATGTGTAATAAAGTCGTCCCAAAATGACCGAGCAGAAAATGACCGAGGGACAACCACTGAGCCTCCTGATCTCAGCGGAGCGAGAAACCCAGCTAAAAGGCCGTGGACATGGAAAAGAGGCATGACCAGCATTGTCCGGTCATTGGATGTAAGTTCATACGTGCCTTGTATGTTGAGCATGGTTCTGGTAAGATTTCGGTGAGTCAGAGGAACTGCTTTAGGTCTCCCAGTAGTTCCACTCGTGTGCAATACCAGAGCAACATCTTCAGGCTCAGCCTGGGACACCTTCTGAGTCTGTCTCTTTGCTAATTTACCGCGCTCTTTCACGTCCAGAATCGGTGTAGTCCCGTCCAGCCAGCATTCTGCAATAGCGGCTTGAAACTTCCGCGCCGCCTTGATTGCAGGGCCATCTTTTGCATATGAGTCTTTCGGTACAATCACGACAGCAGAAGACAAGTCTTCAATGTAGAACTCGAACTCGGCTTGCTTATACGCAGGGTTTAAAGGCGCCGCGATTCCTCTTTGATATGAAGCAGCAAGGAAAGACACGATGAACTCATAGCTGTTGGGCAGTGCTATCGAGACTGCGTCGGCATGCCCTATTCCCAAATCTGCAAGTTTCCTCTGAAAACTGAGAATGTCTCGTGATAACTGGTTGTAGGAAACAGTCAGGGCTGTAGGCTTCGACGGAACGATAACCGCAGTGGCAGAGGAGGTTTGTGAAAAGGACGTCGCAAGCGTTGAAGCCATAGTGCACTGATTCAACGGCGGACGTGGACAGTGAGTGAGAGCTCAAATGGGGCACATATGAAGCAGAAAAGGATTATCGCTGGACCTGACCTGGCCTTCTAGGTACTATAAAGCGTTGCAGAACAGAAGCAAAAAAAGGCCCGAGTTGGATGGCGTAATATGCTAAAGGAACAGAAGATTGATGGATACTCGATCTCGGAGGGCTTCAAACTGGGCCAGGTCGACGCTTCTCGGCCTCCGTTTCCATTCTGCTGGTTTAGCCTTGAACCATGTCTTCTTGATAGTCCATAATTCCGTACTGAACATCGGGTAATGGATCTGCAAGATCTGGGCAACAACTGATGAGATAATGGCACGCGCCTCATCCTTGTTCCTTTCTTATCTCGCCGATTGGTGAGAGCGATGTTCGTCCTCCGATTCCACCCTTGTCCACTCTCCTCTTCTTCATCCTCAGCTCTTGCAAATTCCGAGAACCGTCCGACCGCAGCCAACCACGAACTTGGATAACATTTAAGCGGATTGTCTTAAAAAGACTTATCTCAGAAGGAGGTGCAGGAGCATGGCGGCCAACAACGCTCCAGGGTCGGGTCGTGGAGGCCTGTCGCTGTACGCCAACCTCCTCGACCCAAAAAGTGCTGCGCCCGGTACCATCTCAAGTGCGCCGGTGTCTTACTCTGCGAATGCGGAGAATTCGCCTGATCAAGATGAAGCTGCAAAGAAGCAGCAGGCTCTCGCCGGTACATCAATCGTCGTAAGGACCTAAAGGTTTGCTGAATGGATTGCTCACATGTGACATGCTTCTTTCGTGATGTACAGCCTCCTTAAGATTTCAACCCACAAAAAGACCACAAATTGCCAACCAGAAAGCAAAAGCAAAAGCGATTGCGGCCAAATTCGCTCCTCCATCCTCCGCCTCTCCTGCTCCTTCTACCACACAGACCGAATCCAAAGAGAGCGTGCCCACAACCACGCCTACACCACAACCATCTGCCCCGAGAACCACTGCCGCAGACTGGACGGCGACTGCATCAGATGACGAGGATGTTAGCAACTTCTATGCCGTAGAAAAGCGACAACGTGGAGGGCGCAAGAAGCGCAAGAAAAACAAGGAGGCGGTTCAGATCGTCCAAGACTGGGATGATATCTATGACCCAAGCAGACCAAACAATTACGAGGAGTACAAGCAGAGTGAAGAGAAGATTCGCGAGGTCAGGGAATGGAAAGACCTTCTGTATAGACATCGTATGAGAAGAAAGGGCTCTAGTGAGTCTGAAGACGAAGATCGTTATCGGTCTATGAACCGTAAGGCACCTGAGCAGTCCCGGTCTATGTCGCTAACCACATTGCAGGGCAATTTGCTCCGCCGCCCATGTCGTTTGCACCTCCGTCGAATCTCAATGACGAAAGTCCACCTCCGCCGCCACCACCATCAGCCCCGATTCCCGATGATGCCACCGGCGAGGACGCATATTTGCGACGGATGCGGATGGCTCAAGGACTGCCGCAACCGCCACCACCTCCACCCCCGGATGTGAATCCCCCACCTGGGCAGATATCCAGGGCTCCCGTGCGGTATAACTTGCCAGCCGCTCCGGAAGAAATTCCATCTTCCGAAGTTGAACTAGATGGCAAGCTTGCTGAGTCTGGTCCTGGCGAGGACGAGGGCACCGATCAGCCTCGATCAAACCGGCCCGGCCAAGCAGGGTTTGCGGAGCGCCTCATGGCCAAGTACGGGTGGAGCAAAGGGCAAGGCTTGGGTGCTCAAGGCACTGGCATCATCAATCCACTATATGCAAAGGCCGATAAGCGGAAAAAGAAATCGGACGCCGAAGGAGGCGGCTTTGCGACGCCAGCGAGTACAGGCAAGATTCTTGGCGGCAATAAATCCAAAGCGGCCCAAGCAGAAGAAGAGGGTAAATTTGGAGCAATGTCCGAGGTCATTCGGTTGGAAGGGATGCTGAATGGCTTAGACCTTGATGAAGAGCTAACTCGCGGAGAAGGAGGCATTTTGCAAGAGATTGGGGAAGAGTGTGGTGAGAAGTATGGAAGTGTCGAGCGCGTCTACATCCATCGGCCGGAGACCGAAGGTGAAGATGCGCTGGTGTTTGTGCACTTTGTCAGTCAGCTCAGTGCTCTGAGAGCGGTCAATGCCCTGGAAGGGCGTATCTTCAACGGCAATCCGATCAAGGCAAAGTTTTGGCCCAAGGAGAGATTCGATGCTCGAGATTATGTCTGATCAACTATCGAAGTGTTCTTGAACTAAAGAGGGCGACAATGAGAACAAGGATGTGGTCATTGTGACTACCTTTATATCTGTAACATCCTGGATCGAAGTGATATGTGCATCTTCATACGGAGTAGTGCAAAGAATACCCTGTTAAAGTTTTCAGTGTCTATGCGTACAAGGCCCGACGCGTAAGGGGCGCTAACTAGGTATAAATGTGCACCCCTAACTTAGTTACTAACTAGGTAAGGACAACGCGCCTACGGAGGGAGGATTCGTACACCCATTACCTGGTGTTCCTCCTTATTGCATCATTGGCTTCACGAGGCCAGACACTTTCTTTACGTCCAACTTCCGGCCACCAACAGCGTCAGAACTGCTTCTTCCACGTCGCAGGATAGTAGTATCAGGCGCCATGACTGTGAACACAGCGCTCATTGACCAAGCTTTTGCCTCTAATTCTTCCTTGAGGAAAAGAGTCTACGACGCAATCGGCACGTTAATCTGCTGTTCTTTCGCGCCATACGTCTCAAGGCTAACAATACTCAGGACAAACACCAGGCTCCGCCGGCTTGTTCGAGGACATCGCCCAGTACCACCTAACCCATCAACCTTCCAATGGGGTGAACGACATTGAACCAGCCTCCAAGAAGCGCAAGCTTGCCAATGGCTCTCTTCCCATCGCCTCCAACTCGGCCTCTGCACCTCGAGAAGTCATACTCGAAGCACGCGATCTGTCCTTCTCCCTTCCTCAGCGCAAGAAGCTACACTTGGGTGTGGCACAATATGGCACGGACATCAATGCCGCATCGACAAAGTTTGTAATCTATACCCGCAACCCCGCGAGCAATGAAGTCGATATGGAAGTTCCTCTTGACCAATTCGCCTACGCGCTGAAGCTGCCAGTGCCTGAAAAAGCAGCAAAGCAATACAACTATGTCTTGCTCCCAAGGTCGGATGCGAAGGATTCGGAACCCATAATATGGGCGGTCAACCACGGTCCTCTGAAGTCCTGTCACATCTCCAATGACACACTTGCAAAGCTTGCGTCCGACCCAGACACGGCACTCGATGCCGCACTGGACTTTGTCTTGAAGAAAGTTGGAATTCAACTCACGTTGCCCTCCGCTGACGAATTCGCGAGCGCTAAGCCCGAGTCACACCGCAAGAACGATCAGGCATACCATGTCAAGGCGTTCAGGGGGTCCAAAGATGGATTTCTGTTCTTCTTGCACAACGGAATATTCTTCGGCTTCAAGAAGCCGCTTTCATTCTTCGCGTTCGAGGACATTGTATCAATATCATATACGAGCGTGTTGCAGCGCACGTTCAACCTGAACATAGCCTATGGAGGCGCAGACGATGGCGATGCCCAACAGGAAGTCGAGTTCTCCATGCTGGACCAGGCTGACTTCCCGGGTATTGACGCTTACATCAAACGCCATGGGCTCCAGGATGCTTCTCTGGCAGAGTCACGGAGGGCACAGAAGATCAAGGCGCCCGGTGCGGCAGGAAAAGCTGCAGTTGCAGGCGATGAGGCGGATAGTGACGAGAACGATACGAGGACCGAGTTGGAAAAGGCACAGCAGCAATTAGAAGACGAAGAAGACGAGGAAGAAGAAGATTATGATCCTGGCAGTGACGGCGAGAGTGAAGGAAGTGGAGACAGCGACGAGGATGACGACGAGGAGTATGAGCGCGAAAGACGAAAGTTGAAAGGAAAAAACCTAGTAGCTGAAGAGCTAGGAAGCGAGGCAGAGGATGTTAGTGTGACTGAAGAAGAAGATGAAGGGGAGAGAGAGGGAGAGGGAGCAGAAGGTGAAGGTAAAGATGAAGATGAAGATGAAGACATGGAGGAGCAAGAGGAAGAGGTTGCCGATGAAGAAGTCCAAGAGATCGAGCAAGATAAGCAAGGGTTTGAAATCGGTCAACACGTCAGGGCTCACGGATTCAGCGCCGTGGCCCCTGCCGCACATAACGGTATGTGGGATGGTATGCCGGATCCAGAAGACGATGACCAGTTGTGATTGATGTCGATGATATCTGTGTAAGATATGATGAGATGAACTATATCTACCTTGTGGTGCTGGCTCATGATCGAGTGAATACGTCGAAAGAAAGGGGGCATGACAAAAGCATTTCACGAGCATGGATAGACCAACAGTCTTGTGGAAAGTTGGATGCCTTCTTCAGTAGAGAGTGCCCCTAATGTATCAATGATATATCCAAACTCAGTAATAGGTCAGGATCAAAGTGATCAGTCCGTGCCATGACGCTGTAGTCTATATCTAAGTACATAAATCATCTAGCTCTACCCTACCAAAGGAAGGAGGATCCTTTGATCTCTCCCTCTCTCACAGAGGCACACGCCTTATTGCCACGGTCGTTGGCTCCCCGTCAGCTTCGTCCCACGACTTCCCTTTCGGCGAGCCCTTCCACCAAGCCAAAGTCTAACCTGTTCTTTCCCCCTTGAACATTTTGTCGATTACTGCCTCTGCGGCGGGTCTCGACCTTCGCTTTGACGGTGATTTAGGCGGTAAGTGAAGCCACGAACCCCTTCGGTAGTACATCCGCGGCGGTACGGAGTGCCTTACGCGTCTGCCCACCGGAGGTGGATAGGTGGGTAGGTAGGTACGCAAAAATCCGCGGTTTTCGCTTCGATCGATGGTCCGTCTCGCTTTCTTTCCTTCCGAAAAGAAAAAAGAAAAGAAAAGGAAAAGAAAGGAAGTATTCAATTCCAGACCTTTCCATTGTGCACCACGACGACCTTGTTGACCTTGTCAGGACTCTCCTGCAGGGTTCCGCTGGCCCAGCCCTCGATGCCTTCCTTGAGCAGTCGTCTATACGTCTCGATGGTGGTTTGTGTGAACCACGCGATATGTGATGCTAGACGAGGATGGAATTGAGTGAAATTAGCCTTTTTAGCCCCTATCATTCTAGCCCCCAGCTCTCCTCCTCCTTTCTCTTCCCTTTCCGTCTTGTGAAACCGGTGGGTTTTCGCGGGCAGGAAATAGTATGTTCGCGGCGGTAAAGGGGGGAAAGGGGTGCGCGAGGAAATGGTTGTGTGTGTGTGTGTGTGTGTGTGTGTGTGTAGGGATAGGCAATACTCACTAATGGTCAAATTGGGAACCTCTTCCTCCCCTTTACTCACGTCCGGGGTCAAGGGACCTGACCCGACACCCGCAGGTTCGACTTCCAACACGTCTGTCGCGGCGCCCGCGATCCAGCCTTGTCTCAGCGCCGTCGCCAGGGCGCGCTCGTTGACGATGCCGCCCCTCGCGACGTTGATGACGAGGGCATCCTTCCTCATGGCCCTCAACTCGGATTCCGCGATCAGGTCGACGGTGTCGTCCTCCTTGGGCACGCAGACGCACACCACGGTCGCTCGCTCAACCACGTCGTCGAAGCTGACTCTGCCGTCGCGCACCGCGGCGGCGTTTTTCCTCTCGCTGATCAGCACGTCGCCGAAGCCGACGGCGCGCGCGAGCTGCGCGATCCGCTTCCCCAGCGTGCCGTAGCCCATGATGCCCAGCACCTCCTGGCGACAGCCCATGGGCGGGCCGCCGGGCCAGAGTTTGGTCAGGGTGCCCTTTTCCCGCCACTCGTCGCTCCGCGTGACTTTCGAGTGGACCTGCACCACCCGTCGCCGCACCGCAAAGTACAAGCCCAGAAAGTGCTCCGACACGGCGTCGACGTTGCCCGCCGGACACTTTGTCACCGTCACCCCGCGCCGCGCGCAGTCGGCCTTGTCGACCCAGTGGATCCCGACCGCCATGACGGCCAGGCAGCCCAGGTGCGGCGCAGAGTCCATGTCCGCCGGGGTGACGGGGACGACGCACGCGACCACGATCGTCGCGTCGCGGATCCGCTCGCTCACCTGCGCTGGCGTGCTGCGTTGGTGCACCGTCATCGTGTGCGGGAAGTCGAAAGGCGGCATGTCGGCGTGGATCCCCTCGAGGACGACAATGTGGTGTTGGGATTTCCCCGGAGGGAGAGGCGGTGGCGTTTGGAAAGGTGTTGTTGAGGTCGACATGTTGACTGTGCTGGCGCAACGTACCCTTCTTTGAGAGTGCTTCGACGTTGTAGAGGCACCGGAAGTAGAGTATGTCCAAAGACCAGATCGAGATCGGGGGCGAGGCGAAATGGATGAGGATTTGACTTTGGACGAGAACGCTCTGCCCGCGTCTCTGCCTTTGAGTAACCCTGCGCTTCGACCGGAAGACACAAATCCAAAAAGAGTCCCGGCTCTCGGTGTTCTAGCCAGCCTTGCTTCTTTCCTTTCTGTGGTGCTGCTGTAGCGACAGAAACAGTAATGGTGATGGTGGCGGTGGTGGTACAGCACCTCAGGTACCTAGGTAGGTAAATATATACAAATGTGTACACGGACCCCAAGTTTCGGTGCCTCGTTACGGCGCTCTCTTTGTAGGTACCGAGTACTTACCCAAGGCGAGTAGACACCTAGGCAGGGAAGCAACGAAAAATAAATAGGTAACCTGGTACCGCAGTGATCTCTCGAGAGAGAATTTGACCTTCTTGCAAAGTGCTAAGCTGCTTGATAGAACGAACTGTGGTGGTCAGCAGCAGCATGCGAACCTGTCCAGAGTAGAAAATATTATGGTATGGTGTCCATCAATTCTCCACCTGCGCCCTAATCATGACAAGACCGCCCTTCAAAGCACAGTGTAATATTTACAATATCCATCGAGCTTACTGCTTATCGAACCCGGTCTGTACGAGTACTTCGCTTCGTTTCCCCCCCACGCCCGACAAGTGAGAGATCTGCGAACCGCAAGGATCCCAGAGCCGGATCTCGCACGGTAACTCCGAATTGCGTCTCAACGTCCAACGATGATGGTCTCTCTCTGATAAGTCCGAAGACGAATTGGGCAATATCTCGGTCCTCGGTTATTCCATGGTTACTAGGAGAACCGTACTACATACCATGGTAAGCCATCGGACTGGCCAGCGAGCGTCAGAGAGATTCACTACACGCATTGACCGCTGATGACCTGAAGGCTCGAATTCGGTCTTGCTCGGCTGCGGGCCGCTCCTGATCAGCATGAATGGAAGCTTTTACACCCTCGTTTGGGGAGCGTCTCAGAATGAGTTCAGCGGCAAAACGAGTGCAAACATTGTCTTTCGTTGGGAATGACAAGCCCGAGATTGCCTCCAACACAGAGCTCTTGCCTGATGACTGGTGGCCACAAACAATGAGCTGTGGAAGGTTGACATATTTGCTGATGCCTTCCGACCGCTGGGGTTGAGCACTCGCATGGACAGAAGTCATATTGTACGAGCCCCATTCTCATTGCGTCTGCTCGTGGGTTTCGGCACATGCAGTCATCCTTCGACTGGGGACCCTTTTTAATCGCGCTTCGTGACAACAAGAAGAGGCTGAACGGTTGCATGCGTTGACTGCTCTTAGCCTTGCCTGAGTCACGATACTGGGGCTTACAGTTTTCTGAACCTTAGCGACTGGCCATTCCATTCGTCGAGGGGTCGCCCTGTTTCAGTCTTGGAATCGACCCGGAGACAGGGAGCTACATCTTGATCATCAGTGAAGCCTCAACAACAATTGATACTTTCTAACTTTATTGAGATAGTTTTATGTTATTAAGAGTGACGCCAGTTCCGACATGACTGTAGCATCTTGGCCGCGGGGGAAATAGATGTAACAAGTACCAACTAATAGGTATACATGCAGAAATATCGATACATGGATAGCAAATGTCGTATGCTTCCCTCACTGTCCACTCGAGGACAGAGAAATGCAGAAAAAAAGTACCTCGCTTGACCCGGCATCCCGACCAAAGACTGTGAACGACTGAAACCCCTTGTCTGAGGCCTCTGGGCTATGCAACCTCGTAATTCGTAAAAGTCCGCATATGATACAAATCGATCTTCTGTACATCATCGACACAAGGGAATCTTCACGACGCCTGTCTCCGAGAGGCAAGGTTCTGGTGTGAAATCCCAGCGTCCCAAACAACCTCTCTTCATTGCAGGCTCAGTTTCCTCATCAAGCTGGGGAAATGACCCTCACCTTCTTCTTGCTTCCGGATACTCGAAGTCACCTGGGACTCTAACGTCTCCGTCTCGATTTCGCCCAGTATGCCTTCGTCGTAGAATTTGTACAGAGTCCCCCCTTCCGTCCAGATGCGCCGCAGCGTCACCACTGTGGCAAGGGGTGAATAGACTTGATATTCTTCCTTTTCGATCTCTCTCAATCGCTCAACGGTCGTGTAGGATTTCTCCCACTTGGACCCGGTTTGTTCCTCGTACTCAGCCAGAATCTCATGAGGTGTGGCTGTAAACGAATGGACAACTAGGGTGGTGTTTCTCGACGCACCCAGGTTCATGAGGCTTGCAACCACGAATTTTCCAACACTGCTCAGAAGTTAGCTCCATTGCCAAGTATGCCGCACCCCCAGGACAGAGTTTCCTATCATGTCTACACGTACTCAGTCATTGCTGTAAAACTGACAGGGCCTTCCCCATCACCCAGCAAAACTGCTTTTCTTGCTTTGACGTCGAATTCGCCCAGCTCGGGTCTGGCTTTCATCAGGCCAAAGTACAGATCACTATACGGGCCAGTCACGAGATATGTATGTTCCAGCCTCTTCATCGTCTTCATATGAGCGCGCACTTTCAACTTGAGTTGATGAGGTGGTTCCTGTGCAGATTCGGGCCAGTATTCGATGTCCGTGCCATATTCAGACGGGAAAAACCGTCGTACGCCTGCTTGCTCGGCCCAGGTGATCAGGTTGATTTGTTTTTCTATCCCACCTCGTCCCACGCATGAAACGATTGTGTCAATGCCTACAGTAGGGTTCACATGTCAGCAAGGAGTCGTCGTTCATGCAGAGTCCGTAACCTGTGTTGCTTGATGTTCCTTCCCGGCTCCACCTTCTGACATCCAAGGTTGTCTCGACCCGTGTGTAACATACCTTCGCAAGCTCTCTTGAAGGACCTTTCGCTTTCTAGCCGGCCCGTAAAGATCTCGACGCCCCATGCCTCCAGCGCAGCAATGTCCTGGATTTTCTCCATCATTGTCTTCTGGCTCGTGAATATACATATTCGCCCAAAGTTTTCTCTTGCATCGACGATTGCCCTTGTAATGTATGTTCCAATGATTCCTGTAGCACCAACGATGAGGATGTTTTGTGATTGCTGGCCCGGGTATGGGGGCATGGCCGCGAAAGGTCTCGGCCAGATGGCTTGCCTTCCTTGTGCGTGTCAAGCTGGTGCTACTCCGCAAGAGACAGCTCTGACTCGTGGAACGCGCCCTTCCCTTCCTCTGCCTTGGAAAGTCAAGCCTGCAAAGGCAGTGCTGTGTGGCGCGCGAATGGTCGAGAGCCGACTTAAGGTGCTGACAGTGGATATTTTCGAAGAGCGAACTTCGGTGTGGCTGCGGGAAAGAACATAAAAGGCAGCAGTGGCGTGCTGAGATGAAGTAGGCCGATCCTCAGTGAGAAGAAGGTGACGCTCGAGGAGTGAAACGCAACTGCTGCGGAGGATGTGCTGCTCGACGATATGAAAGAGGGTGTAGGTGGGATGCGGATCAGGCCGGGGTCTGTGGAGAGTCGTTCGTGAAAGAGAGAGGAACAGGGTGAGAGGCTGAAACACCCATGAAGTACCGAGGGCGAGTACTCTCGAGACCGATTAGACTTGTTGAACTTGTCGAGATTTGTATAGAAACGAAGACAAGGCGATGCGTAACATGTGGCTTTCTCGAAGTCAATCGCGAGGGGATCGACTCCACGCGGCCACCCAGAAAGAGTAACGCAAACAGGCCAAGTAGGCAATATGAAGCGACAGGTCTGCCTCGTTACGTGCTGTTTTCCTCCACTACGATATCTGGGCAATACAATTTGTTATATATACTCTACAAGGTACGTAGTACGCACCCTGGTTCAGTCAACGTTCAGCCACAGCACAGTTCGACCAGCGCGAACCATATTTTCGACATGATCGGCCACTTGTCTGCGGATACGGAATGCTCGAGCGGACCTGAACATCGGGCCGCATTAGATTCGGACATGAATACGAGTTTGTTGCCCTCGTGGTGACGCTCTCTCCGTATTGGTCTTTGCTCCGAAACTGGGTTCTCAGGGGCTGAGAAAATGGTGCCTGGGCTGACTGCGGAACGGATGACATTCTTCCAACGGGGAAATGCTGGAGCGAATTGCTGTTGTTGACCTTGTCCAGTATAGAACCTGGCATGCAGAATCGCCGTCTCTTTCGCACTCCATGGCTCTCTCTCCAACGGGCGCGTCGAACGCTGAACAGTGATACGAATTGAATATCGGATGCCCATGTTAAGCTGGTTTCTAAACTTCCATCGTTACAACATCTGATCTTTCGGACTCGTTGAACAGCAAGATCGATCATCACTACGAGGCCCATTTGAGGCGCTGACACATTGTTTCTGTAGTAATCATAACGACAGTGCCCCATTACACGAAGTTGGCGACATTACTAGAGACTACCTACGAAGATGGCGGGCCGAGTATACCGACTGTATAGAGTCTCGCAGAGGATCCGGATATGTGGAGTGATGCAAAAAATAGACACGACCAGCAGCTCGGATTCCTAGGCAGACCTAGCACATGTGGTCTGGACTCCTTCTAATCAGCCGTCCACTTAAGGGTCGAGTATCGCAACAAGGCGAAGCATTCTCCATTTCAACTTGCTGTCTGTCCTGTGAAAATCAAATTCAGCCAGGCCCCCAACCTGTACCCTGCTCGCGCTATTTGCGTCCTTGCCACGTCAAAATGAGCCTGGTAGTAACTTCCACTCAGATCGCCTTCCTCAACTGCATCGATTCCGGCACTTAACACGTCTTCACAGACATAGGCATTTGCCTCACTTGCCCACGTCAAGGCTGTTGATACTGTGTCATTAAGGGTCGTCCCCACCAGCCAACTTTCGACGTCCCAGCCATATTCCCCGGTCTTGATAGATGCGGTCAAGGTTCTGGCTAATTGTTCGGCTGATGAGCCATTTGCAAGTAGTTCGACAATTTCCGTATCCCAGATATGGTGCAAATTGGTATGTTTCCCCTGAAACGTGACGTTGATGCCGTTACCACCCCGTTCCAATGCTTCATCGTGAAGTGGTTGGTGCAGATCACCAATGAAGTGAATGAGAAATTTTACAGCATAGTATTTCTCGGCCTGCTTCGAGTCGACATCACGAAGAATAGAGGTGTAGTTGACAATGGCACTGATGGAACACCCTGAGCTACCGCAGTCCCGCCCGTAGTCCACAGAACAGGACGACGGCGGATTGTCGTTGGCATCGATGAAGTGCAGAGGGGCGGACCAGCTTCCGGCGCTTGTGTAACGGTAAGAATCAGCCCAGGTGGAAACGTTCGCCATGTAGTCTGACTGTTTGCTGTCAAGTAGGTCTTTGACAGCAGCCGCCGTTGTCGTCGAAACATAAGATTGAGCAATCCATGCAATGGTTTCATGGCCCAATCCGCCCCATGCTTTGGCCGCTGCGGTAAAGAGCGAAGGCAAAAGAATCACCGCAGACTTCATCCTTGCAAACGTGATGCTGAAATGCTCATCTGCAGAACCTGCAGAAACCGGACCCTATATGGCTGTGCGCGGCGCCTAGAGACATGGGTGACACTTGTTAACTGTCCAAAAAAACAGAGCCAAATAGCGTTTCAGAACGAAATGTGATGTCTCGGTCGAAAAGAAATTGACTGTGGAAAGGCGAGAATGCGACCACGAGTACGATGGCCCTGTGACGGGAGTTGGTCAACCAAGAGCTGCCCAATCTCCGACCCCAATCATGCCTACAACCAATGCATGCGAGATGCGGTGCTCGAAGCCTCACTAGGCGGAGGATCGTCGGAGCCTCGACCCACAAGCCACGAGGCTGAATTTCGCTAGCCACATCGTTTTGCCAGCGTAGCGAATGAAGATGCCACTCAATCGGACTTGTTGCGCTTTGCAAGCAAGTTCAATGCACTACCAGCCAGAATGAAACCGCATTGATCCTTACTCAATGTGTGCTTGACCGGAATCGTAAAGGTCTCTCCGTTCATCTTGGTAACCTTCAATCGAATTTCTCCTTGTCCATCGTTCCTTAAAACGTCCCAGAGGCCTTCCGTATCGACCGAATCGCAGGCATCGATACGGTCATAGTCTTCTTTGTTGGCGAATGTCAACGGTACAACTCCTTGCTTCTTCAAATTGGTCTCATGGATACGGGCGAAACTCTTCGCGAGAATGACTTGTCCACCTAGATATCTGGGTTGGAGTGCAGCGTGTTCTCGCGCAGATCCTTCACCATAATTATCTTCGGCCACGACAAGCCAATTTTGACCTTGCTGTTTCCACTTCTTGGCAAGCTCTGGAATAGACGACTTCGAACCATCAACATCATAGGCAACATTAGTTTCTCCAGTCGCGGCGTTAATTGCGCCAATCAAAGTATTTTCGGCGATGTTTGGCAAATGTCCCTTGTACTTCAGCCAAGGTCCAGCCGCCGATATGGTGTCGGTGGTACACTGGCCTTTCACTTTGTAGAGAACTTTCAACCCTTTGAGCTCACCCTCAGGAAATGGCTCGAAAGGCTCCAAGAGAGCCAATCGGTCGGACTCTGGGTCGACGACGACTTGCACGCTTGAATCAGGTTCAGCAGATGATGGCAAGAAAGCTGGATTGCCTATGGCGAACCCCGACCCTGGTAGAGCTGTGCCTTTGGGAGGTTCAAACTTGAACTTTTCACCGGAAGGCAGTGGGATCTCGTCCGTAATAGGGTTGAACGATGTTAACCCAGAGAACGACATGGCAGTGACGATCTCTGGAGAGGCCAGGAAGCTCATTGTTCGAGGATTGCCATCGTTTCGACCCGGGAAATTCCGATTGTACGAGCAGATGATGGCATTGTCTTCACCTTTCTTCATACCATCGGTACGCTTCCACTGTCCAATGCAGGGACCGCAAGCATTAGCGAGCACAGTTCCTCCAGCTCCTTCGAAAGTTTGGAGGGTTTTGCTATCTTCCAGAGTTGCGCGGACTTGCTCGCTACCAGGAGTGATAAAGAAGTCGGATTTAGGCTTCAGTCCGGCAGCTTGCGCTTGCTTCACCAAATCCTCCGCCCTAGTCATGTCTTCGTAGGAACTGTTGGTGCAACTGCCAATCAGTCCAGCTGAGAAGGTACTAGGCCATTTGTTAGTTTCGACAGCTCCTTTGAACTTGGACAATGGCGTAGATAGATCTGGGGTGAAGGGTCCGTTGATATGAGGTTCAAGTCCGGACAGATTGATGGTGACCTCTCGGTCATACTCTGCACCTGCATCTGCACGCAGGAAGTTGTACTGCTCGGAACCATATGCGATTCCTTTAATAGCATCGACGAGAGCTGCACGTCCTGTGGCCTGGAGGTAAGGAATGTGATTCTCGCTGAAGGGAAATATCGAGGTCGTTGCTCCAACTTCAGCGCCCATGTTGCAAATTGTGGCCATGCCAGTGCAACTAAGTGTGTCGATTCCTGGACCAGTATACTCAATGACGGACCCGGTGCCACCACGGACGGTGATCTGTCCTGCAAGATGAAGAATGACGTCTTTGGGTGATGCCCAGCCACTGAGCTTACCCTCCAAACGTACAGAGAGGATCTTTGGAGCTTTGAGTTCCCATGGAGCATCGACGAGGGCATCAACAGCGTCGGCTCCGCCGACTCCAATTGCAATTGCGCCTAGACCGCCAGCATTTGGAGTGTGAGAATCTGTTCCCAGCATCATTAAACCAGGTGCCGCATAGTTCTCAAGGACAGTCTGATGTATTATACCAGCACCCGGAGGCCAGAATTCTATGCCATATCTCTTTGCTGCAGACTCCAAAAAGTCGAACACCTCCTTGTTTCCAGCGATCGAATTTGGCAAGTCTGTGTCTGCACCTTTTTCACCCACAATCATATGATCGCAATGTATGCTCGCAGGTACAGCGGTCGAAGGTAAGTTGCATGTCATGAATTGGAGGATGGCCATCTGCGCAGACGCATCTTGCATGGCGACTCGGTCGGGTTTGAGCTTGAGGTTTGCATTCCCGCGAATGTTTTTGCCATTGTCGGTATTGGTCAATAGAGATTCTTCAGGATTGTCGAGATGGGCGTATAGGATCTTTTCAGCCAAAGTCAGTTTCCGCGAGCCTAGTATCGCCCGAACTTCTTCGAATCTCTTGAGGATTTTCTGGTAGGGAGGGACGGCAGCCTTTCTTCGCGGGAGAGGTTGTGACTGAGCATGTACGGCATACGCCCGTCGAGCAGCTCTTCGCCAGATGGAGGTCCCGAGGTCCAGCGGACACCTCACGGCGAGCGACGGCCTTCTTTGTAGGAACGCCGACATACTTGAGCGATTGCCCTTCAGCAACTCTAGACAACAAAAACTGTCGAGAATGTGTTGGAGAAAATGTCATTCGAATCCAACCATTTTTCAGACACTCAGTAGCTTAGCGACATCGGATATTATTGTGGGCCGAGGATGGCAAGGCCACCATTCACAGCGCAGATGATTACACAAAGCCGGGGCTTCATCACTATACAACAAGGACGTTGCTTTATGGATAAGACGTTTCTGGATTATTCGGATTTCCACAAGCGTGGAATTGCTTAGCAACTGTAACGGTACACTCAAGGACGCTGCCCTGGCCCAAGCCTCATCAGTACCGGAATGCGTAAACCACGCACGAAGAACAGTAGCCGGCTTTTTGAGTGATGCACAAGAAAATGGCCACCCAGCCCTTGTCCTGATGACAACATCGTCCAGCCAGCCGAGAAAAACACCTGACGCCTGTTGCTGAGGATTTTCCCACTGAGTCTCACGGAACTAATCGTCACCGCTTTCCTGTTCAGCTGCTGTCCGGAGCTCATAAGCGAGGTCGTAGCATTCCGCTAGCAGATCGTTAACAGCGCCTTGTCCTTCAGGAATGTCCTTTCCAATCTGAAATTTTCCATCCACCCTCATGTTATCGATCGAGTTCAATTTCATGCTATACGGGTACAATTCTCTGGGATTGGAAACGCCGCCAGCTTTCTTGACTTCGACCAGACACCGGCGTAACGTAAGGAGTTGATTGTAGATTGGCAGCAGAGCCTCCGAGACTGGCTCAGACGCTATGAGAAGCTGATGAATATACGCATATCCTCGTCGGATGAGATAGAGCAGAGTCTGTGAAGTAATTAGCTAGAGTCTTTCACGGCGAAGATGTCCTTACTCGTTGCGCGTGCAAATCCGCCGGATGGCCTTCGGCGTCAAAAAAGTTGCCGTCTCGTCTGGAATCGTCTATGCGATCTAACTTTCTCTGCCACATGAACAAGTCGGTCTCTCGGAGAGACCATGCTTGAGTCATGGTCAACCGTTCGAGTTGGCTGCGAATCTCGATCAATTGATCATATACATCTTTAAATCGTTCGTCTATCTTGCCTTGCCTGTAATCACTGTCAGCTTGGGGGTTGTCTCAATGAAACCGGTCGCCCATACCGCTCCTGAACTATTTCGGTGAACTTTAAGCATCGATTGAGCAACGGTACAACCAGGTCCTGACCCGAAGAAGGGACACCGGTATCGTCTGGTAATTGACCGTCCTTCATCGTGGCCTGAATGGAAAGCAATTCATCGCGCAGTTCGTCAAGATCCTTTTGGCTGTACTGTAGCTAGCAGTCAGCTCTAAACGCTGATGGCATAACTCGATCAGAACTTACCTTGCTTCTCGTGTTCAAAGCCGCAATTGCTCTCAAGATAGACACCAGTTTCTCCCAGACTGGTACCATTTCTGGAGAGAGCGTACTGAGGAAATCGCTCAACTCTTGCAGCATAGCCTGGCAGATTTCCAGGCGGTACTTTATCCGCGTCAACAGGTGGTTTGAATAAACATCTTTCCCATGCTCCAAAGTAGATTGCATCTTGTTGAGTGTATGTTCCAGGCCCGTAAGGTCCTTCTTACTATAAAAAGCCGCTTCTTTGAGGTGGTGGCACAGCCGCATGATGTTTCCGGTCATGGCGTAGAGCGCAGGTGCTTCGTTATTTCGCCCAACAGCCATGAAGAAGAGCGAGATGAGTTGTAGGCAGTCATCCAGGACAGTGTCGACCCGATTCTGCACCAAGTGCTCCGGGCCACGGACATCGTTGAGGATAGACACCTGCTCAATGACCTGATCGTAGAGGGGGATGACGTCGGACGACTTCACGTATGTGCTCTTGTCTTGTTTCAAAAGTAGCAGTTTGTCTCTGATCAGTATCAACTTGTCCAAGATCGGCTTTTCTTGTGGCCCGACGGGGGCATTTGTGATCGGAGAGTCAGACATGGCGGGTCGTTACCATGGATGCTCGAGAGATTGGGGATTCGAGAGGGTTCGGCAGAGGAAAGATCGAAGCCTGCTCGCGTGGGCAGGTCACTCAAGGTAATGAAGGCTACCGGAGATTCTAGAACTTCAGTTGGTTTTGTCGGATGCCCGGACTGTTGGCGACGCAGCGAGTGCTAATTATGATGGGGGGCGGATGCAAGCGCAAAGCGGGCGATAACCTGAAGTGCGGGCACAGGCTCTCTGGATGGCAGAGAGTTTTGACTGCACTTTGCTTGCCCCGCCATCCATGACTGCATCCCTGCTGTCTCCGTACATCTCTGGAGTTCGTACCGACAGCGTCTAGAACCCCCGACTGCCCGGGACTTCACGTACAATGTTTGCACATTTCCGAGTACATACGCGGTACCTACTGCCCACGTGAGCTGATCCCAAGTTGGGCTCACTACCAGAGTAGGTGTGTTACCTAAGAAAATCCTTACCTCATGCTTTGCCTCTCCCTCCCAGAATCCAGAGTCACCAGCCTCGCCCTTCACCTTCGCCTTCGCCATCGACTACGAGAACTTTCCTGACAAATCTCCCTTCCATCTCAGCCTCATCTGGCGCCACATAGATGGCCCTTTGGCCACCACCTTTGACTGAGCCGCTGCCTCCCGATCGATGGCGATGTCCTCGGGCACTGTACGATACAGGAGCAGAGCCCTCTCTAGACCTTAAGGAGCCCGCACTTGGGACGATCTGGCTCTTGTTGTCCGGCTGCCGGGTGTTCAGAGCAAGTAACGAGGCGACAATGACAAGGTTGAAGGACCTATTGAAGACTCATACAAGTCTACAACTAACGGTGTGGTCTCTCATAGAGACACCTGGCGCATGGCAACTGTTGAATGGTTCTCTGAGCGAGAATGCTCCGTCGTGTTTTGTGCTAACTAACTGAATTTTTGAGACTTGACCAAGTACCTAGAATTACCATCTGATTTCCCCGATTCGCATACGAATACGATAAATGCCATTTAGGTAAGGTACATAGGAGAACCGTCTTGGGAAACTTTAGAAGGCATTGTATGAGTATTGGGATTGGAGGTTGGGATGTTTGAAAATACTACCCAACAACATCTCCTTATACTTTGATTGACGCTGTTCTGCCTCTGATGTGAACCAAACAACCCTACGCACTCTGCATGCGCGCGAGTAAAGTGACTCCCAATGCACCCCAATACCATGAAGTATTCATCATGGCCTATCATCCTCCAGGCGAGATGGCCGGTCCAAATCTAGTCGTTGACTTCGTGCGACCTCACACCTACACATCTCATGAGGTCTTCACCTCGGCACCGGTGACATGCTGTACATCCTCCATCTTATCAGGGGGCGAGCTGCTGCTGTGGAAATTGGAAAATTCGCCAGGGTCGGCACCCGCCATGGTCGGAGATGGCTGAGGTTGCTTGCTCGGTGTCGGAACAGGTTCATTGCTGCTCATCTTCCTCATCTGCTCGGGGCTAGGTCGGAGGTTCTCGATCGGTGGAAGAACAGGTGTGCCGCTGACTGTCCTTTTCTCGGCATGTCCACTTGCCACAGCACTCGCTTGCAGTGTCGGGGACATACTATTCCGCTTCTGGATCATGATGGAAGGAGGCGGGAAGTGTTGGGGGGTAGGTTGCTTCCTTGGTGAAAGTCCGGAGATGGGCTGTGTAGTAGGGGTCTGAGCCTCGTAAGGCTGGGACGAGGCTCGAGGCGTCGCATGGACTTGGCTAGCGACACCGTTTGGCTGAGGCTGCAAGCCGTTCACAGATACACCATTCGTGGCATTTTGACCGAGAGATGGAGATTTCTGAGGGATCCCTGCAACGGGTCCGACGTCCATATTACCCTGAGTAGGAGACATCATCGGACGATTGAACACTGGAGACGGGAGACGGCCAGTACTGTTCGTTGCTTGCCGATTTGCGGGCGACTGTGTTTGCTGGCGAGGCATATCCTGTGCGGATGCCAGATGTCGTTGCTCGTAAGGATAGTTTTGGAATTGATAAGCAGTACCATTGTGAGAAGGCGCATGCGCACTCGGTTGAGGGGGATTTCTAGCGAAGCCATTCCCGACCATATGTGCCGATTGTTGTGGAGGATAGCCAGGCACATATTGAATGAACTGATGAGAGCCGCTGGGCTGTTGGTGCAGACCTGCTGATGGTGATCCTTGCTGCGAAATGCCCGCACCTTGTGGATATTGCTGGGGGAAACCGTTACTCTGAATGTGTCGAGGATGATATGGAGAGCTTGGTGGGCGACTAGACGGCGATGATTGGTGTGCCGGGGATCCATTCATTGTTGAACCTTGGCTGGACGGCCCAGCCGCATTCTGTCTGGGTATTTCAACGCTGGCGAAGCTCGACTTCTGTGGTGACTGTGGTACCGGAAGCGCTGGGCTCGGAGGTGCAGGTGAAGAAGAAGTGCCAACCTTGAACTTGAGTGAGATCTTTGGCTTGTTTGCTTCTGCTTCCTTTCGTCTGCAGTCTCTACAAACAAAGTGGAAATCGTCCTTCTCTGCAGCAGACTTTGAGATATTCAGACACTTACTATGCTGCCATACGCTGCATCGCTCGCAGGCAACACTGTGTGAACCATCGTCCTAGAAGCATGTCAGTAGTGAGCTATGGACATTGAGCAAGAGTGATGCTTACAATATTCTTACCATGGACACCGCAGCCTGAGCAGTCAAAGGTCCATTCTTCCTCGTTGTTGAGATCTTCCAGTTCTTTCTTATTCTTTTCGATGCGCTGTTTGAGATGGCGGTCCGAGCCTCGAATTTCACCCTCCTCGATCTTCTTTTGTTCGATGGCATCTCTAGCAAGTTCTTCCTCCTTGAGAAGTCGTTTGTATTCTCTGTCCCGAATGCGCTGCTCTCGGGTCAACATCCGGAATTGACGTTCTTGTTCCATTTTCTCTTGTCTCTCCATCTCTCGATGGGCAGCGGCGAGGTCAGCTTGCTTTTTCCGCTCGGCCTCGGCTTCTTCGGCTTCGCGTCGTTCGCGGTCATGTTTGTCTGCCAATCGACTCGATCTCTTGGCTCCAACCATTCTTTCCATCATTAGAAGTTCGCGCTGACGCCGCTCGATCTTGCGTCGCTGCTTCTCCTCAGCAGCTTCGATAACTGGTAATACTTCCGAAATAAGACGTTCTCGTAGAAACTTCTCGTTGGGATCTTTAGATCTCTTCAGCGATTCGCATAATTCTCGATAGTCTGTAAGAGTGATGGCAATGCACTCCCACTTGAAACCGCCAAAGGTGTCAATCTCCCAAGGCTCTTGCGTCTTTTCATCGGCCATGTGGCTCTCGTCGTTCCCTTCGTGGTGTTCATCTGCAGTGTCTTCTAACTCAGCCTCCAGCCTTCTCCGTTTACTCTCTCTTCGTCTTGCAGCAATTGCTTTCTTGGAGTTGGCTTTCGGCTTGGCTTTCGGCACTGGTGGCGGGGGAGGGTCTGTCCGACGATAGAATCGATTATCATCCAGCAGGTAGTATTGTCGATCGTCACCGTCATACCCAAACTCCTCGATTCGCTGGTTTTCATCAATAAGATGTTCTGTGTTCGACGGCAGACAAACTTACCCATTCTAGTTGATCGACCTCACGCGGATGGTCGGGCATCTTCTCTCTTATGCGATCGGGATTCCAAAAAGTCCATACCGTCAACTGGTGCAGCACTCTGATCTTGGTGAAAATGTCGAAATCCCGGAATCGCTTTGGGGTCTCTTCTTCACCATAAGGGTTGAGATGGGGTGCCTTGGCCAGATACTGACGCCGCGTATATTCGTCCCAGATGGTATAGCTAAGCCACGTCAGATTCTATCCAAAAATGCAGGATCAAAGCACGTACTCAAGACCACGATGTGACGAGATCCATTTGAGTAGGGTCAAGCCTATTTCTTCGAGTTTTTCGGAGTAACCAGGCTTCAGGCATTCTTCCTCAAAGTCCTGCAAGGGTACCATTAGCCATTCCGTGCATTCAAATTACTCCGCCCCAGTGTGGTAGGTGTCAAGAAATGCATATTCGATGGGTCTGGATCGTACCTCGATGTCAAAGTCTTCGTCGATCTTGATTGCTTTGCCAAATATGAAGATGAACTGCATTATAGAAGCAAATTCCCACATGTTCCGTATTCTCTGCAAGATGGAAGGCCCCGTCTTCTTCTCTTCGGGGGCAGAGGCCTCCATCTCGTCGCGGGTGCGTTTTCGGGGCATAGTGAAGGCGAGGTGATGAGGAGGTACACAGGTATTAGTGGTGATGAGATGGCCCCCCAATCAATGTTAGGCGAACGGCATCAATTCTCAACGCGTAACATATTTGCTGAACAAGGTTAAAATCAAGTTCGGGCTGTTGTGTTGTGGAAGTGAAATCATGGACTGCGGCGTCTCTTCGCTAGAGAACGCGGATTAAATGAGCCAGATTAAGATGCGCGCTTCACGAGAGCCAAGCGTTGGGAGCGCTATCCGCAGCTCTTTAACGCTAGCCTATTTTGGTGATTGAAAGACGCCGCTCTAATCACTGCATGATCCCTTCTCTGCTTTATTCGTGTATCCAGCAACTCATTGCGTCGAAAATGCAGAAGACAAGCACAGTAATAGTGCACAGCCTTGTGGGGTGAACCAGATTGTCTTACACTGCCACACTGCCTGAAAGGACCTGCTGGATCTACAATTGCAACGAACTTCGCCTCGTCGACTAGGGGACCATTGTATCTTTTCCGAGCTTGAATGCCCACTGTCATCACCCCTTGTTCACGATCTCCGACATCTGGCATCCACGCTTCGAACCAGGCTGGGAAAACCTTTGATGTTGCCGTGCTCTCTGTAGAAGCAGAGGTCGGTATGATATCGTCAGACACCTAGTCGACTCTCTGTGTGGTGCTGGCTAGCAGGCTTGCGTTCCTCAAGCGGGTCTAGAAGAAGACTCTAAACGGCCTAGTATCCAATTCTCAAAAACATAATGTAAGGCTGCTTAACCGTGACATGGCTCTGGACCCTGGGGATCTACCGAGTCGCAAATGGAGGACGCAACCTTATAAGTCAACAGACGAAATACAGAGATGTTTCAGCTCCCGAATTCCTTCAATCTCTTGGGTTACGTGACTGAATGAGATCTTTCAATACCACTCCTGGTGTTTACGAACATTCTGAGTCCAAGAGCTAGGGCTTTCGCAGGGGCCTCCCATGATTTCCAGCATTCCTTCAGGATATCGGAAGTGACGGCAGTGACGGCGATACCGACATGAGTGAAAGGATTTGTTGGTCTCGCAAGTGAGCTAGATCCTTTCATCCTTTGCCATTACAACTGGAAGACTGTCTCGGTGGAATGACACTCGAATTTTGTGTGACCGAAGTGGCAAAGATCCCTACACTCCGATGCATTTCCCGGTGTGATCCTACAAGGCCGCGAGGTAATGCTTCTATTTGCTGACATGGCGAAACCAGCTCTTGACACAAATCGACCTCTTCCATTCTCTTCCCTTAGCCTAGCTTGCATTTTCCCATCTATTCCCCTGATCACTGACACCCTTGCACCACCGTGTATGCGCGCTCACTGCCTTCCAGCGCCAGTCAACCTTTCCACCATCGGCACCGTCACCGTCAACATGATCCTCTCCTCGATTGACGATGACGATTCGAACAGCTTCTCAAAGTTTGTAGCGCAAGGCTCCTAGTCACACGGTATGCCACTGCATAGGCTGAGCTGTTATACCAATGATGAGACTTGAAGTTCTCAACCCACCGACTTCGTCACTTCTTTCTGAACTTGACCAACTTATCAAACTCCAGTGTCGTAGTTGTTTCTCCTTTATCTCTGATACTCAGCGGACACTGTCACAGATCTTCCTCGCCATGTACCTACCACCTACGTGGGGAAACAAATTCCTGTTTCACTTGACATTGGAAAGTTCATTTTCTGTTGCGCCTTGGCGAAACCTCGGCGACAATACATCTAAGTAGGTACATACAAGCACCTGACTACATCTAGTACCAAGGCGTCCCCTTCACTGCCGCCTCAACAAAATGACTGTTGATATATCTCATATCTGCAAATTTTGTTCACAATCGGGTACCACACATTTCCCCTAAGACTGCCCAAGCTCGCCGACCGAACTAAAAGTGTGATACACTGGAAAGCAATGAAGGTATAGGGGTAAAATTCCGAGACATCCCCAGTGGGGTGGTTTGCTAACAATTGGTTATCAATTGTTAGCACGGATTTTTTGTCGGGGAGGAGAAAAAAGCAGAGACGGGAGGTTCGAGTCTCGTGGAGCACTGTCTATGCTGATTTTTTTTGATTGGGTTGTTGGTTGAATACTTCACATGACCTGAAACTCTGCGAGACAAGTGAAATGTATCAGGAAGAGTTCTACAAGGAGTCGGCGGGAAACGAGCAATATACCTTCCAAGTTCTGTTCACCGTTATGTTACCTAGTTGAGTGAGGTGGTCAAAACCGTAATCGGTACTCCCGTCTACGTACCATCTTTCATGCAAACTAGCGCTGATCTATTCAATGTAGACTCTTCCTTCATATTGATTCAGCGCATCAGGCACCGAACTGTCGACATTCGTAATCACGGCTCCCAAACTCTGGGATTCTCCTGGGATGTTAGAAGGTTGAGGCTTCCCTGAACGACCAAGGCCTTGTTGTCTCCGCTGCCCGTGTCATAAGTCATCGTCGAGGGGTTCTCAGAGTCCGGCGTCCGCAATGTTCCACATGGGAGCCCGTCCTGGCGTCCCACGCCTGATCTGTCCCGACCCCCGGACACGTCGAACTCCAGGACCGCCTACCTGAGGTACCTTGCAGAGAAGGGATCCTGGGCCAAGGGCAGCCGTAGGAGACAGTCAACCCCTTTTTTCAACAAATCATACGAGTCACCCTGAGGCAGCTACGAAGCGGTTCGACTAGAAATCGAGGGTTTTCCCACATCTTGGATCCAGGAACAAATCTGTCTGATCCCACAGAACTGCTGCCCTCGTTCCCCCCAGCCAAGGACATCTGCTGTTATTCTTCCTGACTGTCCTATATCCGTGCACCTACTTGTTAGACCCTACCAGGCCTTCCTCCGGCTAGATCGACTCAACATGTAGAATTTCCAATGTGATGCTTGCCGCTCATTAACGCTGCTCCGAGTCGTCGGCTTGTACGTAGATAGGAGAGTAAGGGGCAGATAGAGGAGGCGAACGTTGGCTGCGTCTGGCTTTAAAAGCGGCACAGCCTTCTTGACGACGGCTTCGCGAGTTCCATTAGCCGCCAAGCTTCGGGAAAATATCGGATGTTGCCTTGCCTCGACTTGCACGCTTTCCATCGTGATAGATTATCAGTACCTATGTACTTTTAGGTACGGCTTGACTTGTAGGCTGATATCTTTTCGGATCCGTGTCCTCCAAGAAGGCCTACTAAAAGTGAGCTGATCCACTGTGTTTTCACTCAGTTGAGGCGGGCATCCCGAGAATCTAAATCCATTGCCATCATAGACTCTCGATCCGAAGCAATGCGTGGTAACTGATCATTCGTCACCGAGGCCGACGTCGACGACGAGAAATGGCGGAGGCGACTCAAGAAAGGGGGAACCCTACAGCCTTCGAGTTTCCGAAGAGCTACAACTTCCCACCGTTCTTCAGTCCGCAGCCGACGGCGTTGACGAGGCAAGCTCAACTCAAGAAGTGGTCAATCCTGGTCCAGAGGTATTGCAGGCACCACCGAATATTCAAGCTCACCGTCATCGACGCTCTGGACACCCCGCTCTTCAACAATTCTACCCTCAGAAAAAGACTGAGTCTCCAGGACGCCAAGGCCGTCATCGACTTCATGGTAAGCAAGGACGGTGATGAACGAGCCGAATGGCTGGGACTTGAGAAGTCTGAAGCGTGGATCTGGTGGCGGAAACCAGAAGAATGGGCCACTGTCATTGCAGCCTGGGTCGAGGACACAGGCCAAAAGGGCACCGTGTTGACGCTGTATGAACTTGTACAAGGAGAAACAACAGAAAGGCAGGAATTTTACGGGCTAGACATGGAAGTCCTTCGCAAAAGTCTCGCTACTTTGGTAAAGAAGGGGAAAGCTCAAGTTTTTGGCACAGAAGACCAGCAGGGCGTCAAATTTTTCTGACACGGACACATTCATCACAACACCGACATGACTACCTAGCCTTCACAAGCTTCCCTAGTCTTGGATATTCATGGAACTCGTAATCAACATATCTCCGTCACGTCTCGAGCTCATACGGCTGTGTGGGCAGCAATTTTTGAGACATCGCTGTCTCCAATAACCAGTCCGCTGTGACTATACGAGGTACTCTTCGACTGCCTTCGACCATCTCCTTGAATCTTGACCACAAGGATTTATTCTCCTTCCGATCATTGTCGTTACTCAGGAGGTACACATCACCGTTTGCGTCGATGTCAGTACTGGCCTCGCTGTCAGCTCGTCTGGAGGGCACAACTGTTCCCTTTCGGCCGCGCCACAGCCTACATTCACCACCGTTGGCATCCACGATCGTTTTGAAGGTATCGAATCCTCCGCGGATATCTTCCATACAATATATTGTACGGCCTTGAAGCAATTGATTGTGGTTCTTCTGGGCTCGTTCACGAGACAGCCTTAGAGACACACCTAGCTTCTTCTCATTCTCCTTGTCGTTCAGCCTAAACCTTTCCGGATCGAGCAATTCATTGGCTTCTAGACAAGCGTCGATATAGCTAGTTGAGAGAACCATGGGGCCATATGCCAGCGCCGTCACAAATTTCATCGTACGGACAATACGTGGAGCGACAAGATGAGTCGCTCGACTAGGGTCCAGAGTGCACACAATCCCAAGGCTTCGAAGGCGTTTCTGAATAGGTTAGCAACAATCCCTGAAAATAGAGCCTACATCACCTACTTTGTCATTGTCTTCGAGCTTCGCGTGGCCAACCCATTTGTCGTAACTGGATATCACCACGTGCATAGTCGGCGGAGGATTGCCACGTTTGACTTTCTTGGTTTCACTCTCCTCCGTCGTCTCATGGTCCGATGCTTCATCAACAGATCGCTTTCGACTCACCTCTATTCGGCCTTCGTCAGTCTTGCGTCGACCTCCGTAGATGACTCCACCAGCTCGCTTTCGCTCCTTTTCATACAGAAGAATGTCTGGAGTCATCTCATGTAGTCGAGCTGAAGCAACTTCTTTCGACTTCCGACTATTAGTTGTTGACGGTGTAATATTCTCTTTACCGGTGGCGATAAACTTAGTCGGTGCCGGTGTCCGCAGTCTTCCATTTCTTTCGCGAGTATCGATATCATGATTTTGTGCTTGACCCAATTTGCTTGGCGAGGTCGAGTTGTTGTTAACTTGCTGCATGGCCTTTGTATCTGGAACGTCTGTCATCTCGACATCTTCAACCGCAGGGAAGAAATGTCGTTCGAGAACGGTACGATCTAACTGCGTATGGCCCACAACCTCGCCAAGATTCGTCCGCCTTGGGAAATGTGTGTACCTATTGTCAGTTATGCTCTTCATCATCCACTGAGCGTAACTCTCCTCGAGCCAGAGATGGTTGATGATGTGGATGCCCCAGTCTTTTGCGGCAGCACATTTTTCGCTAAGAACATGGGCTGTGATTAGATGGGTGTTGTCTTGTTTCAGCGTCTTGGTGCATTCTGCTCCGGTGGCATAGATCAAGTTTTCGAGATAAGTTCGCGCATCGCCACTATAGTTTGACAGACTGATTTTGAGCCCTGGAAATCCTGGAAGGCCTTTACTTGCGACAGGGTAGTGCAACATGCGCCGCAAAGGAGACGTCCACTCGTCGGTTTGAATTAGATAGTAGAGCCAGGCTAGATTACCAACGTCCTTGCCTGCTCGCGAAGCCGTCCGATACTCGTCGTCGCCGCGGTATTTGCAAATGAACATATCGGCATCCATTACCGAGTTGGTTAGCTTACCTCCACCGGTGGTGATAATGCCGTCCAAGATATCCCTGAGATTGTTGGATATGCGAAGATCTTTTGAAAGCATCACTGTCTTTTTCTTGAAAACTTTGTTCAACTTCCGCGGCCCAACAGGTTCTTGGCCATCTTGAGATGGATCTGGGTTTACTGCACCCTCCACCTGGGTCTTGCGTTTGGCAGCTGGAGCCTTATCCATCGGCCCTTTCAGTATGTCGGGATCTGGCAGCGAATACGGATGTTCATCGATTTTTCTTCCCAGCTTCAAGCAGTCATCCACCCAATGCGGTAAGACAACCTTGGCCTTTAGTTGGCCATCTATCACCCGACGACAGTTGTCCGATTCGACGGAAAGTGCGATAACATGTGTCACCTGACTTGTGAGCTTTATGGAGAAGAGCCCGCCCATGGCAAGGATGCCGCCAGCAATAGCGTCTGCGTCGCCTTCTGGAAGATCTGCAACGCATGCGACTACATCGGACATGAAGTAGCGCGGGTCGGGATTGTATTGGCGGGGGTTTAGCAGTTTATTCTTCGCTAAAGAGTGCGTGACCCAGTTGGGTTTGACCACCGGAATGAAGGCATCGAAGCAGGCATGGTAATCGGGAAAGTCGTATGTGGTAGACACGACGTGCGTGACGCCGTTTAGGTCGAGACTGCTCTCGGGATAGTCATCGAAAATGACTTCTCCATCGTGTAGTCTCAGTTCCCCCGCAAGCTAAATGAATTGATTAGTCTCTGCGGTTATGGTGTCAACTAAGATCTTACCTCTTGGGCCTGTTCGGAACTTAAGCTTGAGGAACGGACAATGATGAAGCTGCACTGAGCGAACATGCCGCGCTTTCTTGTGTGGTCAAGATCGTTCATGTTGGCAGAAGGCGAAGGGCCGGCAAAACTACGAATCAAGTGCCTGCAAGTATTGAAAAACCGGTCATGAACATTTACATCGCTTGAGGAACTGGCTGAATTTGCACTGCGTGGAGGAAGTTGGTGGCGAGTGCAAGTTGCATGGAGCGCAGGCGCGCGTCAAAGAAAGCAATCAACGCGATTGACACGCGCCGGCTATACCAGTCACGTGCTGATACGGAAGTGGCTCTCCGCTCCCTTTCCCGTAGCAGATCCGGACGGGCACTTCGAGTATTCGTACATCACTCGGGGTAGCAGCGATTATTGCAGTCTGCAGTACGACACACCAGATGGGCCTGCGCGAATGTCTGTATACCTATCTACCGTAGGTACCTAGGAAACAAAAGGTGCAATGGGAGCCGCGCTTCTTCATCCCGGCATCAGTCACCACCGAGCGGAAGGGAAACGCCCCATCTACGGAAGACCAATATAGCCTTTCCAACTACCGTTGAACCTCGGCTCTTCTGAATTGCGCGGTCGGAAAACGCACTGCCCACCCTTCACCATAAAGTAAGTGTGCATTTATTTCCAAGCTTGCTTTCTCATAACATGACCGGACAGCGTCAGGCAATCGATGCGCAGCGCTGACCACCTCCACGATGTCCTCCTTTCACATTGTCGAACACAAAATCCCCTGCCAGCACATTCGTGAATACCCACGGGCACTAAGTGGCTCCCAGGAGGACGTATTGCATCTCGCGGTCAAGCAATATATACCCAAAGACAATTCCAACCCTCAACCCGGTGATGTAACAATTATAGGCGCGCATGCCAATGGATTTCCCAAAGAGCTTTACGAACCGTTATGGGACGATATCCACGCAAGGTCAAAAAAGAATGGCTTTCGCATAAGAAGCATATGGATCGCAGACGTCGCGCAACAGGGCCAAAGCAGTGTCCTCAATGAGCAACTGCTAGGCAATGATCCTAATTGGAATGACCATGCACGGGATTTGCTGCATATGATCAACATGAAAAGAGATCTCATGCCCCGGCCATTGGTAGGGATAGGTCACTCGATGGGAGGAAATCATCTGTACGGCTAAATCCTCCTGTCACCCGTGGCACACACATACTAACGCGCACTCAGGGTCAACTTGGCCTACATACATCCCCGGCTTCTCACCACACTCATCCTTATCGACCCCGTGATACAGGTCTATTCCAGCGTTGCGCCCGATGCAGGTCCCAGCCCAGCGCGCTTGTCCACTTTCCGACGGGACGTCTGGCCCTCGAGAAAAGATGCCGCCGAGAGTTTCAAAGCGAGCAAGTTTTACCAAGCGTGGGATCCCCGAGTCCTCGACCGCTGGGTCCAGCACGGCCTTCGTGACATGCCGACTTTAATCCACCGAGAAGGGCCGCCGAAGGTCACCCTGACAACTCCTCTTCACCAAGAGGTCTTCACCTTCCTTCGCCCAAACTACGAAGGCTACGGATGGGAGGGCAAACCCGTCAATCGCAAGACCCATCCAGATTTAAATCCCTCGTTACCAGCGATCTCCCCATTCTACCGAGCGGAAGGCCCTCAGGCGTTTTTCCGCCTGGAGGAGCTTCGACCAAGCGTGTTGTACATATTCGGAGGCAAGTCTGATGTCGGCACACCCGAGGCGTGCAAAGCCAAGATGGATCACACCGGGGTTGGCGTTGGAGGTAGCGGTGGAGCACCGGCCGGCCGCGTGCGGAGCGTCCTGTTTGAAGATATCGGTCACTTGATTGCAATGGAAGCCGTCGACAGAACTGCCGACCACAGCTCTGCATGGCTAGGAAGCGAAATCAAGTTGTGGAAAGAAGCGGAGGCGGAGCATGAGCGAACGTGGAACGCAAAATCACTGGTCGAAAAGCAGACGGTCGATGAGGAGTGGAAGAAGATGATGGGGGGTCCGCTGCGCAAGCCTAAGAAGACGAAACTGTGATGTGATGTCGGCGATTGTAGACACCACCTGCTGGGTTGGTTGGTCTTTTTTTTGGAGAATGTAGATAGATACTTTTAGAAACCGTGTCCGGCAGCTCTTCTTGCGCGTCTCACATCTTACCTCACCAGCGCGCATATAGAGAGCATGTTTGCACTATACTGTGGTGATGCTGGACTGGGGGATATGATACATTACTCGTATAGACGAGACCGCTGAAAAAGCGACGGCGTCATGATACTTTGTCAACTGGGAATACACCATGAGTATACCGAAAGAGGGAGGTCGTGAAATCGTTTCATTCGTGTGGCGTGGGACAGACCGCGACACCACTTGGGTGCATACTGCGTACGTATATGTATATATAATATATATAATATATACCTGGGTATTGTTGATACGTTGAAATCCTGCGCCTCTCTTCCAATCAACCAGCCCAAGTGACGCGCGCCCTTTTCAAAGGCTCATCCTCCTTGCCCTCGCACCCAAAGTCGACCTCCGTGCCCGCACCTCGGTCGCCCGCTCGGTGTTGTCCCGTCGTTGCAGCAGTGGCACCCTCTCCTCCGGGGACGACAGCCCGTTGTATCGTCCGGGGGGCATGGGCCCCCTCCTGTAGCCCAGGCCTTCGCTCTCGTCGACCACGTCGATGTGCAGTATCTCCCCGTCGTCGGCGGCGCCGCTCGGAGGCATGGCGCCGCCGGAGTTTCTGACGCCGTAGATGAGTCTGTAGTTGCCGAGCTTCTCGGCGATCTCGTCGCCGGTCAAGAGACAGCCGGCGTCGCCCAGGCGGTCGACGACGGGCCGCAGCAGCCTGGCGGTGGAGAGGTGGCTCGTGTCCTTGATGACGGCCTTGTTCGCAAACCCCACGACGGCGCATAGGATCACGAACTGCGCCACGGGGATGCCGCCGAGGATGGCGCCGGCGTACTTCCACTTGACGTTCAGAAACTGCGCGGGCGCCGGCCCGTAGCCCGTGACGTTCAGCCTGGGCGCGCCGGAGTCCATGGCCGCGATCGCGCCCGCGGTGAATCGCATGACCAGGTCCGCCATGCCGAGCTCGGTGTAGTTCCCGGGCGGACTCCAGATGGAATCCGCAGGGTACACGACCATCTGCAGGTCGCTGGCGAGTGAGCCGTCCGTATTCTCGATCTGCACCCCGGACCAGCCGATGGCGCCCGCGAGGTACTGGGACTGGACGTCGGGGAGCTCGTACTTGGCCGGGTCGACGTACTCGTCGACGTTCGAGACCTGCGAGACGTACGACTTGCAGCTGAAGAAACGCGGCACCGGCACGTCGTCTGTGTTGTTGTCGGCGCTCTGGAGCGCGTAGACTTGGGTGCACCGGTCGCCGCAGGACGTCATATTGGCCAACCATGTCGTTGCGCCGGTCGCGACGTCGTTGATGGTCCACGTGTTGTTGTACCCGTCGTCGTCAACCCACGTCACGTCCCACATTGTGTCGATGTCGTCGGAGTCGAAGCCTGCATAGCCGCCTGCGACCACCTTGTCTAAACGAATCGGAATCAGGTCAGCCCTCTTGATTCTTTGCTGAGAAACAATCCATGATGGATGACTTTCTCGAAGTTTGGTTTCAATCCTATCCCTAAATGAAAGAAACTCACACGTCTTGACATTGTTTCAAACCAAAAAACAAAGAGGCGAACTTACGTTCTTGGCATTCCGCTGTACAATTGACAGTGCGATCGGTGACGGTGTTCAAGGAGTTAGCAAGCGGAGACTGGTCGACAAAGCGGTACCAGTATGCGGTAAATTCCTCGTTTCTATAAACAGCTTGCGTAAAGCCCGTGCCATCTTCGTCAAAAGAGTCGAAGAAGACCGGGTAGTCTTGACCTGTTATTCCCCACGTGTTGGATGTTGAGAATTGCGCAAACTGAGCCGTGGAGCTGCTAAGGTCGTCTCCGAATAGATCCTGTGTGGCGGCGTTCCCGATGTAGGATAAGTCGACGATGCTGACATTTCCTAAAAAGGGTATTTCGTCAGTAACGAGACGTGCGAATTGAGACGTGGACTATTGCCTTACCATACGTCAATCGCACTAACTCAGACGAGATATCTATAGAGTAAGTAAGACCGAGAAGGGCAGTAAAGACCTGCAGAGCAAGGTTGACCGTGATGTAAAGGAAAGCCATCACTTGGGTTTTGTTCGGGTACCACTGATTTGGCGTTCGACCTGCCCAAAGGAGACGGAGCGTCTGGGTTTGGCTGTCGCAATTCATGACAAGTTCAAAGTCCTGGAGAGACCGGTAGCTGGAAGCCAGGAACCTCCACCGCATCATTTGAGCGAAACATTTTAGAGACGAAGCAAGGCTGAGACCTAGACAGATGGATAGACCAGTAACTAAGGCGTTGAAGACATGCTTCGTCGTCGAAGTAACGCCCGTGTTGAAAGTTGTAAACCCGTAAAGTATGGCAGCAAGGCCTGCGCAGATAATGGCGGTCATGAGCCATTGAAAACTGCTGTTGACAAACAGCCTCCTGCGCTGCCGACGAGGGTCAAAGTATCGTACAGTGTCTGACGGCGGCGGCGCTGTCCCAGATTTCTCGGAAAATTCATGTTCCCAAGGAGCAGCGACTTTCGGGACACTGAAGTGCGAGACTGCCTTTCTCGAGTAAGACCAGACGGACGACGCAGCCCTGAATAGCGAGCTCCTTGTTCGTTGGCGCTCTGGGTGCAAGTCAGCACGAACACAAACGTGACAGTATGGCACCTACGAGCAGGCGGACGGGAGAGGTTTCCCTCAGATCCAGCGTAGGCTTGACTGTCTGTGACAGTCCCTTTGGCAGCTTTATTCAGAATTGAGCTGAGGCTACCATTACTGCTTTGTGAGGGCAATGGTTCAGATGGCCGAGGGTTAATCGTGTTGGAGAATTGAATGGGCTCTTCGGGAGGGAGCTGCCCGGCCAACCCAGTGTTGGCTATCCGAGGATTGAGCCGCGAGTATCGTGAGGAAGTCATCGGACCCAAAAGGCAATCCTGTGCTGCTTCGGTCCGAGAGATTCAGAGATAGAGAGCGCAACTGAGTACCAAAGGTGGCACTACACCAGGCTCATAGGAGTAGAATGCGGGATACACATTATGTACCCTGGCGCATCTTCGCCTGGAAGGATTTATCTGAGGGAGAGCCAGTGCCTCCAGCGCCCTTTAGAAGCAGTGACAATACGAGACCAGTCCGCAGTTTTTCGACCCCTGGTTGATTAAGAAACACACTAGGCCGTATTACGGGCTATAAAGGCGTGAACTGGACCTCTCAAATGCCCCATCTCGTTGGATTTTGGATGAGGTACAACATAATATGTTGAGCCGCGTGGGGGCCGTAAGCATTGCGATCACTGAATTGCCATCAGCATCAGAGTCCAGGTTGCGCAACGTACCAGACTGTAAGGACTCAGGAGACCGCGTCACCCATGTATCTTCTGCATGGTGCCATCGATTTCTGCGGAAATGCAACACCAGCGGAAATGGTGCATTTGCCCAGAAGCAGCACGATAGTCCCCGGTAGCGGCGATAGGATGACTTGAGACAGGCTGGTGAGGCTTCGAAGGGACAGCCCTACAGTGTACAAGAGCCGCCACCATGCACTAAATTTGTCCGAGCCACGCCAGAACGTTGATTACTCACCTATGGCTCACTAGCCTGGATCCTTGTCTTCGGCTGCCAAGGTGTGATACAAGTGTGATGAGGCACGGTCACCAGAGAGACCTTCTGTGAGGTTGCCATGTTGAGTCCCTCCGGTTGTAGGATACTAGCATCCTGTCCTAGCGCACAATCGTCAACAGTAGAGACGAGGATAACAACGGTCGAAGTCGTGGTCGAACATAACAATAACTCTGGGTTGGCCACACTGCGAGCCCGTCAACGACAACTTGACACGCGGACGAGCGAGATTGAAGGGGACCCCAAGGGGAGCCGCGAACAGCCACTCAGCGCTAATGAGGCGACGCATGAATCCTTGCCAAAATTGACTTGGGCAGCCTTTGGTACGGAGTCCTGAGTCCATCTTTTTTGTACTCGACTTGCATCACATCCTCCTAGGCAGGATGTGCTGTTGAACACGGATCTAATCATCTTCGTGTGAGAGTCAGAATCTGAGATCACGACTCTATGCCTGATTAGCAACAAGATCACAATATCATCCTCCCGCTAATATTGCAAAACATAGGCTTCCATCGTATTCCTCCATTTGGCTCGATGTCCTTCTTCTTTCTCCAGCTTCAATGATTATCCTGGCTAGAATTACTCCGCGCGGCCAGTGCCCGCCAAGAATCAATCGGCACTGGGTCTGACAGCACCATGTCAAGGTCGCCTCCCTAACATCCAAACGTCGACAGAGCCCTCCACTCCACTGCACTGGGTTTATGCCAGGTTGTGGGTTGCTCTCCACACAACTTGTCCTAAGACATTCTGTATTGTGTGCTGGAGGAGTGACTCGTCCCTACGCAGCAAACGCATAACTTCCCAGTATGCAATAGACTGACCAAGGCGGGATGTTCTCTCCACTTTCCAGCAACTTGCTGATTCGTTGAGCATGTAGAATACCAGGATTGCTCGCCATTGATCTTAGTTGGTTGAGAACCCATGGAAGGATGTTCGTCTCGGGATTGGCGTACCTAGCCGCCATATAGTAGGGGAACAGCAGAGTGTAACAATGAAGTCTACGGATGGGGGAGAAGTCATCCTTCTTGTCCACAATATGCTCGGCGCCGGCGAACTGAGGACCAGCAGCACAAATCTCCTTGGCCATCGCGTCAATGATCTGAGACGCAAACCGTCCACATCTGGCGTTATACTCAGCATCTTCGCCGTCCCCAGCCATCTCTGTATACAACGTCCTGATAGACTCGTTCAGGCAAATTCTCATGATTCGGATGACATTGCAGGTCTGGGCAACGAAGTAGTCTGGGTAAACGTCGTAATATGGCTCAAGCACATCGGCGGACTGCTTGTCGAGGTTGATTCTGTGGCGAATCCAAGACGCTGGCAAGTTGTCCGCTAGCACTTTAAATTTGTGGTCAAGCTGTTTTGCAAGCTTGATTTTCTCAGTGTTCGACATGGCATTGCGGTCCATTTCGGCTCGAAGTAGGGTATATTCCATCACAAGACCCGTTACCTGCCATTTTGGATCAGTATCGTCAATATGCGAGGCAACCTCTTGACGCAATCGAAGCAAGGCTACTGGAGCAGGTTCACCCGCTCCAACACAGCTGATCAACATGTTTGTGAAAAGGCGCACCGACAAACGCCGCCCGACGTAAGTCTGAAATTGCTGCCGCTTTCGATATTTGAACAATGCCAAAGCTCCCCTGACGTGGGACATCCATGCTTCGGATGATCTTGGATCATTGTTCATTATCTTCTCATACAGGTCCAGAAAGAGGATGGAAAGTAGTGTCGAATCACTTGCTATCTGTTGGGGCGACCTCAGAGCACTGTTGACAAGAGGTAAAGCCGACAGATACTTCTGACGCGCAAGTGATGAAGCCTCGGGTAAAGCATATTGAAAATGGAAAAAGGCTAAACTGACTGCATCAACACTAGCAGTTAGATGCCGCTCTGGTGAAGCGCGGGTGTCGATACGTTCGAGGACATCATATGTCCTGCCCATGCCGATCACATAGTGGGAGAAGAAGGCGCTCTTGGCCTTCTCATCTAGCGGTATCCGAATCCTGGGCGGGATGGTTTTATGCACGCCGACCATGGCTCTTTGCCGCGTCGCCTCGCTTTCATCTTGGATCCTGAGCTGGTTTGGGTCACGATAGCCTCCACACACTAAGCCTGCCCTCACACACTGGCCGCAAGCCTGGCTACGAAGATCACACTAGAAGGAATTAGCAAGTGGGAGGCCAATCGCGGAACGACCCCTTACCCGGAGCTTTCTTCTCCTGCAGTGAGCACAGGCTCTTGACGGTTTACCAACATAGACCATGAGAGTTCGCAAGGACTGCCGGCACACAATTGTGGGGGCAGGATGTGTGGCCACAGCTCAGGGTCCCTGATCTCACGAAGGGGGGAATGCGCCTCTCCTTTGCATTCGTAGACTAAGATTGTTGGGTATTCGAGAAGTTGCGTGGGAAAAGGTGCCCATCGTGTGTTGCAACGATCCGAGTGAAGTCGAGATGGCGGTTACGACTGTTAGAAACTTTGTTGCGCATGGGTCAAAACGCCACAGATGCCGCCTGTACGAACTAGTCCTAACATGGAAGGACTTACGGCCGCTTAGCGTCATTTCTCGTGCACAACTTCGTTAAGACCGAAATACAACTTCGTCCACCTCTGGTTCTTGTCGAGTTTATGCATGCGCCAGTCGCAGGCTCATGATCTGTCCTAAACCCGATGGAAGATCTCAGAAAAGTTGGCAAGTATTTACTTAGACCTTCAGCCGCCTCCTGGACAGAATAAAATGCTCTCACACCCAGAACCATTCTTGTATCTGCTCCTTGAGACCAACCATACGTCTTTGACTTGAAGCTGGCTACTACCTGGCATCCAGGAATCGTACTTACACTGTAGCCAACGGATCATCTCCTCCTTGTCTTGATCGCCGGTCAAGTATGGCTTTTCCCTTTAAACATGTCTTGATGGTCGGAGCCACTGCCGGCATTGGCGCAGCAATGGCAGACCGACTGGTTGCCGAGGGGGTCAAAGTCATTGCTGCCGGCCGTAGACAGGATCGACTCGATGCATTTGTGCGAAAGCATGGCTCGGATAAAGCCAGCGCGGCCCGGTTTGACCTCAGCGACAGCAAAAACATGGATACTTTTGTATCCGACGTCACCAAGACCTACCCAGACCTAGACTGTGTCTTCCTCAATGCTGGTGTCCAAAGTGTTTTCAATCTCACCGAGCCAGAGACATTCAACCCGTCTACTTTTCATTCTGAGATTTTGGTCAATTTCTCATCCTTTGTTGACCTCACGTTGAAGTTGTTGCCGTTCTTGAAGAACAAAAACTCTGAGACTGGCTTGATTTAGTACGTGGACACTCTCTCAGCACGCGCAGATGCAGACTTCTGACATCATCAGCACCGGATCCAATCTGGCAATCGTACCAGCTGCGAATCTACCGGCATACTCAGCGTCAAAGGCGGCTTTGAATGCTTTTGTTCTCTGCCTACGGGAGCAGCTGAGAGACACGTCGGTGAAAGTGATTGAGCTTTCTCCTCCACCAGTTCAAAGTAAGTGCTAGCCTGGTGCTGTTGCCTTGTCCGTAGTTAATGTTGCCAGCCGAGTTACACGACTATATGGGCGAAGAGAAAGGACGAAATCTCGGTATGCCCGTTGACAAGTTCACCGATATCGCGTACAAGGGTCTGGTTTCGGGAAGAGATCAGATCATCATCGGCGCAGTCGGGCCCGAAGAGACATTCCACGAAATTGTTGATAAGAGGAGGACTGCGTTCGAGAATTTGGCAAAGATAATGCGAGTCCCTCAGATGTGATGATCATCCCGCGAGAGAGAGCGATTCCATGGCCGAATTTCGGGTTTCAAGAGACTTGTCCTTGCCTCTCGTACGGAAATGGACAGAAGTCCCAATTCGTCTCCTTCGCATTCGATATCATGCGCCATACTGTTGAGATCAGCGCTTTTTTCAATTATATTCCGTGTCAAGTACGGATATGCAATTGATGGTCTGCGGGTGGTTTTTTTGCTTTGGCGGCAAAGGGGATTGACCGACTGGAGATGGAAAAATTGTATCTTTAGCCTGTCCGGAGGGAAACTTCTCAATACAGTGGAGTGCTACAAATGGGTCTAGCAAAATTGTTTCTTGACCGTTCGTTAACTGTGCTTGGAGCTTGACTAACGCAGCTCACGAGGCTTGTATGGGGTCCCCCTGAATGGAGCATTGAGTTACGGAAATATTCGACTGGTTTCCACCACGCTGCGGCCCTCGTCCTGCCAAACAGCGACATTTCAGCATCTTCAAACGATCCCATGGCTCTTCTAGAGCGCAGAAAATCAAGGGGACGAAAGTCACCCTCCGGCAGCTCAACTCGGCGGGATTTTTTTCTACTCGGTACTCAATCTCCGTACTCTTACGAGTACATTACTGTACGAAAAGGGGAAGCTGGTGCCCTACTAGTTAGTTCGTACTGTACCTGGCCGCGGGGACGAGTCTCCTGGTTACTTAAGGCAACTTCGGTTACTAGTGGCCGCGGCTAGGAGACTTAGAGGAAAATCTCGCTTCGGCTCGAAATGACCCTTGCTTCAATTTCTACAATACGGAGTGCGCGGAGTCTATTGACTTTGACTTCGTGTAGTGTGTATGCGTCCTTCCGTGAATTCTGTCAAACTTATACATCACACCCTTGGATCTGCTCTTTGGGCCGCAAACACGAGCATAGCTCATCAACAAAACAGCAGTCTGCACGGAGGTTCTATCCATCAGACTTATCACACAGCCGGATGCGGTCCACTCACGCCACAAACAAGCCGTACGACCTTCTTTCGTGTTGCTACACCGCGTACCCAGAACAAACATGTCTCAAAACAGTGGCGCACATTCAAGTCGACAGAAGTGGACATCCAAGAATCAGCTAAATAAAGATTCTAGGTCTCCCCATGGGTCGCCGGACGCTTGCTTGTCTTTCCGACTCGACTGGTCGACTGTCCGAAATATCCACCTCCATATGAATGCCGCCACTGACCAGGCAAGGCTCTCCCTCCCCAACGAGACAATCAACCTGAAGGCCGGGGTGCATGGTAGTGCATTGAACGGGATCTACCATGATCCATTTCGGGGTCACGAACGGAGTATCCGTGCTCTAAGTCGTACTAGGTAGGACCTGGGGCAGACTGTCCCCATATCTGTATTTGAACTACTTGTTGCGCCTCCTCGTCCTGGTGGTACAAGTACCCGGTCGTCAGCGTTCTCTCAAATCCCTCCTTCAAGCTCTTCTTGTCGTTCGTTGTTATCACACCTTGCCACTGGTTCATCTGCCGCATTCTCAGCACTCTCAGCAGCTTCAGTCAACATGCAGCTTTCAATCATCCTTCTGGCCTCGATTGCTTCCCTGGCTGCGGCTCAAACGGCAACCTCCACAGCTAGCTCGCCCGCAGCTTCGTCGAGCTGTGCCGCTCAAAAGTAGGCAACACAGGTGCTCGTTGCTCCAAGACAAATGATACTGATAAGCAACAGCATCCTTGACGCTTGCAAGACCACCATCCAAGGCCAGATCAATTCCTGCGATGCCACCGACTATTCATGTCTATGCACACAGTACGGGAACCTGTTGACGTGTTACAACAACTGCCCCAATGACCCAGGTATGTTCAAAGTGAAAGAGCAGACATAACCACATACGTGACTTTGGCCCCGAGCGGCCACTGCATGTGTCATGTTGCCAGCAGGGCTGATATCCTTCTAGGCGTTGGGACAGTTCAGCAACAAAGAACACAGAATTGCAACGCGGCCTCAGTGTATGGTACCACAACCACTTTAGGTACTGCCACTTCCTCGAGCGGATCGACCAGCGCCACCTCGACCGAGTCATCCTCCGAAACTGCGGTTCAGACAGGCTTTGCAAGTGCCTCCGAGACCGGTGCATCAGCCAGTGCCAGTGCATCCGGATCGTCCTCGACCGATAACGCATCTGTCCGAACGGAGGTCGGCAAAGGCCTGGTGGTGCTGGCTATCGCTGGATTTGGGCTTGTCCTGTAGAGGCATACTGCTGAGGTTAATAGTCTCAAACGGAGCGAGTGGGTGAATGAGTTGACCGAAGAACGAGTTGATTGTAATACACATAATTCAGAGTCTGAAATGGCATTACCGCTTCTTTGATTTCGATGTCATCTTCTTGCGCTTTTGTTCGTTCGACCCTGTCTCCGGATCTTCTATCGCGCCTCGCTTCGACCCACGTGTAGTTCTCTCACTGGCCGCTCGCTGTGCGATAATCTTGTCTTCTTGTAGAGTTTCATGGTTATCCTTCTTCGTGGCCTCATTCCTAAAGGCATCTTCTAGCTTGGTCCGCCCATGCTCGTCGAGAAAGTCCATGTGACCAAACACGTACGAGGCCTTCTCTAGTTCTACTGCCTTGACACCGAGTCTTTTCAATACGGGACGCACTGCCTCGAGTAGCTGAATGTATTCTTTTTGGGTGTATTTAAGCTTGGTCGCTTTCGAGTCAGGAAAAACCCAGGCATACATTTCGTCTTGGAAAAAGGGAATGTTGATAGGGTCAAATATGTTGAGAATTAACGTCCCCGTAGCTGGGCCAATTCCTGAAAGCTTACATACAGCATCGAGTGCGGCAGTGACTGTGCCCGTCGATGGAGGCCGGGACTCAGAGTCGAGCACATCACACCCCAAAGTAGTCTGTTCTGTGACGAACGAGGCGTCGTTCTTACGGACCATTGCTGGAAGGAAGGGACGTGACTGCCCGTGCGTACTGTACACAGACCGTGTCAGTTGAACAGCATAGTAGTGAGATGCAAGCGGCTCAACCAGTATGATCTCTCCTCGTTCAAAAGCATATCGAGAGGCATTGGTAGTTGAGTCATTCTGAAGATATTGCTAGAACTCTTGGACAGACAACTTACATTTTCCATTGAACGAGTCGTTCGACCTGCTCCTTCGACAGCCCTCCTTTTCGAGCTTTCTGATGGCCCAACTCTTGGGGAAGCTCCTCGAAGCGCCAGGTTTCGCGTTCGAGAGCGGCCTTGACCTTCTTTGGGTCTTTCATTTTGGAATTGTAAACGTTGTCCACGAGAGATGGATAGAGCTCCAGAGCTGTCTGCACAGCTGTTGATGTAATAGCAGAGGGCCCAGGTACAGACACCATTTTGGTGCCCTGTCTCTCGATGCTTGATCCCTGGATGGCAATGCAATAGAGCCTCCTTTGGATCTGGAAAATCTGTGCTCAATGATCAATCGTAACTGCGAGATGATTACATCAGGTGCGTGGAGCAGCCAAGGGATATCATATTGAAACCCTTCTTGATACCTCCGAGACAGCAGGACTATGGCCGGGTTTATTGGGCATGAGGGCCAGAGAAGGAGCTTTTGTCCGACAGAATAATGGGGGCTCATGCAAGGCTGAGAGTTTCAGGCGGTCATTGGTTCACATCTCGAACATTATCACGTGATCAAGAAGTCGCCGTCCTTGATCAAGCAAATATACGGGAGGGTTTTCTCTGAGCCTCTACCGCGATCGCAGCCAGAATGACTACAGTCTTGCCGCGCCGAGCGACCTATATCTGCCAGTCTTGCGAAAGACTCGGCATAGGTCAACTGACCCGGCGACAACTCGCTTCAATAGCGAGGATCCCCCAAAGGCAGCCTGCGGCAAAGAATCGCCGATTCCTTTCCCAATCCTCCATATGCAGAAATGCCCCCAGCATCTCAGCTGCTGCGAATCTCCCTCCGAAACCAAGCAAGAAGGAGCCTTCTCTAAAAACACATGAAATCCCTCCCGAAATCTCCTTGAAACCGCTCAATCCTGCAGTCGAGCTCAAGGCACTGAAGGAAACAGTATCGCGGTTGACGTCCCTTGACACCGTGCCCGAAGAGAGCGATGTCCTGACATTCCTCTTGGATGCCTATCGATTGTCGAACTGTCTTGTGTTCGGCGTCAGTAAGGGTGCAAATGAAGTTGACACAGAGCCTGGCGAGGATCTCTCTGCCGCCATCCTGCGCGACTTGACAGAAGACGGTTCCAGCCATGGTTCCGTCTTTGTACCTGATCACGAACTCTCTGCGCCTTTCCGAGACAGTGCCGCACACACAATCGCCGAGCTGGCCTATACCCTTCTGCGCAATCCAAAAGTGTACGTTTCAGACGAGGCCCTGTCCCTCTACGTCCGGATACAATGTCTGCTGGGCAAGCCCGAGTTCCTCCCCGAGATATTCCACCTGCATGCGCACAAGAGGATACCCAACCCGAATACAAAGCCCATCACATATTCAGAGACGTGGCCGAAGCTCCCCAAGTATGCCATCCAGCCAGCCTTGGCAGATGCTGCTCTCGAGGCGGCCATTTTGAAGAAGAACTTGCCACTTGCAATTGCTATCATAGACACGACCATCACATCGCCTGCGAACCGGAATGCCAGAATTCTGGGCAGAGCGGCGGGCCCCATCGTCGGTGTGGCTTCGCTGCCTCTGCTCGCCTACGTGTGCGCGGACTGGGTGGCTCACTGGCAAAACACAATGGACATTGAGATGAGCAAATACACAGCCATTGCCGGGGCGTTGGCTTACATTGGGACGCTGACGACGATCGGGTTCGTTGCCGTCACGACGACGAATGATCAGATGCAAAGAGTGGTATGGCGGCCGGGGACAAAGCTCAGTGAGCGGTGGATCAGGGAACCCGAGCGAGCAATGTTCGACAGGATTGCGTTGGCTTGGGGGTTTCAGGAAAGATCCAGATGGGGCGAGGAGCAAGGGCACGACTGGCAGCAACTCAAAGACGAGTGCGGCATGAGAGACATGATTCTAGACAAGACAGATCTGATGGAAGGCATGCAATAGAAGTGTGGCTGGGTACCATCAAGTCCGCAAAATGAGATTTCATGAAATTCCATTGCTGGTTGTGCTAAAGGCGACTATCTAGCTTGACTCTAGCCACTTTCCGAGGATGATGCTTAAGGAACCAAACGCATCAACCAGTGGGGATTGCGTTCATCATGAAACCCAGAGAGACAACTCCGCAGAGATATGCAACCTAATACAATCTCTTGGGAGGGCTCATGCTTGCCTTGATGGTCAAGCTGCCGACGTTTTGCCAGCCCTTCTTCAAGAGAGACACCAAGTAGTTGATGGCCAACATGATGTTGGAGATGAGCTCGTCCTCGGTCATGCCGACGTTGCCGACAGCGACACCCATACACAAGACCTTCTTCAGCTGGAACTTGATGGTCGACTTGACTTCGGTGATCTTTCCGGCGAGATCTTCGTTGTGGGAGATCGGGGTAGGGAACTTGCCGGCCTTGGACAGACCAGGACCCAGGAGACGGGGGATCTGCTTGATCAAGCTGTCGGAGGCGACAAAGGCGTCGTACTTGCGGGCGAGCTTCTTGATCAGCTTCTTGTTCTTGTTGAGCTTCTTGAGATCGTCGGACGACATGGCGTCGACACCGTGGTGCTTGGCTCGGTCGATGTCGTGCTGGTCACCGAGAACGCTGCGATAAACAAATCAGTCAGTGTCTGTGGTCCTCGCCAAATCTTCCGCAAAGGAAAAAAAGATTGCGCCATCTCGTTGAAATGAATTTCGACGAGACGCAGGAGGGGTGGGTTCCAGGGCGGCGTACCAGATGGTCATGCCCGGGCGAGGGACGGTGGGCAGCTTGATGGTGCCAGAGAAACGCTTGTCACGCTGGGGATCATAGTTCTTGAGGCCAATCTGGAGTTCGACCGTCTCGAGGAAGTTTCGCTTCTTCTCGTTCAAAGAGTAGTCGAGAAGTTGTTGCACGTTCTGGCGCACTCCGGCTGCGGTTTTCGTTAGCTGGATGCACTGGTAGTCGCAGGATTGTAGGCAATCTTACCGACTGTGATTTTCGACATCTTGATAACAGTCTTCCAGAAGAATCAATTCAATTCTTATGGTGAGGCACTGCGCTGGAACGGTTGGGAGGACAAAAGAGGTTTCTTCGATGGTGGCGGACACCGACATGCAAAAGATGTCTCTCAGAATTTAGAGCCAAGAAATTTGTGTGCGCTAGAGCGTATCGGGACTAGTTGGCTCGTGCGGCTGGCCACAAGCGGGACGGCGGGTTTGTTGAGCTATCATGGGCCCTTAAGGCTCGTACTCGTATGCAACTTGTTTGTGGGCGCTCACCCAGCTGTTCATATGGTTGCATTATGGATTTTGTCTGGTGGTATGTCACCGTATTGGTTGGATCCATCTCATACGGCTTTTTTAGAGTCGTATCTATATGTGAGTCAATGTCTAGCAAGAGGATGGTTTTGGTCCTAGGTTGAATCCTAAGTTTGACTATCTCTTCCATACGAGTATGAGCAAGCCGCCGAATCTCATCTGTCAATCTTCGCTCTTCCTCGATTAATCAAAAGTTCATTGCCATGCCGTCGTTCTCAATTCAGGCTTTACCAAGAGCATCCCAAGACGATCAAGATATTGAATTTGCTTCACGACTAAAACAACTGCGATTGAAAACGTTGCAAGAAGATCCGGGCAGCTGGATCTCGACCTACAAGGACGAAGTCGATCAACCACAAGACTTTTGGCTTTCACGACTGAGGGATCCAAGGGCTATCCATTTGGTCATTGTCCGACTTGAAGCGAGCAAGAGTGAGGTGGAGGATACTACGGAAGTGCTATCGCAAGGAGACTGGGTAGGGCTTGTTGTCATAATAACTCCTGAAGTTCACCAGGAGGACAACGTGAGTCAGTATGGGGAGCCATCCTCCGAACTCTTGATGGCCGCTGTCTCTGTGCGCGCCGAGTATCGTGGCCTTGGACTAGGGGGCCGGCTTGTTGAAAAGGCCATCGAGACAAGCCGCACTTTTGCTGAGAAGAGAAAGATGACTTCGCCCAGTCTGACGGCATATGTACGCTCTGGGAATGACCTGGCTTTGAAGCTTTATCAGAAACTAGGCTTCAAGGTTATCCAAACCGACTACCAGGGGGAGAAAGGAGGTTTGCTATATACGTCGACGGTGGTCAGAGTCGATTTATAGGGGCGGTTTACTCCATACACTATCTGGACAAGACACTGCCTTTTAGATGAGTTCAAGACGGGGCCAAGAAAGGGTGTAGCACGCACGTAGGTACTTTGAGGATGTCCTCCCTTTCCATTGGCCGTTGCAGCATTCAAGTGTGCAAAGCAATCAACAGTGACATGGACAGAATCCGCGACAAGTACAACGATGACAGGGAGACTTGCGGATTTGCCTCCTTACCCCTAACTTCTGGCCAGAGTGTACTCCGTAGAGGCGCGGCCGAATCCGATAACAGAGAGGCAAAAGTGCGCTAAGGAGGACATTCACCATTTGGGCTTGGCGGGTCGTCGAGCCTGCGAGATTGATCCTGGATTTCCAAAGGTGCAACATCAGTCAGTCCATCTTGATTCTAGGACCATTAATTCATCCTAATTTCAACACCCTTTTCTCGACTCCAACTTACAAAGGGTCATATCGCCTTTCTCCGGGTACGTGAACCAGTCTTTTGTGCCTGCGTCGAGGAAGATGGCCACTGCGACAAGGACAAAGTGGCCACACATGCGTCCCGGGCCTGAGAAAGGGAGACGTGGGCTTCCAGCCGCCGTGTCCTTCTCACGTTCGTGAACACGCGACTTCCTTCTTCACCAATTCTATACACCCTGACTCTATCTGATCGCGCGTCTCTAGATAGCTAGCTAACCTATCCTGCTAGACCGCCACCTCAACGAACCCCTTCCCACTAATTCCGTCAGCTGAATCGCAAACATGGGTCTCGCATTCTCAAAGCTGTTTGACAGACTGTGGGGTAAGAAAGAGATGAGAATCTTGATGGTTGGTCTCGACGCTGCTGGAAAGACCACGATCTTGTACAAGCTCAAGTTGGGTGAAATTGTGTATGTCTATCTCCCGTGTCCTGAATTTGGAACAGCTTGCTAACAATGATCCGCAGCACGACCATTCCCACAATCGGTACGGCACTTGGCTAAGCCAATATTTCTACAAACTGACTTCTTCCGCAGGTTTCAACGTTGAGACTGTCGAGTACAAGAACATCCAGTTCACCGTGTGGGACGTTGGTGGTCAGGACAAGATTCGACCTCTTTGGAGACATTACTTTCAGAACACCCAAGGTATCATCTTCGTGGTCGACTCCAACGATAGAGATCGTATCGTCGAGGCTCGTGAAGAGCTTCAGCGCATGCTCAACGAGGATGAGCTGCGCGATGCTCTCCTCCTGGTCTTCGCCAACAAACAGGATCTTCCAGTAAGACTGAAGAGAATTCTTTGTCTGATCTCACCTCTAACCATTCTGTAGAACGCTATGAATGCCGCTGAAATCACCGACAAGCTTGGTCTCCACAGTCTCCGACAACGTGCCTGGGTAAGGACAACCGCGTATTCCTCATGATAAGTGCTGACCTCTTGATAGTACATCCAATCCACCTGCGCTACCTCCGGTGACGGTCTGTACGAAGGACTTGAGTGGTTGAGCAACTCGCTCCGCAAGGCTGGGCACAACTAAGGCGCCTTTCATATACATTGATCAAGAGGAGATACAATAGGGACTCCCGTTCTGGTTCCTCAAAAAGGAGATTTCGCAAGACCTGTGGTAGGGCTCCTTATTGTCACTGCTACAAACCTACCGCAGCCAGCTTGCTCAGATTGAAAACCGCTCCAATCACGCATATGAATGATCTGCCTGTCGTTGTCCTGGGTCACGTTGGGGGAGTTTCTTCGATAGTTTTTGTACGGATTGCTGGCATACCTTGGCTTCGAGGAGGCAGGACCCGGCACACTGCAGAAGTGAAGCACAGGTTGTGAGCAATGAATAGAATTCGCCTTCCAAAACCAATGGTACAGAAAATCCCGATGCCAATGTTGATACTTAAGGCATCGCTGAATCATACGCTGCGAATACGGATGGCCGGTCGCCGTAATGTACTACAATAGGCATGAGTAACTTAGCGGCACTATGTGTCCGGAGCTGGACGGTGGAGAAAGTTGGGAGGCTGAAGGGCGCCTATCTCGCTCGCTGAGCGCTCTTTCCGAGCAATAAGCATAAACTCCGCCGCGTCGCATGACGAATGGCCATTCGACTGTCGCCAACCACAACTTCGCAGATTCCATACTGGTAACTGGGTTTCGATTGATCCTCACAAAGTCGCAGATGCGCAGCGTATTCGCCTCCAGGCAGCTGTTCTTCGACAATTGTTCCTGTGAATGAGGCTTCTACGACTGTTTGCCGTCTCGGCTCTAAATGTCCAATTTCCTTAGTTGGTCAATTGCCTCTCCAGTGTCAACTACGCACATCTGAAGAGCGACGACTCAACACTTACAACAGTCACTGCTCGAGTACGAGCCAAAGACAACCAAAGACAACATGCCTGCTCCTCCTCCGCCGCCGCCGCCGCCGCCGCCTCCTCCTCCTCCAGGCATGGGCGGCCCTCCTCCTCCACCACCCCTACCTGGAGCATCTCTTCCTGCGGCTCCCCCCAAATCAGTCGCGAAGGGCCGGGTACGTTCACAAACCATGCAACCAGCACCCACAAGTTTGAGCGTGAATTAAGGAGGAAAGAATAAAAGCTAACAAGCCACAGGATGCTTTATTATCAGATATAACGAAAGGAGCCAGACTGAAGAAGGCCGTCACGAATGATCGCTCCGCACCGGTGATTGACAAGAAATCTGGAGGCGGAGGAGGCCCTATAGCAGGAGCACCACCTGTCCCTGGGATGGGATTGAAGACCCCGGGAGGTCTGGCACCTCCTGTTCCCGGCGGGAATCGAGCTCGAAGCAACAGTGACACCGGTTCGGATGCAACCTCGAGCTTGGGAGGTGCTCCTCAGTTAGGCGGCCTTTTTGCAGGAGGAATGCCAAAGCTGAAAAAGACTCGAGGAGGCATTGACACGGGTGCTGGACTTGATGGTCACCATTCAGACTCAGAGGCTATACAACCCTCCGCACCACGGATTCCCTCAGGTGCAGCTCCTCGACCACCATCCATGCCTGCTCCGCCGATCCCAGGCGGCAGACCTCCTATTCCACCGTCAGCAGATTCTGCGCCGATGGTGCCCAGTCCACTGGCACATTTGAAAAAGCCCCCGCCAAAGCCATTATCAAAACCATCTTCAGTAGCAAATCTGGTTGCTGGAAAACCTCCGCCGCCGCCTCCGACGTCTCGCAAAGTGAGCACAGCTACAGCACCGCCTGCACCGCCTCCGCCTCCGCCTCCATCTTCCAGTCCAGCTCCCCCTTCAGCGCCCCCTCCACCACCGTCGATAAGCCCAGCTCCCCCTTCAGCACCTCCTCCTCCGCCGTCGATAAGTCCGGCGCCCCCAGCTCCGCCTCCACCTCCGCCTCCTCCAGCATCTAGCTATGCACCTCCGGCACCACCTCTCCCTCCTACAACAAGTCCGGCACCACCATCGGCTCCTCCACCGCCTCCTTCAGCAAGTCCAGCTGCACCACCGCCTCCTCCCCCTCCGCCGCCACCAAGCAGTGCACCTTCCCTTGCGCCTCCGCCATCATTACCACCTTCTGTGTCTCCAGGACCGCCGTCCAGATCTACACCTCCTCCGCCTCCACCAGGACCACCACCACCGGCTACTTCGCCTCCAGCAACAAATGGCGCAGCATCATCATTTGCATTGCAAGCAGCTGCTGCAGCCTTTGGGCGGAAACCTTCCTACGGTATATCTGAAGGTCCTCCTTCTCCTTCGTCGCCAGCCATTTCCCCCCCGCCTTCGCGAGCAATATCTCAGCTTCCGTCACGATCAACACTAGATGCCAGCTCCTACACGCTTTCCAATGGCAATTCACTGGGCTCTCCAGGTCGATCTGGATCGTTCAGGGTCGAGGACAGCAGATGGAAATTCCAAGACGAAAGTCAGCTACCCGTGCCGCGGAATTTTACAGGGATTCCCAAGCGGTATAGGGCAGGCAGAGGGAGTAGCGTTCCACTTGATCTTTCCCAGTTCGAATGATCATGCCGAGTATTTCAAAGTCATACCGTGATCCTCTGTGGAACTAACAGCAGCGTATGTTTCGATTCTTATTTCTTGGATTCCTCGACGAATCGCCACTATTTCGCTGTATACTGTTAGTGAGGAGGGCACGCCGTTTAAGGTCAACCACGAATTGCGCCGATGCACGTGGTTGCTCACTTGCGTTGCTTTCAAGCAATGTCTTGTGAAAGACCCAAGTTCTAATCTTGGGTAGATGGTATAGACAAGGGACATCCACAGAATAGGGATGAGTGGTGTCGGGTTTTTGACACACGACCATTGAAACTGCATGCCGCCCAGCCTGGGCTGTACGATAGATATCTGACGCAGTAGCTAGGTTCAGATATTATTCCTTGAATGGCGATATAAGGCAGATGGAGGAACGAATAAAATGTCAGAATGAAGTGAGCAATATTTTGGTGTATTTTGTACAGTTCTCAGCCTCACTTTTCTTTTCAGTCACAGTGAATTAGTTCTTCACTTTCCAGCCTTACACTCAATTCACTTTATTCACTCGATTTTTCGTTTCGCTCATTTCCATCCAAGATCCTGCCACGTTCTTCCTGTTCATCTTCTCCTCTTCCACCATCACCACCTCGCCAACCACACCTGATTTCGACTTCAAGCATCTGCCGTCGAGTGTTCTTCTTTTCAAGAGTATGTTCTGATGGTGTTATCATTGTTCGCTGGTTATCAATTGCTGATAGTATCCTTGATAGCAATCTCGCTCGCCAAAAGCAATCACTATGCCGATGACATGGAACGCTGATGCGGACGCGAAGGTAAGCACCGACTCTCCCGGACCAGGATACAATGGCTCACTCAATTATCAAGCTGTTTGCTGCCGTCCTCTCAACATCAGATGTGAAGGTTAACTACGCCGCCGTTGCGCAAATCATGGGCCCCGGTAAGTAGTAGCCCTGCGTTCCCAAACCCGTTGGTGCTGTTTCTCCTGTCGTTGCTACACACACACACCATCTTTTGGTGTGGTGTAGTCTTACGCCACATATCGACATGTCCCATGGTGTTCACGTCCCCTGCAACCGAACCACTGTAGGAAAATCAAACTGACTGATTGCGTCGTCCTAGAGTGCACCGCCAAGGCAGTGATTCATCGAATCAACAATATCAAATTGAAAGCCACCCAAGCAAGCGCAAACACTGCGGAGAAGGAGAACGGTGCGGCAGCTGTCAAGACGCCAACACCCAAGCGAGGACGCAAGAAGGCAGAGCCCAACGAGGATGAGTCTCCAACTCCAGCCAAGAAACCAAAAGCAGCCAATCCAAAGACCAAGGCGAAAGCACCAACGAAGGCTGGAGCTGATGACGACGAGCAGCTCAAACTCGAGGATGAGAGTGATGACGATAACTGAACAGGTGAGTCTTCTACAGTACTGTCGTGTTGAACCATTTACTGACAGTATTATAACAGTGTCAGCTCCACACGTCGAGTCATTCATCCGACATTCACCTTCTCGCTGAACCGAGAAATGCGTCGAGGACATGATGGGTGTCAAAGCGGTGACGACGAAGCGATAGCGGAGAATCGTGGCCTTCTGTTTGAGTCGGTTGATGGGGTTCCTTTCTTTTTTCCCTCTGCGCTGAGTTCATGGATTACACAGTTTGCTGATTGCTGAATGGACCGACTTGTGACCTGTCACTTCGAGTCTCTTGACTTGACTAGATACAGCGGACGAAGGGAGGATTCAGGTTTCGTCGCCAGCACATCTCCTCTCATTGTGTACGTCAGCATCGAACAGTCGTGGTGGTTTCTTACTTCTTCTCCCCTGCATGACTTCTACTTCGCGGGAGTGCAGATAGTCAAAAGAGAAGGGGATTGCCTTGAGTGAGCTGGGTCAAACAATGATACACGATACAAGATTCATGATCAAGGGGAATCCATTCCAGTCTTCGCAGTAGCGACCGACCTTTGCTCTCTTTTTTGCGCAATTGTTTTTGAATTTGGTGGTTCTCGTTCGTCCTGAATATTTCAGACCCCGACATGGTCACGCCGTGGAGGTACAGATGTGTCTGTGTCTGCGTCTGTGTCTGTGTTTGTCTTGGATCACTCGCCGATACCTGTTCTGATCTGACCTGATCTGACCAAGTATGACCGTATTCACGGAGGTAGTCGGTAGCTGAAGTGGCCGAACCTCTCGAATCTTCGAGGAAAGGTACTCCCGTACAATATTCGACCTTGGACATTCAGGATCGAGAGGTACAAAGGTAGTCTCAGCACCCCAGGGACGGTGCATCATATTGTACCCCTACAGACTGCAGGGCTGTGCAGTTCTGCTGCCCGTAGATGGTGTAACCTAACTCGTGGCCCGTAGATGTCCAACGTGTCTTTTTTTTACAGCGAGCACTCCGTAGCTGAGGCCGTAGGGAGTACAGAGTACTCTCACGAGTAGGTAGAGCACAGTATCTACCTACCTAAGGCACCTCGTGGAGCAGGGTACCTGTGTATATACCTAGGGTGGTACTCCGTACCCTGGTAGGTATTGTTGATAGACGTCAGGTTTATTTTAAAGCGGCGCGTCCCCAAATCCACCACCCGCCAAGGCTGCCGATCTTCTCTCGCGTACAAATTTGTCCTGCGCTTTTTCTCTTCTTCTCCTCTTCTTCTTTTTCTTTTTCCTTTTCCTCATCATCAGTAGAGGTGTTACATTACCTATGTAAACACTTATACCGGAGCTCCACTACGGTGGCTTGCTGAGGGTTTTTCCAAAGGTTTTCACCGCAAATGAATCTCCTTCCGTTCCCGGCTCTGCAGAAGAATCGCATCGTCCTTTTTCCCAAATCATACTATGGCTGCGTGCCTCGCGAGAGCGACTGGCGTGGAGCTGTGGAGGAGGTGCTACAACTCCCTTTTTTTTTCCCTCCCCTCCCTTTCCCTGCTTCTCTCTGAGATGACAAAACCAACTGCAAGAGACACGAAGACACGAGACACAAACGAGAATGGCACAGGGCAAATCGTCACAGACAAACAAGAAAACCCATATCCCAGGGACCATGATGGAACGTGAAATGCGTACATGAAATGCGTACATGTAATTGCATGTTCAGCAATCCTCCATGTGCCGTTGGAAAAAGGTGATGAACTGGGATATCGGATTGAAAGAGACGAGTAGAGTACGTGCTCGTAGAGATTTTCTGCATAGATTTCCACATGATGTTTTTTTAGATATACACACACTCCTATGCTCTCTTCTATCTATCCCACGCTGTACTTATGCAGTAACGCAAATGCTGCGTAGAAGTAAAATGGCTACACCACTTGAAAACATTGTGCCAGAAGCATGCTCAAACAAAACTCCATCTCGTCAATCAATTGCTTCCTCTCGAGACCGCCAGCGAACACTCACTCCTTTTCGTTTTCTCAATTTACGCCTCGCTATGCTCTATGTATGTATCAAACGAAAATGGTTTTTTGTCTCTGTTCTGGTCAACACCTCTCTGGACTCTGGACTCATTATTTCCCATCTTGACCGTCGTCGTCGCATCGTAACCTGGTTGCGTTCTCTCATCCATGGGTTTCTCACTGTTTATGAAACACACCGGTACGGAGTACGTCGGTCATCGTATCCATGCTCATGATTTACCTACTACACTCTCCCTGCCCGTCCAATTTGGATCCTGGTACCTGACGCTTGCTCGTCACTCCGCAACGTCGACCAACTCGTGCCATCCTTCTTGCAAAGCTCCAGCTCCAGCTTTGTGCCCATAATCTTGAACGAGCTCTTCTCAGGTACGATCTCTGCAAACAGCGGCAGGACACTCTTGTACCGTTTCCCGTCGCTCGTGGGTAGGTCGAGGTCGATCTCCGTCCCGCTGTCCTTGAACTCGACCTTGGCCCTGTCCTTGTCTATCTTCTTGAGGTAGAAGCTGACAATCACACTGCCCACGGTCTGGTAGAAGTCGTTGCGCACCGTGGGCAACAATTCCTCTCCGTCTTCGTCGTCGTCGTTAGCCGCGCCACCGTCAGCCGCAGTCTTCTGCTTCTTCTTCTTTGCCTTGCCCACGTAGCAATGCCGCTTCTTTGTCTTGCAGCCCTCGATCTTCATGAACTCGTCGAACTCGAGGACTCTGCGCTTACAGCACGTCCACCCCTTGCTGCCTTCGTGGAAGATGGGCACGCCAGGATGGTATATGCACTCCTCCTCGTCGCGGGGCACTTTGTCGTCTCGAGACTTCCCGCAACCCCGTCTCTTGCACGTAGCGTTCGGCGGGATCGGGGCGTCGGGATCGTCTGACTCGTCTTCCGGAGGCTCGGGCTTCGGCGTCGTGGAGGGAGTGGTAGGTTGCTGCACGGCAGCGAGACTGGTCGCAATAGGTTTCGTCACCGGTACCGGGCCAGGGACTGGAGCCGCGGCGACAATGTTAGATGCGTCGATGCCCGCTTCTGCTTTCGCCGCCGGCGCAGGCGTGTCGTCAACGGTCGAGTGCTTGCCCGTCGTGCAGGGTGGGATGGCCAGGAATTCGTCAAACGTCAGAACTCGGGGTTTGCAGCATTTCCAGCCTGTTCAGAGAGGCACATATGGTCAGAACCAATATAACCACTAAATAAATCATAACTACTTCATAATGGAGTAATCTCAAAGAAAGAGAAGGAGAAAGAGCCGGGTCGGGAAAGAAGCAAATAGAGAGAAAAGGCATTTCTTGTCTCCATTACCTTTTTGTCCTTCGTGAAACTCAGGAGGTCCAGGATGATAGACACATTCTTCCTCTGGATCTGTAAAGACTTTGCCGCATCCTTTGTGCACACATTTCTGCGCCATCTCGACAATGCGGCGGTGACTTATTGTGCTCACCTTCTTGCGTCAAAGGCTGGGGAGGATACTTCGCGCCAACGCAATTGAAAGAGTCTTAACCGTTGTTGTATTCACGAAATCTAAAATCGACATCGACGACAGTCACCAACCAAAGTTACACGCACTTGAACTCCGGGGGCCGGACTCAAAAGTGAGCGGCGAAGACGAGTATGATGAAGAGCCTTGGCGATTCCAGAAACATCTGACGCAATAACAAGGCGCCCGGGGCCACGGTACGAGTGCGCGCTCCTCTCAGCCTTGCTGCAGGTGAAATCGAAGGTCGGAGCATTAATGACCATAGAACACGTTGGGTTTCTGAGCTGAGTCTTTCATAATTGGGCTGCAAGCATAGTGCCTACATCCGACTGACAGTGGCGATGTTGCAACTCGTGCATGTGGTATGTACAGCATACAGTCTTGACCAACGCTAGTGTATCCCTACCAATTCCACACCGCTTGTATCCAAACTTCCAAAACGAACACAGTCGACCACAAGCACACCTCCTTCTACAATAAACTCCGGATATGCTGAATCTCGGCGTGTGAACAGAAATAAAGTCTAGAGAAATGAAATCTCTCACTGTAATCACTGAACCTTCCGTTTCTTCCGGTCTGCACTCTGACGACCCATGGGCATATCTCTTGCAGGACTCGGGCTGACGAAGCTGACGTGCTTCTCTTCCCTGTCTTCGCCGTGTCGCCTTATGGCCGACGGCCGCCTTGCATGAGTGGCAGGCCTAGCAGGCTGCGCACAACCTGGTTGACTTCCTTGAAACTCGGGCGCATGAAGAACAGTCCGTGCGTCATCATCGTCCCCTTGAACCTCGAAGACCACTTCCCCATCATCATGCTCGTCAGAAACAGAACTGCTAGTTGGCGAATGTGCTTCATATTCCTCATCGTCATCAACCAAACTAGGCGCCTGGTTGGACTCGCTGGTGGGAGAGGGATCCGATGGTTGCAAATCAGTTCCAGCTGAGTGCGTCATGGGTAGATGGATTCCTCGAGGCCGGTGTTGTATGAAATCGTCCGCTGCCCCGTCGTACTGAGGGATCGCATTCCGGCGCACATTCGGTGTGCGTGTCATACTTGTGCTCAGTAGCGGAGAAGACATGGGTGACTTGGTGGGTTTCGGAGGCTGCTTGCTCATTGCAACCTGGGGATGACGACCTTGTCCAGCAGTCTGCACAGGAATATCAATGTCCTCCTCCTCATCCGATTCCACGTCTGAAAGTTCTACTTTCGTCTTAGCTTCGGTGACCAGCATATCTAGATCGATACCAAAACCTCGGCTTTTAACCAGGTCTGAAAGATTTGGCGTCAAAGCTGATTCTTTGAAATTAGGCGAGACGCTCTTCGCTGTAGGAGCGGGGGCCGTGTTCTGAGTGTATGCTTTCGGTGGAGTTGGCTGCAAGAGCTTGGCTGAACGGATCAGAGGATGTACATTTCCTGTTGTGGGTGTTGCTGTTGGTTCAGCACCAACAATGGCTCCCGACTCATCGACTTCTACCGGCTCTCCGCAAGCATCGGCTGCCGCATCGTGACTAGCAAAACTTCTGCCATGACCAATACGACAGTGGTTGATGAAACCCTGAGCACTTCCAAAATCATGTCGGCCACAGTCGGGACAGACTAACTTGACAGTCAATCCATCAGACTTGCGCTTGACAATCATCGGGCCGGTAGCTTTCTCCTTGGGTTGACCGTAACCAGGGGGCAAAGCCTTCAATTTACCACCACGGTTGGAACGGGAGCTACTCGAGGCAGACGGGGCTTCAAAGCTTCCTCTCATGGATCTGAACTTCATGGGCGATTTACCGGTTGGGATTCTGCCCACAGGTTCTGGATCGACACCACCGTCAAAACGTGCGTCTGGTAGGAGCCATTTTGCGTAGTGGCGAGCATAAGGACCATCAGTCACCCCCCAAGGTGGAGGAGATTGAGGCAGAGGCATTGGGAAACCTTTGCGTAAAGCAGCACCTGTGCCGTTGCTTACCGCTAGGGAAGGTTGTTGAGTCGCTGGATAAGGAATCTCCTTACATCTCCGCAGCTGCTCTAGTGAAGCCTGGCATTTTGCAATTTCTTGATCAATAAGGCGGAGTTCTTTGTGCTTGAGCAGGATCTCCAAACTCAATTGAGTCTGGATGACGTTGCGCAGCGGATCAAGACGTTTCGTGGCCACCTTGTCGTCCTCGATGGACGTTGCTCCCGTATTTGCGCCTGTGGAATGCTCCAGCTCGGAGTCTTCCGTCTTGATGTCTGGTGGCGTGGAAAGGGAGGGCGGTATGCCGTCCATGGTAGGGGAGGCGTTCATCGTCTGGACTTCAACTGGAGGGGCCAGGGCACTTACCAAAGAGGAGGGCTTCGAGTTGTTTTTTTCAACGATCTTCGCCCGTTTCCTCTCCGACTGGTCCTGATTGTCACCAGACTGTTTGCGCTTGTGCTTGGGAGGCATTGTGATGGCACCGGAAGCAGGTGAGTCTTGTTTGGGAACAAACATTCTCATTTCTGGCGAAGCGGCTTTATCACAACCTGTCCAAGACAACAGGCGCAACATGGTTGAGCGCTCCTCGGTACAAAGTGCGAAACTTTTGGCGTGTTCAGACTGCTCATCTGGACCATTTAGTCATTGAAGACTAGGAGTTCCACCACTGTCCATGTATTTCTCTAGCCCTTTCCTGTAGCACGCTCCAATGTTGACCGTCTTGTTCGGATGAGACAGGTAGTTTTTGCCACCGAAGCCGTTTGCACAATCACAACACTCAACTTTCGACGCCGTAGACTTCGAACCGAAAGGAAGGTAATCAGTCAGGCTTGTGAGCAATCGCACAGTACAGCCGGACCAGATCGATATCGTCACGGATTACTAGGATTAAAACGTTGTATCAAACAGCGCGCAGCGCCTGGGTGGGTGAGAAAAGTGAATGTTAGATTATTGAAATCGTTGCTTAAAGGCAAAAAGCGAAGAAAGTCGATCAAGGCAGAGGACAGATGGCTGTAGCAGTGGAATGAATGACGCAGAATGGGCGGATAAGCGGATCCGCTATGGTCGCTGGACGTTCCCGAGGATCGGAAGGCAAAGTACACGTAGAAGGGTGGCGTAATATAGTGTTGTATAGGAAGAAGATGGATTAAAAGTAAGAATTGCTGGAAGATGTTGAATGAAGCCGTGGTGGAAGGGCGAGTGTGCCAGTTTGGGGGGAGGTGGAATGAGGCGAAAAGGCAGATCAGTACAAGAGGTGATAGTCGGGAAGCGCAGGTGGTCGTGGATAGAGGCGCAGAAAGTAAAAGCGAGGGAGAGAAGGGGGAGGAGAGGGAAGGGAAAGGCAGCCTGAGGGAGCGAAAGGGAGGGTGGGCTAGACAGACAGGCGGCCCAGATTGAGCCTAAGCAAATAGTTATGGTGACGAGCCGGGGGATACACCTGTCAGTGCCTAGCGCCGGTAGCTATTGGTGGGAGTATATTTTAGGCACCCCCCTAAACCCCTCTGGACGTAGTGTGATGCATAATCCCAGCATTGGGGCATCCGTCCGTCCTCATGCGAGACGTGTACGAGCCACTAGCGCCCCGAAACGCCCTGATCACCTGACCGCCTGGGCAGCCTGCAACTGTGCCTGGCTGATATGGACAATGGATAAGGACAAGAATATGCACCATCGATACGTGTTCTTGCGACATTACCATGCACATGATGAGGAAAACCAGTCATAGTTCCTCACACTCAGGCTGACACCGGTCGAAGCATCATCCAATCACAGGCACTTACATCAGTATCCGCTTTCAAGACTCGGCCAGGTAGGCATCAGTTTGTAGAGATAGCGGACAGTCGCGGTCAGAAATGTTCCTGGGTGTCGATTTATATTCAGCGAAGTCTATTTTCGTGAAGTTGCTTAATGGTGACTCTGTCCTCTAGAATTGTCCTTGGCAGTGGCAGAGGAGATCGATTGTCGAGCACTTGGCATTATAGTTATGTAGACACCACGGTAAATCGGTTCGATAAAGAAAAGGGCTCATCCACAACGACTCGGCTGGCACAGGGGACTTGTACCTCGTATATATATTCTTCGACAAGTCTATAGCAGGATATATCATTTCAGTCTGACGATGAACATGGCTTTGGACTGGGAACATTACTAGCAAAGCATAAACCAGCTTTTGGTCAGACAGGGATAATTTCAGAAAACGTGAGGTAGTGCTTCCATCGTCTGCAGGTGCAACAACATCGGCAACTTAACTTAAAGGACTGCACCGAGTAGATTGTCCCAACGCCTCATTGTAAGGCTCAACTGTTTGTCAAGACTGGTATGTGAAACGTACTCGATCAGGAGGATGCTCCAGGCCTTCTGAGAGACTAACATCGAGTGCCGGACCACGAGCAAACGCGATGAGTGTCGAAACAGATAGGCACCGTCGATTGGTGCGCGAGAGAAAATGACTTGAGCCACAGCATGTACTCATATCGTGCGCCTAAAAATACTCGCCCTCTCAACAAAATGTTGCCGATCAATTGCTCAAGGCACTGTGAAAGGCTGATCTGTACGGGTTCTGGAGCCAACACTAGGCACAGAACCTTGGGCTCGTAGAAGAGCCCAAGGCACAGTTTATCCATGGCCACTCTGAGCACTCTCAACACGGCGATTCATCCACAGTCAATCGCTACGGAACGTACTCTTCCGGCTCTACTACTGAATATCCGAAATATAATTAGCGGTTGAACAATCCGAGATGTTGGTCAAAGTCGCCACTGATTCACATGCACCGCCACGCAGCCACACAGAGGAGCCACTCACATCCCGCACACGTCGACCCTGCATGTGAGATCGTCCAAGTCTTTCCCTCTTTCTTTCATCTTGTCCATCTAGACTTCACTTTACCATCCATTCAATCATGGGGTTGATCCCTCGGCAACCCAAGATCAACCACTGTCCCAGTACCAAGTCGGCACTAACCACCAAGGAAGAGCAATTACATGCCGCGGTTAGCTTCCAGAACCTGAAAGCCCCGTCCTCGCTGGCGGTGATGCCAGTTGACCTGACGGACTTCGCGAGGACATCGCGCTATCTCCCACAAGGGGTTTGCTTGTCCTTGCAAAGGTGGGTGTCTACGAATGAACGACTAGATGCCTCGCATAGATGCAGGCTAATATCTACATGTCGGCCATGTCCCAGGACTTCTTTCTGTTCTTTTTCTTTTGCACAGTGATAAGCATGGCTCACATGCGAGGCTCCCATTGACAATTCACTAATACATCCTCAAGACGATATGCTCGAATAGCATAATACGATCTACCCAGCTTAGATTGCGTGGCAAGAGATTGTGCTTCCCACTTCAGGAATCTGACGCAGAGGAGAAGCCATATCGACCATGAAGTATTATGGCATTGTGGTGGCTATACTATGTTTCCTGTCAATGGTCGCCGCGCAGGATGACCCATTGAGCATTCTCGTCTCGGAAGCATATTCACTCTACACGGAAGCTACACAGATTCTCTCTTCTGTCGTGTCAGCTGCGACAGCTGAGCCTTCCACGTCTTCAGTTTCAAGTTCATCAGAGTCAGCTAGTTCGAGCGAAGCAACAGCACTTACTACTAGCTCCGACGCAATCTTGAGCACATCACCAGAATCTTCTGCGTCCCCATCTTCGCTTCCATCGTCCACACTATCTCTTCCGATATCTACGAGCACTTCCTCCTCGTCCTTCTCATCCTCAAGTGTGCTGCGGCTTTCGTCATCTACAGAGTCATCGCACACACCGACTGCTTTGTCACCGTCGGCGCTCGGAACATCCTCAGTACTCGGGGCCACGCAAGAGACCGGCGCAAGTTCCCCAACTTCAAGCGGATCTGGCCACGATCACAATCTAGAGATTATATTGGGAACTGTGCTAGGTGCCCTTGCGCTTGGGCTCTTCATCTTAGCAATATTGTTATGCTGGAAACACCATCGCGGCCAGTCACCGCGCCATAGGGCTCTTTCTCCAGGTGATGACGAGGTCGAGACCTGGAGGCTGAACAGGCAATCCGATAATCCTGAGAGCAAAACTTTTTCGCGTCTTGACATTGGCGCCCAGGGGGTTGCGCCGTTGATGTCGCAACACCCAGCTTTTCGCCGCTACGATGAGCATGAGAATCCTTTCACCCCTATCCCGCCACCACCCAGGAGGACAGCACCGAACTCCAGGGCCGTTTTGACCGACGGCAGGGTCGCAGGGGACCGTCCTTATGTCAACGAAAAAGAGATAGATGGAGCCAGACCAACGACTTGTCCGATGGGCATAACGGCCAATACATCCGCGAAGAACAACGTCATTGCTGCTGGCCTGGCCGGCGGAGCTATTGGAGCGGGCCTGAGGCATAATCATAGGAGAGGCGACGACGAGAAAGACCCTTATCAAGATGAGGAGGTCGTTGAACCTCAAATACCCCGCAAGATTCTTCGAAAACCAGTACCACTCAGCAGCTTCATTAACACAGACTCTTGGCCTACTTCACCAGCGCCACATATTGATCCAGCTGGTGAGAGAGCTGCTTTTTCGAGATTCCCAGCAAGGAACGATCATGCAACTCCGCGCCATCCTGCTCAAAGTGCGTCTGGGGACACAGGTGCTGTTGACAGAGAGCTTGATCCGGTCGACCATCAGCAAGGCCCCCATATTGGCAAGGCGGCCCCAGAGCTTACAGCGGCCACACTTGTACACGGCAAAGACGATCAATCAGGCACGCATGGCAGGGACGGGGCTGATCGCTCTACCCACAATCCGACGATCATCGCGTCCTCATCTCTACGAAGAACCTCCAATGACTCTCATGGTCGCCCAAGCTCAGAGAATCGCAATTCTTACAGCGATGTCCTTCCCAACAATCCGTACCATGACGTCCTTGCTCCAGCAGAGACTGCTCTGGCCGATACCTCCGAGCACCCACCTTTAGATTCGCCATCACATGTGGTCCCGCCCATCCGCAGCCCCAGGCGTGACAGCAACGGCGCTCCAATATACAACGATCCCAACCGCCCAGCCATCCCCAGTCCCTTGTCCACCGAAGTGCGGCGCGATCCATCTCGTTCACCGACAATGACGAGCAGTGTGAACGCACTCCCGAGCCGCCGCTCACTTGCCAGCATCAGTAGCACCCATTCCAAAGGTCGGGACAGGAGCAGATACAGCTTTGAATACGACACCACTCCGACGCCATACGATGCATATCCGCCAAGCGCCGGCGCAGAACACTACGGCGGTTTCTTCTCGCCGAGCCGCGGCGGTGGTGCCGACGACGACGGCAGGATGCTCGAGAAGAAGACCATTGTGGGTGACAGTCGGTACCCGCTCTTGAATGGCCCCCGGCGCAAGAGCGGCGGAGACCCGGAGTACCCCCTGCCGCAGAACATGTCAAGACCACGACCACGACCACGCAGGGACAGCACACCACAGCCTCCTCCTCCTCTCCCGAGAGACACCAACACAAGCTCCATGTTCTCCCTGGATGGGAGTGATTTCGATCCCCGCGACATCGACATGGACTTTAGCTCGAACTGGCGCATGAGTTCTGGCCTGCCAAGCGGGTGGCAGAGACAAAGACGCAGCTCGAGTCCCCGAAGCAATAAAAACAACAACAGTAACAACCACGGTGGCGGACAGATGCGTGATTCAGGCGTATCTGGTCTCGGTGGTGGAGTCTTGAACCAAGGACAAAGAAGGCTGCGGACCAGCGACGTGGTAGAAAGGGAGAGATATACTCGAATAGGAGGTGTCGGGCAAGCGCTATAGCTTAGACGCCATCGTCTTGTGGGCGTGGATCTGTATATGTGAATCTATAGGCGTCGACCTAACGATCTCTGATAACGATGTTTCCTTTCCACGTATTGAGCAAATGGAGAAAGGGGTTCACTTACTTACTGACTACAATGGAATCAAGCCAAAACATGACCAAGACACCAGTTTAATATCGGCATTTCAATTTTGCATGATGTTTTGATGTAGAATCAGCAGTAGTGACGTTGACACTGAATCCATAGCCACAGGAATGGTAGTGGGAACGATAGTGGTGGTAGCTATTATCACTGAAAGAGACGCAATTCTCTCTCTATTCGTAGTAACAGACCCGATCGTGTGCGTCCCTGATCTAAGTTAGACGCGGGACTTCGCCAAAAGCAACGCATCTTTCTGCTTCTCCACGCAAAAAATGCAAAGAAAAGAAACCCCCTGTAAACTGAGCCTGCCATCCGTCGAAAATTCGAAACCTGGTCACCGTGAAAAATGCATCGACATTTCGCCAGCGTGCTGTAGCTGGCTACTTATCTACCTGAGGTAGGCATGCTAACTCCCTGCTTTCCCCAAGAGCCGCCTCTAGGAAACCAGATCTCACTCATAACGGTTGCACGCATGCTCTAATGACCAAAAGCCCGCTGATAACGCGTAGGCTGCTCCATCCTTGCTCTTGAGCAGGAGGAGATGGAAGAAGAGAAAAGAAAGAAAAACATTTCATAACACAAAATGCGTCGTCGTCACTAAGTAAAACTCGACTCAACACCAAACATGATATTCACGATGGCCGGTGTTCCACTACCGCGGGACCTTGACTCCTCTTCCTGTTTGTACGTTCGCAAAAGAGAAGAAGCAGGCCTAATTCAATAATCGAACCATGTCAGAAGGCACTCTTCCCGAAGGAGAGATCGTTTCGCCATTCGTCCAGTCGCTACTGTAAGGGGGTGGCGTCTCTGGAGCTGGACTTGGTTCCACACTCGAGTACTCTGATTTTTCAGGACGAATAACTGTCTCGTTCGAGTACCGTCTCGGCGACAAAGGTTCAGGCGCGGGCTTCTTATTCTGCTGCGTGATTTCGACAGATACATTTGGCTTCGTGACCTTCCCATTGATACGTTGTTGCGTGGTTGGTCCTCGCGAATTTGTAGACGCACGAATCTTTGTGACTTTGTTTTTGCGATTGAGCGACGTCTTCGGCTTGCCGGTCTTGGTTCGGTTCTCTTTGCCGCCTAGAACATCTGCAATGCTTCTTCCCGAGCTGGCTGGGTTCTTTACCTGTGCAGACGCTGCCTGCTCACTGCGCTCTCCAACTTTGAGCTTGATGCGCAAAGGTGGAGTAGCAGAGCTCTGATTTTTCTTGGAAGAGTTTGCGTCTCGATCACCGTTTTGGCTGCGCGGGGGTGTAACAGTGTGAATGACAACGGAAGGCAACAGTTTCTTGCCACCATTTTCTCCCTCGACTTTGTTTTCGCTCTTTTTCGGGGAGGCCGGAATGACGACCTCGATTTGTGGTTGGGTAGATCGAGCGGCTTCGAGATCGACCGTCGTGTGGTTTTCCACCAAATCCACGTTCGGATCGTCCCATTCTCGCAAGCCTGCTAAACGAGCCACCTCATCGCTGTCACCCCTCACCACCAAGTCCCACAGGTTTTCGAGATCTTTGCCAGGTGGAACGGGGTCTCGATTGATCCATATCGTCGTGCCTTCCCTTCGATCCCGAACAATCTGGCACATCTCGTGGGCGATTCGCCTCACCGCTGGAATTTTCATGCTCGTGCCGACTACAATCACTGCATCTGGCCTCGTTCGGAAGTCTGCTGTCGTCACCGCGCCAATGGCCTCGTCATCCGGGTTGTGTTCGTTGTAGAGGACAATCCTAGGCCTTAATCTGCCAACTCCATGACTGCGTTTCCCAGCGTGCTTTGTCCGCAGCGCATCAGCTGCAACACATTGCGGGCAGAGTGGAGGCGTTGGTCCGTCGAACAGACTTGCTTCGAATTCAGAGACATGTCTACATTTTTGACACATCATCTTCTCTAGTCCTCCGTGCAATTGGATAGTCTGCGGCCATGGCGCCTTGTGGTTGAGAGGAACTTGGGTCGTCAGAGGCGGCAGAGAGCATTCGAGGCCGTCTACGTTCTGTGTATAGAGTCGCAACAGTCGTCCCTCTACAGACAACCTTGCCAGGAAACGGTGAAAAGCTGTCGGCTTGGCGTTCTCTGACATCTTGGAGAGCTTCCTTACCATGTCATGAAAACTCGAGGTGGAATGATCGTCCTTGTAGACTGAAGCATCAAAAAGCATTTTCCCAGAGCTTTTCAGTTTGTGCTCGCCCTTCAGACTGTTGAATAAGCCTTGTGAGGACCTGAAATCAGGGATCCCTGCTGAGACGGATATGCCGGCTCCTGCAATAACAACAATTTTCTTCCTGCCTCGAACCGCCTTCAGCAGCGTATCCAGCGCCTCTGTGCGATCATAATCGGACTGCGCAGTGTCTGAAGTCAAATCAAGATGCTGTGTAGTCCGGATTCGTGGTTCGATCTTTCGTCGTTTGCGAGCAGGGGGCATATCATCGCCGGCATGTTGCGAGGGTGGGGGAGTGACAACCTGGAACCCAGGCGGTGTCGTTGGGGAGCTCGGAGGAGAACTGAGAGGAGAGCTTGGTATAGAGCTCAAGGGAGACGACAATTCGGAAATGTCGTCGGCGTCCATGGTTGTTATTGAGAAGTGGAAGGAAATGTGACTATCGCATGTCTCGATCTGCTGGTGCTGGCGAAAGAAGGATAAACGCCTGTCTGCTCAAACTTGTGGTACAAACGACCGAAGGAGGTGCGATCCGGAGTCAGCTAGTTGGGGGGTTGGAAAGGGTGTAGGGGGAGTGCAAAATTAGTTGGGATGAGGTTGTTGTCAAGAGTAAGTGAGGTGATGATGAGCTGAGGAAAGAGAGGCGCAGTTTTACAATGCGAGGCTGCCACCGGCTTTGGGGACCTGGGGGGACTGGTTGGACTTGACTCGCTAAGGTCCCCAGGGACAACAAGTGGAGGGAGAAGACGGAATCGTCAGCGGCTGCACGAGCGGGAAAACAAAACGAGGGAGATGCACAACACAAAGCGGATGGTGGACTCGGACCAACAACCTTGCCTAAGGCTGGAAGCAGGGCCTTTGTATTGTATGTATACTGTACAGTGCACAGTACTCGTACTGTGTGCTGCTGCCATTCATTCAGACGAGGATCCGCAATCGGCACGCTAATGAGTTTGAGACGAGCCCTGCAAAACAACAAAGAGCCAATAAGGGTGGTGCTGGGCCGCTTCGTGCGTGAGAAATCTCCTAGGTCGTTCCGGGGGCCTGCATTAACCGTTTGGGGCACCCAGTCCGCTCGGGGGACGCCTGTCGACGCCTTCTTCATGCCTCATGTTGGGCACTGACTGCACCTAACGAAACCCCTAGGCACGAGAAGAGTGCGCCCAGGACGCCCCGGATGAACCTGTGCCTGGGTCCTGCAGGCCACTAGGCTGCGTCTCCCCCGTTTCACACGCCCAGCTTATTGCAAACGTCACACTTCTTTCACTTTGGTGCCATCACTCGAACAGCAACATCACTCTATTGTACGAACCATCGTGTCTTTCGGGTCATCCTGTCGTCAATAACTCACTGAAATTACCGGATGTCTATGCTCCCTGGAGCAGCACTACAACGGAACATCTTGTTGGACAGACGCTGAACACAGATGAAGTCTCATCCTTGCACGCTGTATCGACCGTTTCCCGGGCTACCATCTGCACCAGGCGTGTGGCTTGACCCTGACGCCCCCATCCGACCCTCGCACAAGCCACTGGAGAGCCACAAGGAATATCCACTCGCTTTGCACGGCCAAGCAGAGAGGCTTCGCGGGAATTTCTGACTGCCTTCTTACCAGCGAGTCCCGGAGAGGAAGAGAGCATAGAGTATTCACAAACTAACTAGATCGTCCTGAAGGCACCCATCGGAACTGCTACGATTGCGACGGGTCTAGCAAGCCATACTCTCGTCTCCCTCCGAAAAATCCTCGAATCGTGCCGAAAATGGATCTGGATATGCAATCATAGGATGATGTTGACGATGATCAAATCGAAAAGCGATTCACCGACATCCAACCGGAGCAGCTGGGATTCATGAACAGTCCGTCTCTGGAAGAAGAATTTGACAAAAGCTTTCTCGAGCACGCGGACTCAAATCGCCTTGGTCCCGACGAAAACTCCGATCAAGCCCGAGTTCACGGCGACACTCAAAACTACTCATAGAATGAGGATTGCCCTATCATCATGGAGTCGTTGAATTCTCTGAAAACAAACCCTCTGGAACAACCGGATGACTTTGCCTCCGAGGCATTTTTCAATCAGAACACCCTGGAACAAATTCAGCAACTGGATACCAGTACTACTCTAAATGCGGCGGCGAATGTTGTCCTTCCCACAAAAGCAACCATTCTCGACCAGCTCCAGCGAAGATGGTTTTGCGGCTTTTCGGAGCGGGTGGCTTGGTCCAGACTTGGGCATGTTGCCAGCATCTCCGAAGATGGCTCATCCGTCCGTGTGGAATGCTTGCATTACAACTACAACTCCAAATCGTGGGGACTAGAGGAGAAGGTCGTTCTGCCAACGCTATTCGAGGACGCAGTTGGCCTTCTATTCAGTGGTCATGGACAGGATCTCGCCGTTGTTGATGCCAAAGGTCGCTTATTCATTTACCAATGCTCTCACATCGCCGTCAACCGCTTCGTTCTCGCTAAATCGGGAGACCTCGACGAAGTGAACGATGCCTCCCAAGTCATCGGAATAGCATGGCTGAACCAAGATCGTCAAGACAGGGCGAGGAATATAGTTACCCATGCCACGAAGAATGATACCAGATGGGTACACACCAACGTCCGAGCAAAACCACTGGGGCCGTTCTTCCCACACGGACTTGTAATGGTTCATCATTCAGGCACCGTTGCATTCTGGTATTCACGCAATGACGGACAATATATCAAAGTCACTCAAAACTTGAACATCATAAACGACACGCTATATAGTCACGCAAGCCTCTCCCTCAGTGCCAATCACAGAATGATGATGGCGCTGCATTCCAGTCAAGGGGAGATATCCGTCTGCTTCATGTCAATTGCATGGCCTGCCTCTACATCCAACGAAACAGATCTGCCGACTTTAAGTTTCAGTTTCATTCCAAGCCAGGTACAGGCCTTTCCAGTGGGATCTGCCGCTATTCCTGATTTATATGACCCAAATTCGTGGCGTTTGAGCCACCTTGAATTGTCACAAAGTCCTGAGGTCGAGAACCAGCCATCAGGTCCGGTAGCAGTCGTCGCAGTCTTCACAGGCATCAACAAAGCTCACAGTATTACTGACCCTGGGGCGCTCACCGGAAGCATGATCAGGAAGTGGTTCCTCACTCCCGTCCAGCGGAGTTTGCATCCTCTTTTCGAAAGCTTGCCGTCGAAAGGTCCTGCTAAGAGTGAGCCGACTTCAGTTCTCACTTTGCACGCTCAGTCAGAGAAGATCGAGCAGGTTATCGTCACAATCCACCATGTCGACGGCCTGAAGGCATATGTTATCACGACAACAGAGAACCGTACCGACTTTCTGAGTTCCGAAGACTTTTCGCCTGTTTCGTTCGCTGCTTCAGTCGCAGAAACTACTTCAATGGCACAATCGGGCTTTACCTATCCCTTTGCGGACATGAACTGCCCGTCATTCTCAGTAAATGCCTGTGTGAGAGCTGATGTCGGTCTTGACGACAAAACTCGGATCGCTGCCCTGGAATATCAGATCCAAGGGCCAGTCCAACAGCCGCTTGATTTGAATCTTGACGCGGCTGTCGCTTCGTTGAATCTGGCTTTTGCACGAGCGTGCTGGAGTAATGCCAGCATCGACGATGTGATCATGTGCGCCCAACACTCTCTTCCTCACGACGTTCTCCCGTCCGTCGTTGTTGGCATGTACCGTACCCTCTTCAGAGATACGGAGTTCATTAACGAAAAGACTCCAAACTCCGAGTTGGAGCGCATCTTTCATAAGCAGGTTATGGGGCGTGTTATGGCCTATCATGCCATGCTTGTAGCCCACTGCCCTCAACTACCTTCAATCGCCTCTACTGACGGACGAGTTGGCAGCTGGTCCCTCAGCGCCCAATGGGCCTGGGTGGCCAGCAACATCCGCCACACTGCAACATTGCTTTTCATGAATCTACGTGATGTTGCGCACGCCACCGCTACTATGTCACAGGACTACTCGGACATGCTGTGTCTAAACATTCGGTGGGGTTTGGCCGTCATACGATGGATTGTCAGTACAATCCTGGAGGTCAGCGATCGTGAGACCAACCCTGAAATATTCAATGGAAAATCTGGATCTCTAGGTGATATCAACGGCGACGGCACTCAAGGACTTGTGGCATTGTTGCTAAATATTCACTGCTCTCGAGTGTTCCTAGTCGCCTTTATTCGTGCGGTCAGGGCGTATGCTAAAAGCGCCGAACCCAAGACCAGGCACCAGTTACAGGTTTTGCAAACAATCCAGGCCCACACTACTGGCAAAGGGATCACGTTCCCTGCAATCGAAGCGATGCTAGAATACCGCTGGACAGCGCAGGGTGATGTTGATGGCGATATTGCAGCGACAACAATGCGACAGCTCGAGATGATGGCCACTGGTGTTGTGCCAGAGTCATATCAGGGGACCATCAAAATCTTGCTGACAAAGCTGTTTAACAGTCCAGCAGGTTTGCGGGCGAAGAATCTGATTGACAGATTGAAGCTGTTCACAGATCACATTGATCTGGACTACATCTTCCTCAATCGCGATGTACTCGGCAAAAGTCAAGACGATGCACGTCAGGGAAGGGTCATCTACGATGTTCACAGGAAAAGGCCTATCCCCAATGGTGTAATGGAGCCTGGCGACCCTCAAGAATTAGTTGTCAGACACTGCTTGAGGTGCGGGAGTTTCAGCGCTGACATAGTGGTCCCTCCACCCGACTGGGCGAGCAAAGGAGTGGCTTCACTCCTAGCCAAGTGCATCTGTGATGGTAATTGGGTCATTGTACCTTGGAAGCAGTATAGTGAGGGCTGATAAGAGTCATGAAAAATAGGCTCGCAAGTGCAGCAAGACAAAGACAGTGCTTGCATGGCCAACCAAGACTTGCGCACAAACATATGTGCTTTCGAAGGACGTGGGAGATTCTGAAGAGCTTTTATCATACGAGTGGAATGGTGTGGGCGTGAGCTTGGTGCTGGTCTGTACTCATAGCGGATGCCAACGATTCAAAATATTGACACACGTGCTCAATCCTCAATTAGTCAACAAGGAAGACAATATAGGGAACGTAATGTGTTCATGCATTTTTGGCCATTTATTTTTTCTTTCGCCTTAAGCAAAGTGAGCAGGATAAAGCTGCCAGAAGCAGTCGGCATCCCATCTCAACACGCACATCCCATGCCTAAATATGCTGCACAAGCAGGACCGCAAAGAGCCCGGTTGTCAAAAAAAGAGGTGGAAACATCCATGCGTGATAGTGCCAGTTCTTTTTTCCGCAGACAGCACGCTTGAAGGTACGGGTTGGGTCATCTAGACTCTCCCCCTTCGAATCAATGCCTCGCTTTGACACAAACCCCTTCAAACCCGACTCGTTCACGCCTCGGCCTTGATGGCGTACTTTCTCTGGGGGAAGTGAATCTGCTTCTTCTTCTGCTTCTCGGTGATTCTGCTGGCGTCCTTCTTGCTCAGTCGTCGGCGGATGGCGCGAGTCTGCTTGGGTCGGAGGTCGAGAGGGAGGTACTTCTTCTTCTGGTAGAACAGGCGCAGTTGGTGTCTTTGGTTGGCGTTGATGACGGTCAGGACTCGAGCGATCGACTTTCGGAGATCGTGTCTAATTGCGGGAGAAAAAAAGAGAGTCAAGGTCAGTTCCATCATTTTCCACTCGGACATTTGAGACGGTTGGTGGTCTTGCGGTCCGCGAACGTACATTCTGGTGAGTTTTGAAGAGGCACCGCCGGCAATCTTCTGGACACGGAGCTGACCCAGCTCGGTCTTGAGCTCGTCGAGTTGCTTCTTCAGATCATCGCGGCCCTTGTTCCAGAGCTGGCCGGGCTTGACTCGAGCGTTGGTCGACTAGAGAATCCCCAATGTCAGCATTTTCCCTGTGCGCAAAGAAAGATTCGAATTCGAATTCGTTCCAAGGGGAGCCGTACCATCTTGGCTGATATGTGAACCTTGTCGACGTCGGAAGTTGGTGAATTGAGTGTTGAAAAACCGAGAGTCGCAGATTGAGTCGTCGTTGGACTGCGCGGACAAGGCCCTCAAATTTCGATAGTGCGGACCAATTTACGCCAAGAGTGTTCATCACGTGAATTTATGGACCAGGCCGGATTAGGTCAAAGTTCGGGTTGGTGCTCGAGCCTCGTTTCTTAGTGCTGGGCCGTCACATGCAGGAGAAGCCTAGGGAGCCTAGACTGCGTTTACTCCCCAGTGTACTCCTGTACTTCGCATCTGTACCTTATACTTATGTTGCCGAGTTCAGCGCCATGAGATCCTCAGTCGTGCGAACCAGTCCCAAGTTCTAAAGACTGCCACAACCTGCCTCATCGAATCTCTGTTCATGGGATGGCAGCCGGCGGTGGGTGGGCGCAATTGCGTCAACAGATTAGGACACTAGAGAGTCAGGTATGCGATGTGGAAGAATACTGGATGTCGCTATGACTGACTCTGTATGTTTGTAGACCGAGGCATTATTCCACACGTACTCGCAATTCGCCTTTACCCCGAACTTACCCGCCAAACCCTCGGAAGAAGAACAAAGGAACGAGGCAGAGATTGAAGAGTTGCTCGACAAGGTCAGCATCGTGCCTGGCTAAATGTGAGATACGTGGCTCTAACATTAGGTGCTAGCGGGAGCGTTTAATATCCCAACTGTCCCGACTTCTGGACTCGGAGAGTGCCTTGAGCACATCTAGTCTGAAACAGAACAATCTATCGCGACACCGCGAAGTCCTAAGCGAGCATCGACAGGAGCTTCGACGGATCAAATCCTCGATCTCAGAAGCCCGAGATCGCCAGCATCTGTTGGCAAATGTGAGGTCCGACATCGACGCTTTCAGAAGCTCAAACCCGGCCGAGGCCGAAGCTGAGTATATGCTTCAAGAACGGGCACGGCTTGATCAAAGTCACAATGTGATTGATGGAGTCCTAGCCCAGGCGTATGCCATCAACGAGAACTTTGGCATTCAGAGCGAGACGCTGGCGAGTATCAACCGCCGAATCACGGGCGCGGCAGCACAGATTCCGGGCGTCAACGGTCTGATTGCAAGGATCGGTACCAAACGGAGAAGAGACGGAATCATCTTGGGCAGTTTCATTGCCTTTTGCTTTCTGATGCTGCTGTACTTCAGCTGAGATAGGGTCAGGTAAGATCCTTATCACCTGAAATCTCGTGGTGCCCGCAGGTCGCCACGATGTCGTTGAAGGACAGAAGGACAGAATCAACTATAATGCCAGTCACAACTGCGAAAGACAACGACGGTCGAAAACTTACAAATCTCTGCTGCATGACGGGATCCGCCTTGGAACAAGAGGTGACAGCGAGCAGAAGTAACTTTTCTCTTTTCAGTGTGCATGTCTCGAAAAGCATCGTGCTTGCATCTCACGATCAGACCTACAACGGCCTGGCGAAAGAGCTACCGTTCTGGTCGACAGCTTCCACAACAAGACAAGTACTGTGGTACGGGTGTCATGCTTTAACTCAGTATCAGCTTGCCATGAGTCTAGACTTACGTCAACTCAGATCCTCACCAAAGGAAACATTTCATGGTCTCGGTCTTTCCTATATTCAGTGGAAGTTAGCATGCGATACCGTGGTGGCGTTTGTGTTAGGCGTACGCGTGCCATTACCTGGGCGTTCTGGCGGTGTACAGTTTCTAGGGGACTATAGTACCTTATAATAGCATTCAAACGAACTGGGTTCGATACTCCACCATAGGGACAGATTTGCTCTCCACTCCTTATGTTCTTCATCTTGATGACATGCTACCTCACTTTTGCCTATCGTATGGGCGACTTTGGCGACTTTTATATTCCTTGTATTTGTAGTTTGACGACAAAGTGATCATTCTATCACGGTCGGCCACACCACGAGATACAATGGTTCTGCAGGAGGAATTCGGTACCAAGGTGTTTGGACTGTACAGACACTCGACTGACTTGTGCCTGTTCGACCCTCAAAGATGGATGACCATTGAGAAGCGAGCTCTCGGTAGGAGCATTCCGTTTTCTGGCCTTATGGTCTCCAGGACTCCTTGACTTGAAGAGTGTATGACGCGTGTGAATACGAGTGGCTGTTGCCGCGTTCCGGGCACGAGTAGTTTACTTTCCCTATTGCTCGTCCCCGGCTCTAGGCTACGTGCACTCTAGGCTACGTGCACTCTCAAATCATCTCCCGGTGCCGACGAAGACATTGGCAGACGTCAGACATCAAGGTGAGAACGGAAGCCGGCCTGGGTGCGGTGTGCAAGGGTTAATAATTCAGCCAGGAGACCGGCTCACGGAAAGTAATCAAGTGCCTAGGTTTGTACGGAGTACAACACGGTGTAGTATAAATGTTGAAACGATTGACGGATTCTCCGCCGTCGTACCTACTTGTACCTACCTTCTGTAGGTTAGCCCAGGTTACATCTTAAGGCAGTTAAGCATTTTAGTATCCATTCCCTACATGACTATCTGTCGAATCTTATTGGAGTGCACTGGCCTGAACGTCTGCCGAATTCCCGAGCGAGAGAAGGCAAAGGACAGAGAAACTCTGAGACGACGAGCAACTGCCAACCCGGACCAACAAGCTGGGCATTCTTGATCCTGGCCAGTCTTTTTTGGTCTGCCAAATGCCGAATGCCAAATGCCAATAATGCGGCTTTTTCTGGTCCTCAGTCTCTCTAGGTAATCTATCTTTGCCAATGACGCCGGATGATTATGATGGTGCCGAGTGAACCACCACCCACAACCTCCATCCACAACCACCACCGCCACTACCACTGCAATACATACAAACACACTCACGCAACGGTATGAAACAGAGAGCACGTCTACTCTCGTTCTGCAGTGCTCGTGTCTTTGTCATTTTCATTATTCATCCCAGAATTTTGTACCGTTTGCAGCACAGTTCTCACCGAGGAGGGAGAGACACCGCCTTACTGTACGGAGATACTGATCCTGGGCACCGGTGACCGTGGCCCAGAAATCGGCAACTCTAAATACTGAGCTTTTCTCTTTTCTCTTTCCCTCGACCATCCGCTCCATCCATTAGCACTTTTGCAAAAAGTCTTGGATTGTGGGTGTGAGGCAATTTTGACGCTTTGATGGCCCCGGTACGAGTTAACATTGCTACTACTCTTTAAACCTGACTTAACGACTTCTTGATACGAGAGAAACTTTACTTCAGTGTTCGCTTCCCGAAGGTGGTGGACTTTTATTCCCTTCTTTTTCTGAATAATCTTTCAAAATCCTGGCCCCCATTACTCATCCGTACACGCCTTCGAGTGATTCCTATATCCGCAACGCATACGAGGTAGCGCGTGAGGAGGGTCGACGACATACTATACCATAATAATCCTCTTTCTTGTCCCATATCTTTGGTCCTCTGTCTTTGTCTGTCTGCTCGGTTGTGAAGCTTGGAAAAATCAAAATAGGACTTGGCTTTCTTCTTCTCCCTTCTCTTCGCACTACTCACGCCGTATCTCTGTGGAAACACTTCTGGTACTCAATTCATTGTGCGCGCTGGATCGCTGCATTCGGGGGTCAATCACAATAAACAAATCCGGATTTCTACATTCAACAAAAAAAACTCAAAAACAAAGAAAGAAATCCTTGCTGGACGGCTGGTTGCTTGCTTGCTAAAAAGTCACCAGAGCAACAAGTTTGCTCGTGGGTCAGGGAGAGACGATTTGTATTTCCTATATTGACCGTCCTGGCTTGGTCACTTTCCAAAAAGGGGGACTGAGGAATGGACATTATCATCCCCCAAAGCCAGAACACTATTTGTACAAGAACAACAAACATAACCTCCCTTGTCGGTCGACCAGATCACCGGCGAATCCGACACTGAAGGCCACGGCTGCCCGACTCTACTTGATTTTCTTTACCTCGCAGTTCAGTCGATCGGCTCAGGTATCTCCGAGACAGTCCGCCCCCTTAAAGAGTCAGTCATAGTCCGACGATTCAGACACAAACGTCGGCAGAAAAGAAATGTGTATCTACTACACGTACCATTGGAGCTGCTGCCCAGGCACCGCACGCCCGGCTCCATACTATGTTCACTCAATGTGCGACAAAGCAGCTGCTTCTTCAGGATCAACCAAGAAGACCACTGGAGGCAAGGACAAATCCAAAAAGTGTAGGGTCGTGCATGAGATTCTGGACGGAGCGGAGTCAGACGAAAGATGTCCCAAGTGTGGGTGTGTATACATTGTTTCCTCGAGTAGAAGACCTTTTGCTGACTGCGGTGTTCTAGCGTGAAACCGGAAAATTGTGATGCTTAGGTCGCATTGACCATGATGATTGAACGACTGAAATCTGGCTAGCGGTAATTGTGGCAGGCATTGCGTCGATATTGGCGTTGGAATCTGAGGTCTTTGGGCGAATTGAATTTGAACGGAGGTGTTTGATTACAAGGGCAGTTCATTTGAAACGTCGTCAAGGGCCAAGGACGACGGTGATATTCATATTATGACGACCTGAACTTTCGTTCTTCTTGTATCAATCTCTGAAGCGCGGCATTCAGGCCCGCGACTTCGCCTTCCCATGCATGGCCGCTTCCGGCCCATCTAATCTTACAGCTAGAGTCAACAAGATAGACATAACCGACTTGGGAATTCAGAAGCCCCATTGCGTCTCGCACATCGTCCGTTAGGCCTCGCCGAATGTCTCTTGGGAGTTTAATCATGAAATATTTGTCCCAGCGGTCCTCGGGGATCATCCTCCGTAGTCGTCCCCGGAACATCTTGACGAGCCATGCGCGAACCCAGTCTCCTTGGATGTTGACATCGACTCGTTGGACAAGGCCGTTGCTCGTTGCGATGATCCCAGACAAGTCAGGGTTGTCTTTGGGGCCGAAAAATGTGTCGACCTGTTCCTCGGCCCACTGGCCGGACTGCATGCCTATGAGGGAGATTTTACCAGTGATGGTAGGTGTGAGGTCTCTTCCGCCATTGGGACCGTCTCCTTCTGTTGCAAGTGTCTGTCCCCAGATGTTGGGGAAGTAGAGGGCCTTGTCCCGCCGGAACAGGCGCTCGTTGGACACGAAGCTCTTGCCCTTGTAGTGTTCCGTGCGATTCCATTCTTGGAAGTAGGGTCGGAAATAGGAACGCAGGTAGATCCGGCGACGCTCAAGGGCTTTCTGGTAGTTTGCAAAATCCTCCTTACGCTCGCGCAGTGAGCGAGTGTCGATAGGGCTGTTCTGTCCCGGCAGAGGAGGATGTTCAAGACCTAGAGGCCGAGAGAGAACGGACGGCGTGAACTTCTCGCCTCGCTCGCCTCGAGGTATAGGGATTCGAGAGATGGCCGACACGGCGTCAGGGTTGCGGTCCAAGCCAACATGTAGAGGGATAGTGGGCTGCTTCGGGAGTTCTTGTTGCTTAGGAGCCGCTGGCGGAGCGTTCGAGGACGAGGCGTGCCTTATGTGAGGACGCCATGTCCGATGCGTCCTGTATATGCACCTGCTGTGCGGTCGGAGCGCGAGAGCAACGAAAAGGCTGCATATTTCCTCTCGTCCCATGTTCGAGCTTGGCTGCGGAAGACTCCAGGAGTCGTCGTAATGATTGCAGTACTCTGGTAGCTGTAGCTTGCTCGTTTGGCACACTGAGTCCGCAATACTAGCCATAATTTTCCAGAGCACGTCACATGACCACGTGTCACAGTGGCTTACACGTCAACGCACAAAGAAAAGTCGCGTCGCCCACCATGAAGGACTTTTGAAGTTCTCCCCCGCCAATGTCGTTTGCGGTGAATGCGCTTGATTTCTCAGTGACACCCTGAAACAAAGCCTGTATTCCTGTGCTGCAGTACATGGAGCTTTCTATGATTATGAAGATCCAACACGGCAAGTTTTCCTTTCATTATTCTCTCACCAGCCAGACCACAGCATGGCATCATACCCGAAAAAAGAAGAAAAGGCCAGGTTTTTTGAGGATTTATATCGTTTAGATGATCTCATCAGTGGTGATGAGAGTCAGAATGAACCATCAAACGTTTCGTGCGAGGTACACCATGCCGCTCAACCAGCTAGATCCAGGGAACAAACCCAGCAAAACGACGGTCATCATTCCAGCAACCGATCTCGCCATATCAGCAAGGTTCAAGGCAAGAAACGATTGCACGAAGGGTTGTCACAATCAGCACCGATTATGATCGACGATGAAAACGTCAGTGATGTTGAGAGTTCACCAAGCCTCGGTCAAGCACCAACGAAGAAGACAAAGACCGAGGTGGGAGCTAAGGGTACCGTCAAACCACCCAAGGCCTCAGTGAAGGAAATGGAAAGGAATTCTACAAATATATCAAATCTCAAGCAACTGAAAAGGAAAGTTCCGAAGAGCATGAACTTGACATTCGTCCCGACAGAACTGCAATTCTTTGAGGGGTTTGTTTTCTGTAAGTCTCCTTGCTGTCTATCAATACCTTATGTTGATGGCATCCAACAGACTTTGTCCCCAATAATGACGACAATCCTGTTCGCCGTATCAGAATATATAAAAGTGTGCTGCTGGGAGCCGAATGGGTGCACGAGTGGTATGATGATGTGACACATATTATTGTCGATCACAGCTATACGATGACCGAAGTTGCAGACTCTTTTCCCTCCGGGAAGGTTCCGGTAAGTATTACCTGATCTAAGATTATGTGCCATCCTTACCACAAGCTGTAGGAATGTCCAGCTATCGTGCTCGAAGACTGGCTTGTGCAGAGCTTTTCGCTGAAACAGCCACAAAATGTCAATAGGAAACAATTCTTGGTTCCCGGGTTTGAGCGTCGTCAGCATGATCATGTCGAAGCTCCTCCTACGGCAAATATGGATTTGACTCGACCCAAAACGCCAATGCGCCCGAAACCTCAATTGAAGAAAAGCGATATTACCCCTTCTAAGTCACCTTTTGCTGGCGAGCCAAAGGCGGACAGAGCGTCAACGAGAGCAGACGATCAGCTTCGTGTCGCTATCCAAGCCGTGAAGGACATCGGCTGTTTGTCCATGAAACCAAGCTTCGACAATGCAAGTGAATCTCAGCACCAAGACGAACAGGATCTTGCCCTTGCTATCCTGCGCCAGGACGACAAGATGCGGAAGCAGAATGCCGGTTATCAATGTATGGAGAAGCATGGCAGTGGTACCAGTGACACAAACCCGAACAAAAGAACCATCGAGAACCTCCAGGAGCTGGCAACACTCTACGACCGTAAAGGCGATCACTGGCGCACGACAGCCTTCCGTAAAGCAATTGGCGCACTCAAGACCCAAGAAGAGCTGATTCGCACGAAGGAGCAAGCGATGTCATTGAACGCCATTGGCGAGAGCATAGCTGGGATGATCGAGGAATTTGTGTCCAAAGATCGAATCCGGAGACTCGACGAATCTCAGAAAGATCCGCGTGACCAGACTCTTGAGCTCTTCATGGGTATCTATGGTGTTGGCGCTCAGACAGCGGCATCGTGGTACTCCCAAGGCCATCGCACTCTAAATGACATTCGCCGGAAAGTCAAGTTGACTCCTTGCCAGCTCGTTGGACTTGAACACTACGACGACCTCCAACAGCGCATCCCTCGTGACGAGGTTGCTCACCATGCAACCATTGTCAGAAAAGCTCTGAGAGCCGCAGATCGCGGCTTGCAGCTGATAGTGGGCGGTTCTTTTAGAAGAGGTAAAGCAGACTGTGGAGATATAGACTGCATCATCACCAAAGAAGGCGCTGACATACGTCACATACGAACACTCATGTTGGGCACAGTTATTCCAAAATTGACAGAGCAGGGGTTTTTGAAGGTTGCGCTAGCTACGGGGACAGGGGAAGATGCTGCAAAATGGCATGGATGCTCGGCCTTGCCAGGCATTGAAATATGGCGGCGAATAGATCTGTTGTTCGTCCCGTGGGCGGAACTTGGAGCCGCCCTGATATACTTCACCGGCGACGATATCTTCAACAGGAGCATGCGGCTCTTGGCGAGTAAAAAGGGCATGAGGTTGAATCAGCAAGGGCTCTACAAGGACGTGCTGCGAGGCCGTGGACGAGAGAGATTTACAGAAGGGCAGCTTGTGGAAGGGCAGGATGAGAAACGCATTTTTGATATTTTGGGCGTTCCATACTGGAGGCCCGAAGACAGACAGATTGGATGATGACGACGATATGACATCCATGTGGTTCAGCCATGAGATAATGCCTCACCATGCACAACAGTTCAGTTCCTGCAAAAGAAGCCAAGATTCCTTACGGCCCGACAATCCAAAAGTACCTACGGAGTACGAGTACTAGGTACGGAAGGGAGAGAGCCTTGCAGGATGCATGCTACCCTAAAGAGGAAAAGCGTGTCGCTTGGCGAAACGTACCAATCATGTTCCCACAGTCGTTTCTCACCGCCCAAATTTATCCAACACCGCCTGTGAATACTGCCCGTTCAATATCGCGACTTTTGGACCGAATGCAAATCATAACAAAGTGAGACGAGTTGACCGGTACGCCTTCATCCATTGTCTTTGCACACAAGAGAACGGTCTCGTCGCTATCCCTGCTCTTAGGTCTCGTGTGGACCGAAGAGTTGGGTCCGGCACAATCGTCTGTCTGTGTGCGTGCGCGCACGATATTGACCTCGCTGTCTCCGCTTGTCATTGACATCCCAATTCGTGGTGTCCCCGCGGGTAGCCACATCGTCCAATCTGGTGAGTCGCGTTGCAAGCGAAAGCGGGTCTGCGCTGACATAGCAGAGAACAGATTCACTATGGGGAGGAGAGCCCATCCACTCATCATGGATTACTTCGAACGCGGAGAGAAGATTGGTGATAGTTCGAACCGCTATGTACACACCTGCAGACGGTGTCTTCAGGTATTCCCCAAAGGACGCATGGAGAACATGACGAAGCACTTGACGAAGGAGTGTCCGGATATGTCCCTGAAGGAGCGTCTCCAAGTCATCCTTCGTCTGAATGACCTGGCTCGCTCCGATGTGGATCAGAGTATATACCCACTTGTACCTGGAAGAGGAGGCAACGAGGTAGAAGAAGATAGCAACTCCTTCAACCTGTCTCGAGCATCGGCTCCCGAACTTCACACAGCTTCGCAGCAAAGTGCTCTGGAAGTGCTAGCTGAGGCATCGCGTCAGCTGTACAACCCTCTTCAGCAGCAAGGCTTCCAACCGCCAGCTGCATCCCATCGCATGGACAACCCTGTTCAGCAACAAGACTTCCAACCACCAGCGGCTTCTCATCGAATGGACAACCCTCTTCAAGCACAAGGCTTCCAAACACCGGCGGCATCTCATCGCATGGACAACACTCTTCAGCAACAAGGCTTCCGACCACCGGCCGCGTCTCTTCACGTGGACAACATTCTTCAGCAGCAAGGCTTCGATCACCTCCAGCCACAAGCGCAGTCTGCATATGCTGAAGCACATCCTGGCCCCTCTTCAGAGTCCCATGGTCCTCCGCAGATCCATCCTGGCCCCTTTGACTCTCATTCAAATGGTATGTTTGCAGCACCCATTGCGATGCTTGGTTTTGCAAAGACTGACAGATATCAGACTTTCAAGACAGTAACAACATTCATGACGCCTTTGGTCGCTTGATTAGCACTAACACGCAAATCTCCGACGAAGTCTTTACAAACTTGCCTGCAACAGCCTTGTCACATGGATATGACTCATTTCCTGGCTCTCATGAGACATCGTTGCCACCTCTCTTGCCAGACGCCGGCCCACCCGATGCTGCCCCGGAGTGGAACAGCTTACCGACGACTACTGCTTTGGCCGAGAATATCCTCCCAGCAAGTAGAAATAACGAAGCCATCGAGCCCATCGAACACTCTAGCGCGGCGCCCGAACCAATTGCCTTTGATTCAGATGATCAGACCACGCCAGTTATCCCCAAGACAGCTGCACCTAAGAAGGCTAAGAAGGGTAGGAGACCGGGCCGATCGAAGTTCGCTCCAGATGCCAAGCTCCAAGTCGCGATGGTGAGGAAGATTGGAGCGTGCTCTCGCTGTAGGGCACTTAGAAAACCGTGTGAGCCTGTTGATCCAACCAATCCCCGGGGTGTTTGTAAGCTGTGCACCAACATGAAAAATCCTCGCACCTGGAAGAATGTGTGTATCCGGCCCAGACTGTGGGAGATCCTGGAAGCGTACTTTGCAAGACCACACGTTCACGCTGTGAACAGAGAACAAACCGGCATTACCTGGCTCAAGTTTGGCGGTTTGGTCCGTGTCGCCCATTTTGAGGGCAAGAATGTTGAACTGGGCGCCCGCTATCGAAGATCACAACTTTCTTCAGATGGCGATCTTTCGGAACTGTCTATTGCGCAGCAGGATGGCGCTGTTGTCATCAACGTTGAACCCAAGGACGATCGGGTGGAGAGGTATCTTAAAGCCATCGGTGAGGATGTCATTGCCAGAGAGAAATGCCCCGTCATCAAAGCCACCCTGCAAGTTGCGCACAGTATCCAGCGTGAGCAGCTTGCCAACCCCAGCACCGACAAGGAGGACGGACTCCTCTCCGACATCATCGAGCTTTGGACCGCCACGTCGTTGATGGTTGACCCGGACTTGAAAGCCGATTTCACTATTGTTTCCGGCCGTTCTGAACCTCTCCACGAAGTTAGCGAAAGCCAGAATGGCTCTACTTACGCAGCCATGGTCAACCAATTCCACGCAGTCCTCGAAAACCGGACCAGCCTTCTCTGCAAACCCACAATGCGTCGCTTTGAAGAATGTTGTGGCCATCCAAAAAAGCCCAAGACCTTCCAGGTTTTTCTGACGGCCTTCATCATGCTCAACTGCGCAGAGAGAATGTGCTGGCTTTTCCGTCGATGGGAGTCAGGTGTGTCAGTGTCAGCCCCATGGAGTCTCGTGCGCACTGCAAGCTCGTATGCGGACCAAGGTGCATTCTTCCTTGAAAGCGTATCCGTCCTATTGAGTCCACAAGCCTTGAAGCCTGACTTGAAAGTGAGTGAACAAACTGGTCTTGTCGTGGCGGTGAAAAGCGGGGATCCAAACCTCCTCACCTGGCTCGACAATGCGCGATTCACCGCCGATTTCGGCAAGAGACCCAACAACGAGCAGCCAGACTTCAATGATTGCAGGTCCATGGATGGGACGCTGTCTGGTCAGCTTCTGGAAATTTAGAAGCACGAGGAGTTGAAAGAATGCAAAGGATTATTTCCAAGCATCATCAAGGGGAGCTTTTTTTTTGCCACCAGAGGAGGACGAATTCCACCGGGCAGAAGGGCGTTCATTGATGGTCAAAGAGTGATTAGGGGCGAGGATGGACTGTAAGATTTGGAAATTGCCCACGACTGTATGATTACACGACGAGACGAAAGCACTGAAACTCATGCGTCACGAACGTTTGAGAGATGAGATACCCCATAGAGCTAGAGCAGGCCTGATGTCTTCATAGAGCCTGAGATTGTCATTGTAATTCCGAACAATTTGGAAATGAAGCTTCCTTCCGTGTTCTGGAAGGAGGTCAACAAGGGCCAACTACTATGCACAAGGAATGACACAACTCAACGAACTTCTATCTCTCCGTGACTCTATATAGAAGATGAAGGGACCTACGTACCTGATCCATTCTCGCCATTTGAGTACAGATAGGTAGTGTGATTACTGTTCCTGCAGGGAATTCTTTTTTCTCGGACAAATACCATGTCAAGGTCGTCGATGATACGCCGTCATGGTAGTACGACCCTGATGACTGGAAGGGTGAAAATCGGAAAATTGACAAGCCATGTTTGAAGGGATTGCAAATTGCCCGAGCGGGCATGTCTGTCTGTTGGACACAGGGTGCATTGATTGTGAAGGACAAGAAACAGAAAAAAAAAAGGGGGGGGGGGGGAGGGAGAGGAGGGTATCTTATCTATGTATCCTTGTCGTACAATTCACATTTATGGGTGGTCATGACTAGCTATCAAGTTTGGTATTTGTGCATCCTTCGTCGACCTATTGTATAATTTCGATCCCCCTCGCCCTGATCCTCCCGGTCGGAAGTCAAACTTTCGGATGTTATAGTACGTTCTATGAAAAGTTTGACCTTTTAATTTAATGCCCCACTGCACCTCCTCTCACTGCGAGACTACTCTCAATCCAATCCATGTCGGGGGTAGAAGTCATTATTGCCCATGTTGACCCTGGGCCACATCCAGTTGATGCATTAGCTCCGCAGTCTCTTTCTCCGTAGGCAAGTTGACAATGGTAAGATAGAAGACGTCCTTGTGCAGGACGCGACCGATGAGCCCCTTCTGGTCCCGTCGTCGCCTCCCCCGGCCCATCTGTGCATTCTTGATGTCGGCCTCTGTGAGCTCGTAGCCGCGCCAGGCCGCACGGCGCTGGGCACGCTTCGCTCGTTTCGCGGCCTTGGGGTCGAAGTGGCCTCCGGTCAGCAGGGCCACCAGGGACCCGGAGTTGACGGGGTGGTTGGGGTCGGCGAAGCGCGACGCGAATTCCTTGCGCGGAGGAGGCGTCGCCTCGGCCAGCTTGTTCCCCGGGTTCATCGCCACGTACCGCGCTTGGGCCCGTCGGTCGAGGTAGTCTCCCAGGAACTTGCTGGACGACTTCAGTGCGCTTTGCTTCCGTTCGGGCAAGGCCGTACCGTCCTGCGCCGCGCGCGCGGCCGCTGCGTCGATGGCGGGGTACACCAGCGGCGCGGATTCGGGGAGGGCCAAGTCGCCCTTGGTCACGCCGGACGAGAGACGGAGCTTGTTGAGTTTCTGGCGGATTTCGCTCTCGGGCGTCGACAGGGCCTTCGTGAGTGCCTGGTCGGTGGAGTTGAGGTCGACCTGCATGACCGGGTCGTTGGGCGAGTCGGGCTTGAACGTCATGATCATGCAGTATAACCCGCGAGGCATGAAGAGAGTCTCGTTGATCTTGTCGAGGTACGTGTTGCGTCTGTGGCGCGTTTGCATTTCCCTGCCGACGCCGGCTACGACTTGGACTGCCATGGCAACCCCCATGGCGATCGGGCTGGGAATCATCCCGACTGCGAACGCGGCGACGTTGATTACGTCAAAGGCGGGGTTGGCGCGAGATGAGCGATCGAGCTCTTTGATAAAGTCGAGGAAGGTCGCCTGGTCGATGCCCGCGCACTCGCCGAGGAGAGGCGCGTAGGCCCGGATGAAGCCTCGAGACTTGTCCTGGGGCCGACGCTGAGGGAGGATGACGGGGCATGGGAGCGGACGGTAACCCCCGGACGGGACGATGGTGAGATTGTGGTTTTGTACAAAGGCAGTGGCGACGTCGTCTGCCGAGGACGGGGTTCCAGCTGACGCCTCGTACGAAGGCGGCGGTTCTTCTAGCTCAGCCGCTGCTTCGTCGAGAGCCCATTCCGCACGGTCGGTGTCGAGCTCGTCGTCTTCGCTGTCGGACTCAGAGTCATCTTTGGAAAAGGACTTTCTGCCCCCTCTCGAGCTTTCGCCGACCTCGAGTGATTGCTGTTCATGAGACGACGTTGTCGCACTTTCTCTGGCGGCTTTCTTTTCTTTGCGGTCTGCAATGGCCTCTGATGCAAGCCCGATGCCTGAACTGACACCCTTCACAAGTTTGGTGATAATAGGCATGCCGAAATCTGATTTCTCGACAGGAGTGAAGAGCGGGGTTCCTGTCAGAGATAATGTTCCAGGACTGAGGGTGAATCGGGCGAAAAAGATAGAAGTGTTGATTTGAATGATCTGATGGTGTGGTTGCTTGTTTGCTGTCTGGCTTCTGAAGGGTACGGAGTACGGCCAAAATATATATCCCAGGGGGGCTTATAAACTTCACAACGGCAGAAAATAAAGACAGCTGTTATCAGGGCAATGTTTCGTGAGAGGAGATTGATAGAGGTTAGTCGTGCGAAACGGCCGTGCGTCAACAGCGAGTGGGTGATTCCCACGAGGGCACCGCCCAACTCCCCTCGCGGTCTGCTCCCAATCGGGCAAGATTTGCTAGGTTGGTCACAAACTTCTAGTTAGTCAACACCTCAAACGTCCTTGTGTTAAGGCTCCCCGTGGCGGGCGGTGGAGGCGAAAGCTTATCTGGTGGCTGAGGCCAGTCAAGTCCACCTAAACTCCAGCCAAGGCGCAGCTTAAAGCAAGCCAAACCTGGTGCTTGGGGCCAAAAATACCTCCGCGCACCAGCCACAACTAGCCTAGTGAGCCATCGAGAGAGCCGGGATAACACATCGGCCGGAAAAACCTATCGCCGCGAATGTTGCAGAGGGACGAGGAATCAGGATGAGCGTGTGCATGAGGGTGAGTACGAGCACAGCCAGGACAATTAGCGGTCGAGGAAGCAGGAAAAGCCATCGACACCGACATCGTTCTTCCCTGCCTTGTCCCAGACACTCAACTACACCACCACCCGTCGGCGTTTGCGGCCCTGATGTGTCGGTAGCCTTCCTCTTGCGCACCCTGCAGACCAACGTTGCGGTGCTCTCTCGCCTCACGACGGCGAACCCGAAGTGGGCATTGTTGGACAGCGTTGACTCCGGGCCCTTTTGATCGGATTTCGGTCACCTGGTCCTTTAGAAGCTGGATTGTCGCACTACTGGTGCTGGTAATACCCGAAGGTAAGTCGGAGACGGCAGTTAGCAGGGTTTTTGACCATGACACTGCAGGATTTCGCATGGAGGGACAGGCTCTCAACAATGCTGTCCTACGTTGCTTCTCCCAGGACACTCCAAAAAAGCGGTCAGCCATTCAATCCTTTCGTCGACTCACGGACCTTGACGTAAATGGGTCGCCGGACATCGTTTGGCATGTTGGACTGGATACCGACGTTGCGGACTGTTGCGGCCACTTTGGACAAACTCCGCCGTATACCTCGCACTGCAGAACTGACAGGTGACGCTTTCTGGCAACTCTACCTGCTATGGTCTGACGGATTTTGCCGAGAGATCGGAACATTCGGGCGGATGTTTCGAATCTGCACAGTGTGCAACTGACCCTGTGAGGGCAGTTCGAGACCCTTAGAACCAATGCCAAAAACCTTGCTGAAGTGTGCTTGTTCGAGGACTTTCCTCGAGTCTAGCCCCGTCTAAGGAATACTGGACACTAATCAGTACTTCCCCCGGACTTCGCACATATCGCGCTGATCAGGGATGAGGTTGTTGACTTTCGCGAGATTAAGGAGGAAGCCCCAGACAATGACGTACAGCACAATTTCGCAGGATCTCAGGATCTCAGGATGTTGCTATTAGCCTATTACTAAGTAGTCTCCATATGGTTGCGTGTATTATTATTGTGCCTGTACTGGCACGGTACTTTATGCGCACCTGCATCTCTGCAAGTAATACGGCTTTTGCAGAAAGAGGCGAAAGACCAACAAAGAACCGCTCTAATCTTTGTACTCGTAAGGACCGTGGGCGACCAAAGGACAATCGAGGCCACGGATGTTCCAGAAGTAAATAATTGGCACTGGTCTATTCTGGTTCAACTTGCTACACGATGCTGATGGACCAGCCGGTTGGATAACGCGATGACATCGACGGGAGATCTTGTCAACCTCGAGCAGACGAGTGAGAGATGAAGTCTGAATGAAGTACGGAGTCTCCGTAAATAATGTTGCATCCTTTCGTGCTGGACCCAGCATCTGCATGCACCTTTGCAGCGGTATCCCAACAATTCTTTTCTCCCCGCATTATGACCCCCTTGTCGGACAGCATCGATCCATTCGGGCGAGGTCGGCAACAAGTCTGATTTCTCCTAGGCGGTTGCTTGATCCTGGTCCTGGATCGTTGATTCTGCGTCATGCTGGAGCTGGAAGACTTTCGATTCCGAGGGATGATTCTATGGACCTGGAACTCCTGGGAAGATGGGCTACGGCTTGGTCTGTGCACAGATTTAATGCACCTAGCCATTCGACTGGGTGCGTTGCTCCGTATGTGTGTGTCTTCAGTACCTAGCGGGCACATGCCGGACACCGTTGTGGCCGACGAGGGAGTCAGGCGGATGCCAGTTCTCGTAGGCTATCGCGACCAGAGAATTAGCAAGATACTATCACTCTGACGGCGTTTATTTCCATGAGATCGACCAAAACGGAAGAACATGCAAAGGTCGCCCCTTTGAATTAGGTGGGGGAGATAGGCGATGTCTACGCGTCGTCGAAGCTTCCACTGTGAGTTAAGTGGACAGTTCGCTTGGATTTTGAAACATTTGTCCTGCAGCTCAGGATAGAATGCATGCAAGTTGCCTCTATTTTGCCGAGTTTGTTGCATGTGAGAAGAGCCCTGAGTCGTAGCTTGGCATGTGGCTCCGGCCTCTGGGGACTTTCTCGATCTCGACTAGAAATCGGTGGCCATGGGTGTACAAAGTAACATCACTCCTTCCATCGGCTCGGGTTTTTTGGCCTGGAGGTGGTGTGTGTGTGGAGAGATGCACCGCGGTCGTTGGCGGATGGTCCTCGGCTTTTGAGTTCATTGTGGCAAGGTCGAACATCCAGACGGTGCGAGTAGGAGAGCTGCACTCATCAGAGAGGCTCTATACTCCGTGAACTCTTCGAAAGGTCTGATAGCTTCTTGTATCGTTTAATGCTCTCTTAACAATGTACCTCGTATGCTATACGGCTACAATGTCCTCATCCATAGGACGCACTTGTCGCCCTTGGGACGCTAAAGGCCAGTGCCGCTCCAGGGATTATCGTGGGCGGACTGATGGGCTGTTCACTAAAGTGACGCAACGCAATGGATGCAGTGGGACTCTTGATCATGCTGGTGCCATTTCTTGGGGCCGTGCTGCGCCGGTGTCAGGACCTGCTTGTCAGACGTAGTACTGTACCTGTATGAGTAGGATTCACCTTGACGGGTCCTGACTCCTTGGAAAGAATCGAATCATCTTGTTTCGACTGTGAGATCGTCCTCAAACAATTCTGCTGCTCGTCTTTGCACCGACCCTGGAATTTGCCTTGCCGAACTAAGATTGGCCGGTGAAGCAACCAAAGACGGAGGCCATGGCTAGACACGCTAGACTTGGATTAGCCGTGGACCCTTGGTCGAACCCATGCGGCCGTGTTCCCGCTGATCAGCAGCGTACTGTTGCGGTGGTTCGTGCCCTGGTAAGGAGTCTGCACCCTTTATCCCTGCGGTCGCCGGTTGTGGGTTCCCTTTTGCAGAATATTGTTTTTCGGACAACAATACACAGGCTCACGGCTTTCCATATTGATCAGATCGTCAAAGGACGCGCCAGACCGCCCGATACGATTGTAAGAAACCAATAGGACTGTGCTCTGCTACCTGCGTCACTCTGGCTCGTAAGAATAGACAGAGGCATGTTTCGGGCCTGAGCATCGGTACGACACACCTGCCAGTCCAACCTGGTCTGAGCGTAGCATCACTTGTATTTGAGGCTACTCAGGTACTTGTTGGTACAGTATTATCATTGTAAATGATTGCCGTGTGGGAGCAGGTCGCCCAGGAGGTAGATTGGCACACTGGTGATCTGACGAGTGTCCGCACGGGACATTTTATTGCGCGTCAAGCGTTCATCACGAGTGAAACAAGCTCCTTTTAGCGAATAACAACAGTGAGCGAGTCGTGAAGGCGGGGTGGTTATAATTGGACCAGGCCGTGAAGAATGTTTCGTGGGGTGGGAGAGTCGATGGTTATGCAGATGGATGGCGGTAATATGCCTGGGTAGGGGGAACCTAGCTCTAGTAGGAGGCACCTACAGTGCGAATGTCTAGGCACGGAGTAGGTTAGGTAAGGATACTAGTTGGCTAGCAGGTATTGTAGGTACCCGTGAAACCCCTAAGATCCCCAGTGTTAGGGAGTGAATACCTGTACAGTTACAGAACTTACCGTACGCGACCCTATAGGGAGGACCTACTACATTCTTCGGCTTAACTAAGGGCGGCACTAGCTAATGCCCGTGAGTTGCAGCTGCCACTCTCTGCACTCTTGTCTCTCCTGATCCTCCCGCCTGCATGCGCCGGTCTTTGATTACCACCACCAGCAAAAACCTCCTTCCACTTTCCCATCCTCCCCTTCACCCTGCTATCTCACCAACAACCAACTCTCAACACCACCACCATCTTTCCTCCCTCTTGCATTTTGCTATTTCCCCTCAATTTGCCATCCCAACCGTTGCCTTCTTCTCGTTCTCTTCTGTTCGACCTCATCATCCCGTTCGTCGGCCTTCCTCTTCGCTTTACAGCCGCCTCCTTTCTTCAAACGCGTTCCGCGGCTGTTCCGTTCGTTCCATGGCCGCTTTTTCACCTCGAGGTCTTTAGAACCTGGGAAGACAGAGCTTCTTCCTCCTCATTCGCTTCTACCATTCGAAATTGAACAGTATCTTTTAATCGACCTTCGTTTCTCCTGCCAGGACTTCAGGATTTTTAATCCAAATCACAAGTTTCCCCTGGCCTAATCTGTTTTTGGCCCCTACCCGCTTTCATGCCGAGTCTACGCCTCACCTAAACATTCCCTGAGACAAAGGTATGCTGCTTTCTCAAAGCCGGTTCTAATATCTTCAAGATCCTAATCTCAATAAAACAGCCTCGCCTCCAAAACGGCACCCGTTCCTGTGCAGAATCGAGTTGTCCCGACCGAGGGTATTGAGACAAGAGCTGGCTTTTGATCCTACACTGCTCTGATAGAGACATTCAAAAGAAAAAACATGGCCGCGTTGGTGCAAACACTACCCGCCCAGACCACGACCGTTACCATGATCGGCCGTCCATCCTCATCGGGAGGTTATCCTTCTCACACCTCGCAAGGCCAAATGAGAAATCATGCACCAAGCCGTTACAACAATGTGCCGACGGCTGGCTACAGAGGAGTGCCAGGAAGTGGTCCGATAGCTCCGTACGCCTTCACCTCGACACCACAGTTGGCAGCCTTCAACAACAACGCACGATCATCTGCCCACAATCAAGGACGTTCATGGCCATCTCCTAGTTCCCCTCCTGAAACTCCTACGACCCTGCCACAGATAGATTTTGGCGGAAGGCCTCTATCCTTGGGGCTACCTGCAATCCCATCGACAGGCTCTTTGATGGGCATGTCGACCAACCTTGCTCCGCCAGTCACGTCAACCGCTCCGAAACCATCTCCGGATCGATATCGACGAACTGGGCGTCGAACAGAAGTAGAGAGCCATGTCAACCGTCCTGCTAGCAACCCAGCTGTGCCTTCCGGATCTGGGATGGCCGCAGTCGGCTCTCTTTACCACCACCCTACCCAGTCGAGCAGCACTCCGTCCTTGGGTAGCCAACAGTCTTATCGCGGTTCACATGGAAATTTGGCTTCGATGGGCCACTCCAGTGCTGATGATCTCACCCTGGCCAAGCCACAGACCACAGAGCTTGCAGCGAGGTATCGGAGACGTAGCTTTGGAAGCATTGAAACTGCTGGTCTCAACCATACGTCCGACGCACAAGATGTCTCGTCTCCACATCCGAACTCTTTCCTTCCCTCACCAACAGCACAACCGACTCCAATGTCCGCCCAACGACCACTACATAAACATACCCAGAGCTCCGATAGTGTTGCGTCGTCAAGGTCGACTCATTCGTCTCGACCCAGCTCGGTAGGCCATTTTCAGAACTCATCCTAGGTCTAATCTAACTCCTTGATAGGCTCGTGCAAACTATAGCAGCCCAAGTAGCCCGGTTTCCAATCCTTCGCCCGGTCCTTCCTCGAAATCCGATCAAAGACTTGGTGTTCGCTCCGCCCGCTCGGGTGATTCAAGCATTCGACAACCTTCGCCTCTGTCACGACCGACAAATCTTCAAGCCGATGACATTGAAGCAAAGACCAAAATGCCGAGCGCAGTGCCTTCACAGTCGCATCCTGTCTCCAGCCCAGCCGTCGAACAGCTCGCTGCTCTGAACCAGAAAAATGGCCTCAAGTCCAAATCGAAACTACGACGGGCTTTCTCATTCGGAAGTGCTGCTGAGTTGAGAAAGGCAACCACACAAGGGAACCATGAAAAGAGCGTTGCAAATAGAACTGCGACAGCGTCGAAGAGGAGCTCAAAATACGAGGATGAGCTTGAACCGGAGCAGGCTAAAATCGCTGAGAAGCAGGAGGCTGCTGGCTTAGGCGAGAGCATTTATTCGGGACAAGGCCAATTTTTTACAGGATCCACTGACAATCTGTCTATTTCTTCGACGGCTTCTTCGGCGTCTGTCATGCTACGTAAAATGGGCAAAGGCGTTAAGAAGGGCACGCGATCTCTTGTTGGTCTCTTCCGTCCAAAGTCGGTCGTCGGTGTTCCAGCGGCGGATGGACCTGTCAATCAGGCAAGCCTGGCACAAGTATCGATGGTTACTGTTGAAGCTGAGAGAGAAAAGGTCAATATCAACATCAATCCGCATGACCAGACTGGCGGGGGCACGGGTTTCCCCAAACTGGAACGAAATTCGATGGATACTAAGCTGTCATTTGACAGTGGCACTGTTTCAAGTGATACTCGATCCCGTCGGAGTATCGTTGGTGGAGAGAGAGAACGCGCAGAGGTTCTTGCTGCTGTGAAGAAGGGCATCCTCAAACGCGTGGATTCAAATCAAGCATCGCCTAAACTGAAGACATATGACTTCAAGGTGCCTGATTTTAATCTACCACAGATACCACATGTTAACGACTCACCAAAATCCAGTGCTCCAAGCACCCCTGCCGATGAAACACCCAGATCTGGCCACCGCCGTACTGATTCTATCACCATCGAAAGCAACGACCATGACGACTATTTCAGCTCTATGACTAGATTTGTCAATCCAGAAACGAAAGAAAACCCTATGACCCCTCAAAGCCTAATACGAAACATTTCCTTTAGCCCTCGTCTCCAGTTTTATGATACCTGGCCCAGTGGCGAATACGACCGTCGCGGGGAGATAGCAACTTGCAATCGATTGACTCCAATGCTTGCTCAGCAGATCAAGGAAGAGCTGAACACGTTCAAGATGGTAAGACCTTATCATCCTGGTCAGGTTGTCTCATGATACTAACGAAGGCAGGAAATGGAAGTCCACGAATCCTCCAAGGTCTACACGCACTTCTTCTAATGGTTCAGATATACACTTGGATATCAAGAATATGTCACGATTAGACGCTGGACTGCTCAGAACAGGCTTTGAGATCTGCAGATCAATGGTCTGGCGATCTCTACGGCCATTGCCACGACATGCACATCACAGCATATTTCGTTGTTAGACATCGGCCTGCAGACTTCCAACGGGGCGGCGATCGACTTTGCTTGACACTCTGTACATTTAAAAAGCACACTCCATGTTGCATCATTTCATTTTATGACGCGGTTGAAAGTAAGGTGTCCGGCGCTGAAACAAACTGACCCAAGGGAGGGTGGCCACATGGGTATTGGGATATTGTTTTTTTTGATATGCTTTACGAGGCGTGAACTCGGCTCCCCCTGCATAATCAAGGTTCTTATTCACAAGGGATGGGATACGGCTGTGGCTGAGGTGAAGCTATCCGTCCTCTCACAGGGTTGTTTTGGGTGGTTGTAAAGGGGATGTTTCTTTGGTGCGGGCCGAAGTGGACGGATCAGCCGATTCCGCTTGGATTTACTCGAGAGTAATGATGGGTATCGCCAGAGTCTCGGCCAAGTTTGAAGGAAAGAAGCCAGGCTCTCCCCTACTCAGGAAATTAATGGATCTTGGAGAATGCTCGAACCCCCCCGCTCCCCTTTCATTCGGCTTTGCTTTTCCTGTGTGTTGTGTTTGCCCTTTGGCAAGATGATTTCGATGCGTAGGCCCCGTTGGTTGCTCTTTGATAATAGTTGGGCTCGTTCTTGCTAGACTTGGCGCCAGATTGACGGGGTTGGTGGTGGCTGTGATGTTCACGGGCAGCATAGCATTAGACGGAGGAGAAAGCCCCGTCGACTGCGTTTGATAGAAACTTCTGGGTCGAATGATACGTACAGTAGTAGTAATGACCCAGTGCCGATGAGCTTCGTTCTAGTTGGATCACCGGAGAGATGATGGCTTGTATAAACTGACTGACTACATGGAATGTCATTACAGTATAGACGGTACCAAGGTAAAACGTAAGGCGCATCTCTGAGATACCCCCTTCGCTCGATGACTTTCTTATAAGAGACATGCCGCGAACATACAACTCTTCTTTCCGCTGCGTCTGCCTCCACAAGCCATCGTCGATCATCCTCTGAACTACTTGCGTCGTCATCGTCGTCGTTGTCTAACTAGTAGGTAGGTCTATGAAAGCCTCGCGATCCGCTCCAAGCGTACGTATTTACAATGGAGGCTTCAAGTATAACTAGGCTTGGTCCCCAAGGGAACAGGCGGCGGGGGGGATGACGTGACGCCGGCCCCAGGACCACCACTCATCGAGTTCAAACTTCCGTGCATATTGGCCGGCTTCTTCGGTGGCGGCGGCGGAGGGGGCTTTCTTGATATCGAGGCGGCCAGCTCGGGGCTCGTTGCTGGAGCAGGAACTGCAGCTGGAGCAGGGGACGGTGCGTTTACGGGCGGCGGAGTCTCGCTGCTGGGGGAGCTGTGTTTCTCGAGAAACGAGTTCAAGCGGCCAGCAACGTTGTATTTCTTGTTCCATTCGTTGGCCTTGGCACCGGCGGCGGAAATGGTATCTTGATGTCGCTCCCGAAAGGAATTGGCCGTGCGGGCAGCGGCGGCGGCGTCCTGGGCCGTCACAGTCGAAGGGTTAGAGTGGAGGTTCTGTGCCGTGCGGAAAGCAGCTTGCTGTTCGGCCCATGTGGTTCCTGCGGGCTGAGATGGCGGAGGTGACTGGCTGGGTGCAGTATATGAAGCAGCAGGAGTTGCAGAGACAGTGGGGGAATGGGCACTGCTGGAGCTATTCATGCGTGCGAAGCGCGACTGGAGTTCGGAGAGTTGATTCATCGATGATTGTGGCTGCGTGGGTGGTTTAGGAGACGGGCTTTTGACGGGCGCGGCCTGACTTTGCTCGTTCTGCCAGGGGTTTGAAGAGGCATTCGAACCGATTCCAAGGCTCGGTACAGATACACCGGCGTTGCCGAGTCTGCTCATTGCTGCTTGGTTGATCCCGTAATTGCTGCTTGGTTGGGACGCCGAATAGTCAGTGGTAGCCGCTTCGTATGCAGGCGGAGGTGCTTGAGGGGCCGGAGAGGCTGCCATGGTAGGGGGCAAAGTCGGGGTTGAGCTGGTGTTTTGTCGAGATGGGAGACGCGGTGGTAGCCCCGGCGCCGGCTTCGGTGGTTGAGCTCTTTGGGGTGGCTCGACCTCGTCAGCGTTTCGATTCACATCTCGATGCACGGGAGGTGGCGGGAGATGGTCGGTCCTCAAACCCGTACGATCAGCCCTGTAGGGTAATGGAGGGCCAGCTCGTCGTTTCTCTTCTTCGATTTCTTCCTCAGTCGGGCCATTCGCCGTGCGATTGGCGCTCGCAATCTGTTCTTGAGTGAGAGGTGCGCCCCAGCCGCTCCGTTGAGGTGTTATCTCGTTAGGTAAAGCGGCGCCGCCGTGGTAATTGACGTTCTTCGGGGGAGGTCCAAAAGCTGCGGGGTCTTTGAGGGATGATAATGGACGAGAGATATGCTCCGGCTCGTTCTTCTTGTTGCGGTCTTGACCCTTTCCCATCCACCCCGCCTGTATTGTGTTTGTTTCAGACCTGGCATTCTGCGATGACATGGTGTACGCTTCTACTGACCATTTGATTTATGCCTTTGAAATCGCCCCGCCATGATTCTTTCCCTCCATCCTTCCCTTTAGGATGCCACCCATCCTTCATTACCCCGCGGAAACTCATCTCGTTGACCTACGAGGTGGGGTGGACGTCTGGTCCTGTGCTGCCGAATGATAGCGGACCAGGTGGGCTTATGATATAGAGGCGACTGGGATGGTATCAGCGATGTGAGCAGGCGAGACTCATTGGCGTGATAAGGACCAAGTTGATGATCACTCCCAAGCGGCCAGTTCCTTGTAAAGGTGCAGTTGACTGCCCTCGCTCTCGCTGACGTCGCAAGCCCGTCGGACGCCAAGAGCGATACCGAGGCTTTGCCAGAAAAGATCTAGCGGCAATTGTCACCGACACAAGGCTGCAGCCTCGTCCACATGCATACGTACAAGGTACAGTATCTCACCTCCAAGGCACAATACGGAGTACTTTGCCTGTTGAACAGACAAGAGATTTTCAGCCAGCCTACTATCCCGTGAGCCATGCTCGAGCAGGTAGCACCGTCAACCCTTGCTGTCAATGCTCTGTTCTGGTTTATGGCACCTTCTTGCCTCGACTATCGCCGAAAGAGATAGCAAGTCTATTATGTACGGAGTCGTCGTCGCAGGGATTCCCGCGTCAAACTAGATGCCTACATCACTTAATGCGAGTCACAAATATAGTGTAGGACATTCTGGTGGTCAGAAAGGGCTCAGGAGTACCCCGTATCTCAATACTTATTCAGAACCACATCACGATCTGCTTCCTACACTAGTCAATGGCCAAGTCACGTCGACACAAATCATTGGTTCATTAGTACTGCTCTAGGCTGGAATCGTGAGATGCATATAATCCGCCATGTTGGGAGCTGAGAGACTTCTCCGTATTGTTTTAGATGATCTCCTCAGACCGATCTGCTTCGACGCTGATAGCACTGCTGGCATCCCCGAAGCCAAATGAAGTCCTGCACTGGGTCGTGTGTCGAGTCCATCGGCCTGTCATGCGCTTCAGACATTGCACTGGGCAGAAGATCGGCTTGCTGCAGAACTTGCCTTACTGGAATAATTTTGGTCTGAGCGCCAAAACAACTCTCTCGGGGTGAACTGCCAGGCTGGGGCGATAATCTCTCAAGATACGAACTGGAAGCGGAACGAGGTAAGGAGTTTTCTTTCATTATCACTCATCGGTACGAACCTTCATGCCGAAACTGGATGGGTTGAGGTGTAACTTCCAAGTGAGAATTGCCAACCTGCCTTTTTGCTGGGTTTAAACCTGCTGTCATGCATAAGAGGGCCGAATGGTTTGGGGATCCAGTCATCATGTGCTCAGAGAGATCAAAGGTGCACCGCTTTGATGCAGACGAGGCTGAGTAGAATTGCATGATGGCCGACTCTAGGCAAAAACGAAATCGCATGCAAGCTCAACAGGCTGCGCCGCAGGCTGTAGAACTGACCTTTGCAGAGTCCACCTTTTTGGACGTTATGCTGTCAAAGGCACATGGCGATGATCCTGACATCCGCTTTGCGATGAAAAGGCAAACACGGAAAGGATCGACGGGTTTTCGCAGGAGCTTCGGACAACGTACTTCGTAAAAGTAGCCTAGGTCGCGGAGTGCCAGGCCCGGTTATATAGGGTCGACCGTCACGGGCTTATTGTGTTGCTGATGTACAATATTCCGCGGAGGGGAGAAGTGCCTAGTGCTCGTAGTTCTTCATACTGTAGAAACCTGCAGGGACATTCACTAATACTTCCAACACCAAATGACACATCCCGTGCGTCATGGAGTTCAGATGGCGTTCTCCGTAGTGGATGGAGACAAGCAGAGGTGACGAATGACGGAGCATGTTCAAACAGCAGGCGTCCAGGAACTGTCTTCAACTGAGAAGCTGGTTCGTGTCTGCAGACTGTAGTGCAGTAGAATGTGGCAGATGGTGGTGTCTGTGAGGCGCTTTCGACTTGTAAGTTGTCTCAGCCGGGCAAGAACCGGCACGGCGAGTCGGTGCCTATATCCTCCGCGATGCGGGAAGAAGGCCAATCATACCGCTTACACGTGGACAGGCCGCAAGCCATCGGACTTGCCACGGAGGCCATTTTTAGACCTGGCGCCGCTTGGCGTCTTGTCCGTGCAGATGATATACGGACACTTGTACCAAAAGGCTAAAGCACCATCCTGTTCGCAGTCTACGGAGTCCATGGCGTCGTCAGTGCGTCACAACAGTATGTGGCATTATTGGAATCACATCTCGGAGCGGTAGAGGTACGGGGCAACAGCGATGTTTTGGGGCGTCTCACAACACTGCTCCTGTCTCAACCTGTGTACGAGTACATACAGAAGGTTCACTAGGTGAGTATGTGAGGCTCACCAGTCGGCAGCAGCAAGTTTCTCGTGCTCGGGATGGGCCGAATTTGAACGTGCTTGGGCGATGCGATACGATACGTCCTGAAGCCAGCTACTACATATCAGTCGCGTTCGGACGTCCGTTGGAGTTGGTTGGAGGTGTTCGTCACGGCGATACTAGGTACGCAAGGGCCCGGCTGGGGGAGGCTTTAGTATTGCGCTAAGGGCATCTAGGTGGCTGCTCGCTGGGGCTAAGCCTGGAATCCGTCCAATGGATATGCGTATCTCACGTTGGCTGCTGTCACTTAGTGAGCCTCTAGACCAAAACAGGACGCTCTACCTGCTCTAGGTGCTCGTCCAGCATTACAGGTATCATTCTGTCTCGAATCAGTCACCGTCGACTGCCGAGACCTTCGGGCCTGGGCTTCATGCGCGCGCTCCCCCCTCCCCCAATCCTCACATTCCCACCTCCTCGTCACAACCATCCTAGCGACTCAGCGCCGGTTCCTGCTGCTACCGTCCAAGTAGAAAGCTCGCCTCAGGCTTCGTTGGTTAAAGAACCGACATTTGCCCAATCCTCTTCGGATTCAGAATTCTTCATTTCCCAGCCAGCCTGTTTCATTCTCCTGCTGCGCCTCGGTTTATCTCATCCTTCTCGTATCTCGACCCTCACCGCTGACCGGCCTTTGTCAATCTCTGGTTTAATTTTGGCCCGTCAACGGACTTTGGCTGGCCTGATCTGACCCTCAGCGTCGATTCCTGCGACTCATCCTGGGCCCTGACGCGCATCCCGGGCGCTGCCCTGCCACCCTGTGCCCGAATCCTCCTTTCCTTTACATGTCGGTCGCTCACCCTCTCGCGGGGTCGGATTCAATCTGGATCTCAACAATCTCTTCGACCACTTCCTCTCGAGGCCTCGTATAGCCCGAAGAAGTCCAGGTCCTCAATCACCTTCATTTTCACCTCATTCACCCCCTTCAGGTTTCTCGCTCCCTACCACAATGGAGGGGGCTAAGGCCACCTTTGTCGGTGTCACTCAGACTGGAACAGACAAGCCTGAATCGGACGGAATTCTCAGTTTAGGGTCTTCACTTGGAGCAGACTCTGGAAAAGGGCCTGCCGCTGCAACACCTACACCTGACGGTCAACGTTCTGCATCATCCAACGCAGGGAGCGCAAGTGCAGCTGGCTCAGCAGCGTCCGCCTCGGCGGCCAACACAGCGCCCACTACGCTCTTGACATCTGCGTCGACAGGTTCTCCTGGTGGGAGCGCAACAGCTTCTGACATTATATCTGGCACCGCAACAAATGCCGCGAGCAACACCTCGGGCGCAGTCACAGTATCGGAGAAGTCTTGCGATAGCATTTCGTGTTCGTCAGGGCTCAAAGCCGCGATCGTGGTACCGGTAGTTCTTGCTGCTGTTGCCGGGATCTTTTTATTCTTCTTTTTTGCGCGAAGGAGGAGGCGGAGGGCTGCTGGTGGTGTGGTCGAGTCGGAGAAGACGCCAAAGAAGAAGGGAAAGAAATGGTCGCGACACTTGAGAGTCTTCTCGTTCGATGCCGAGTTGCTCATGGGTGGCCGGTATTCCAGTACCAATAGCATTCGGAGTCGAGACCCCAGCGTTCGAAGTGCAGGCAACAGCTCTCGCCAGGGTACCGCCAGTATCGAACCTAGCCTGCACAGCATCGAGGAGGTCGCTCCGCCCTACCGGGACGCCATCTCGCATGCGCAGCCCGGCAGTCCCCTACAGAACCGGCCCATATCAGCAGCTGGCGGCGTAGCAGGCGACCCAATCCTCAGAGCGGCATCCACCGCCACAGCACCTCCTCCTTACCGATCTGTTGTACCCGACAGTAACCCACGGTCGACGTCACCTGTGTCGGGCGGTAATCCGTTTTCAGATTCTGCCCCCGTCAGCCCAATCGAGGGCTCACCGTTTAATGATCCGCCCGACGAACAGAGACCGGCATTGAGTCGTGGCTCGTCATTATACCAAAGCGTCAACACCGACGACGGAGCACCTTCGGATGCCGGTAGTATACAGGAAGCTCAAGTCGGTCGGCGTGTGTCTGTGCGAGGTTCAGGTACCGCACCAAGCAACGGCAGCTAGCAGCGCTTGTAACACATTATTCTAATTTTCCTTTTGTCGTTCGCAACATGGCATGGAGTTTATGGGGTCTGAACACGTACCCTGGAAGAAATTTGTTGGAGGTCTCACCATTCTTCGGCTCGCAGATGGACCGTTGAAGGTGGGTCAGAGATGTGGTATGGGAAACGATATGCGTGACATGTCCCTTGGATGCAATGCAATGCACTGAAGTATATGAATCTTGAAATGTCATTCGAGTCGGGATTGGGATGGGGAAAAAAAGAAGGAAATCGTTCATCCTCGCCGTTTTCAGGAGGGTCGAGGGCGCGCGGCCTCGGGGATCCAACGCGTGGCACGTTGGTGGTGATATCACCTGCCAACGAAATAACAGGGCGGTTCTTGAAGGCAGGATGCCGGTCAAGCATATATATACACAGTATAATACCAACAATCACGATGACATCTACCAAAGTTTGTGGAAGAGATTCGGGACGAATATGTATCTGTGCTCATACGGAGTGTATGTCTTCTTTGAACGTCTTACTAGTAGTCCAGCTCTCGTACACCGAGGTAGGTCAGGCAGGCGGGTAGGCAAGCAGGCATTCGTGTCCGTATTTCGGGCCTCTCTGTTCGTTCAACATGATAAAGGACTGGCCGTAGCAGGTGTCGGCTTACGGGCTGCAATGAATGAATGCAACGTGGTACAGAAATGCAGGAACGAGGTGGCCTATCGTCGAGAACAAGCGTGCAACACAGACTCTAATAACAGAGGTTGGAATGTCGCGGTACTTGTCTTTCTTCCTTCCCCCCAGGGAGGACAAGACAAGGCTGCCACAGGGCTTGGGTAGGGTCTACAGGAGGACAGAGTACAGGATACAGAATACAGAATAGAAAGTAGAGCACAGAGCATAATACGGAGGAGGTGCCAATGGTCAGGTAGGCGGATTTTTGGCATTGGCATTGTCATCGTCACTGGCTTCGGCGTTGACATTTTGTCTCGACTCTGCTGCCGTGTCTACCTGTACATGTCTGGCCCTTCGAGAGCGAGCTACAGCCGCATAGTCGGCCGAGCACACATCTGGGTCTTTTGCGTACTCAGTAAAGGGTGAAATAGTTTTCTTCAATTGCTTCCCTCGAGCAGCCAAAAAGAGAAGAAGAACGTCGGTATGCATATCGTACTCCATTATCATTTCTGAGGAGGAAATAAAGGGAGAATGTCTGAACGCCGGTACATCAAGTGGTTATGCCGTGACAAATGTGACATTTCACACTTACTTCTGGTTGCTTGCTCGACTTGGTCGACTTGCATCTGGTGGGTTGTGTGACATGACTTCTCGATGGGTATGTCGTTTTACACAATCACCGACCTGCATCCTCGGAAAGGTACGCAAGAGTGGGATGTGTGACATTGTGCTCTCGTTCTCGCTCGGAGTTTGCATTGCGCTCAGGAGTTGAAGCGCGAGAAGATCAGTGGTCCGGTCCATGTTGGTGGGGGTGATAGAACCCAGCCTCATCTCGGACCGGTTGAAGACGACGCTTGTTTTCCTCATAGGCGAGGGACCCATGGCAAGAGTGTGATTTTTGAGTACTACTCCAGGTAGGAAGCTCGTTCATGCTGGCTGATGATGGAATCAGGACATTGCAAGCAGACAATAAGTCCGAATTCTTCCCTTACCCCGTATATAGACCGGACTTTGCATCACCAAAAACCAGGTCGGAGGCGCAGCTGAGTGTTTTCATCAATGCCACATCCGTATTCATAATCCCTTCGGGGGCCGTTAGCGAGTCGGAAATTGTGAGAGCCCCATGTCCATCGAGGTGACCTCAACTAGCCCGACTAAAGTGGATTGAAGTCTAAAATTGTAAATCACCTCGTCGTCTCTAAAAGTTTGAGAGCTGAGTATGCTGCAGATGGATAGACGATAGGTGTCGACCGAGACGTCGTTCTCTTTCGGTCGGTCATGGGCGGACTATATCGCTAAGTGGATGCTTTGCGTTCGCTCTTCGGTATATCAGCAGAGATGTCACAATCGAATCAATCCCTAGGCCAATGCGAGTACAGCTCTGAAGTCCTTGGATTGCCGCCGGCGTGGAACAGCTTCGAGCTGCAAGTTTGTGTGATCGTAGCTGGATAGCAGTTGAGTGCTATTCCTCTACAAGAGGACTTAGTGGATAATTGACTTGAATCCGTTGTATGCTTGTTCCATGTCGAAGGCTAGATCTCGGGCTTGTTCTTCGCTCAACTCTTCCGACGTCTTCATTTGATTGAGCGTGATTAGCCATTGGATAATCTTTCCCCGATGCTCGAAATCTTGATCTGTCACCTTATTCACTGACTGAATTACATCCGACAGCAATGGGTGTAGAGCACTTTTTGAAACCATGCTCAACCGTAGCGCGTCGAGGAAGGTAATGAAGTTCTCGGTTGCAGCCAGAATGAGACTGCCTGAGGCGGTCGTGGTGGGTGCGGCCACATAAGGAGTGGCCTTTTGGACCGTCAAAACCTCATCAGCGGTGAGGCCTACCCTTAGTCTTTCTTTTGCTCTTGGACATTCGATGTCCCACTTGCGTGTAAAAGTGTCGAGGTCCACAAATTCTCGAGAGACGCTTTCGTCGTTCAGGATGGATCGATATTGTTTGAGAAGTTTGGAGCACATGTCTGAATATTCGTTTTCGGGGAGGGCATCCTTAATGTACGCTTTTTCAAGACCATCGATCGTCCGGATGATGCTATAGATCTCAGCAAGGGAATCGACCAGGTCTCGCTCAGCCGCCGAATCAGCGAGTTTCACCTCTTCATCGAGGTTGATACGTGCTGACAGGGTGTTCGTCGGTGTATAGCTGTAAGGCGTGGGCGCGTAAGGCAGTGGCCGTGAGGAGGGAGCGGTGTACATGGCGCCTACGCTGCACAATCCCAGCTTGATATGAGAGCAAAGACGACAGGTTCCCGTATAAAAATACTCAGGCGCAAGGCTTCCACAGACTGCCTAGACTCGTTCCACTTGGATGGGGAGAAGCCAGCGAGTTTCAGTCGACAATGCGGAGTGCTCGGATAAACGTCGGAGCGACTATATTTTTTTCCTGCGACAAATTCAGGACCGATGGATGCGCACGATTCAGTCTCCTCAGTCTCCTCAGTCTCCCCTACCGAGCACTTCCCAGAAACATCCCGACATTCCGCAAGATGGGGAAGCAGTCCAAAGCCACCAAAAAGTTTGAAAAGAGGAATCTCAAAGGCACCATCGAGCGGAGAAAAGAGTTTGCCAAAATTAAACAGAGGCACCAGCAGAAGGAGAAAAAGAAGCAGAGGGCAGCCCAAAGAGCGCAGAATGCGGAGGACGAAGAGAGTGCAGACGATACAAACGAAGCCCAGGATGGACCCGACATGAATGAAGATGGGTTCTTCCAAGAGGTGCTAGATATCCCCGAGGAGAAGAAGAATTCCCAATCAAAAGCTGCCAAGGGCAAACGCAAGAGAGATGACGGCGGCGAGACTACCGAAGCACTATCCTCAGCAGATGAAGACTCGGATGAAGACGCACTTGGACACAAGGATCAACTGGCGTCTTTGGCAGAGAAGGACCCGGAGTTCTATAAATACCTTCAAGAGAATGACGCCGAGTTACTTGATTTTGATGATGACGACGACCTGGCAGCAGTCGACGACCTCAGTGAGGAAGAACCGCCGACAAAGAAGCAAAAGAAAAGCGGTGTTGGCGCCGATGATGAGGAGGCTCCTCCAGACGACGTGACCCTGGACATGGTCAAGAGATGGAAATCATCCCTCGTCGAGCAGCAATCTATCAGGGCACTGCGCCAAGTCGTATTGGCCTTTCGCGCTGCCGCTCATGCTGATGATGAGGAGGACAAGACGTACAAATACAACATCGCGAGCCCAGAGGTCTACCACGAGGTGTTGATGACAGCGCTCAAACAAGTGCCGGTGGTACTCTCACACCATCTCCCTGTAAAGGAGTCTTCCGGGGGCAAAGTACGTGTACCGACGGATTCACCCAAATTCAAAACTCTGTTACCCCTGATCAAGTCTCATACGTCGTCACTACACTATCTCCTCGGACGATTATCCGACTCCAAGACTCTCAGACTGACCCTGCAATCTTTCGAGCCAATGTTGCCGTATCTGCTCCAGATACGCAAGTCTCTCAAGGTGATCATCAAGGCAGTCGCTTCAATCTGGTCGGATAACTCTTCGGATGAGGCCACTCGCATTACCGCTTTCTTGATCATCCGTCGTTTAATGGTCATTGGTGATGCCGGTATACGGGAAACTGTTCTGAAGTCGACGTACGAAGGGGTTGTCAAAGGCAGCCGAAACACCACTATCCACACTCTTGCAGGTATTAACCTGATGAAAAATTCCGCTGCAGAGATATGGGGTATCGATCAAAAGGTTAGCTACACTGCTGGCTTTACATTTATTCGACAATTGGCAATTCACCTACGCGGAAATATCACCAAGCCCACAAAGGACTCTTACAAGACTATCTATAACTGGCAATTTGTTCACTCATTGGACTTCTGGTCTCGTGTTCTATCAACACACTGCAACTCTTTGCTTGAGGCTCAAAATGGCAAACCATCACAACTACGACCGTTGATCTATCCCCTAGTACAGGTAACTCTAGGCGTGATGAGATTGATCCCGACTTCGACATACTTCCCTCTTCGATTTCAGTTGATGCGTTCGTTGCTTCGCATTTCCCAGGCTACGGAGACGTACATTCCCCTGTCGGCTGCTCTTCTGGAAGTGCTGAACTCGGCTGAGATGAAAAAGCCCGCCAAACCTGCGACATTCAAGCCTTTAGACTTTGCTTCGAACATCAGAGCCCCATCGTCTTATTTGAAGACGAGGGTGTACCAGGATGGCGTTGGCGAGCAAGTAGTGGAATTATTTTCTGAGTTCTTCGTGCTATGGGCGAAGAGCATTGCCTACCCTGAGCTTCAGCTTCCGGTCGTCGTCATGCTGAAGCGTTGGTTGAAGACAGCTTCAACCCCGAGTGGGAACAAGAATGGCAAGCTTAACCAAGCACTGCTCCTTCTAGTACAAAAGTCAGAGGCCAACTCGCGGTGGATTGAGGAGCGACGAAACAAAGTCAGCTTCTCGCCCAAAGATCGGACGGAAGTCGAAGGATTCCTCAAAGACGTCCAATGGTCAGATACCCCTCTTGGAGCCTTTGTTGTGTCACAAAGAAAGCTAAGGGACGAACGAAAGAAGGTTCTGGATCAGGGAAGGAAAGAACACGAGAAACGACGCGCGGCTCAGGAAGAAGACGAGGAAGAAATTGACACTGTGTGACGATGAAGATGGCATAGTACGCATGAACATGTTAGGTCAGGGTGAGACGTAAAACGGACGAAGACAATTGTCACCCAGGATTCTTTGCCAGGTATCGCGACTTCGTTCTTCGTACTGAGTAGATCAGCGGACTATGGCTACTTGTCAATTGTCAGGTTATGCCAACAGTGTCTTCGCTCGCTTTGGATTCCTAGAAGAACTTTGAGATATAGGCGATTCCCTAAACTCTCAGAAATAAGAAATATCTGAGAAAGTCCATCAACCCACGGCATAAAATGCTCAGATAGGGGCAAATACACCTTCGATGGTTGGGATGGAGGAGAATTGAGAGAAACGGCACCCTCCGTGTGCAGTGCATTTACGAAAACGACGCTATGATCCACGACGGACACAGCCTCCAAGACAGGGAGATAGGTGGACATCTGGCGCGAAGGAAGGTCTCATGGCGGTGGTGAGACTTGACGTTGGCGGTGAGACTGGACATACTCTGCACTGTAGACAGATACATGATGTTCCGCTTCCGCGAGGTCGTCACGCAAAAAACCTTCACAGCCTTTTAGGTAGCAATCTGGAGAGCGATCCAAGACTCGGTGGCCTTGAAAACCATATGGGCCTGAATATTCAATTCACCGCAAGATGATCCAGTTTCCCTAGGATTCTCAGCTGTCAGAGCGCGGTGCGGCAATTTCAACTCTCATGCCACCACTACATCTGATCACCTTCTGTCCCTGCCATCGATGATTCCTTCAACATTAGGCTGGGAATCACCATGAAACACGTCGACTAGCTGACTTCCAGACAACGCACGAGGCTTAGCTGATCAATTCCCATCCCCATGGTCAAAGATCTTTGGACTCGCCGGTAAAGCCTCCCGCGTTCCTCGACATACCCCTGGCTTTTCCCGTTTGCGTATAGTGCTCTGCACCGTCTCAGCAGCCATCAGGTGATGTTTCTCTTTTCGCTGCCTTCGTACGAAAGGTGCTGATGATTTGCAGAGGGACATTGTGTTATCAAGGATACGCTGCCTCCAGCCTCCAGCCTCCAGCGCCTACAAAGATGGAAGTCTCGGATCCATGGTGGGGGCATTTGACGTCGAGACGTCGAGACCCCTGCCTTTCGCCTCGTCCTCGTCCTCGTCCTCGTAACGTCACGGCGACGCAGTATCCATACAGAGGTCATAGCAAAGACACTTTCCGAGCCGAGGACGTGTCGATCATTACATCCGTGCCATGTGAGGTCAGTGCCTGACCAGGCCACTAGGCTAGTCCTTCGCCTGGTGATGTAGCGTCACTTCACCCATCTCCTGCAGCCTGCTTCGCTCGGGAAAGCAATATCAGATCAAGTGATTAAACGAGAATCGCACTGCCACAGACACTCCTTGCCCTGCTTTAGCGGTACTTCTTCCATCCTTGACGAGCTCGATCCAACTCAAATACTACTTCCTCCCTCAAGACTGCCATTAACAATTTTGTTCCCTCCACTGTACTGACACAGCACCATTATCCTATCGACAAAATGGGCGACCCATCAGGTGAAATCCCAATGCCATTGGGACATCGGAGACACAGCATTCAAGTACAACATGATTTTGTCGGCCAAGTTCCTGAATATCATCGGAAACGATCTTTCAGCTTCGCGCAGCCCAAACTGCATGACCAACCGGATGGCGTCGATATTGGAACAAGCTTAAGTGTATGTGAGTCTCTTGCAGCGTTATTGGCATCATTGCGGAAGAAACAGCGTACCATGTTAAAGCCTGTCCCAATCAAGCTGTTGCAACTAACCTCCACGGTGATCAGGAATTTTGGGCTGGCATTGCCGTCCAAGAAGAGAACAGCACGACACTCAAAGTTGGCATAGCCATTCATGATGGTACATACAGTGTCGACTTTGCCATCCATCGCATCTCGCTGGAAGACAAACCAGAGAATGAGGACGGAGCAGACTGGGCCGTTGATCACATCATTACAGAACTAAAACAGTACAGGAAAGACCATCTCTGCAAGCTACTCGGTGCTGGTATCACTCCTGAACTTCATCACAAGGCGCCCAATCTATGTTCCAGGCTGTGGGCAGAGCTGGATATCGTTCCCATTGTTCTGCCATCTGCTGAGCTCCTGCCTGGGAAACGCGTACGGAATCAAGGGCGAATCAACGTTGACGAGTTGGCAGACTCTAACGCGAGAAAATGCTTATCGTACGTATAGCTGCTTCGTCTTCCGACCTCATCTCTGACCTTTTTGTATAGGTACTTTGGACCCACGAAACAGCCCCGTCTGTCCATCAACTACCAGAATCAAGTGGAAGTGGATCTGGGTGGCATGATCCAGCTAGCCACGCTCAATGATTACGAGAAGTCGGTTCGGCCACCAACCTGGAGAGCCGTACAAAAGCACATCAAAGCAGTCAAAGACAAAAACCTCCGGATTGCCTTCTTCAGTGCTACTCCGCAAGGGGGGGGAGTCGCCCTGATGCGTCATGCTTTGGTCAGATTCCTTACTCAGCAAGGTGTGAATGTTGAATGGTCAGCACAACCTGGTTCCTTGAACCTGAGCCAATGTCAACCTCATACTAATCCTGACCAGGTTCGTGCCTAAACCGAGACCGGACGTCTTCCGCATCACGAAGACCAACCATAACATCTTGCAGGGGGCCGTTCCCCCAGATGTCCGCACCTCCGATGAGTCAATGGGTAAGATCAAAGAATGGATCAAAGACAACGCCGAACGTTTCTGGCTTTCAGACGAGGGAGGGCCTCTGAAAGCCCCTGCTCAAGGCGGCGCCGATGTCATCATCATCGACGATCCCCAGATGCCAGAATTGATCCCCATAGCCAAAAGAGAGGCTCCTGATCGTCCGATCATCTTTCGATGTCATATTGAAGTTCGAGATGACCTGGTCTTGGAGGATGGAAGTGCTGCCCAAATGGTCTGGCAGACCATGTGGTCGAGTATCAAGCAAGCCGATGTCTTTCTGAGTCATCCAGTGCGATCATTTGTGCCTCCTGACGTGAGGTTGGAAACATTGGGTTGGCTCCCGGCTACCACAGACTGGTGAGAAATACTCCATCGAAGGCAAAGCACCTGCTAACCAGTCTCCCGTTAGGCTTGATGGCTTGAACAAAGACATGGACAGCTGGGATGAATCATACTATATGCATATTCTCCGACAGACTTGTCAAGCCCAGGGACTTCCTCAATTGCAGTATCCAAACCGTGGCTACTTCACCCAAATTGCTCGATTCGACCCGTCAAAGGGCATCCCCGATGTCATCCAGAGCTATGCCAGGTTTCGCGAATTGATGGCCGACGAACCAAAGAGAAATGTCCACCAATTGGTACTCTGTGGTCATGGTTCCGTCGACGATCCCGACGGAAGTTTGATTTATGATCAGACAATGGACGATATCCATAAAAATCATCCTGACCTGGCGGATGATATTATCGTCCTTCGCCTCGGGCCCAGCGACCAGATACTAAATGCGGTCATGTCACTATGTACCGTGGCTCTGCAGCTTTCGACAAGAGAGGGCTTTGAGGTCAAGGTTTCGGAAGCTCTTCATAAGGTGAGGAACAATTTGACCTGATGGCTAGATTATTAACACGCTGACAACACTTCCAGGGCAAACCTATAATCGCAACGCTTGCAGGGGGCATTCCTCTCCAGGTCGAACATGGCAAGAGTGGTTTCCTGGTGGAAAGAGGCGATCACGAGGCTGTAGCCAAACACCTGTACGACCTCGTCATGGATGGCGACCTCTACGACACCATGAGCGAGTATGCCAGGACCCATGTCAGCGATGAAGTGCATACGGTCGGGAATGCCCTGAGCTGGATGTATCTTGCGTCGTCCTTGTCTGGCGGCAACACACTGAAACCGAACCAAAGGTGGATCAACGATCTGGCTCGTGAAGCAGCCAATGAGCCATATCAAGACGAGGAACCACGTTTGCCTCGACATCTTTCGACATAGAGGGTTCTTGGACACACGGTGTTTCACAAGGCCCGACAAGACTCGCTGCATTACGGTTTGCCATCACTTTTCTGATTATGCGGTTGTTTCAAACGACGGTTTTTCATATCCATATTCGTGGTATATTCATATCGGTGGTGTATTTAATCAAGAAGATACAATGCTCAAAGAGAATCAGTAAGTTGAGAATGGACGACGTTGGGTTCACATAGTTTCCTAGCATACATCGGGAAAGGGAAGAGAAGAGATCCCTGTGTGCGCCGAGATATCGACCTTATCCCGACGTGGGACTTTTTCTCTACATGCACAATGTCCGTAAAATACTTCGAGTTCAGTCCTGATTGCTGATCAGCCATGTCCTGTTCCATAAACCACTGCGCCAGGTCTTCTACCAGTAAGACTCCGGGTAAGCAGCCTTTGGAAAGTACTGGTGCCGGCCATCGCCCTTCGCCGTCAAGACCTCAACCAATGATTATTATCCTTGCGCCAACGTGATCGATGGCCCTGCCGTTTGCCTCGTTGATCAGATCTTACGTATGCTGAAACACTAGCCACATGCGGTACCTTTACAATGCAGAATTGCATGATCCCGCGAGATCTCGGTGGCGCGCTCCTCGTCGGCATCTGCGGATGGTCTAACGTTCCCTTTGTTAACGTGCGTTCTACGGGTCATTGGGGATAAGTACCAAGTCCCTCGTTGTACGGTCTTCGTGTTTGGCGTGGCTTCCCTTCAGGCTTCAGGCCCTCATTCTTAATCGGAGCAATCTAACACATAGACTTAAAATGTACCGCAAACGTAATGGCTCTTTGGGTTTTTCGTTCACACGATTTGCTCACGCGGCGGTTCCGAATTTCTTCGCCGATGAGTCTCCGGTGCGGACGGCCAACCTGATCTCATACCGCCGCGACATGTGCTATATGCACCAAATCGCGAGCCCCGATCCGTATGCTCTGGATGAGCGGAGCTTCTACGTCGCGGGCGTGGTTGACAGCGAAAGTGTGAGCAGAAAAGTACATAGAGCCTTGAAAAAGTGTTCGATCCTGGGTGACGACGGGATCGTGGATACCCATAAGATTGGGCCCAGGTTTCCACATCAATTGGCCCTGCTGAACATTCCGAGACAGAAAGACTTGGTAGGAATGCTTTTCTGGTGGGAGGAGGAGTGTCAGAGACTAAGAAAGTTGAACGCCGAAGAGGAGGAGCTGGACGAGTTGATTGCTCATGCCGAGGTCAGAGTCACCGTCGCTACGGAGGGGGCTGCCCGGGGTGAACTCAGAGAAGATGACCATGGGGCTAAACTTGCGCTCGACGAGTTGAAATTCGCCAGAGAGAGGGTCCGGATGAAAAAGAGACAGAGACCGAGTCAGAGAAGGGTCGACGTTGAAGAGGATAAAGACGATATTGTCATGGCCTTTCACGGCCGAAGCAAGAGCGTGCCCAATATGCCTGGTCAGCTACGAGTATCAGGAACGACATCCGCCGGCAACGATGACAACAGGAACGGAGTTGAAGAGGCTCACGCGGAGGATCATGGCCCGCCCCCAGGGTATCTGCCACGCACATGATTTGAGGGAGACATCAATGGCTTCCTTTCTGCCGATGACGACGCTTCCTTGGTCGTTCAAAAGGCACATTGAGAGCGCCTCCTCCAGTCGCAGATCGTCATCCAGAGCAAGGCAAAAGCGCCACCATACAGCAATGCGGACATCGATCGCGAACCAATTTTCTGAAAAGAGCAAAAAGGACAAAGTAATGGAAGCAGTTGGTCCGTCGGCACGGTCAAAACATACGATATCGCCAACGTCCGAGCTCATCGTGTCCAGAAACTAGCCTCCGTACATCTACACCCCCATCCCGTTTGTCAATATCCCTCGTCGTCGTCAACATCCTCGCCTCTGAACCTGGGACTCAACGGACCCTCCCTAGTCCATATGTTCAAGCCAACCTTCTCCCCAGATGTCACCACAACCCCAGAGTGGATGTTTCTCGGGTCACCCTTTCCACCAACCAGGTTCACCCAAAAAACAGCGTTGCCTGGGACCGGGAGAAATGTCACGCCGTCCTCGAGCGGCACGTCGCAGTCTATGTACTCACACCAGCGCTCGTCCGCGGGCGGATCGAGAAGCGGGAAGTTCGTGCCGCCGCCCGAAATGTCGGCACTCGCTGTCACGTACGCGAAGAAGCTTGTCAGACGGTTCCCACCGTGCGCCGTCGTGGCTTGGGCCGGCGACGTGAACCAGTCGGTGTGCAGGTCGTAGGTCTCATTGACGTGGTAGCGCACAAGTTGGAGTGGTTCGAGGTGTGACGGCGGAGTGTCGAACCCCTGGAAGATCAAGGCGCGCTCTTCTATGCACCTTGTAACGGCATCGCGGGTGACCGTGGCGGACTTGGAGCGTCGTGTGCTTCGGAGTGTCTCGGTGCCGTCTTGGTCGGCGGTTTGGGAGTTTATGAAGGACGAGCCGCTAGAGATGGATGATGAGAAGGTCATGTCAGAGTTTTGAGTAGATTGTTCTGGGATCAGGCAAGGGATTCTAGGGGCCGTGCACGGATGGCGGATGGAATTGGGACGGGGGAGCATATGGTGGCATACCTTGTCTTGAGAAGATGGTCGCGTTCGAAAGGAGTGAGAAAGTTCTCAATGTATACGACTATAGGATCTCGGGAGAGAAAGTGGATTTTGTATGCAGGGTGTGTGCAATCGAGCTGAAGATGTTGTTGGTCTGGCTCTGGAGGATGCGCGAGGCTGAGTTTGAGTTGATCCGCAAACGTGGCCACGGCGAGGCTGAAGCTGAAGCCGAAGCTTAAGCTGAATCCGAATGGCTTCATTTCTTCTTTTCTTCTCTCTCGGCTTCACTCTGACTTGCAGTGGCAATCACTGCAGATCAAAAGAGCATCGAGAATAAGAAGTTCAGATCATCATGTCAGCAAGTCTCCTGACACGCCTCGTCAAAACATCTAGCACAGTTCTACCTTGAGGCAACTCCTGGCCCCTGGACTGTTTCACTACCGTAGGCACTGAGGAGTGTGCCAGGGCTTCTTCTTTTCTCTCCCTCACTCGAGCTTGATCTCACCTTCGGCAGAAAGTGACGCTCCTTCCGTGACACCATGTCCATCCGCCGTGCTCTTCTACCATCGACATGTTGTTCTTTCTGTGCTGTCTCCTGAGTGGTGGTGTCGCCGGCGCCGTGAGCGCACAATGGCGGCATACACCGAAGGCTACATTCCAATCTATTCTCGACAGCAATGAGCTGGCACTTGCAGCATTTGTCGCGGTATATCTTCCTTCTGTGCTCCCTCCGTGTGACCTGTTCCGAGCTGCCTTCGACTGTCTTTCCCTCCCTGTCTCGGTATTTCGTACTGACGACTCAACTGCAACAGCCGTGGACACCGCCTTGTCTGTCTCTCGCTGAAGAATGGGCGACGGCAGAATCGGAACTCACACAACCTCTTGTGAGCGTTGACTGCACCGCCGAGCCTGACCTCTGCGCCGAACACGACGTGCGCTCTTACCCTGCCATACGCCTGTTCCACGGCCGCCTCGCAGGAGACACGAACAAGACGAGTTCGATCCGGTACAGGGGTCCTCGCAAGGCGCCTTCGATTGTCCCCTTTGTCAAACGCGCGGCTCTCCCGCCAATCTCGACTGTGACCGCCCACAATCTGACAGACTTGACTTCGATCGACAGTGTGACATTTGTGGCTTACTTGGACGACGATGACGGCAACGTGATGAGGACACGGTACGCCAGGGTTGCGCGGGCGTTTCATGATCGGTTCGTCTTTGGCGTGGCGCAGGACGACCAACTCGCCGAGCAAGAAGGTATAGACACGTCTTCCATCGTCGCCTACAAGAGCGACGTCGGTGATCGAGATGTTTTCGTGCTTGATGCGACGACCAAGCGAGCAGATATCGAGAAATTCGTGCTCGAGGCCAGTACTCCGTTGATCGGAGAGTTGACGAGACGAAATGAGAGGACATACATGATCGTACGTTGTGCTGGTCGTTCCTTTTGTTTCGCGAATGACACTTTGTGTTCTACTCGAAACTCGATTCGTGCAAATGACTGACAAAAGGACCTCTCTTGCGGTCTTGTATACAGGGCTACAAACTCCTCGCGTACATGTTCGTGTCAAACGATCGAGATCGCGCATCGCTCCGTCGAAGTCTTCATCCCGTCGCGAAGCAGTTCAAGGACTACGTCAACTTTGTGACTGTTGACAGTCACGAGTACGGCCACATGGCGCCAGGACTGGGTCTGAATTTGTCAGGAGATGGAGGCGAGTCCCCTGCTTTCACAGTGTACAGTGCGTGGAAGGACCAGGTGTTTCCGTATCCTGAGACGCAGCATGTCACGGCACAGCAGATAGAGGCTTTCATGCTGCAGATCTTGCATGGGGATCGAGCGCCTTGGGATCCGAGGAATGCGAGATCGAATGGTCATGATGAGCTATAGCATATGGGAGCAACTGGAACTCAGGGTCTTGGACCGTATGAAGTTGTACTCCCACAGAGTCGATACGTCTTCCAACCAAACATAAAAACATGTGCTCTTCGGGACCAGTGACATATTTGCGACGCGAGACGGGGATGCGAGAGCCAAGATCCACGAGCGATGGTCCTTTTGGCGCCCTCGCTTCACAGGTCCCAATAACGGAGTGTGTACATTGTGAATGGCTGTAGCTCAAGAGACGCGTGTCAAGCCCCAAGTGCCAGGCGGAGAGATTATACGCCGGTTGTCGTTGGTGCTTGCGGCCGATTATGTCGACAGCTCCGGTTGCGGAGGAAAGTTCTTCCTGACATCCAAGCCAAAGATTTGTCGTCTCGAACTTCTCGACCATCCGCGGCCATATCCTGTCGCTGTGATTGCTTGTACGGACTCTCTCCGCATGTCAACTGCGTGTATCCTTTTGTCGTGGTTGCTTGTAAAATTTCTGTCCCCCCCTTGTCGGTTTCCTCAAATCGTATTCGCATTTCCACCAGGGAAGACGCCGTTCAACCAGCCGCAGCATGGCTTTTACTTTCCAGACAAAGCAACACTAAGAGTTCGAGTGCTCGTATCAGGTGCTTTTCAGGCTACTGCGGGCAAGGGCCATTGGATTGCCCAGTGTCTTGTTCCCGTCTGTCTCCAGGGATGGCGAGGCTTAGACACGTCAACGGCCGTACGGACTCGAGAGTAGGCATCGTTGTTTGGCTACGCTTGTCTATGATCGGAGGGTCGGTGTGGACATTCCTTGGATCTCTCGTCAATCGCAGTCCCAGACCGCTCCGAGTGTAGTAAGTATATCGAACTCCACTGGGCCTGTGCTTGGGAGCAGAGAAGTTCACACGGAGTAACTGTTCTTGGAATTACGAGAAAATTGTTGCTGCCTTGGCCTTGCGAGGTGGTATCACTTGATATACGATGGGCACACAATGTATATCTTCCGGGTGTTGCACGCTGGGCTTAGGAATATATCCTCTCTCTCTCTCTCTCTCTCTCTCTGTGTGGCGCTCGCTCTGCTCAAGTACCACCGCGACACAACATCTTTCTACGAACGATAAAGTGCCTATCGCCGCAGCAATTTCCAAAGGTCATTCCCGCTTGACGGAGACACCATTACCGTTCAGTTTCACCATTACGTACCTAGGTAGCTTCCGGCTGCTCGTGCAACTCTTCTAACCGACCGTTTGGAATTCTCGATACAGGATCGAGAGAGAACAAACAAAAAACCACCGCCGCCGACATGTCTTCCAATGAGCCTGTGTTTGTCTTCAACGGCACGACGTACCTCGGCGGAGGGTCGAACGCCAACTGCACAATCTCAGTGTGTCCCGTCGAGTTGAGCATTTATGGCTACCGTCCCTCTTTACCGTTGAGCATCTCGCTCATTGCCCTCTACGGCGTCTGTGGATTCGTTCAGATTGCCCTGGGCTGGCGCTACAAGACCTGGGGGTACATGAGTGCCATGCTCTTGGGATGCATCGACGAGATCCTGGGCTACGTCGGTCGGATCCTAATGTACAAAAACCCATGGAATCATGGTGGCTTCATCATGCAGATTGGTATGTTGGACTCCTATAGTCATGCTCTCAAAGAGGTCCCATTCCTTTATGGTCAGATTACGTTTTACGTTTTTCCTTTTTCTATGCTAACGTGTTGTTATCACCACAGTTCTCATCACCATTGGACCCGTCTTCTTCTCAGCTGCTATATATGTGATGTTATCCCAAATGTGAGCCTATGCCCTACACATCTCCGTCCCTCCCTCCATCCCTCTCTGTCTGTCTGTGTGTGTGTGTGTGTGTGTCTTCCTGATATACTACTGACACATGCCCTACCTCAGTGTAACATACATCTCTCCCAAACATTCACGCTTCGACCCCCGGCTATTCTACTACATTTTCATCCCGTGCGACATTGTCAGCTTGATCCTCCAGGCCATCGGGGGCGCCATGTCGTCGACCTCGGACGGATCGTCGAGCGCGGGCGTCAACATTGCCCTCGCCGGTCTCGCGTTCCAGGTCGCGACGCTGGTCGCCTTCGTCGCCATGACCGTCGACTACTTTGTCCGGAGCCGGGAGGTGTGGAGGTCGGCGCATCTCCCGCTCAAGTTCAAGGTGTTTGTGTCGTTCCTGGCCCTCGCGACGCTGTTGATCTTGATTCGATGCTGCTACCGGGTCTACGAGTTGAACGAGGGGTATACTCGCCACAGCGGCGCGTTGAGAGATCAGACTCTGTTCATTGCTCTCGAGGCTGCGTAAGTCTTTGCCTTCTTTTCTCCATCTCCAGTGTTGTTCTTTGTCATCATACCTGTCGACCTACCTACCTACCTACCTATGAACGTGTGTGATCTCAAACCCCCGACTCGATTTCTTTGTTACAGGTACTCACCACTTGCTTTTTTTCGACCAACTCTTTTTTTTTCATTTGCCTTCTCTCCCTCTTCGAATACACTTCCCCGGAACCCCGTTTCCACTTTCGAGTTCTAGCTTTGCTGACGCCTCGTCTTACCGGGTATCTTCTTAGAATGGTCATCGCCGCCGCGTATGCTCTCGTCATCGGCCACCCTGGTCAAGTGTTCTATTCCGGACCCCGACGTTTGGCCGGTACTGGAGACGACACTACCAAGGAGTAGGGCAAGCGTGCCGGAACACACGGTTTCGATGAGAGAGAGAGAGAGAGAGAAGAGAAAGTCGAAACGAATAGGTTCTTTCATCTAGGAGGTTTACGGTTGTGGTGGTGGTGGTGGTGGAAATGCGGTGGCGGCGTCGTCGAATTTAGAAAAACATTTTGATATACTCACTGACTGGTATTTACTAATAAACTACTTCACACGGTCTTTCGTTGCAGAATATACATCCCAGCGTTCCTCCTCGGTGCCGGTGGAACACCCAGGGGGTGGACGACGATGACCCAATGTTGCCATGTTATCCTCCTTTCAGCTCCCTTTCATCAGTTCCACGGGACCTGGACATTTGTGAGCCAACTGGAGGCAAGAACCCCGTCTACTACGGAGTGTAAAGACTCGTCGGTGTGTCAATCGCCATTGACAATGCAGTTTGGTTGGAGACACCGTTAACAGTAAGTACTTCAGCAAATGTATACGGTGTGCGAGACGACGTCCGATCCCAAATAAATTCCATTCAATCATACCTAGCCATGCAGGTAGGTAGGTAGGTAGGTAGGTAGGTAGGAGTCTTTGTTTCATTTGATACTGCATATCATCTCTGAATCCTTTTACACGTGTTGCTGCATATAATACTGCGCGCCGCATTTGGGGGGATATCAAAAAATACCTGAATAAGAGGTCAGAATACAAAAAGAAAAACACCACATCTCAAAAAAAGTATCTTGCGCACACCCCGGCACATCTCAAGAGTCTGAGGACCACGAACACAACCATGCTGTGGCCGACATCTTCAACACAATCCCTTCTCCCCTTCCCCAGACTCCGGATTCAGATCGGCGACTCAACCTCACAAAAAAAAGTCTAACGAGGGAATCTTTGCCTTCTTTTCAAAGTCACCAGTCACCCTCTTGGATGACTCGGGGAAAGTTTTTCAAAGTCACGCAGGACTCAATATTCCAACCAGTCCAAACTCCATTACCACACAGCAACCAAGGCACCTAGGACAACCAAGCCAGCTGATGCTTCTCTAGCCCGCACGGCGGCACCGGTGAACACCGCTGGGGCGGCTGGTACACTGCTAGATGGAGGTGTCGCGATGGTCTCCGCGGCTGCTGTTGTTGCTGGCGGGGGAGGAGCCGGAGCAGTAACCTCAGGTGGCGTGGCGCCGAACGTGACTGTGTTGGCCGACTCAGTCGCAGGTGGTGGCGGTGGCGCGGCGACGACACTGCTCGTGGATACAGTTGCGTTAGGAGTGGGTGTCAGGGGTAATTTCGCGGCGTTCTCAATGTATTTCTCAATCGTGTTGGGGCCGCTGCTGTTCTGGTTGATCACCATGGCCATGCCCTTTTGACAGTGGTTGGTCTGGCCGCAGAAGATCCAGATGGGCTTGGTATCGTTGACCAGTACGTTGAAAACCGGCGTGAATGTCTCGTTGCCCTTGACTGGGACGAACCCAGACCTCAGTCCAGGGCGCATCACGGATGTCAGGTTGCTGGCGATAGGCTTGCAAGGCTCAGCGAAGCTTGATTCTGTGACGGTGTGGTTCTGGAATATGTCAGTCTCATGAGCCAACCATGCGTCTTCTGTTGACATACCTTGGGGTGGAACTGGAATTGCACTATGGAGCCAACAGGAGCTTCGATGTTGTTGGGGAAGTACTTCAGCGAGCCGTTTGCATCGGCGACGGAAACCACCTGCACGATGAGCTCGCCGCCGCCTCCGGCCGGTGGAGTAATTGGTTGGCAACCTGCCGGGCACGAAGGAGCGGCACCGCTAGAAAGGCCCCAAGTTGATTGTCCCTGGTAACCTCCACCATAGGTTGCGACGGCGCCAGTCGCCAGCAATGTTGAGAAAAGGAGACTCTTGAGAGACATTGTCGATTATCGTTGATAAATGATGTTGTCGGTTGACTTGGTGTATGTGGGAGAGTGTGTGTAGAGATGCGACAATGAGCGACCGGCGCAAGCACGAACTGAAAACGAGCTGCAATGCGTCAAGCTGCAGAAAGAGTGAAAGGGGCCGGTACTAGTACACGGGGCCTCAAAGGAATAATGATTGAATGAGGTAGAGAGAAGAACAACAAGAAAAAACACGAGACATATGTAGGCCAGAAAAAGCGGGCTATGCCAATGTTCGTGTCCAGCATCTAAGATTATGGATCTGGGACTTTACGGATATGGTACTCACCAAGTCTCGTAGCCCGGTTGATTGAACCCCTTGGCAGGTTGAAGACATTGTCAGAGATGCGTCTCAGGTAGGGGTTCCTGGTGAAGAGGCGACAGGCCGGGGATCTAACAGAACCACAGGATGCGCAGTGTCAAAGCCACAGTTGAGCGGCGGGCAGCGCGCCAAACGCCATGAATAGTAGACGGCGATGGGCGTCGCAGAGTGAGAGGCGACAGCAGGATTCGAAGCGCTGGGACGTTTTGAGTCGTGTTTGGAGGAGAAGAATCTGAAGCATCTCCTGTTTCCAACGGCCGGCGCCTACCCAAATAGGAAGCTTGGCCTGGGCCGGTCAGGCTGTGAGGCGAGGCTAGCCAGACACGCCGCGTCCTGCTCTTCCCCAGCCAGCGCTAGAGGCGATCTGGCCCATCTTGCAACTTCGGCTTCACTCGATCCTGATGGTCGCTTCGAAAGCTTGTCTCTTGCTGGACCAGGGACCGGTGATGGGCGCAGGGCCGGGAACCTAGCTTCGTCACCGGCCTGGATTCGCGCCCCGGGTGTGAGAGCTCCCGGGTTTCACACCTCCCAAATCTTGATCAGGCTAGCATGCAGCCACTGGAAGAGTCGACGAAAATGGAAAATGGGCACTCGGGAATACCTCTACCGAGAGTGATGGGGGTTCAAATGGAGGAGGTCTGAAGCATCCTGCCGAGCACTACGGAGCACACTGGAAGCGGACATTACGAGCCCAAGTAGGGATGGCTTGGAGGAAGGGGGTGCTGAAATTGATTTGGAAATATCCGTATGTTGGCTAGCTATCTGCTAGACTGTTACAACCTGCTACCAGACTCTTTACACGCGTAAACATATCTGCTGTGTCTGTTCGGTGTCGTGAACATGCAATCTCGATTACATAACAGACTGGGGTCGTCTCTCAGACTCTCGTATCCTCTTTAACAGTGAGAATGGAACAAACAATCGCAATTCTCGCCAACCCCGGTGCCAACATCGACACTGTCCTGAACTCCTTGCGACCACACGTCATTAAACGACAACATCAACAGTCTTCGAGTCAGAGTTGCGCAACAGTTTGCACCGCACTCGCACTGACTTCCCTCTGCTCCTCGTAAATTCGTGAGCCTGACCAGCTGTCGGCTTGAGAGGTCTTAGCTCTCTTCGCCGCTGATCGAACTCCCCTCCGATTCTGTGCAATGACATCGGGTTCCTAAGTCATGGTGTAGCCGGTGGGCGTGGCAGTCATGAAATCCCACTGGCCAGGAGGAAGGTTGCTTGTCTGTCGACTCGGCGTGAAGGTTGGGGTGGCCTGAGAAGGGTCTGCCATGTCGGTCAGAGCAGGGTCAACATCTGTCTCATCTGCCTTCCTCTTCTTGGGACGGCCGCGAGGACGAGAATTGTTAGGCGGGTCAAGCACATATTCCTCCTTGAGTTGCATAGACACGGACGGGTCATAGCCACGTTCACGGGCAAGCCTTCTGAGGCCTGCTAATACCTTGGGGTCCATGCCTGTGATTTCCTGGATTCTTTCCGAGGCGATACTGGCCTCCGCCAGAGCCAATGCCTGGATGCGCACCGCTGTAGAGTGTTCCTGCATCTTCAAGACCTTTGGTGCCTTTGATTCCGTAGCCTTTTGACTCCAATCAGTAGTTCGGAAGAAAGCCGCCGGATCCGCTGCTTGACGGGTGATGCTGGTTTCGATTCCTTGTTCTTTCATCGCATCGAGGTAGCCCTGGCAGCCGAGGAGGTGGACGCGCTGGCGCGAGGTGTGCTGGGCCATCTCCCTGCCGCAGTACTTGCATCGTACCTGCGCGAGCTTCTGGAGCGGCTGTCAGTGAGATGCTACACAGAGAGGGATCGGGGTGAATGACATGTACCTGGGTCCCAGTGGGATCTTGAGGAATAATGTCCCATGCCGAATGGGTCTCGGTGTCTCCGGGTTTGTTCTTGTAACCCCCAGAGCCAGGCCCTCCCATCTTGAAGATCAAGACGGCAGTGAATTGTAATGCGAAGGTCTTTTGACGAAGGAATAAGGAGATGACCAAAGGTGGCGGCGGTTGAAGGCGGTGAAAAGGTGTCATTACTCAGGATTGTTTTCTAAAGACCGCTAGCGTGCAGCTAGTCCGTTCTGGGAACCACAACACGCTTGGCACCGAGGGACGCGTGCTGAGTGTTGTGCTGTCCATGCACTGTGAGTTGATGGCCTCCTTGCTGCAGTCTTGATGTCTGGGGTTATGACTAACGACATTGCAGCCCATGGCAGACTCATCGCAAGCAGCTACTTCGCTGCTGACGGAACATCTACAGTATACACCGCTGGTAAGCACGCTCTCCAACCACCGGAAGACGGGCAAGACCGGCAAGACTGACGACGGATAGTCACTCATCGACGACATCATCAATTCGGTAAACAACTTCGTCTATCAAGGCGTCGGAAGCTTGGAGACTGGACTGCTGTCAACTCCACCGGAAAAGTTGGGTTTCAAGGCAACAACAGCAACGGGCGCAGATGGCACAGAAGAGAACGAGTTTCCAGAAGCGAAGCAAGAGATCGAAGAGGGCCTCCACAAGCTGGAGACTCTGCTCAATTCCACCGTGGACAAGAATTTCGACAAGTTTGAGATTTATGTCCTGAGAAACATTTTGTCGGTGCCTGCTGAGCTTGTCAACTGGGTGCGCCTGAGCCATTATCAAGTAAGGGGAATTGATCCACAGCGAATGGCCTCTGGACTGACATCGCAGAATATTACCTATCCTCTCCCTGAAACTTCCCCGACGGTCGAAGATATACAACTCCTTCGGCGCAAATTGGCGGCTTCCAGGGCATTGTCCCAAAACCTGCATCGGGAACATAGTCAGAATCAGGCAATGCTGAAACAACTGCGAGCGCTTATCGGTGGTGTGCAGCAAGAAGCCAACACCATGTCTTTCCTAACGCAGAGTCCCGCCGCTCAAGCATTGAACCTGGCTGGAAACCCCGACAAACAATTGTTGACCACCAACACCAAATTCGCAGTTTCGCAGTTACCGGCCCTCCGATCGTTGCTCGACGACCTCAGACCGAAACTAAACGCCCTCAAATCTTTGGAGTGCAACGCGTCACGGGCCAGCGCAAAAGAGGAGATCAAAGAAGAGAGACGTGGTTATATCGAGCAACGAACGCGATCACATCTGGAGCGTAACGGTATCAATCCAGCCGAGAACTCTAGCCTGTTATTTGCAAAGCGAGTCGATGAGGAGGAGGTCCACGCCCTGGAGAAGGTCGCATCGATATTTGATCAGACTTGAAAGATTTGAAGACGTTGGCACGAACGATGCGGGCCCGGAAAACATACAACGAACTAACGCACCCCGCCATTGCCAAAAGTCTCAACATACGCTCCAATACTGCGGACAAGGCTGATGCTAGCAAAATCGACAGGCCTCAGTTTCCTAAAACTGCACCGGGAAATACCTCTTTCGGAATGCATGAACAAGTTGATTCACCAACAACGCAGTATGTCGTGCATAATACCCAGGTCACGGGCTTGTCAAGGGCGGGGACAGGGTGCCCATCGACGGCTATCTAACACACTTCAACACCAAGTATGGCAACGGTCGAGTTACTTAGGGACTGATGCGGGACAGAAGGATCCTCTATCGGTTGCTGGCGTAACCGATTCGAGCATAGGCAGCCGGGGTAGCTGCAGCACCAGGACAACTCCTTGAAGACACATACAGGTTGTTTTTCGACTGAAGTTTCATTATCATATGCCGGACCCGAGGAAAATGAGTTTAGTCCGCTGCATCGAGTCGCATGAGAGTATCATTTGTGCCCGGAGAATGTTACGGAAACCGTTGGCGGGTTCGGGATCTGGCTTCCGGCAAACAGGCAAACAGGCAAGATGGGCCAATGGCAGGTGGTAGGGATCGACCGGGAGGCGATCTGTGGGAAGCCCAATGGCAAAGCGGCCACGACGGAGGTGTTGGCTGGTGCTAGCCCTGGATGGGCAGGTCGATTCGACGAACCGAGGCGCTGATCGCACTGCGACAGCGACACTTTGCTGCAGTCTGCTGCACCGAGGAGGGCTGGGATATGTTGTTCGTTCTTTTCCTTCCTGCAGCAGCGGTGTGTTAGGGCACTAGGGAGAGGGATGAACGACTCCACGACCCAAAAATAGGCAGCTGGAGAGTGGCCAGGCTGCTCATAGCAATCGCCCCAATAAAATGCCGGGATGATGCCAAGCGACGGCCTCCCTAGCCGCTGGCATCTCCATCCTTCCCTTTCGATCCTCTGCTCTGTGCAATCATGGAAGACTTCTCTCGTCTGTCGTTTAAGCGCCAGCAAAATCCTACAAAAAGAATCCTGTACCTATCATGATTCGCAATGTGCTCGACTTGAAACGCACTCCCAGCGCCGGCTCCCAGTCCTTCGACTGACCTGAGCGCTTCTCTCACTGTTAGGCGCGCCTAAATGGGCACATTGGCCAACGAGGTAAGCTGCAATATCGGTGAGAGATGATATTATACCCAGGGCCATGGTCTTGTGGTGGTTGTTTGTCTGTCTGATCAATGGTTTCCTGATTTCTTCTCCTAACGCGTATACTCTGCACTTCTGGTTTGAATTGTACCTCGTCGTACCTTGGACTTGTTGGGGATTGTTACCTATTGCTTGTTGATTTTGCTATTGTTCACTCCGGCCTGGTTCGCCGCACTGTGTCAAGCACTCGACACTCATCTCTTTATCCTTCTAAGACGAAAACACGGGAAGCCCCTACCGACCACCACAGTCTCTTTCGTGGATTTTTGTTGTTGAGCTTCACATTGCGCAGCAGATCAATGGCGACAGTGTCCAGCTCCCGCTCCGGCTCAGCCTCTTCCGACCGTCGTCCCGGCTCGGGCTCGGGCTCGAGCACGACGAAACACCTCGAGCCTCCCACGCCGTACGAGACGACGGCGTTCATGACCAACGCGTCGCCGCTCTTGACGTCGTCTCTACACTCGCGCAACTCGGCGAGCTCGATCCAAGAGTCGGCGTACCTGGCCAAGGCACAGGTGCTGCAGTGGTCCCGTCTGGGACTGGCGGTGCTCGTGATAGCGAGCGCCACCGCCGCGCTCGGCTGCGCAGGACACGTCTTGGACCGGTACAACGAGACGGCCGGCGTGGGCAAACCATACCACCTGCCCCAGCTGTGGCCGGCGAATGTCGACGTCAGACCTACGTTGGCAGTCCTCATCCCTGCGGCCATCGTGATCACGGTGAATCTGGGATATGTGGTATTCTCTCTCATTCCGACGGTACGTATATACCCATGTCCATTCTCACACCCATACCCTGCGAGTGTCGAGCTTTTTGACCTCGGTGTCCGCGATTGACTAGACATGAGCTGCACATACGCGCATCCAAACTGATACGTTCGATGGCAGCCTTATTCACGTACGTTGATGTACAACTTTGTCTTCCTGGCGTCGTCGCTCGCTGGATTGGTTCTGTGCCTGTTCGCCATTCCTTTCTCCACCACCCTGACAGACCCTTCGGCACATCACTCTAGAGAATCTCTGCACTCGTGGACCTGCAAGTTCTCGGACGGTGCGGCAAGTTTCACCTCCAACGCCAAGGCTCTCCAGATCCCCGTGTACCTCTCCGCCGGCGTGCCTGTCCCCGCGGGTTTCAAGAGGCTGTGCAAGGAGAGCCAGGTCGGCGTGGGGCTCATGGCCACAGTCATGGTTTTGGAAGCCGTGAGTTGTGCCGTTGCTGGTGCTGGCATCTTGCTTGAGAAGAGAATAGCCAAGGCGAGGAAGGCGAGGTACGCCGCCGCAGCCGGGCACGATGAGAAGCGTGAGACTCTGTCTTGAGATTGAGTCACCAAATTCTCTCAAGGACAGCAAGTATACAAGAAGGATCGGACTTGGGGGGCGGGAGGGTGGGGGGGGGGGGGGTTCAATGATGATGATATCTCGGCGATCATTCGATAATAGGATCGCTGCATACCTTGGTAGCGGGTAGGGGGCAGTGAAGGGGCAGTCTGTCTTCCCTCGTTACATCTTCGTACGATGTTCAATGAGGTTGTTGTTAATGTATCTACTGTACGGTGTCAATGCGTCGGTGGAGTATATGGAATTCTAGGCATTATACTTTTTCTACTCAGGGCACTGCAGCAAATTCGTGTGCTTGTGCGTTTGTTTCATGAGAGCCAGATAGAAAAAGGTGATTTCTTATCGTCAGGATATTCTATGGGTATTGGCTGCTGAATTCGACGCTGATGCTGATCCTGGTGGCGGCCACGCATTATGTCGCCGGGTTTTCGAGCGAGAACCGAATATAATTTTTAAATCTCGGCGAACGGACGTGCTGACAGCACCGAATAAACCACCACATCCGCCAGCGCCCGCAAGTTAATTAACTAACGAATTAATCACAAAGACCTCAGAGGAGCTGAATAAATTTTGTTCAATTGAAGCGGGGATCGCCGCGAGAGTACAGCAATGCATTCAGCGCTTCAGAATTGATACTATTTACACCTTTCCTCGTGTGCCCACCGTGCAGAATAGCGAACGGGCAAAAGGGAAAAAGCCTCACAGAACCAGACCTACGCCTCTTGTCGGTACGACGACGCATATGCTCTCGGATCGCATGTGTGCGTATTTCCCGGGTCTACATTACTTGCGCCCAACCATACTCTCGCATCAATCTTGTCGATATCGAATAGATATTCGATATCGACCTGTCAACGATGAAACGCGGGACCAAGACAAAAAGAATGTTTGAGGTGTAGTATAACCAAGTTGCGCAGGGCACCCTACGCGTGTAGCCTGTATGCAGAGTTGGTCACCTGTGATGTGCGGTATGTCCATTGTGACTTGTAAGGTGGCCTCACTCTGTCACCTGTGGACGAGCTGAACAACCTGTCCGAAGAAAGGTAGACAGGGGATGCACTCGCTGACTGATCAACACGACAGGTGACGTGTAGACTGGTCATTGATTGTGTTTTTTGTATGGGACACCGTGATAGACCTCGCAGCGCAGGAAATCTGGCAGCCCTGTCAGGGTGAAATTAGCACTCGTAGACAATGACAGCCACCGCGCAGAGACGTGCTGATGCGCAGAGTGAGAACACCGCCCTCGGAAACCAGATGCGCTGTAGACTGGCCTTCTGGCAGCCCATTTTTGAGACCAACCTTTCATACTTCGTATCTCCGTCATGCCAAAGGGTCCTTGCAGAGTCAGACAAGACTTGTCACTCAGAGAGGAGTAACGCTTCGAGATGGATTGATTGGTTCTGGCCGTCTAAGGGCGGAGCCGCCTTTCTCGTCTACTTTGGATGCGTCGGGTCTGGACCTCGAAGCTGAAGAAGGCCCGTGCCTGTGCCCCCGTTGAAACTCATGCCCGCTGAATTCTGTGCCTTTGATGACGTTGGTCGAGGAGACGAAGTCTGCTTCAACTTATACGGTTGCTCTCACGGCCGCGAATGACAGGTGTCCATCCGTAGGATCCGTCCCGGAGACCCCTGGTGGTGCTGGTCGCGAGGCTGCTGCGGGCGAAGACCGAGGAGGCAGCTGAAGGGTGAATGCAATTTCTCGCGACTGGCCTCGTCCAAGGATGTTGAGCTCTGGTCGGGCTACTCAGCTGAAAAGTCCATACCGTCAGGTGCTCAAGGCGGATGTGTTGGATGACACCGGCAAGCGAGACTCATCGGTTCGATCAAGCGTCACATATCAATTCTTGTCCCTGTTCGGTATCTGTGACTCATTGACGTCCTCACGCACACCTCGGCGCTCGCTTTAGATACGGGTATCAATCGTGTATCTCAGAAAGGATCCAGATGAAACCCCATCATAAGCTCGGTCGTCTAGCGTTTTAACCCAAACCTGTGAGAAATGACAATACCATCCCTGCGGCCTACCACTCTGATGGCATGATTGCTTCACACGGGCAGGTAATCATCCCTTGTGCCAAGCATGTGTCCACGATGTGGCATTCAAGGCTGCCGGCAGGATTCTGGAAAGAGATCGCCAGAGGCGTCCTCGGCACCTTGAAGTTTTAATACGGAGTACAAAATATTGACCGATGTACCTTGAGATCCTGCAACTCGAAACAGCAGCCTACCTCAGGTTAACGTCGGATGCAGTGGTTGCGTTTTGGTGCCCCTGGCGCGGTGTGCCTGATTGATTGATGCTGACAAGAGTCAAGACTACCCACAATCTCTTCCAGGGAGCCTTCAGTCATGATACTCTGTACGACAGCCAAAGACGCAGTTCGATGGTCTGTGTCTCTGTTATGCCAGTTATTATTCAGCAAGCCCTCAGAAAAGGAAAACAAAAAAACCAATTACGGGACTAGTTAGTACTCAGTACTCGTCCGGAGCGTTTTTGCGAGAAGTCCAATCCAGTTTGCGGACTCATATGGAGACTCCTTAGGGGCTCCCCCCTTAGCCCAAGTCGCAACCACAGGGGCGCGCGATAGGGGGGGGGGGGGCACTCTCGTCTGATCGGCAATGCGGGTCGACAACCGACGTTGTGTCCCATACAGTAGAAATGCCATGATGCCAACGAGCCAAATCTGAGTGTGTGACCCACGAATCAAGATTGGATTGGGAGCGTCCTCCACCTCGGCCTCCTTTACTGTGTAGATCGCATACAGGAGGTGGGTATCGGGGCGTTGGTTGAAACATGAAAGCCGTCTTGGCCGCAGGAATTCATGGGGAGTTGTTGACCCAACATGCAGCTACAGGGACGGCTTTGTTTGGGCCGACGAGCTTGACCCCATGCGACGTAGACACGAGCACCGAATTTCCATATGTGTACTTTTGGTGCGACCATCCCTTGAAGCCCCTGCCTGCGTGGTAGAAACTCAATCTCCCCCGAGGGAACATGTTGAAGTTTCATCCGAGGGAAAAGAAACGGCCAGAAGGTTGACCCTGGCATTCTCTCCCGCGTTGCAGATGAGAGTGATGCGGAGTACGGATACTTTGCATGCCAAACGCGGAGGCAGGGGGGTTGGAAAAGGAATGCTCGTAATTATTGTATGTAGTGTACGATCTCCTGGTGACTGCATCCCACCTGGCCCAATGTACAGTAACTACCGTCGAGAGAACGAGTACCATTTACCTACTAATGTCTTTCATGCCCGAATGAATAGGTAATATATCCATCCGTACAGCAGTCTCCATACTTGCAGGTCCATATCGAGCCACTCCATGTCGTGACATGGTCTCGGACCCATCATTCCACATCCTTAGTAACCTACATAAGTGATGTATCGTGTCATGAGAGGACCATCCCTAGAAGCGAGAGAGTGTCAGACGTTTTCGTTCCGCGTGGCTATGCAAGCAAGGGCTATTGATGATTATTGCGCATGGCTTCCCGACTGCCCAGCCTCCCAATATATCGTATCCCAACCCCGATGAAACGCACCCATGAAGGAATTATGTTCCGCACGTTTCGTGAAACGTGGTACAGGCTCCAGGGTACGGTCATCATGCAGAAGGTATCCTGGGCGAGGTGGCTGACACCTGGCGACGAAAATCGTGCACACGGACCACGATCGTGGCGCGAGGCTGGGGGTCGACTAGTTCAACCTGGTACAAATATAACCTAGTTATATATCCGGATGTTCCGTCGATCTAGGCCCGAGCGCCACCATCGTATTGGAGATACCAACCTCTTGCGAATAGTCTTGACCTTGAAAATAATCGATGGCGGTATCTTGATGCTTTACGCTACACCTTGCAGAAGTGCGAATGAGAGAGAGTCACGGTCCTGTCGATTGGGAAGGTGAGGTGGGCTACACGACAGGACGGGTGTGCCTTCATCAGGCTTGGAGGATCGGTAGTGCTAAAAAAGTCGACGGGCAGCCTTCAGAAAATTCAACCCCCACTGGACTGGTACTGTAGTGTTCGCCATCCTTTTTACGAGTACTGCCGTTGTTTCCTGAGGACCCAAAACTTTTCTATCTAAGCCACCACGTTCGGTGGCCTTGGTGGGTCGTGGTCTGGAGTCGAGTTCCTCGGAAACCGGGAATGTCAGTGTCCACGGGAGCACATACAGCGTTGCTAGAACAATTCTTCTGTCACTTGTTCCCGTGTTGTCTCAGCCGTCCCCACTCAAGTTGGTACTTTTCGCATAGGTACTCCGTAGATTGTAGTGGTAGTAAATCTCATGTAGGCCCTGGGATATGCATACATATAGCCAAAAAAAAACCCGACGAGACAGGGTTTCCGCACCAGATTAGCATTTTGTGATTAAATTTACCGCATCGTCTCACTGTAAAAGGACACTCCGTTCGCTTGCGGCCTGCTCGGCACAAGGTTGATCAAGTATCATGTGGAAATTGTAAAATACCAAATCCTGCGGCGAACATTTATAATGTACTGGATCGCTACTTCTCCGTATCTGTCAGGATTACGGAGAGGATTCAAGAGTGACAAGTTCCCCCGAAGCTACTACTCCCTCGGTCAGCAGAGTGAGACCTATTCGTTGTACCCGGAACCAATGAGAAGCTGGTGAGAGCTATTTGCGATCAGGAAAATTACGCCAAAGGATCAGGCAAACAGAATGTGGCGCATGGAAATGGAATCTATACGTCTAGCCGCTAAAAAAGGGAGAGGTGTACAAGTGGCGCGCATGACAACTGCTCGCCTATCATGATGCAAAAGGCCCAAAAGCGCATTTCAGTGAAGTTTAGTAACGTGGAGAGTCGCTTGGGCAAAGTCAATTTCTGCCGCATACAAGGCACGCACTCGATGGACATTAGGCGATCGGTCCTTTTTGAACCATTCAAGATTGATGTCGCCGTGAAAGACAACTTTGTGCTGATCAGGGCCAACATCCATGCTGCCCGGAGCGTATAAGGTGAAACCGGAGACGCTGCTACCAGTGTGTAATAAGGTGCGGTTTTGCCAGGTCTGTTGTTCCTGCTTCAACGCTCTCCAGTCGCACCCGAGAACTCCAGTCTGCGTATCGACGCCAACAGTACAACTCACAAAGTCGATACGGTAGGTCAATTCGGCGTAACACTGCGCGTTGTAGAGAAGGTAGTAAGTCGAATCCTGGAAGATCATGCACGGTCGTTCGACGTTGGGACCGTCTTCTTCAAAGGCGCCGATGTTGGAGAACAGATATACCGGCTCGCCAACAGGCGTGACGAGATCATTGGAGTCCATTAGTTGCAGGTGCAAGGGAGTTGGCGCGACGGGCATGTTCGTGTTTCCACACGCTCCGCCATGGCCAATGGTATTTCCATCAGTCTTGTAAACGAGATAGTTCTGACCATTGACAGGGTCCTGGAACAGGTTTGGGTCGATGTTGCCCCCTGCAGGGAGGTCGCAGACAAGCGTAGATTCCAAAGGGGTGTATGGACCGGTCACGTTGGGGGACGTAGCTGCTCCAAGACAGTGCTTCCTCGGATGCGACGCTCCCAGGGCGGCAAAATACATGACCCAGATGCCATCAGGCCGTTGATTTACATCAGGCGCCCAGACGTGGGCGTAAGGGGGTTTTCTTGCCCAAGCAGGCAGCCTGGGGAGAGCGTCGTAGCCTTCATGGAGTGTCCAGTGCACGAAATCGGTCGATGAGGCTAGCTGGATGTTGATATTCTCGTTCTGCGTGCTGAAGGCATACCAAATCCCATCTTCAGCTTGGGCAAGGCCAGGATCTGGGAAATTGGTCGAGATTGCCGCCCCATGAACGTCGGCAGCAGGTGCTGATTGGAACAATGTGGCAGTGGTTAGGCAAAAGGCCACCCAGGCCGTACGAGGCGTCCCTAACATGCCACTGCCAACCCGAAACAATCCTTGGCAAACAAGAAATGGCGTGTGAGAGAAGAGAGATCATGCGTCCAACATTATTGCTATGGGCGCTTTTTACAGGTCGGAAGCGCGGAAAATTGCGAGTGGTGCTGACGCTTGGTGATGCCAAGTTTAGTAGTAGTACTCCTACAATAGGAGAATTGCTGTACGACCTCGTACTCGTCCACCCGCAGACCGCCACGTGAAAACAACCCGAACTTGATGCAGGAAACTTGACCTGACGGGTCTGATGCTTGTAAGCTGTCACTGCATCCCTGTTGCGGTGTACCCAGTACTCCGTACTCCAGACAGAGGCATTTGTGCCATCGCACGTGATGTGGGTGGCCCAAAAGAGCTATTAAGGGTGTGGGTCCAGTTGGGGGGCCATCGTGTCTCACTAAACCCAGGACATCAAGTTTTTCTCATCCATCTATTCTTAGTCGGGGAAGCACACCAGCCATGGAACCTTCCAAGCGAAACACTCGAAGGGTGGCTCCTCAATAATCCGGAGCGATGGTCTCAGGAGACCGGGGAAGGCAGCTTCTGATGATGGCCGATTAATGTCAATATTGGCGAGCTGATCTCAAATGATGGCTGGTCATGGACAGTTGGTGATCTAACCGGGGCTCAAAGCCTTCCTGCCATGTTTTTGTTTACTCTAGGAATGATTTCGTTGTCGCGAGGAAGTGCCATGACGGTGGACGTTTTTGCACCAAGTGTGGCTGGATCACAAGCAACTGGAGGGGAACAAGAGTTTGGGATTCGTTGCTTGAGCGCACTAAGGCTTTTTAGTGAATGTCAAGCTTCCATTTTAACGTAATAGGGCGTCAATCAGGATCTCAGGGTTGACCAGAGAGAACTTGGGGGGCCCATGGATCAGCCACTGTAACGGCCTGGCCACCGCTGGTGATTGATTGCGCCACTCCATCCTCCTGGCACCTGCATTAGCGGCACCTAGTCAGGGCTGCTCGTTACTGTTTACAAAATTTCCCAATCAAAAGATCTTGCACGATCTGCCTCTCCCAATCTCAGCGCCGCACAGCTCGCCCATGACCTGACATCTGTCGAACCTGTCTATAAACGAGTGGGCTGTGTGTTTTTACTCGTCCGCTCGCCTCGTCTGACACAAATGGTCTCGATTGCTGACTTCTGACGCTAGCAGCTGTCTCCATGTCGCGACCAGGAAGCCAATGGTTCCTTGGCCTCGCAGGGCTGGGTCATGGACCATGGCTTGTATTGTATGGGGGTGTCATATGCTAGACTCCCGGTGGGTCGGGAGGATCACACTACTTGAAACCTGGTAAAGCGTCTAAAGGCTAAAGGAGGCTCCTGCGGCTCCAAGCATTGAACCGTGTTGCATTCGGGATGGCTGGTCCTTCAATCTGGATGCCACTTTCCTATAGACGATCGATGCATTCATAAGATTCTGGGACTGCTCCCGTCTGGTTCTATCGCCTCCTTCTGTTCCTCCATTCACACAACCCAAGTCTTTCGTTTTCTTTATACCGGTACATAATATGGCAGTCTCAAGACTGTCCGCGGCCTTTGCTGCCCTTACGTTCGTTTCTTCCATTTCTTCTGTCGCCGCCGCCACATACACCAACTCGACCTCGGTGTGCGCGACCTCCTCCAAATGTGTTCCCTTCACCATTGACGTTACATGGGGCACAACCAGCTCAGATATTGGTGCGCCCAGAGAAGCCATCTTGACCAACGGCACGCTACCTGGTCCCCCCCTGAAGCTCAAGGTCGGCGACTGTGTTGACTTCACCGTCATCAACAACCTCGACACCGTGACCGGTGTCCACTTCCACGGTATCAGACAGAATGGCACACCGTGGGCTGACGGTGTTCCTGGTGTCTCCCAGTACAGCATCAAGCCAGGAACTAGCTACATGTACCAATGGACTGCGGAAGAGTCTGGTATCTACTTCTATCATGCACACTACAAGGGACAGATGGGCGACGGTCTGTATGGTGCTATCCATATCGCTCCTGCCGACGATGCAGAGCTTCCCTACAGCCAGATCAGCACCAGCTCGGATGATGTCGCGAAGCTGACGAAGGCTGCTCTTAACACCGAGGCGCTGTTCGTCTCCGACTGGAGTGGGTACACGTTTGAAGAGCTGTTCAACATCGAGAAGGCTGCCAACATTGACGATGCCTGCACTGACTCTATCATCATCAACGGCAAGGGTTCGAGCTACTGCCCAAGTGCTGATGTTCTTGCTGCCAACGCCGCTCCTCAAGTTCCCCAGATCTTGAACGGCACGTCTTTGACCGCCAAAGGTTGCATACCACCAAACAACAAGGCGATCCAAGGTGCCCAGTTCACTCAGAACCTTGCAGCTCTCCCAGACGGAGTATACTACACTTGCACTCCTCACACCGGTTCCAACTTCACCTACACAGTTGACCCTGCGGATGGATGGGCATCGATTTCTCTCATCAACCCTTCAGCTTTCGCTCTCCTCAAGGTTACCATTGACAACCACAAACTGTACGTCTACGAGAACGACGGCAGCTTCATAGTTCCTCAAGTTGTCGACCAGATCAACATTGCTGGTGGTGACCGTATCAGCTTCTTCGTCAAGCTCGACCAGACCCCCGGTGACTATCAAATCCGCGTTGCCAACCTTGGTATTAACCAAGTCATCTCCGGTTTCGGTGTCCTGTCCTACAAGGGTGCATCTGGCTTCCTCGGCACTGCTGCGATGACCTATGGGGGTGGCAACCTCACTAATCTGATTCCTTTCAACCCAGCCACAGCTGCTCCGTTCCCAGCTTCCTCAGTTGCTGCTTCCGCCGATGTCAGCTACGTTTTGGACATCATGAAGAGCCCTGCTCAACCTCTGGATTCTTGGGCCTGGACACTCAGCGGCGTCAATTCCTACAACATGAGCCGTGACGACGCAACCCCCCCACTGTTGTTCCAGAACCCCGCCGACATTCCTTCGTCTGATCTGATCATCGAGACCTACTTGGGCCAATGGGTTGATCTGATCATCAAGGTCGCCGGTCCGGTTGCTGAGCCTCACCCTATCCACAAGCACGCCAACAAGTTCTACGTGATCGGATCTGGCGTTGGTGACTTCAACTTCACCTCGGTCGCTGATGCACAAGCTGCTGGATACCCCTTCAACCTCGTCAACCCACCATTCGTCGACGGCTACACCAGCACCCCCGCTGAGGGCAATGCCACGTGGATGGTCTTCCGATACCAGGTGGACACTCCTGGTGCCTGGCTCCTTCACTGCCACGTCCAGACTCACTTGTCCGGTGGTATGGCCGTTGCCATCCTTGATGGCGTCGACGCCTTCCCATCACCACCCTCCGACGTTGGTAAAGTCTGCCCAGGCAGCGGGAAGAGCCACTTCCCCGGCCTCAGCAGCAACAGCACCAGCTCTGGCAGTGGATCAAACAGCGGGTCTAGCTCAAACAGGACCTCCAGCAGCGGCTACGGCTCTCAAGCCTCTGGTGGCTCGCCCAACGGCACTACCAGCGGTGGCCAGCCGAGCACTGTTACTTCAAGCGGTGCTGGCCCTGCCACATTTACTGGTGCTGCCGCGTCTTTGGCACCAGCAGCCCTTTCCGCTGTTGCCGTGGCTTTTGCCTTGTTCTCATTGTAAACAAAAAGGGGATGTGCAGCTTCTACTCTAATGAACCTTCTTCTGGCTGGGGAACACTTTTTTTGTGCATATGTTTTCTTTTTCGTTTGTCGCCACTTTTATTACAGTACACCCATGGAAGTCTTTTTGTGGATGGAAAATTTATTGGCTAGTTACCCTCCTCGGTTCGCAGCATTAAACGGGATATACCAATTGGGAGGATCAATGACCTGACACTCAATAGTTGAAAGTGGACTGAACAGGAAGCACGCAGCATCTTTCGTGGGTAGAAAAACCACCCATCTAGTCAATAAAACGATAAAAATCGGATTCTTCAATTCTTGTTCTCTTGTACTATCCTCCTAGGGAGTAGTAGTATGTATGGGTTACACTCTTGTCTTTTTTGGGAACTTTTCCGTTTATTTGCTGTGCTTGTTCTGCAGACGATTGGTATGGTTATGGATGTTTTTTAAGCATCTGGCGATGCCATGTCATTATCACCAAGCTTTGAGAGAAGCACTTGGGCCCCTGGACACACAAGCTCTCTTGGTACCTTGTAAAGCCGTTAAGAGGCGTCGACGCCTTTGGGGAAAACCAAGGAACAGAGAAAAGGGGAAGGGCGCCGCCGCCCAGTAACTCACCGGGGGGCCCCCAGGTCTGTTCTCTGATTCTTGTTGACTCTTGTTTGTGCTTGTCAACAACAATCCTGTGTGCCCCAATTTCCCGGGCCCCGCTTAACTTTTGTTCGGTGGTCTGGGTCCTGGCGCCTAGGGGAAATTGCGATTGCTGTGGACTGGGGCTTGCAGCCTGGTAAAAGTCTGCGAGTCTGTCACCTGTACTCGGCTACTCCCGGGCCCATACTGTCGCGCGAACCAAAGTTCAATTAATACTTTGTACAAAAAGTAATTGGCCTATCCGTATCGCAGGTAGTTAGCGTGGCCCGGGGGTTCTTTTGGTCCTTGTGTGCTTGTGAGTTGTGTGACGCCGGTTCGTCTCGCGTGGGGAGATTTGATCTTTCTTTTTCTCTTGATTTTCACTCTTGTCAGCTGCTTTACTGTAAGTTTGTCATTTGACTTCTCTTGGGCCCTTCCGTCCAGCAAAGTACCTACTGTAGATGAGCAATGTTCAAGCACTCGTACCCGTATTCGTACCCGTACTGGTGTGAGCCGTGTCTGTACGAGTACAGGAAAAGGAGACCGTAGACCGTCTCGTTTGATTTTGACCTGGTTGTGTTTTTTCCCTGGGGTTTTCTTCCCCTTGGCAATACCGGAACATCTATCTTGATATGATACTGTACGCGCTTGGAAGTTGTTCTCTGAACACATCCGTAAACTCTCTCCGAGACGCGTGTGTGTGTATGTCGCGACTTGGGGCCTTGTACGTGTACTCCGTGCCGTACTATAGTCTGTACGAGTATTGGGGCAAAATAAGGAGAATAAATACCCGTTGATATGACGTCGCTGTACGTTTGAATCTGCCACTACAGTGATGGCTGTCTTGATCTGACGCGGAGTCTTAATTTACCCCGTATTAAGGGGAAGTGAAGGCTAAGGGAGAGCGGGAGATGAGTCAGATCTTTTGAGAAATTGAAAGCCACTGTGCCATAGATCTTCAGAGATAGGAGCCTATCAGAGCACCTAAAGTTAGATGCTAGTAGGGAGACTCATAGGCTTTGGTATCTATTTCATTAGGCATGAAAGTCCGTGGTGGGAAAGATTGGATTCTCAATGAAGAAATAGGTTTCGAAGTATCACGTGCACTGGCTTGGTAGTGAACCTCATTGATGTTCTTAATGATTGTTGTACCTTGTTCACCTGGCATGCAGTATAGTCAATGGGTCCGTTCAGTCATATCTATAGATATTCGTACTCATAGTGGCGTGTATCAAGTGTTCAGTGTCTAGTATTCTTCACAATCACCCGCCAAACCATTGGAGTTTGTAAATTGTACTGACTCGATCGAACGCGACTCCGGACATACATAAAGATACTGTCATGATACTCGCAAGGAGTGGTGGCCTCGCGTTTCCCTAGTGCCTCGTGAGGACTTGTGCTACATAGTGAGCAGGAGTCAGTGACCTGGAACAGATTCTCCTGGTCTCACAAATGGCACAGAATCATGGCGGCGGCGGCGACGATACCAGAGCTTCACGCTTTACCGGGTAAGCTTTTCCTGGACCGCTGGCAATCTTGTGGAAAGTGGTCGGGTCTAGCTGCAGCAAGACAGAATAGATCTGTCGGTCGCTTGACCTCGGATGACCTCGCTAAAGTAGTCTTCACCGAGCTCGCGGGTTGGACATCGGTTCGACGCGCGTGGTTCAAGTGAGCTAGGTGAGATGCCTCCCCAGGTTCAAGAGGACAAAAACTCCAACCATCAATGGTATTGTTAACCATTGATGGTGGAGAAACCCCGGGGCGGGATTTTTATCCTTCGATTTGGGCCGGATAGTTAGTTGGCGCTTTCACGTCTTGGACCCTGGAGGGGAGGGCTTTGGTTAGGTAGTAATTCGAGCCGATCGCAGGCCTCGGAGAATGCGAACTTCTATGGGTAGGCCTCAGAAAGAGGACACATCCATAGGGAAGAGAAATCAAGGTCTCGCAGCGGGCGATTCGAACTTCGGGATCGCCCAGAGGGGTCGGTTTACACAGATTGTCGCTTTCGCGGTTGCCGTTGAACCATCTGGCCGCCTCTAGGGGTCTTGGTGTTGGGAGTATAATTTGGGATCTTTAATACATATACAATCACATTATTTCAGGTGGTTGATTGGCTGTTTGACGCGACGAAGGGGTGAAGTGGCTGTCGTGCTTCACTGGTTCAGGTCCATTCGCGTCGGCCGTACGTTTCATATTTTCTGGCCTTTGGAAGAATCTAGGTGTAGACTCGCCTTGATACTTTGGAACAAGGCCCGTTGTTCTGCCGGTACATACGGGATTGAGGAAGAGTTCGTCAAGTTGCAATTCCGGTAGGTTTTCGATTGTTGTTTTGCTCATTGTGTATGAGTATATTTTGGCAGGAGATGTTTGGGCTTATTTTCCCGGCTGGTTCAGAACTGGATTCCGCATTTCGTGCCGAAAAAGGAGTATTCTTTGATACTTTTTGCTTTTGGATGTTTGTTTTCAGTGCTTTTGTCAAGGCTGAATGCAGTTTCGCCGTGTATGGACCCAGGACAATTGTCCTCCATCTGCGAGCATCTCCAGAACATGATTTCGCTGACCGAGGTATCAAGCGCCCATGCGTACAAACATGGGAGCGACAAACTGCCGGTCCCATACGAGCGACATACAGCCTGCGGCTTTGGATCATGCCAAGTGCACTGTCACCGCCACGCCTCTTCAACCATGTATTCCTTCAGCTGGGTTCATCAAGAATGGCGAGTGGAACTCTGCCCCTGTGGTCTTGGCTTGTTTAAGAAAAGAGCAACTACCGACAAATAAGGCTTCGAGAGCCTCGGCTTCAAGTCGCGAAAGGAATGATATGCAACTGACCTGTTCTCGTTCCGGTCGGCAATTGAGATGTTCGACGGAAGAAGCCATGATTGACTTTGCATCCGAAGTGACTATTGAATAGGTTATACCGATCGAGGACAACTCGATATGTCCCAAAGGTGCCTCTGCATTCCCTGGAGCGTTCCTCTATGTAGATCCAGGGCAGGCGATCCGGGAGCATGGGTGCTACTTCCCCTAGCAGCTGTTCGGCTGTCATGCGCGGCATCAATCAAGCTTCAACATTAATAGGAAGCACCGATATGCTGGATGGCGGGAATCATTGTGCGGTACTTGCACGTGTGGTAGTGTGTCCCTGCAGCACGTCGTCTTGTTTGAGAGGACTAGAAAGAAGACCGCATCCTCCACCTCACACCAATTACTAAGTCTCCATCATTGGACCACTCAAGACATGTTGCAGGACGCGTGACCAGGCTGTCTCTGCCCGGTCGACTCGCTTAAAAAAGTCGGACTTTCGGGCGAACGGGCTCTCGGTGGGCAAATTGCTTCCTAGCCAACTCCGGGCGACCACGTTATTGTACAGTGGCACACGGGCCTTCCAGATAGCACTGAGCAGGACTGGGCGACTCAGTAAAAAGACGAGTGGCTTGCCACCCAAGTAGGTGAATCGTCCGTGGAAGCGGAACTTTTCAATGTTGCTGATCCACCTGTAAACTTGAACCAGGGTCTAGATTGTATGTCTTCAGCACATGGCAGGAGAAATGCCGAGTGTTGATGCCGAGTGATCAAGCGCTTTTTGCATCGGAACAAGCACTAAGATCCACATGGCGCTGGAGCTTGGCCAATTCGATATCGAAACTCCCCAGGGGGCCACGCGGGGTCCCCATGTCACTTATTTTTCCAATGGTGGAAAGCGTTTGAGGAGGTCCCACCCGGGCGAGCTATGGCCCATGGGCTATGATGACTCGAAGTCAGCCCTTGTGGAGGTGAACTTCCCCCGGCAGTTCGAGGATTTACAGTCGTTTAACTATATATCATGTTCACTGACCAGGTCTTCGTTCAACCGTCTCGTCTTTCGCCATCGTCATCTCCGCTGCAGGTTTTTGGCTTCCTATTCGTTGCGCCTCTAGCACTGCAAACCATCGAAATCGCCCAGCATGGAGATGTCATTCGACGACAGGGTAAGACTTGACACAGTTGTGAACACAAAGGACTATCGCTGACCATGGCTTTGTTCGCAGGAGCTCCATCAAATCGAGGAGGAGCTTCATACCGAGTAAGTCATCATTCCGCTTTAACAGTGGCTTCAAATTCGAGAGTAGCATTCTGCTTGATGCCACTGCAGTGCGACAAAGTTCTGACATCTCACAGGATCCTTCCGGGAACGGAGATCATGACAGATGTGGGAAGCCATCACTTTGTCAAGAGCAGCGGAAAGTCCCACAGAGTCCTGGTTCCTCAGCCTTCCGATCATCCAAACGATCCCTTAAACTGGGCGACTGGTTGGAAGATTGCCGCCATTATTGCCTCGAGTACGGCGACCTTCGTTCAAGGCTTCGGGCCCTTGTCTCTCGCGCCTATGTTTGGCGACTATATTGAAGCTTTCAACTGCTCTCTAGCGGATGCAGTACAGTTCACCGGCGTGGCAATTCTTGTTCTTGGCTTCAGTAACTTCATCTGGTACGTACAGAGTTTATGCTGGGGAAGCATCTACTGAATCTATGCTAGGGTGCCGTTGAGCACTTCATTCGGTCGTCGACCCGTGTATATCGTGTCGAACTTGATCTGTCTTGGTTCCTCGATCTGGCGTGCCCGCGCTCAGACCTACGGCAGCTTTATGGGCGCCTGTGTGTAAGTTCTGACCACAGCTAAGTGTCCGGAGCTATGTGTTAACATAAACCCCAGTCTGAATGGAATCGGTGCAGGACCTGCAGAAACTATTCAGCCAGCCGTCATTGCGGACATTTTCTTTCTTCATGACCGTGGAAAGTGGAATACACTGTACTGGGTGGTGTACATGGGCTCATTGATGATCGCACCGATCATTTCCGGAGCCATGGCAGAAAACGTCGGCTGGCGAGCCTTCTGGTGGTTCAATACTGGTTTGATCGGCCTCTCTACCCTAATGATCGTCTTCATGTTCCCCGAGAGCAAATGGCACAGACAACATCCCAATGAAATTCACCACGAGGTCACGACCGGGGAAAAGCAGCCTAATGGGGACACCAAGGAAAACATCAAGTCTGAAGAAGAAAACGCAGACTCCGTGGCCGTTGCTCCAATTCCCTTGACCGCCGTTGAGACTGCGGAACGCGACCCATTCCTTGGAAAAGGCAAGCCCAGCAAGGCACAATGGGGCTTTTACTCACCCAACCCACATCCGATCAAGAGCATTTTGCTTGATTTGTGGATTCCTTGGAGATTATTCCCCTTCCCCATTGTCCAATTTGCGAGTTTCGTTGTCAGCTGGAGCTGCTCGTCATTCTTGACGCTCAACTTGACACAGACACAGGCTTTTGCCGCGCCGCCCTACAACTGGAGCACTCAGACTATTGGATTCACGAACTTCGCCATCTTCGCCGGAGCCATGATTGGTCTCGTCACAGCCGGACCGTTCTCGGACTGGGTTGCTGCGAAACTGACGGCAAGGAACGGCGGCATCCGTGAGCCCGAAATGCGTCTCGTCGCAATGATCCCGTACGTGATCATCATGTATCTGGGCAACATCATCGTCAGTGTCGGCTATGAGAACCAATGGCCTTGGGAGGCTATCGTGATCATCGGCTACACGTGCGCCGGTCTCCAAGTAGCAGCACTTCCGGGTATAGCATCGACATATGCAGTTGACAGCTACAAGCCTGTTGCTGGCAGTCTGTTCGTTTCCATCACCGTCAACAAGAATCTTTGGGGCTATGGCTTCAGCAAGTTCATCACTAACTGGATCATTGACGACGGATATATTCCTCCCATCATGACCAACGCTTCGTTGATTCTGTTGTGGTGCCTATTCGGAATCTTGTTCTACTACAAGGGAAAGACATTCAGACGCTGGACGAAAAACAGCCGAATGCACAGAATGTAAATAAAGGGGGGTTTAAGTCGGGCATTGTGACGATTATCATGCATAATGGAAGAAGATGGCGAGCATCCAGAGTGGAACTGTGCATTGAGGAACCCCGTGGGGGTGGTGCAGAAGGGCTAGATGCCGTACGATGAGTAGTGAAGAGTCTCTCAAGCAACGTTCTACTAATGAAAACTCATATCGCTATCATGGAAGTGAATCCTGCACAAGACGGTGGCACGCTTATGTCAGCCACTGAGCTCATCACGTGATTGACAGCCACGTACCTCGTGTAAACTGGAGGACCAGACTATATGTTCCGGCGTGACCTTAATAGCCGCTTGTATAGCCCAGAGAGTAGAACCTGCGCTGTCGTCCTTGAGTCTATGTCTCAATCTGTGGCAGGAGATGAATGACCGTGTTGGAGTTCTAGGCGGCGTCTCGCCACCCTGCGGCTCATCATGCGACTTCGCCTTCCACTTGCCTCAGTGAACGTCCTCCTTTACATTTGAGCATCTGGCGGCTGGCACATTCAGGAGTCGGAAGCTATGCACTCGGTGAAAGAGGAGGAGGATGCGCCGAGTCGGCGGTATTCGAGCTCACCGGAGCCAGATCAATGTAGGGCTCACTTCGCAACTATGCACGAACTGCTACTGATTCAAGAAAGCTGTGTTCAAGGCTCGAATTCAACATTTTCAATATTCTCCCATGGTGGAATCTCCCAGCCCACGACGATCAAATCGAAACCTGAACAAATCTTCCCCCGGTGGTACTTCCAGCCCTACGGGCAGTGCACGCAAGAAACGCTCTTGGGCCATACACTCGTTTGCGGGCAGCATCAGCGAGCGGGATGATACTTCGGGCCTTGATTCGCCACCTACGAACAGAGACAGCTCTGCGTCAACAGCGAAGAAAAGGAGGAGTACAACGAAAGAACGTTCTGCGAAGGACCCTCACAGCCCAGTCAACCACCTGGTGGACAGCCTGCGGCCTGGGCTGACATTGGTTTGCATAGGCCTCAACCCCGGGTTGATGACTGCTGCCACAGGGCACGCGTATGCACATCCTTCGAATCGATTCTGGCATCTCCTCCATGACAGCGGAATAACGCCGAAAAAGCATACTCCCGCGGAGACTCGAGACCTGATGGATCTTTACCAGATTGGCAACACAAACATATGTGAGCGGCCGACCAGGAGCGGAGATGGTCTCAGCAAACAAGAGTTAGAAGAGGGTGCTGTGACGCTCGATAAAAAAATCGCAATCTACAAGCCAGAAGCTGTTGTGATTGTGGGCAAGGGCATCTGGGAAGCGATCTGGATAGTGAAAAAGGGAAAGAAGAAATTCAACGACCCAGACTTCCATTGGGGATGGCAAGACGAGGAAATGCAGCTTGGTAGAGTAGTAGAGGCTGACGGGCACATTGTTTGGCCCGGCGCAAAGACGTTTGTGGCCACGTCTACCAGTGGGCTTGCAGCAACCCTCAGACCAGCCGAGAAGCTGGCGATATGGAAACCGTTGGGAGACTGGATGGCCATGAAGAGAGAGGAGACGTGAGCTTGAAGCTTCAAGTATACCTATGTATGAAAAGACGGCAGCGCTCGGCCTAGTGCCCTTGCGCCCATGCCAAGACTTGATATAAACCAGCGTGCTTCAGACGCAGTCGTACTCGTGTCGCCATTCAGGCTTTACGCAGGCGCCGTGGTGTGTGATGCATGCACCGCGTCAGATTTGCCGCAGCGTTCCTGAGGCATCGTCTGCCCATCGTGATTCGTGATATGCACAAGCTCATGGTGAAACATGCCAAGCATACCAAGACTATCGGAGGGGCTGCTGGCTGCGCTGGAGGGGCATCCAGCGTGTTACTGCACATTGTATGGAAGACAAGACGGGGCTCATCAATCATTCAGCCATCCACACCCAAAGGCCACGTCGTGTGGTATGACATCAACTTCACTTCTGTTTCACGTACTCGTACACCGTCCTCTCAAAAGCATTCTGATCTCTGTTTATACTGCTCTCCATTCTCGATCTCTTCGTCCTTGCTCGCATAGTTTGCCCCTTGAAACGCCTTGAGAAGACGCTCCTCATTTTACATTCACGGTCAAAAGTCACACCAGCTCGCAATTGTTGTCGGGAGCTGAGGCACCCCATCCATGAACATGGCGTTGTCGTCTTCCCACATCGTCTTGCTGTGCGCCATCGGTGTTGTCTTGCTGGCAAGACCTGCCCATGCCTTTGGTGCCGGCAACATTGGCTCGACGTCGAAGATCGAAGGACAGAATTGGCGTCATGGTGATCTCGAAGACACTCTGCTGACCATAGTTGCTGCACGTGCGATGGGAGGCAAGAAATTCGGGAAACTTGATGTCAAGAGAGTAAGTGCCTCGATATTTGACCTTCTGCGTTGAACTGACCTCAGCAGGTCTACTTCGGCAACTGGCTCCGAGACTATAGCCAGGCGGTTGATGTTGGTACTGTCAAATATGTCAGTGCCGAAGCAATTCGTATCCTGCTCTGGGTCTTGGGCTTTATGTCGTTTGGCTACGGTTCTGGCGAATTCGAAGTGACTACACAGAGGCTCGGATGTTACAGACCAGAAGAACACATTGAGTAAGCCTCCTTGGTCGGCCAACAATCCCTATGATATTGACCACTATAGCAATCCAAAGGACTACGCAGACAACGAAGATGCGAGGCAATATGACCGCCGCCTACGAGGTCCGGTCGACGAGCGTCGTGAACTGGCCATCAATCCCGAGACAGGGCTCAAGAATTACATTGCTTCTGAAGGAATGGGCATTGACACTTCTGCCGGTTTGGTCAGACATCTGTTTGGTCGATCTATCGAGCTCGGGCGCCAGTACGCTCGAACCAAGAACAAGAAGGATCTCTACGAAGCACTCCGCCTGTTGGGAACCGGTAGTCATTGTCTCGAAGACTATGCCGCTCATTCAAATTACGTCGAACTTGCCTTGATTGAACTTGGTGAACGTGACGTCTTCCCACACGTGGGACGTCGTACGCAAATAGAACTCCGCGAAGCAAGACATCCGGTGTACCCTGTCGTTACCGGGACCTTTGGGGGGGTTGACTTTCTGCACTCAGTCTGTGGTGAGTTCGATGACAAGACAACCCAGAGCGAAATTGAAGAGCTCGAGGGAACCATGCAACAATATCAAGGTATGAACAACGACGACAGCGTCCTCCAAGACCTCCTCAACAAGGTTCCTTCGGGCATTTTTGGAGGCAAAGACGAAGCCGGGAAGGCGAACGAGCTTAAGCAGAACGCTGTCAACCATCAGATGCAAAACGCTCGCATTTCTCCACGAGAACCGGAAGAGTGGACACAATATCTTGCCGATGTTCAAAAGCAGATATATCCAATCATCGAGTGGCATGACGAGATCATGCAGTCCATCACTGAAACGATTGAGAAGATCCCAATCTTGCCGGACCTGATCGAGAACATCCAGGACGAGATTAACAAATTTGTCTTCAGTCTACTTGCCCCCTATGTTGTTCCAATCATCAATCAAGTCAAGAATGAGCTTAACACTGGCTCAAACGAGATCATACAGTCTAGCTTGGACAAGCAGCATATCGTCTTCAATGACGATTGCTCCAGTGATCCTACCCACTCAATGTTGTCCAAGGATCATTTCTCCAACATCCTCAACGAGCCTGCCGGAAAGGTTGCCAGGCAGACGATTCAGTGGGTTGTTCCCCAGATCGTTGCAGCGTGGGACGATGACCGCATTGACGTCGATCGAACTCTTACGCGCATCATCAATGGTGTGCTCCATCACCCGGCGCTTCGAGACTACGGTCAAGACGGAGCTGGAGATGGTCGTCGTTTGATGTTTAGAGTCGTCGAAGAATGGTGGCAGGGCAAGGATGAGCGCGAGAAGGATGACTTCCGAGAGAAACTCAGCCGAGAAGGTGTAGAGTCAGGCAAAAATCACAAAGAAGGCGTTCATGACCATGGCCATGGTAGTAATCGTCCTCTGGGCATGGCCAACCTGAACTACAACAACGGGGGATCGTCCGGCCTAGCAGGTGGCGCGCTTGGTGCATTGGGTTCGGCAATGGGTAACGCCTCAGACAGTCGTCCTTCGAACGAGGCTGCCGACACGTTTGGAAAGATGGCTGGGGAAGCTGTCGGTGGGGGAGTCCTTGGCTCGCTCGTCGGCGGACTTGCCAGCAATATCGGAGGCGGTATTCTCGGTGGCGGCTTGAACAAGGGCGAGGAGACGTATCAAAGCGAGTCGTATGGGCAGGACGGTTCTTACACGCAGACCACAACTCAAGTTGGCCATTCGCAGTCTGGGGATCGGTACGGACAAGCACAATACTCGCGTACTACAGCACCTCACGGCCAGCGTGAGGAGTACAGCCGTTTTGAGCAGCGTCAAAGCGGAAACCACTGGCAGTCCGAGGTCCGCCACGAAGAGCACACAAGCGATGGGGGTTATCGCGAGGAGACCCGGTAAGTGAATCTCTCTCAGAGCACACAAGCTCCGCTAATACACGGCAGGCGATACGATAACGACGGCGATCGTCCGTCCCATGGTCGCCATCACGGGCAAGAACAAAGCTACGGGCGACGTCACGACGATGATGGTGAAGAGCGTTTCTCAAGCGGGTATGGCAGTAGTGGTAGAGACACGTACGGCCAGCAAGAGCGACGTCAAGAATACGGGCGACGTGACGACGATGACACTGGATATGGCAGTCGACGAGACAATGAGAGCAGCGAGTACAGCAGCCGGCGCAACGACGATGAGTATGGCTCGACTACCAGTTATGGCCGCCAAGAACGTCAGTCCGAGTACTCCTCCAGCGGGTATGGTCGACAGGAAGAGACTAGCTACGGCTCTGGTGGCTACGGCTCTCGACGCGAAGAATCTGATGATATGCCAGGTGGCTTTGGCGGACGGCGTGAGGAACAGTCGTACGGCTCAAGTGGCTATGGTCGTCAAACCGAATATGGCAAGTCGGGAGGCTATGGCGGTGGCAGGCGCGAAGATAACTATGGTTCAAGCGATGTGCCCGGCGGCTTCGGTCAGCAGTCAGAATCAGGCTATGGTGGTGGCCGAGAGTTTGAGTCTGAAGGTCGTGGCTACGGTGGTAACAGTGGTGAATACGGAGGTGAGGGCTACCGCCGTCAACGACGATATGGAGAGAACGAAGATGAGGGTGAAGGTGAAGGTGGATATGGAGGCTACGGCTCCTCGAGATACTGAGCTGCGTCTGACATCTCAGACCAAAGCGACTTCCAATCACGAATGCCGAGGCTGCTACGATGGTGACGCTGCATGACGAGACGTGGACAATGGGAACAGACGAATTGAGAGACGAAGTTGCTGCCGTGGCCGACAAAGACTGGCGACGCCTCAACCTGACGAGTCAGAGAGGTACACGGGCGGACTGTGGCCACATCGATCGATATTGCTGTACTCGGTGATCGAAAGTGATATCAAGTCGCCGAGTGTACTTAGACACAAAAGCCCAGAACACCAAATGCCATGATGAGAGGATAACACAATGTATCATGGATTACGAATACGGGTGACACGCACTTTTCTCAGTATGAGGATGACCAGGTGGGAACAACTCCAAATTCCTCATACCGTCGTTTAGTAGAATCTGGGGTTTTTACTTCATTACTAAAAGTCGACTCGCGCGGAATGTGGCCGCCAATGGGTTCATTAGTCATCCAGATTACACCTGGATATTCTTCAGCATATATGACCATTGGCGACAGCATAAAGCCCACGGTAGCAGCTAGGGTATTATGTTAAAGGTATTCTTATCATCGCGTCGGAAATGTCGCATGCGTCTCACAGGCGAGCACAATGACAATCAAGAGGCAGACCACAACCCGGACCCATACGTTTCAGCGCACGGGAGATAACGCGGTCACGTACGATCTTTCTCGCCCAGGGAGCGTCACCATCACAGTCCCCGCGGGCTCGAAATGGAGCTCCGGGCCACATTGGCACGAGACGCACACCGAGTTTCTCCAGGTCCTGCAGGGTCGAGCCTTTGTCGGACTCGGGAGTCGTGTAAGGGCCTACGGAAGTGAAGACGGGGTGATTGAGGTCCCGAGATTCACCGTGCACGAATGGCATCGGGTCTGGCAAGACGACGGCGGCGGCGGCGACGACCCTGACGATCCTGACGGCCAGGATGATCAGGACGACCAGGAGGTTGTCGACCTGGTCGTGCGGGAATGGACGGTGCCGGAAGACGGCCAGAAAGAGGTGTTTTTCCGCATGCTGAACTCGTTCCTGACCGAGGACGCACCGGCATCTCTGTACGAGTTGCCCGTGCCCGTGCCTAGGGTGGCACACAGTTGGATTGAGCAGTGGGTCGTTGCGCTGCAGCTGAACTGTATCTTTTGGACTTGTGACAACTGGCCTCTACTGCTTGGGAGGGACAGCGGCTTTGTCAGCTGGATTGCCACGCATCTCGTTCTGCGAGCAAGTGTTGCACTTGGGTCCGTCCTCGGTTTGAGGGGGAGGTATAAGGAGTACGTTGGCGAGAAGCAGGATGTTGCGGGCAGTGGAGATGGAGAAGAGGCAGGGAAGAAGAGGAAGGCAGGATAGGATGGACGATCACGACGTTCGCCGTGCACTATTGAGTTTGAGACCCGGGGCATGTTGCGGTCGATGAATACTTCCTACGAGGAGCAGGGAGGTCAGACTCAAGGGTATCAATATCCCGCCCCTATGATTCCATCCACATGGGGTCAGTGGTAATACCATCAATAATGGCTCACTAGTCCTCCCTGCCGTCAACAAGAAGCTATATCAACGGAGGCACAAAAAGTCCACCGACACTATTCAGATCATTCACTACTGAAGGGTTACAAAGTCATACCATTAAACGGCTCCCATGTATCTTTTCTAGATGACAGTACTTCGTTGATATAGTTATACAAACTGAAAGACCATGCTCAGCTCAAAAAAACCCAACGGTCGGGCTGGGGCGCACCGGGAGATGGTAAAATGCCTGTACTTGGGTCTCCCAGACTCTCAGTCTCAGATTCTCGGTCATCATCTTTCACTTTCATGGCCGCGAAGCTGTCTATGAATTCGCTGAGCTGCTCCATGCTCGTTTCGTCGTACTTCGGCAGGATGTTGCCAGGCATATTGCAAAGCCGACTGTTGAAACCTGATAGGCCTTCAGCAGCTTCGAGGCTTCGCTGCGTCGAGGACAACCTTTCCAGTTTGACTCGTGCCAGCAGCCAGTATTCAGGAGCTTCTCGCATGAACCCTATTCGTTTCCAAACTTGATTCGGATCGCACACTGATGATGACAACCCACTACAAGGGGATCGTCCTAGGTCAGTCGGCCCGCGAGAGCAGTGCGCTCGCCGGAGGTTCCATACCACTCGCCAGTTGGCGATGGCATTTTCCATGGCTGCAATTTGGGATTCGGACCCAAAGCCAGGGTCGATGTGAAAAATGAAGTTGTGAAAAGAGCTCACGATGGTCCAGAGGTTCAGGACGCCGATGTCAGCAAGACAGCGTTGCCCGCTGAGTTCGATCCTGTCCTGCCGAAAACGACGTATGGAAGCGTAGAGAGAGCCACCGCCGCCGCAGTGGGAATGGATTGGGTGTGTGGTCCATTTCTGGAACTCGTCGCCGCACTCCTCTGCAGTGGAGGCTTGGAAGCAAGGCTCCGGGCAGGCCAGGTCGTTGGTCATCTCCCGAATCACCATTCTCGGGGGTACGTTGTTGAAGATGGTGAAGGCGGTATCGAGGAGGAACACGTATATGATGACGCGGATTAGTTGTTCATGGAGGACGAATTTTTCCCACCGAAACAACTGCCCGTGTTCTAACAACTCTCGAAGTGCCCTGTGATTGGCATGTTTCATGAGGATGCGCGTCATTGATATCAGGGAGCTGAAGCGCCGTTTGCGGATTCTTTCTTTCGCTGCATCTCGGCCCTCCCAATTCTGGTACAGACACACGGCATACGCAGCTTGGAGGGAGTGTACCCAGACCTCGAGCTGTCCCGGACGACAAGATTGCGTAGTGGACGTCGTTGCTATTATCGACGTTGAGGAGTCCATTGTTTCTATGTTGCAGAAAACCATTTCTTCCACAACGTCGAACCAAACCCTGGCGTCTTCCCGGTCCGAGGAGTGTGGCGACAGGGACGCCCCGATCAAAGCCATGGGTGCAACGAGTTCACAAGGGCTCGTTGCAGCGGTGAAAGATGGTTTATGAATCGCGGGCCAGTTAGGGTGCCACAGAGCCCACTAGTAATCCAGATATCTACCAAGATTCTGCGGTTGAAAGAAACAGACACATGCACTTTCTTTGAGCGCGGACCAGTCGCCCAGCGCCGACTTGACGTCTGAACCACGAAGATTGACCGTGGCTTTGAGGGCAACGACTACCTCATGGCTTTTCAAGGCCAGTGTGCTGTGCATCGTGTCGGCAGACAGGATGCACTTGCTGTCAGCTAACTTCTGGATCGGGGAGCGCTGTGAGGCGCCTAGAGAGTTTGAGTTCGACGTACTGAAGTCGAAGGCCGGAGACATAAAGACTGATGATCTTGTTCGCCAATCCCCGTCAAATGGATCTTTGATAAGCCTCGGAGTCTGTTGCTTATCGGAAGGATCGAGGTTGACCTGTCGTCGACTGTACCGTCTCGCATTGGCTGAATGACGCTCGAAAAGGGTTCTTGGTGACTCCTCGATAGCGTGGGAAGACATCACGGACGAGAATCCCTGCGTGACCTCCACGCATGAAGTATCCTCCTCGACTAGGCTACTGTCCACCCCAAACGCACCCCTCAATCCAGACTCGTTGTTGACATGACGGACAAGAAAGTCGAAGGATTCCGCAGGGTCTCTCTCCGGGTCACTGGCATCTGTGGAGCATTCTAGAACAGGAGAACGGCTCTCGTCACCAAATACGTCTGTAGTCGGACCGAACTCGGACGACGGCCGGTGTCGAAGATGCATCTGCCAAATGTGCGATGGTGCAACCGTCTTAACTTCCTCCACGGAGACATCTGTACCCTTCTGTAGACCCATCGTTGTCGTCTGCGTTGCTGCGCAAAGCATCTCTGCAGTATCTGCATCTGGCTGTGTCGGTGAGACCGATGTTTCCAGCGGCTGTCTGTTTAGCCTTGAGTATGTGCAAATTGACCTTCTCAGAGCACAGGTTTGGCAGGGCCGTGCAGAGTTACAAGCTCGCTTCAGTTTGAAGCACTGGTCGCATGCTTTTCGGGTCATCTTTGGTTTTTCGTCTGAACCAGGCCAAGAATCGATGGCAATCTGGCTTGCAGAACAAGCTTGGTAGTGACGTTTGAGAACGTCCCTACGTTTGAATCTTTTGTTACATAATTGACACGAGTGTGGGAAATCGTCAGTATGAGCTGCAAGATGCCGCCGAAGGTGATCGATACGGCTGTATATCGTGCCGCAGACCGGGCAGAAAGGTGCTTGAGTCGTGGGCTGCGCGTCCTGCTGCGCCATGGTACGGGTCAGGACTGACCCTTGAGAGAAGCTGTTCCCGAACGTTGCTGAGGTAGACGCAGATTCCGTAATTTTTATAGCGGTCAGCCTCTATCTTGATTCGGTTAGCAAATTCCCTCAGCTGCAATCACAGCCGAGAATCCATTGCTGGCCACGCTTCCACCGGGAAAAAGGACCGTCGCTTATGAACATTTACAGGGAAGTCCAATTCGTAACGAAGTAGGAATAATGGTGTGGCAAGGTGGGAACTTTGGGGTACTGCCAGGTCATCAGCTGGACGAGGAAAGCCGGCCCCGTACTCCGCAAAATGTGTTCTGGTCAAGCGGGGAGGTCTGAGTCAGTAGTGTACTGGGTAGGTAAGTATCCCTACTGCCGACTGATCGGGGACCCTCCCCCACATGAGACTCCGCTACCTACTAAGCCTGTTCCGAATCTCGGTAAATATTCGAAGGCTCCACCGGTGCTGTATACTGTACATAAGAACGGGTGATGACTGCTGACTACATGGAACAATCTTCTCCGTTGCATGCCCCTTCCTCAAACAACACGCGTGAAAAGGCAGGGCGGCTCTCAGAATGAATACCCACATTCCGACCACCAAGAATGGCTCACCACCTACTGTAGGCCGAAAGCCCAATGACACCTGTTGGACTAGGCTGAGTTGCGAGCGATGTCAGTGACCGTCTTTACAAGTCATATACTCACGCCTAGCGCCTTAGCGCCTTCGGCGGAACGCCGACGCCCTCACGTTCCTTACAACTTTTGCAACACCATCAATTCACTGTTTCTAGTCATATATGACTATATTCTCGGCCTTCACAAGGAGGGCTTCTCTCCGTCTAGAACGTCGCCCGATAGAACGCCGCCCGATAACGGCCAATGGCTCCATGCGGCACGTTGTGCGACGGCGAGAAAGCCCTCCCTTGCAACGCTCCCTTTGCCTATATAATAGATAGAGATCTCCCTCCGAGAGAGGGAGGTCAGACTCGTCAATACATCCCATTTAGCCCCCCGACATCGCCTAGAACTGAGTGTTGCATAACAACACCTGCCCCCGAAGGACTGGTGATCCTCTGGTCCTGCCACCTGGAATCGACTCAGAACAGTTTGGAGCTTTTATTATCTGTGTCAAGGACCTAGTTGGAGAGGAAAATGTCGGTCTCGTCACCACCACGCCCGGGGATTCAGAGGAGAAAAGCTATCTGAATCCCAGCAAGACCCACGACATGTTCCATGTCCTCGACGAGGATTATTTTGTCAGCTCCGCCGTTGTGGCTCCGAGAAATGTCCAGGATGTACAAGCCATCATGAGACTTTGCAATGATTTCGAAATCCCGCTGTGGCCGTTTTCCGTTGGCAGGAATGTTGGCTACGGCGGGGCAGCTCCCAGAGTGCCAGGAAGCGTTGGGCTCGACATGGGAAAGAACATGGCTCGCATTCTTGAGGTCAATGTTGACGGCGCATATGCCCTGGTCGAGCCCGGTGTCACCTTTCAAGATCTTCACGAATTCTTAGTCAAGGAGAACCTGCGTGACAGGCTGTGGGTGGATGTCCCGGATCTGGGTGGCGGGTCGGTTTTGGGAAACGCGATAGAGAGGGGAGTTGGTTATACGGTTTGTCCATTGCTCAAAGACAAGTGAAATTAGAGACTTACTAACGGCCGAAAAGCCATATGGTGATCATTGGATGATGCATTGCGGCCTCGAAGTAGTTCTGCCGGATGGAACCCTCGTACGCACCGGGATGGGCGCCCTGCCCAACCCAGCTGCCGATCCTGGGCTCCCGCCTCACGAACAGCAAAGTAACCCGGCGTGGCAACTGTTCAACTATGGATTCGGCCCATACAACGATGGGATATTTACGCAGTCCTCTCTCGGTGCGTATGATGGAAAGAACTCCCAACAAGCTTGAAGCTGCTGACCGGAGAGTAGGAGTTGTCGTCAAAATGGGTATATGGCTCATGACAAACCCCGGCGGATACCAATCCTACCTGATCACGATCCCTCATGACGAAAGTCTCCACCAGGCCGTTGAGATCATCCGACCATTGAGGGTTGGTATGGTGTTGCAGAATGTGCCTACGATACGCCATGTTTTGTTGGATGCTGCAGTCATGGTAAGCATGAGACCATCTTGGTCGCAAGCAACTGGAGATATGCTAATTGACAATCAGGGGACCCGCAAGAAATATTCCAATTCAGAAAAGCCGCTCACTGACAAAGAAATCGACGGTATCGCTGCCGAGCTCGGTCTCGGCCGCTGGAACTTCTACGGTGCCCTTTACGGACCGCCGCCCGTCCGAGAAGCCATGTGGAGTGTTATCAAGTCATCGTTCTCTCAGATACCGGGAGCCAAATTCTACTTTCCCGAAGATATGCCCCAGAACAAGGTCCTTCAAATTCGGGACAAGACTCTTCAGGGCATTCCTAGCATGGATGAACTAAAATGGGTCGACTGGCTACCGAATGGAGCACACTTGTTCTTCAGCCCAATTGCCAAGGTCAGCGGAGACGATGCGGTTGCCCAATATCAGTTGACCCGTCGAAGAAGCGAGGAGTTCGGATTCGATTTCATTGGGACCTTCGTGATTGGCATGCGTGAGATGCATCATATCGTCTGCATTGTGTTTAATCGCAAAGACCATGATCAACGGCAAAAGGCACATCGGCTCATCCACACCCTAATTGAAGATGCGGCAAAACGAGGTTGGGGTGAGTATCGGACGCATCTGGCGCTGATGGATCAAATCGCTGGCACGTACAACTTCAACAACAATTCCCTGATGAAGTTGAACGAGACCATAAAAAACGCGTTGGATCCGAAAGGAATCCTGGCTCCGGGGAAGAATGGCATTTGGCCAAATTCCTACGATAAAGAGTCCTGGAAAATAGACATTCCATAGCCTAATCCATACCAGTACACCCAAGCGCTGGGTAAAGCTCACAGCTTGCTCGAAGTGGGAATCTTGACTCTTTACAGAATGATTGACAATTTTCCTCCGCTGCGAATGTAGGATCTCATCCTTGACACTGAAGTGGTCTGGAAACTTGCTGAACGTCTTGTTTACGGAGTATCTGCAGCCTGATGCCGCGCTTTTGTCGTCAGCTGTCGTATCTGGTGCTGATGCATCGGTTGCTACAGAGCTGTGACAGCCGCCTTTACACTCACCGGACTAATCGACATTCTTACCATGCCAGCAACTCTCTCAAGCACCTCTGGAGGTCTCAGAAGGCATTCTCAGAAGTCTCAGATGGCCTCCAAATGTCTGAAAGCCCCTCGTTGCAGTACTCAGAGAGTTAAACCGGTTTGAAAAAGCTTGATTGACTACTTCCTGGGTTTTGGATTTCTCCCTTCTCTCACACTTTCTCTAGGCCACAAGTCGAAGACTACGGGAGACAAGAGAATGCAATCACAATAAATTCTATCCAGAATTCTCTCCCATTTGTTCACTGATACACGATTCTTGATGCGAGTAACTCTCCGTTGGGACCAAACTCGTTCCCGAACAGCAAGACAATTCATCATTTCTCTTGATCTGGAAAGAGCCACTCATATATCTGCATGCCTGACCGCTCGTCCAGTAGTGGAATCCACATGAACGACATCAATAGTTCCTGCATCTGCTTCCATGTCATGATACGGCATTTGTCAATACAGTCCCGCATACTATTCTCCAGCCATTCTTCATCAGAGATGTCAAAGAGCGAATTCGCTGCTATCATCAGCAGCCAAAGCGTCAGCTGAGGAGTGACTCCTTCAACGACCCCGAGGTGGAGGATACACTCTTGATAAGTGGTGTGAAATTCATGGTGGGGTGGTTTGACGTCCTGCCACTGTAAGAAGCCATGGTAGGAGAAGGTAAGCAGACCGAGGCGCATCACCTCATCAAGTGAGCTGGCCGGGAACTCCATAGAGAGAAGACGATAAATTACGGAGACCATAGTGTCATGAATGACCTCCGTGTAGACCGGCCACTGTGTTTGTACCCCAAGATTGACGATCAAGCAGAACCTTCTCATGACCCACCATGCTGTCGCGAGCTCCTTGTTCAGATGGTGAATCAACCTATCGTTGTCGTCGGAGAACGGCTTGCTGTCAGGGCTGGGTACCAGCTTCTTGGGGTACTCAGGCACTGGTTCGGAAGGTTGACGGTAAAATACAGGCGTGGATGCATCGAGTAGCGCGATCCTTAGGTCGCATCTATGGATATTAGCATCTTTCAATGGACCAACGCGAAGCGTTCATCGGCATCCTACCTCAGCAATTCGGTGAGCAAGAACTTGCCTTTGAAGACATCGAGACCTCCTCTGAGATCTACCATCTTCCGAAGTCCCTCCATGTGGTGCCTCGAGGCCTTATATTCTCCCTTAAAGTGCGCTGTTCCACAAAGTTTCATGACAGTACCCACCGTGGAATCCGAGATCTTTAGATCACCTTCGTCCCCGAGCAGTCGCTCCCGGAGAAGCCTTAGCCCTCTTTGTAAATGAAGCATCGACACGGGATTAATGCTGTTCGGCTGGCGCTGAAGGACCCTTTGAATGAACTCCTCCACGCAAAAGGCTGTTATGTGAAGGGCGGCGGGATCTGCCTCCACGGGGTACAAGGTCTCCCCGCTCTCCGAATGGAAGCCAATTTCCATCATCAGCGGGAACATGACCCTCTTAGCGACAGGGGAACCTGATTTGCTCTCCAAGTTAGCAAATATAAGAGCAAGAAACTGACTCTGACTGACAACTTGTTATGTTCAGATTCATAGCGATCGACGGTTCCACCCCTTTGGCAAAGTCCACGAATGAAAAGTCTGGACCAACCCGTCTGTAGAGCAGGGGATTGAACGTTTCCATTACTTCATTCAGTCCAACGGGCGATATGTGAGCAGGAGTCGCCCGAATCACTCGCCTGTCCGAGTTGGGTGCTCCCCTTTTTTTCTTTTTCTTCCCGAGCATCACATGGCTCCGGATGAGCTTCCTCGTTGCAGGATCGACCTTGTCAACATTTGACGACACAACAAAGAGCATGGTGGTCGGTAAGCGGAAGCGTCCTTTGAGGTTCACCCGTGCATACCCTCGCGGACGGGCTTGGCTTTCAGTTTTGTTTGCCTAACTCAGTAAACGTCGGGGATGGTGTACTTAATTGTGACAGAGGACGACGACGAACACTGTCGCCTTTACACAGCCGTGGGTCTCCGAAACGCCAAGCCAAGTTTTGTATGCCGTTTTGGGTATCGCGGCATATCACGCAGCTGAGTCTAACGGTTTATGGACGTGGGATTGGATTGCATCGGTGATATCAAAGAAGCCAGAACCCCTTATCACCGGGTCAGGAAGAATCAATTCGTCCGAGAAGTCGCATATAAATGGCAATAAAGAGGCCAAGATGCCACGAGCGGACGAGCTTGTCACCTTTAAAGCCAAAGCCAAGGCCGCTCCTATCGACACACGGAAAGCAGCGGGTTCTCTCTAGCAAGGACAGATTGATCTCTACCCACGAAGATGCTCGCCGACGGAGATCCTGAATCGCAGCTTCAAAGAGAGGTTGGGGCAACACAAAACACAGAGCTTTCGCGTGTTGTTCCGCCAGAGCAAGTTGGCACGGCCGAGAACTCCGTACCCAGCGACGATGAAGCAGCGCCCAAACGGGAATATGTGACAGGAATCAAGAAAGCCATGATTCTCGGCCCCATCACTTTGACGTATTTCCTCTTCTTCCTCGATCTTGCGGTCCTGTCCACGGCGACACCAGCCATTACCTCTCGGTTCAACTCGCTCGTTGACGTCGGTTGGTACGTATCGGAGCGATCCAGATACTCATCTTCCTCCGGTCTGCTTCTTCCCCTGGCTAAAACGTGGTTAGGTACGGCGGTGCCTATCAACTTGGCAGCTCAGCATTCCAGCCCTTGACCGGCAAGATATTCCGATACTTTTCCATCAAGGTAAGTCGTAGCATCTCCCCCAGGCCCAGGCCTCATCAGCGTCATGTTTCCCCGTCTGACTTCCAACAGTGGTCTTACCTTACTTTCTTCCTTATCTTCGAGATCGGCTCTCTTCTCTGCGGAGCTGCACAGTCTTCGAGCATGTTTATTGTGGGAAGAACCATCGCGGGTGTGGGATCTTCGGGCATCGCCAATGGCTCTCTGACAATCATCTCCGCCATATTGCCGCCCCGGGAACAAGCAAAATTCTTAGGCCTCAACATGGGTCTCGGCCAACTTGGACTTGCGCTTGGTCCGATTGTTGGTGGTCTCTTCACCGAATACGTGTCGTGGAGATGGTGTAGGTCTTGCCCTCGATTCTCCTCGTTACTTCCAGCGCGAGTTGGTGTCAGCGGCTGATAGGGTCGATCTAGGTTTCTACATCAACCTCCCCGTCGGAGGTGTGGTCGCCATCCTGCTTTTGTTCCTTCGCATCCCCGAGCCGGAGGCGAAACTTCCCCCACGGCAAGTCCTTGCCACAGCTATCAAGTCTCTGGACCTCCCTGGATTCATGCTGATCTGCCCCGCGGTGGTCATGTTCCTCCTGGCGCTGCAATGGGGTGGCAACCAACATGCATGGAACAGCTCCATCGTTATTGGTCTCTTGGTCGGCGGAGGCGTCACATTTGCTCTGTTTTTGGTCTGGGAACAACGCCAAGGGGACGAAGCCATGGTCCCCTTTGCGATGCTGAAGCACCGTATCATCTGGTCAGCCTCAGGTAACATGTTCTTCCTGCTGAGCACCATCCTCGTCGCAGACTTTTACCTCGCCATATACTTCCAGGCTGTACACGATGATTCGCCTCTCATGAGTGGTGTGCATATGCTGCCCACGGTCATCTGCATGGTCTTGTTCACCATGCTCTCGGGCACCATGAGTAAGTGTCTCTCCATAAACACGTCCGAAATTTGTCCCTCATACTGACCACTGAATCACAGTCGAAATGCTGGGCTATTACCTGCCTTGGGTCATTGCAGGAAGTTCCGTCTCGGCCATCGGGTACGGCCTGCTCTCACTCCTGAGTCCCACGACCACGACCGCGAAATGGATCGGATACCAGATCTTTTACGGTGCAGGTAGTGGCTCCATAGTTGCAGGTGTAAGTTTCTCTCCCTGTACCGACCCTCACCCACCACACCCTGCACATCTCTCTCTAACAAACCCTTTTCCTCGGAACCTCACAGGCGTACATTGCAATCCAAAACCTCGTTCCGGCGCCACAAATCCCCACCGCGATGGCCATCGCCATATTCTGCCAGAACATGGGCGCGGCAGTCTCCTTGATTGCCGCCAACGCCATCTTCAGCAACTCGCTGCGTCGCCAGCTCCAGGACCACGTCGCCGACATTGGAATGGCCCCGGAGGTCATCCTCAACGCCGGCGTTCGTTCGATCCGTCGACTGTTCGAGCGTGACAGCCAACCGTTGGCCATTGTACTACAGGCGTACAGCGATAGCGTCGATAAGGTCATGTATCTCGGCATCGCTGTGAGTGTTGCGGCGTTCGCGTTCGGTTGGGGCCTGGGGTTCCGCGACATTAGGGTGGAGAGGAAGTTGATAGCCCTTCGGGCTGAGTCGGCCAAGGAGGAGCGCGAGGATGGGAAGCCGACGGCTGCGGGCCAGAAAACCTAGGGAGCAGCGGAGTAGATAGTGGAAAGGCAACAAAAATCGGGCCGTGGGAGCGGTAGCGCCTACGGCATGCGTGTGGGAGTCGGTGTTCTCTCCACCACCCAGGCTAAGGGCCACGCTGAGGTCCGAAGATGGAAATGGAAAATACACTTGTCGAGATTCCGACTTCGAATTCCCTGTTCTCCCAGACAGGATATAAATCCGGCTTTGATATTGGATTTGACGTCCGAACAGTATGGTAATGCTTGGTAGAAGGGTCCGTGTGGAACAATAACTAAGAGATCCAAAAGTATCCGAGGCCATCATGGTTGCCGCAGGGTCTTTCGCCTTGATAGCCAAAATTTCTAGGAAGTCGAAGGCACAGAGCTTCGACAGCCTAGGTATGTCGAATTGGGATTTTCTTGATTCCACGCCCGGTTCTATATCTACCTTAGGTGGTCTTCATCCTTGTCGAGGGAATGATGGACACATCTCTCCTCCCCCCTCCCCCCTGCCCCGGACCCCAGACTCTTTACCCACATTCAATCCCACGTTCGAGTCGAGGTCTACTCCATACCAAACCCCTGCTCTGTGGAGCAACTGCTGAGGAGCGGTCGCCACACGTGCTCACCTCGAGAACTCGCGCCTTGCTTTGTTCCTCGGCTTTCGTCATAGAACCCTTTCGGAGTGCAGTGCTTTGCAGCTCTGGCAACGAACCCTGAGCTTCGGCATGTCCCCCATGCCTAGTAGATCTTACAGTTTACCACCCCCCCCCGGCCCACATGCTCTTCCGTTCCGAGGCACCGTCGAGGCTCTCTTGTCACCGGATACAGTGAAATTACTTTCTAGCCATTGAATGATCCAGTTATCTGCACATTCATCATCATCTACCGAGAGGGCGATCGGGACCTTGGGTACGTGGTACGTTGACATCGGAAGACACCGAAAAGTGGAGCCTCGAGGGTGCCCCAAATCGGGATGGTCCGCGACACCGACAGGTTCAGGCGCCAAGTTGACTCGTGCCTGGGGCTTTCGCGTGAGCCTCGGATACATACAATCGTACGAGAAGTGCACATGGTTTGACAATCTTATTGAAAAATGGAGGGAAGACCGGCAAGAGGAAGGCAAGATGATCAATGGCTATGGTGCCAGTGCACTATTGGGTTTGGAACATTGACGAGTTTGCGATCTATGGACTAAAAGGGAGGTAGGTCAGGGACGGCAACCGACGTGGGCTGTTTGATCCAACGGTGGGCTCGACTACCTATGTCCAGGTGTCCTAACTTCTCCATCATTTGATCGTTGTGGTGTTGTCATCAGCCTTTGGCTCCTTCTGGGACGTCTCAACCCAGTCCTCCTGGCCGTAAGGCACTTTAGATATACCGGCCATGATCCCACCAGTCGTAAACAGCCCGTCGACCTGTTCCAAAGTCTTCCCGCCGGTCTCAGGGCACAGGAAGAACACGAACACCACGGCGACCAGGTTTCCGCTCAACACCCAGAACCAAAAATGCCATCCGCAGTTGTCGAAGCCAATGGGTCCCACAAAGACTGTCAGGAATGTCCCCAGCCACTCACCGGCGCTCGTCGCGGCACCACCGACGTGGCGATACTCCAGTGGAGAAATTTCGGCACAATACAGCCAGACTGCTCCCTCGTAGGCATAGCCCATGATGAAAAGGAAGAGCCACAATATCGCAATCGAGGCCCATCGGATCGATGTTGTCTGGGGCACGGCAACCAGAGCAATGAAAATGACGAGAAGAAGTGTCATTGCCACTGCCCCGTGGAGAAGTGTGCTCCGGCGACCTGTACGCTCAATCGTGAAATAGAGTGGCACGCAGCCGAGGGCAAAGATGATGTTTTGAACCCCAGCGAGTGCCGAGATCAAGGCTGGAGTGGCTCCAGTGTTGGACAGGATGATAGAGCCTGGATCAGAAGGTTAGCACCAGAGCATTCGAGCATGGACGCGTGGTTGTTGAAGAAGTGAATGAATATATCGTGTCACGGGACACTCGGGTGCGGATAAACTTGTTCCCAGCAGATGTTGCCGAATGAGTGTTTTCGACGCAAGAGTATCTTCAGAAGGTAACAGGGACTTCGCGCGAGGTGAGAATGGAGAATCTTACTGTAATACGCCATGAGACTCGAGCCCATCCACTCCCTAATGAAAGGTAACCAGAAGCAGATACACAATCGTCTCGCGATTTTGAGAGGTGAGTGGTCAATGATGCCCGAGGTGATGAATTGCTGCCAATGCAGGCTGGCACTGGCCTCCAACTCGGACTCAATGGCCAACATGATTTCCTGCCTGGTCTGTTGGACGAGAGGATCGTCCGGAGAAGGAACGTTATGGAGACGCGCTAGGATGGCATCGCCCTCTGGGATACGATTCTGAGCATAATACCATCTTGGAGTGTCCGGAAGAAAGAGCATTGAGCCGCCGCCAATCAGAGCAAAGACGACCTGGAAGATGATGGGTACTCGCCAGGAGGCCTGGTTGTTCATCTTGGTAAAGCCATAGTCGATCCAGTAGGCCAAGGGAACACCGGAGATCAACATGATGGCGTTCAGGGCATTGGCAGGGCCGCGGTCCCCAGAATCAACTCCGGTCTCTGACAGGTAGATTGGAACGGATGACGAGATGCAACCGATGGCGAAGCCCGTGCAGCATCTTCCGACTATCAGTTGAGCGATACTGTACGACGACGCCTGGATGATAGAGCCAATGATGGCTGCGACGTTTCCCAAGACGATGGTGCCACGGCGTCCCAGCCTGAAGGAGAAGAATCCTACCACCACCGAGGTGACGAAAGCTGCCAGACTGTACGAGCTGGATATCATAGGGATTGTGTATTGGCTGGTGTTCTCCAGCCCAATGGCCTCAATGAAGGGGTTGTGGAGCAGGACGCCGCCCAGAACTCCAGCATCGTACTGTGCTCATGTCAGTGCCTTTTCACTGTGAAGGGAGTAAGTGTCTTGGGCTGTACTTACGCCGTACATCATGAACGAGGTACCGCACACGAGTTTCATGAGCAGGTAAAGGCTCCTGCCCCGAAGTCCTTGGAACAACTTCATGGCTGTTGTGGAGAACTGCAGAAGGACGGGTCTCACCTATTTTATCGCAAGAGACAGATATTTTCTCGATGAGTGTATGAAGTCATGGGAAAGGAAGGCACTCGTGATATGCCTTCCACCATCCTCCACGTTGATCCCAGGTTGACGTCCTCCCAACGTGGTCGACTCAGACACAAATGGATCAGACACTCCAAGCTAGATCACTAGACTTGTTTTGTACCATAGCGAGCCGACACGGGACAACCAGGCGGTTCGCCGTTGATCGTTACCCCAGGAATCTCCACCCAAAACGAACGACCCCAGGTCGGTCAGTGAGTGTCCCAGACTTCCAGTATCGCCTCATCACGAAGTGTTTCTGGCGCATAATCTTGATCATGCTGTCGTGATTCAACATCAAGACAATATTGAATCCTGAGTACCAAGTCTACCCGAGCGAGAGCTGCCCCTAGTTAGAGTGGCCGTTGCGGACTCCTGAGCTCTCCAACTCCAAAGGAAACCATCAGCAAACTACCTCGGGTCAACTCAATCTCCTCCTCTCACTTGAAGCAGGTATCTCCAATTCTGCCATCAAATCCACAGCACAAGCTCACAGTAACTGTTTCGTTACTGAGTCAGAGGTGGTTATGATCGCCCGCTTATCAAGCGCCTTGTAAAGATCAATAGCGTAATCTTGACCGGTGGACTCGACACACATGACGGATTCTACAGCGGATAACAACTCTGCTAATGAAGATGAAAGGAAGAAGAAGCCCCGGCAGCGAACCGAGAGGAAAAGGATCCAGGATCGGCTTGCCCAACGAGCCAACCGCGAGAGAACCAAACAGCGGATTGCCGCGCTTGAAGAGGCTCTGAGCAGCTTCCAGTCCGGCGAAGACCCCAGTTGCACGGCTTCACTGACGCGCACCATTGCCAACTTGCGGAGCAACAACCACCAGCTCCGTTACACACTTGACAGAATACGTAGCCTGATCAGCCAAGTTCCGCCCATCCCTGAAGGCGATACCACTGGCACCAACACGGAGCTCAGGCCTGGCGAGCCAGCACCCAGCAGCCTAGAATTGCAGTCTTCCGAAAGAAAACCGCCCAGAGCTTTCATTCCCGGGGTCGAGTTCACCGGCACCGTTGTGGCCGGCAGTAAGAGATTGGACTTTGAGTATCCTGCAACGACATCTGGAAAGCTTTTCCCTCCCCGTGAGACCGTGGCTGTTGCGGGCAAAACAACTTGTGCGGTGCCCGAGGAAGGGGTGGGTTTCGAAGACGGCAATTGTGGAGAGGACGTTCTAGCAGAAGGTCTGGTCGTAGACGACGAGGTCCTTGGAATAATGGCTGTTGACACCGTATCTGACCGCGACGCCACGGCAAACAAGCTGGACGTGGACGTGGATCTGGATCACTTCGACATGGACATCCACACCGACCTCCTTGAAGTGTTCGACACTACAGACTTGGGCATTTGGACCACAACCGCCTACGAGCCTCCTGCACTGTTCCAATCACCGTCCTCGACACTCGAAGTCTCCCGAGAGATCGTTCCAGACACCGAAAAGTGGCACGTTGGCAATTCGGCCTACTTTGGAGCCTTGGATTCGGTGAAGCGACGCGTCAAGTCGACATCGGCCTCAACCATGGACTTTGAGGTGGCGTTTCAAGCCATGCTGTGGGGGTGGCAGACGGTCGGCCACGCAGCAGGCGAGCACCCCGTGTGGCAGGCTCTGCGGGAGGTCGACCAGCGCATCTTTGGCACTTGGACGTCGGTGGCACAAAGGATCGCCATGGTGTTCGTCTGCCAGACCCTGATCCAGTATCGAGAGGATCCCACGCCAGACAATCTCGCTCGAGTTCCTGGCTTTCTCCGACCTAGGTGAGAGATTCTCTCGGCTCTCCGCGCGGTGTTTGTGTGTTCTTGTTCATCGGTGCTGACTTAATGCGTGATTCCCAGACCTTCACAAGAACGGCTAGCACACCCTGTGGTTATTGATTTTCTAATATGGTAAGTCTTGAAAAAGTCATGTTGACGTCGCTGGGGTCGCTCTCCGCCTCTGCCTCTGCCTGGTTGCAAAGCATAGAAGGCCTCAGTGTGTTTTCTTCGGGCCTCCGCGTCGCTTGTGCTCACTCTTCTCACTTACAGGCCCAGCATGCGCGATAGGATGATCTTTGAGCATGAGAAATACAGTGCGACGGGCGTGTTCTCGGCGGCCTACGTCGAGAATTTCTCCTTCTTCTGGCCATATTCCGACAAGGAGATATTCGTTTACGACCCCCTTCACGATCGACACGACTTCAGTCCTGTCTTCCTACAACATGTGTATGACTACGAGAACTGGACGATGAAACCTGGATTTTTCGACAAATGTCCTGAAATGCGCTACGATGTTCCCGTCTTTCAGAAGGCTTTGAGTATCATGCAACCTGTGGCTTCGTTTTGACGCCGAGAGATTCTGTCTAATGACCATGATCACAGTCTTTCGAGAGTCAGGCCTGTTCGAGATCTCCGAGCTTCTCTACATGATCTACTTCCTCACGATCCTCGAGGGCAGGAAACATTGCCGATCGCAATTTGATCCGTTCCGACCTATGGATTTACGAGCTCCACGCCTCTCTCTGCACTATTTGCGTAATATCTCTTTTTGGCCATTCACTCGTCCTTCCCCGAACTTATCACGGCAGGTTGAAGTCGACCACGATGCGACTACATATTCGTTAGCCTCTAACTCGCGCAAATTTCTTCCATGCCTGGCGCCGAACTCACCCAGCAACTTGTCCGTTTTTCAGACTCTGGACTGCTTCGTTGAATTTGCTTAATCCTACTATCTTGGGCTGGAGACGCAGCTTGCCTAATACAACATCAGCTTCCTCTCCCGGTAATATTCAGGATAGTACCAGCATTACCTCGTCGAGCGAACTCGAGTGTCTCATCAACATCAGCCATGCTACTCACAAGTGTTCCCTTGATGGATTGTCCGCGGAATATCAAGGATGAAGGATTCAGGTCGACGTGGTATTTTCCGTCTGGAGGAAGACCGATACTAGATCTTCGATTCAGCGTGGATCTCCAATAGAAGAGCTCAAACGAGATTGAGTTCACATACCACATGACTTGTCCACCTGCTCGACCGCCCAGGTAGCCGAGAGATATTGGGTATGACTGAACTGCAGTGACGAACACCGCGTGTGCACCGCCCTCGGTAAGCTCCACAACCTTGCTGACCGGATCTCCCTCTTTGAAGTCCACAAAGTGTTCGGCACCCAGCTCCAAGGCTAGCTTTCTTCGGTCGTCGCCAGTGTCCACCACGATAGCTCGCATTCCCATAGCAGCTGCCAGTTGGACTCCTTGGATTCCGACGCCCCCACCTCCACCGGGGAACACGGCGAAGTGACCAGGTCTAATGCCGGATTCTTTAATCGAGGAGTACACCGTCGAGGCAGAGCACATGACAGGACCTGCGATGTAATCCGAGACGCCCTTCACCCAGTCAGTCCGTGTTTAGGGGGCATTCTTGCCCAATTTAGCGGAAACATACATCGGGAATGAGCTGCGAATACATGGTTAGCCAACTACCGCCTAAGAGAAAATCACTCATGACTTACAGTAGTGTAGTTATCCGGCGATACCACATACTGTTTGTAGGATCCTGTTCGTTGTAAGCAGGAATCGTATGGCTTGAGTGGGAGGCTGATACTTGCCGTCACAGACTCCTCCCGTGAAAACAGCTTTGTGGCAGTACTGATCCCGGCCAGACTTACAGTAATCGCACTGGTGGCAAACATTCTGAATGGGCTTGAATCCTGCTCGCTGACCTACTGCAAGCCCCTTGACATTTTCGCCAATCTTGACAATCACCCCGGCGCCTTCGTGCCCAGCGCACTTGACTCCCATTTCGGACATCTTGGGCAAGTTCCAGTCATGAAGCATGTAGTGAATGTCACTCAGGCAAATTCCCGTCGCGTTGAGCTTTATCAGAACATCATTGGGCCCTAAAAGGGGTCAACTGTCAGTGTTTCTGGCCGTGCCGCAGGCGGTTTCTCATTTGCTTGCCGATTTCGGGCACGGGGACCTTTTCAACCTCGACGTAGAAATTAGGTCCCTCATCTTTCTATTTACAATAGTGTAAGCCTCTCGTTACGCGGTTCACGGCATCGCGCTTCCTACCACAACCGCTGCCCAGCATTCCTTGGGGACATCAAAAGCAGCAGTAGAAGCGTCACCCATGATTTTCGTTGGTGAGGAAGTCGAGGTTGTGACTTGAGGAGTTGGCCGATGGTAGAAGAGTTGTGAATGGATACCTTGTCTGAGGGTAAAGACGTTACGGACGAAGAGAAGATATTCAGTCGTCTATAAAAGCGTGAACATCATTTTGGCGGGGGGGGGATTGAACTTGTGCCATTGCTGGTCAGTTACTCCAGAGTCAGAATGGCTGACTCGCCTTTGGAACGTGTACAAGCCCCCAGATATCCACGGTGTAGCCGCGGACGACCTCGTCCGACTCCTGTACGTTACACATATTGTGACCACAGACTTCTTACCGTTCGTAGAAGGTTTCTCAGTATGGAGAAAATTCGCCCGTAGCCTGTAGTAACGGCGTTGGATATCTTGGGATGGTCATGGTTCCGCTCGTCACGGTCTGAAAAACAGGAAGAGTTGAAGAACTTGTGGAAAGTAGCACAATGGAGAGTGGACAATAGTGGCGTCTCTACAAAGTCATCACGAGCTATATGAGACAGCTCGGGCACCCTGAATTGGCAAGAATACGTACATTGTAGTTTGTAGAGATAATTCGCGAGATACCTACGGCCTCGTGGATCCGTGTGAAGGTCCGGCTTGTCGCGTTCTGGGGCGCTAAGAATAGCAGCTGCGAGGCCAAGGCTCTAAGTGACCAAGTGAGGGAAGAGGAAGGTATGCCGAGAACGCATCGATTACTCAATCAGCGCAAACACTCCGTGCGGGCGCAAGGCAGTGCAGAGTCTTGAAAAGCTGCAATTCAGTCAGCACAAATGTAACTCGAAGTCGCGGTCGATGTTCTTGGTCTTTCGACGCAACCATCCTCGCCCAGCAATGCCATTGTTCTCCTCTATTCCCTCATTGTCATTCTCGTCTTGATTCATTCCTGTTCTGTCCTTCTCCCGGCACGCTCATTCTGCCCCTCTCAAGCATCCCTCCCAAACCCAAGCAAACACTCCGGTCATCGCTTACTCTCGCTTGGTTAGCCCCAACGCGTACCAGCCCGATCTTTGAACGAAAGTCGTTGAACGATTGCCATAGCCACCTTACTCTGTACACCGCAAAACCCCCTCTGAATGTCTCAACTCTCACCTTGACCTCTGTCGCTGAAAGAGCATGCAGAAACAGTACGTTCAGATGCGAGAGACCGCCTTCGATCTCTACACGGAACGCGACGCCCTGCCCTGGTATTACAGGGCTTGTGCTCTTACTTCGTCCTGCTCCTGCCTGGCAGGTTATATCATCTTTGCGCTCGTTTTCACCTCGGACGAATCCAATGTGAAAGTCTCCCGAACGGCTCTCATTGTCCTCGCCTCGATCTTTCTCATTGCAGGCTATGCCTCCGCTTCAGCGATTGCCTTTTTCGGCCGCAGCCTCCTCTTCTTCTACGATGGCGTCCTCATACCAATCCTGACGTCCTCCTTCATGGGCATTGTTGTAACGGTCTTGAACCATGCCCTGCACAAAGACTTTCCCATCCCGAATCATGCGTACATATACATTCCGCTGGTGACGGCGTGTACGACGACCGTCGCCTCGGCAGCTCTCACGTTCGTTATTTATAAGCGATTGGCCAAGATGAAAAGGTTGGACAACCATAGGAGACAGAGAATACGAAAGTTTGATCGTCATTCGTCAATGAGCTATGGCGACGCCGCGTCGACCACGGAACTCTTGCCCATTGATCCAAGTATACCAGAGGATGAGGCCCAGCGTCGACAGCTTCTGCGTCTGCTCTTGAATCGAGAGGCGGCTGAGCAATCATCGCCGTCTCCTGGGATGCCTAGCTCTGAAAGTACCTACAAAATCTTCCTACCTGGTGACGAAGGCTTTGGTGGAACACAGGTGGTGCCCGCCAGTGCGCGACCTCGAAGTGGGAGTCTCCCGAATTCTTCAACCTCTGCCAAATGGAACTTGCTGGCGAAGATTACTGGCGACCATAGCCCGCCCGTGGAAAGCTCTTTCAAAGACCATCGTCAACGTCGACGCGAGGAGATTGAGCGCTCATCGATACTTATGCCGGCGGGCACAGACAGTCCATGGTTGCAACCCTTCAGTGCGGCCTCGCCCTCTCCTTCTCACTCTCTGTCGTGGTCACGTTCGGCGAGGTATGCGTGACAGCCTTCTGGATTCGAGTGGTTCTTTGAGTCATTTAGCGAGGCGTCAGGTTGTTGAAGTGTGTGATGAAAGGTCAATGAAATACCAGAAAAATATCTACCAAAATATCAATGTAACCGTAATGAATTAATGCTTTGCACATACTTGATCTTCAACGGTATCGTCCTCGCGTTGTAGATACTAGGTTAGATGTCTGGTCATCACTCATTGCCTGGAGCATTTCTGCGCCAGTCTCGAATGTCAATATAAGACGTCGTCAGATCAGCAAAACGATTCATGCATCGAAAAAGGCGAGGACATCAAGACGCAAGACGCACGTGCACGTCATTGTCACTGGGGTGTTTCTCGTTTCCTTTTTTGGCTGGACCTCGGCTCAATTTCGAAAGTCAGAGCCTCAAATCGAGACGAATCCATCCGCCTCCGTCTTGTACTAGAAGAAACCGTGTTGCAGCGTGGCCGAAGAGAGGAAGACGATAAATCACCTCGGGAATAACCTCGCGATGGTATGATGCGATTCCTCCGACGTTGAACGAGCAGCCATACGCGCAATCTTACCACTCATTCCGAGCCTTGCTCTTCTTACTGTCTCTTTTTTAATCCCCGGGAATATCTCGCTCCCTCGACCACCGATCACACATCATATATCTACAGTCACCCAGGGCTGCGGTGTCTTTCGGACACACCTTCCATACGCTCTCCCTATCTCTCCTTTCTCTCCCTCCCTCTCGACATGTCTACTCACGCCACGCTCATCAAACCTCCCAAGTCCCTCCCACACCACTCGCCGATCGAAAACGTCCTCCAACTACTCCCACTCGAGGACATCGGGCCCGACATCTTCACCAACGCGCGACCGTTATGGCATCCGCCCGGTGCACGAGGAATCTTTGGCGGAGCGGCCATTGCCCAGTGCCTCTCGGCGGCGCAGGCCACGATCCCCTCGGACTTCACGGTTCACAGCATGCACTGCTACTTCGTTCTGGCGGGCAATTCGGAGATCCCGATCCTGTACCACGTCGAGCGGGTCCGCGACGGCAAGTCGTTCATCACGCGGACGGTGCAGGCGCGGCAGCGGGGCAAGTGCATCTTCACGACGACCATCTCGTTCATGAAAGAGAACAGCGGCGGCAAGGAGAAAGTCGAGCACGCCGTGCCGATGCCGACGGGCGTCAAGGTGCCGCCGACGTCCAAGATCAGCGTGTCGGCCGACGACGACGACAGGCCTTTTGAGAGCGTGCGGTGCAAAGACATCACGACGGCGCAGGGTGGTGGTGGTGGTGGTGGTCGTGTTCCCCCGAGCGCCCGTAAGCTGCGGCAGTGGATCCGCGCCGTCGGCAGGATCAGCGACTGCCCGCCGAACGTGCGCGAGGAGGAGACGACGACGGGCCGCCGCGCCCACGAGCCCGGGGACAACCACCAGGCGCACCTGTCGGCGCTGGCGTACATGACCGACTCGTACTTCATCGGCACGGTGGCGCGCGTGCACAACCTCATGCGCTTCGCCAACCGGCGCAACATCGAGAAGACCCTCCAGACCTTCAAGGGCAGCGACGCCGAGCGCGCCCAGATGAAGAAGTACCTAGAGGAGATCGCCAAGGAGGAACAGGAGGAGAACGACGCGTTTGGTGGCTCGCCGACGGCGGCCACCGACAGCCGCCGCATCGGCATGATGGTCAGTCTCGACCACGCCATCTACTTCCACAACCCGCGCGCCTTCAGGGCCGACGAGTGGATGTTGACTGAGATGGAGAGCCCGTGGGCCGGCGAGGGCAGGGGAGTGGTGTTGCAGCGTATCTGGAGCAAGGACGGAACTTTGATAGCCACGTGCACCCAGGAAGGTGTGGTGCGACTACAGCAGGAAAAGACGAGCAAGTTATGAGAACTTGAATTGGGGTGGCCACGGCGGCGGTATGTGTGCGTGGAAGAGGAAGGGAGTGAAGATTTGGTGGATAGGAGGCCCATGAAGTATTGTCACTGTAGGGGGTTTTTGGTATTACCTCACTTCTTTTCTTCTTAGACAAGATCAAGGAACCCCTGGTTATTCGCAAGTATCTTTGCACGTGTTGTTTGACTCTGGATATATCTATCTCGAGACGATGAAGTGAAATACGCAGCCAGGTAAGCTAAGGTACCTCGGTAGGTAGGTAGGTAGGTAGGTAGGTAGGTAGGTAGGTAGGTCGGTAAGTAGATAGGTGGGTGGTATGAAGGCGGCACTGTACTGTCAAAGTGTACAGCTACGCACAAGCGCCGTAATCGCTTACTAGAATTTCTTCGTGTGTTTCTACATGGCACGTTGGTCACGCACATACGGCTTGTTCTGTATCCCACATTCGACGACAAGGTCAGGGAGAATCAGGGAGGTAGATCATCCGGGTGACCTCATCCGTAGTTCCCCCTAGGTACATAGATGGGTAATGTAAAGCGACCTCAAGGAAGGAAAGAAAATGAGGCGGGGGGAGAGAGAGAGAGAGAGAGAGAGAGAGAGAGAGAGAGAGAGAGAGAGAGAGAGAGTGATGGGAAGGTAACACTGAACAATCACGCTTCGAGATTGATCCCCCTCCCGAACCTCGCGTACAGATGGGCCTTCAGCTGGCTGATCTCATCCTTGATCGTCCCCAGCTCTTCTTCCAACGTCGACACTTCTCCCTCGATTTCTGTCGTGGCGGAAGCGAGAAGATCCTGTGCCTCGCTGAGTGGGAGGTGCATGAACGAATCGCCGATTTTGTATCTGTTTGCCATGTTAGGTCAGGGTCTAAGACCATGGTGAGAGTGCGAGCGAGAGCGTGGGTGGGGATATGTGAGTGAGAGTAATGGGGGAGAAAGAGTCAGTGTGAATGTGAACGGGAGTGAGAAATGAGTAGGGAGTGAGAGTGTGGGTGTGAGTATGCAGGGCGACTCGGAAACCCTCCGGGGACACCTACGGTACCAACTCATCTTCGTCCGCAAGTTCAAGTTCGGTCGAGAGTTCTTCGAGGTCTTCTTTGTCTTTCTGGATGGGACGGGAGAAGTGCCACTGTTAGTCTCACTGCCGGATTGAGGGTTTGGGTACGCGGTACGTAGGACGTGGGACGTGGTCCCCCCCCCCCCGGTTGATTGCACACCGGCACAAAACACAAGACACGTACTTGTTTGGTCGCCAACTCCTCCTCGAGAACTTTGCTCCGGTTGTGTAACCTGGAAAACGTGTTGATCTTGTCCTGGTCTTCCTTTGTGACTTCGGCGTCTGTAGATTCGGACTCTTCCTCCTTCGACAGCTGCAGGCAGGGACCCGGGGAAAATCGTCAGTAACAAACGTCACGGCATGGGCAGCGAGCGGCCTTTGGACCGACGTGACGGCTGCGTCTGGATTTGTCATGACGTACCACTCTCCTCGATAACATTTTCGACGGTCGGTTTTTCTGTCTTCGAAGCGTGGCTGATTCAGGTGTCCACCGGGTGCCCCGCGAGACGCAAGTGGGATGGAGAAGAACAAGATGGGATGTGTCTTTGTGCTCAGCCGTGACGGGGTCGATATCAAAGTAGTACTCTGGATTTTCGTCGAGAAGACAGAATGAAGAATGTGAAAGAAACCCGGATCGAACAAGGCTGCAAGTCGATCGAAATGTTGTACGAGATACAAGGCTGAATATTGCATGTGCCCGATCTTGTGCTGTACAGTAGAATCTACGGAGGAGTTGTACACCTCCAAAATGTCGGCTAGTCAAAGATTCCAGAAACGATCGTAAGGCTGGAGAACGGGACGAAGTTCCCCAGCTCGCAAGTGAGGCTTCTGATGGCTTACGGCATGGATTTCTCTATGACGATGCCTGACAAGAGGTAGTTCATCAGAAAAAGAATAGAACATTCTCAGGATGTCAAAACCCAATGGGACAAAGGGAAAAGGAAACAATCAAATCTCTCTTGCATACTCGCGCCCGTCGTGATATGTATCCCAGCATGACTTTGTCATACACTCTGTATTATAATTCTACAAGCGGTTTCAAAAATAAAAGACCCTATGAAAGAATCCCAAAATGGTTCGACTTGTTCATACAGCACTATAACCACCTCTCGACCCACCCCCGGAAACCGTGTCGACGACTTTCCTCGAGAAATCTTTAAACAAATATGGGATGTCGCGAATGGTGTCTCCGTGCGGCAACAGGTCCCATCCCCGGGCACCATAACGGTTGTAGTTCAGCCAGGAGCCGAAGATGAGGTAGGCGGCGATACCGAGGAAAGTACTGTTCGTAAACCGTCAGTCAGCTTTGATCCCAAAACATGCTGTTGATCGCGAAGAAAGAAGGAGAGTCTCATACATCAGGATGAACCACGTAAAGAAGCCCCACCCAGCCTGCTTTGCCTCATCGCTGTCGGCGTAGTCTTCGCAGGCATATTTCGTCTTCCAGTTGAAACGTGCCACCTCGATCTTCTCCTTGCCTTCGACCGGACCGTAACTCACAAACGACAAGCTCGAAGTTGAGTTTTGTTCGTTGTCACCATCCTCTTCTTCTTCGTCGTTGTCGTCGTCTTCTTCGGCTCTCTTCAGGCGCCTTGCTTCGTTACCTGTCCGATCAGGGTCACACTGTAGTTGGATTACCGCTCGCTGCTTGTTCTTGTGGTAGTATCCACCGTTCAGCTCGATCTGTAATCCATTCGCATTGACGTCCTGCGCTTTCAGCCGCGTGACTTTTGGATCGAGGCTTTTGCCTGTACTCGAGTCAAAGTTCCCGGCGACGGGGATCACGTTCTCGACTTCGACATGTTTCTTCTTCGGGTCATCAACCGGGTTCCACGATTCAACCACTCCGCAGACTATCACCTCGCTGTTAGACCAACCTTCTTAGTTGTTGCGTGCTTACTTACCTCTAGTCCCCATCGGGCACTGGTCTGCATCGAGAACCCCGTCGATCTTCTTCAGTGGTGCACATAGGTCGATTGACCAGGTCGTGTTGTACTCGGCGGGCGGCCTCGACGTATCGTGCACAGTTATCGCATGGCGTCCTGCCAGTTTGGATATATCAAACTTTTTCCCATCGACAACTATATTTTCGCAGTCTATCGAGGCCGCGGCGCTCAGCTGTGCTAATAACAAAGGTAGAGATAGGAGAATCGTAGCTGGAGACTTCATCGTTCCCGAGGAACAGTGGGGATTACGCCGGAGCCGACGTGAAGCCCGACCTTCGTTAGGTTGGAATGCGGGCGACGGGGCAGGATGTCAAAAAGGATTTAGGAAAGAATGACAAGAAGAACGACGAGAAGAACGAAAAAGTCAATGTGGTGAACAGATTACCATCTGCCTGCGTTTCGTGGCTTGAGAGAGTTCAATGAGCACAAGATAATCCAGCCATCGTCATTCCACGCCAAGACACACCCGTTTCGGAGCAGCAGGCGCCGCTTTCATTACATACATAGGTGCACTATCAAGGCACTGACAGCTACCGCGACCCCGGGCAACGGAGAACTTGATCTGATGAAATCCACCGATAGGCATCCTTTAAAGGTACAAGATGTGTCTTTCACAATCATTGCATGTAGCGGTGCGCGCACCAGAACCTCAAATGGGCTCCTGTGCCTCGAACCCCGTTCTAAAGCAGCAATGGACTTCCGCTGGGAGACTCAAGCGACAGTTGGTTCTTAAGAAACGAACGTCGCCTGGGAGCCTGAAGAAATATTATATCAATATCAAAGAGGCTAATGTAGTCCGTAGGCGGCAGTGCAGTTAATCTACAGTAAGCTTCTTGCCGGGTGCTTAATACGATCATACGACTGGACCATGTCTGACGCATCGTATCTCGTATTCCCTATCGACACAACCCCCTATATAGGCGAGGTCGAGTCGGGAACTCCAGGATTTGAAAAGTCCGGATGCTGACAACCTTTCGAGTGAATCCCTGTAAGACTATGCACCCAATTTCGAACAGCTGCATCTGCTTTGTTTTCTTTCCTTTCAGCAACTTCCCCGCGTATTGTGTTTCGAGGAAGTAAGACCGAGGTCCAGTTTCGCACAAAACAATGGCGGGCAACGAGATACCAATAGAATTTCGTGCTGCAAAAGTAGAGGAGGACGACGTACTTTCGAGAATACTTTGCAATGCATTCCTTCCGATATGGTCTGACTTACCACCCTCCCGCCCCGGGCTTCGATTCATGCTGACAGTGATCAGGAATCACAATTGGTTCCATGGCGTTTCTGAAGCACTCGCGCCGGTCGACGTCGGCCAGGTTGGAGGGCCCACCCCCTCAATGACCAGCTCACAAAAGTCTCGCGTCAAGTTTTATCGAAGCTTGATCAACGTGACGAGACTGATTGGGGGAGATGTGCTAGTCGCCGACATACCTTCATCCGATGCCAGTGGTGATGCGGAAAAGGACGTTGCAGCCATTCTTCTATGGCTTCCTCCGTTCACCAGACTCGGCGGCTTTGACATAATTACTTTGTGGAAGTCAGGATTCTTGGGTCTCGTGCTACCCTGGCACTATGGCCTCAGAGGCTTGCATCGCATCGATTCGGTCTTCGAGGCAAATATCCACTCCATGTTCTCGAAAACTTTACCGGACCTTCCGCCAAAAGGATTCGAAGAAAAGGAATGTGGTTTTGTGCAGATGATCGCACGGAACCCCAGATACACCGGCAAAGGCTACGCTTCGCAGCTGTTGCAATATCAGCTAGAGCAACATTTTGCAAAACACCCAGACGTTCCGGTCATCCTTGACACGACAACAAAGGATGCGATCCGCGCGTATGAGAGATTGGGATTTAAGCTTCTCGCAGAAAAACCGCTCGACACGGGCACGGACGAGACAGGTATTCTCTTGAAGGGAGCTGTCGAGGATCAGACACGTCAAAGGATCAGGGAGCATTGCGTCCAAAGGATTATGGTGAAACTTCCTTGACCACAATGTCAGAGTGCCCAGGTCACAATTCTGTCCATCATGAGCTGTATTCCGGAACGGCAGCGGCAATCGTCAGAAAAACTTTCGATAATTATTTGTGTTTCCCAGCCGTACTTCTACCTCAGCTCATTGAATGTTTGATGTTGCTTTGCTATGAGAGCTTCTGAAGGTGCCTTGTGCGCCAGACATGGACAATAAGCACAGTAGCTCCCTCGCTAAATCGGTCCTTGATGTCTTAAACTGGTGGATAGGAAGTAGTAAGCGACGATGTTCGACGCTCAAAGGGAGTTCAGAAATTGCCCACCCTTACATATCAATACCCCGACACCTTTCTGAATTCCATCTTCCAGGTTAGCTTGGATGGTGCTCCTCGTAGTACGGAAATGATCAGCATGTCGACACCAGACGATCGCCCAAACCGTAGATCATGCACCTAGCCCCAAGTGTATTCCCCATGTCACACGCAGGGCGGCACACCCAGTCCTCCGTAAGAGAGCTCCTCTGACGTCCGCTGCACAATAGCCCAATCACCTGAAATCCGATGGGCCTGGAGCGCTCCTAGTATAACGGGCAAGCACCAATCGTCTCCGATGGACAGTATACTGCATGCTTGGCGTGTAGTAAATCATTCCCCCTCATGGCAGGAGACCTTCTTCATATTCTGGACTCCGAAAGGAAGAGTGCCCAAGGCCCTGGTCAACATGCCGTGACATTGACATTGACAGGGATGCCGGCTAAATTCCATGAGCAACACAAGTCTGCAGCACCGCCGAATCAATCAGCGAGGTGTGTCAACAACGGTAGGTGTGTGAGAAGACATCCATTGCAGTCGCTTTTGGTTGAATTATCCTGCGGACAAATCTCCAGCTCTCCAAGATCATTTTCCTAGAATGGATTGGATGCGCAACGGGCACCTTGACCGCAACTCGGACTCGGTGCAATGTTCGCTTTACGACTCGGATCAACACTTGCCCCCACCCCCCCCCACGGTCCTTTCTTTTGCTTCGGCGCGAGCACAGTATGAAAGCTGAGGGCTGTTCAATATCTTGATGCAGCGTTGCTGGGCCCAAAGGAGCCAGTCTGCCAGCCCCATCACCTATCCGGATATGTATGTTTTCAAAACGAATACGCCCGAAGAGCATTTGGTGGGTGCTTTGACGCCGTTCTGTTTGCCCCAGCTAAAGATTGTAATCGCAGCATCCTTAAAGGACAGTTCCATTGCGGTGCTATCAAGCTGTGTACATTGATGTTTCTTGCCAAAGGCCGGGCCTGTCGAGATCAGTATCCCTTCGCCGCAAGATACACCGAGCAGATAGTCCAAACATGTCCAGTTACATTGCATGGAATCAAACTCAGTCTTGGCCATGATGTGATGTAGAAATGTAGAAGTAGCGAACCCCAGTTAACGTGAGACTTTCCCCTCCAAGCTTTCATCCCGACGGCTCATCAAGAATGCGGATCCGTCTGTATGTAACCCTTCTCGAGTCCTCCACATGTATGACAAGGTTGGTATCAAGCAAAAAGACTTGGCTGGGTCTTAACTATGGAGCCTGTCGTTGATGGATCTGAACAGGCTTTTGCTATGCGGGGACCCCATCATACCCCGTTGCCACCGATGATGCATAAGAGGGTAGGTGTGCCTTTGCTGAGCGTGGTAGTCATGCCGTTTCATCAGCCTACATTCTTTTGAAACTTGATTGCGCAGGGATACAAAATTTAGGCTGAGGCTCAAAACCTCTACTTCTGTGCTCTGCATCAACATCAACGACAATGGGCATCCTGTCGAAGATAGCGTCGAAGCGCTCGACTCTGCGAACGAAGAACACCGATGTCACCACAGCTGCTCAACTTACCCTGCGCCAGAGTCTGTGGCCATTGAGCATTGTCACCGTCCTCTTCTTCCTCTGGGTACAGATGCCTCTTACCCAGAACACGTATAGTTCGATGGTTATCAGTTCAAGCTGATCTTTATGTTGCGAACAGGGCCTTTCTTATGGACTATTGGATACCCTCAACAAGCATTTCCAAAACACGTTGAACATCACTAGGACGAGATCTTCGGGGTTGCAGGCGGCGTACTTTGGGTAAGACCCAACTGTATGGACCGGTTGTTTGGTTCTAACACCATGCGCAGAGCATATCCGATTGCCTCCCTGGGATATGCAAATTGGATGCTCCGACACTGGGGTTACAAATCCGTCTTCATCTTTGGTCTCTGCGTGTTCGGAGTGGGTGCTCTGATGATGTTGGTAGTCCCGACTGAAAGATTAGGTGACATGATGCTGCGGTCTAACTCATCGCAGGTGGCCAGCTGGCGTTTATCGCTCCTTCGGCGGTTTCTGTGGCGCCACCTTCATCTGTGGCAGCGGCCTTGGATCTCTGGAAACTGCAGCGAATCCATATCTCTCAGTCTGTGGTCCACCTCGGTACTCCGAAGTCAGAATCAATTTTGCTCAAGCATTCAACGCCATCGGGACTGTCATCGGTCCGGTGCTTGGCTCGTACGTCTTGTATGTGGTGACCATTACAGCCCCTAGAGCCAGTGCAATAACGCTGCACAAGGTCTCAAGTTGCAGTTATCTTTTAGAAAGCATTCTGACTCGATGCAGCTTCAAAGACACAGGTGATAGTGTGGCCGCGTTGAAGAATGTTCAATGGGTTTACCTTGGCATCGCGATCTTTGTGTTCATTCTGGCCTTTATTTTCTTCATCTCCCATATTCCCGAGGTTACAGATGCGGACATGGAATTCCAAGTACAAGAGACCCATGTGGGAGGAACTGAGAAACCATTTTGGAAGCAATATCGGCTCTTCCATGCCGCGTTTGCTCAGTTCAGTTATACTGGTGCTCAAGGTAAGACACAAGCTGAGATGAAATCAAGTGGCTTGGACGGTAAGATGTAGCTGACCTCTTGTCATGTAGTTGCCATTGCCAGTTACTTTATCAACTATGCCGTCGACACTCGTCCGGGTACCAGCAGCGCCCTTGGGGCGAAATACCTCGCGGGAGCTCAAGGAGCGTTCGCGCTGGGTCGATTTTCCGGGACATTCTTCATGAGATACGTGAGGCCTCGCTGGGTTTTCCTAATATACCTAACTGGGGTGGTCATCTTCTTGGCCGCGGCCACAGGTGCAAGAGAGAATGCCGGCATTGGTAGGTCCACGAGATTAAGTTCTGTACGAGGCTGACAAACTGGACTTAGCAATGTTATTCCTGACACTCTATTTCGAAAGCGTGTGCTTTCCAAGCATTGTAGCCCTGGGAATTCGTGGCTTAGGACGCCATTACAAGCGTGGGTCTGGGTTCATTGTCGGCGGCGTCTGCGGTAAGTGTCGTTTGGAACACTCGAAGGACTGTCAACCATACTGACCGAATTGCATAGGTGGAGCGTGCATTCCATCTCTGCTGGGCAAAGTCGCTGATATGCACAACAATACGGGTATTGCCATGTGTGTGCCTCTCGCAGTATGTTGAACCCTGGCCATCCCTCTATCGGGAGTCGTGGACTGACTGTCTGTTCTCTAAGTTCATGGTAGCATCCGAAACATATGCGGTGGCCGTGAACTTTGTACCTGCGTACCGCACCCCAGCAGACCAGATTGGTTCAAGCACGGTTGGGATTCAATCTGCTGAGCGTACGCTTGACGTTGAGAAGTCGGTCGACTCACATACAGGGCAGGGATACAACGGCGCTGAGATTGTTGAGGTAGAGAAACTCGAGGGAAGAGGGGAGTAGATGGGTAGGATAGAAGTATTTTGTTCAGGGACAGGAATGAGGACAGATAGAATGTGTGCATCCCATGACAGAAAGCTTTCAAGCCTGGGGAAGGTTTTGCCATCATACATCTGGAGGGAATGAGCGAGATTCTCGTCTGGAGATACACAGCTCGCTAGAGACGAAGATCAGTATAGGCTCTAACTAGAAGGCCCAAAGAAGGTACCAAGTTTTGTCCGTTTGGCTTTTTTAGGGGCGACCAGTAGACTGCTTAGAGGGCCGTCCTGGTTATATCGGCCACTAGCCCAGCGGTCTAGGTACCTAAATAAGCCTATGTCGATGCCGTAGTCTAGGCCAGTTACAGTACCTTGATAGGCACCTAAGGAAGTATCCGTAAAGCAGCATGTTCTCGAATTCTACCCAAAGCTTTACGCCCTGCAGGCATCGACGCTGCCCTAAACTTAGGGTTGTTGGATGGTGGCGGCCGAGCCCGATCCTGACTAACTACATAAGAAGCGATGTCAACCTCCTCGCACAAGCGTTGGTAGCAAGCAAACAGGGTACGAGTGCCGATACACAGCCCTACAAGTACAACTCTGCGTCAAATCAACATTGTCATACAATGGTGTCCCTGCAAGAGAATGCCCGTGACACTGGGGGCAACTCGTAACGCGAGCCCCTCGTATCCATGCACCCAGGTGAAACCAAAACCATATATTGACTGCAGCACGCCCACACCGCACCCTCTGCCTCAGCCTACCTGACATCCTTCGGCTCTACCTCTCACTCTTGCTCTCGATCCAGCTCCTCCTCTATCTCCCTTTGTGTGCGTGTGTGTGCGTGTGCCTTTATCGCGCCGTTTTGTACACGACGTCCCCGCGCGGGAATCGACAAGATGCCGAACAAGAAACGCAAGACGAATGCGGTTGGCCATGCTAAGGCCAAAAGAGGGACGACCAACCCCGTGGATCTCAACTCCCTTATTGCAGGCGGAGGATCAGCTTCCTTTGGCGGGACCAACATCTCGGTCACGCCGATAGCACCCTTTGCGAATGGAAAGGTAAACCCCCCACCACCACAGGCGCCCACGGCATCGATACCGACAAGATCCTCGGAGAACTTGTCGCAGACACCGACCGAGAGCTTCGCGTCCAAGAACGCCCGCGCTAAGTCGCTGATCATGTCGACACTTGTGCCCGGAACGGAACCCTACAAGATCGCCGAGTCTTACGAGATGGCCACGGACATCTGGAAGGCGCTGGAATCAAAGTATGGACCGAACGACAAGTCGCGCAGTGTTGCCGCAGCCACAGCAGGAGGTACAAGAGGAGGGTCACAAAGCAAACTGACGAGCAACAACAAAGACAAGGGCAACGCTGCTGCTACTCCATCCGGACAACCGCAAGACCGCCCCTATACCGACCTCGAGGCCTTCAGGCGCGATTTCCTAGGTGACTGGATAGAAGGGAAACCTCTGGACAAGTACATTAACGCGTGCAAGGGGAACATCGCGAACCTGCTATCGCAGCCACATGGGTTTGAAGCTTCTGTCAGCACTGCTGCCAATGCTGCTGCTGCTAATGCTACTGCCGCCGGTAGTAATACTGGTACTACGCCTGTTCGCACGAAACAACAAACCGTCCCCCAAGCGCGCACACAGACAGAAACACAACAACAATCGTTACCGCAGACGCAAACACCGGCACAAACACAACCAGTCCCACAGGCACAGACCCAGACCCAGACCCAGACCCAGACCCAGACCCAGACACAGACACAAACGCAAACACAACCAGAATCACCATCAAAAGCTGCAAAGCAACAGCTCCAGCTCCAGCAGCTACAGATACTGAAGCAACAACAGCAGCAGCTCCAGCAACTACAGCAACAGCTGGAGGCGACTGACCATGGCACTCGGACACTGCCAAGGGCGTCCACGAACCTGTCCACACTCAAGGGAGAAGCGATGGAGATGACAGTAGAAGCGGCCCTGACCCAAACCCGACCGCGGAGTGAGGCCGGCCCGCCGTGTCACCCGGCGGCCACCGTCGACGGCGCCGAAGAAGACGACGGTGCCGCCACGCCGTCGAGACAAAGGTTCGTCAAGCACGACGCCTTTCTGTGTGAGAACCTGGTGACGGCCATCACGTACGGGGACGTACAGAGCAAGAGGCAGATCCAGGCAGCCTACACCAAGATCCTCATGCGGAAACTGCCCACTACCGATCTCCAGCTGTTGTGGGCCATCATGTACAGCGGCGACGATGCTCCGTGGCCCGGCTCATATTCCTCGGTCATCCCGGGAGTGACCACTCCGACTTCGAGCACGCGTCTTTCCCAGGTAGACGAAAGATAACGTATTACAGTTACAGAGAGTTGTGGCACTTTGTTTTGAAGGTGAAGAGCAACTTATCATTATACGGATAGCGCTCCAACGACGGGTCTCACTCACATCTATACGTAAAACTCGAACTACCACGAGAGGGTTTACGAACAGTAAGTGCACCAAATTCATCATGGGGGTGGACGTCCCGCGTTACGATGACCATGCCATCACCGTCAGTACCAGCGCCAGCATCAGTACCAATCCTGACCCCGACTGGCCTACTTGTCTCGCCGCAACATTCTTCTCACGGATATATGTAATGTTCTGCGCTGTCGTGACAATGTCTCTGCTCGCATGTCCTGTCTGGGCGATTTGTCGGAGTTGATCGCCGAACGTCGCGAGGATATTTGTGCTGCGTCCAGCGGGACAGAAAACAACCTCAAACCCCCCACCTTGTGGAATGATAAAAGTACTGGTCTGATCATCGTACGCATAGCTGTACGCATCCGGACACACCTTTTTGGCCTGTTTTGAATAATCGCTCGGCGAGCATGTGGCGGGAGTATTGTGGCTTCCTGTGCAGCAATATTGATCCTTATTCCATTTGGCGCATGCGCTGAGGCAAGGGTTGAATATTGGTCTTTGGATGTTGTCGTCTGGATACGGGTATACGCCGTCGCCCGGCTTCTTAGGCGGGTTCAGCTGCAGTGGCCACGGACACCACTTTTGGATAAACGAAGGTGTAACTGTCTGGTCTAGCGGTAGAGGGAACGTCGAGTTTGAACCAAAGTCGGCGTCATCGGCCGTGCCTCCCACGGGTGCGAGTAGAGACGAAGTTCCTATGCAGACTGGGTTGGTCAAATTGGGAGGAATGTCCTGCAGCGATGAATTGCCACTCTGCGAAAGCAGCGAAATGATGCCCACGGGGAGGTTGTACCCGTCGACAAGTGAGATGTCGTAAAAGGTTTGATACGTGTCGGAGGAAAAGGTGAACTCGGCGAGTGTCGCTGGTGCTTGGCCCTAGACATTATCATGCCTCGGTTAGTACAGTTCCCACCCAATATGACCATTCATTTTGCCTTTGCAAAACATTGCAAGCAAGGCAGAGACTGTACATACCGCCCCAGGACATTGCAAGAAGCTCCCACAGTCTCCGGTCGTGCATGCCACACCCCCTCTGCCGCTGGACGGGCCGGAGCCTGACCCCGGAAAGCTACAGTTGGTCCGACCCCAGACTCTCCCTCTCCAGTCGCCGCTCACAGTTTGAGGATTCGTCTCCCCCGGTTGGAGCACAAAGCCAGAGCTAGCTGGGCCCCTGCCGTTCTGGGTGAGGATGGCCGGCCAAATAGGCTCATTGCAATTGTTGGTGACGCGGAGCGGGAGGCTAATGTCCCGTGGGTGTACTTGTGCATGGACTGACGCCTCGGCTGATGCAATGAGCAGCAGTGTGTAGGTTAACATTCTCGGGCGACGCCGACGACAACGTCGTTTTCGGGTCCAGCGTGTTGCGTATCTCGCCGTACAACTAGACAAGAGCTGATCTGGAGGCGCATTGTCACCTCCTAAATTGTCACTTCGTTGCTGGAACCGTGTTGTGCTTGTGGCTTTGGCCATTGTGGTCAAGAAACACGTGCGGACTACCTACAGGGAGGTCGAACGTGCACCACCGAGCTGGGCCTGCAGTACACGCGTAAGAAGCAGATATGATGCGGATCCCAGGCGGTAATGCGTGATGGGTGTTGAGCGTGCCGTGTCTGATACGGTAGGTAAAGGTGATGGATCAAAGCTATGGATAACAGAACTGGGGCAAGCAAGAATTCAGACTTTGACAGACGGTTGCTGAGAAGGTCGAGATAAATAGGTAAGTAACCAAGAGACCTTGGCCGTGGTTTCGTAGAAAGACAAGAAGAAGACCAGAATCAGAAGGAAGGCGCGGCCAGGCAAGGAAAAGTCCAAGGTCCAAGGTCCAACCAAGGTCGCAAGTATCTCAAGCTGGTTTTCTTCTCCTGTCGCATAAGCGACCTTATCTTTCTTGTGGTGTCTTAAACAGATCTTCGTGCAGCGCCACAAAAGGCGACTTAGTCGTACTCGTATGATCGTACCTAGGCGCTCGGTGCGGGTTCCGAGGCGGTCATAGGGCGATCGATGGTGGGCTGGTACAAGACGAACGAAGTGCCAACAAGGTCAGTGGACACATGTCCGTCTGGTCAATGGGTGTTGAGAGACTTGATGTGAGAGAGAGTGCGGTCCCATACGACGAGCCGCCGCGCCGTGCCATGGATCCAGGTCCTCATACTCGTGCTATTACATTATGCAGAAATCGACAAGTCCTGTCGAGGGGCCAGCCAGTTCCCAGAGAGTGACAGCCTCTTACCTTGGTTTAATCCCTGTCAGCGACTGGCGCGAAGGTGTCTGTGACCTTGATTTTGCAGAGTACTCGTACTCGTACTCGTACTCGTATCGGCCGCGGAGAAGGACGTATGATGTCACCAGCCACGGTGTGCACACTAGTCCGTATCTGGTGCTTGATCAACACAAAAGGTGGTTGAGGCCGGCGCGGATCATTGTAGCGCCGGTGTGTCACCGCTGTCGTCACACTCATACGGAGTACTCCTGTACCAATATACGAGCACTAAGATACCTGATACACCTACCTATCCTCGAAGTAGGAAAAGAGAGAGAGAGAGAGAGATGCTTGAGACGGTGGACGAGGGGAGAGGCCAACGGTTACGAATTTCCACAAGAAATAGCAAAGCAATAGAACGGATTACGGCTAAATGTACCAGCGAGCAAAGCAGAAAATCAGGAACCAGCAAAGATCATGCTAGCGACGACAAATGTACGGAGGGTGTAGACAGTTTGCCTCCTCTTGATGGCACGCCGTGTTGAATTATACCTGTCAGAGCCCTGACAGCATCGTAAGTCCACAAGCGTGTTGAGGTCTCTTGGTTTCGCTGTCCATCTCATGAAAGCCATGGTCATAGGAAGCTACTCACAGCCTGCACCGCGTGAAGGTGGACCTCAGGCGCAGGCCTTCCTCCTCTTTCTGACGAACCCTTTACCAAAAATGTCATTCTCCCAATGTTTCTCCATGCCGTGTCCCTAATCCCCCCGTTCTGCAGGCCACTGAAATCCAAAAAGTGTGTTGTTCGAGACATCTCCGACGACAGTTGGTCGATTGCTTGCGAAGAAGGAGTGTATGCTGCTTGTGTCCTTAACAGGCGATGTCGAGTATTTTGCCAGTCCATTGTCGATATGTTGCTGAAGAGTGATCAAGAATGTTGCTGTTGTTGATGGTGCTGGCGTCGCTGTCGCTGTCCTTGTCGTTGTTGTCATTTGCGCATTGTAGCCACGCGTATTGTTGTTGTCGGTGATGACGGAGTGAGTGACAGATTCCAATGATTGGGCCAGCAACGCTGCAAAGATTGAGCTCATGGAAGTTGAAACCATCTTGTCGAAGCGGGTCGGGAGCAGAATTGATTTGTTGCCGAGCATCGGATGTTGAGGGAGCTTGTGCGAACAGCCGATTGATGTTGTCGTTGGATGCTGCCGTTGTTGATTTGCCATCTACAATATTTGCTTGATTGGGCAACGGCCACATGTCGGTCCATAGAGGGCGTTGGAGTGTTATCTTGCCGATTGCAGTTCCCCATGGGGCGGCAGAGAGTTGAAACTTGTCAATCCGATGAGTTGAGAGTGGTGGTGCCGATGAACTCGGTTCCAAAGCATGGCTGGCCAAAGACATGCCATGGATTGAGCCATGGTGTGTTGATGTTTCAAATGTCCGATATGCACTTATGGCGGCCTTGTGTCGAGTGCCTTCCGGCTAAAAAGTGGTCGTGGTGGTCGTTCGGTCCGAATCCGAGATGGCGTCGAGTTGCCAGAAATCCTCCTCTGGTCCGTAGACCTACCTAATCCCATTCCTCCTTCAGTGACCTGCAGAACATAAAATCAAATCCTCCTCCAGATCCCATAGATCTTCCGATGCAAGTTGTAGTCACAAGACGTACTGTCTCCGAGACGACTAGATCCTGACGCACACCCACAGAAATGAAAGACAAAAAAGCCAAACATTTTTTTTGTATTTTCTTATACTATGAGACTGGAATCTCCTCAGGGATTACCAGCAACATAATGAAAGTGCCCAGGCGCTGGATTGCCATAGGCTAGGTGTACGCCAGGGTAAAACCCAGGAGGTGGTGGCGGCGGCAGAAAGAATTGTTGTTGGACGAATCGGTTCGAGTCTTCCGCTGGTGAGGGACACCGCCACCACTCCTGAGGAAGAGAAAAGCTCGGTACTGCGTACAGCTGCTCCTGTCCCTCCATCTCTGGACTTATCGGGGGAGACGAAGGGCAGAACAAGTCTAGAATCCGCATGAGCGTCTGTATCATGTGCTCGTGACGTTGATCAGCGCTCCCATGCTTGGCCAAGATATCTGCAGCTTGTTGTCGGCGATCAATAGCCGTATTGAGCTCGAAGAGGACGTCCTCAGGCATTGGAGTACCACATCGGACGAGCCTCTCAGCCAGTGTGAGATGGTAATTCACAGACGTAGTTCCCCATTTGGATCTCGGCACGTCTGAAACGTTCTTGATCCAATTGAGGACACGATCTGTGGCTGGCTTGTACGCAGCCTGCAGCTCGCGAATCTCCGGACAGAAAATTCCCATTTTGAGCAATAAAGGTGGTGAGATGAGAGAATATATTGGTCGAGATGTGTGTAAATGTGTTCCAAGTGCTCGTGTATGAGAGGCTATATGAATTGTTGGCTAGATCAAGTCTTGCGTTTCAATAGCATATCAGTCTGTCAAGGTATGGGAAGATTCTGTCCTGGAGGGCAAGGCTCCTTCGGGGGACGGGCGACTTTATGACTGCCCATTGCAAGACTCGTCCCTTGAGTGTGCAGGATAAACTTTTCCAGTGTGAGGAAGTATTTGGTCATGAAAGCCATTGTCCATTTTCACGGCCAATGGGCTCGTCAATGGGGTGTGAGGACCTGCTGTGTTGAAGGATATCCATATCTCGACTCAAACAGCTCCACAGTCCAGGGCAGGACCGAGCAAACTTCCACAGTCCACAGACACTGTTAGTACTCCGAAATTATCCATTAGAAGATCTCCATGGAGAGGCTTTCCGGTTTGACTCACACATCAAGTCTGTTCTCTGTCCGTTCGAAGCAGACTTTGTAGATTGCTGACCCCTTTGCCACAGTTTTGAGCAGAGTTCGAAGTCCGAATGTATCCCAGGCAATGGGCATATTCATAGTAGGTGGTGAGAGTGAGCAGTCCCTTTGAAGGGCATACGGTCGAGCTGCGTAGGCAGACATAGTGTGGAACTCGGTAGAAATGAGGCTTGAGTTTGCGGCACCTGTCTCGGATAAAGGCATCTCACAAAGTCTTGCGGAGGACCTGAAGGCATGACAAAGTCGACGTGATTGTATATATATATCAATACTGAGAAAGGTGTGAAGGGTGAGAACAAGAGCCAGTAGGGCGTATCTGTGAGAAGATCATCCATCAAGTTTCTGTCGAGCAAGAGCATTACGGGGGATCTTCATAGGCGCGGTGAATGCTCGAGAGACATTGAACTCTCACGGGGGCTTGTATGAAGCTGAGCTGTGAAGCTGAGCTACGAGATGAACATTCTCGGTTAAGCGGGAATTGTTACCGGGCATCCAAAGTTGTAGAGCCACTGGCCGCCTGTTGGAAGCTTTGATCGACAAAGGTCCATTTCCCTTGATTGACAGTCCTAATCTTGACTCACTGGTGGAGTTGAGGCCGTAGGGAATGCTCCTACGAAGAGACATACGGTCCTCGCCTTGGGGAAAGACTAAAATGCTTGAATGACTTGGCCAGAAGTGGACAAACGCGAAATGCTCATTCATTGTGGACCCAGACGAGACGCCAACAAGAAGCGGAAGCGCCATCTTCAGGTCCTCAAGGGTCCGTGTGACACAAATTGAGACATGAACCATTGGGTGAAGAGGTGGAGGGTCGAGAATAAAGAAATCTAATGGAAGTCGTGTGGAAATAGCAATAGTCCAGGACAAGTTACTGGTGAGAGATCAGAAGTGAAGTTATGCCTCGTGAAGTTGTTGTTGCCGTCGGAGTGGGACCTACGGACTTGTGATTTCCGATAGGGCAACGGCAGGATGATGACAAAGCTCCATACCTGATGAGTACGATAAGACTGATGTCGGTCAATACACACAAAGGTGATGCCTCGAACAATGAGACAAAGCACTAAATCGGGCGGTATGAGAAAATTTAGCTATGGGAGGATACTGGGAATGAAAAATGGTGATGAATGTCATCATTTTTGAAAAATGTCGGCGGGGGAAGACCAAAAAAAATCTACGCCTCCGTGGTATGTACTAACATCGCAACATGATATCCATTACTCAAGGCTGTGTATCAGGCTGATACAGGCTCTAATGGCGGCCTGGGACTCTTTTGTCAAAGCACCACCATCCACAAGAACGCCAAACGCCTCAAGAAGAACTGGAGTTTTCTGCCATCTCACGAATAGAACCAATATACTGCGGAGTAGTCGACACTGAATGCGGAATCCTGCCCTTGACACGTTGCTGGAGGGTTACCTCCAGCTGTGTTTAATCGGTAGACGGCCTTGATATCGCCAACGGTAGTCGCTCGAGACGTGAGGTACAACCAAGCAACTGCACCATTGCCCTGGCCGTTAGGGCCGATGACCGAGTTCGTTGGAGCTTCCGAGGAATTGGCTTTCTGAGCAAACACCCTGCCAAGGTCGGGCGAGGTAGGCGCGTCAAAGGCGAAAACAGGAGTGGTCGAGTTGGAAAAAAAGTGATGTGTCGAAAGGACAAGATTTGATGGCTCTAGTGGGGCATCGGGAGCCGCTGGCAAGGGATACTGCAGGGCCAGATTGGGCATGATGGGTAGCAGGTCGGGCCAGTCTGAGGCGACACATGATACATTGTAGAAGCGGGCGACCGCTCCAACTGCAGCTGGGGTGGCAGTGGCATTGGCACATGTATAGTTCTATTGAGCGGGTTAGTTGCAGAGTGCCTTGTTGACAAGCTCGAGACACTCACTTGTACTCCTCTTCCCAAGGCCACATGGTCAAGAGTCAGGCCAGCCGGGGTGGGTAACGGGGTAGGTGCAACAGGCATTGCAGCCTTTGAGAGGTCGCAAGTGGGCGAGGGAGCACCTGCTTTGGCTGCCTGGATGTAGCTGAATACAACGTCCATATAGCCTGCCAGTGTGGGAGTCCATTCAAAAGTCCCCTTTGGAGGTGCCGGTGCGGCCAGTACTGAGGTTGCCAAGCAGGCAATGGTGAACAGGGACTTCATTCTTGGGCCAGAGAGACAGCAACGGTGATTATAATAAATATTAGACAGCTTCTCGACGGTCTGACCTGCAGATCAATCTGACAGCAAAGAAAACGTAGATGTTGGTGAAAGTCCAAAGGAAATGCGCAACGCGTCGAAAGCAGACAGTTTATGAGAACCGGGTACAGGAGGACGAAAGTGACCATGTAGCAGACCAGCCGCCGGATTATATGGCATTGTAATGAGGCCTGCCATGCTGGACCGCCATAGGATGGTTGCCCTCATGTCAGAGAGGATTGCAGAGCCCATGTTTCTATCTTCGGCCACGAGCACCTGCGATTGGGCTATTGGCGAAGGGTGGAGGCTGGTTCGGCGTGCGTCAAGGCAACACGAGGCGGCAAGGGGAGATTTGCCGGATCTGAGGATCGACCAGGGTTGGTGGTGGTGGTGGTGGTGGTGGTGGTGGTGTTGTTGGTGGTACAGAATTAGAAGGACGCGTATTGGCGCTGGCGGCAATTCTCCTCCAGAAATGCATAATACTGTACATATCGCCTTGGGCATGCCTGGCCAGTGATTAGAGGGATCAGGCCGGCCATTGGGACCTCCGCAGAGCCTGGTCGTCGGCGGCGTCGCTAATATTGTACCAATATGCAGGTGGCTTGCTAGCGGCGCCGGTGGCTGCGCTTCCTCCCCTATCGCTTCTCGATGGCTGTTTCATAGCCGCCCTCCAACCGCCCTCCAACCACCCAACGACGAGGAATCTTGCAGCCTCTGCATGCACCACTGCACGACATGCATACAACAGCAGCCCGGCTGTTAGAGAGTCGTTCGGCCGATGGGCCAAACGGATTTGGCCAAGGTTCACTATCTTGTCGGTTTCAGAAATCTCGCTACAGGAGAACCACTCGACCTGCCTTCGAACTGAAGAGCGCAGGCCGCTACAACGGCCGACAAGAAGTTTCGACCGGTGCTTGACCATATTGGCAGCGCTTACAATACAGTCTGAAAGAGCCACCCTTCCCCTCTCTTCACATGATGGGCAATGGGCCTCTGCATCGCAGCGACCGCATCGAGTGGATGTATTCTGCTGCTAGAGTCAAAGTCTGCCATCTTCCTCCATACTCTCCAGATGTGAATCCTATTGGGGAGTTTTCTCCCGAACTGAATGCGCTCATTACAAAGAAGTGGGAAGTCTATGAGAGGAGAATCCAGACTAAGATTTCGCGATATTTTTAGGCTGGTGCGCAGTTATGCGTCAAGTACGGAGTAATGCATCCAAATGCCGGATGGAACATGAGGAGCGCAACAAGGATACACAATTGTGTTTACGAACGCCGTGGAAGGAGAATATACCGTGATCATTCCCAACTACTCCATAAGTACAAAATAGAATTTGCCTTCAGGTTCCTCTCTCGTTCCAACCTTCAGGGCGCTCTCAACTTTTTTGTGCCTGGTTCCACAGAAGGATTCCAAGGCAAGGAAGCCCTAAGCCCCGGGTGTTAGCTGGGGTTGACAGGTATACGGAGACCGTTCCTCTCTGTTGGTCAGCCGATTATAGTGGGGTGTGAACAACCAGACAAGACCTTAATGATATCAATTGGTTCTGCTTGTGGCCGAGACTTGATACTCGTACCTTTTTTCTAAGGCCGGTTCAAAGTGGCGGTTACGCAAAAATCGGCCCGGTTCTAGGATTTCCACCGGAGACATCAACATACTGATTGGCTTACTAGAGAACTAACATCTCCTATCAACAGCATGGAACATAAGTCCACCGGAGAGATTCTCAACACCATGCGGCCCGTTACCGGCTTCACTAGCTGACTCGGACCGCGGGCTATATACTCTTGTCATTGCTCAAGTGAAAGAGGCAAAATGCATAGAAGTCACTCTTCCTAAGATTGAGATCATGAGCGGCGACAATCCGGAAACTGCGTACAAGGGCGATGCCCCCCATCAAGACCAAGAGCCTGGTCGAACTATGCGCAGCGATCAACGCGACTACTCAGTATTCAGTGTCAATCAAAAGAGAACTATTGTCATGGTTGGTTCTTTGGCGAGTTTCTTTTCACCTCTATCGTCGAGCATCTACTTTCCAGCACTGGACACTATCGCCGCGGCGTTGAATGTATCGACATCGAGAGTGGACCTCACTGTAACGACATATTTAGTATCTCTCCTCCTCCCTCTCAATTCTCTCTCAATATTTGGTTAGAGTCATATCTAATTGTTAGATCATGCAAGGAATTGCGCCCATGTTTATAGCAGGCTTCTCTGACGCTGCGGGAAGACGGCCGGCATATATCATCTGCTTCACAATCTATCTCGCTGCAAACCTCGGTCTCGGTCTCCAAAACAGCTACGCCGCTCTCCTTGTCCTGCGATGTATACAAAGCGCGGGCAGTAGTGGTACTGTAGCACTCGCAAACGGCTTGGTGGGCGACATGATCACCTCTGCGGAGCGAGGTTCTTACATCGCTTTTGCCTCCCTCGGGAGCATGTTGGGCCCGTCGTTATCCCCTATCGTCGGTGGATTACTTAGCCAGTATCTTGACTGGCACTGGATTTTCTGGTTTCTTCTTATCTTTTCGGGAGCATTTTTCCTGCCTCTTTTACTCTTCTTACCTGAAACGTGCCGAAAAGTCGTGGGGGATGGATCAATACCACCACCGCCGTTGAACTCCTCAGTGACTGACTTAATTCGACATCGTAGACGAGCAAGAAGAGGCCAGGCTGTTTCTCCAGAGACGATCAACAAAGTCCGAGAGAATTACGCTATTCGTTTCCCTTCACCACTCCCGACTTTGAAAGTTACACTCGATCCGGAGACCGGGGCGATCTTACTCACAACCGGATTGTTGTACGCTGGTTTCTATGCGGTCATGACTGGGGCTACAACCAGTTTCCACGAAATATATAAGTTCAACAATATCCAGACCGCCTTAATGTACATTCCAATCGGCGCAGGAGGAATTGCCTCCGCCATGACAACAGGTCGGCTCATGGACTGGAACTTTCGTCGGTACGCGAAGCAGGCCGGAATGCCGATCGTGAGAAACAGGCAACAAGACATTTCTCATTTCAACATTGAGAAAGCCAGGCTCGAGGTCGCTTTGCCCATGTACTATTTGAGCTGCATATCTATGGTTGCTTATGGCTGGGTTGTTGGTCGGAAGGTTAGCCTCGCAGCCCCTGTGATCCTTTTGTTTATCTCGGGGTGGTCTCTCAACGCGACCTCTCAAGTCCTAAACGCTTTGATGGTTGACATCTGGCCGGGACACTCGGCAGCGGCAACGGCAGCAAACAATCTGCTGCGCTGCGAACTGGGGGCCGCGGCTTCGGCTGCAATTAGTCCCATGCGAGTGGCCATGGGCTGGGGCTGGGCATACTCGACGATTGCACTGATATCAGTAGCCGTGTCGCCTACCCTGTGGTTGATGACAAGCCATGGAATCAAATTGCGACAGAGGCGAACGGAAAAGGAAAAGTCATCTAAATCCCAACCTCGAGAAAGACTTTGACCTCGGAGGCCATGAAACACGACCGACTCTCCTCCTTGCACATGGTTGAGCTGAGAGATCGCTTTCCATGACCATGAGTACCTAGAGATGGCATACACCCCCTATTTGCTTGGCACTTGTATTGACACAGCTTCCCTTAGCTTGTCTACTTATTCTGTCCACACATATTCGTGCTCTGAAAGCAGTGTCGACACATGCACAGCATCACGGTCACCGTAAAGTATGCCTGCACAAAGGATCCACTACTTTTCAATGCTTTAGAGTTGTAGATAGATATGCTCATTAGAAATGGTAAACAGAGAAAATGTTCATACTTTCTGACTGACCGACTGACTTATAAAGAGAGTGAAAAAAGAGTGAGAAGGGACCAAGTAAAGCCTATAGAGCCCAGTAAACTTTAGGGGGTGATACCTAATTTTAGCGGGAATGTATGGGCGCGAAGGGGATCTATTGCTTCTACCCCCATAAAAGGGGGGAACACTATGTGGTTTCTTCATTGGGAAGGTAACCCGAGTACGTGCGATCCCATCTGAATTGTCCAAGTCAGGGCTACGGAACATCTAGTTTCCATCGCCTGCATACAGTCGTCTTACTACTGCAGACGGGTAGATGGAACTCTGCTCTGGATTTCTTGTCGAGAGCTCAGACCGATTAGACATGACACATCAGTGGACTGACACCCAGAATGATAGATAGACTCCTGGAGTCTCTTTGAATTCGTATCTGCATCTCATGAGAACATGGAAAGGAGGTTCTAAGTCTATGGAAGGGTTGACCTGAACTGAAATGAAGCTGAGGGGTACGGCAACCATGTTGTTCTGGACAGTAATGGCGAGATGATGGATGCGAACCTCAGCCTACTATTCAGTTCATGGTCAAAAGGGAAAAAGAAGACCCAAACCCCTTTGCTCCCCGTCACTGCAGACATGTGGACTGATTCAGCCCGACAAAGGGGATAATGAGGAGCAAGATCTCTGTCGAGACAGCACGCGTATGCGCGCGGAGCCATCGATCTCCTGCCATTCCCGGCATCGTCTCCTTCTTCTTCTTCTTCCTCTTCTTCTTCTTCTTCTTTCCTTCAGCCCCCGATGAGACTGTTGAGTTCGGTACTGTTGATCACGGTACCCCTCTTTGCAAAGAACGTGAGCAAAAAGTCATGCGTTTCCTGCTCGCGGTCGGCACAAGCATCACTCAGCACGAAGAGCCGGTAATCCAAATCCGCTGCCTGCACCACCGTGGCCGCCACAGCGCCGCCGGTGGAAATGCCCCCCAAGATCAACGTGTCGATCCCACGTCCCTTGAAGATGGCATGGACATCTTGCGGCGCGTTGAAGAAGGGGCCCACGCGATGCTTCCTAACGACTATGTCACCCTCCTCGGGCGCCACGTCGGGGTGGAAGGCGGCCGGGGGCGAGTCGACGCCGTACGAAGCCGCACGCGACGGGTCGTGCTTGAGTCTCGAGAACGTCGCGTTCGTGTCTGGGACAGCTGCTGCCTCGGACTCGGTGAAGGCGACGCGGCAGTGGGCGATGGTGATGCCGAGGCTTCTGGCCGCCTTGATGATGGGAGCCGTGTGCGTCACGACCGCTTCGAATTTCGGGTCCATCTTCGTATACATGACCTGCAGATCGAGGAGCAGTAACGCCGTCCGTGACGGTACGATTTTGTTGGCTGCCATGATTTGCAACACCGATAATCTGGTACACCTGACAAATGGGCTGCGAGATCTTCCTCAAGGCAGAGTTGAGGCGAGAAACCAGGATTGAGCAACGAAGGATGATTTGTGAATTGCTCGTATGTGTGTCGTCAAGAAAGAGCCTTGCTCACACCCACGTTCTTAAATGCTCTCTGCTACCCTGCGCTCCGGTCCGGCGTCTAGTGCAAGCCGGTACCGGTCCGCAGCCTTTGCCGTGCCCGGACGTCGATCGAAAGATATTTGGCCGTGCCAGTCATCGTGACTTTGCTATGACGTTACCTGGCTGAGCACCGTGCCAAAGAACACAAGTCTTGATCCCCCCAATATGGAAGACCGTGAGAGAGTAGGCAGACCGGTACAAAGCCATTCTACTCCGTCCGCAATCACACGCCGCATATGGGGAGCGTGACTCCTGAACGATCTCCCATACTGTCGAGGTGAATACTAAATACTGATCCAACTGAAATCGAGATGGGGTGTTCATAGGACTGGCCTCCAGAACCGGCAGAGAGGCTAGTCGCAATCCAAATGTGCTGGGTACCCAACAGTGTGCATTCGATACACACTTTCAAGCCCAAGGATCACATCCCTACCACAGGCGAGTCTGTTACTCCTATTTACAACTCCTGTGTCAAGGGGCCACTTGGGTATGTTGTTGCGATCACCCCGGCGAGCAAACCTTTGCACAGTGATTCTGCTGCACCGCCGGGAATGAGCTAGTGACACCCCTGCTTCGTACAATACAAGCAAGGAACCTTTGGCTACTGTAGCCCGTAGGCTAAGCTCGGTACGGCAGCATTCAGGCCTTCATCGAACCCGTGGCCATCTACCCCATCCCTGGTGGGTTGGGCACGACGAACGGAGCGAGAACTGATCGGCACCGAGCAGAGAACACCTTCGACTCGGCCTCAGGGATGATTACAACATCCGATTCTTGACAGACAACAGAGCACCCCGCCACGTTGCGAAGTGTTCCCTGAAAAAAAAAAAAAAAATAACAGGACATCGCCCGTAATCGCGAGCATATTTTTGGCCCTGTAGTCAGCACGTCGGACTTCGTGGAATGAGTGATGACCGCAGAATGCTCAGCGGAAAGACACCACGTCGGCGCTGATCATAGGCGTGCCTCGTCAGCCTTTTGCCCTGACTCTGAAACAGCCGCCTCCCACGGACAACAGGAACTATATGTTTAGCTCGTTGTCTACCTCGCGGAGTCTTACTCCTCGCATACATGCATGCGTAAACACTCGCACATATTGCGATGGCTGCGGAGCACTGATGGCCTGAAGGGTACGGAGTACAAAGGACCATCTTCGACTTGTGGGAAAGGGGAAGTACAGTCTATTCCGGTTTGGGGAATGGTGCGACGGCGGGCAGAATCCTTCACGCACTTCAGCATTATAACATTCCTGTTGATGATTTGGGAGCAGAGCAAATCTCTTTCATGAGACATACAGTAGGCTCCTTTCCTTCCGCAGACCTACGATTCCAATGTGGAGGAGAAACGAGGAAGCAGTTTGAAACAGAAAAGATGAACGAGCTGGGATCAGGAACTTTGCAAGGGTTTTGCATATCGCAAACGGCACGCACAAGACCCGAAATCCTCAAAAAAAGGTTTAACCGAATTCCTCCTGACGCCATTCCGCTGTATTCGGATCCGGAGCGTGAAGGGCTGCACCACCAGCTGCTACCGCAGCCTCTCCGAGGTGTACAGCCGTGCGATCAACATCTGCCGAGCCCATCCAGTACAGCATTAGGAAAACCAAGAGGTGCAGGGCCATGCAGTACGCAGCAAAGAGGTTGCGCGAAGTCCTGGTGGCGAGGACGATTCTGGTCAAAGAAAAGATGATCCGCTCGGGAAGACTCATACGGTTGTAAGCACGCGTGGCCTCTCGACCGCGGAAAGCGGCAAAAGGTGAAAGTTTGGCCTCGTACTGCGACTTCCATCGATTCGAGGTGCTGTCATCTGGTAAGTGCACAGACAAATGGCCAGGCGATGCCCCATATGAAGTCGAGGATGCGGCGTTAGGTCCGCGATTATACGCCGACACGTATCTGGACTTTTCGTACAGACTGAGATTGTCCTTCTGCAGCGATGCGACTTCTTGGCGCAGTGAGGTGACCGTCGCGTAGGTTTTGGAGAGCTCTTCTTCGAGTTGCTGATTCTTTTGCTTGAATCTATCTCGTTGGGCTTGAATCATAGGCAAAATACCCGAACCTCCTCCGACAGGTTCACCTGCTCGCAAGGATTCGAGAGTGGTTGTCCGAGGCTGCATTTCGTAGCCTGAAATAATTGACGAGGTAGGTGATGCTCTGCCTCGTCGTAGAGAACTGGCCGGATGCCGTGACACGTAAGTGCCGGTCGCAGACATCCCAGACGATGGAAGCGCATTGGCTGCTTCCTCCTGTATTCTCAACAAATCATTCTCCAAAGTAGAAGAGAGCTTTTGAGACTTCTCTAGCTCTGCATTAGTTCGAGAGAGTTCTTCTTGGTGTTCTTCGACTTGACGTTGTAGGTCTTGGTGCGATACTCGAAGCAATGTCAGCTCATTACTTAACTTCTTGTTACGTGCTAGAAGCAACTGTTCAAGCGATTGTTTGTTGCCGCTGTCAGCGGATCCATTTGTAGGGGCATCATCGGTATTGTCATCGTCTCCGACTGACAACTCAAGTGATCGTAGGGTATCGAGCTCGCGCTTCAGGTCGTCATAATCCGACCATTTGTTGATCTTGGTTCGTAGGTCTTCGTTTTCACCGGAAAGTTGTGATCTTTGTCTCTCTGCTTGACGAAGTCTATCTTCCCATGTTCGCTTTTCGGCCTCCTTCTCGAATCGTGCAGATTCAATCTTCCTCAGTAACGCGGAGTTCTCGGATTGAAGCCGCAAGAATGCCGGGTCTTCTTCGATTTCATGTTTTGCCGCATTCTGTGACGCTCGGGCGAGATCTAGACGCAGTTGTTCATTCCTGGCTTCGACTTCGGCCAAACGGGCACTGGTCTTTTCGAGTTCTGAATGCACCATCTCCAGTTCTGCAGATGTAGCTTTGGACGAAGCGCTCTCTTGCGTGCCATCTTGCAGCCTCTGCGAGACCTCGTAGTTTGCCTTCAACTCCTTCAGAAGCCTGTCCTGGTTCTCGACCTTTTCCTCCAGAGCTTGTTCTCTTGACTTCCAGTTGTTTTGCTTCTCCTCGAGGACTTTCTCCCATTTCTGTTCAATTTCTTGTACACGACTTCCCGAGCCCGCTTCTGCCTCTCGCCTGGCATTGCTTTCATCTTGCAATTTCCTCTCTGTCTCCTCTAGTTGCGTGCTCAGCTTGTTCAACCTGGCCAAGAGTTGCTGATTCTCGGTTGTGAGCCTGGGCACAGTTTCCTCGGACGCTACAAGAGAGTCGACAGAGGCTTCCAGCAGAGGGAAGGGGTCGGGTGCTTCGGATAGGGGTTGGTAGAGTTGGAGAAACGCAGACGAAGATGTCTTGCCATGACCAGTTATCAGATCGATGAAGGACTGGTAGGCTATGACAGGTCAGTCAGTCATGGCCTTGAAGTCATAGGATGGCGACCAACACTTTAGCAGAGCTTTGTACTCTGTCAGCTTTGCAGCATCTTCTAGCTTTCTGAAGTCCTTCGTCTTCTGGGCCAATTCCTTTCGTTCTAACAGTGCGTCTCTTTGTTGGGAAACTATTTCCGAGGCCGTAGAATCGAGTTGGGGCATCAACGACGAAAGATCAATGTCTGAGAATATTAGCACCCTCAAGAGCTTTCGAGTAGATGCAACACATACTCCGCCATGCTGCTATAGCCCGCTGAAACTTGTTGTCGCTCTGAGCCGAAGGAGTATCTTCAGCACCATGATCGCTGGCTGTGCTTTTCCCCTGGGGAACGTTGGCCCCCGAAAGAGCTAGAGCATCCATCACTCCTCAGATATGGCCAGACAGGCTATCATAATAGCAGCCTGGTGGAAGCAACCGTCCACGACTAAACACTCACGCTAATTACGGAGTGTCGTGTACGCGCCATCAAGAAAGATACGTATGTAGCTAGTTATGCAGCGGGTTGGAGAAGCAGTCGACTTACCTTATGTAATCCTCCGCACCACGTCTCCAGCACAAGTCCAAAGATAATCTTTGACTTCTCAACAAGTGATAGCGACACGCAACTGATCTCCTCCTGCCTGCGCGCGGGAACAGTTCCTTCATAGCAGAGATATGGGTTAGAATGCTATGCGTTCGAAATGGAGCCACCAGAGAACCACGAGCTAAGACCTGCAAAACGAAGGCGACTATCCCCTCCAGAGTCCGGCCCATACGTCCTTCGCAAAGTGCTGGAGGATATTCCTCTTACTACCGAAGATGGCAATGACCAGGTTTCCATAACCTGTGTGGAGTACTGGAGTAGGTATGTTGTCAATATGCTCTTGCAACGGCAGCTCACCGTGCTCCAGGCAACAATCTGTATATTGGAACATCTGCAGCGGAGGTCCTCCACCTAGTATCCATCCCGCCAGATGACGAGAATGACGACGTCTCTCCTACCTTCATCCTTGCCTCTCGACTTCAGCCTAGTGGACATGCGGTGTCCGCAAGTTCTACCAATGCACCCGGTGTCCAGCAGATCCTAGTCCTTCCGGGTCCACTGAAGGCTTGCGTTCTCTGCAACGGCGTTGTGTCCTTCTACTCGTTACCAGAATTCAGTCCGGCATTTCCAAACCGAGAGCCAACAGGAGTGCAGTGGATAGGTGGCATAGACGAGAATGAAGGCAGAGATAATCCCGAGGGACCGGTGGTCATGATTGCAATGGCCAAACGGATTCTACTTGTGCGTGTAGGTGAGAAGCTCAGAGCTATAAAGAACAATATCGAATACCCCCGGTGCTTGAGATCGAGCAGGAGGGAGACAATTGCATGCGTTGCAGACGACGAAAGCTATGCCTTGGTGGAGGTAGAACACCAGCAGAAGATACCGTTGTTTCCCATATCATCACTGCCGCCAGACGATGATGAGGCCCCGAGCGATGCCGGCAGGCCTCCTTCTGAAGTCAGCAGTCACGGGCGGAGTACGAGCATGGGGAATCTAATCGGCTCAGACGAGATAAAACGTGACGCGTCACAGGATTCTCGCCTGAAGCCTCCAGATCCTAGCACGACTGGTTCTGACAGAGCACTGTCCCCAAATGCGACAATAGATGAATCAAGTGGTGAGCACGATGAGAGTGAACATTCGAAAACTCGACCTCGAGCCTCAACTGAAGTGCTTCCAGGCAAGCCAACCACCCGTCCACCACAGCCTCGGACCCGACTCAGACCTCACATACTTTCACCTTTCCCAGCAGAATTCATGTTGACCACAGGAACTGGAGAAACTGAGCCGGGCGTTGGCCTGTTCGTCAATTTGGATGGTGATGTTGTGCGTGGAACGATTGAATTCGACACCTACCCAGAAGATTTGCTGGTCGACAATTTCTGGGTGCCCGAAAAAGATGGGCCTCCTATGTCTGAAGAAGAACACAAGATTATCGTCGCCCTTCTACGACCCACTGAATTGCATCCAGCGCGGCGGCTTGAAATCCAGAAGATAGAAAACGCGGCCGAGATAGCCCATCCAAGAACTCTGATCCCTCTTCCCCAAGCAGTCATCAAGTCTGCACGAGCTGGTTTGCAACATCTTCTAAGCACACACCATTATTCTTTCAAAGATGCCCGCGAGCTTCTGCAGCTTGTTCCATTTTCTACGAGTGCACAAGGGCCCCTTTCCCCAGGATTGAGCTCGGACAGTGATCCAAGGACTCAATCCGCGGTCGAACAGCTGGAACAAGAACGGGCACTCTTCGACAGCCAATCTACCAATACTCCAGCAGAGCCCTCTTTGGAACTGATCACCAAACGTGCAGCGGAGGAGGCCAAGCTTGCTCGCCGGTTCGGGCTGGCATTTACAAGAAATGTTGTTTGGCACGGCCGGGACTTGTATATGATTCTTCAAAATCCCCTGATTGCGCAACTCGAGTATCGATTGCTGCTACTTTTGAGTGACGATAACCTGGCAAAAGTCAAGCCAAGCCAGGTTTTCGGCTTCCTGGCCGCTATTCATGGTCGCGAGCCTCAGGATGAAACTGAATTTCTGACCTTGAATTATATCAGACAAAAGGCTAGCCTCATCCTGCTCCTGCACCTCCAAACTCAGCTCTCTGATAAATCAGGACAGGAGGACACCTATAGAGCGGTGGAGAACACGCTGCACGATAGTGGCTTGGATCCGCGGATCGTCCTTTCTCTTGCGCCTCCTCTGGCATCTGAAGTGCTTTACGGGCCAGAAGGGATCTGGCTCTATCAAGGCATGGCAGAACTTCTTTACGATTTCCAAACGCCAATCTCAGGGTTTGAAGATGCGCCTACGGACTTCTGGATGATGATACGGCATTTTCTCATGCTCTGGCAAGAAAAGCGAGGATACGGAAGCATAGCCGACGAGAAGTACGTTTTTGACTCCGTTGATGGTGCGCTGCTTCACGTGTTGCTCCACCTCGATCAAGCACTGCCATCAAACAGTCCGGCCCAGAAGTCCGTCAAAGCCAAGCTGAACAACGTAGTTGATCACTGGAAGGGCGACTTTGAGCGAGCAATTCTACTCCTAGAAAGGTACGATCGACTATTTGTGCTTAGCCGCCTATACCAGGGTAGGAAGCAAGCGCGCGACGTCCTACGTACGTGGAGACGGATCATTGAAGGAGAAAAGGATGTCGACTTCGGCTCGAACACGGAGCCTGTGCAAGTTCAACTACGACGGTACCTCAACGTTATTCGAGATGCAGACCTGGTGCAAGAGTACGCGGTGTGGCTTGCTCAGCGCAATCCTCCTATGGCAGTTCAGATTTTCACCGATGACACTGCGAAGGTCAAATTCAATCCTCAGCAGGTTGTGCCTCTCCTTAAAGAACAGGCACCTGGGGCCGTTCAAGAATATCTAGAACATCTTGTATTTGGCAAGGGTCTCGACAGATACGCCGATGACTTGATCGGATACTATCTCGACTCTGTACTGACAGTTCTCGAGAAGTCAGAAGCTGCACGTGCGTCATTGGCAGAGAGCTACTCCTCATACCGTGCGCTCGAGTCTCCGAAGCCAACATACCTCGACTTCATCAATCAGAATGCACCAGACGAGCCATGGTGGCAATCCCGGCTACGCCTGCTCCAGCTACTCGGCAATGGCGCGTACGCGACGACGACAAACTCAGGTACGGGCAAAGACCTGACTTATTCGGTCCCAACGGTCTTGAAGCGTATGGCGCCGTTTTCAGAGTTCCTCGTCTCGGAATCCATCATCCTGGACGCACGGCAGGGTCGACACAAACAGGCCCTTAAACTCCTAACACATGGACTTGGTGATTTTGACACAGCGATACGATATTGCTATTTTGGCGGACCGGCACCTGCCTATGCTGTCACAATCGATGTTAGCGCTCTGCCCCCCCGCGATGTACAGATCGAACTGTTCAATTTCTTGTTCCACGAATTCCTCGCCATTCCCGATACGGAGGATTGTCTCGAACGCACAAGTCATCTGCTCGGAAAGTTTGCGACGTTCTTCGACCCGCTGGCCATATTGGTAGATGTCCCCGATACGTGGGGCGTGGATGTGCTCGCAGAGTTTCTCGTGCGAAGTTTCCGCGCGGCGACAACGGAGCGAAATCAAGCCGTCATCATGAAGGCGTTGAGTGCGGCGCAGAATTTGCAGAAGCAAGCCGAGTTCATTGACGTGTGTGAGAAGATGGGCGCGAAATTTGAGCGTGAAGTCGCGCACCACGGCGACAGGGACGAGGGCTCAATGGACATTGAAGTTGCTGGCGCACGAGTCTAGGTTTGTGTGTGGCATTTCCAATGATCCATAGGGAGGAAGCAACTCGTTAGTACTTAGTACTCGGTCTGTAGGTGGATGTTGAGGCAGCTGTGGCAGGTTACTTATTACTATAACATTACACACTATCTGCCTCTCACGTGGACCAGCACAGGGAATCGCTCTATATGTAAAGATTCAAACATGAGGAGGAATGAAAAATGAGGTACCATTGCCTTGAAATCTCCTATACCAAACCACTATCAAACGCCAGATTGATAAGAACAAGGTCCGTCCACTCCCTTGGTACTACTAAGTCGCGCGCTTGCTTGATCGCTTGTGTCTAGAAATTTTGAAGAGAGAGAAAGGACGTGAAAAAAAAATTGACTCGGGAAGACAAACACAAAAATTAAGAACTAGGTCTATGAAAACCCCAGTCAGGGGTATGAACGTAGCAGTAGTAGTAGGGTACGCTGGTCGTCAAATCGTCTCTTTTGTCCCACGGGTCGGCCGTGTGGATGGTGTTGTTAACAACACCTTCCACCCCCTCTGGAGGGAGGTCTTCGAAACACATCCTCCCACTCCCCGAGATTGGTGAGGATGCCGTTTCGTCCGGCGGGCCGTTTCCGGCGCTTGCGCAGAGTGCTATCGTCTCCCGCCGCGCCGGAGCGTGCGCTCGATCCTGCATCGCCGTCCCAACCGCCGCCGTCACCGTACTGGATTCCGCTGGCGGGGTCGTCGGGGTCGATCTCGCCCAGCTCGATTTTGGTCAAGATCATACGCGCCAGGCGGCTGAATAGTTCTTCGACGTTTTCGCCTGTCAGCGCGCTGACTTCCATGGTAACGGGGATCCGCACTTGACTGGCCCAGCGCGCTGCGAGCTCCGACGGCACTTCTCGCCCTTCGGTCGACGTTGTGGCGGTCCATTTGTTCGAGGTGTTGAGTAGGGAATCAGCGCGAGAACGTGTCGTGCCGGTCGGTGTGCCGCCGGAGTCGGAGGGGAAGTAGGATTGCCGGCTCGAGGCGCTCGAGGCAGAGGGTGTGTGATCTTGCTGTTGTTGTTGTTGTCCGGGCAGCGTCGCCGCACTCCCGTTCATGGGCTGTGGTTGCGTGCGCGAAGTGTCTGCCAGATCGGACTTGTTTGCCGCAAGTATCACGGTCAACTGCGGGCTCGCTAGGGCCCGGGCATCGCTGAGGAACGTCGGCAGGGCGTTGAAGCTGGCAAGACTGGCCACGTCGTAGACCAGGATCGCTCCCGCTGCGCCGCGGTAGTAAGAACGACTCACGCTGCGGAATCGCTCGGTCCCGGCAGTGTCCCATAGCTGGAGCTTTATGCGTCTTCTGTTGGGCGCCGTGCCGCATTTCACAATCTTGGATGAGAACTCGACGCCGATGGTTTGCGAGGAGAGTACGCGCCATTCGTTTTTGACGAACCGGTGAAGGATACAGGATTTCCCCGTGCCAGAGGGGCCGAGCAGGACGACTTTGGCGAGATAATCGTACATGCTACCCAACTCCTAATCGCTGTTAGAATAAACTCAAGGGTAGGCCAGGAGGGAAACAGATGCGTACCTGATTCTGATCGGGTATCGAACTCATGTCCGACGATGCGGACGGTCGACGCGGGCGAGCCATGATGGCGGGATTGCGTTATCGAGCCGTCGACGTCGGGCTGAGGTTGCCGCAGGATCGTCTCTGTCGTCGCCGTCGTTCCATGCAGGAGATGGAACAGCCAACATTAATTTGATCGACGAGTCTCGTCTCGCCGTCCTGCCCAATGCGGGTTTCCAGACCACATGAGCGGGTGCTTATGTAAGGTTAAGGACGGGCGGATTTACTTTGCTCCGAAGGAAGGGGGAGCAACAGGAGGTTATGCCTGCGATCGTTTCTCATGCTGGGAAAATGTGTTATGAACAAGTGTATCATCTATGTTGCGGGATGAAAGAAGTGACCCTATTCTCGTAAGAAGAAAGGAGTCCTCAGACTTATGAGGCCGCGATGCTGGGGTGAGAAAAAGAAGGCCCTTAACTGTTCGGAGCACCATGCGGGTCTTTTCACGCAGTTGTGTTGAGGTACACATACAGGTACATAGAACATCCGTGCATACTCCGTCTTTTGGACGAGTACTGTAACTTTAGCTGCCTTCTGCAGAATTACGTAGGAGGATCGAGGCCGTGCAATTGTCATCATCATCACTCACAGATGGCTCTCGCTAGCGGGCCTTTGCCGTGTCGCCGGGATGTTTAGTCCCTGGATCTGCGATCACTGACAGTCGCGAAGCCAATGGTAAATGCCATTCTCCTGAGCAGGGCAACAGGTGGCGTGTGCGAACAAATAATCGAACAGGGATCAACATTGTCGTAGGCGAACTTGAGGTAGAGATCCCCAGGCGGGGTGTGTGAGAGCAAACCGGGTGGTGTCCACGACTAAGGCCAAATGCTGCATGTCCAGACTTCTTGTTTCAGCCACTCTTCCGCTGTGTGACGGACATGTGAGAAACTCTTCTTTTTCTTCCCGGATGAGTTGCATGGCACTCTCTACTATTGAAATTAACCCCCGCTGCAGTCCAAATACTAATTTGAGCTGTTTGAGCATGGTGTCCTTTAAAGAGGTCGAGTTTTGATCGAGAGATAACCTCTCCCAAGAACGTCCACCTACTCCCGACTCCTGCACAAGCAAGAAATATGCCTTCGAGAAGTCAGATGGCCAACGGCCTTCCAACATCTAGAACTCCCTCACCGCCCGATTCTGTCCACAGCACCTCTTCTTCGAGCACATACTTCTCTGCAAGTTTAGGTTACTCACCGCCAGCCTCCCCATCAGTATCGAAGCCAGCACATACGTTGTACAGCTTACAAGCATCTCGCCCGCGACGGACGTCACCTTCCCAGACAGTTCTAGGAGCGATTGATGAAAATGGTGGCATCGTCTACCCCGACACACCATTGTCCGCTACCAAAGAGCCCAGCCCTATCGCCCGTCTGCATGCATACACTTCAGCGCCTAACAATAAGAAGAAGACGACAATTGCTTCAGCTTCAAGGCCGCCAGCCAACGAGTTCGATGTGGTTTTCGGTCCCAACGGCGAGAAGTTCGCAGACTTACGAATGAATCGCAAGCTGGACGTCGAAAAGAGCCGAAGCATGCTCAAGCGCTTGATGTGCTTTGGATGACCTTCTCCAGAATCCTCCCGGTCATAGCATAACAGTTTGGAGGTCACAGTCAAGAGCCGTCATCCCAGTTGCATCGCCTTTGACGGCAAAACTTCGAGCGTCTCGGCTGCGCGAGGATTCGGCATGAAACGATAAATGAAAGTAGATGATGAGAAATGGCCAAAATAACAAAGAGCAAGCTTCCGAATGAGGGGATCCACAGTACCTTGAGCTCAGGGAGAGGCAGTGTGATATCAGAAACTAGTTATGAGGAAGAGCGATAATGGCTCGAAGGAGTATTCCGTTAGGATGGGTCCGGTGGTGCTGGTGGCTCACGATACACGCACGGTGAACATCGCTAGCAATGCAGTGGGTATCTGAATACATCCGTAGCTCGCATGGACAGCATGGAGATTCTTCCTTTGTGGCCTGTGAGGCTCTGTGCCAGCAAAGCTATGGCGAGCATCCGCAAAAGGGACTGGCCTTCATCCTTGTAAAGCGGATCGGCAAAGGTCTTTCCCGCACCAAATGGCCTGATCGTAATTAATCCTTGCTAGGATATTCAGCCACGTCCGAAACGGTATGATAGCCGAGGTGAATTAACAACTTTCCGTCTGCGCCCTACGAATTCTCCATACTGAATAATCACCTTTCCTTTACGCCGTACAAAGGACCACAAGCATGCTGCCGTGATATCCGACCATATGCAAAAGCATTCCGAGAACGTTTGTGATTTGACGGCTTTCTGCAGCCATCGCCCTTTTCGATCGAATTGTGGTAGGGTCCTTACACCGACCGCGTATCTCCTCAATGACAATGAGGTCTTCGGACCCAGACCTGTTGGCGTATGGATCCCATGATGGAACCCCTCCACTATGGGCTTTTTGAAGCTTTGAAACACTTTTATATGGTAGGACTCATTACCCCCCCCCTGTCAAAGCTGTTGTTCTTTGCGGTTCCCTACTTTTGCCCAACCTTTGTCTTGCACCACCTGATTATGGGCTGCGACGCTCGTAATCAGTCAAGGCTATCAAACAGGAGCATTTCGTCATGCAGTCCGGAATCTCAAATAGGTAATGGTCCTCAAGCATGAGTGAACGACCAAGCGAGTACTTACATGTGTGCCTGGTAGGACAACAACCGCAACACCTACGTACCGAACAGATAGACTCCTCCGATAACACCTTGACCGACAGGCCTCCACCACCAAGCGAGCCTCCAGACGACAGAGTAAAACTAAGCATCCGAGATCCGAAGAAGATAATATCATTCTCTTCCAATGACCCAGAAAGTCCATACAACTGGAGCAGGAGGCGGAAGGCCATCATTTTCGTTGTCGGCATCGTCACGGTGATTAACAGCACGCTGGGCTCGTCTCTACCCAGCAACGCGATCGACTTCATCGCTGAAGACTTTGGCATAACCAGTCAATTGCAACTCCCTCTACCAATCTCTTGCTTCCTCGCCGGCTATGTCGTGGGACCAACTGTGTGCGGTCCGCTTTCAGAGCACTTTGGCCGAAAACCAATCCTCCTTGGCTTCTTCCTGTTCGCTACTGTTTTCAGCATGGCGTGTGCTGTTGCTCCTAGCTGGCCAGCTCTATTGATATTCAGGTTTCTGTTCGGAGTAGGGTCGTCTGGGCCAATTACAATCGTAGGGGGATTATATGCTGATATTTACAATGATGCCCGGCAGCGAGGAGTAGCAATGGCTTGGTTCATGGTTGCAACTACCTTTGGGCCTATCCTCGCACCAATGATATCGGGATTCGTCAGTGAGAACACCACATGGCGGTGGACCTTTGCCGTTGGCACACTGTTCGCCGCGGCCACGATCCCATTGATCTGCATTATGCCGGAGAGCTATACGCCGGTGCTGTTGAGTCAGAAGGCCAAAAGGCTTCGCAGAGAGACAGGTGATCCGGAGATCATCGCACGAACTGACCTTCAGAAGAAGACCCTTCGGCATGTCCTCACGGTGGTTATGACACGACCCTACAGAATGCTTTTCCACGAGGTCATAGTAATGTGCACCTGTGCCTACCTCGCTCTGGCATACGGCATATTCTACATTTACTTCGAAGCGTACCCGATCATCTTTCGAGGGCCGGATTCGATATACAAATGGTCTTATGGCCTAGCGGGGCTTGCCTTTTTGCCGATTGGTATTGGGAGTATTTTTGCCGCCCCGATCTTCCTGGGGTGGGATTCATACCTGGCAAAGGCACAGAAACGCAAGGAGAAATGGGCAGAGAAGGAAGAGTACCGACGACTTCCACTAGCGTGCCTTGGTGGTCCGCTTTACGCGGTGTCGATTTTCTGGCTTGGTTGGAGCGCAAAGCCCGGGACATTTTGGTTGGCTCCTGTCGCATCAGGCGTTACTTTTGGCATGGCCTTCCTGCTCATATTCATGGCGCTGTTGAATTATTTGACCGACGCATATGAGACGTTTGCCGCAAGCGCTCAAGGCATTGCCAGCACTTGTCGCAGCATTTTGGGTGTTTTGTTACCACTTGCGGGCCATAAGATGTTTTCGCGATTGGGCATTGCGTGGGCGTGTAGCGTACTGGGATTTTTGAGCTTGGGAATGTGCCTGATACCCTTTGCTTTCATCTGGTTTGGCGACAAGATCCGAGACAACAGCAGGTTTTGCAAGGAATTGAAGGAGCTCAAAGCACGAGAGGCGGCTGAAGAGGAGGAGAGAGAAAGCAGCCAAACAAGCCTCGCGGCACGAGACGACGGAATGGCGAACAATGACGAAGGCCAGGAGGACCGGGAGAAAGTCTACAACAAGGTATGACACCTACTAAAGTAGTTGGTCGCTGTTGGTACGTACCGGCGACGGCAGTGAGGCGGCGAGTCGGCTTGTAGACGACAGCTTCATCCGTCATAGTGCGGACGCATTATCGGAGTTGAGATAGCCGATATGCAGCCACTGTTTCAAGTTTTTTTGACTTCAACAGGTCCTCGTTGCTTCCATTATACCTTTTTGTGAGATGGTTGCCCGTCTTGCATCTTTTTTGCGAGGCCGCGCACAGGACTAGTTAATCGCCTGAGCCCGTGAAGCGATGGGATTGTCGGCTTCGAGGTTTTGTTCCCGTGTATTCCTCTCTCTCCCTCGCTGTTTCCCTCCCCCTCTCTCGACCGACGTTGTGCGATTCTCGCAGACGCGTCCCTGTGGCGATCTGGACCCGTTCGTTTACAGCTGTAGCCGCCCATCGATGCAGCAAAAGGCCGTTCCTTGGGCCGCGTGTACAATGACAAAGACACATTGCACGGCTGGTCTTGGCTGAGCCCAACTAGCGGCCTAGCGCTGTTGTTTGAGTGGCATGAGCCTACGGCGAGGCGAGGGCAAAAACTGGCATCAAGGTGCGCACAAGTAAGGTCGATTTCTTCCTTTCCATTCGTGAGCCAGGTAATCGTCCACGAAAAGTTGAGAGCAAGAAAGAGATAAAAGGATAACGGAGACATCGGCGGCCGGTCGGTGGTGGATCGGGGGGCCCCGTTTACTCGTTACTTGCTTCGGTAGCTACGGTACAAACCCTCAGACAGGTAGTATGTACCTCACGGAGTTGTAATAGGTGCAGTAGGTTTGCTCTACCTACCTACGGAGTAATGTCGTACGGATACGCCTACTCCGTGGATACTCCGTACAGACAAAAAAACAAGAAAGCAACAACGGCTGGCCGCTGTCGACACTTTTCCAATAGCGGTAGCTGGGCCTGGGAGCAACAACATCCCATCAATCCTGTCACGTCTTTTTTTGCGCCCGTCTAGTCAGACCTTTCCTGAGCACATTTCCACCGCAAAACCCCGTCTGAACAAAAAACTTGCTTAACCTTACTCATGTCAAGCTACCTTGGGTACCTACCCAGGTAGGTTATTGGCAGAGCGATTGACTGACTCTGAGCACGTTTCGAGCGCAGGTTCTTGGCTCTCCCTCCCCTCTGCTCCTCCCCCCCCCTTCCACCGTCCAGCCAGGAAACAATGGGCGTACAAAAGAGCCCATGGGACCCATGCCCAGAATGGTTCGCGGGAGGGCGTGTTCAACTACTTCTTAGAATTGCTCTGTCAGGGTACAGTATTACGCGGTCCGACTGTTCCCCAGAGCGAGCAAGGCCCAGGAGCCATCCAGCCAGCAGGCTAGCAGCGTCGTGTCTACTACTACTTACAGACTACGATACACGATAGTGCCTTGCCTTGCCTTGCCGAAGCCAAACCAAACCCAACCCGAACTGGTGCCGATAAGTAGATATGAAGCACTGTGCTGCGTCGGCGTCATTCAACAAAAGTCCACCTCCACCACCACCGCCACCAGCCAGGGAATTTTCCATACTTCAACGGCCCGATATGTGCGGTCAGTGGACGCCACTCGAGCTCTCAACTTCTTCGATTTGGGATCAGGTGTTCCTGGCCAAGATGCAGAATTTCCGATCCCAGCACGACGACGCATGGGAAGAAGACTCACGACCCTCGTCCGGTGGTGAGTTTGGCGTATTCAGATCACAAAAAAGTCACAAGTTATAGGGGCATGGGTGGTGTTGCTAACACTTTCTACCTACCTCCCAGGTCTGCGTCGAAAGACAACGTTTTCGGAAAGGATCAATGTGAGCACGAAGCAGAACAGAACCAGCACCAGACAGTGGGGAGAGTATGCCCTGTGGGTTGGCAATATTCCGTCCAACACGACCGTGATGAGCCTGCGGGATTACTTCGCTGAGGCGGCACCGGCGGAGTTGCTCACCATCTCGTACAACCCGGACGCCAAGTATGCGTTTGTCAATTTCAGCACCGAAGCCGCGCGCATCGCCGCCATTGGGAAAGCCGCCAGCCAGCTCTTCGACGGGAGACGGCTGGACTGTCGCATTCGTCGAGACAAGGCTTCGAGATCGACCAAAGTCAGCTATGGTCTCAACAGTTCAGACCGTCAGAGGAGACTCTCCATATCGCCCGAGAGACCTGCGAGCATGTGGAACAAGGTGGAAGAGTTGAAGCAGCACCCGGAAACCGATGCGTCTCAACGTGGCAGGGACAAGTACTTTATCTTGAAGAGTTACTCCTTGGAGGCCTTGTATCAGAGCCTGGCCACGAATGTCTGGCATATACCCAAACGACACGTCGAGAGATTGAACCATGCTTTCCAGGTAAGAGAGAGAGAGAGAGAGCGGTCCCTGTCGTGTTTGTGCATGTTAGCTCTGTGCAGTTCTGTGTCAGCCATACTGATGATCGGGTGTCTCTGTTCGCCTTTTTCCAGACTGGCAGCAAAGTGTATTTTCTCTTTTCCGTAAATGGATCAGGTGAATTCTTTGGCTATGCATCCATGACGGCCGAGATCCGACAAGACGAAATGTCCGTCACGACGCCCGGTGCTTCTCATCGTCCGTCCAGCGACGCTTCCACCGAATCGTTGCCCATTCATATGAGGTCATATGGTGCCGATGCCCAACCAACAGAGTTCAGACATCGAGCACTGTCGACTACCTCGTCAGACGCCTCTTACGGGTCCATACACTATGAGCCAGAGCGGAGAAGAATCATATGGGAAGCATCGCACCATACATCAGATCATCAGTCTGTCACGCCCGAGGACTTTTCACCCGACACCATGACGCCGGTAACGCCGTCGGAGTCGTCTGGGAGGAGTTTCCGAGATTTTCCAAACACTGCGAATTTTGAGTACGCCTCTTCGCCTTCGATGTCGATGGCGCTACCCCCACAAGCGGCGGCGCACCCTACTGGCTCGGAATTGCAGCATCTCAGCGAACCATGTAGGATCAAATGGCATTCGACGGTCAACTTACCCTTTGACGAGGTCCGGGGGTTGCGGAATCCTTGGAATGAGAATAAAGAGGTCCATGTGGCTAGGAATGTAACGGCGGTTGAACCAGATGCTGCTGAGAGTTTGTTGGAGAGGTGGAAACGTAAAGATGAGGCACGCCGATTTCAACACTCTCAGGACGCCATATCGAAGGCTTGGCCTGGTCGGTGATAATCATCGTCGGCATTCAAACGGAGGTGTTGCAGCTGACCTTTGACAGTTGAGTTTTCCGGGAGAAAGGGTGTATGAATAACGAGAATGATGAAGTTAACGTTCCGAGGGTAAGATGATGGATAGATGAATAGATGGCCGTGTGCATGCTGCGTTCTGAGGTACCTGATATGCCTGTTTGTACTCGTATTTGAGTAGAGAAATACCGGTCCGGTCGGGTAAGATAGGAGTAGTATTGTATCCCTGACTTGTTGAACCAGAGCCTACTGCGAGGAAAGGCAGTTGTCACAGATGGACGGTCCTGTACAGTACCTACTCTAGTAAATACGTCCCGACCACTTTGTTCCGTTGAACCCAGCCCTGTTCAGAAGGCGTCCTAGTCAAGAGTCTGGTGGTGAAGCCGATGAAGTAAGGGAGGAGGTAAGCTGTACTCGTACTCTACTGGATAGTGAACCGCTTTCCCATGGGTGAGGTCTTACCGGATGCCTGGCCTGCTTTGCCGGCCCCTCTTGGGACCTACAGAACGGAACTGAACATTGCGGCATACGGCATTGAGGTACGAGTAGGTACCGAGGCGCCTAGGTCACTGGGGGGCGAGAGAGGCTGACAGATCCAAGACATAGACTGTACATTGAACCGTCCATTCGAAATGACAAATAAGTGTTTTGTGCCTAAGATTGATAACACAATGAGTTTTGTCCAAGATTTTGAACACGGGATGTGGAATTGTGCGTGAGCGTTTTGTGCGTACTGTGATGGCCCTTTCTTAGGTAATGCGAGGTGAGTAATTTCTTCAAAACTTGCCCCTCGATCGATCCCACGCCAGGCGCGGGGGCGTCCCAGACACAGGCTAGAAGTGCCTAGAATTACCTTACCTAGCGGCCCACCAAGCCCCCCCCCAAGGCCCCCCAAGCGCCCCTAGCCCAGTACCTCTGCCGGCCTAGAGGCTTGGAACTTGGGTTTCTTTATTAACTTAGGGTTCAACGCACAAACCTCTCACCCCGTTTAGCAGGCGGGTTGGTGGACCGAGCCCGCCTATCAGTGAATCGGGTTCACGGTCGATCTCGGGCATTAACCACCTACCTAGCACTTACGTACAACCCACTTAGCCAACCCAGATGCCCCCCCGGGCGCACAAAGCACTCACCCTACTAATCCATCCCTCCCGCGCAGTTCAAACCTTACGCACGCGAAGAAGTGTCAAAGAAAACTGTCAAGGCCTCGGTGGTCCGTCTCACTGACCACTAGCATGAGGCCGACCTACGTATTTGCTACTTGTGACCCTACAGAAAACGCACAATAAACTCACGGGTCCAGAAGCTCCCCAGAGCAGCGTGAGGAAGGTGCCCGGAGTCTCAGCTGTATAAATAAGTGCACAATTCCTTCCTCTCCCTGCAGTTCCAACCTCACCACACCACAACCACCAACATCACACAGTCACCACACCAACACCACACACTTCTCACTCACACTCGACAAGACATACCAGCAACCAAAATGGGTCCATGCACTTGTTCCGGTCCCAGCTCCTGCAGCTGTGGCTCTTCCTGCCAATGCTCTTCTTGCGGCGTAAGTCTGACCTAATACTCCCTCACCGAGAGCACTCTACTTTGGGAGCGAGGAGAGAATATGGTTGACTAACGTGTGGATGTGTGAGCAGAAATAAGTCAAGCCATAAAATCGACATCGCCAACGCCACAACAACAACAGCAACAACACAAAAACCAACAAAAAATTCTGCATTGTGATAACCTTGAACTTGGAATTTTATGACCTCGACGGGGATGACATGACAACGGTCAGTTCAATGCCGAGGAGCAGTCAACAGTCACACCTGTGTATCAATCCTGGGGAGACGGAAGAATGCTTCGGATTCACTTCGACGATATTAGATACGGGAAGCCGAGAAAACTGTGTCGAGAAAATCAAAGCCGGTACTGACTGAACTGAACCGACACTGCTGCCACCACTGATCGGAATCATGTCTCAAGTCGGCGACTCAACTATGATTCAATATGGAATACCTGGTGCGAAGATACATAGTTGATTAAATATCATAATCACAGTTCATGTTGACACGTCCTCTGATCTTCTCTCTCTCTCTCTCTCTCTCTCTCTCTCTCTCTCTCTCTCTCTCTCTCTCTCTCTCTCTCTCTCTCTCTCTCTCTCTCACACACAC